CCGCCGCGGCCAGCGAGCCTGACCGGCACTGCGTCGCCGACGGCGTCGCCGCGCCTGTCGCCGCCGCCGCAGCGCGGATCGCCCCCGGCCGCCGGTGCGCGTCGCGGTACGCCAGCGCCGACCGACTCGCCGACCGATCCGCGGCGTGTGCCTGCTCTGGGGCCATCGGCCTCGCACGAGTCGCTCTCGTCTGCCTACTCGGACGACGGGGGCGTCGAGAGTGCGCCGCGCATGCCGGAGCCGCCGCCCGCGGCGTCGCCGTTTGTGTCGCCGCCGCCGGCCCCGTCGCCGTTTGCGTCGCCGCCGTCGACGTCGACGCCGCGCATGCCATCGCACAGCACGGCGCCAGGGAGCCGCGCCACGTCAGCCGCAGGGCACTCGATGCGCTCGCCGGCGAGCGATACGATGCAGGGCCTCTTTGATACATTTGCGACGGCCCTCGCGGACCTGGGCCTCGATGACGCGCCGATGGATGGCCTCGACGAGGTCCGTGTGCAGTACCGCCCGACCGAGTACCCTGGCGGCTCGCATGGACTACCCTCGTCGGCCTCCACGCTGGAGTCGCTGCTGCCGCCGCCCAGCGAGCGGCGCGAGCAGCGCGCTCCTGCGGGCGCCAGTGGGTCAGCGCGAGTGCTGCGCGAGGCCTCGCCGGTGCCGCCGGGCGCGTCGCCGACGCCCGGTGTGCCTGCGCTACCGCCGAGCGCCGCACCTCGCGCCCCGAGTGGTCCTGCCCCGAGTGGCGCTGCTCCGAGTGGCGCTGCTCCGAGTGGCGCTGCTCCGAGTGGCGCTGCTCCGAGTGGCCCTGCCCCGAGTGGCCCTGCCCCGAGTGGCCCTGCGCCGAGCGGCCCTGCCGCCCCGAGCACATCACCCGAGCATTTCGAAGTGTACGGCCTGACCGTGTGGTGGCCCGGGTCGTTCGACGTGACATCCAATATCAACTACAACTCGGTCATGAACCGTGCGTTCCTGTATGCTGGCGCCGCCAACGACCTGCTTACGCGCCCCACGAACCTTGACATATGGCTGGAGCGCGCCAAGAAACAGCGGCCCAACGTGCCGGACGTGCTCACGAGCACGGTCATTGAGGAGCAGGTGCGTGCGCTTGAGGCGCAACTGGCGCCTACGGGCGAAGCGGCCGCGGCGCCTGCGGAGCTGCCGCTCCCCCCGAACATTCCGTATCCGCTGCTGGCCAAGGCCCAGAGCGCAGCGCACAGCGACCCCGGGCTCCTGCTCGCGACGCCGTCGACGGGGACGCGGTCGGTACGCCGCCCGAATGCGTCCACGCTGATCCAGTCGCTGAACCAGCTGGGGCGGCGCAAGACGCCCGTCCCTCCCATGACGGCCCGGGCGACGCCCGCTACGGTGACGCCGGCGACCGGGACGCCGGCGGCGACGCCTGCCGCTACGGCGCCTAGCGCGGCGACACCCGCGCCGCCGCGCCTCGCGCCGTGGGCCTCCGACGCCCCGATGGGCCTCGGCATTCTCCCACGCACGCCGAGTGCCATGTCGGTCGGCGCCGGCAGCGCCATGGGCGGAGCGGTGCCCGAGCCGCAGCTGCTGGCGGCCCTCGCGCGTGTGCGCGATGCGCTGCCCGACATTGACGAGGCGACGGCGCGGCGGTACCTCGTGCGCCACCAAGGCGACGATATGCGTGCGATCAGCGACTACCTACAGGAGCATGCACGCGACGAGGCGCCGTACCGGCGCAGCCTGTTCCGCACGCCTCGCGCGCGCTAGCGGGTATCAGAGGTAGACCGTGTAGAAGTGCGGATACACCAGCTCCGACTCGAGGAGCTGACGCAGCATGTGCCCGACGAAGCGCTCGACCTTGCCGACGTTCTCGAGCACATGCTTGCTGGGCTCGCCGATCTGCGACTCGACGGCGAGATACGGCAGGATGCGCTCGCCCTGGTGCCGACTGCGCATGCGCGGATCGTGCGCGGCACGCAGGCCGTCCGGCGCGCATGGCGCGGCGGACGGCTCCGAGAGTGAGAGGTGCAGGCAGGGAGTGGCGCCGTCGAGCGCCACGATGACCTGTGCAAACAGCTCGAGGCCGGTGACGACGAGCGTGATCGGCAGGCTCATCACCGTGCTGTCCGCGTGGTGAATTTGCAGCGACGTGCGCACACTGAGCCGCAGCGTCGACGTGAGCCACTGCACACTGAGCTGCACCTGGACCGACGGCACGTCGCTATCGACGTGCGCGGGATCGTCGTGCAGGAGCGTGCCCATATCCGAGTCTGTGTCGCTCCCGCGGTACAGCGAGTCGTCCATATCGCTCATCAGGCTCTCGGCATCGCTTAGCACCGACGTCGGCATCTCGTCGTCGTACTGCCGGAACGTGCGCAGGCGCATGGGCATGCGCGAGGGGACCGAGGCCGAGCGCGGCGGCGTCCACGCCACATTCGGTGTGCGGCTCGGCGCGATGGCCTCGCGGAACTCGCGCCACACGTCGCCAACGTGCACGACCTGCACGTCAGGCGCATCAGTGCCGAGGTCCAGCGCCTCGATGTACGTCTGGCCCATGTACGATGGCAGATCCATATCGCTCAGGCGCGCATTGAGGCGCGCCCGCAGGTCGTCCACCAGCGACGGCGCAAAGTCCGCCCACGCCAGGTCGATGGACATCCGAGCAAGTGGAGGAGCCGGTCACGGCGTCGCGTCTATGTGGGGGGGCCCAGCTCGGTGAGCAGGGTGTCGAGCGTGGCGCGCAGCGCCTGCTCGTCCTCGGGCGCCTTCATCGATACGCTATCCAGCAGCTGGTCGATGAGCGCGAGTGCGTCCCGGACCTCCGCGCGCGCAGCGGTGGTCTGTGCGGCCGTGTCCGCAAGGCGCGCCTCGGACTCGGCGTTGGCGGCCTGGAGGCGCGCGAGCTCCGCCTCGAGCGCTGCGAGGCGCGGTGCCTGGTCCGCCGCGACGCGCGCGCGGATGGCCGTGGCAATATCGAGGTCGGGGCGCCACACGTCCTTGAGCTCGGCGTCCGAGGTGCCCTGCCGCTGCCGCTCATCCGCCTCGTGCGTGAGCGTGTCGAGCTCAGCGAGGCGCGTGCCTAGATTGTGCTGCTCGACGAGCGCCTCCAGATCGTTCTCAATCGCCGTCTTGAGATCCTGCACGAGCTGCAGGCGCGCCTTCTCCGCGACGACGGGGTCGAGGGCGGGAAGCGCGTGCGCAAAGTTCTTTGCCCTGGCATGAGCGCACGAGACTTACGTTGCCTTTGCATCGATCAGTTCTAGAAACTTACGCAGGGCCGCGCGCATGCGCTCCAGCCGGTCCTGCGACGCCGGCGCCATCGTCGCGCGCGTCCCTCCCAGAGCGCGGCGCCTCCACACGCGCGGCGGGCCATGATTTATCACGTGACTATCTGCTGCGGCAAATTCCCAGGCTTTTCCTCCGCGCGGCGCCTCGGCGGCCACCCACCGATTCACCATGTAGGTGCTGGACATGCGCTAACAGACAGGGCGAAGTCGAAGAACCACACCAACCACACCATGTCGCGCAAGGCGCACCGCAACGGTATCAAGAAGCCCAGGACGCACCGGTACCCCAGCTCGCGCGGTGTACGTATGACTGGAGGGGGCGGCGTGGCGTCGTGCGTCGAAGCGCTGCCCTCGCCCAGGAGCCGACTAACAGCCAGGTGGACCCCAAGTTCCTGCGCAACCAGCGCTACGCCAAGCACGGCACGGAGAAGGCTGTGCGTGAGGCGCGTGCGGCCGCCGCGCAGTCGGCCTAAGCGCCTGCGCAGGCGTGCTGCCTACCATAGCTCTGTAAAAGTTGCGGGCACGCCATCTCTTCGTGCCCTGTCGACCACTTGGCGTTTTGGCCTTCTGATGCGGCTGGTCGTGGCCTGCCACTGGGAGTGGAGGAACTGGTTCCGCCACAGCGTCGACGCACTGGCCCTGTTCGCTGGGTGCCGCTCGTTCTTGCGCCTGTTGTGGCGGCCATGTCTCATGCGGACGGGTCTGTGCCATGCACGCCTGTCGTAGGCGCTGTATGGCCATCGCCCACGCCAGATTCGCCGGGCGCCTCGAGCAGCTCGAGCGTGTTGTCCGAGGAGCGTGTCCGCCAGGTCGTCGCTCAGAGCGCCGCGCGCTGGGAAGTCGACAGCGACGTGGATGCGTGCCGTCGGTGTGCGCGCCGGTTCACTCTCTTCTTCCGCAAGCACCACTGCCGGCGGTGCGGCCAGATCGTATGTGACGCATGCTCATCGCACCGCGCCGTCCTGCGCGCGCAGGAGCTGGTCATTGATCCCATGCTCCCTGAGATGCTCGAGAGCGAACTCCAGCACCCTACACGCGTGTGCGATACGTGCGTCGAGGCCTACGGGCTCGAGGCGCCACCGCCCGCGCCCGGCCTCTCGCGTCTGTACCAGGTCCTGCGCTTCGAGGCACCAGGCACGCAGCCCGAGGCAGACGACCCTTTGAGCCGCTCCAGCAGCACGCTGAACGAGTGCCCCGCTTGTGACCGGCCCCTGTCGACCTTCCCTACCGCGGAAGCACGCGAGCAGCATGTGGCGCAGTGCCTCGAGCACGCCGTGCGCCCCGGTGCTGCGCACCGCACTCACTACCTGGCCTCGCAGCTCACGGCCGACTCGCCCCTGATCGGCAAAGAGTGTATCATTTGTATGGAAGAGTTTGCGCCACACGACCACATTGCGCGCCTCACCTGCTTTTGCTGCTACCACTACGCTTGGTACGTGCTGTATCTAACGCCAGTATCCAGGCATGGTTCGCCAGGACAAAGACCTGCCCTGTCCATGACACAGAGCCCAGGTAGTCTGCCTGTACCATAGCCTCACGACCGCGCATACATGGCCTGCTGCAGGCGCTGTACCTTCGCACGGGCCTGCGCGAGCAGGCGCGCCTCCTCCGCGAGCACCGCCTCGACGCGCGCCAGCTGCCGCGTGCCAAGCGCCGAGGCACCGGGCTCACTCGCCGCCGCCTGCTGCGCGGCCCGCGCCTGGAGCTGCGGACGTAGCACGTCGAGCTGGTGCGCCAGCTTTTGCTGCTGCGCCGCTGCGCGTGAGTGGGGCGCGCCAAACTCGTCCGACATGCGCTCGAGCTCGTCGAACCAGCGGCGCTCGTACATCGAGAGCTGCGGCGTGTGCTCGTCCATAAGCTTCTGCAGAAGCGTATCGAGGCGCTGTACTGTTTTGGCTTGCGCCTCTTCAAGCCGGCGCACACGCTCCGGCAGCTCGCGCGCCTGGAGGGCCGCGGCACACTCCTGCGCCACTTGGAGCTCGCGCAGCTGGCGCTGCATCTCGGCCATCTGCTCCGAGACACGCGCCTGCACCGCACTGCCTGCTGCCGCCACCTCCTGCAAACGCGCACGAACGGCCTCAGCGAGCTGGCCTAGCGCGCGCAGCGCGTCAGGCGTCACAGGCAGCACGGCCGTGTGCGGCGCCCACGAGCGTGGCAGGGCAAGGGGGACAGGCGTCAGGGCGGACGGCGGCGTAAAGGGGTGCGATAGCAAGGGACGGTAGGTGCGCTCGGCGTCAGGCACCGGCTCGTGCGCAGGCGCACTCGCACCTGGATGCAGCACGAGCTCGCGCGCGGCCAGCTGGCCATCGGCCGTGAGGACGACAAGCGTGTACGACAAGTACACATCGTTGAGGACAAGGGCGCCCGCGATCCCTGCCGCCTCGTCGGCAGGCATGCGCACTACGCACGTCACATCGGTGGGCACACCGTCCTGTACCGTCTGCTGCAGTGCTTGCTTGTCACTGTGCGTCAATGCATCAAGAAGCGGTGCTGTCCAAGATCGCAGCGACAGGGCGTGCATGCCATACAAGTGCGTCGCGTAGATCGTATCGGGGTATAGGGGGTCTTCCACCAGCGACACGTGGTTCGCTGCCAGGAGCGCCGCTCGCGGGCCGGGCAGCGCGAGGTCCACACACTCGTGCACGGCGATCGTGGGCGGTGCTGTGCTGCGTGCCCATGCCGGGGTGATCGGCGCGGCAAGCAGGCCGAGATGGAGGCTGCCGTCGCGCGCGGCGATGGCCAGCACATCGAGGCGCGCTCGCGTCTCGTCCGCACGGATCTGGCCCAACCACAGGTCGCACGCCTGCGACGTATACTCGTCATCCAGCTCGCGCGGTGACGGGCGTAAGAAGCACGGGCCTTGCACGGCCACGCGGTGTGCTACGCTGCTGGGCGCCGTGATGGCGACGGCCTCAAGCGGCGACGACGCCTCGTCGTCAAGCGTCAGGTCAGGCGCCGGCGAGGCACGCACGCTGGATGAGGGCATCTGGCGCAGAATCTCTGCAAGGTACTTGAGTGTGCGTGTGCGAGCGTGCTGCGCCTCGGTTTTGGCCAGTGCCTGCACAGCGCTACGCGAGAGCATCGCGTGGTGCGGGAGAAATGGGCATACCACGTACACGTCGCCGCTGCGCATAAGCACAAAGAGCGTATAGGGCAGCCAGGTGGGCATGTAAGTCGCGCCCGTGTCCAGGCTATCGTCCTCGTGCACGGCAGGTGCCAGTGCGCGGCTCTCGCCGATATCGCGCCCAAACGCGCACGACACGGCACAGTGTTCGTCGTCGTCGTCGGCGCTCCACTTGGAGGGCGCAGACCGCGTGGGTGGAAGCACTGCAATGGTCTGCTTCGGCTCGTCGACGTCATGCGCCACGTCGTACTCACGCACGATCGCGTCCTCGGTCAGCACGACGAGACTGGCGCCTTCCGTGCCGAGAGGATGCCAGCGGCACTGCGCTATTGCAGATGTGCCGTGTGGCGCATGGTAAAAGGCGCCGATGCGCACCGCCTTCACGGGAACGCGCGCGCCGATCTGTTTCATGTACCCCCGCCGCGGGAGGATGACGAGCGCGAGGGTGTGGGTGCCGACAACAACGAGGAGCTTGCCGGTTGGGTTCACATGCACACTTTGAATAGCAAAATCAAGTACGTCGCTGTCAAGCACTTTGTAGCCCGGGGCCTCCAAGCCCTGATCCATCGCGCGCTTGGTCTGCGCGAGAGGGGTCATTCGCAGTTCGTTCTGCACGACGACAATCAAATCGGTTCCGCGAGTAGCGAGCAGCGACGTGCGCCGCACCGTGTCCGCCTCCGGCACAGGCGCCGCGCCGCGCCGCTCCAGCACGGGATGCGTCGGGAGAGCCTCGTGCCACGAGCGCATGCGGTGAGGAGGGAGCGACACCGCGGCGTGCCGGTCTTTGGTCACGTGAACGAAGCGGCGTGCGCGGCCGTGGCCTGTGCGGCGCCGCTTTATGCCCAGCCGCTGCGGTGTCGAGGAGCTTGCCCTGCCGGAGCTGCTCCATGGCATCGTCGGGCGCCGACACGCCAAGGAGCGCGTGGTGCGCGAGGGCCTAGTGCCGCTCGTCACTGAGAAGCTGCTCCACGGCGGGCCGGACGCGATGGTGCCTGCTGCGCACGTGCTGGGCTCGCTCGCGCAGTATGCGGCGCCCCCGACGCTCCTTGCGCTTCTGCGGGCGCGTGTGCCGTGGGCGTTGCTGTACGCGCTCCACCAGGTGCGCTGTCACGGAGATGAAGATGTGGCTGTCGTGACGGCGCTGATACGCGCGCTGCGCACGGTGCTCGTTGCGGTGGCGTCGCAGGTCGGCGCCTCGGTGCGCTGGGGCACTGGCTCGGGGTGGGGCACCACGGCTATGGCGGGCCTCGCTACCGTGACTAGTGCGATCCAGCCTCTTCCCATGTCGCCGCGGCGCGTCGACTGGCGTGCGGCTGGTCCGCCCGCTGCCGACGCCCAAGCGGTGCCGGGCCGCTGCGTCGGGCCTGATGAGCCCGTGTCATATACACCTGAAAAAGAGCTGTTCTCGCGGTGCCGCGGCGCTATCGATGCGCTCTTTCACCACCTCGACGACCTGCTCTGGGCGCTCTGTGAGCCGGCGTACCGTACTGCTATCCAAGAGTCTGTGGCGTCGATCTTCTCTGTGTGTCTCCCAGTAGCTGGGCGCGCCGCATGGGACCCATCTTGCTCTGCTGCGGATGAACGCCATGGTCGCGTAGAAGCTATTCTTGCCTACTGCTCGCCGGATGGCACACGGACTCTACCAGCGCTCGTGCCTACCGAGCTATCGATCGCGCCCGCTGGGACACTAGAAGTAGCGCTCTGGGCGCTCGAGGAACTGCTTGCGTGTGCACCGTCGCGTATGGACGCCGTCTGCTCGCAGCCCCTCCCGTCGATGCTTACCGTGCTCGATGCGGTTATGTGCCTGGCTATGCATCGCGCGCCCCCTGTGCGGCTCGCTGCGTATGCATTCTTGCTGCGACTTCCCCCGTCGCTGTGCCCAGCCGCCTACATGCCCGACTCACTTGTCGAGCATCTCCTCGATATGACTGAAGAGGGGGGACTACTTGGCGTACCGGCCTCGCTCCTACTCGCACGCGTCCTCCAGGCCGTGCCTACGCTCGCGCGACACCTTCATTCGCGCGTGGACGGCGGCGAGCGCCTCGTGAAATGCGTCGAACGTACGCTGCCTCAGCTCCATGCAACGCCCGCGTGTGCTGAGGGCTGGCAGGACGAAGTGCTCGTACGGCGGTGCGAGGGCAGTCTCTACGCGCTGGCCGCGTGCTGTGCGGGGTGCCACCATGTGGTAGAGCGCATCGCGGAATTCCATGCACACCTAGTGCCCGAGGTGCTGCGACCTGCGCTGGTGTCGGGCCCAGCAGGCGTTCAGGCGGGTGCTGCGCGTCTTGTTCGAACGCTGAGCCGCAGTGTGCGACTTTTGCGCACGGTCCTGCACGACGCGGCGATCGCTGACGCACTGGTGCTGCACCTTCACAGCCCCTACGAAATTGTACAGCTCGAAGCGCTTTGTGCGCTGGGCAACATGGCCATCAAGCAGAGTCCCTCGCGTCCATGTGTACTGCGGACGGGGTGCCTTGCGCACCTTGCCGAGCTGAGCCGCACAGCCCGACCGCCTGTTCAGACGCAAGCGCTGTGTGTGCTCAAGAATGCACTGAGCGGCGCCACAGCGGCCGAGTCACAGGCCATCGTTGCAGCGCTTGACCCCACGTTTGTCAGCTCGCTCCTCGTGTCTTCTGAGGTCACCCTGCAGGAACAGGGTATGGGCCTTGTGCGCAATCTTGCGGCGAACAGTGCGACGGACGGAGCTGCTGCCGAGACTGTCGACCTGCTCGCCACGCTTGGCTACGACGCCGTGCTTACGGCACTGGAGCATGCACTGCTAGCGCCAGCGCCGGCGCCAGTGCTGGAGCAGACAGCGTATGTGCTTGCGAATATGGCCGCTGGCGCGCCAGCGCTGCGCGCTGCGCTTGTTACGCGCCCGCCTCTGCTACAAGCGCTCGGCGCGCTTCTGCAGCATCCCGATTCGGCCATGCGCGAGGCGGGTGTGCTGTGCGGCATGAACCTGCTGCAAGGCCCTTCGAGATTGTCCATGGTACACGAGCTACAGTCGTGTGGCTACGTGGCGCAGCTGCACGAGGTAGCTCGCAGCGATGCGCATGGGGATGTGCGATGGCGTGCGCGAGAGCTGCTAGCGTGGCTCTAAGGCACATCGCCCAGGGCCTCACCGACGCGCACGTGCTCGCCGGCGCGGCAGTGGAAGCGGAACGACTCGGGCGCCTCGAATACGAGCACCACGGTGCTGCCGAGACGGAAGCAGCCCATCTCGTCGCCGGGCGCGAGCGGCTGGCCGCCCAGGAGGCGGCTAGCTGCGTGGTACGTGGCCTCTGTGAATGTCCCTGTAAGTTGACGCTTCGTATGCTGGTTCGTGCGCAAGTTGCGGTCGAAGTGGATCTGGATCGACCCGACGTTCGTCGCGCCAATCGGAGTCATGCTGAAGAACCCATGGCGCCACCGGCCGAGCAGCGCTACACGTTCGTTCACCACAAATAGGTTCGGTAGGCTCGCAGCAACAGACGGGGCCACAGAGTAGAGCTCACCGGGGAAGTGGCGACGCAGTTCAACGACCCAAGGCGCTGGGCTGTGAAAGCGATGGTAGTCGCCTGGCGACAGGTAGATGACACAGAAAAAGAGGCGGTGGCCCGGGGCAAGCGGGCGCAGTGTCTTCCCACTGGGGAGCGACGCAGAGCCCATGCCCATCGCGACCTGCGCGTAGTGACCCAACGTCTCCGCCGAGTCGGCTGTGGGAATACCCGCATCGCCCTGTTCCGTAGCATCGGCATTCGCCTGTTCGCGCGCGAGCTCTGCCGGCTGCACTTCGTGCGTCGGAACATGCTCGTACGCAGCGCGCTGGCCACGCACAGCGTGGCTGGCCCAGCGCCACGCACCCTTGGCCCACCCAAGCAGATACTCGTGGAAGCGCAGCGTGTCGCGCGGCTGGCCCAACAGCTCCTCTAGACTGTACTCGATCCCGTTCACCTGTGCAAAATGGCGCTCGTCCGCTACATTCAGCGCACGGGAGCTGTCCAACAGAGCGTCATCGCGGGCATGTGCGGCAGTATTGAAGCCCAGCAGTGAGCCAAGTGAGTAGGTGAGGCCCTTGACCTGCTCGACCTGGTCGCCTTCCACGGCGCCGAGATGCAGCACCCTGCCATCTGCGGGCGCCACGAGCAGAGAAGGAGAAATGGGGCGCGCACCCGGCTCAAGCTCACGCACGAAAAACTCGGAGAGGTTCTTGTACTGGCGCAAATCTTTCTCTTTCATCTCGTCCAGATGGCACCCGAACAGGCGCGCATACAGCTGGAAGCCATACGGACGAAACCACACAGGCAGTGTAAGCCCGTTCAGCCAGCCCCACGTGCGGCTGATGGCGTTGAACGGCATCACGCCAAGAACGTACATGGTCCACGGGCCCATACGCCGCAGCGGCTGGCCATGCTCGTCCACGACGGGGGCCTCACGCCGCTGAAGGTGCTCGCGATGCGCCTGAACAGCCACGAGCACGGCACCACCAAGCAGGATCGGCAACGGTGTCCACTTAAGCGGCGTCTCGCGCCACGTACGCCAGGCGCGCGTCCAGATCGACACGCGGCGAGAAGCCTGCTGCAGGCTCTGCAGACGAGCGCGCTCCGCGCGCTGGCCACGCACCGTCGCGGCCGCTTCGACCGCCTCATGGGGATCTCGCGCGTACGTGCGTACGAAAGCACGTCCGATCGACGGCACACGCGGCCGTGTCGTACCCCACATCGCGGCGCTCGTCCAGCGCCCGCGTCGTGCCCGCACTAGGCGGCGGGGTGGAATATCACGTGACGCCACGCGAAGGTTCGCGGCGTTTCTAGGCCGGGCGCGGCCGTGCGAGAGACGTCTGTGCGTCAGGCGCCACGTCGTCGTGCGGCGGCCGTCTCACATAAATGGGGCTGGTCGTCGTACGCAACCTCATACTTCGTGACAATCATGGAATTCTATCTTCCTTCTTCTTGGGTCTCGCCTTCTACTCTCTCGTACGGCCTGAATGGCGGCCCTTCCATGCACTGGGCTCCTTCTAGTACCATGGATCTCTTTGATATGCAACAGGCCCTTTATGAGGCCGAGCTCATTGAGCGACGACGTGCCATCCAGCGGGAACAAGTGCGCCGTTGGGCCCTTGAACGCGAGCGCGAAGCGCAGGCTGTAGCGGCTGCCCGGCGTATGGCGCTTGCTCTAGCCGCCGAGGAAGAGGCTCGGAAACGCCAGTTGCAGGAGCGCCACCGTATGTGCGCGGAACACGCTCGTCAGAACAAGCGCCAGCGCAAGCTGGTGCACCTGGTCCAAATGGGCCCATTCGTTGTTGAATTTGCCGAGCCCGACTCTGTGTCAGAACCACAGAGCGCTTGTGGTCAGGACTGTGTGTGCGCACCGAACGCAAAGACATGTGGCTGCGATACCCTATCGGCGTTGGGATCAGACTCCACGCATAAACCCTCGGTGAATGCCCGTGCTACTGCACCAGTTTGTTTGGCGCAGTCTAGCACGGAGTCTACAACTGAGCCAGCCACAGAGCCCACCGAGGAGTCTACTAAGTCTACAACGGAGCCAACAACGGAGCTAACAACGGAGCCAACTGCGGAGCCAACTGAAAAGCCAACTGAAAAGCCAACAGCAGAGCCAATAGCAGAGCCAACAGCAGAGCCAACTACGGAACCCTCTACGGCTGTCGAAACGTCTGTGGCGGAGTCTACGCTAAAGCCAAAGGAGGAATCAGCTATTCTTACGACTGCCCCTGCGACCGAGCCGTCGAGTGGTACTGCCAACTCATCTGAGAGCACCAACTCGCAGCTGCTGTTTTCCTATGACTTTCCGCCCTGTGACACAACATATGGTCGTGACGTGCGCAAGCAAGTCCAAGCAGACCGCATAGCTGTCGAGGCGAATACGCTGAATGGCGGAAGCATCCAGATCCGGGGCCTGTGGGCCAAGTCGGCGTCGCCAGGGAGCCGCGCAAGCTCGTCGCGCTCGGCACACGTCCGCGATGTGGACGAGAACGGTGACGAAGTCCTGCTACCTGAGGACACGGACTCCGAGTCGGAAGCCGATGCGCACATCACTTTTGACGAGTCCGCAGTGCTGCCTCTCCCTGCGCTCGACAAAGCACGAGCGTTGCGCGCGGAACTGAACGACCAAGGCTTTCAATTGTGGCTAGACCTGTAAATAGACTGTGTTATGGTAATAACTATTCTTCATCTTCACTCGATTGCTTTTCTTTTTCGTGAGCGACCCAGTCCATCCAGGAGCCCGAATAGTTGCGTGCGCTACTGTTAGTACACCGGCACGTACTTCCACCAGCCGCGCTCACGAGCTGTCTCGAGAGCCTGTTGACTGCGCTTGCCACTGCGGCAGTAAAACACGATCGGGTCATCAAACGATGGGCGCGGGAACGAGAACTTGCGCTCAAAGTCATTGGCATTCTCTGAGTAGCTGTTGGGATTGAATGCACTGCCGAACTCAGACAACGGGACGTTCACAGCCGCTGGGATCATACCCTGCGCAACCTCGTTCGGCTCACGAACGTCAATCAGCGTAATCTTGCCGGACGGCGCCTCGGTGTAGGGCTTAAGCTCCTCGTAGGTCATGCGGCCGCGGTCGAGCCACGCGGTGTCGCGGTGGCAAGCGCGCGCAAACGAAAACGCACGCATACCTGTCACCGGAGCACAACGAGAAGCTGTAGCCACAGAAGGGCGCGCGACTGCACGCGCAACATACGCGGAAAGGCGGGGAACGCCGACAGAGGCTATGTGCATGGGCCGCATGATGGGACTAGGGACAAGCCCCGCGGGGGAGGAGCACAAGTTGGTTCACGTGACTCCGGCCGAAATTCGCGGGCTCGACAAATTTTGGTCGCTCTGCTTTGTACGGCAACGGCAGCGGCTCACCGGCGCTACGATGGTGTTGGTCCTTTTCGAGACAGCCGTAGGCTTCTGCCTGTTTTCGCTCTCGGATGAGGGCAAGCTCAATTCACCTGACTTATACAAGCATTTTGAAAATGAGACGGAGGCTAACCGTCTGCTGCAGCTGAAGGCCATCCACCGCTTCCAGAGCACAGTCGAGGCTGTGGAAGGCGCTACGGCCGTGAACGAAGGCAAAATCAGCAAGGGACTCAAGCGCTTCCTGACGGATGAGATTCTCGAGAAGGGTGGCTCGAAAGGCGTCAAGGGCGCCGCGGAGACGCTTGTTGTCTCTGAGCCCAAGCTTGCGTCGGCGATCACGAAGAAGCTCGGTATCCAAGTCACGTCAGAGTCGAGTCTGATGGATCTATACCGTGGTATTCGAGAGAACCTCGCGTCGCTCCTGTCTGCGGGCTCGCCTGAGGCTGGCGCACTTGACCCCCGGGATCTGAACACTATGAGCCTGGGTCTCTCGCACAGTCTGAGTCGCTACAAGCTCAAGTTCAGCCCTGACAAAGTGGACACCATGGTGGTCCAGGCCATTGCGCTACTTGACGACCTAGACAAGGAGCTCAATATTTATGCCATGCGTGTGAAGGAGTGGTATGGCTGGCACTTCCCTGAGATGGGCAAAATTATCACGGACAATATTGCCTACGCCAAGGTGATTCGTGCTGTGGGCTTCCGTACGAACACGTCGTCGTGTGATTTGTCCGAGATTCTTCCCGAGGAGCTTGAAGAAACGCTCAAGGCTGCTGCAGAGATCTCGATGGGTACGGAGATCAGCGAGACAGACATGGAGCATATCTGGAGTCTGTGCGAACAGGTGATCTCGATCAGTGAGTACCGTGCGCAGCTGTACTCGTACCTGTGCAACCGCATGTCGGCGATCGCACCGAACCTTACTGCGCTCGTCGGCGAGCTTGTCGGCGCACGCCTCATCTCGCATGCAGGCTCGCTGATGAACCTAGCCAAGCAACCGGCCAGCACGATCCAGATCCTGGGTGCTGAGAAGGCGCTTTTCCGCGCCCTGAAAACCAAGCACGACACGCCCAAGTACGGTCTGCTGTACCACTCGAGTCTAGTCGGCATGGCTCCTCCTAAGATGAAGGGTAAGATGGCGCGTATGGTCGCGACCAAGGCTGCCCTGTCGATCCGTCTGGATGCGCTGGCTGATGCTGACTCCAAGTCGGACCTGTCGGCCCCCACGATCGGTTCCGAGTCGCGTGCCCGTCTTGAGGCGCGGGCACGGGGTCTGGAGCAGCGCACGACCATCTCGCAGATCCGTGCGGGCAAGGGCGCTAATGCAGGCTACAAGCAGAAGAGCTTCTCGATGGAGGCCAATGGCCGCAGCTACAACACAAGTGCGGATGCGCCGCCGCCTGTGACTGGGGTCGAGGAGGCCGAGGAAGGGGAAGACGAGGACGACGAGGAGGCTAAGGCGGAGGCCAAGGCTGCCAAGAAGGCTGAAAAGAAGGAGAAGAAGGAGAAGAAAGAAAAGAAGGAGAAGAAGGACAAGAAGGACAAGGACGAAAAGAAGAAGTCTAAGCGGTCTGCTACAGACATGGACGACGGCGCCGAGTCAAAGAAGAAGAAGAAAAAGTCGAGCGAGTAGATTTTGCTCGATTGTCCTGTATCTCACTGTATTCCGTAGCCCCATTATGCTGTCGATGTATGAACGAGGTCAATGCGCGCCCGGTTGTACAGCTCATGCGTGATGAGCTCCTCGGCCTCCTCACTGCTGCGGAACACGGAGCTGCGGGGCAGGGGATCTACCTGCACACACACGAAAGCCGTGGGCTGCGTCTCTGATGTTGGCTGCGCCAGCGTCCCGGGATTCACCACCACGGTCGAGTCGACAACGCGTACAAATGGCTTGACCTTGGACGACGGGAGGAGCAGCAAGTCGGGTGTCACCTGATCCAAGTCACAGAGATGCGAGTGTGACAGGTCTAGCGGCACATTCGAGGCTGGCGACGGAGGGAAGATGGGATAGAAGCTGGGTATAAGCAGTGTTCACGAACCTTCGCTGGCCTAGGACGTGGCGCGACAGACGCATCATGGGATCCGTAACTTTGGGACCGGGTGTGCCAGACGGATTCATCGGCTGGACGCGCTGCACCAGCTCTTCGCGGCGCAGATCGCCGAGCACATCCACGGTCGCAACACCAATCGCCAACTCATTCACGTAAAAGACACTGGGGTTTGGCAGGCACCGCACACGCTTTGGCAGGCCAAGTACCGGATCGGCCTTGTCCAGGAATGGCTGTGGGAAGGCACAGTGTGGGTGGAATATGTCTTCTGTGCTGGGCACCAAAATGACCATCGTCGATGGCGAGCGCTCCATTAGGCGCGTGAGGCGCGTCGCAATGTGCTGCTGGAATAGCTCGGTCGGCAGCATGTCCAAGTCCCCGGCGGCCACGAGTGGGTGACTCGCACTGACAAAAGGCCCCATCTGTGGTGAGTGAGGTCGACGTACCACAAGCAGCACATCTGGCTGCAGCCGCTCCATGTGTGAGACAAACGCGTGCCACGGGGTGAACGCCAAGTCGTCCGGCGACGTAAAGGGCCCACTCGCAGCAACGATGCGCAATGCAGAACCATCGAGCTTACTGGGATGGAACTGGTGCGACTGTAGCTCTGTGCGGCTGGTCGCCGGGTGCGGAAGCGCAGGCGGCTGCGTCAGCGGCATGCACGTACCATCAAGAGCTCCTCGGCAATGAACCGCGCTCCTGAGCCATTGCGCCCTTTTAGGCCGACGATCATACCTGGGAAAAGGCCCACGACACTGGCCATCGATGCACTCTCGTCTGTCCACGCGTAGCGCACACGGCACTTTGGGTCCAAGCTCAGCGCCACGCGCTGTCCATTGCCGACCATACGGCTCGTTTCCAGCATGAGGTCAGTCGGCGTGAGCTTCGTAGCAGGCGCACTGTCGGCTTCACCTTTAACAGGATTCACGCGAAGGCAGATTCGCCCAATCGTGTAAATGCTCTCCTGGCTGGGAATCGTAGGGTCCTCCCACTCTGTTGCCAGGCCGAAAGCCTGGTGCAGAACCTCAGCCATGGTGTTGAGGCGCGTGTCTAGCACCAAGCTGCGCTCACCTTTTTTCTCAAACATATAACGGTAGTTCCACAGCTTCAAGTCTGTGCTCACAGCGAGTGATACACGCGGCGCAGTCTTGGTCGGCATGGCGGCCAAGAAGGCGTCGTCCCACGTAGAGGGCATGTGCTCATTGAACGACTCGGCCACCCGTAGACGCCCAGCCCACTCGTAGTCCTTCACATGCACCTCATGATTCGGTCCCTTGGCTGAACTGCTCCCCACAGGCCCGCCCAGAAGGCTCGTCAAGTCCGCCATAAAGTACAAAATGCACGCGTCGCGTGTCGCGAGCGCGCGGCCCTTGGCCAACGGCCCTATCACAGCCGTCCGTACCCTCCACCATGACCGAGGCCGAGGCCAGCGACCCCGCACCGGAGGCTAGCGCGCCTGTGTCGCATCTGCCAGCGACGAGGGTGCTCACGATTGAGTATCCTGGCTATATTACGAGCTCCTATGATTCGCTGGAGCGTGCCCTTGCGTCGCTGTCGCCTGTGGCTGGGCCACACACCGACACAGCGAGCTCGGCGTACGCCCTGGCCCACTTGACGAGCCTCCTCGAGCGTGGGGGGCGCGTGATCGAATGCCGCTTGCCCAGCTGGACTGGGGAGAAAGACGAATTTGATCTATACAGGCATCCCATTCTCGGCGATGTGACGCCCAGCGACAATCTCGTCATTCGTGTGCACAGGCAGGTGTGGAAACGTGAGCTGCATGGGAAAGTTGAGCGGCGCAAGCAGTACCACATTGAGGTGCTGGGCGCCAGTTCGACGTGCATTCGGTTCCGGCGGATGGCTGACTATGCGTTCCGCCCGGAGGTGCCCGCCCATGCGACAGATCATCCGACGATGAAACTGCACCGGGCTCTTGAGGAAATGGACGTAGCCGCTATGTGCGCGCATCGCTTCCCGCCCGAGCGGGAAGACTATTACTCCAACGAGGGTGGTCAGCGTCGCAGTAATTTGGCCATGATACCGCCGCCGTTCTTTAACCGCCAGGAGCTGCCATTTTATTATGGCTACCGCCAGAACCCCACTTCTAGCCTGCAGACAGTTTCGTTTGCCTCTACGAGCAAGCGTAGTCGACGGACTGCCCGCAAAGGCGATAGTGATTTGCTACATGCCGGTCACGAGCAGGCAGAGGTGACCCGGTATCTGAATCGCGCGCGGTGGCGAAACATGGCGCCGATTGCGGTCAAGTTTGGCGAGGTCGGTCCCGTGCCGTCCGGCCCTGATGCTATGCTGGCCCAGATGGCCCTCACGGACCGCCAAGCCGCCCAGCTGGAACAGCTGAAGAAGGTTTGTTGTCTTTGCTGACCGCAGAATTTGTCGGAGCGCCCTGTCTGGTCGCGCCTAAGCCTGCTCAACCAGTTTTCGGTTGCCGAGGCGCGGGCACTTGTGCAGTACGTGCCAGTGGCTCACGTCAGAACCAAGGAGCTCTTTGCGCTCGTCGCCTACACATTTGCGGATGGGCCCTGGCGCGATGCGCTCGTCCGCTTTGGATACGATCCTCGCGAGGACTCGGCCAGCCGATTGTACGTGTCAGCAGCTCACGCGTAGCTTCCAACGCATTCATCTGCGTGGCAAGGCGCCGCGCGTTCCGACCACACGTGGTGCTTTCAAGGCCGAGTATGGCAAGACGTCGGTGGGTACCAAGGTGGGGCCCGTGTCCGCACTAGGCGATGCACAGGCCCGTCCGCCCACACACCTGTTTGACGGACAACATGCCACGTTCTCTACGAGCACCTTCCAGCTGTGTGATATTACGGCTCCTTCTCTGGTGACGCTGATCCACGCCGAGGGACCAGGCCACCTGCGGAGCACACCGGACGTACGTGCACGCCACTTACGCAGATCACGACCGGCTGGTACGCTGCGTCGGCATGGGAAGCGATCCGCTCTTCCGTCTCGAAGAGTTTCCATGCGCTGCTGAACGAGGCGGAGCCCCAGCCAGGGAAGGCGGGCGATGAAGCTATAGACAGCAGCAACAGCAGTGGAGATAGTAGCGAGGAGGAGGACGAATGATATCATGTATTCACACTAACCCTACAAACAGGGGGTATGAGCGAAGAGGATTTACTCCTTCTTCTCCTCCGCCTTGGATGCAGCGTCGGCGTCGCCGGCCTTGGCTGCCGCATCGCTGTCGTCCTTCTTCTCACCGGCTGCCTGCTTGTTGGCCTCCTGTGCCGCCTCAAACTCCTTCTTGAACAGCTCGGCGTCTGATGTGAGTAGAAGAGCACGTACTTTCCGAGTTGGCGAAGCGGATCGCCAGCGTCTCAGCCACAGGCTCGCCGTCGGAGATATCCGCCGTCACGTTGTATACCCACGAGCGGTCTGAGCCGACGTTCGGCTGCAGCTTAATGTCGGACGACACAGGCATTAGTAGCACGGTACGTACAGAAGTGGTTCGCGCACACCTTCAGGGTCTTGTCGCGACGCATGACGAGGCGGACCTTCTTCGTCTCCTTGTGCTTCAGGAGACGCACATCACCGGTACCGCGCTCCTTCCACTCCTTTGACTCCTTGTCGAAGCGGAAGAGCTTCGCGCGACTGAGGTTAGTTCAGGGTACACACATCTTGAACTGCACATCCTCGTCCTCCTCGTGCGTCTTCACCTCGACCTGGTGCTCGAGCTTGATAACAGGGTCATAGTGAGGGTCATGCTCAGCCTCAGCGCCCTGTTGCGTCAGCCACCTGCTACAGCACACGTACGGTCTCGACGGGTTCCTTGGTCTCGCGCTCCGACATTACGATGATGAGGAGCCTGGGCCGAGGCGCCACGAAGGCGAAAACCGGTGCGTGTCACGTGAGTAACACGTGGGCACCCTCTGAGCCACCCTCTCGGCGGCGCTCAGACAGGTTGGCCGCGCGACATGTTGTGGGAGAAGGTGCTCATCGGGGTGCTGGCCGTCCTGGTGCAGCTGGCATGGGCACATACTATTGACCTGCTTCCAAGCTCCGAGTACTGCTTCTTCGAGGACATGCACATTGGTGACGAGATGACCTTGACATACCAGGTGTCTGGCGGCGGCCACCTTGACATTGACACGCGCATTAAGGACCCGGAGGGCCACCTGCTGTTCGAGAACCTGCGAAAGGATACAGGCACATACGACTTTGTCGCTGACAAGGATGGCAGGTACACGTACTGCTTCAGCAACGAGTTCTCGATGGTGACGGATAAGATGCTGAGCTTCAATGTGCACGGTGTGCTCTATTTGACCGACGAAGAAGGACTTATTCCCGCTGAGCGCGAACTGCGCGAACTGGCCAACAATGTACAGCTGTTCAAGGATGAGCAAGACTACCTCTCCATGCGCGAGCGCGTGCATCGCAATAGTGCGTGCGCATTCACTGACCCCCAGCCACAGAAAGCACCAACTCGCGCATCAAGTGGTGGTCCATTATACAGACCGGTATCATTCTCTTTATCTGTGCCTTCCAGGTCTTTTATGTAAAAAGGTATGTTGGCAAACTTGGCTTATACTAGGCAATTCGAGGTCCGGCGCACCATATAGCCACATGCTACTATACAACGGATACGCCTGCAGGAGATCAGAATCCGTACCGCTTCTTGTTCTCGCGCATTTTGCTCTTCCCTTGCGCCCACTTCTCCTCTAGCATAGGCCGGTTCTCATGCGCCATGGCGAGGAGCGAAGTCAGCTGTCCGCGGGTCCGAGCGCGCATGTTGGTGAACTTGTCAGTGCGGAGCTTCTCCGATACGAGATTCTCACGCTCAGGCTTGGGCGGCGGCGTTTGTGCCGGGCGCGATGGTGCGGCACGCTGCATCTCGGCGGCCACGTCGAAGTCGGCCAGAGGTGCCTTCGCAGGCACTTGTGACAGAGCCGCAGCTTCTGCTTGCTGCTGCGCATAGTTCGCCCATGCGGCGTATTGAGCATGGGCTTCCGGCGTGACAGGGTACCAACCGCCGTCGGCATCTTGCTTCCAGCCCGGGTAGGACGCCGGCTGCGGCTCGGGCTGCGGCTCGTGCACTCGCTCGTGCACTTCAGGTGCAGCTGATAGGGAAAGGGTATACGTAGGCGCCTGTGGCGCTTTTTCCTTAGTCGCCGTAGGCTGGGCAGGCGGAGGGGCTTGGATGACGACCGGTGCCTTGCTAGCGGCAGGTTTCTGTGTCTTTGGCTTGAGCCCCAGCATGGCGCGAAAATCTTCGTTCCCTTTTTTCTCTTTCGTTTCGCCTGTATCATGAACGACTAAGCGGACGTCGTCGTCCACGGCTGTCTCCTTGGGCGCGTCAGTGTCCACAGGTCTCCGCAGTGGCTCTTTTCGCTGCGGCTCGGGTAGCATACTGAGGAGAGAGTGCGAGCGAGCATCTGAGGCATCCATACGAGGCCTCTTGGTCGCTGGGGCTGGCGGCTCGGGCGCCAAGTCCGGGGCTGCCTCAACCTTGATTTGCCGCCGAACCGTCGCACGATGGGCATATTTCGGGGCTGGGAGTCCCATTTGGAAGCCGGGCTCCGGCGCTTCTGCCTTCGGTGTGGCGTCTAGCTTCTCTGGCGCCGTCGATGGCGCATCGTCCGAGTCCGAATCAGAGGCATAGGCTGCCACTAGGGAATTCGTCGACATGACAGAGGTGCGGAGATAGCGGGTGTGGGCGCAGTGACGCTTGCTGACCAATCGCAGTGGAGTCACTTCTTTTTTCCACGAATATATCTGGTGTGCCACACGTTGGTTCAGGGGCCACGTCCAACATGAATTCCTCTACGGCGACGGAGCCGAGCGACGCTTCCAAGACCCTCTTGGTTGGATCGCTTTTGGCGGCGCGGGAGGGCGTGTACCAGAATGCCGTGCAGGAACTGCAGGGAAAGAGCTCGGTTCTTGAGACAGAGATGCTCGACCGTCTCACCGACACAGACTACCAGCCTGCGGCCAATTTTTTTGATCAAGTGTATGTTATGGCGCCATCTGAAGGCACGCCTTGGGCGGCTCTATTGTCGAAGCTCTCTGCTGCAGTTGCACCGGGTGGGAAACTGCGCGCCACACTGGTCGGCAAGCCAAGCGAAGAGGCCATCACGCGCCTGCGTGCGGAAGTGACGATTGCGGGCTTTAGCAGCGTCACAGCCGACGGTGAGGGTATGCTGAGCGCGGTCCGACCTGAGGCGCCTGCTGTATCGGTAGCCACGGCCTCCCCCGCTGCGGCGGTGCCACTGCGCAAGAAACTCGGCGGTGACGAGAACCGGCAGCAAAAGAAGGCATCGCTGTGGGCGACACAGCCAGAGGCGCAGATTGACGCTGACTCGCTTCTGGCTGGCAGCGACCGGATGGGCCCGCGCGCGATGAAGCGTGAGGACTGTACTGTTGACCTGACACAGCCTCGCTCGCGCCGAAAGCGTGCCTGTAAGAACTGCACGTGTGGCCTCCGTGAGCTGGAGGAGGAAGAGCGCAACGGTACGATTGTGCAGCTGCTCGAGAGTGAAATCAACGGCAGTGCCGGCGGTGCGCGACAGGAAGTTACTTCTACCGTTACGGGCCCTGATGGTATTGAGCGCACGGTCAAGCGGGTCCAGGTGGACACGCGCGGCGCGACGAGCAGCTGTGGCAGCTGCTTCCTGGGTGATGCGTTCCGGTGCAGCACGTGCCCCTACCTGGGCATGCCGGCCTTTGAGCCTGGCCAAAAAGTAGAGATCCCTGTATCTATGGACGATGATGTGTAGGACCACAATTCATATATGACCCTTTGAACAGTGGCTACGCGCGAGGGGCACTGGGTACAGTACGAAGGACGTGCGCCCCACAGCGATCTAAGGGCCAAATTTTATTGACTCGAACGTGGCCCGTCGCCTAATATTGATTGGGCGCAGCTCGGCATACCATGCATGAAACTGAGAGAGGCCTACCCGCGCCGCCATTTGAGCGATAGACGACCATGTCCGTTCAGAACGAAAGGACGCCCCTGCTCGACTCGCGCAACGGTGCGACGGCCGAGGATGAGGCCGTGTTGGCCCACGAGAGCGCCTTTGGTGCCATTCAAGATGCGACGCACGGTGTCGACCCGAACTCGTCGGCGTTCGCGCCGCCACCGGATCGGTCCCAGATGAGTGTGCCGCCTGTGCCGGAGCTGCCGTCCCAGGGCCGCCCCCTGCTTGAGCTGCTCATTATCATGAGTGCGATGTGGATTGGCACGTTCCTCGCTGCGCTGGACGGCACGATTGTCGCTACGATCCTGTCGACGGTCGGCTCCGAGTTCCAAGTGTCGAAGACGGTCGGCTGGCTCGGCACCTCGTACCTGTTGACGCAGACTGCGTTCCAGCCGCTTTATGGTCGTCTGTCTGACATTTTTGGCCGTAAGGCTGCGACGCTGTTTGCCTCGTCTGTCTTTTTGGTGGGCTCGCTTCTGTGTGGTCTCTCGCGCACCTTCGTGCAGCTGTGCGTGGCGCGTGCCATTGCAGGTATCGGCGGCGGTGGTCTGACGTCTATGGCCACGATCGTGACGTCCGACTTGGTGAGCCTCAAGGCGCGTGGCACCTGGCAGGGTCTTGGAAACCTGGTCTTTGCAGCGGGCGCTGCGCTGGGTGGTCCCCTGGGCGGTGCGCTCGCGGACGGCGGCATTGGCTGGCGCTGGGCCTTTTTGATCCAGGTGCCCTTGTGCATGCTGCACTTTGGCGTGGTGTCGGTCAAGGTCAACATCCCTGCAGGCCCCGGCAGCATGAAGGAGAAGCTGCGCCGCATTGACGTGTGGGGTGCGTTGTCGCTTGTCGTTGCCGTGACACTGCTGCTAGTGGGTCTGAACATGGGCGGCAACGAGCTGCCCTGGAGCCACCCGCTCGTAATCTCGTCGCTGATCAGCTCGTTTGTGTTCCTGGGCGCGTTCGTGTACGTGGAGCGCCATGTGGCGCGGGAGCCGCTCATGCCCATGTCGGTGCTGTTCAACCGCACGCCCGGCTTTGTGTCGCTGGCGTGCTGGTTCATCAGCATCTCGCAGTACGGCATCCTGTTCAATGTGCCACTCTACTTTATTGCCGTCAAGGGCCGCAGCGCTGCGAACGCAGGCATGCACCTGATCCCCAATGCAATCACGGCGTCTGCATGCTCGCTGGGCAGCGGTCTGATTATGGGCCGCACCGGCCGCTACCGCACGATCATGCTGCTCGGCGGTGCGATGGCCGTGCTGGGTCCGCTGGGCATGTGCCTGTGGAACGGCCGCACAACGTCCGAGTTTGTGTACTGGCTCACGATGCCGTGGGGTGGTGCCGGCTTTGGCAGCACGCTGACGATCACGCTCGTCGCGCTCATTGCCTCCGTGGACCCGAAGGACATGGCGCCGGCCACCGGTGTTACGTACCTGTTCCGCGCGGTCGGCTCGGTGCTGGGTATCTCGCTGTCGAGCACGCTACTGCAGAACTCGCTCGTGCACTACCTCCGCAAGGAAAAGATCCCGAGCGAGATCGCCGGTGGCATCCTCGACGATGTCGGCATGCTGCACCAGCTGACGGGCAAGCTGCACAAACACGCCGTGCGCGCGTACGAAAAGTCGATGCACATCGTGTTCCTGTGGATTTTGCTGACCGGTGCACTTGCACTGCTATGCCTCGTCTTTATCGAGGAGAAGCCGCTGCCAGGCCACGCTCCGCCGCCGTCGCAGCGCCGCGACAACGCCGAAGAGTAGCCTCGCCGTAGACCCGTGCTAGGCCCGATCGCCCGATCAAGTAGGCCGGCCGCCGCCGCCGCGGTGGCCCTGACCTCCCGCAGCGTGGATGGGCTGGCACACGAGCGAGCCGCCTGCGTCCGACGAACCGCCCCTTCCACGCCACCACACCCTATCTCAGAGTAGGACTGATGCGCCTACGTCCAAGCCGCTGCAGACTGCTATACGAGTCCCGCCTCCCTTAGCGGGCACCGATCTCTTATCCCCGCGCACGCGCAGCCGATCGCGCTCCAGCTCCCAGGCCAGCGATCCGTTCGGGTCATTCGACTCTCTCACATATGCAGGTGGACGTGAGGACCGCGCGTCGACGGCTGGCATCTTTGAGCTCGATACGGACGCCGCTACTTCGGGGTCCGAAAACGATGAGCCATCGACACCACACCAGACCGCGCCGCAGCGGCGACCGCCATTCTCGCGCGCCTCGAGCGCCATGCGCCAAGCCCTAGGGCATCGCACCACATCTTCGTCGCAGCCTTGGCGCAACTCGCTGGATCGCACGAGCGATGGGTCGAGCGCGCACAGCTCGCCCCTCGCCCCGCCGCTGCGCCCGTTCCGCACCGTCCCATCCTTTTCGAGTCCGTTGGCCATGGAACCTGTGTTACCCCACGATAATGAATCTGAGCGCTTATCACCGCCTTCGCACCACGCTGGCCCAAGCCGCGCGCCTGGGCGCCTGGGCCCCGCGCTGCTGCAGCTGCCGCACACGCGTGCTGCGACGAGGCGGTCGACGCCGCCCAGCGCCATGGGGCCCCCTGAAAGCTCAGGCACATCGAACACACTCTCGCCGCACCATGCCCTGCACCGACGCGCGCACTCGACGTGCAGTGTGCCAGTCGATCCGAGTGTGTGTGGATCGCCCTTGGGTGGCCCTGACGGCGTGGACCCTCATCTCGTCGCGGCGATGCGCCAAGGAATGAGCATTCCTAGCCGCAGCCGGCGAAGCATGTCATCTATCCTTTCGCTGACGCCAGGTACGCCCGTGTCGCCGCCCAGTGACGGGCCGATGTCGTTTGAGTCGCCGCGCGGCAGTCCAGCCCCGCGGCGCGATACGATTCGGCTGCAGCGCATGCCGCGATCTGCGCTTTCTCACGATCTTGTCGTGCCGAGTGCGAGCTATACGCGCGAGGCGCCCCCGATGCCCTCGCCGCGTCCGTCGCCCACGAACAGTGATACCATGCAGAGTCATCCGTCGCTCCTCGGGCTTTCTCTCGCTATTCCCACTGATGCGCCGCGCACGTCGTCGCCGCGAGAGGCTGCGCCATGGGAGGCGTATGTTCTACACGCGTCGCGTGAGTACAAGAAGCATCACTATGCACATGCAGCGTCCGTCGCCTGGGACGACGCATGGATCGATGCGGCCGCGCCACGCACGCGCGTGGCATTGCATGCGTGCAGCCATTGGGACCGCGTGCGTCACGCGGCGCAGGCTCCGTCGGCGATGGATGCGTCAGCGCAGCCCCACTGGCTTCGGCACCTGCGTGTGACGACGTCGGACCCCCATCTTGCGACGTTTCGGCCCGCATGCACTGCGCCACGTGTGCAGGAGCGGGAACGCGACGTATTTGGCCAGCGCCGACAGGTGCCGGCATCGCGCGCTGCGCGGATTGTCTCGGAGAAGCACACGAACGCCACGCGGCGGCCCAGTGGGTCGTCGATGGACGATTCGGCCGCGATGCAGCGGCGGCATTTGTGGGACGAGCTGGTGCAGGCCAAGGCGCTCTGTGATACCGAACTGGACAAGATTATTGCCGGCATCATGACGTTATCAGAAGAAGTGCTTGCTCAGCGGCATGACAGCGACGAGCAGGACCCGGATGCCACGAGTGTGATGGTGCCGCTGGACGGACCTATGCCGCTTACGCCGCTTGAGCGTCTCGCCGCACGCGCCGTGGAGATTCGCACGACCTCACTGCACACGCTCCTGGAAAAGACGACGCTGTGCAGTGCGGCCATCGCGTCCGTGCAGGCGCTCGGCACCGTATGGGACGAGCACACCGAGTGGCCGGGGCGTGGCTGGTACGTGGAGCTGCTGCTCACGCTCGCGGCGCTCAGCCGCGTGCTCGAGTGGTGGGACGCCGAGTACCGGTTCTGGGGCAGTGAGTCGCGGACCGCGTCGCCTGCGACGCGCGCGACGCCGCCCTCCGTTCTCACGCGGGTGATGACCGAAGAGCCGCAGGCGTTTGACCAAGCGTCACCGCCAGCTGCTCCTGCACCTGGGGATGCAAAGCTCAGCAACATCCTCTTGGAGCTGACGCTGGATCTGCGCATCCAGTTTGTCAGCTTGTCGTGGCAGCGTGTCATTGGCACGGACGTTGACCAGCTGCTGGATCGACCGATCGACCACATTCTGCCGTCCGGGGGGCGTGCACTGTTTGAGCGTGCGACGCGGCAGCTGCTGGACAGCCCGGGCCACACAGTCGAGGTGGGAATGGAGGTAAGCGTACCTGGCTCCGAGTCGGCGCAGGCGCCCGTGTTCATGGTGGCCAAAGGCATGCTTGTGCACCGCACAAGCACGAGTGATGCGTCGCATACCATGTGGATGCTCAACCCCGCGCCGTCGAGTGCGTTGCCGACTGGCGACCTGCGCGATGCGGGAGCGATCGGTGGCATACCTGAGGACTTGGACGCCATCTCTACGGAGCTACTGCTGTGCCGCATCTGTGAGCGCGAGATCCCTGCGTGGTTCTTTGCGCAGCACTCGGAGATCTGTCTCGAGATGCACCGGCTTGAGCTGCAGCTGAGCACCTGTAACGAGACGCTACATGATATGGCCGAGTGCGCACACAGCGTGCGGGACGCACTCGTGGCGCGGAGCACCCAAGTACCGGCATTCCGCGGGCAGCCTATTGAGGCGCCAGCCGAACTCGCGCTGCGCGTCATCGATCAGGTCGCGCATGGGCTCGAGTTGGCGCTGGCGATTGCCATGCCGTCACTTCCGGAAGAGGACGAGCTGGGTCGGTCGCGTCTCCTACCGGCAGAGAGCGAGCGCGCTATGGACCGCGTTCGGCGCTGGCGCCGGCCAACGCCCAGTGATGCGGCGCTCCAGCTGCTGTGTGCCGATGCGATGCAGGCCATGCAGGACAAGGTGCATCTGGTGAATCGCATCCGCCACACGATTCTTTATGTGGAGACGGTGCGCCAGGAAAGTGAGCAATACGTGGCTGAGCTGCTGGACGGCCAAGACGAGGCGCCTGGCACGCCGCCCGTCGTCGTGGAGCTGGACGCAGCCGAAGACACGCTAGGTGGCGAGAAGAACCTGATGGTGGACCCGCTAGATGACGCGTCAGACGACGACCGCTGGTCCGCGTCGCACAGCCGCTCGTCGATCCCCATCCCGATTCCCGGCTCGGCCAAGGCGGTGTCGACGCCGCCGCAGTCGCCGTTTCTCGCGCCTGTGGACACTGGCGGTCTATCGCGCAGCCTTGCACGCAGTCTCGCACGGAGCCCGCGGCTGGGTGCGACGCCGCACTCGCCACGCATGCTCCCTGCTGCGCAGCCACGGGCGACAGCTGCGTCGATCCGGGACTTTGAGCTGCTCAAGCCGATTAGCAAGGGCGCTTATGGGTCCGTGTTCCTGGCACGCAAGCGAGCCACGGGCGATCTATTTGCGATTAAGATGCTGAAAAAGTCAGATATGATTGCGAAGAACCAGATCACGAATGTGCGGGCCGAGCGCATGATCATGATGAACCGCACGCAGTCGCCGTTTGTCGTCAAGCTGTTCTTCACGTTCCAGAGCCCCGAGTTCCTGTACCTGGTCATGGAGTATCTCCCCGGCGGCGACTGTGCGTCGCTGGTCAAGGTGTTTGGAGCGCTGCCGCCCGCGTGGACGCAGCAGTACCTGGCAGAGATGGTGCAGGGCCTCGAGTACCTACACAGCACGGGCGTTGTGCACCGAGACATGAAGCCGGACAATCTGCTCATTGATCACCACGGGCACCTGAAATTGACCGACTTTGGCCTGTCCAAGTTTGGTCTGCTTGGGCGCCATCGGCAGACGGCCGCCGCGCATGGTTTGCGAGCGCATGCGACGTGGGCCCAGCCGGGCGTGCGTGCCTCGTCGCCGGTGCCACTTGCGTCTGTGTCGGGTCGGGGACCCGGCACGTCGCACTCGGAGGTGTCGCCTAGCGAAACCGAGTCGTTTTTGCGCAGTATGGTCACAGAGGCGCCAGCTGGACGGATTGTCGGTACGCCCGACTACCTGGCGCCCGAGAGCATATTGGGTGTCGGCATGGACGACTTTGGTGTGGACTGGTGGGCCGTGGGTGTGATCCTGTTCGAGTTTGTGCACGGGCGCCCCCCGTTCCATGCCGAGACGCCCCCCGAGGTATTTGACCGGATCCTGTCGCGCCAGATCGCATGGGACTCGGACGCAGAGCTCCCGCCGGGCGCACACGACCTGATCGACCGGCTGCTGTGTATGGACCGCCTGCACCGCCTCGGCGCCGGCGGCGTAGAGGAGATCACGTCGCATCCGTACTTTGATGGGATCGATTGGGACCACCTCGTGGACCACGATGGGCCATTTGTGCCGCAACTCGACGACGCCGCGTCGACGGACTACTTTGACGCACGCGGCGCTGTGCCGCAGCTATGGCATGACGAGCCGATCACGCAGGCCACGCCGACCACGTCAGACACGTCAAGCCCACAGGCAGCGAACGAATTTGGCTCGTTCAGCTACAAAAACTTGCCTGTGCTCAAGCAGGCGAACGACGAAATGCTCCGCCGCGTGATGACGGACATCCCCGGCCCAGTCTCGCCCGCCGGCAGTGTGTCATCGCCTGTGCTGCCGCGCAGATCCAGTGATATGCAGCCGGAGCGAAGCGGCGATGGGCGTACCTCGTCCATGTCGGGACGCTCCGAGGCACGCACGGAGCGCTGTATCTTGCTGTCGGACCCGAACCCCGTGTCGCGCCTAGTCCTGCAATCGATTGTCTCCGGGACTGGGGCACACGTCATCACCGCCCACGACAACGTGGACCTAGTACAGCTAGCGATGGGCGACGCCAAATACGATGCTGTGATGATCAAGCTGGGAGACGATGTGGCTGATGCACATAATGCCGCGCGTATGATAAAATCAACGCGTAACATTAACAGCGCGACGCCGATTGTGGCACTGTTCATGGGCGACGTTCCATTGGATGCCTCACAGAGCGTCTTTGATGCGGTGCAGCCGCTCCCAGCGCCGTCTGCAACGATCGTGCACTTGCTGCAGTCGCTCTACGACCCTTCGCCCGCCCGCTTGCCGGCCGTGGAGGCCTGCCAACTGGCCGTGGCCCAATTGGCTATGTAGATCATAAAGGGTTTCACGGACCGCCATGACCGACGAGCGGCGTGCCCTGCTGCCGCCGACGAGGCGCACATATTCGGATCGTCCGTGTCGCTGGCGCCACTGCGTACAAGCTTGTAGGGATACGCTAGCCGTATGGTGGCCAACAATCTCGCTATTGGTCCTCCCACACACGCTGGGCCTCATGCAGGCGGTGCAGATCCCTGCCGAGGTGGATGCTATCCGCTCGCTCAGTTGTGAACACTACTATGCGCTGCACCCTGCGTCGCCGGAGGCACGGTCGTGCCTTGAACCAGCTGTTGAGCGCCACTTTAGTACGATCACCACGCAGGTGACATTCTCCGTCGTCCTGGCCAACATTCTCAGCATGCTCGTGTACGGGCGACTCTTTCAGCACCGCGCGCGCCGCTGGATGGCCGCCGCAGGTCTTTGTGGATGTGCGATTGCGCGGATCCCTTTCCTTGTGCTCCCGATGTACCAGTTTCCACACCTTGCCCCAGACGAGGTGCGCACCATCTCGCCCCGCGCCATGCTTGCGATCTACTGGGGCTGCGCGGTGCTAGGCGGTCTTTCTGGGTCAAATGAGATTGTGACTCTCTCTGTCGAGTCGTTTATGGTTGATAAAACGAGCCCAAATGAGCGCTCCAACCTGTTCCGCCTTGTGCAGGTGGCCCAACTGCTGGGCGCCTCAGCCGGTCCGATCCTCGGCTCACTGGCGACATGGTGGATGCCGTTTGCTCATAACCGATGCCTTGGATACCGGACATGCCAGCCTGCACACGCGACAGACACACTGCTCTTCAACAATGCACCATACTGGGTGTCCCTAGGCTTTGTGCTGCTGGGTCTCTTGTGGGCACTCTTTGTGATGGACGTGCGCCGCGAGAAGCCGGACGATGACGAGCACGACAGCCTGTCGCGCGAGGCGCAAAGCCCCACGCAGTCGCGTGGGCAACCCAAGCTCAACTACCGCTGGCTCGGCGTGTTCCAGCGCCTCGTGCCCATGCGCATCAGTCGCTGGTCGTACGATGCGCGTATCGCAGAGCTGACGGCAGCCGACATGTGTGTGGCCTTCTCGACCGAAGGGCCCGTGGTTCTGATCCTAGTTCTTGGCTTTGTATTCCACTGGGACCGCGCCTTGCTATCCTTTGGCTTGGGCCTCACCAATGCACTCAAGCTCGTTACCATGGCCGTTGTACTGCCACTCAGCCTGCATGCTATTGCCCGCGTCTGTGCACGCCCTAGCGCCATCGCTGACCTCACAGACGAGCAACTGCATACGTGTGTGGATCTCAACGAAGAAGAGCTGCGCAAGCCCCATGGCGGCTCTACACGCGAGCCCACTCGGCAAGCGCAGGTGCTTGAGAGTGTGTCGCAGGACCAGCGCAGAATGGCACGCCTCTGGCGTGCGCAAGTGGATTTGGACGCATCCTGTCTCAGTTTTGGCATCAATTTGCTCTCATGGTCGATCATCGCCGTGTCCCTCGAGCAGAAGAGCCAGGCACTCGTGATCTTTGGTGCGGTTCTTCTTACAACAGGGACCGGCGCACAGGCATTGCTGCGCAGCGCAGCTAGCACTATGGCTGATCGAATCGTCGAGCAGCAGGAGCAACAGCTCATATCTCTCACGGACGCAACAGGGGAGCAGGACCCCCTGCCCCGTGGCTCAGACAGCTATCTGGTGATCGTATCGACCTTGCTGCTCCCCTGCCTGCTGATGGGCCTTGTCATTCGAAACTATATCTATACAAACACCGTGGCCACACATCCCGGTATGTTTTTCGCATGGATGGCCATTGTGAATGGCTTTGCACTGCTGCTCTTATGTAACATACGTCCCGTTACGTAGCTCGCACGCACCGCCGCCTCGCCCCGCCGCGCGCCCGATCCAGGTCTGTGCGTTGAATCACGTGAAGGGCGGATGACAACGCAGTCGTTGGGGCCCATCCCAATCAGTTCTCTTCCCATGCCGGCCCACGGTGCCACGGGTCCCCAGAATGGCCACGCCGATAACCGGGTGGTCAACCGCTTTGCTTCATCGACAGGTTTTGATAAGCTGACGGTGGACCACCTCCCGTCAGACGACGAAGAGGAGCCACCTAAATCCCCGCCGGCTCCCATTGAACCTGCGCCGACGCGGCCCTCCAAAAAGTCAAAGTCTAAGCGGAGCAAAGCATCCATTAAAAAGACAGTCAAGGAGCAAGAATCTGTGTCCCAGGTGCCAAATAACGTCAAGGAGGCCCCTGAAGCATCTTTGGAGTCCGAGCCAGCTGCTCCCCCGTCCGCCGCAGAACCTGCACAGGTCGAGAAGGCCGAAAGATCCTTATCGCACGCTGCAGTGAATGAGGAGATTCGTGAATGCGCGAAAGAAGAGTCTGCGACGCTAGCGCCTGCCCAAGTTCCGGCCCAGCAGGCTTCTATCAACCCGCCACCGGGGAAGGACGCCCAGGGGGGGCACGCGCAAACGGCGGCGTTCTGGAAAAAGATCAAGGAACGCACTGTGTTCTCACTGCTGATGATCGGTGGCTTCCTTTTCATATTGGCCATGGGCCCGTCGTATCTAATTCTGCTGGTGCTCATTCTCGAGACCTTGGTATACCGCGAGATTACTGCGCTATTCAACATCCCCGGACGTACCATTCTAACAGTTCCCCACTCGCAGAGTGATGGGGACGAGGAAGATAATACCCTTAGCCAACGTGAAGCGGACCGGGAAGAACTCTGGAGCAAGACGCTCAGTTGGTACTTCTTTGCCGTGTGCAACTTTTTCCTGTATGGTGAATCGCTAACGTATTACTTCAAGCATATCGTACTTACTGACTCTTTTTTCGTGCAGTTTGCACGCCATCACCGCTTTATTTCGTTTATGCTGTACATCTTTGGCTTTATGGCGTTCGTCTCGAACCTGAAGCGCCGAAACCTAAAGCATCAATTTGCTCTCTTCTGCTGGGTGCACATGTCCCTGATGCTGATTGTCATGTCAAGTCACTTTATCGTGGACAACATCTTGGAGGGTATCGTATGGTTTTGGGTGCCTTCTAGCCTGGTGATCTGCAATGATATCTTCGCCTATGTGTGTGGCATGCTCTGGGGTCGCACTCCATTGATCAGCCTGAGCCCGAAAAAGACTGTCGAGGGCTTCGTAGGCGCCTTGGTCATAACTATGGTGTTCTCTTGGTTCTGGGCCGGTTTCTTCCAGCAGTTCAAGTACATGATCTGCCCGGCCGTCAGTCTCGGCATGAATGTGTTCCAACGTCCTAACTGCGAGGTGAACCCCGTGTTCATGGTCCACCACACTGCCCTGCCAGCGCAACTTTCTGAGTTGCTATCGTCTGTGTTCCACCGCTCAATTACCCACTTCTCTTGGACGCCGTTCCAGTGCCATGCCCTGGTTATGGCCGCATTTGCGAGTCTCGTGGCACCCTTTGGTGGATTCTTTGCGAGTGGATTCAAGCGTGCATTCAGGATCAAAGACTTTGGCGACAGTATCCCGGGGCATGGTGGTCTGACGGACCGATTCGACTGCCAGTTCCTCATGGGCCTGTTTAGTTACGTCTACTTCTCGTCATTGATCCGCGATTCACGCGTCTCGGTACACATGATCATGCAGATGATCATTACGCATCTCCCCCTTGATGACCAGAAGCGCGTGCTTCATGAACTGACGAGTTACCTTTTAAAAGAAGGACAGTTGTGAGTAGGGCCCTCCGCACCAATGGAATTGGTCATGTGTAGCCTAACGTAATGATGCAAGGGCCTTCTATGGAGCTCCACTTGCCGCCCACATAGACGATTAACTTTCGTGGACTTGCCGTAGGCAGGGCCCGGAGTTGACATGTCCAACAATGATATGGGCCGTTCTATGCGGCGCTATGTCAAGGCTCATGCCTCTATTGATGAGCGTGTGGCACCTGCGCCTGTCATTCAGGCATCGCTACCGTATTTGCAGTCCAAGCCGGGACCAGGGGAGCCTGCGCCGGCGTATGCGCGTCCAGACGCCATTGGTACGTTATCCTTAGGGTCCCCGACGGCCGGAGCTTTGCCTGCCGCCATATCTGAGGCACGTAATGTGCGTGGTTCTCCAGAAGGCAAACGACCACTCGACGAGCCCAGGACGGATCCTGCACTCAAAAGTGTTCCTGATAACAGTTCTACCTCGCGCAGCAATCCATTCCATCGCCGAATCGCCGAAAATGAGGAGAGTGTCTTTATGCCAAGTGCGTATAACATGGAAGAGCCGGTCCGCCGCGGCTCAGAGATGACCCCGTCTCTAATGGAGTCAATGGAAGAAAATCGCCAACAGAGCACCACACGCACATCCCGAAGCACCTCGCGTGTGGCTCCGCCCCAAGTATCACTGCCAACCTCCTCGTCCGTTCCGCAACTCTCACAGCTTACGACGGGGAGTACGCAATCACCAGCTACGCCAATCTATTCTATACCCCCTTCGATGTCCATGACAATCACGGGCCTGTCGCAGGAGTCGCTGCCCGATACTGTTCGGCCTTCACAATCCAAGCCTTTTTCCCTTGCCGCCAATCGTGTCGCCGGTACTTTTTCCCGTTTGACACGTCTGCGTGCCAAGCAAGTGAAGCCGACATCGGAGCAGACGACATCACCCATGTTGGCACCTGCCTTGGAACCTGCAGAGCCTGTACAAACTCAGAAATCAGATAAGGTGACGACCAAGCTTCATGTTCGTGAGTCGAGTGACCGTTCCTTGAATCTCAGCCCAGGGTCTGTAACGCTGTCATCCCCCACACGCCCACGTATGGTGCCCGCCCAGACTGTGACTGCTTCCGCGCCCATGGAGTCGCAGTTTCGAAGGTTCGAGATTGTGGGTCGAGGCTCCTATGGATGTGTGTATCGGGGTGTACATATCCCGTCCGGTACAACGGTGGCGCTAAAGGTGATTAATTTGGATACCCCAGACTTTGACGTGGAAGAAATCCGTCATGAGGTCGGTCTGTTGAGTCAAATCCGTCATGCGAGCCAGAAAAACATTGTCGGTTACTGGGGATGCTGGCTCCAGGGGCCTAGTTTGTGTATCGCGATGGATTATTCCGAAGGCGGCAGTTTGCGCACGCTCATGAAACCAGGGCCGATCGCAGAAAAATACGCTGCTGTGGTCGTGCGGGAGGTCCTTGTGGCACTCACCTATATTCATTCGGTGGGCATCATACACAGAGACCTGAAGGCCGCCAACATTTTAGTGACGCGCACGGGGCAAGTCATGTTATGTGACTTTGGCGTGGCCGCGTCCTTTGTCCAAGGGAGCGCGCGTGGAAAGCGTACCACATTTATTGGTACGCCATACTGGATGGCCCCCGAGGTCATTTTGGAAGGCCGTGCCTACGATTACAAGGCAGATATATGGAGCCTGGGCATCACCATCTATGAAATGGTCGTAGGGAATCCCCCCTATTCGGAGCACAGCCAGGACCATGTTCTCTCGATCATTCCCAGAAACAAGCCTCCAAGACTACCTGAAACTAGCCAATTCTCGCCTATGCTTCGGGAATTTGTTGCTGCATGTCTGGACGAGGAGCCTCGGGACAGGCTCTCAGCAGAGGAGTTGAGCCGCACACGCTGGTGTAAAGCCTATGCAAAGGTACCAGTGACAGTCCTGACGGAACTGCTCACTCAATATGCCAAGTGGACGCATGCTGGTGGAACTCGTACAAGTCTCCTGCTAGCACCCACGAACGAGAAAGTGGACGAGCCGCTACAGCCTGAATGGCACTTCGATGCGTCAACGTTGTCTGAAGATACCCATCACGAGCCTGTTACAGAGAGCCAAATTTCATTGGATCACCCCCTGTCGCAGCTCTTTGGCACTAATGCAGAGGATAGCACGCCGCGTATCGGTGCAGGCGCCAAGGCAGGCATCACAGAGGCACCCGTTACGCCCTCGCTCCCCGCAAGTGCCAGTGCACCCGTTCCCAAGACGCAAGAGTCGCCCAAGCGTCCAACCGGACGGCCTGGTGCGGGCTTTTCTGGAACTGGCTCTACGCCCTTCCGATTTGGACTGGGAAGCCGCGCGCTAGATACGCCCAAACCAGTGCCAGTGGAGCAGGAGCATGACTGCAGCAAAACGCCGCTCTCCTTATCGGTATCTGGTCAGAACTCATTGTCAGCGTCGCCGGCGAGCCGCTCCCCTACGACCGAATCGCAACAAAGCAAATCAGTACCTACTTCGCCACAGTTAGGGCAGGGCCATGAGTCTCCCAAACATTCGCCTGCCCTACGGCGTGTGGGGCACATGCCCAGTACTATGAGCCGCAAAACACCGCACCGCCCCCTTCGTCTTGTGTCCTCTTCGTCTTCGCTCGTATGGGAGACTCAAAGCACTAAGCACAATAGAGACGAAAGTCAACAAGCTGAAGTGACAACCTTGAATCCATCCTTCTTGGAAGAACCGTTCACAGGGTTCCGGCCGCAAGGCATGATGAGTCGCACACGAAGCCGCAGTGGAAGCAATGCAGACGCAAAGCGAAATTTGCCAAGGAGTCTTAGCACTCGGACTATCTCATCATCAAAGACGCGAGAGGGCGAAGAAGATGCACTCGCGGATCGAGTCGACGATATGGCTACATACTCGCTCCTTCCCCCGACGACATCGGCAGGCTCGTCTCTGCACAGTGGGCACTTGCATGATGGTTCTGACTCTGCTTTCTTGGTGAATATGGAGCATGGACTCACCAGTAATGAATCTATGCAAGAACCTGTCGATATCCGGCGTGAACGGCCAGGTGCACCGCGACTGTGGAACGGCAAGGGTGCTTCGGATGTATCAGATACCCACGTGGCACAAGAGAGCTCGCTTCAAGACGTGTTCCAAATGATGCCCAGCCCGACGTCAGCTGTTCCATTCCGTGGGCCCCCTCTTCGATCTATCGACGCGTCTACATTGCTTCACCGCACGGAACTACAGGCTGAATTGGCACGGACCGTGAACGATTTGTGCGACTGGCTCGATGCGCTGGCGGTAGGACTGGAGGGGGTGTTACAGCTGAAGCCACGTGGTCCGTAGAGACGAAATTCCCGTGCAACCAATCAACCTATAGGCATTAGGCCGGCCTCAACGGAGGCCTACGAACGTTTTCATTGACCGCTACGATAACGATGCTTGCAGCACCTGCCAGGTCTGTGCTGTCGGCTTCCTTTGGTATGTAACAGTATCTCTAATACTTAGGCGCCTCGTGCTTTGCTCGTGCCGTTGCGGGGCGTGCCATCCACGGCTCTGTGGCCACACAGCGTGACCCGACGCCCTCGCGGCAGGTCGCCCAGGTGGGCAGCAACCAGCTGAGCCTGGAGCAGCCTCGTAACGCTGTTGGTACGTAATTTATGGCTCATATGCAGAATACACTCTGTCAACGCTTGACAAGGTGGTGAACTGGGCGCGTCAGAGCTCGGCTTGGCCCATGACGTTCGGTCTGGCTTGCTGTGCTGTTGAGATGATGCACGCGTCCGGTCCACGGTACGACCAGGACCGTCTCGGTATCGTTTTCCGTGCGACTCCACGTCAGAGTGATATCATGATTGTGGCTGGTACACTCACTAACAAAATGGCGCCTGGTATGTGTTAGGGCGATTCACTAACCTCTACAGCGCTCCGCAAGGTGTACGACCAGATGCCAGAGCCTCGTTGGGTAATTTCCATGGGCTCATGCGCCAATGGTGGTGGCTACTACCACTACAGCTACAGTGTGGTCCGTGGGTGCGACCGGATTGTCCCAGTGGACCTGTATGTACCTGGTTGCCCTCCAAGCGCCGAGGCGCTTCTGTACGGTATCATGCAGCTGCAGCGCAAGATCCGCCGTTCGCGCCAGATGGTCCTCTGGTACCGCAAGTAAGAGCGGTAGTGTGCTATAGAGCCCCTGTTATGCACCTTTACATGGACATTTCTAACGAAGGATCAGTACCTGCAGCGAGCGCCATTAGGACCTGTAGGTATTAGTAGAAGTGTGCATGATACGTACATTTTGTAGTCCATCTTGGCTTCCGTAGTGTTCTTGCCCTGCAGCTTGTAGGCAAGCGAAATGTCAAGGTCCCTTGGGTTGCGTTCGTTCGGCGCGCAGGACAGCTCGCCTTCAATGACATCGCCTTCAAACACAGTCAGTGTGCCTGGAGTGTAAAAGACAGTCTGCTTCCAATGCGTGTAGCGAGAGTGCGGGCCAGTGGAAAAACGGACCGGCTTGTGGCATGCCTCAAAGCCAATATCGAACCAACCAAGAAAAGCATGGACGTAGTCGTTCCGCGTGGCCGTGAGCTTAAACTTGCTGTTGAAAGTCAAGTCTTCCTTGCGAACTTTCGTTAGGTCCAGGTGCAGCAGTGGTGCAGGGTCGCACACGACGCTGCGCAGTTCTACCGTATCCACCAGAGGTTCGCGGAGCGCAATCTCCTTGATGCACGAATAGTCAAAGCCGTACACGTCGTCCCAAAAGTCGATTTTTTCTTCCTTGTACTCCTGGTCCTCAATCGCAGAAAGATACAGAGTCGCGCGGTCGGGCATCATAATGCCACCTGGCTTGAGATATTTGTCACGAGCGAGCAGAACAGTGTCTAGCATACTTTCGTAGAGCAGGAAATAGCCCATCCACTCACTCACGATAATGTCCACCTGGCCGTTTGGGCCAAGTCCGAGGTCGACTTCCTCAAGCTTCCCTTTCACCAAGGTGATAACTGTGTGTAAATGTCGGGTATTGTAAACTTACTGTGGTCCAAACGGTTGGCCTTCACAATCACTTTGGCCTGGTCAATGATATTGCTCATATCAACACCAATAACTTTTTTTGCACCAGCCTTGGCAGCAAACATGCACAGGATTCCTGTGCCACAGCCAACATCCAAGACAACCTTGTCCTTGAATAAATGCGGGTTGTTCTGGATGGCCTGGCGGTACGACAGAGTACGAACTTCATCCTTCAGCATTTCCTCGTGAATACCAAAGTGTGCATACGAGTCCGCATAACTACTGTGAGTGAAATCAATGCATACTAATCCTTGGAAGTCATGTCGCCGGCAGTCGGCGCCGCTGCACCAGACATGGTCCCTGACAAGAGCCCACAATTCAAGCGTCAGTGGCCTAAAATATGCTCACGTGATCACGCGTTAGAGCGCGCGGCGGAGCGGCGCTTTGGCCCAAGGCACTCTACGCCCAACTACGAGTGGCATGAATTCTCTCTACAATCTGGCAGGGCGCCAGGCAGCCTCCATACAGGCGGATTTGGCATCCTACGCTTCAGATCCTATGTCGCAGAGTGCTTTACGTCCGCAAATCTCTGCCGCTTTGTCTGCCATGGTAAAAACAGTGGAGGACTACGAGGCTATGGCCAAGCGGGAACTTGTAATTGCCAAGCGTGAAAAGGCCATGGGTCGCGCGTCCAATTTATTCCAGGACATTAAAAAATTCAGAGAGCAGCTCGCTAGTATTGATGCTGGTACTGCGGTGGCCATGTCCCAAACGAGTTCGGGACACACATCGTCGATAGCGTCAACCTCAGCAAGAACGCGCACCATTGACTCACATGGCCCCTCATTCAGCATTAACAGCCATGCGCCTAGGCAAAGCATGGCAAATTCTTTCACTCCCTCACTGCAGACGACCTACGCGATGCCGAATACTGTGGTATCCCCTTCTCTATCTTATACACAGCCCAACGACCCTTTGGCTGCCTATCGCGTACATCAGCCGATTGACATGTACAGTTCAGAGGAAAGGCCGTATAGTATGCGTGAATCGCATGCCTTACGCGAACACTCGTTCATCCAGAACACGGAGAACCAGTTGGACGCATTTATCGCCCAAGGGCGCTCTGTGCTCGGCAACTTGGTGGAACAGCGCAGCATTTTGAAAAATACGCGCAGGCGCCTGCTTGATGCTGCTAACTCGGTCGGTATGAGCCGAGAGGTCATCGTACGTATGAATTTCTTACCATCCTAGGGCTACATCGACCGCATGAGTACCCAGGATACAATCATTTTCTTTGTGGGTGCTGCATTTACGTTGTTTGCATTTTGTACGTGCCGAACCTCTAATACCAGATATGATATATCATTGGTTTGGTTAATGATAGTCTATACCCGATACTATACAAAAGTGTTCTAGAACCGTACAACTTTTTGGGCTGGGCGCGATGGTGTCTTGGACGCGTCGGACTTGAGCACTTTCTGGCGTTGTGCTAAGAGGTGAAATTCGTCTTCATCCGCACCAGCTCCCTCAGAGTCAGCCAGGATGCCTACGCCTCCAGCCTCAATGCCTGACGCATGAATGGTGCGCCGAGGATCCATCGGGCAGTCTTTTGCCAAATGTTCCACAGAGTGGCACACTTTGCAGTGACCGCCATTGGGATAAACACCACGGCCCTGGTTTTGAGGGCATTTCGAAGCCAAATGTCCCTGCTAAATTAGTGCACACGACAGACCTTGTTGGTGCAGATATAGCAAGTGGCAAAGGGTAGTTCGTCGCCAGCATTGCGAGCGCGCTTACACTGAGATAAAGTGTGTTCAGTGCTCCCGCACCGGAAACATATACCGACAGTATCTTTACCTTGTGCACCGTCTCCTACACGTTGGGGACAGTCCTTGGCAGAATGTGATAGCTCACGGCACACGAAACATCTCATACTCGACTGTCTTTCCTCAGCACGCTTGGTACGTCGGAATTCCCTGCGTTGGTCGGGGTCTGCGTAAGAAGAGAGCTAAAACATACCTAGCCGAGCACGCGTCGAACGAGTTGGGTCTCTGACCCCCAGTGGTCGCTTACTACCAAGACTTCCGCGTGCTCCATTAGCTTTAGCGGCAAGCTTTTCCATCTTTTTAGAATCACTCAGTAATTTAGTCCGGGCGTCTTCAGATTTTGCCTTCTTGGCTTTGAGGCGAAGAAGCTTAGAACGCTTCAGTAACTTTTTAGGTTCTAGTTGGACATCACCATGTTCGACTTTGATTGAGCTAGGCGTATTATTTAGTGTTTCAGATATATTTTCCACATCATTAGACAAGTCCTCGGCATGACTGCCACTTGGGATAGCCCGGCGCCCATCAAGCTTGGTATATCGTGTCATTGCTCCCTGGTTGTGGGAGGCAAAAAATTTGGCAATCAACCCTCCACTATGAAATCCGTCCACTTGCGAGGCGTCACAAGCCATGCAGCAAGTGGTGCATCAGAGGCTGAAGGCGAGGCCATACTCTCATGCTCTGGATCCTTATGAATTTGCTCAAGGAACAATGATATTCTTGTTTTAGAGTCTGTATTGCCTCGAAGCTGAGACTTTTCAGATTGATAGGCCTTGATGTAATGTTGACGACCAGAAGCATGAAGTGGATGTTTGCTCTCGTAGTAGGATAGTGAATAATATGGCTCATTCAATACTTTTTGGGACCTTATAAGTTTTAAAAACCATGCCCTCTTGCAAATCATAGACCTTATGTTAGAAATTTCAGCGTACCAAGATGATGCAGGTAAAGGTCCGCCATTTTTCCGTTTCGTAGAAGCACCGAGCTTTACACCTCCCAGTAAGCTCTCCATTTTATAGCCAGGTACCCATAGAATAGCTGAAATTAGTTATCATGTACTTACATGCAGCACAAGGTTCTGGCTCAACTTTAGACCAATTTTCATCTGCTTGAGCCACACCATATTCCTGGTGAGTGCGTAGTTCCACACTCTCGCGAGAATCTGGAAAACATATAGAGACAAACGAAACTTTTAACTTGTGATTGTGTAAAGAGGAACCACGATAATTCAAGGCCCATACGCATTTCGATTCGTACTCTTTTTGATGGATCCCCATATGCGTTTCCTGTGGCATACTAATCACCACAGAGGTTAGAAAAATAGATGTCAGCCATGAAGATAGAAAGGCGCCTTGGATGCCTATCGCATTCCACACCAAGATTTTGTCCGAGCAGGACATGCTGATACTTGGTGGTGCATCTCGTCGACCTGCCATTAAACACTAGGACGCACCTGGCTTGGTCCTCAATATGCATTCACTGGTTTCAATATCTGGACGTATTCTTCCACGAATAAGACGTGGAACATGAGCAGGATGTGGATAAAGAGACTTGTGGCCATCTTCCAATGTGTGGCGCGCATAAAGCGCAATAGATGAAGCCTCACCACCTAGAGTTACATTTAAAAGGACATACATGGGAGGGTGGAAATATAAAGGTGTAAGTGTACGTGTTGTTGAAGGGAATACTGGACCGGAGCATGGCTGCCGTTTGCAATATGGAATATACGCGGAATATCATCAATAATAATATCATCTGACGATATTTCGGCAAGCAGACGATCTAAAAGCCATACTCGAGCCCCTCTTCGACAAATTATTTCAGCGTGACAGTCATTCAATACATCACCGTGTGGTGATATTCGCTCATACGGTGTGCATTTGACGCCTGTGCCCAATGCAATGACAGTGAACTTGGAAGGATGTGTTTCAAGAACGCAGCCTGCAAGAATAGTCCATTCATTCCTATATGAGTGGATAGTCCGTACCTTCCATTTGACCTTTTCTGAGGTTTGCCGCCGCCTTTCGGAAGGGCCGCATATGCGTCCAAGCATGCTCGAGCAATGTGAGATTCCGGGGTATCCATGGCTTGTGTGGAGAACGATGCTAAATTAAAATTCTACAATTTTTCGTTTCGCGTATTTTCCAATGTGGCCGCTTTCAGCTGGTCTGCCAGAAGATCTGGGTCCATTTCGGAATTGCTACGCTTATCTTCTTCGACACTAATTCGGTTTTTCAAACCCATCTCCCTGTCCATACACTCATTCATGTTCTTGTAAATTTTGTCGAGATCATCCTACAGTCAGTGATTAATTCGTACCTCCCATCCGCAGTATTGTGCCAGCTTTCGCACCGTGTCATCTACTTTGCCTTGACAAAATATGTCACGCGAATGGGCATCATCAAAATCAAAGCCTTCATCAGCATCATGGATAAAGCTAAAGTTGCGGCGACGTTCTCCCACTTTCTCCAAATTTAAAAGTGCTCGAGGACATGATAATGAAACTTCATCGATGAGCGACGCAAATGGTTGTACCTTTTCGTGAGTATAGAGTCACAAACCACCAGCGATGTTCCCATAACAAGCAGTAAGTCTGCTCTTCTAAAGTCGTAAAGGCGCTCGAAAAACCGTTCTGGTAAATTTTCTCCAAAAACAATGATTAGCATCTAAAAGAACGTACATGTGATATCTGGCTTGATGGGTGGTGCTAGAACGTCATCGTGCAAGGGGCATTTCTCGCATCTTGCCACAATGCCACTCTTTACTTTCTTTTCGAGCCATTTTTGTTCTACTCGTCTTTTGCACTTTACACAGCGTGCATTAGCGAACGAACCATGGGCTTCAACGATACTGTCTTGTGTAAGTCCAACAAGCTGTTCGAGTGCATCGACTAGTGTTAGTTTAGTAACTCACTATTCTGCGTAAAAACTCGCAATAATTTTCCTTTCTGTTCCAACAATCGTAGGAAGCAATGCGTTAAAGTTGGTCGATATTTGGCACCATCCGGATAGAGTTCAGAATACAACGTATAGAATGGTTTTGGGTTATTTTGAAAATACTTGATATCAAAAAGAGCTTCAGGATATGGAAGGTTAAACTTTTCAAGACTTGCGTACAATCCAGTGACTGGAGAACGGAAATCCGGAATGCCTGCACTGGTTGATATGCCGGCACCTGTCATCACCACCACGCGAGAGGCTGTGTCAGCACACAGGCATCTTACTATTTTCATCTTTTAGGATCTTAGCAACACGCTTTATATTAGATCCGTTTTTCATTTCCGCTGAGCTTGCCATGATACCCATCCTAGGATTGACACAGACGCAGGCGAAGCTGTGGGCTCGTGCACGGACCGAGTCACGTGTACCAAATGGAGTGACGCTGGGCCGGTCGAGAGAAGGTCTAGTATCATCAGGCCCACTATGGAGCAAAATTCGTCGGCTACAAATTTGACTGACGCTTCTTTAAGAGCCTCTAAAAACCAAGTGAAGCAGATTCTGAGCTTGTTACACCCGTGTCAGCTCCTGGATCAACAACCTTCGTATGTTGGCATACAGAATGGCCTATTACACAGCCTGCACAATATACTTAGCCCTTTAAATGATGTGGTTGGTATGCAAAGTGAAGGTGACCAGGATATATCCTCTGAAATAGATCCAACCACACAACGGGCCCCTTCCTCCTCCAGAGGTCTGGATATCTTTATTCAAAACGCCACAACCCTATTACAATTGACAGATCAGGTTAGGAATTCTCTGAAAGAGCCAATCCCTGGGTTTTCAATGAATTCTACAGCTTTACAGCTGTTGGAACAACGGTTGAAGGATGCTCCATTGCAGCCCAAAGACCAACAAAAGGTACTTCTTCGATTGCGGAGGATGCGGCGAACTGTGATGCCCGAGAGCCGTTCACCTGAGCCTTTGGATTCCAAATCTGCAAGTTCACGAATTCGCAGTCCTCTTCACCCTATACCTTCGGAACTAAAATTTGAAGCGACATCACCCTGGATTGATTATTTGGTTGACCCTGAGGACAAATATTCACTTAAAGGAGTCTGTATCAAAATCGTTGATGCATTCAATGCATATATGGATAAACGCTGTGAAGATGAATCTGTGACGTTCAAAAATATACAGGGTGATCGATACCTAGCAAGACGGCGCGTTCGGGCACGAATGGCGTGCTGGAAGGATTCCCGTGCTGAAATTCATATTGAGCTACGCGATGTTGCTTGCGTTAACCTCCAGTTTGAATGGTCAGACTCAGGGATTCAAATTCTTCATACAGATGTATGTTCGCCCAACGAATATCTCCAAGATCAGGTCAATCTTCTGCTTCCATCCAAATATGGTTTATACAATGATTTAAGCACTCATCTGTTTATACATGCATTACATCGTCAAAATCAAGAAATGCGCCCTATCGTGGTTCTATGTACCACCCTGATGCACGTGGCTGGCCTCCGAACCTTCTTTGATCCGTTACCAGTGTCACCTAGTACAGTCGCAGCCATTCATTCTCGTACGGTGTATGGATCACTCCAAAAAGAAGCTAATGAGGAATTCACACGTCTCATCTCATGGAAATGGTGCCGGATCGCGGGCGATCCGGCGTCGCCCCCCCAAGGTGAATGGGTTGCTTTCTCTCCACATATGATGTAAGGTAGTGGAGCTGCCACGTGAGTACGTAAGTCACGCCACTTGCAAGACGCGAGTGGTACGAGAATGTACCTAGCGTGCTTTGTATCGTTAGCTTAAATTGCCTACGTGTTAGATTTGGACCCCTCATTTTTTCTGGCATGGATATCGTACTCAATTACGCTGACGAATACCTTTTAGATTGGGTATGGGCTAAGGCTCTTCCGGCCTCCCGCTTCTCATCGTTCTGCCATAGAGGAGGCGATGGAGGTATCCTCGCATGGGTCACGAAACAGTTCCAGTCTTTATGCTCGACGTCTAGCCATGAGGAGTCTTGGCTTCCACGAGACAATATATTTCGTCAATTTATTTCTTTGTATGCTATCACATATGTTGGCATTTTGTTGCTATACTTTTCTTGCGCCACTTTCTCTTACTATTTCCTGTTCAATAAAGAACTGAAAAAGCATCCTCTTTTCCTGAAAGACCAAGTCAAGCTCGAAATTCAGTCGTCCTTGCGGGCTTTCCCATGGCTGGACCTTCTCACTGTTCCTTGGTTTGTTTTAGAAGTTCGAGGCTACACTTTGGCTTACGATCGTGTCGACCAGTATGGTTGGGTGTATTTGGTCTTGAGTGTACCGCTGTTCCTCGTCTTTACTGATGCTTGCATTTATTGGGTCCACCGTATTGAACACCATCCTCGCCTTTACAAGCACGTACACAAGCCTCACCACAAGTGGATTGTTCCCACCCCATTCGCTTCTCATGCTTTCCATCCTTTGGATGGCTATGCTCAAAGTTTACCTTACCATATCTTCCCTTGCATCTTCCCTCTCCAGAAAGTCCTGTTTCTTGGGCTATTTGGGTTTGTGAATATCTGGAGTATCATGATCCATGATTCAGACATGATCAATAACACAGGCCTCGAAAAATATATAAATGGACCTGCGCACCACACCCTTCACCACCTCTACTTTACGTGCAACTACGGGCAGTATTTCACAACATGTGATCGTCTCTTTTCTAGTTTCCGGGAGCCTCAGGCCCAGGATGACCCATTGCTCGAGGCACAAGGTGTGTCGCGTCCTAAGCCAGTAAAGGCAGACAAGGCCGAATAAACTGTTTCTTACCTTTAAGTATGCTTGTTTTAATATTACGATTTCCCGTAGTCCTCTTGATCGGAGCTCTCAAGGAGTTGGTTGTATGGTCGACATCACCTATCATTGGTGTGTTTGGATATGCTCATCGATAAGAAGTTCAGCTCATTGCATTGCATATCTAGGTCTACGTTCTTTTCCAGTGACTATCCTGAAGGAAGGCTGCCATGTGCTTACTTCCTGTTTGTAGCAAAGGATGTCCTGCGACAATTTGCAAAAATCGCTCGAGTCCTTCACGGCGTGACTCAATAACATCTTCTGAAAACCGGTTGGTGAACACTTTACCTGGCAAAGGCGGGATATTTACACGGTTTGATTCACGCTCAAGGAGTTCGCGGAAATAGTCAAAGTCAGAATATCGTCGCCACACAGATGAATAACTCAATTTAAATGCGGGGATGTTTGTACGGGTAACCACTTCATATTCGGTAAACATTTTACGTCCAACACCATGAGTTCTTGGGTTCCTCACTTCAACTTCTAGAAAGTTTTCTGGAACACCATATATGTCTTCAGGAGCATCTGCCCTTGGTGCCGTGGTCTCAACACGTGCGAAGGGCGAATAGCTAGAGGGGTATATAGATGTGCTCTTCGAGGCATTCGAACTGGAGAGCCTCGGATGATTATTAGCTTTGCTTGTGTTAGGAAAATAGGCATTAGAAGTTGACTCTGAAGCATTATGCGCGTACGACGTTGTTGTGGATGCACCAGACAGGAAATTCTGGCTGTTCTCCATTACTTCAGCAGTATCGTCTGTGCCTTGGCTAAAGGTGCCAGTTGTTCCCCAGTTCCTCATAGGATCTTCGTCTTGAAAACTAGCCATGGTGTGCGTGGGGGGTGGGCCCCACGGATGCTCTTCGTCAACTTCGTCGACAAGTGTGCTCTCGTGAATTAAATTATTAGAAGTGGTCTTTCCATTCGGAGGAGAGGGCGCGGTCCCACCCCACACCTCCGCATTAGATGAGATGAGGGGATTGTCATCTAGACCATCGTTATCCGAAAAGTAAAGCGACATTTAACACTTCGGACACGATACAAGCAGATGGACAGTCTAATGATGTTTGGGGTTGGCGACTGCTTAGTGGTCTAGCGTAATCAGATAAATATTCGCAATCGTGCCGTGCACGGTTACATCTTATATTTACATGCTACAATACATAGTTGGATTAAAAGATTTCAACACATTGTCATAGACTCAGACTTGATGTTGAATATGGTTGGGCTCCAGCGGGGCCTTTGTATTCGTCATTTGTGGTCTTCCTTTATCCATCCTAATTTAGCTTATAATAACACCAGTCTCATTCTGGATCACATTCACACCACAATTTCCCTAGAGTCCCATTCTCTCTAGTCTGCTAGCCTGGCTATCATTTGACACCATACACTGCCAAGTTCAGCTGGCGGTATCGTGAAAGGGGGACCAAGGGTCTTTATCACGTGACACTCTATAGAACTGTAATCATACACGTGATCCATTGGGATGCCGATGGCAGGATCCGACCAGGAGCTGTGGACCACACATTTTTCCACCCCAACCTTCCATCGGTTGCACCGACTCTTCGCTCTATCGTCAAGATGTCTGCTGCCGCCACGGTCAAGACGTAAGTATTTTAAAACAGTGCGCTGGGATATCTCTTTGTTTCTGTTTTACGATACTGGCATGGCATGTGAGCCTCCTTTACCTGAATAAGGCCCACGACAAGAATCACTTTGGTGAACTTGTTTGCCAGTGCGTGCAGAACAAAAGATCGTTCTTCGCAGTTTATTGAACGTTGCGTACTAACACTTTCAGCTCTGTACCTAGCGCCAAGGATGTGCTCGTTCCGGAAACGCTTCTGAAGAAGCGCAAGGCTGACGCCAAGCTCCGCGAGGAAAAGCAGGCCAAGGCTCTTGAACTGCGTAAGGTATGTTTTTTCAAATCTCGTGTATGCACTATGCCTGTCATGGTCCGGATAAGTGATGCATATCAATACCTGTGGACTAGACATACAACGCAAACGTCAATGATGTCTCAAATATACCATCTTTCGGGGCTGATTTAGACGTAGACCCCGACTATTGTCGTCTCAAGGACCATGTGCGGGCAGTGTTACACTTTTTTTTTTGCAAAGAACTATACTAACATTTCAGCTCCGCAAGCAGAAGCGCCAGGTCATCTTCAAGCGTGCTGAGCAGTACATGCAGGAGTACAAGGCCGCCGAGCGCGAGCAGATTCGCCTGCGTCGCCTGGCTAAGTCGCAGGGCGACTTTTTCGTGCCTGCTCAGCCACGCGTGGCCTTTGTTGTCCGTATCCGTGGTGTTTGCAACATCCCTCCCAAGCCCCGCAAGATTATGCAGCTGCTCCGTCTTCTGCAGATCAACAACGGTGTCTTCATCAAGCTGACCAATGCTACCCAGCAAATGCTTCAGCTCATTGCTCCCTACGTGGCCTGGGGCGAACCTAACCTGAAGACCATCCGCGAACTGATCTACAAGCGTGGCTTCGCTAAGGTCAACAGGCAGCGCATCCCTATTACCGACAACACTATCATTGAGCAGCAGCTTGGCAAGTACGGCATTATCTCGGTCGAGGACCTTGTTCACGAGATTGCGACGGCCGGTCCTAACTTCAAGGCGGCCAGTCAGTTCCTGTGGCCCTTCCAGCTGTCGAACCCTACTGGTGGTTTCAGGGCTCGCAAGCTCAAGCACTTCGTCGAGGGTGGTGATGCTGGTGACCGCGAGTCGGACATTAACCGCCTTGTGCGCCGTATGAACTAAACAAGCCATGATGCCTCCTGTGTTTTAGCTCTCTCTCCACGATGGTAAAGCTTGGGAATGCTCTGTCTCATGTCACTCTATTTGTCTGCATGGGTGTCCTTTGCAGATAGCTCCTACTCGATGATCAGCAGCAATTCCATAGAGTAGGCGCTACCAAAAATCTTGTCTTCCAGGTTCGTACGTGAGGGTTAGTCAGCTGTGCTTGCCATTTGCTGTTCGTATGGCGAAAATCGAAGAAGGATGAAGAACCTTGTAGAATCAGCTTCATGGCCTATTAGGCCAATGACCTCGCTGTCAAACATGGGCAGGTCGATGAAAGGCGATTGGTGGCCCTTACGGCGGCTAGTGCAGCCACCTGCGGAAGGAATAAGAAACAAGGACGCGAATCTGGCATTCGTCACACACCCATCATGTCGAGTGTCGTGGGACTAGATATTGGTAATAGCAGCAGTAAGATTGGCGTTGCGCGTGCGCGTGGCGTTGACATTGTTTCCAATGAGGTGAGCAACCGCAGCACTCCTTCGCTTGTGTCCTTCGGTCAGAAGGCTCGTTTGCTGGGTGAGGGCGCGGCTACTGCTCAAACCTCGAACTTCAAGAACACCGTTGGCTCGCTGAAGCGTCTTATCGGCCGCACCTTCCAGGATGAATCAATCCAAACCTACGAGAAGCCTTTTGTTAATGCCGAACTTGTTGACGCGAAGGGCGAGGTCGGTGTGAAGGTTCGCTTCCAGAACGAGGAGCATATTTTCTCGGCCACGCAGCTCTTGGCCATGTACTTGGGTAAGCTTCGTGATACTACCCAGAATGAACTCGGTGGCTCGGGCGTGAGTGATGTTGTGCTCTCTGTCCCTATCTGGTTCACCGATGCTCAGCGTCGTGCCATGCTTCATGCTGCCGAGATTGCGAACTTGAACCCCTTGCGTGTCATGAACGAGCCTACGGCTACCGCTCTGGGCTATGGTATTACCAAAACCGACCTGCCGGAACCTGACAGTCCTCGCAATGTCATTTTCGTTGACATTGGCCACTCTAGCTACCAGGTGTCGGTTGTCGCTTTCTGCAAGGGCCAACTCACTGTCCTTGGTGCATGGGCTGACCCTAACTTCGGCGGTCGCAACTTCGACCGTGTCCTGATGGAACACTTCGCCGAGGAGTTCAAGGGCAAGTACAAGATTGACGTGTTCTTCAACCCCAAAGCCACCTTCCGTCTGGCGGCTGGCTGCGAGCGCCTCAAGAAAGTGCTCTCTGCTAACACTCTTGCTCAGCTGAATGTGGAGAGTCTTATGAACGACATTGATGCTGCTTCCCAGCTGAAGCGTGACGAGTTCGAGTCCCTTATTGCGCCCTACCTGGAGCGCGTCAATGGACCGCTGGATGCAGCTTTGTCTCAGTCTGGCCTTACGAAGGATGAGATTCACAGTGTTGAGCTGGTTGGTGGCAGCTCGCGCGTTCCTGCTCTGAAGGAACGTATTGCGGCATGGTATGGCAAGCCTCTCTCATACACTTTGAACCAAGACGAGGCTATCGTTCGTGGCTGTACCCTTGCTTGCGCCACCCTCTCTCCTGTTTTCCGTGTGCGCGAGTTCTCTGTGCACGACATCTCCTCTTATCCGATTAAGGTTTCGTGGGAACCTGCTCCTGATGTACCTGATGAAGAAAATGAGCTCGTTGTTTTCAACACTAACAACCCTGTGCCTTCTACCAAGATTCTTACTTTCTATCGCAAGGAGCCTTTCTCCTTGGATGCGACTTACGCTGACGCGAGCACTCTACCTAAGGGCACGAACCCTTGGCTCGGCCGTGTAACTATTAAGAATGTGGCGCCGAACGAGAAGGGTGAGCACTCGATTGTCAAGGTGAAGGCACGCCTGAATCTGCATGGCGTTCTTAATGTGGAAAGTGCCTACACGGTGGACGAAATTGAGAAGGAGGAGGAAGTACCAGTTGTGGACCCGAACGCGGCCGAGGACGCTGAGCCGAAAACCGAGAAGAAGATCGTTAAAAAGCTGCAGCGCAAAGACGATCTCCCCATTGTTTCTGGCATTGGTCTCCTCGACCCAACCTTGCTTGCGGAACTCAAGGAGCGTGAAGGTCAGATGTACGCCGCCGACAAGCTCGTGGCGGACACAGAGGACCGCAAGAACGCTCTCGAGGAATACATTTATGACACTCGTTCGAAGCTCGATGAAAGGTATGCTACCTTCGTCCAGTCTGAGGAGAAGGAGAAGCTGTTGGCTATGCTTGCTGAATCGGAGGACTGGCTCTACACGGAAGAGGGAGAAGACGCCACCAAGTCTGCCTACGTGAGTCGCCTCGAGACACTGCAGAAGGTCGGCGCGCCGATCCACTTCCGCTGGAAAGAGCATGAAGAGCGCCCCAAGGCTGCTGCTCAGCTTCGTGAGGTTGTTAACAAGTACATGAGCGTGTTTGAGAACGAGCCTGAGAAGTACGATCATCTATCAGACGACGACAAGACCAAGGTGATTGAGAAGGCTGCCACCGTGGGCAAGTGGCTTGATGACTATATGTACAAGCAAAGTGAACTGCCTAAGAATGTGGATCCGAAGCTCACATCTGAGGAAATTCTGAAGAAGAAGGACGACGTGATCTATGTTTGCACACCGATCCTCACGAAGCCCAAACCTCGTGTGCCGGTTGACACATCCAAGCCTGAGGAGAATGCTCAGACCTCGAATGAGAACGAGAAGCAGGGTGACATGGATGTCGACTAAGTAATTTAAATAGGAATGGATCGCATGCAATGCAATACATTTTCAGTCATCTACATACATCATTTATAAATTTGGTGTCTATCCTAAATCCAGTCCATCATCACCAAGCCTAGCATAGCGACTAACAGCGGAAAAAATGCTGGTGCCAAAGAAGTCTGCTCCTTCGTACCATTGGTCTGTTCCGATTCAGGCTCTGAGAGTGGCTTAGCGTTATACTTAACACCATTCATTTCTGAAACCGCCTGGAAGACACTTCCGTTTCCTGCCGTGTAAAAGTCCACCAGCACAAAAGTAGGATAATTGTTCATATTAGATGCGCACTTCGTGGCATCTTTCATGATGGAGTCCACACTATTCGTCTGATTGAGGTTATTAACGTCTGGCGATTTAAAGTTAGTGTTGAAAATGCTCTTGTCTTCGTCCAAAAAATGATTGATCAAGTACATCATTTCTTGTGTATTGCCGGTGTAGCGGTCCGGGGTACAGTTGAAATTACTGCTAGTCTGGTCGTAGGGATTTTCCCAGACATTCGTAAATTCAGGTAAAATATAGTTGACAGAATCAAAGTCTGCCTGATAATCGATAAAGACAACAAGTCGTTGATCCTTGCTGATCATTTCCTGCAAAGTGGGCCAGTCGTCCTTTCCTAACTTGCTTTGACTTGGCTTGTAAGCCATGTCATCGAGACCAGCACGCTGAAATCCTTTACTCCAACTGGATGCTCCAATGTTATCGACATTTGCGATGATTATCGTTACGACCTCATTGGTATTTTTCTTTAAGAATGACGCCACGTCGCTCAGGTATGATTCAAGAGTACCTCCATTCATAATGGCACATGACGTATGACAGAGGGAGATTCCGGAGGGGTTATCACTTGTTGCACCTTGATTCGACTTGTGGCCTTGGATTTGAAGTAAGCGGATCCCGTCAGAAAGTTGGCTAGATACATTTGTAAGTTGGTTTGCGCCAAGGTCCGAAAACTGGTTACCAACCGCATAAGAATCATGCGCTCCGATATAGGTGACATTTGAATACTTGCGGTTGCATAGCCCTTGATATCCATTACATTTGGTGGCCCGCTTAATACTCATTCCATTTGATGGTAATACCACCAATCCACTCAGAACTATCGAGGCCAAAAAGCTTACCAGCTGCCACTTCATGGTGTAGTAACGCCAACTTCTAGGGTCACAGCCACGATCTGCACGCTTATAACCCACGTGGTAGTAGAATTGATTAAATCCTATTGGGTATAAGTCTCTCATTTTATAAATGAGTACCACATCAACACATCTCACCAGCGCACGTGCCAATTAGGACGGCTTCTACGCTGTCGTTTCATTTATCACACAAGCTTGTCAATTGATTTGTGGTTCTGGTCGGGTAATGGAGGATCTTCAAAAAATCGTATTTGATGCTCCTCGGCAGTCATTATGAGAGTAAGCCATTCATCCTGGGTAAATACATGATCCAATGCTGGGTCCATGGCCATGAATAACAAATCCCTGCTGTATGGGCAATATTTGATACCCTGGTATACAACAGACTTAATGCGGTTGTATTCATACCGCTTGATCTTGGTGGAACTCATGTTTCGAATTTCGTAGTCCACAGCTGTTTTCCATATCTGCTCAGAATAAGGGAAAATGTGGAAGGCTCGATCGAAGTGTGCGCGGATCCGATCAGTGCTTGCACCGGAGGCAACTTCGGTCAAAATGAACTCCAACCAATGGAAAGGAGTCCAATCCAAAATGTTGCGTTTGAAAAATATGTCCATCACGTTTCTTACGTGTTTTTTTAACATATCAGACCGTGACTGAAAGCTTAAATAAGATAGCAACCGTGTATCATCAGGAAAACAGTCAAGGAGCCGGACTGTAACAGCTCGTTCATCTTTAGTTCGTATCTTCGACGTTTTTGCTGCACATTGCCCCACTCTTAAAAACATCAAACATTTACCCGCAAGTATTTGGCGTTGGGAGGTGTTAGGATCTGCAAATGCATCCAGAAAAATTCGAAGGCTAGCATGCAAATCTTCTCCAACCGGAACAATTTGTGACATATGCTCCGCAATTGCTCTGACCATAACTCGGGAACATTTTTGATCAGTAATTTTGACAAGATTCCGCATAATCTGCAACTTCTCTGTGGCTAATAGGTCAGACTCGGAAATTTCGATGCGCGAAGGCGAATATCGGAAGCCAGAACTGATAGCGTTCTTGATTACTTGCCAACAGGTATTCCATGTACCCATAGACCATTCCCATTCTACCCATAATGTCCAAAGCTGCTCCAAAATATCATCTTGAGCCGTTGATATCTTTTCTTTTGGTCCCGAACTTAGGACCTCAGTAAATGCTTTACGCGCTGTTTCACCATTTCCCCATGTACAGAGCTCCAATTGGATATATGCAAGCCACAATTGTAGTGCACTTGGTGTGCGTTGTAGTTGTTTTTTTAATACGCTTTGTGCACTGAGTTAGTGTCAATATACATACATACCTTTTTGGATTACCACCTGCAGCATAGAGAACTGCTAGTGGTAATGCAAGGTCCATACTTGCGAAATCATCAACACAGCTTTTAAGTGGGTTTTGTTGATTCATTACTTGTAACAAGCAGCGTTCAACTCTGGCACAAACATATTTATTCGGATTTGGCAGAATCGTGAACCATTCACCTCTAGGGTCTTGGGGCAATCTAGGGAAAAGCACATCAATTGAACATGGCATTTTCATAATGAATTTCTCGTTAAAAGGGTTTAAAGAGGAAAAGCTTAACCAAAAATCCTCCGGAAATCTTATTTGACCAAAACATGATGCAGTAGAGTACATGTATTCAATGCAATTTTCGGATAAAGCTGGCGATCCAAAATTCAAAGTTTGCCAAATCCAATTTTGGGGCATTCCCAAATATTCGGTGAAAATGTCTAATGCTCGAACCAAAATCGGATGAGGATAGCTTGCCGGTATGAACAATAAGTCGCGAATATCAGCAGCCAAAATAAATGAATATGGATCTGGATGTCCTTCTTTGCTAGCAATGTTTCTTGGTTGAAGTCTTTTTCCATGTACAAGCTCATTATGGCGCCAGACCTGGAACGACCCATCAGGATCAAGTTTACTTGAGGACTCATATTCTTCCCATTTTTGATCCAAGTGACTTACCGGACGTTTCCAATTCAAATGCGAAAATCCTCGATAATCACCTTGATCAGATATGTGGCATTGATCGTCATCCCACCATACACTAAACAAATCCAAGAAGTCATCGTACTCCAAAGTCGAGGGAATTCCTTCGCGTACTGCACAAACTAGTATTTCAATTTCTGCTTGAAGAATTGCAGTTCCCCATTCAGTATATCCAGCACATTGAAGCAACTGACTTAGACTTTTAATTAAATCCAATCGATAAATATCAAGCAATTGGGATTCAGACTTTTTGGCAGCCGTATTTATGGCACGAAGAGCGTCAGAGTATAACTTCAGAGTATCATCAACTCGAAATTGAGACGAAGTCGACTTGCGATAATCAAGGAAGGCGTACCACACCGTGACTAGTGATTCCAGAGAATGTGTGGTCCATGTCAATACCTCATGCCATCTTTCATTCACTTTTTGTACATCCCAAATACCTGAATTCGAAGCAACCTTGATTTGCTCTAATACTAACGGAAGCGATAGGCGATTAGAGGGATTTGCATTAAGTGCACGATCCAAAACAGCCATTTCCATATGGGCCAATGTAGTTTCTCTTGAGGAATCGAGAGTTCCAGTATCTGCTCCGATGAAACTCCATTGTAGATGTACTAGCTCAAGCCATGCATTAACATCATTTGTATTTTTATTGATTCTTTCATGGAGTAGACGACTTCTTTCTTGGAATGACTCTGCTGAAAACGAAATTGTCGGTGGCTCATTCTTCTGGGATCCAGAGCCAACAGTAATATAATCTTGACTTTCCGTGTTATTTTTTTCATCAATATCAACATATTGAAAACTGCCATGATCTGTGTCTGATGCGCGGTTTAAGCCAATATCTGTCTTACGTCTCTTTATGTGACGGCGTCGACCGGATAGAGATCCTTTCATTAGCGAGAATAAACTTACCTGTAGAATACATAGGGACACTGTGCTTACTAGGACCATATCTTGCTGCATTTTGATCCCCTTTACGGTCAATAACGAATAACTCTGTTGCCGCCGGTACCTCCGCCTTTCGAAACGCAGACTTGTCTTTGTATTTACTAGAACTTTTAATATCTTTCTGAGAATGACATTGTTTACCTTGTGATCTAGTGCTGGAATGTAAGCAAGAATCGGGTGATCGTTTTGGATCTTTGACTTCGGGTTTATAAGATCCAAACGATGGCACCCCATGCCCTTGCTGCATTGTTGCAGGACGACGGGTGGAGGCAATGGACCGCTTACGTATAGGGTTGTTGTGATCGATTATATCCCCGATGACGCGTCTTTCGGGCGCAGTGACCACATTTCTAGGTTTCTCCCAAGTTGCCACCGCACCGCGGGGACGACTATACAAGAACCACCTAGTGCCTTGCGATAATGACTGAAGCTGATAAGATTCAAAATCAGGAGGATACAAAGGATACTTCCCTGGCAATTCTCCGTGGGAAGAAGTGTAAGTTTTACCAATACGTTGACCGTCAGCCCCTAATCGTCTTTTCGTTGAGGATGCTACTACTGACGACAATTCGGTAGCATGCTTAAGCCCCGCTAAAATGGAGGAACTTGGTCTTTTTCGTGGTGATACGATCCTGATTCGCGGCAAGAAGCGTCGTGATACTGTTCTGATTGTGCTGACAGACGAAGAGACGGATGACTCCAAGATTCGCTTGAACAGGGTTGCGCGTAACAACCTTCGTGTCAAGTTGGGTGATCTGGTGAATGTTCACGCCTGTCATGATATTAAATACGGCAAGCGCATTCACGTTTTGCCATTTGACGACAGCGTTGAGGGTTTGCAAGGCAACCTGTTTGACGTATATCTCAAGCCGTACTTTCTGGAAGCCTACCGGCCTGTTAGGAAGGGAGATACGTTCATTGTGCGTGGAAGCATGCGTGCTGTGGAATTTAAGGTGATTGAAACAGACCCTGCGGAATTCTGCATTGTTGCGCAGGACACAGTGATCCACACCGAAGGTGATCCGGTTCGTCGCGAAGATGAAGAGGCAAATCTTGCCGATGTTGGTTATGATGACATCGGTGGTTGTCGTAAGCAGATGGCACAGATTCGCGAGATGGTTGAGTTGCCTTTGCGTCACCCCCAGCTTTTCAAAAGCATCGGTATCAAACCTCCGCGTGGCGTTTTGATGTTTGGCCCTCCTGGCACCGGAAAGACACTGATGGCTCGTGCCGTTGCAAATGAGACTGGTGCCTTTTTCTTTTTGATCAACGGCCCAGAAATTATGAGCAAAATGGCCGGTGAAAGTGAGTCAAACCTTCGTAAGGCCTTTGAAGAGGCGGAAAAGAACCAGCCAGCCATCATCTTTATTGACGAAATCGATTCGATTGCTCCCAAGCGTGATAAGACAAACGGTGAAGTCGAACGTCGTGTTGTTTCACAGCTTTTGACGCTCATGGACGGTTTAAAGGCTCGTTCAAACATTGTTGTTATGGCGGCTACCAACCGGCCTAACTCTATTGATCCGGCTCTTCGTCGTTTCGGTCGCTTCGATCGTGAGGTCGACATTGGTATTCCCGATCCGACGGGCCGTTTAGAAGTCTTGCGCATTCATACGAAGAACATGAAATTGGCTGAAGATGTTGACTTAGAGCAAATTGCATCGGAAACTCATGGTTATGTTGGTTCGGACATCGCATCTCTTTGCTCTGAGGCGGCCATGCAGCAAATCCGCGAAAAGATGGACCTGATTGATCTTGATGAAGATTCGATCGATGCGGAAGTTTTGGACTCGCTGGGAGTGACAATGGAAAACTTCCGCTTTGCCCTCGGTGTCTCCAACCCTTCGGCTCTGCGTGAAACGGTGGTTGAAGTCCCGACTACTACTTGGGCCGATATTGGTGGCCTCGACAAGGTTAAGCAGGAGCTTCAGGAGACTGTTTCTTACCCTGTGGAACACCCCGAAAAGTTCCTTAAGTATGGCATGTCGCCTTCCAAGGGTGTGTTGTTTTATGGGCCACCTGGTACTGGTAAAACCCTTCTTGCCAAAGCCATCGCCCATGAGTGCCAAGCGAACTTCATTTCTATTAAAGGTCCTGAACTTTTGACTATGTGGTTTGGTGAATCGGAAGCGAACGTCCGAGATGTGTTCGACAAGGCACGCGCTGCAGCACCGTGTGTCATGTTCTTTGATGAACTTGACTCGATCGCCAAAGCTCGTGGTGGCACCTCAGGTGATGCAGGTGGTGCGAGTGACCGTGTTATCAACCAGATTTTGACAGAGATGGATGGCATGAATGCTAAGAAGAATGTGTTTGTGATTGGTGCCACCAACCGTCCCGAGCAAATAGACCCGGCGATTCTTCGCCCGGGTCGCCTTGATCAGCTCATTTACATTCCTTTGCCGAACGAAGCTTCTCGGCTCGACATTCTGCAAGCTACTCTTAAGAACTCACCCGTATCTCCGAAGGTTGATCTTTCCTTCCTTGCGAAACACACTCATGGGTTCTCGGGTGCTGACCTTGCGGAAGTTTGCCAGCGTGCAGCTAAGCTGGCCATTCGTGAATCGATTGAGGCCGATCGTCGTCGTGACGATGAAAAGAAGCTCCGTGGTGATGATGTTAAGATGGAAGAAGACGCTGTCCAAGACGAGGACCCTGTCCCTGAAATTACTCCTGCGCACTTTGAGGAGGCTATGCGCTTTGCTCGCCGCTCGGTATCTGATGCCGATATCCGTCGTTATGAGATGTTCTCTTCTACCATGCAACAAAGCAGGGGTGTAATGGGAAGTAGCTTCCGCTTCCCTGAGGGTGGCATCGATGGTAACAGCAATGCTCAACCGCAGGGCTCTGCCCCGTCTGCTCCTTCCGCTCCCGCTTCGTTTGGAACGGATGATGCAGACGACGATCTATACGCCTAAAGGCTATCGTAGAATTGAACCTTAGGTTGCTATATGATCAACGAGACCGCTAAAATACACAGACAGCTGGCTGTTGGAATCAACAGTCGACTATCAAATCCGGAAATGGGTGGTGGTTTAGATGCACTTCGTTAATAGTCAAACACGTACGCGTATGAAATTTGTGCTAGAAGTGCTAGCCATAGAATATGACGAATCCATGTTAAATTCCCAGAGCGAACCCACGAGGCGTTGTCCAACAGGATCATTTGGGCGTACCCCATGAGTATAGCCCAGGCAATTACACAACGATCGTCAAATTTAGACAATAGCTTGATTGGATGGGTCTCCGGTGAGGATGGCACACGGATCTGTTGCCTGGGTATTAAACTGGCGGAGGTATTCAAATCAAATGGTTGACCACGGGGTCCTTTTTTCATGTCGGCATGAATCTGGCTTTCATAGTCATCGAGCGTATCGAGAATGTTTCGGCAATTTGGTCGTTGACTTGGATCTAAATGAAGCATTTGGCGTAACAATGACGCAAGCATAGGATGGATACGACAAAAACGCTTGTAAAGCCCCTTGGATTGGATGGCATTGTCCAGAGTACTATAATCTGCGATCTCTTGGCGTAAGATATCAATGTCATCCACCTGAGAGTAAGGCAATTCGAAAAATATAAGCAGATGTAGTAAAATGCCAAGAGACCAAATATCTGCCTTGCTGGTAAGGTCTAAAAGTTGACCATGTTTTGCAACAATCGCTTCGGGCGCCATATACTCAATTGTCCCCGTGTTTCCAGTTCGCTTGTGCATCCATTCCTGTTGCACTGTAAGGCTTGAGCCAAAATCACTAATCATCGCAGTCGGTAGCAAGGCATCGTCTTCCCAATGCAAGAGAACATTTCCTGGTTTGATATCCAAATGCAGGATATTATGTTCGTGTAAAAATTCGAGACCTTGCGCTATGTCTCGCAATAACTGCACAATTTCATCCTCCCGCAAAAAGTGGATTCCCATTGTACTAGTCATAAAGTGTTCTCGACGCGAAGCTTTCGCACGTCTCTGCTTAAATTCTGCCTTAAGGCGTTCAACGCGTTCTGTGTATTTTAAGCTTCCCTCCTCTTTGTTTCCTGTGCCTCCTGCCCGCGCAGAAATCCAGTCAGCCAAACTGCCTCCATTAGCGGCCATCATCAGAACATGAAGCGTGGGCACACATGGCGTAAATGGTGAGATCTGAGCCATCTCGACCCAGGCATGCTTATAGTTTATAATATTTGGGTGAATAAGCGTTTCCATCAAATGCACTTCATGGAGTGAGCTTAATAGATTTTCGTTATGATCACCAATTGGAATTTTTTTGACTGCATACCTTCCAAGTGTATGCCCATGGAGCACATGTTGACACAAATACACGCTTCCATGGGCACCACGACCCAGACAGCTCAGCTCAATGAAAAATTTTTCGTAATACCCTTGGCTAGACGTATTGTTAGAGGCGTGTATATCCCCAGCTGGTCCCACATGAGCCGACTGAGATAGCAAGCGAAAATACTGGGGTGATACGTCAATATAGCTGTCATCATCGTCATTTTTAAACTTTTCCTGCCTTTTATAAGTCGAGTGTATGGTTTGATCCTGTCCTGTCCATGGTCGTAAACAAAGAGGGCATGCATATGAAGTAGATTCCCTATAATTAGGTTGCTCGTGCGATAAGGCCAAGTCCTGCTCTTGTGCGATAGAATGTCTATTCCTTAAACTTATTTGACGAAGATTATGATCGTAGACAACTAAATGTCTATTGGTACGCAAGACAAGTTGCATTCCTTCTTGATTATGCCATGCAGGGACCAGCTCCATGGTCTGAGTATCCCCACGTTGTAGTGTGATGTGATATGTGGAGGCAGACATCATTTGGACTTCGGCTCCGAATCCACTTGCAACGGTATGGTAATGGGCGTGTAATGTTTGTTCTTCCTTCATACCATATACACCTATCCGAGTATTCATACAAAAAGTCTTATAAGAGATTACCATATAATATATTTGAAAACCCTATTCAACCACCTTTGTCTTCCTCCGAGTTCACAGCTCTGCCAAGTGAGAGCAGCGACCCAAGATTGGGCCCTTTGCGAGTAGAATTCATTACCCTCAAATCGATAAACAACATGAATTCTAACAGTAAGAGAGTCGGAACCTCTTATGCGAGATTTGAAAAAATAGACTCATTCAAGGCAGACCCTGCTGATAATCCATGTGATGAAGAGACTGTTGTCGATGTGCCATTTGGAATCGTCCATCTCTTCCGAAATCTTGGCGAACATACAAAACCAACCAGAAAAGAAACCACATATGGATCTAATGATTCTGATCTCGAAATTGGCACCACGCTTGCAATGTTAAATGTACCGTCCTCGTTCAGCACCTCCCAGCTTCTTTCATTCATAGGTTCTGCATTGGATACAGTCCAGCAAATTCGCCTCATACAGTATGTTAGCAAAACTAACGTGCAGCCAGGAACAACGAAATCTTCATTTGATGCTAATAAAGTTTTATGACGCCCTAGATGCGGAAGAGTTCTTTAAGATGTTTAACGGATGTCCATTCGATACCCTCGATTCATCGCATGCCTGTGAGCTAGTTTATGTCACAGGTGTCTCTGCTAGCGCAGCTAATACGCTCCCCCAAACGTATCCACTTCTAAGCAAAACTGAACCATGGCCAATAATTGGATCTTTAGACGTCGAGCGGGATCCATCACTTGAGGCTTTGCAGCCCTATCGTGAAGGCTCGGGCCTACGAAGTGATGCATATGAGCTACCATTTTGCCCTGTGTGTCTTGACAGACTAGATTCACGACTCTCAGGCCTCGTAACTGGACTCTGTCAACATACTTTTCATTGTGAATGCCTACAAAAGTGGGACGACAGCCGCTGTCCTGTTTGTCGGTATTCGTGCTTCCAGACTGTGTATTCCTCACAAGCTTCTTCAGAGAGCGCGAACACCTCTGATAATTCCTCTACATGCTCTTTGTGCGAGACCCATACTCATCTGTGGGTCTGTTTGATTTGCGCTAATGTTGGTTGTGGCCGTTACGAACATGGTCATGCGCGCCAACATTACGAAGAAACAGGGCATCTGTACTGTCTCGAAGTCGAAACTCAACGTGTATGGGACTATGCAGGAGACGGCTATGTTCACAGGCTTATTCAATCCAAAACAGGTGGGAAGTTGGTCGAACTACCTTCTGCCTCGGATGCAGCCGCCTTAACGCCTGAACGACTCTGGAATGCAAGTTACCCTGGAGCGATGGAACCAACCAACCATGCTAGTGAGCACAATATTGCTGGAAGGTCTATTTATCAGGAACAAGAGAATGCAGTTGATGACATGGACTTGCTTCGACAGAAGATGGAAGCCCTTGGTACTGAATACTCCAATATGATTATATCACAATTGGATTCACAGCGGGTCTTCTACGAAAGCCAAATTAAGACGCTAAAAGCAAATCAAGTTTCAAAAGAAGAGTACATGCAAGTCTGCAATGAGCGCGACACAATATCAAAGTCATGTTTGCGACTTGAAGAAGAAGTTCATTCACTTCATGCTGAGCTGGAGATTGTCAACAGCCAATATTCAAGGCAAGAGGTCCAACTTAAACGTGCTATCGAGACGCTCTCAAAAACCAAAAAAGAACTGGTGGATGAGAAATCCGTCTCTGATGGACTGTATAAGCATGTACGACAGTTACAAGGCGACCAAAGTAAGCTACAGAATGAGGTTGCAGACCTGCAAGAACAGTTACGGGATGTGATGTTCTTTGTTAGTGCTCGAGAAAAGATCGAGAAAAGCAGTGATACACTGGGTATGGCTGGTGGGGATGTTATGGTGCCCGAAAAATCCAAGTCTAACAAGAGTCGCTCCAGCCGAAAGCGTTGATTATGCGCTCTTTTGGAGCTCCTTCTCACGCTTTACGATAGCTTGTCTCCGCAAAACATTGAAAATAAAGGCTCCGATAACAGATAGTCCCAGAACCAAGATGAGCGCCGGCAAACGGACAGCCCATTCACGCGCAGGGAAAAGGTTTTGGATAAAGGAGTCTGTAGGAAAGAATGGCTTTCATGAGTCTCAATATACTTACAGAAATCAGGGCCCAAAAAGTGTAGTAGCCGAATACAAAGATTGATACGGCCAAGAACGAGCCGCCGATGACACGGTCTGAAAATGCCTTGCATTAGCGTTCGTCAGGCTACCAACCATTATACTCGTGTTCCGGGGACGAACCAAAACATGTTCGAGCGGCCGTGCCACTTTCAGGGTCGGCCGAAACTCCACATTCTCATGGTACCATTAACAGATAGTGAAGGAGTGACTGCTGCTTATGAGCAAGGTAGCTCGAGTGGCGACGTATCAGGTGGTGGATTCCTTATTGAAGATGCATTGTCTGGTTCTTTTCCCTCTAAGAGTTTTTCTGATGAAAATGAGGATGCATTAAGATTAAAAGATTTACCCGAAGCTCTCCGACATGCAGGCGTGCAAGGCAGTGCATTCCAGGAAGTGCAAGACCTTTTGGAATCAAGCGCCGCGCCATCACCTTTAGTGAACGATATGGTGATTCCCAAGAATTTCTTTATACAGGCTGTTGAAGCTGCTTTAAATGTGCCCCATGTGGGTCCGCGAAGATCGAAACGACCACCGAGGCCCAAGATGACAGATTTGGCGGATTCGGAGGACGTTGAAATTTCAAGCAACGATGAATTTTCTCCAGAAGATAAATCTCCCAATTATTCATCCGAGAGTGATGACATGGCGGGTCCATACTTTCATACTACCAAGAGTACTTCCAGGACGCGGCTAACTGCATCTAAAAGAGCACGAGCACAAATTTTGTTCCGGCTAATTCTTGAACGACTTCCATTGGATTTACCTCAAAATATTCAAAAGCATGAACGACACCGTATACGATCTGACGTGTCTGACTTGGAGCTTCACTCGCGCCGAATTGGTGTTGACGAACTTCGCTATGTGGCCCAAAGTCTTAATGAAAACCCAAACATATCCGAACTCTTCGAGATGCTCAGTGAAGCTACACGTATATACTATGAAACAGAAAACCAAGAGTCACATTCCTCGGCACATCCCGATGTTCATCGCATTGGTCTACAAGAGTATGTTCTTCCACTGACTTAAGATTTACAGCGGTTGCGTGGAGGTTGGGGGCCCTCGACTGAGGAATTAAGCGACGGGGTAGAGAAAAATGAAATTAGTTTGTTCGATGAGGGCGCCCGAGGTCCTCAATCTGTGGACAGTAGGTTGTTCGAGTGGCCCTTGACAGCTAAACTTTCGTTTCCCCGCATTGACATTTGCGAGCAAGCAGAATGTCTAGCAAAGCAGCATGGAAGACTAACCATAATGCAAAATTAAATCATTCAATATCCTATGCAGAACGCCTACGACGAGCAAATCAGCGACCACCGCACAAGTCCGATACCCCTACAATTGAATCGAGATCACCTCCTGAGATCGACAAAGTAGTGAATAGCACGAGACCGACGACGTTTTCTTCTACTCCAATGAAATCTACGACCTCTTTTTCGCCTCCATTTGAAGATAAAACAGATGTCCCTTTGAATACCCCAAATCAAAGCAGTCCCTCAGGATCGCAACAGGGGTCCGTGAATGTATGGGAGGAGCGTATGCGTCAGCGTAAATTTAAACAGTCAGGAAGCTCGGTACAATCTGGTACTCAGATGGATGCTGGGTCCAATATATTCGTCACGAGCCCAAACCAACGCAAGCCAGATATCCCCTCTTGTACAAACTCGAGGGATGCAAGTTTAGACACAGATCCATCTCTTGATGGAATCCCAAACAACAATTGGCTGCAGCAAATTTATATGTTAAACGGAGACGAACATCAAGTCCAAATCGCAAGAAGAGTTATGAGCAAGTCCGATACCAACCGTTTAGAATCAACTGCTGGTTCTGAGAATAAGAATATGGGCACGACTTGTCAGGTACCTAAGATTAATCCTCTCGAGACTGAGAAAACTAACCAACCATGGGCTTTTTTGCCTGACGATCAAACTTATAATACTGTGTCCCCACAACACGCAGTCCCGATGCCTTTGAACCAAATTGTAAAACCAGACGGATCTTATGCGCCACATCGTATATCTGATCCACCTGTGGCAACCATGACAGGAATAGGACCGCGTCTTTCTTCTATGAACTCGGCATATGCTCCCAAGGTCTCAACTTCTAGAATTGCTCCTCGGGGCAATACATCTAGCCGCGCACAGCCAAATAAAGGCTATGACGCTTTCCGATATCATCAATATTCATCCTCGATGCCGAATTCTGTTACCATGTTACCATACATGTTTGTTCCCACTGTACCTTTCACTCAAGGTATCTATTCAAATCCAGATGAACACAGACTTTCTTCCAACGTATCCAAAGCAGGGTCTTCTATCGAAGATTTTAGTGGTAAAGATGATGACGGAGTGGAAGCCCGCTCTGTTGGAGACAAATCTGTACCATATTACAACACGGGCACTCCCTATATCACCCATCTTGCTCTTTCAGGGAACTCTCCCACCCCTTATATGGTCCCTTTTCAGCCTTTTATGCAAATGCCCTATCCGGGTATATGGCCATACCATGCTGGTCAGCCAGTGACCCCCCCTATCCCACCTTCTCTTGATACCAGCTCACTTTTGCGCCAATTGCGTGGGCAGGTAGAATTTTATTTCTCCGACAAAAACCTTGCTTCCGATCTGTTTTTGCGCGAGCAGATGGATGCGGAGGGTTTCGTCCCTCTTCGTACCATTTTGGGATTCAAAAGGATTCATGCGATTTTACGGTACTACCAACGTCATGAAAACTCGGAAGTGTCAACATTGCAAACAGCCATCCAGGGAAGTTCTTTTTTATTTTTGGATGCTGAGAAGATGCGGGTGAGACGTGCGTCAAACTGGCAATCCTTTGTCCTTCCTAAAAGTTCTAAGTAGGACTTACGGAGTCCATCCAAGCTGCTCAAGATGGTCTAAGATGTTGTCTAAACGATCTTGGCACCAAGTTAACCCTCTTCTTATAAGCAATGCTTGCCCTTCCGTTAATTCTACAAATGACATACCCTCACGATAGTTATGGATCATGTTCAGAGCCTCCATGCGGATATAATCCTGTGTGTCTTCGAAAGGAATGGCATCATCCACATCAATTTGTGTGCGCTTGAAAATTTTCCATTTTTGCCGTAGAAACTGTTCGATAGCTTCAATAGCATGAACCTCTGCCAATAACACCCCTATAGGGTCGTCTGATTTCAATGTAATGACTCCTCGACACTGCTCAAGAAGAGAGGCCGGTGGCTCAGGGTCTGATCGACGCCAATAATGGATCGATTGCGGCTTCTCTGGATCACTGCGTAGGGCCAAGACTAGCACGTCGTCTGGACCACCTGGCTCCACAAAACCGTATGTCATCAGCAACTCCTCATTGCTTTTGGCACCGTAGTTGTTAAAAATTTGTTCATTTGGCCCATAGTCTTGGCGAATAGTAAAAACAGCCTTATCAGGAGAATCGAATGACCAAGTCACAGGCTCTCCACGCCTGTGATTTAAAATATCAAAGCCAGGTATCAGAACGGGGTCATCTTCAGCAGGCCAACCACCCAACAAAGGGGGAAAGCTTCGACTAGAATAAGCAGTGTCAGCCCAAATCCAAAGTCTGATCCAATTGTCGCTATTAGAAAAGTTTGACAACGTTTCTAACGCAGCATTCATGTGTTTTTTGGCCTCTCGCAAGAGCCATTGTTGCACAGATTTAGCACTGTCGTGAAGGAGCTCCAGCCGCTGCAGGGTGGCACGATGTAATGAAGTTCCCTCCAAGAGACCCAATTCAGATCCAGAAAATGACAAAGAAGTCAGGATTTGTGAGGGAAAAAGTCGCACGTATGGCTCGTGCTGAGTTACATTTTGAAAGAGTTCTGCCGCACGACAAAATTCTAGGGAAAAACGATGAATAAGTAAGTAGAGTAAAACCCATTGTCTTGGAGTCAGATCCTCGTAGCAGAACTCATTATTACCGAGTGAACCCAAATTCTCAAAACAAGTACGAGGATGTATAATTAGAGAGCGGGGTATCCTAAGAATTTCTGTATTTGCATGAAGATGGTCATTGGTATAAAAGCCAGACCCAAGGAGTGTATCTCATAATTAGTTTAAATAACATACGGCTTTCCAGATGCAAACTCGGATGAACAAATGCCTCTCTGCTGCAGAGCCACTCCAAAAAGGTGCTGTAAACCTCTTGCATGTTATGGTCTACAGTTTATTCCTCCACATTCTATCCGGAAGCGGTGATGTCTAACCGCCTTTACCCTCACTCCCCCATGTCTGAAAGCCAGAATTCAAACGTGCCCCACCTCGAAAATGTTAGCGCCAAAGACAGAAGGAAAATTAAAAGTGTAAGTATTTTGCATTACTGAGACGCAGCACATCACTGTCGGACCTTATTCCTCTAAGCAAGTTTCGGAAAGTGCACAAATGACTAGCGAACAGCCGGCCGTGGTGGCGCCTGAACTCGCCTCAGATGGCCAAGGTCCTATTCCAGAGATTGGTCAAGATGCCCAGACTGGTCCTGAAGTAGTTGGCGAAGATGATCCGCGCCATGATTCCGTGAAGAAGAAGAAGACTATGACCCAAAAAATTATCGGTCTTTTTAAAAAGAATTAACTTTTCATGGATGGCTTATACCATTCGACCATTAGTTTATAGTCCTACTTGAAACTTGCGATAGTAAGAGACAATGATAGTGTTATAGCGACAGACTCTTTACAAAAACCCGGTCGGTCGACTGGGGAATCGAACGCGTGCCATGTGGAGGAGGCACTCAGCGCGTCGCGCGTCTTGGCAATAACTATGACGGAGACCCAGCAAGTCATTGAAGAAGTTCGGGTTGACTTGGATGAAGCCGTACGTCTCTTTTCAGAAAAAAAATATGAAGATGCAGCCGAGCTTTTAGGCGACTCACTTGAAGTGTTGTGAGTATATATTTGATAACTATCAGACGATCGGAATTTGGTGAAGAGTCTCCAGAGCTGGCTCCTATATTGCATCAATATGGCAAGGCTCTGCTCGAAAATGCAATAGCATCATCTAATGTTCTTGGTAATGGTGGTAATGTTTCTGATGAGAGAGAGGAGGATGACTACGAGCCGGCCGGTATTACATCGGATGATGCGCGTTTTAGTTTCAGTGGGGATGGCGAAGAAGTTGGGCAGCCTTCGAAAAAAGCTCCAAAACGTAAAGCTTTTGAAGAGGCAAATGCTTCGCCGAAAGAGCCTGAAGAGGGAAGCGAGGACGACGATGATATGGGCGTAGCCTTTACCGTACTCGATTTTGCACGCGTACTTTTTGAACGCATACTGGAAGGATCAGGCTCGGAATCAATTAGCTCATCGAAAGGCAAGGGAACAGCTGTTGCAGAGCTCAAGCTCATTTCAGGAGAGACAATGGACAAAGATGCTATTGTAATGGAGCTAGCTGAAATCCGTAATGATCTTGGCGACATTGGTCTTGAAACAGGTGAGCATTTTTCTCTTATATACAGAAAACTTCGAGCAAGCCTCTGAGGATTATCGTGCCGCATTGGAGCTACTGCTACCCCATTTGTTGCCATATTCTCGCAGACTTTCAGATGCGCATTTGCGTCTCGGCTTGGCCCTTGAATTTCACCCTAATGTGAAACAACGTGAATCATCTTTTGAACACATCCAGCAAGCTGCGAATGTGTTGAAGCGGCGTCTCGTTGAGCTAGAGCGTGTCTCCCAAGAGACTAGCCATGGTACCGAGCGCGACTCACTTTTCAATATGGATTCAGATCAAATCACTAGGGAAACGAAAGACGTGAAGGAGATGCTTATTGATTTGGAGACAAAAGTACGTACGCTACTAAATGACTAACAACTCAAGCTTGAAGAGATGAAAGCAAATCCTGTCACTGCACTGAAAGAAAATGGAAAGCCGGTAAACCAAGTCCTGGAAGATGCACTTAAAGATGCATTCCTTGGTGCTGCTACGTCTTCTATCACGGACAAGCCAAGCTCTAAGTCCGACCAGCCCATAAATGACCTAAGTGCCCGCGTGAAGCGCAAGAAGCAGCAGCATAAGTAGCCGTGCACCGATTAGTCATAATAACCACGTATGTCCGAAAGCTTCCAGCTTCAGGACCTCCATCATCATGGCAACAAACATTACCTTCCACCCAGGAAATGTAACCTATGACGAGAGGAGCTCGCTTTTGAGCCAAAAAGGTGTAACTATTTGGCTTACTGGCCTCTCTGCGTCGGGAAAATCAACGATTGCCACGGCTTTGGAGCAACACCTGCTGCACTTGAAGAAGTCCGCTTTTCGCCTCGATGGCGACAATATTCGCTTTGGCTTGAACAAAGATCTGGGATTCTCTCCTAAGGATCGTGAGGAAAATATCCGTCGTATTTCTGAGGTACGCTCTTAATATTTATGCCAGGTCGCTTTGTTGTTCGCCTCCTCGACAGCCATCACTATTACTTCATTCATTTCGCCCTACAAAGCCGATCGCAACTTTGCTCGCGAGATTCACTCGAAGCATGACCCTGCCCTACCTTTCGTTGAAGTGTTTGTCGATGCTAGCATTGAGGAGTGTGAAAAGCGCGACCCGAAGGGTTTGTACAAGAAAGCGAAGGCTGGTGAAATCAAGGGTATGTGTCCTTTTGACGTTCTCACACTAGAATTCACTGGTATTTCGGCCCCGTACGAAGCGCCTGAAAAGCCCGAGATTCACATAGATGCGGACAAATGGACAATCGAGCAAAGCGTCCAGCACATCGTGGAGTACCTTCAGACCAAGGGTTACCTTTGATGCATTACCTGAATCTATGAATCATGAGAGAAGTACTGAAGACAAATCAAGTGAGTATAACCATGACAAAATGGTATTCGCACTCGGGCTTTCATATAAACACAATGTCGTTGAATTAAAACGGATATAGACATCATATTCGTATAGCTGCATCGCCACATGTCTTCGACATTAAAAATTCCAGGTAGCCGAAGAAGCCTGCCTGTCGGAGACGCCATTAGCTGGACTGTTTAGTTGTTGGTGGGAAAAATTTCCGTTTGAACTACTAGCCGCATTAACAGCGTTGATTTGTGCGAGAAGAGAAACTTGATCGGGAAGGCAGTAGGTAGTCAATTGATTCATAATACCAGAGTTGGGTATCTGAGTATCCATGTCTGGCGCAAAGTTCATTTGTTGAGAGCTATCTTGAAGCATATTTTCGAACATAGAGTTCTGTGACTCTGGTCCAGCTCGAGTAGCAGGGGTAGGCAAGCCCGATAGATTCAAATCTCCTTGAACTTCGCCATTGAGGGGTGTGCTGGAGCTAGACGTCGCATTTAGCATCATCAGAACATTGCGTTGTTGGAAAGGGTCCATGTTGCCCAAGTTCCCAGGAATATCCGTCTGTCCAATATCAGCTGAGATTGGGGGTTGTGGGGCCAGCTCTTGGGTAGTAGTGCTAGTGAAGGACAAATTCCCATCCAGACCCAAGACAGAATTAATAGACTGCTTATTCGACGCAACTGGATCTGCCATAGTTGCATTAGGTGAAAAGGAATCTGGCGTCGCCGAAACCCCATTAGTAGGAAAGAATGTATCCGACATTGAGAAAGGGAAATTAGCCGACTGGGGCGTGAAGTTTTGGGTAGATAACGGCGAGAAAACAGAGCCAGGAGTAGTCGGTGTCATGATAGCGCTACTTGTATCGCCAAAAAGTTCTTGCATTGCAGCATTATTTAAATCCAGAGGCGCAAGTCTTCGAGCTTGCGGTCGCAAGTTGGATCTCCAATATGGCGTCGCCATGGAATTATTAGATGAAATGCGATTATCTGAATAATCTCTGTTCCACCCACCTTGAAGATCAGAGCCTTGTACAGTTCTTCCATGGAAAGAAGATGGTCGCGTTCTAGCATTGCCTGTGTCATGACTTGAATTATTAGAAGATATATTAAATCGTGATGTGGTTGGAGTATTGGGACCGTGTGTAGAAGACCGGGTAGATATGGGTGAGTTAAGGGAGCCTGAGCCTCGAACGGCCTCCGAGACGCAGCCCTGTCGAAACGCTTCCTGGGCCTCTGGGGTGAGCGTCCACCAGCTCCCCTTGCTACCTGCCCTTGAAGGGCGAGGTACTTTGACAAAAAGGTTACCTTTTATGGACAGCGTGGATTTGATTCGATTTTTGACTCTTGCCTCCCAGTCTTTCCCAGAAGCCCAGTCAGTAATTTCAGGAAACTTCAGGCACATTCCCTCGAAAAGCTCTTGAATCACCAGACGACCTGTGGGGCTATCGTAAATGGTATAGCATATCATCTCAGCCCAGTTTAGACGTTTTTGATTTGGCGACTTGATATTAGAAAGGGATACTGATGAACCCGACGTATTACGTGACTGTAAAGAATGTAGCGGTTTTCGAGGTGAGTTAGTAGATGATAGAGAAATTGAGGAAGGAAATGTGAGTTCGGTCGCACTTGAAGGCATCTTCAGAGTAGACTGCACAGGGGATTCCGGCGTGCAAGGAACAGTCATTTGCGAGGGCCAAGAGCCAACATGCAAAGGCGAGTTTGACTGTGAATGCAGCTGCGGTGTGTTAAGCGAATTGGAGTTTGCCGACTGATCCTTTGACGGACAAGGCCTCGTTTGAGTAAAAGGGTTGGAACCATCAGTAAAGTATTCTGGCGCTAAATTTGCAAAAGTTGGATCAGAATACGACATGGACGCAGGAAAGACCGAGGAATTCCCATTACTTTCAAGGTGGTTAGAATTTGACATGGCTATATTACAACCATCCAAGCCGCTAAATACGGTGCCACGATAGGATTGAAGAGATAAGGTGTTAAGAACCACCTCTGAGGAGACAAATGAACATCTGAATGTCGACCGCCCTCGGACCCCCCCCTCGTCTGAACACGTGTCGCTCTCTGTGAAAGTATAGCCCGATCAACGAATTGGCTTGAACGCTTACGGATTAGACAGCGGAATGTACGTAATTATTCTTCCCTTCTCTATAACTCTGTAGATAGGTCACAAGCGCACGGACAGGATCGACGGCTAAGAGAACGAATCATGTACCTGCTTGAAAAATGGCCCAATGGAAAAATACTTAACGTACATACAATGTCAGGTGAGGAATCGGGACGCTTGACAAGCCTATGTTTAGCAAGATACTGTCGTAGCCTCGTCGTCGAGGGCCGACAAGCTTCCATCAATACTGCCCGTGTCCTCATCTAGGTCTTCATTGGTTTTGTCAGAAGGTTGAACCTCATCAATAACAAAGGTGCTTCGTTCCTGAACGAGAGCTTCGTTAGCTGCCAGCAGAGTTGCCACAGCCGCTTCAGGGCCCTCCGTAGCCAAATTGCTCCCTCGTAGACCAGATCCCAGAGTAACTGCGGCGTCTGCATCGGTGCCGGGAGGCTGTCGATTAGCAGATTCGTCTGACTCTCTCTTAGATGAATTGACACCCAATGCACCCGCCAGGCGGCCACCAATACCGATCGCTCGACCATCTGCAACCGCACCGGCAGCTGCCGTGGCGCCTCTCATAAAAGCGCTTCGCCAATTTCCAGACTTCGTGTTACTAGGGGATTCAAACACCTGTCTTGCAAAGCTGGGAAGGGGGCCTTTGACGGAATGTGTCTGTAAGCGTAATGCGACTTGATCGGCCAGCGCATCCATGCGAGTTTTTCCTTCCTCGCCAAGAAGCCCACCCAAAAACCCAACAACCTTTCCGCGGGCACCTGTAGTAATGTCCCGAGAATAGCTCGCAGGCGTATTGGCGTCCAAAGACGCTGAGCCACTCTGGAGCAGGGCCGATGTGAGGGGAGACGAATTCGATGCGGTGCTCGTTGTCTTATAGTCAGGCCCGCGGCTACCGGGAACTGCGCGGGGAGATGTACCCTTAGGTACCACGGGAGCAGCATGCCATGCAAAGGCAGCGCCTGAGGCCGATCGCTCAACAGGCTCGAGCCTAATGGAATGTACCAAATCGTTTTCGAAAAACTTCTCCATAACAGGAGATGCTAGGGCAAGGGCACGAAATGCGGGAAAAGTGAGAAAAGGTTCGTCATCGCGTTTGTCTTTATTAGGGATATTCGTATCTTGAGGTCTCGTGTCGATCCCCTTGTCCCGATCCGCCGACCCGGGTTGTGTTCCAGCAGCAAGGTTGGCGTCGTCGGAATTGGACATATTTTTGGAATTAGCTTCAGGTATAGAGGCCGCATCATCATCGAGCGGTCCAGGAGTTAAATTCACCGCGCGGTCCACAGCGACATCCCATAGTACTTCGAGAAGCCGGTCTAATTCAGCCTGCCATGACTCGCTGCCTTCTTGATAGACCGTATCCCTATTCTGCCGAGATAAAAAGCTTTCAAGTTCGTCTGAAGCCATGCTAGGCTCGCGGACCTCATCACTAGTGATAAAGTGAAGGCCAGGGTACATAGCGTCATACTGATTACAGAGAGATTGTATACGAGCGTTATCCCGATGAAGATCATCGAGGCGAGGATATTGAGTGATTAATGACAAGCAGTCGGAATGATCCCATCCAGGTTCTTCTTCCACACAGAACCGCGCCACATCCACTAGGCTATCATAGGTAGTTGGGCGACTGTCTTCGGGTAAGTCGGCAATCGCCTGAGCACTTTCACGGCCCAAACGCAATGCTGTCGAGTGATTGCATAATAGCAATTGTTCCAGTATCCATGCAAGCGATTCAGGATCCACAGTAGGAATCTTTTGGGGTGGGACCACCACCCGAACGCTCATGGTGTAGCGACACAATGGTCTCCGCGGGGTCGTTGGCGCCAAGCCTGTGGGAGATGACTAATCGCAGGTGTTGCGCCCCACGTTCTGATGGCTGCCGCGAGAAGATTTGGAGCGGCGCGCTGACCGTAGTGAGGCTATTTGGAGCACATGACAGCCAAGCATCTTCTACGCTGGAGTGTCGGTGTCTTGGGTGCAGGTAGCGTAGCTTCATATTGGCTGTTATCGCCCCTGCATGAGAAAGGACCGACGCCGTTCATATATGCGCCGTTAGAAGTGCAATCGGCCAATTTAACGCCCCGGAGAGAGGCAAACTTATTTGATATGTATGAGTTGCCATTACATCGAGTTTTGACGCTCCGAGGCTCGGGCAGCCTGTCGCTTCCACTGGCATCTCAGCTAGCCAGCCCGGCCATGGCCGACGTCCGTTCCAGGCTATCCATTTATTCGTACTGTGTAAAGGAGCCTAATATTCAAGTCGAGCGTGCATATACCCCTCTGATGGCGCTCTCGCGCATGGACCCATCCGTTGTTCAACTTTTGGTAAAGCGATATTCGGATGGCGAAGTGTCTCGCTATCTTCATCGTGTTCGACAGGGTTCAACCGTGTCTCTCCGCGGCCCTGAAATCACTTGGCAGCTACCGGAAGGTGTGCCTGTACCTGACCAGATTGTTATGGTGCGTTATTAGCTACTCACACTAGCTTGTTGCTGGTACTGGTGTGACGACAGCCCATCAGCTTCTTTCGAATGTGCTGGATAACACACCTCTAGCACCCAATACGCCTCAAATATCAGTGCTCTACGCGGTGCCCACAATGGACGCCCTACAGCTTGTGCCCGAACTTTTGCAATACCGACAAAGGCACCCTGACCGTGTATCTTTGCATGTCTTTGTGGAAACAATGCCCCCTCGAGCCTCTGCTACGCTGAGCAATCGGCAAGGCGAGGAGGTCCCTGCCTCACTGCTTCTGCCCCAAACCCCCTCGAGACGCCTGTTTTCGTGGCGCTCAACTCCAACGAGGCAGTCATGTATGCTAATGATGTCTTCTGACTCGGTGCCTCTCACATCAGGCCGCATCGATGCATCAGATGTTGCGTCTTGGTCGCCGGATCCGCGCGTTCGGCGTCTGTTCTTAGTCTGTGGCCCTGATGGATTTGTTCGTGCTATGGCTGGGTCAAAAGGACGTGACCTCGTGTCGCAGGGCCCGTTGGGCGGCATTCTTGCCAAGCTAGGGTATCAGTCTACGGATGTCTTCAAGATGTAGGGGCCAGGCGTTGTGCGCGAACACTTTGTACTTCGGTGGGAGAAAGCTGCCACGACACACCGGCGGCTATACCGGCTTCATACACATCGATGGACTCAAGCTCTTCATCGTCCATGTTGAGTACATACGAAATTTGCTGGAGGCGGAGGAATTTATCTCGAATGCCCCACGGGGTGTAGTCAGCCATGAAGCCCAAAATGCTGCGGAGATCCTTGTCGAAGCGAAGTGCACCCAGCTCAGTGAATGTGAAGGTGGCAATGGTTCTCTCCCACTCTTGTACGAGTACATCAATCGCAGCGTTGAACAAGAGCGCGTAATTGCTCTCTGTGAGTGGGTCCTATGCGTTAGCGCAGCATACGTACACGGTATCCATGAATCAACAGCTCCCAGGCCGAGCTCACGCGGTTTACGAGGTCCGCATCCTCGCTGGCCTGTGCATACGATTCCTCGTCGAGCATGTAATGCAAGTTGCGCATTGCTTCCGTGACCAAAGATCGGAGTCGAGTTTCCAAGAGGGTGGCGAATAGCTCTTGGACTTCAAAGCTGATGGCGGAACGTAGTTTCGATACTAGGCTGTCTAGTAAGCCAACCGTGCTTTGCGCCCGTGCCAAGTCACTGGGTGCGTCATTTTTGGACTCGGCATCAAAGTAAGGCTCCAAAAATGATGGGTGCGACAGGTCCGACATGAGACGCTCCGCATACATGGCCGAGACATCCAAGGCATTCAGGTACACACACATGACCGCACGAACCTCGCGTGCAGCTGCCAAACGGCGTGGCCCTTCAACAAGCCCGGCTAGGTTTAGCGTGCGACGGCAAGCATCCATGCGCAGCACGATGATTTCCACATAGTCAGATTCGATCATTGGCAGGGCCTGTGCAAACAATTCTTCCGCCACATAGAGCGAGGACGTCGACAGCGCACGTGTCCAGACGGTGCGCAGTGCAAAGAACATGTCGTCAGGCAGCGAGCTGCCATACGGCCGTGCCTGGAGATCCGGCACATCCAGCTTATGCACCTGCTGGATGCTGGAACGCAGCGCAAAGAGCTGAAGAGGAAGAAATTCGGTGCGCCAGCACGTCTGTAGCGCATCTTGGAGGGAAGCCGCCTGCTCACTGGCCGCCTTGGGGCCCATAGAGCGCTGCAGAAACTGGAAAAAGAGTGCCCACTGGGCCCCCATACTAGCACATTCGGTCAGCAGTGGTTCCACAGAGGGCATAGAGGATGTCGCCGGCACGGGTGTAGCGGGCCGCGAGGCTGGCGAGGCACGTCCACCTTGCCGCGAATCATCGCCAAAGATGCGACCAGACACAAACGGCGTCGTCCGAATCCTGTCCAGGGCCACCAAAGTCGTATCCTGCGCCTGCGCAAGAAGGTACGGTATTTGGCGGTGCTGACGCCAGGCCGCAAGGATATCGAAGCCTAGAGCCGTCCATATCCGCGCAAGCTCGGGAAGCACACCCTCGGCAAAGTCAGGGTGCCCTGGACCAGAGAGCAGTCGATCCACCACGGGCTGGTGCTTGCTAATGAACACAGCGAGATGCTCAAAAAGGGCCGTCCATAGCGTCGCATAGTACATGGGACTAGCGGCTGTGTGTCAGTCACAGGTGCGTACTTGGCATGGCCAGTCGTTCGTGCAAATCGCGCTGGTGCGCCTCCAGGAGGGAACGAGCGAGGGTGCTGCGTGAGAGACGTGCGCGTACCTGTACGCACGGAGGCCGTCCCAGTGGGCGTCGACCGCGGCAAAGTAGCCGAGAAACCGCGTAGCCTCTTCTTCGTGGCGCTCTTGTGTATGGTGTTCAAAGTGACGCGTGATCTTTTCAACGAGCCGGCTTCGCAGCGACTCCAGCGTCACGGCAGGCGCCTCGGGAAACATGCTCGAGGGCTGCTGTGAGTGCGAAAGACGTACCACGACCATTTTAGCAAATGCGCAGTGCAGCACAGCTTTTCGAACGCCGAGTGCCGCTCGGCAATGCTCTATGCACGCGTCCCAATCAAGGCGGTCGAGGGCGTCGGCGAGGCCCGCGAGGGAGGCGCGCAGGACGATGGCCTCGGAGCACCAGGCGATGGCGCTCTCAATGCGCTTTTTTTCCTCATGCAGTGTGTACATGTCGCTGTACAGCGCATGCGCGACACGCGCAGCGGGTTCACACCGCTGCGCAAGCGCCTGGGCCTCGGTGGACGCCTCGTGCAGCACTGGCAGGATATGTGCATCGATGCGCGAGCGCGAGCCCGCCATGTGGTGCCGAGCGTCGTCCATTTTGGCGCTGCATTGCTTTTCGCGCGCACGCTGCGCAGCTTCGAGCTCGGCCAAGGCCAAGCGCACGCCCTCTGCCGCTGTGTCCATTCGGGAAGACGCGAGACTGGTGCGGAACTCCACGTGATAGGCACGCACGGGCCTGCCTCCTGCCACGATGAGTGTGTTTTCTACGGCGCGATTGCACGACAAGGTCGTGCTAGTGACGGGTGCATCGTCGGGCATTGGTGCGGCGGCTGCCAAGCTCTTTGCACGTGCGGGTGCGAACGTTGTGCTTGCAGCCCGGCGCGCCGAGAAGCTCGCTGACGTCGAAGCGGCGTGCCAGGAGGCAAACACGGCCGGCTCGACCGGGCACGGCGGCCACTATGCTGCTGTGTCGCTCGACATGCGCAGTACGGAGAGCCTTGATACGTTGCTACAGCGTCTGCCGTCGTGGGCCTCCAACGTCGACGTGCTTGGTGCGTTTACGGCGCTGACGCAGTGAACAATGCCGGCCTCGCCATGGGCACCGCGCAGGTGGGCGAGATCCGCGCCGAGGACCTGGACGCGATGCTCGAGACGAACGTGCGCGGGCTGATTTATGTGACGCAGCTGTTCGTGCGCCAGTTCAAGGAGCGCAAGGCTGGCCACATTATCAACATTGGCTCCGTGGCAGGCAAAGAGCCGTACCCCGGCGGCTCGGTGGTACGTGTGCATCCCTAACGCAGTACTGTGCGACCAAGTTTGCTGTGCGCGCCTTCACCGACGCGCTCATGAAGGAGCTTGTCAGCACGCCGATCCGCGTGACCAATGTGCAGCCCGGTTTGGTCGAGACCGAGTTCAGTCTCGTGCGATACTATGGCGACAAGGACGCCGCGGATAAGGTATACCACGGCATTGAGCCGCTCACGCCCGACGACATCGCCGAAGAGATCGTCTGGGCGGCCAGCCGCCCAGCACATGTGAACGTCGCCGAGACGCTCGTGTTCCCGGTTCACCAGGCGAGCCCCTTCCACATAGCCAGGTCCCACTAGGCAGGACATGAACCGCGGAACCGCCGGTGAATGTGCCGCCCCTCGTCCGAGGCACGGCGCAGGGTGCGTGCGTGACTTAGGCGTCTGCGTCAGCGTCCCGTACGTACGATAGTGCTCGCACTTGCTGGCGATGTGCCAAACGATGCTGCCACGACGCCAGTGCGTCGGCGCCGACGGTACTGAGCGCGAATGCCTTCGCGAGGCGCGGTAGCGTACGCGCGCGCATGCGCTGCTGCCAGTGCGTGAGAGCGCGCCGCAGCTGGCGCGCACGCCGCAGCTGCAGCACAGGGAGCGAGGACGTGCGCTGCGTCCAGTGCGCCCAGCACGCACGCAAGATGGTCTGCCGGCGCGCAGCGAGCGCCGCAAGCTCTTCGTGCCGGAGCTGTGCCTCGACGAGCGCGTCGCGCCAGCGGCTCCATACATATTGCCGTGTCCGCTTGACGATCGCACGCTCAGCGGTCCGCAGCGCTGCACGCGAACGCCACGCACGCAGCAGGAGCAGCGTGAGCTCGGCCCCCGTCGTGTGCCGAGCCTTGTGCCAGGCCTGTGCTTGCGCCTCGTGCGCGCGCTGCAGCGCCCAGCGCGCATGCCACGTATGAATGCCACGGCGCTGGAGTGCAGCGGCACGCATGGCATCAGCGTCGGCAGCGCTCGCTGCCCATTGCGCCGAACGCGTGCGCCAGTGCGCAAAGCACACATACATCGCCCGCGCATCACGCCGAGCCTCGACAAGCGTCGTGCACGTGCTCCAATGCCGTGCCTGCACCGTGTGCCAGCGCCATTCTAGGTCAGTAGCGTCAACGTACGGTCCCACGCATGCACGAGAGTACGGCGCATTGTGCGCGCGACCCATGCATCGGCCTTGCGTGTGCGTGTGGCGTCGCGCCAGTGTGCCAACGAGGAATGCAAGCGCCGGTCGCGGGCGTGGCGCGCCGCGGCGTCGGCTTCCTGTCGGTGGCGCACAAGGGCGCGGTGCCACATGTGCCAGGCTGCATGGCGCTGGCGCCACGCCGACGTAAGAGCGGCGACGTGTGCCTGTTCACGCAGGTGCGCGGACTTGGCATGCCACTGCGCCCATGCACGCGTGAGCTGGCGCGTCGCAGCCTCGTCTTGCAGCTGCAAGAGGGTGGCTGCGTAAGCGCGGCGTACGTACCTTGCCGAGCCAGCGTTACATCCGTATACGCGACCCACCACCGGTGCCACGCGGCGCGCAGCCGCTGGGCATCGGCGTGCGCGGCCACACGCACGGAGCGCGCGGCCCACCGCCAATGGTGCAAGCGGGCGAAGAGGTAGCTGCGCTCGTGCGCAGCAGCGAAGTGGTCCGCATGCCGCTGCAGGGCCTGAGTCAGTAGGTCAACGTACGGTACAGTGCTGTGCAGCGGCCTGCCACCGGCACCACGCCGTGCGAACCACACGCCGCTCGGACCATGTGTCTGCCGAGGCGTTCATGTAGGCCTCGCAGCGGCGCTCGCCCATACGCTGACGCCACGCATCCATGGCAGCACCTAGGAGGTGCGTGTGCGCATAGGCGGCGAAGAGTGCGCGTTTCGACTCGAGCGCTGCCAGGCCCAGAGCGCGTGCGCGCCATGCATTCCATGCGCGCGGCAGCAGAGAGCGTCGTCGCAGGTGGCTCGCCAGGCGTCCATGCCATGCCTGCGTCCACAGCGTGAGCGCAATGCGCGAGAGGCGCGCGTCGCGTCGCGCCTCGAGGGCCAAGTAGGCCGTGCGCAGTGTGCGTGCCTGCTCCTTGTGGCGGGCGCGCACGCGCTCTTCCGTAGCGATACGCCACGCGCGCCACGCGCGAGACACATAGGCCTGCTGGGTGAACGCGGCGGCCGCCCGTGTTGCATCGAGCTGTGCCGCGCGCCGTGCACGCCACCGGCCCCAGGCGCGCAGCGCAAGCAGATGAGCGTAGGCCTGGGCGGCGCGCTCAAGTCGGCTCGCACAGAAAAAGAGGTGCTCGTTCCAGCGCACGAGATAGCGCCGCAGGTGTCGGCGCTCCAGGTCGGCGGCGCGGCGCTCCAGCAGGGTCGTGAGCGGTACGCGGGGCCATCGCACTGCATCGAGAGCGCGCGGGGGGATGCGCGGGTGCACAAGCTTGAGCGGCGACCAGGCGGGGCTGCCGTGCACGGCATCCATAGGCGCATCGTCCTCGGACAGGGGCGAGGCCGGCGCCACGCTGGGCGACGCGGGCGGTGCGTCGGATGTGTGCACGGCATCTTCAAGCGGCTCGAGTCCGAGGCTCACACGGATCGTATCCCACCGCTCAGCCCATGTGTGTCCACGGACCTGCACGAGCGACAGCAGCGTGTTCCAGAGGCGCGCGTCGACGGAGGGCGACGCATCCCCCTGTGACGCGCGCAGAGCGTGCGCGCGCGCGATCGGCCCCACAAGGTGCGCATCCTCGCGACACAAATTATATGCGTGCTTGAGCTCGGCAAAGCTCGTGGACGCAGCAGGCAGCAGGGCCACAATCGCATCGAAGAACGCGACTTCGGCGTCGTCCAGATCGAACGAGGCGGCTAGCTGGTGCAAGCGCGATACGTTTTTGGCCTCGTGGCCATCATCCACTGGGCCTGCATGAAAGAACATGGACGACGAGAGCGCCGACGCGCTCGCATCGGCCACGGCCGGCGCGGCGCGGGCCATGGTCGCGAGACGCGAGCGCGGCTGGCGAGGCCTCCACATCATCGCTACGGCCTATCGACGGCGGCGAGGGGCGACGGTCTCGAAGCCGTCCTCGTCAATCTCCGGCGCGGGCTTTTCTTTCGGTGCCCCAGGTGCCGGCGCTGGCACATCGGACTCTGTGTCTTCATCCGACGCGTCATGAATGTCGTCGCGCGTCTGCGCGACGAGCTTGTGCGAGCCAGTGCGCGCATACGACGCCTCGTACTCAGCGAGGATCTCGTCGCCCTTGCCCTGCTCAAAGATGCTCGCGTGCGCGAGGCAGATGTGCATCGCGACCCATTGCGCGCTGTCGTCCTCGAGCTCGCACGCATACTCCTCCATGACGTAGCCTTCAATGAGTTCAGTCAGGTCGTCGACGTCGGGCTTAGTGCTGGCGCCACCGTTCCCGTACTCGTCGCACAGGTGCGAGAGGAGGAACGACTTTTTCTCCTCCGACTCGGGACCACCCCATCCCTCGATGACGGCCTGCCGCAGCGCAGGCCACATCTCCAGGAGAATGAACACGGCGCGCGCAAACTGCAGCTGCTCCGGCGTCGGCGCCGCATCTGCCGGGGGCGCCGCTGACGACATGAGAAGGCAGGATGTGGAGGCGTCCGCCCCGCCATGTCGAACCTGCTGGGCGTGCCGAGCCCCCGCACCGCGCCGGTCGCGCTGCGTGCACCGGTGCTGGCGCACCTGCGCAATGCGTTTCCGGATATGGAGGCATCGCTCTTTGAGCGCGATATCGATGCGTGGGCGAGCGCGCGGGACGCATGCTTAGGCCACGACGGGCACAGCCACGACGTGTCCGTGTGGCTGCGGTACGCCGCCCAGCTCGCCTTTCTGGTGCGTGTGCTGGGCACATCGGTATGTACGACGCACTTATGCAGGGCGGCGCGTCATTCCCGTGGGTAGATGGCTTTTCCACCGGTGAGCCGGTGCCGTATGCGCGCCTGGATATCGAGCGCGCGTATGTCCTCTCGCACCTGGCCGCCCAGTACGCCCAGCTCGGCGCTGCCGAGTGGCGCAGCGAGGCCGACAGTGTGAAGCGCGCTGCGAACTACTTTCAGCGGGCGGCTGGGTGCCTTGCGCTCGTCGAAGCTTGCACCGACACGCCGCCGGTCGCGCAAGCGGCGTGCCTGCGGCAACTCATGCTGGCGCAGGCGCAGGAGTGTGCGTGGCAAAAGGCTGTGCACGGTACGTACGGTCGGCTGACGCAGACGGCCTCCTGCCGACCACGATCGCCAAGCTCGCGCGCAGCACGGCCGACCTGTACGCGGCGAGCGCCCAGGCGGCGCCTGCCGCGGGCCTACCGCCTGGCTGGGCCGTGCACATCGAGTGCAAGCGGTGGCACTTTACGGCGGCGGCCGAGTACCGCAAGAGCTGTGACGACCTTGCGCACCGCCGCTATGCCGACGAGCTCGGTCGGCTGCGTGCAGCGTCCGACGCACTGAAACGGGCGCGCGCGCAGCCGACGCGCCTCTTACCGCAGCCGGCCGTGCTGCAAGACCTGCTCTCGCTCGAGCAGGTGCTGGCTACGAACCTGTCGCGCGCCACGAAGGACAACGACTTGATCTACTTGCAGGCGCCCACGGCCGCAGCAGCCCTGCCAGACATGGGCACCGCTGTGATGGTGCGTGACGTGTGTCCTCCCGAGCTGCAGGCGCCGGTCGCCTTCCTCAAGCGCCTCGCGACCAGCGGCACGCCCCTCCTATTTGGCCGCCTCGTGACGTACGGCGTGGACGTCGCGGTGCGCGTGTACAACGACCGCCGACAGCAGTGGCTCTCCGGCACGCTCGAGCCGCTCGCGCGCGAGTTGGACGCAAGTCTGGCGCACGAGCTGGCTGCCGCACGCACCGCTGCCACCCTCGAGCACCTCGAGATGCCGGCGCAGATACCCGGGTCTTGGGACGCGTATGCTGCGGCCATTCAGCGTGTCCCCGTCGCCATGCTCGAGCAGCGCCTGCGCGCTACCGAAGACCTCGCAGGCCGGTGCCGCGCGCTGCTAGACGAGCTGAAGCAGCAGCCTGACCAAAGCATGGCCGTGGTGCACGAGTATGAGCAGACATTGGCGCAGGCCGCCGAGAGCGATGCGCGTGTGCGAGCTCAGCTGCAAACGCACGCGCCGCGCCTGCGCATGTGGGAAAAGGGGCGCCACGCGCTCCGCGAGGCACTGACGCCCAGTGCCCTCGCCGTGCGCGACGCGCACAAGCAGCACGTCAGCGAGGTGCGCGCTATACGTGCCCAGCAAGAGCAGCTGGACGACATGGTGGCGCAGCGCCGCACCATCATTTTGCGTGCCCACGCCATGATGGAGCGCGACGAAATCCGGCAGCGGCTCATGGACGTGGTGCGCGCACGGCGCCTCGGCGAGCTAGACGAGAGCCTCGGCGCGGGCGTCGACCCGGCTGCTCTGCAAGACGTCCTGGAGCACGCCCTGGAGCCGTACGGTGCATTCTTGCAGGAAATGCACGAGAGCGGGGCCGTGCAGCGCGAGCGGCTCGGCCAGCTGCGTCGCGCGCATGCGCACCTCCTGCGCGAGCCTCGCATGGCGCGCGCGCTGGAAGCACAGGCCGACGCACTGCACGCACTCGAGGACGCGTTCCACGCGTGGCAGGCGCTGCAAACACACCTCGACGAGGGCGCGCAGTTTTATGAGCGCCTCCTCCGCTTGCTCCAGCAGCTGTAGCGAGGGCCTGCGGCGCGGCCTACGCCCGCAGCTCCACGCGCAGATACCGTGTGCAAAGCGCGGCACGGTCGCGGAGAGCGTCGCTGCCGCTTACGAGCGAGCGCGCGAGGTGAAACGCCTCCTCGGATAAGTGCGCCTCGCGCAGGCCGAGCAGCGAGTCCCAGAAACGCGTCGCATCCACGTCGTAGGGCGCCTGTGCGAGCGCCTCCATGATGCACGCGACATCCACAGGCGTAGAGGCCAGCAGTGTAGAAACATAGTCGCGCACGAGTGCGTGGTGCCGCACCGCCGCCGCGTGCTGCGCAGCCGTAGGCGCCCGCACGTCGCTTAGCGTGCGCGCGACCCATGCAGCAGGCGCCTCCTGCTCGAGCCACTTGGCAAGCACGAGGAGGCCGGCGAGGACCTCGTGGACGAGGTGGCACGCGCCCGTGTGCGTCAGGAGCTCGAGCAGACTGTCGCTCGGTACGTCGCTCGGCCGCACGCCGGGCACCTGGCACTGCACACACACGCTCGCACTCTGTTCAAGCCAGGAAATCGCGCGGCGCAGCGCGTGTGCAAGGGCCCAGGTATGGGCCGGCGCAAACGACACGTCGGGGCGCGACTCGGTAGCAAGGAAGGTGAGGCGCCGGTTGTTGTAGTCGGTGCGCGCCGCGCATAGGGCGCGGTGTATGGCCGCCCACTCGGCGAAGAGCGCAAGACGATCATACAGACGCTGCTGTGGCGCCTCGGCCGTCCCGCTCACGAGCGAGAGGGCCACAGGCACGAGCTGCAACGTCTGAGCGAGCGAGGGGCTTTGGCGCGCACTATCGCGTCCCCACTGCAATGCCGCCGCTGTTGCCTGGATGGTATGCACCAGCGAGGCGTACGTGCCGGCGCCATCCGCGCGCGCCGCATGCGCCACGTCCGTGTGGGCCGTGTGGCGCAGAAGCGCAAGCGCGAACAGGTGCCCTGCGTCGCTTGGCGCGTGCAGCGACACCGGCAAGGGCGTACAGACAAGGCGCCCGCCTGGCCACAGGTGCGTGCACGCTAGAACGCCGTTCGGCGAGAGGGCCCATGCCGTGTGTGCAAGCCAGCTGGGCGGCATCGACTCGCTGAGCCGCGTAAAGGTGCCAGTGCGCGCATCGAGCGCCCCCCACACCTCTGCACCGACACTCGCCTCCCAGACCGTGGCCCACACGGCATCGCGGTGCGGCCCCGGCTGCTGAGGGGGCACCAGGCCCGTCACGACCATGCCACGCAGCTCGCTTCTGGCTGCGACGCTCATGGTCCAGCGCCCTTGCGACAAGTCGGCGCCATCGCTAGGCGCCGAGCCCCAAAGCGAGCGTAGCTCGTCACTTGCGCGCGTAGTGGTGCGCTGCGCCGCCCACTCGATGAGGTACGTGCGCTCAGACTGCGTCGCGCCGTGGCCGGCAGGCGCTGGCGCCGCCTCTCCGACGCACAGCCACAGAGACAGCGACGACGCAGTACGCACCCACTCGAGCGTCGTACGCCACGGTACAGGAGCCGCGCGACCGGAGGGGTCTCGCACGTCCACTGACACACTGGGCAGAGGGTTGATCACACAGACTCGGGTAAGTAGGAAGCACGTACAAGACATTTCGCCGTCCATTTGAATTTGCAGCTCGGTCAGTCCCAGCGCCGACGGGCCGAACGCGCACGAGACCGGCTCGTACGCGATCAGTACGACTGACTCGTCCGGGACATCACACAGGCAGGCGCGCCGCACCGCGCAGGGCGGCGCGTGCAGGTCGGGCGCCTGCTCGGCATCGAGGGTGGGCGGAGGCGGCACGACACTGGCCAGCGATAGGGAGCCGTAGTGCACTCGGAAGGCATGCCACGCCGCCGCGGCGCTGCTGAGGCGATGCAGGAATACGACTTGGCCGGCACGCGTCACCAGGATGCACGCCTGCTCACGCTGTGCCTCGTCGAGGGAGAGCGCCGCGCGCGGCAGGAACGTCGAGGGGCCACATGCCGGCTCCCGCACAAACGCCGGTCCCTCCATCTTCCACAGGCGTGGCGCACCAAGCCACAGTGCATCGATGACGTCGTCGTGAATGCAGCCAAGGCTGGCGGCTCCGTACGATACGGGCACCCACTGGTGCAGCGCCCAGCGGTCGACGGGCGCGTGTGGCGCGCGCGTCCAGAGGCACACGACGCCCTGATCGCCCTGGACGACGTTAGGCTGGGTCACGGGCAGTGTGCTCATAGCCTCCAGGGAATGCGGCGTGCCGGGCACGGGCGACGCAGCGGCGCTGGGCAGCGTGGTCACCGGCGACACATGGTCTGGCACGGGGGCGTGCGTCGCAGCCGATGCGGGCGTCGCCGTGGGCGTCTGCTGAATCGGTGTGGCCGTCAGAGTCGGGAGCGCGGCGGTGGGTATCTGTACGGCGCCCGAGCCCTGCCCTGGCGCTAGGGGCGCCGTCGCCTCGGCAGGGAAGTAGGCGAGGAGCGTGTAGCCGCAGGGGCTAAAGCGGAGCAGGGTGGGCGCTCCAAGCTGCGTCGGCAGTGCTGTGCCGAGCGTGGGCGCGCGAGCCGGCGGAAACAGGCGAAGAAGAGGTGTATCATGAATCGCACGGCCCGTGTCGCCGAGAAGCGCGACGTGCGCGCCATGCTCGTTGCGCATGCCGTGTGCCACAACACCTTGCCGCGACCATGCTACATTCGCATGCTGCGCCTCAGGCGCATCGAACCACGCCCAGTCGCGGCCGTGCGGCGCCGCGTCGGCGTCCGCGGCTTCCATGCCACGGTGTCGGGCGCGGAGCGCTCGCAGGGGCCGCACGCGGCCTGCGATCACGTGCCGAAAAACCTTCCTCGCGCTCGGCCTGTGACGTGTTGGACCACGATGTCGAGTTCGCGCGCCGCCTCGGCGGCGATTCGTCGGCTGACGATCGAGTACAAGCAGCTGACGAGCGATCCCAACACGCTGTTCCCTGCAGTGGGGCCGATCTCCGAAGACAACTACCTCGAGTGGGAGGCACTGCTGCCCGGCCCCGACGACACGCCGTTTGAGGGCGGCGTGTTTAGCGCGCGCTTGTCGTTCCGTACGTGCCATGTGCTCACCACGCAGCGCCGACATACCCGTTGGAACCCCCGAAAATGCGCTTCGACCCGCCGATCTTCCACCCGAACGGTACGTGCCGCGCTCTTACGCAGTGTACCCCGACGGCACGGTGTGCATCAGCATCCTGCACGCGGCGGGCGATGACCCGAACAGTACGTGCGCCGTGCTGACGCAGTGTATGAGTCGTCCTCGGAGCGGTGGTCGCCCGTGCAGTCGATTGAAAAGATTCTCCTCTCGGTCCTCAGCATGCTGGCCGAGCCGAACGTCGAGAGTGGCGCCAACATTGATGCCTGCGTACGTCTGCGCTACTCACACAGAAACTGTACCGCGACGACCGTGCCGCGTACGAGCAGACGATCCGCGACCAGGTGCAGGCGCAGCTTGGCTTGTGATAGTCTATCTAGTGCCGCCAGATCTTGACCGAGCGATCGCGGCCGCCACTCGCGAGCTTGTCCGCGAGAAAGTCGACGCAGTACACCTCGTCTTCGTGGCCCGGCAAGTCGACCTTGATCTTGAAGGTGGCCAGGTTCCACAGCTTGATCGTCGAGTCTTTGGACGCACTCGCGAGAAGGCGGCTGTCGCTACTCCAAGCCACGCGGTACACGCTCGCCACATGGCCTCGCAGGTTGGCAACAAACTGGCCGGTGCGTCCGTCCCATAGCTTCACACTGTTGTCAAAGGACGCCGAGGCAATCCACCGGCCGTCCGGCGAAAAACACACGTGGTTTACCGTCTTCTGGTGGCCCGTGAGCCGCGCGACCGGCTTCTTGGGCGTGGCCGCTGCGCCCGTTTGCGGCGGCCACAGGAACAGCGTGTGGTCGTCCGAAGCAGACACGAGCATCTCTGCGTGCGCGCCGTGCCCGGTGGCCTCCGCATACCGCGCGCGCGCCGCCTGCATCGTCGCTGCATCGAGATCGGCATGCGTGCCCTGCGCAAGCGCAGACGCATAGGTGCCCTGGATGTCAAACGCGCCCGTGCGCAGCACATAGTCAGTCGAGAGCGCGAGTGAATTGACCCAGTGCGCATGCTCGTTCAGCGAGCGGATCAGGCGCCCGTCGCGGTCGTTCCACACCTTGATCGTGCGGTCGGACGAGGCCGTGTAGATCGCGCCATCGCCGCCCCAGCGAACGCAGTTGACACTCGCGGTGTGGCCGCCCAGGACAAAGTCGACCTGGCGCGACTCGACGTTCCACACACGCACGGTGCCGTCCTTCGACGAGCTCGCAAGGCGGGGCCGTGCAGCACGGTGGGCGGGCTCCCACGCAAGGCTGGTGACCCACTTCGTGTGGCCCCGCAGCAGGACGCCGCGCGGCGCAGCATGGCGCGCGGCGCGGCGCTCCACGACGGACATCTTGCGCGATGGATCCGCGGCCGTAGCGCGGTGCTCCGCATCGACCTGCTCGCCGGAGCGTGCGCCCCAGCCGCGGCGCCCAGGCAGCGGCGGGTTGAGCGCCTCCCACACCCAGACCTGCCCGTCCATACCGCCCGTAGCCAATTTGCGCTCGCGCGGCTCCCATTCCACACAGAGCACCCAGCCGTCGTGGCCTTGGAGGGTATGCATCGGGGTCTCTGTGTCCATGTCCCAGAGGCGGCACACTTTGTCGCCCGCACCCGTGGCCAGCAGCTGGCCCGACGGACTAAACGCACAGCACAAAATCGGCGAGCCGTGCCCGGCGAGCGTGCTGGAGCAGCGCGTGACGGCACGCACGCGGAACACGGCCTGCGGCTCAAACACAACCGTGATGCTGTCTTCCGTACTGAGCCCGAGCTTCTGAGCAGTGGCCGAGTTCAGCACATCCCTGTGCAGGCTCTCCTGGATGGGGATGCGCGTCGGCTGTGTGCTCGGCGCAGCGTCCGCGCGGTTCAGCAGGACATGGAACGAGTACGGCACGTCTTCGTCGTCATCGTCGCCTTTCTGGCGGGGGTGCGCCTGGCGCCGCAGCTCGTTCACGAGCTGGCTCATCTCCGCCTGGCCTGCGCCGGCCGGCAGGCTGAGCGTCGGGCCAAGGAACGAGTCGTCCTGGCCGGAGCGGAACTGCACAAGGACACTTGATAGATTCGCATTCAGCATACCACTCTCGGCGAGAGCCTCATTGGCACGGCGCTCCGCCTCGGCGGCGAGCCGCTGGCGCTTCGCCGACGGCTTGGGCACCTGCGTCGCCATCGCAGAGAAAGTGGTTCGTGGAGGGCCACGTGATGAAAAATTTAGGCCCGCCTACCCTCCGACGACCATGGCTGCTGCCATGGATAGGCCGTCGTCGCGGGGGCTCTATAAGGTAGGCTGTGTGCATTGACAAGCAGAGCTCTCTCGACGCACACACTAAGGCGTTTGAGACACTGCTGGGCCTCATCCCGGCCCAGTTCTACGTGCCACCCAACGACGACCAAGAGGTGGACGGCAAGTACCAGAAGAACAAGCGCAGCAAGAGCCAGAAGCAGCAGGAGGCTGAGGAGCGCAAGCTGCGGGCGAGAGATTCAAAGCGTGCCAAGGTATGCTGTAACACTTACCCCAGCTGGATCCAGCGAACGCCAAGGGCGTGGAAGAAGTGCAGGCGGAGCGCCGCATGGACATGGAGGTGGACTTTGAAGATGCGGCTGAGGACGACGACGACGAGAATCACGAAGACGATGACGATGATGCGGGCGAGGAAGAGAGCGCGCCGCCCGAGACGCCTGCGCCTGCGCCGCGCCGCGCCTCGATCGCCGAGCTGCGGGAGCGGCTGCACAGCAAGATCCAGATGCTGCACCAGCAGCGCCACCCTCACGAGGCAGGTGCGTCTGGCGCACCAAGCACCAAGGAAGAGCTCCTGGAAGAGCGCCGACGCCAGCGGGGCGAGATGCGCGACCGTCGGCGGCGCGAGCGCAAAGAAGCGCGGCGCCAGGCCAAGGCGCAGGCCGGCAAGTCAGCCACGACGGAGCGTGCGGATCCGACGCTGGGCTCTGCCCGCCCAGCCGGCGCACTGGTCGAGGCGCCTGCTGCGCCAGAGACACGTAACGCCGCGCCAGCGGTGATGGACGGCGATCTGTCGTTCAGTCAAGTGTCGTTTGAGACGACACATGCGCCGGACCCCCAGCGCAAGAACAAGTACGCGCTACCGAATGACCCCAAGTCGGCGCTAGCCGCACTGGAGGCACGGCAGCGCCGCGAGGAGGCCAAGATCCAGAAGCGCATCGAGAGCGGACAGGACGCGGCGCAGGTGCGCGAGGCGGCGCAAGAGTCGGAGCGGTGGGGTAAGGCGCTTGCTGCCGCTGAGGGTGTCAAGATTCGCGACAACGTGCACGCGCTCAAACAGACGATCAAGCGGCGCGAGCGCACGAAGGAAAAGAGCACCAAGGCCTGGTACGTACGTGACGCTGACCCCAGGAACGACAGGCGCCGCTTGGAGCAGGAGGCGCAGGCGGCCAAGCAAAAGCGCCGCATGGAGAACCTGGCCGCGCGCCGCGAAGCGAAAAAGACGGGCACCAAGCCCAAGAAGAGCGCTAAGCCCGGCAAGGCGCGCCCCGGCTTCGAGGGCAGCGCCCGCTCGCTCCACGGCGGGCGATCCTCCACCGGCGCGCGCGCGCCCCAGCGGTAGCTCGGCCGAATATAGAGGGTAGCGCGCAGCGCGATCAGCTGTTTCTGACCATGTCGACGCGAAGCGACGCGACTACGAGAGACGCGGGAGCCACCGCGGCTGTGTCAGCGCCGGCTGCTGAGCAGCAGGCGCCTGCGTTTCAGAATCCCTACGAGGGGCACCGCGCGCTGAGCCGCGGAGAGCAGGAACTCCTCGGCGAGTACGCGCGCCTGGCCGCGACCGTGCATCGAGTACGTATGCTGTGGCTGCTCACGTAGGTGGCCGCCCTCAGTGTGCAGCTGAGCAACAGCACACACCATGCCAACACGTTGCGCGAGCTGCGTGCCATCGAGCGCAAGATGGGACTGGTGCTGACCCTCTTTAAGGCGTCTGTATGGGCGATTGTTATGCAGCAGACCGACATGGAAGAGGCAGAGATGGACGAGCAGATGGGTGCGCCGTTTGAGCCGCTCATGGAGACGTCGGAAGAGGGTTGGGACGAATCGCAGCTGCGTGCATCGGGCAGAGGGGAGGAAGCGTAGCCAACGTGGCGTCCCACCTTGGCCTAGGCGCCTGTGCGCAGGCACTGGGCCAGCGCCGGGGCCTGCGCATGGCCTGCGCCGTGCATCTCTTGGCGTTGGGCCGGCAACTCCATCGCCGGGGAATGTCACGTGCACGGATAGGGGGCCCTGCACGGCGCGCGGGTGTTGTCTCTCCCTACCACCGATGCCGCATCTGGAAGTCAAGGTGGGACCCGACCGCTTCCATATGGAGCCGTGCCGGCTCAATGACACAAAGCACCCCCACGAAATCAATACAGAGCACTTTGTGGGGCGTGTGTTGGTGCGGATCCTCGATGCGCCTGGCGCCAAGCCGGGGGACCCGGCACGGGAATATTTCACGGACCGCTCGCGGCGTTTCTGCATCCAGATTGAAGGTCGATTCAAAAAGCCGTGGTCGGGCGATGATATCCTATTTGGATCAGACTTTGACAAGTTTGTGCCGTTTCCACGTGCGCCTTTCAACGCAGGCATGCGTGTCGCTCGCATGATCGACCCGTGCACCTTTTACGAGGAGCACCCGCCGTCGGGCCGGCCGTATATCATGTCGCCGTATGCGGCGTGCATGAACGTCTTTTGTGCGTGGCCTTCGCCGGACCGGCTGGAGGACGCCGTCGTGGTCGAGCACGAGCATGGAGAGCAGCCGTCGCTGGCCATTGAGCACCAGAACGAGGGCGACGACTGTGTGCCGCTCGAGCGCGTAAGCCACCGGCCCGATTCTGCGACCCCCGACCACGATAAGAAGCGCGGGTGGATGGCGTCGCTGCGCTCGTCGAAGGAGACCCGTGAGATGGCCAACTACTGGCGCTTCATTGGCTTCCGCGACGACCCGCGCGTGAAGGCGTACGTCGAGCAGCAAAGGGCGCTGCCTAGCGCGCCGGCGCCATCGCCTTCGCTCGTGGCACCGAAAGCCGTGCGGGCTGCGGGCATGCGGCAGGGTATTGACACGCGCCTCATGACGAGTCTGGGATCGAGCCGGAAGCACGATCTCGTGCTCACCAAGCAGCACCACGACCGTGCCGACACGCCCAAGCTGCCGGTGTTTCTCTCGTCAAACCTGCACAACGACGCCGGCGAGCAATACACGATGGGCACGCCCGGGCTGACCCGGACGCCCGACAGCATCGCGTCAGGCCGAGACTCTGCGCTGTCCCAGTCGCTGATGCGCATGAGTATGACGCCGAGTCCGGCCACGTCGCTGCATGCACACTCGACGCTGGACGACTGGCTGGGCCCGTGGCGCTTTGCCGACCCGAGTGCGGACATGGTCGAGGACAATGCCTTCATCTTCACGGACCGGAGTGTGTCGGTGCCGAAGCGCCGCAAGCACTTTGCCGACGAGAAGAACCGCAAGGCGTTTGTGTATGACCCGAACATTGTGTATGGCGCCTCGTTCTTCTCGAACCTCTTCGACTTTACCACCTTCGACTTGTCGATTGGACCGGTGCATCTGAACGTGCATCCATTCTTTACCGAGATGCCCATCCGCTACACGCTGCGCTCGAAGACCAACGAAGAGGTGGTCTTTTGTACTATTTCGTTCCAACTGGTGAACTAGGCGCTCCGTCCGCCAGTTCGCCCGGGTCCGCGCCGGGGAAGAGCCACACATGGCTCTCGCCCACCCGCCGCGGCTCGTCCATAGACGGGGTATCTGAGAGCCGTTCGTCCAAGTATTGCACCACCCGATCCGAGTCGCCCAGGAGCATGACATCCATGGCCACATGCGTGATGGGCGTGCGGTTGATCAGGACACAGGGCACGGACGGCGGCAGGTGCGAAAGAAGATCGGCCACCGGCGCCACCTTCAGCGACGTGCCCATGACCAAGATGAGGTCGACCTGGTCTCGATCGGCCCAGACGCCTGCGTAAGTAGCAGCCACCTACTTTGCTCAAACGCATCCGGTAACTTTTCGTTAGCGAGCACGCGCACCTTTTCACCAAAGAAGGTAATGTCCGGCTTCATAATGCCATACGCAAGGTCGTCGTCCTCGTCGTCCGACTCCGTCTTCCGCCGCTTCGCCATGGCGCGCTCGCGCTCGCGCCGCTCGTCGCACCGCGGACACGATGGCACCCGCTTCGCCAGGATGTCGGCGCGGATGCTCTCGCCGCTCGTATGATAGCCACAGCGAGGATCCGTGCACGTAGCCGTCGCGAACGATCCATGGCACTGGATGACGCGCTGAATACCGGCCTTCTGCTCGAGTGTGTCGATATTCTGCGAGTACATGCGCAGGAGCTTGCCTTGCGTCTCGAGCTTGCGCACAAAGCGGTGCGACGGCGACGGCTGAAAGTGCGCGGGGTAGATCGAATGGCTGCGTGAGCGCGCACCACGTACGCAAACGAGTAGAACATGGACGGATCCCGCAGGAACGTGTCCTTGTCGAACATATCGGACGGATCGTCCAGGTCATACTGGTTCTCCTTGGCGAGAATGGCATAGAGGCCATCCTGGCATCAGCAAAGCAGCGCACCTTGGAGCTACGGTTAGCGCGCACACGTACCGAAAGTCGGGGATCCCACACGACACGGAAATGCCAGCGCCACACAGGACCAGGATGCGCGTCGAGCGGCGCAGCAGGTCGAGGACATCGTCGACGGTGTTGTACTGCGGCAGTTTCTGCCGCTGCCGCAGACTGCGTGAGTCGCACGCACGTACATCCGCGTCAGGACCATCTTGAGGACAGGGAGAAGCGAATAGGGCTCCGACTCGGCGACGTCAAGCATCGAGCGCGGCTGCATGAGTGCCGAGGACGTACCAGCATAACGCCGAGCGAGAGAAGCAGAGCAACGATCTGGTCAGTGCACACAACGCACATTGGATGGCTCAGGCAGGACATGGCGCCGCAGGCACTCCATCATGCCGTACTTTCGTAGGTCCACAATAATGCCGCGCACGTCGTCGGGCGTCATCGGCCCGTACTCGTACGAGTCGTCCGCGTCGTCAGGGGCGCCCTCCGTGCTCGCCGCCGGCGACGCCGTATCAAGACCCTCTCGCTCCATGTCCGCAAGCATCTCCTGCTCTGCCTCGTCCTCTAGCCGGTCGAGGTCCTCCGAGTCCAAATCGTCCTCGCGGTCAATGAGCCGCTCCAGGGCCGCTGCTTCCGCCGCCTCGCTCATTGTGGAGGAACGACACGACCGCCCACGACCCAATGGGGAAAAAGGCGCGAGGACGTGGCGGCCACCGCGGCCGCGGCCGCGGCGGCCCCGCACGCGGGCGCGCCCATGGCCGCCCTCGTCATGCACAGGGCATGGATATGGACCTAATGGCGTTTGTTGAGCTGCACGGTAAAGAGATGACCCAAAACGCATCCGGCACGGAGCGCAGGCGCGGCGCGCGTGGCGGCTCGCGCGGTGGCGGACGCGGGCGCGGATCGCGCGGCGCGAGAGGACGTGGCGGCGGCCTGTCTATGACGTCGCAGAACCGCGTTCCGTTCGATTACCGGGCCGCCAACCGCAACGGCAACGGGCCGCGCGCGCTGAACGCCACAGACCGCGAGCAGGACTGGGAGCTCGAAGAGAATGTGACTATGGAGGATAGCGACGAAGACGATGACGACGATGACGACGATGATGGAGATGACGAGGAAGACATTGTCATCGAGGCCCACAAGTCCGTGGAGAAAAGTGTGCCGGCTCGTCGCCGAATGGAGGGCCTGTACCTCAATGAGCACCAGCAAGTGGTCGAGAAGAAAGAGTACAATGTGCTGGCTATGCTCAAGCATGCGAATCCTCTGCGGCGCCCCATCCTGTTTGTCAAGGCGTCGGGGGTGTACGACAAGGGCGATGCATCGCCTGCGCCACCTGCTGCAGCGCCCCAGCCTGCACCCAAGGCAGCCAGCAAGCCCAAGCCGGCCGCCAAGGCACCACCCAAGACGGCTGCGCCAGCTTCTGAGCCACCTGCGAAGTCCAGGACTGCCAACGAGTCCGGGTCCTCGCGCGATGGACCTCGGCCTGCGTCCGGCCCACCTAGTGCGTCGAGCGCGCCTGCTCGCTCGCCGAAGCGTGCGAGGCAGGCGCCGCGCTCCGACTGGACCGACGACTTTCTGTCGCTTCGCCTCGCAGACCAGATCCTTGAGAGTGAGGCGCCTCGGAAGCCGGTGTCGGAGCAAGACGCCATTCTCGCCGACTGGCTCGAGAATGCCATGCTGGGCGATATGACGTTGGATGTGCCGGGCATGCCTGGGATCGCGACCGATCCGTTTGGCCCTGCAACGACGCTGGAAGATATCGCGATCGACGCACACGAGCGCGAGCAAGAGGCATGGGAGAGCGGGTCCGACAGCGACATGGAGAGCGACGACATCGACGACTGGCACGCAAGCATGCTGCAGCGCGTCGGGGCTTCGCCTGAGAGTGAGGAAGAGGACGTTGCGCTCAGTGACCTCGGGAGCGACGCATTTTTGTCGGACAAGGGGCGTGTGCCCGCCAAAGGTACGTATCGCGCACTCACGCAGCCGCCCGCGCGCCGCCCTATTCCCAGGACATGCTCTGGGCCGAAGAGCTCCAGGCGCAGTGGGAGAAGGACCGCTCGCGCAAGGCCTCCAAGAGGCAGCAGCGCCAGGCCGCGCGGCAGGCGGCCGCCTTTGATCCGTTCCCCAACACGCATGGCCACGCGAAGACAACGAAAAAGAGCAAGAAGCAGCGCAAAGAGGAAACACGCGAGCGGCGTGCTGCGCTCAAGGCACTGGTCGACGATGACGCGCCGGCCGCCACGGCGCCGCCCGACTCGTTCGCGCAGATCAACGAGTGGATCGTGCGCTTCCTCAGCGATCCCGAGCACACCACGCTCACTCTCCCGGCCATGCGCAAGCGCGATCGTGCGATGGTGCATAATATGGCGGACGCCTACGCGCTCAAGTCCAAGAGCCGCGGGCAGGGCCAGGCGCGGCGCCCGATCCTGTACAAGACGTCGCGCACAGGCACGATTGTGGACCACAAGCGCGTGTCGCGCCTCGTCCGCACACCATTCGGTACTATGGACGACGACACGTTCGATCACCGCGGCCTCGGACGCAGCGGGCGCGTGCGCATCGACGTGGCGCCGCGGCACCGCGAGGGGGCACAAGTGGGCGGTGGCGCTAAGCAAATTGCCGAGGACAACATCGGGCACCAGCTTCTGCGGTCTATGGGATGGACGTCAGGCGAGGGCCTGGGCCAGTCCAAGGGCCGTGCGGAGCCTGTGCTGGCCACCGTCAAGATGACCCGTAGTGGCTTAGGCATGTAGGCGAACGCGCCCCGCGTCGGGCCACGCGCGAGCGCGCGGGGGTCCAATCACGTGGCGTGGAGCCTCGACAAACAAACGCAGGCGGGCGCAGCGGCCGGTTTGTAGACGATCCATCGGTCGAGCACGACGAGGCGGGGAAGTGTGGATGGACAGCTACACGTACCGGTCCGACTCGCCGTCATGGGCAGATCCCATGGCCGATCGAGTGCGTGAGCGGCTCGAGCAAAGCGAGCATGCCATGTGGCTCTCGCACCCGGAGCGAGCTGACCCGCCGCTGCCGCCGAATGCACTGCAGAACGTGCTGCAAGCGCAGGCGCAGGCGCTCAACTCGCCCTCGACGTCATCGCTGCGTCTCGATCTCGGCCACCATATGTCGCCGCGGTTCGACGACGGCGCCGACACACTCGCTCGGCATGCGTCGCCGCGGCGCGCGGTGCCCAGCCTGCCGGATTTGCGGCGCGCGGCGCATGCGTCGTCGCCGCTCCCCGACGCAGACACACCAGGGTCCGCTCTCTCGCCGCGCATGAGCTCGCGCTCCGGCGTGCCGCCGATGCCCGCGGACGCCGCCTTGCATGTGGCCAAGGCCAAGGAGCAGGTCGCTCGCGCGCCAGTCGAGACGCCGAGCCGCCTCTCCATGCGGCGCTTCTCGTCCGACGACTCGTCGGAAGACGAGATCCCCTCTCCGTACGAGCGCCCACCGACGCCGCACTCGTTCGTGCGGCGCACACGCGCGTCGCCCCTGCCGAATGGCTCGACCCCGCCGCTGGAGTCGTGGGGAAAAACCCGCTCGCCGCCGCGCGCGCGTCCCGCGCTGCGGCGCACTGTATCTACCGTGACGATCGTGCGCAAGACGTCGTCGCGCGTAGTGCCAGAGTCCCTGTCGCCCGACAAGCCGCCCGTGCCGCCTGTGCCGATCCCAGGCCTCGCGCGCAACAGTACCAAGCCACCGACGCCGCCCCAGCCGGGCCTCGCTGACTGGACGTCAGCGCTCGACACGCTCGATGCATTCGAGCCCCAGTCGCTGGGCCTGTGGGGCGACCCTGAGCCCGACGCGTCGGCGGGCACCGTGGTCGTGCACGACGACGCCTCGAGTGAGTCGGCGTTTGAGGCGCCCCTCAGGAGCCCGCCTGTGCCGCAGGAGCCGAACCAATCGCAGATTCGACTCGTGGGTGGCCGAGGCGGCACCGACTCGCCCCGGGCGACCTCCGTGGGCAGTCCGTGGCTCAGTACCCCTGTGTCATCGCCCAGGCAGCGCCGCGTCGCTTCTGAAACGTCGAGCCAGGATGCAGCTCGCATGTCGATCCAGACGCTCACACGGGGCACGTCGACGCCCCGCACCGTAAGCACGCCGCGCGCTGCCGCATCCGGCGCGGCGCGGCCTCCCCCCGAGCCGACCTCGGTGCCGGTCGGCGCAGGGGAGTATCATGCGCCGATGGCAGAGCTGCAGCAGTTATCGCTCTCGCCCTCCGCGCCGCCCACCGAGCCTGCCGACGAGTCTGCCGACGAGCCGTCCGCCGGAGATATGGCCTCGACCGTCGAGACGGCAGGGCCTACGCCGCCGTCCAAGGACCACGATATGGTCCTGCCTGAACCAGGTACCGGCCCGAAAATGCAAGCAACGCACATGCAGCCGACCGGTGCGCCGGCCGAGGCCCGCGCTGCGATCGACGAGGCACCGGCGCAAGGGCCGGCGGCGCCACAGGAGCTGGCCGCGGCGCCGAGTGAGCGAGTCGAGCAGCCCGTGGCGGAGACGGAGGCGCCCAGCGCGGCCGACGCACCTCGCCACGCAGCGCCTGCGACGTCCCCGCCGCGCACGCCTCCCGCAGCACGCGAGTCGTCGGCCGTCGCGACGCTGCCCCCCGCGACGCCATCGTTTGTTCCATCCGCAGGCACCGAGGGTCCGTGGTCCGTCTTCGCCTCGCCAGTGCGCCTGCCGCCCGTACCGGTGCCGGTGCCTCGCGCGGTTGCGCCTGATCCACCTGCGTCCCAGCCATCGTTACCGAATACACCCACGAGACAGGGCGCATCGCGGGCACAAAGGCCCACCCAAGCGACGCCTACCGCGTCGCTCGATTCTTCGCCCACGAAAGGAGGACGGCCCGGCTCGAATCCGTTCCGACGGCCTGGCAGCACGTCGTCGCGTGCGGACCTGTCGTCGCATTCGTCAGAGCCACCTGGCCTCGGCCTCGACGCATCGCCTGCCGCTGTCGCCGGTGCGGCCGCATTCTTCCAGCGCCGCTGGCTGGAGAAGCCGACGCCTGTCACCAGGGACCCCTCGCCCGACACCTCGGGCATGACGCGCTCCCACTACGAGCCCGACGTATCATTGCAGACCATGCCGGGTGGCGGCCCTCTGGTGTCAGAGTCAATGGGGAATGAGTGGGCGAGTATGATGCTCGAGCCGCAGGACGACGACTCGGAGGTGAACGGTGGACCGGCGGCGCTGACGCCGCGCGCGCCGGACACCGGTGCCGTGCCGACGCCGCCGGCGCTGCCCTCACCTGTGGCAGCGCGCGAGCTCACCGGGCATCCCGGCACACTGAGCCCGCCCCTGACCAGTCTGGCCTCGTCGCCCGTACTGCGCATGCTGGGCTCGCCTGCGCAGGACACGTCGCCGCTCCGTGCCGTAGACGGCACGCCATCGAAGAAGGGGGTGCCTGTGACGAGTGTCCCGGTCCAGTCAACGCCCCCTGCACCGTCGACGCCGTCGCATGCGTCCAAGAAGCGCGCGCAAGGCTCGGGGCCATCGAACGATTCGCCCTTGTCCTCTCTGCGGCGCGGTCCATCCATGGCGTTGCCCGGCACGTACGTGCCGAGTGTGTCGACGTCGCATCCGCCCACAACGCCACCCACACCCAGCACACGGGGTGCCAGCAAGAGCAACGCAACGCCCACCCGCTCGACGCCAAGCAGGGCCCCTGCGCCTGCTGCTGCGCCTGCTGCTTCGCCTGCCCGCGCCCCTGCTGCTGCGCCTGCTGCCTCGCCTGCCCGTGCCTCTGCTGCTGCACTTGCTGCTTCGCCTGCCCGTGCCCCTGCTGCTGCGCCTGCTGCTTCGCCTGCCCGTGCCCCTGCTGCTGCGCCTGCTGCTTCGCCTGCCCGTGNCCTCTGCTGCTGCGCCTACTACTTCGCCCGTTTCCGCGCCTGCTGCCAGCTCGCCGCCGCGTATGGCACCACGCACAGCGCGTGATTACCCTGGCCTGCAGCCGCAGCCTAGTCTCGTTGCGCCGTTTGAGCTGCAGAACCGCCCACTCGTTCTTCCGACGGGCCCCGATGTGAAGCGCCCGCCGGGCGGGTTCTGCCTTGAGTGCATGATGCGCGACGAAGATATGATCGACGTCAAAGTCGATGACCCGGCCGTGTGGGAACGTGAGAGCGATGTGCAATTCTACGAGGCGATTCGCTGGGAGCACAAAGCCCGCGAGAAAGACTCACAGTCGAGCACCACCTCGCCGCTGCGTCATCCGATGCTGGGCACGCCGCTGACGCATGTGGCAGTGCGCCAGGTCGCCTCGGGCGACGAGCTGTCCGTGGCGAATCTACGGGAACACACAGCAACAAGTCGTCTCTCGACCACGGCCAAGGCACGCACCGTGCAGATGTTTGTGAAGCAGCAGCGCCGCATCCTTGGCCTGGACGACGCACAGGACGTGAGTGCCCATGGCCCCGCGCCTACTGTGCCGCCGCCTGTCTCGCCCGTGGCCACCGGAGCGTCGTGGCCTGCATACCTCTCGCCTGTGCTAAGTGTCAGCCCGCAGCCGAACCCGTACGCAACGCCGCCGCTCTCGGGGGCTCGTGCACCGGCGCCAGTGACGCTGGCTACGATCACTTCGCAGGCAAGTCACGGGGCGCCGGCGAGCCCGGTGTCTGCGCTGCGATCGCCTCCGCCGACTGTGCCCACGCCAGGTCTGTCGTTGCGCCCGACTCTGGATACGCCTGCTACGCCGCGAACCAAAGACACGACCGAGGCGCGCAGTGCGCGCAAGTCGGGTGAGAGTGCGCGCCGCACACGTCCCTTGCACAGCTCGCCGGAGCGACCGAGCACTAGCTCGTCGATGCGCTCGCCAAAGCGCCGCGAAGCGAGCGTGCGTCGCGATGGCACGCCTGCGTCGCCTGCCCCAGCGTCGCCTGCCCCAGCGCCACCTGCCCCCACGTCGCCTGCCCCCACGTCGCCTGCCTCAGCGTCGCCCCGCCGGCCGCGAGGCCACGCTGCTGCGCCTGTGCCTCCGGTTGTGCCGGCCGACGCAGCAGGCGAGCCCGACGCAGGTCTCACCAGCGAACTATCCATGGACGATGGTCCAGATGATGCGCACAAGAAGTCGGGTCAGCCGCTGCGCGGCTTCTTCCGCAAAAAGATACGTGGCGATGACGGTGACAGCATGCGTTCGCGCCGCCGGGCCAAGACCACGCAGGTCAGTCCGGACCTTTCTATGGACGACGACGATGCCAAGTCGTTCTGGAAGCGGCTCTCGCGTTCGCCCAAATCAAATTCATCGCACAAGTCTGGTCGCTTTGCATCAGTGAAGCTGCCGCCCCCTCCGCCAGTCCCCCCGGTTCCCCCCAACATGTCCCCGGCCACGGCCACCCAGCCCCACACGTAGCTGTAGCACCGTCATTAGAAACCTCCACCCCGCCTCCATGTCGCTCCAGCGGCGCTCGGTCGACACGCTCCTGTCGCGTGCGTGCGCCCATAGTGCGCTCGGACCGCATGACCCAGCGACGTCGCGGACGTTCCTGCGCGAGAAGTGTCGTGTGCTTGTAGTCGGCGCGGGTGGCCTTGGATGCGAGATTTTGGCGAACCTTGCCATGATGGGATTCGGACACATGGACGTGATTGATATGGACACCATTGATGTGTCGAACTTGAACCGGCAGTTCCTCTTCCGCGAGTCTGACATCGGGCAGCCCAAGTCGACAACGGCTGCAGCGTTTGTGCAGAAGCGCGTGCCTGGCGTACACATCACACCGCACGTGTGTCGCATCCAGGACAAGGACGAGGCTTTCTACATGCAGTTCCACCTCATTGTGTGCGGCCTCGACTCAGTCGAGGCACGGCGCTGGATCAATGCCACACTCGTTAATATGGTCGACGAAAGTCGTCCTGAGTCGCTCAAGCCCCTCATCGACGGGGGCACAGAGGGGCTCAAAGGGCAGGCACGCGTCATCCTGCCCACCATCACCAGCTGCTACGAATGCAGCCTGGATATGCTGCCGAAGCGCACTGTCTATCCCGTGTGCACAATCGCCAACACGCCCCGTCTCCCAGAGCACTGCATTGAGTGGGCCAGCGTCTTGGAGTGGCCGCGCGTGCGCCCCGGGCAGAAACTCGATACCGACGACCCCGAGCATATCCAGTGGGTCATGGATACGGCGCTGGCCCGCGCTCAGGGCTTCCACATTGACGGCATTAACTGGTCACTCACGCAGGGCGTCATCAAGAACATCATCCCCGCCGTCGCCAGCACGAACGCCATTATTGCTGCTGCATGCACGCAGGAAGCCTTCAAGATCGCCACGTCCACCGCACCCTATCTCAACAACTACATGATGTATGCGGGCAACGAAGGCATGTATACCTATACGTTCGACTATGCCCGGCGCCCCGACTGTCCGGTCTGCGGTAGCATCTCGCGCGCACTCGCGATGCGCAGCGCCGACACCCTCGAGAGCCTCGTGGATCTCCTACGGGAACTGCCCGATATGTACGTGTCCCCCACTCACCATCAGCCAGTGCAAGCGGCCCACCGTATCCAGCGATCAGGGACCTCTTTACTATACCGCCCCTCCTGCATTAGAAGAGGCAACGCGCGCGAATCTCGAGCTGACACTTGCGCAACTGGGCCTGCACGATAAGGACGTCCTGTCGGTGACCGATCCGCAGTGGCCTTTTGCCCTCCAAATTGAGTTGGCTTTGTCATAGAGCTCCTCCACTAATTGGGTCGTTTTTGTCGAGCCATGCCCAAGGCGTCCGGCGAGATGCCCTCGGCGGCCCAGTCTGCCGTGCTCATGCGCTCGGATCCCCTCCCAGAGAACACACCGCAGGCTCTGGGTCCACAGTTTGACACGCAGGACCCCCGAGATGCGTTTGCACTCATGAGCAGCATGGGCTCCATTGGCTTCCAAGGCACATCCGTGGCGGAGGCCGTGCGAATTATCGAGCGCATGGTATGTGCATCGTACTCACTCAGCGTACCTGGCGCCTTCGTGATGATCCGGCATTTCAAATGAGTGAGGAGGAAGCAGGTTTGTCCGAAAACGACCCGCGCCACCCCAACAACGTTCGCTGCACCATCTTGCTGGGCTACACCTCGAACCTGATCTCTTCCGGCTTGCGCGAAGTTATTCACTTCCTCGTGAAGCACAAGTATGTCTCGGGCATTGTTACCACGGCGGGAGGCGTCGAAGAAGACTTTATCAAATGTCTCGGTCCGACCTATCTCGGCCAATTTCACCTGGATGGCTGGTCCCTCCGCAAGCAGGGGCTGAACCGCATTGGCAACCTGATTGTACCGAACGACAACTATTGCAAGTTTGAGGACTGGGTCATGCCAATCCTCGACAAGATGCGCGCCGAGCAAGATACGGCGCCACCAGAGGAGAATGGCGAAAAATTTGCGTGGACGCCCAGCCGTGTTATTGAGCGTCTAGGACACGAAATCAACGACGAGCGCAGTGTCTACTATTGGGCCGCAAAAAATGGGATTCCCGTGTTTTGCCCTGCACTTACAGATGGATCCCTCGGGGATATGATCTACTTTCACTCCTACAAGAACCCGGGCCTGACCATCGACATTGTGCGAGACATCCGGCGCTTAAATGACATCAGCGTCAAGGCAAAAAAGGCAGGCATTATCATTCTAGGTGGTGGTGTTTGCAAGCATCAGATTGCCAATGCTATGCTCTTCCGTAATGGTGCAGACTTTGGCGTCTACATCAATACCGGCCAGGAGTTCGACGGGTCCGACAGCGGAGCGCGACCTGACGAGGCAGTGAGTTGGGGCAAACTCAAGAGCAAAGAAAACGGAGGCGATACTGTAAAAGTGTACTGCGATGCTACGATTGTATTCCCCTTCATTGTGGCCGCCACATTCGCCAAGGCCCACTGGGACGAGAGGCGTAGCGCCCAGCCATAGCCCAGGCTCATGCATAGTGCACACCTCCACTTACAGCACCTCCACTTACAGCTCGGCGCGTCCGCGAGACGTTTGCCCCGCTCCGCTGCTTCATGGCCCGTGTAGCGCGTAGCACGACCCGGCGCATTGCGCTTCTTCTCGCGCTTGTAGTAGCATTCATGGCTATTCTTCTGGGTGCACTCCCGATTTTCTCTCCTGAGACATTCCTTCCAGCCGAGCACCTTCAGGCCGTCCAGCAGTTTTTCCAGAAAGCAAGTACAGACTTGGATGAACCGGGGCCATACGTCGCCCGTGCCAGTGTCCATACAAATAATTGGGCCGTCCTTGTTTGTACGTCCAAGTTCTGGTTCAATTATCGTGTGCGTGCTTTTGTCCACTGACTTCAGCACATGGCCAATGTTCTGGGCATGTATCGCACTGTGAAACGGTTGGGAATGCCGGACAGTCACATTATCCTCATGCTGGCGGATGATGTCGCATGTAATGCTCGAAATCCCTACCCAGGGTCCGTCTGGTCAGAAAGCCACCATGACATTGACTTGTATGGAGACGACGTCGAAGTGGACTATCGCGGCTATGAGGTGACTGTGCCCAATCTTCTAAGGCTCTTGACAGGTCGCGTGCCTGTGCATACCCCGCGCTCCAAGAAGCTCGAGTCAGACGAGCATTCGAATGTGTTTCTGTACATGACAGGCCATGGCGGCGACGAGTTCCTCAAATTTCAAGATGCCGAGGAGATTAGCGCCTACGACCTGGCTGATGCCATCGAGCAAATGTGGGAGAAGCGCCGATATCACGAGCTGCTTTTTATGATTGATACATGCCAGGCAAGTACAATGGCCTCGCGCATCTACAGCCCCAATGTGCTTGCGATGACCAGCAGCGTGAAGGGCCAGAATTCCTATTCGTTTAGCAACGATTACGCTGTGGGTGTCCCACTAATCGATCGCTACACGCGTGCGGTGCTCGAGTTCATGGAAAGCGTCACCCGCACGTCTTCGCAGACCTTACAGGATCTCTTTTCAAATCTCGAAGGCCAGAACATATATTCCACGCCGACTGTTCGCCAAGATCTATTTGGCAAACCACTGAAAGACGTAAAAGTCACTGACTTTTTCGGGGCCGTAGCACAAGTGCAGCTAACATAATACCGGTTTGTAGCATGGTTTGTCGTACGTGTAATCTACTTGAATTCTTCTGCGTTGCCGGTCTGTCATTAGTCACTCTAGCACACACCATAATGAGGCCCACTGTCCGTCAGTCGACTCGAGCACGTACCGATTAAGCCAAAGAGACCAAGAATGCTGCTAAAGACCTGGAGTGTCAACATAATGCACATACCTCAACGACCAAGATTTTCACAAATAGTTGCGGGTTGGCCGCATCAGCCACCGCAGCATTGGCACCCGTAATACCCACGGACACACCACACACCAAGTTGCACAGTCCGACTGTCAGACCGCCCCAAAATAGTGCGTAGCCGGTGAGATAGTTTTGTGGGGTCCAAAGACCATTTGCACCGTCTTCTAGGCGCGCTGAAATCTTTGCAGAGAATACGATAGCCATGATAACGCCATAGATCGCGACCACTTCGCAGAAAATGATACTAATCAAGTTTTTGGTCGTAATCCGAGGGGACCGCACACCCGCGCCCAGAATCGAAGAGCCTGTAATAAAGATACCCCTACATTGTAAGCATTCATGACGAACCATCCAGCTCCAATGATACTAAGGCCAATGCACAGACCAATACCCGTGTTGGCCCACACATACGGGCTCACCTCCTCTAGAAATGTGCCCACGGCAAACTGGTCACCAGAACCTTCCGTAAGTATGATTACCACCAACCGGAAAGCACAAGGTATCCTGCCCCATATAATAAGACAGCGGCCAGGGCGCCGAGTGTGGTATAAGCGATCGCACCCATGCTGTTGGTCGGCGTGGAGAGGGCGCGGATTGCAGCCATATCGCAGGCCCGCGCTGACTAAACACTATAAACTATTGGAGAGACCAAAGATGGTTGAGAGGCACACGTTGGTAAATTCATCATGCTCCTGGAAGTACGAGTAGACCAGCGTGTTCATCTCGGAGCTTCGATCTTCGAAGAATTTAGGTCGATTATTGATGAGGAGATGCAAGGAAAAAGTTTCGTTGGACGAATGACTGATGGCGTTCTCTAGATGTACGCGCCATACGGCTTCATTACTTGCATCGAAAATATCAGCCACGACAGGAAGCTTGAGGGCCATGACAGGCTCCCAGTTGACGGGATATACGAGAGAAGGGTAGGGAGGGTATCCTAGGAGACTGGTCGATTCATTTTTGTTGCAACCAATGCGTAAATGCCGCAACAATATTAATAGAGCATGCGTTGCTAGTACCGTACGACGAATCGTTTCGCACAGACTCCACCAAAGGAAGCCAAATGGTTTCACATCAGTATCCTGCTGCAAAGACTTGGACCATGATTCCCAGGCGCGTTCTTGCAAATGAAGGCCTTCTCGAGCCAGAATGCTTACGATTGCTTGCAGGATATCAATCGTTTCCGGAATAAGCCGAGAGTACCATTCTCGACCAATTGCAGACCTTGGCGACCCGGGTGCCAAGTTCATAGGATACCTCACCTCCTCAAATACACTCACGACCGTGTAACACCACAGCGCCTGAACAATACCCACAAGCTCCCAAGCATCATCGAAACTGGTTGCAGGCTGCTCTATACCTTTTAACCAGGACTTTCCTTGCTCAATTTCGCGGACTTTGATTAGGATACCACGAGCTGTTTCAATAACAGATGAAAGTTCTTTACCGACAAGACGCCATATCCAACTTTCACTTGTAGGAAGGCGCATTGCAAGGGCAGCCAGCACCGAGCTCGCAATGGCCAATGGAGCTGGCAAGCGATCTTTCATTATCATTAGCAGATTGCGGTGCAAAAAGGGCGGATGTGGCGCACTAGGCTCACGTAGAAACAGAAACGAACAATAAGTTAGAAATCTTGACATTACAGAAAGCGATAGGGTAGATTTCGGGTCATCCGCTCGCAGAATATGCGAGACAGGAAAGTGGGCCATAGTGTACTTGTGAAACTGCCATTGGGCACTAGTGTCCTGTCTCCACCAGTCAATGGCACTGATAAAAGCAGGCGATGAAGTCTCGAAAGACTTTTTCGCTTCATTATCGATGCTTGCTTGTTTGTCCGAGGCTTCATTATCGGTGCGCATTTGCGCGTCTCTCGCTGTGGGCGTACGAGAAGCATCCGTCGCAGATATGAGACCATTCCAGCCAGTGCATGGACCCTGCTCATACATGGGTGACGGTACAATAGGCTCGTCTAGCCATGTATTCCAGTCTTGTGTGATGGCCCCGGCGATAGAGTTCCCCGGCGAAAGTGCCGAAGCCAAATTACGACTCGGTGTGATAGGCACTTGAAGGCCTGCAGGAAAGTTCAAATTCGATGTACACAGCCGGGTGAGCTGGGGCATCGCTTTTGGCGTTTGTTCGTTCGGCTGAGATATAGTCGGAAAGTTGGTATCCAGCGCAAGCTTTCCAGTCCTGTTTAGCATCATTGACTTGGTCGCATTAGTCGGGGCAACAAGAGAAGCACCTGTCATGCTAGGTATGGGCGCTCTCATTTGTGACAACATTGACTGTGGAGCCGAGGCAGACTCCATCGTGGAGGATGGCACAGTTGCGACGGAGGGACCAACACCCGTGGAGAGCGCTGGCCAAAAAGGAACGGTCGAAGAAAGTTGCGGCTGCGACACTCTGGCATTTGGAAAGCTCACGTTCTCATTTGAAGATTCTACCCAATCCAACTTCGTCATGCTGGATTCGATCGAGTCGGTGGTGCGATTGCCATCACTTTCATCGCCCGATGTATCCATCATCGAGAATGTGGGGAGATTTTTTGACGAAGACCATATACTGCTGTCGCTCGAACGACGCTTGATATCGACATCAAGTGCGTGGCTGGATGAACGTGGTACCAAATAGGATGCAGCACGCACGTCTTGGCTATACTCTTCTGTCCATGACGGTTGGAACGCAGACATGCTCCATTCCCGTGCACGCCGTGCGTTAGGATTGCCAGTATGAGGTGCATAAACACAGTTGATTCCACGGGCTTGGCAGCGCCCGCATTGAGGGTACGCCAAGTCGCATCGTGCCTTGCTCTTGGCACAAGCATAGCAACTTTTTTGGCGATCCACTGAGGGATTTGCCAGCGCACGGGCCTCCCGATGTTGATGCCTTCTGAGAAGATCCTCTGGATGTTAGCCGGCCCCTCTGCATACCTCTCGCGAAAGATTTGTGACAACGTTGACACTTGTAGCGGCCAGATCCATGCCTGGTCGCAGTTTTTCTTTGCGAATTTTCTTGAATTTCATCATCGCTGGATGCTGTGACCTTCTCATGAGCAGAGGCTCCGGCATGGCTCATTGTGCCGGAGCGGTCTGTAAGCCAGTCCTAGTAAAGCCGATACTTTACTGTATCTGAATCGGTCAAGCATTTCGCGACGTCGGAAATCCATTAACGTTTCGGCCGAAATATGCCAAGAATCTGCACGGACCTGAGATGCAACTCTGGTCGACCTGCACCCGCACAATGGTTGAATGGGTCACATTGCTAAGCGATGTGCGTGTGTTCAATCTTACTTCAGGATGGCTATCGTTTTGTGATTGACCGTGAATGGGCTATGCTGAGTGGAACTATCCAAACCATGCTTTCTATGGAGGAAGGCGGTTTCTCGGAGGCACAGAGCGGTGTTTGTCAATTGCAAATTCGGTAGGTAGAGGCGCCTCTGACTTTAGCGGTCAAGTACTCGAAAAGGTGGTCGAATACCTTCAGTGGCACGCGCGTAACCAGGACCGCTCTGAGTTTTCTATCAAAGACTTTGAGCGCAAGATACCACCTGAGCTGGCGCTCGAACTGTACGTCGATCCTACATATTGCAGCTGACAGACAGTTTGATGGCAGCCGACTTTCTGGAAGGTATGCCAGGGGTTTTCTGACCATGCAGTATGAGAAATATGTAGTGTACATTAGGTATCTATTCTGGCCCAGGGGCTGCCATCCGTTATGGACATATATTTTTCGGTTTGTCGCGGGGTCGTACGGCCCTGCGGCGAGCGGTCCGCGTTGATCACACCAAATGGCCGCCTTTTGGGTGTAAAGTCGCCTTGCTTGTGTATATCCAATGGGCTGGTTGATGGGTTTTTTGGCGTGGTCGTTCGTTCTTTACACGGTGTCTCAGCAGCGGCTCGTGGTCGCACGATGCGTCGTGCACTTCCGATTGATGCAGAGGAGCGCACAAGGGCGCGAGATCCAAATCTCATACCTTGCATGTCCATATCAGCTGCATCGATACCTTGACGCTGAGCCGAGCGCAAGCGTGCCTGCTCTCGCGCTAAGGCCAAGCGATATGCTACTCCATCGCTGGGATTCGAGCCGCGCGACGGCAAAGGCGGGATCCCTGTCTCCTGAAACGGATCAGCCCATGGCATGGGTCCAAAGTGGGCGCGAGAGCCAGTCACTTCAGACCGGGCCCCGCGCGTCGTCTCCTTGGGTGAGGGCCTTTCGATATTTTCTTTTTCTTGCTCCCGGAGAATGCCTGCCTTCGGAACAGACAATGGCCTCGTCAGAGGCACTCGCTCCTGCACCGGAGTTTTTCTCGTCACTCCTGGGTCACCAATGCGCTCTACCCGCTTGCGCATGCCAATGGCGTCCGTTGCAGCGGTCGACGGGCTTTCCGTGTCAACCGATTCGCGCTTGGCAGGCGGCACAGTCGCCAGGTATCGTTGCGCTGTTGCGGAGAGTGTCTCACAAAAACTAAATGAGCAAAAAACACATACCTCTCGCAGCGAGCAGGCCACAATGCTGCGTACTGGGCATAGACTTGCCGACCCAGGGCGCGAACTTGGGGGTTTGCATCGGTAACGAGTGCCTGCATAGCATGCTCAATACCCGCGACACGCCTTTCAAGTTCGTCAGCCCCACATACCTCGAGTAGCACAGCCAAAGATCCCGCCGCGCAGGACCGCAAAGTCGCAGCTTTCTCCTGCATGGCATGCAGTAAATAGGGCACGATTTGAGGCAAGTGACAGTGTCGACAAATTAGATACAAGCTCTTCTCCGCGCGGCGCAAGGCCACTTTGTTGGTACGCCCACAAATCTGTAGCAAGGGCGGCACAAAAATAGGAACAAGCGGCGCAAACCTGTCGCCTAGACGGGGCGCCATGGAATTCAGCACATCGCTGGCCGTGCCCGATAGGCGCGTGCGCTCAGAAAGAAGCTGCGGGTAAGGAAACAAAAACAAACCGATCGGACGATGCAAGGGGAAAGGTCGCGTACGCGCGCGACGTACGTGGGGACCTTCGTCGCACCCTCTTTGGTGAGTGCCTGGAACTGAGACAGAGCACGCTCGATGCGGTCCCATGTTTCTTCTGTTTCAGAAAGATTCATGGTAGGCACCAGGGGTGCCAAAGCATGCTCCAAATCACCCTCTGAGGCAATTAGGCCCATGGCCAGTGCAGACACTTGACGTAACGAGGGTGTATAAAGCCAGACTTTAGGCTGCGCCTGCGCCTAAACAACACTTTCTGTCGCGACGTGTGTCTATTCACGTGACTAAAAAACGAAGGGGAACATGATCTTACGCTGACGAGGGTACTGGTCGGCGAACTCCTTGCGGTAGTTCTTGTGCTTCTTGATGGCCCACAAAGTCATCTGCACCGTAGAAACGACAAGGAATATGAGGCCACTGAGGGAGAGAGTCATGAGAGTAATTGCGAGCCAGGCGAGCGACTCGAAGAAGTAGTTGGGGCAGCTCACTAGCTCAAACAGAGCGCCCCGGGGAATCTGGCGCACACGAGTGCCTTTCGGGCGCAGATTCATGAGAATGAGGTGCGACTGTAAGTTTCCCAGCTCCGCAATAGTCCACAGTAGAGAGCAGGCTCCAAGATACACGAGGTTGTCGCGGATCGTCCCTTTGACAGCCTGTGCGCCCAGCGATGGAGAGTAGACACCACCCGCAAGGAGTACACCGGAGAGCAACCAGTAGTGACCCGAGTTCTTGACAATGTTGAAGGCCGGCATTGTAGCATTCGAGAAACGGTGCACAAAGACCGTCTCGAACTCACGCTTGGCAAAGTGCAGCACCACCAGAACAAGGACCAACTTTTGCACGAGAGACTTGTCATACTGGAACCCGAAGTACGACCACACGAGAGGGGCCAGATAATAAATGATGGGGTGAATGAGCAAGGGGCCAGCATATTCGACAAGAAAGACAGTGCGCCAGCTGATCTGTGGGCCGAGATCCTTGACCGACAAGCGCGCGTTGTTCTCAATGCCCAGATCCGTGAGGCGCTTTTCGTCGCCCACCAATGGCCTCTTCTGAGCGTCTGTGAGACGTTGGCGCACGATGGGAAGTGCCGGAACCAAGTGGGCAATGCCATTCTTTAGCATTCCGAGCGTAGCATCCTCCGGCATGTTTATCTCCAGGGGAAAGTAGGCCCCCTTGATCTTCCCGCGACTCTCCACGAACAGTTGCATAGTAGGTGAAGCGGGAAGCGAAGCGCTCGCTCACATTTAGACCAATTCACTGCACCTGGGAATTATGTATGCACGGCCCATTCGCTTTATTCTTCCAGTCGCCTAATCACCATGGCGGACGATCAGGAACGCGCTTTTCTTGACTGGTTCACCTCAAATGGCGGCTGGATTGACTCTCGTTTGTCGTTGCAAAAGATACCAGGGATGGGCCGAGGCCTTGTAGCCCTGAGTGCGATCTCTGAGAACGATCGCCTGTTTTCTATTCCTCGCTCCATGCTCATGAATCTCGGCACTAGCGGTCTGCAAGCGGCATGTGAGGCTGCTGAGCAGGAGAAAGCGCCGCGTGAAGGACTTGCATGGAAAGACGTACTGGAGCATGGCTGGTGTGGACTCATTTTGATGCTCATGTGGGAGCACTGGCGCGCGTCTACGCAGGGCGAGACGACCGGCATGACCTGGGGCCCCTACTTTGGTATTATGCCGTCGACGTTTTCCACACCTATGTTCTGGACAGCTGAGCAGTTGGATATGCTCCAAGGTACTGACATTCAAGACAAAATTGCGCGTGCTGAGGCCGAAGAGGACTATTGTACCTATGTGCGTCCCTATATCGAGCAATATCCTCATATCTTTGTGGGCGTCCATGCGTCGGACTTGCATGCTGTGATCGAGAAGTACTACCATATTGAGATGTACCACCGCATGGGCTCGTCGATCCTAAGCCGCAGCTTCCATGTAAAGCGCGACCTTAGCCACGCCGAGTCCGACGAGGCGGACATTACGTTTGCCCCTGCCGAGGTCGCCGTGGAGCGTGCCATGCCTCGTGGCGACGAGGGCGACGAAGTGGATCACGAAGAGTCGGCTGAGATTGACATGGACGAAAATGATGAAAGTGAGGATGAGGAGAACGACGAAGACGTCCGGGACATCTCGATGGTGCCGATGGCGGATATGCTCAATGCCAAGTTTGGCTCGGAAAATGTATGTGGACGCCACTAATGCAGACACGCTGTTTCTACAAGCGCGAAGCACTTGAAATGCGATGCACCAAGCCGATTCAGGTCGGCGAGCAGTTGCTCAACACCTACGGCAACCCGCCCAATAGCGACCTACTGCGGCGCTATGGTTTTGTGGATGAGCCCAACCGCGGCGATCTGGGTACGTTGCATATATCTGATCCTAGTCGAACTACCTGCGATGACCGTGCTAGAGGCAGCGGTTGCCAAGCTGACGCAAATCACTGGCGCCCCCCAAGATACGATCGCAGCTTATCTGGGCCAACGATTCGAGTGGGCTTGCACGGAATTAGGCATGGATGAAGTGTTTTTGCTCGCACGACTGAGCAAGCCGACGCCCACCCCACCTTTTAGCTCGACGCTCGACTTGCAGCCTGGTACACTGTCGTCGTCGGAGAAGCGCACCTTGAGCCGTGCGGCGGGCGAAGTTCCCGACGACCTCGTCGGGTTCGCGCGCCTACTGTGTGTCTCGCAGTCTGGGTTTGAGCGTGCGCAGAAGAAGGACGCCTTGCCTTCAGCACGCCTCGATGCTGTCGAGGCACTGGACGAGGGCTGGCCCGGCTCACCGCCTGCCGGTGCGGCTCTGGCCGTCGCTTCTCTGCTGGCCGACGCTGTGCAGCGCCGTGCATCGGTGTATCCTACTTCATGGTCCGAAACCGCGTCGCAGTTGGCCGCATGTGCACCATCCACGGAAGACCCGCTCCGCATGGCACTTGTCGTCCGAGCCGGTGACCAGGTGATCCTTGATGAGCATCACAGGTTATTCACGCTTCTACTGGCACATGCTCGGGCAGAAACAGCGCCATCAACCGCCGCAAGCTCTGTGAAAAAGGCACGCAAGTAGTCTTACATTCATATAGTACATACGGTGGCTGGTATATAATCATACAGAAGCAGTCGCTAAGCCCGTTGCATGACTGCGCTCCATTGGCGCGGACGTGGTATTAACCGATTTGGATTGTCCAACGACCATGTCCCGCGTAAAAAGTCGGGTCTCTGACGACATCGGCTCGCCACCCCCGCTTCCTCGTGCCAATTCCATAGGGGAAGAGACGTGACTGGGTAGCGGTCGCACCGGAAGGGCCGAGGCATTGGTGGTGTTGGGCATTGTCTTACGCACAGCGTTTGTCATGGTGCGCTCGCAATGGTGACGACGAAGGGCATCCCGTCGAACGAAACCACGCCCACACTGCTCGCACCTGAACTTCTTGCCAGGTGCTCCGAGGCCCAGGCTCGCGAGACCGCCAGTCTCCTGTCCTTCTCCCACCTCTGACGTATCACCGTGGACCCCAGGTTCAGGTTCCCATTCATGCACGCTTGCTACATGCCGCTGAAGGTCATGCTTCCGAGAGAATGAGCGACCACCCTCAGCTCGACATGAACGATATGGACAAGGAAACGGCTTCGCACGCGATGGGTCCGGGTCATGTGTGGAAAGGTGGGTATTAAGATTGTAGGCTCTGGCGAATGCACGAGAGCATTTGGGGCACTGGAACCGTTTCTGCAACGTCTCCGTTGATTCGGGAATCTTGGCATCACCAATCTTGGCCCGTTTGTTTTGCTTGCCATCGACGCCCATCGTGCATTTCGATAATGTACTGGATGGATCATCTGCCATAACCTGTCCTGTAGTAGCAGTGTTGAGCAGCGGGGCCTTAGTAGCAGAATGGCTGGGCACTGTCAGGTTCAAAGATTCATGGTGTTGCAAGGCAGCTGTCTGTGCCAACTGATGGTGCGCATTCAGTGTTCTTACAGCATCTTCGATGACCTGTCGTTGCTTAAGTTCGTCATCCAGGAAGGAAGCATTAGGCAATGCACAGGGTAAGTTAGAGTCCCTTGTCACAATAGGTGCTTCACCTTGTACGGGCTGTGCCGAAGCAGTTAGGTCATCAATTATTGCGGGCGTTGACGCGGGACTCATATCCGGACGCGCAGTGGCGTTTGGTGTACTGAGCGCCACGGAAGGTGGGGATATCTGGGACTTTCCAATCAGATGACCATCCACGGAAAGGTTAGAGTCCTTGACGGCTGTGTGACGAAGCATGTACAAGTAAGCGTTCGAGGATGAGGGCGTAAAAGGGGCCAGGTCAGGGGACGGAAATGGTCCTGAGGTAGGGTTCTCCAAGCTTCCAAGCCTCTTTGATCGGTACTCTGCAGGCTCTTTGTACTGAGTCGCAGCAGCTTCTGACGCTACTGATGCAACTGTGTCCAGATGAATACTGTGGTCAAACGGCGTACAGGGCGGGGCAAAGAGGGAGGGAGTTGGAGTGGCGAGCGAGGATGGCACCACGGGACTCGAAACACCCATTGATTTGTTGTATGAGCCAATATCCGTGGACGACGCTCTCTGCGAGGGTTCGGACACGGCGTCGGGGCCGCTAGCTCCGGGCACGTCCATGGTGGGCGCCAGCTTATCTGACAAGGAAAGCAACAGGCCCATACCAGGATGATTACTGGAATCTTGCAAAGATGCCTCATTTTCAAGCTCCTTCAGCGCTGTCCCCATGAAATCCTGGATATACTCTTCCTCTGCCGTCACGGGAAATTGAGAGCGCGACGTAGAATCCAACTTTGGTGAGAGTGTCTGAGAGCTCATTGCGGGAGGTACAGACTCGCGAACATGAGGCGCATTGAGTGGCATGCCCGTCTCCATACACGGCTCCCTATGTATCCATGCAGATGCTTTCCGGTTGACAACAGGGGAGGATACCCTGCCTTGCAGCTGTGAGTTGGACATGTAACGTCGAAATAAGGACCGGCGAGTCTGAGAACCTGCCTGAGTTCGTCACACCGCCGCTCTCTTCAAATATAATGTTGAGCCTAGTCCTCGTCCAAGGAATGAATCTGGCTCACTGTTGGTGCTAAGTACAGAGCCGTGAATCAGCGATCAAGTGTCAGAAAATTTCCATCTGCCCTTTTGGACAACATTTGAATCACGTGTTAAGTCACCTGCGCCTCATAGTCATGGTCTATTCACTCCTATTTTAGTTCCAAATCCAGCTATCTCCAGCACCACGCCCAGCTGTAACCGACGCAGATGCTACAGGGGAGGCAAGCGGAGCAGGGTAGTCGGGATCACCTGGGTCCGTGCTTGGGGTTGCATCGCAACCTTTTGAGTACAGGCTGTTGCGCGGCCAAACAGCACCGTAGCCGCCATCCTCGCGCTTACCTCCCCAGACAGTCAAATTGGCGTTAGTGTAAGCCTCCATATGCCGATTAATGTAGTCTGCCGTGGGCATATCATCAGGATCACAACCAACATCAATATTGTCGGGATCTTGGTACAATCGCACCCAATCGACAGCCATCTCGAAGGGAAAGCCAGGCGTAAGTCTTTCCCAATCAATATCACCGAAGTTTCTCGAAACACCCAAATTAATGATAATATACATGGGCTCCACGGGAAATTGGCGCTGACCCACTTTAGAAATAGAGTCAGGAATAACAGCTTGAGGATACAGCTCCCAAGCTGGCTGACCGCCACTGGTCCAAGCGACATACCCATCGGGGCCGCCCTGGTACTCCATAGAATAAGTTGCGAAATTGGTGGGTGAACTTGTATCTTGACTTTCAGCCACATGTTGAACGGCTTGTTGGTCGCCCAAATGAACACCACTTAATGACTGTTGAGTAATCTCGCCGTTGTAGAGGTTAATATCATTCACCCCCTGAGAGTAATTAAAAATGTGATAAGCCGCTGTTTGGTTATCGTGTGTGATGTTGTATTTCCAGTTGTAAGGGGCCATCTGGCACGATTGAGACACAACAATACCTTTCTTCTGGTCTGTTTGCTCCTCAAACATATCAATTTCAGGTGCAGAGCGACCGACATATTGATTGTTCTTGCTATCCCAGGGGCCAGGGTGATCATCACCTTTGCATGTGCACCTTGACAGCTTCTGACCAGGAAGGAACGAAATTGAGCGCGTGTTGTGCTGCTTGTTAAACACTGTAGCACCACCTAGCGTCGTTGCGCCTTCGGGAATTCCAGTGGGATTCTCGGGAGTGAATAAAGTCTGATTTTGCACAGTTCCCAAATCGCACACGTCATAAGAATATGGCCAGGTACCCTGTGTAGTAGCACCATAGCCAGCACGACCAAGGTTTCCCATAGTCCAAATGGCTGGCCAAAGACCGTTCACAGTTCTAAAGCCAGGCATTTGAACACGAGCCATAAATAAGCCACCCCGGTAGCAAAATTTGTTCCAAGACTGTAGCATACCGCCACGGAAGTTTAAATTATGCTCTGGGTGTTGCTCAAGACGCACCCGAAGCGATCCATCGGCTGTGTAAACTGCCGCAGGATCATACCACTCATAATTTCCTGTGGCCCAGTAGTGCAGATCCACAGCCTCCCAAAAAGGGTCCTCGCCCGGATAAAAGCTACGCCCAGGGACGTTGAATTCGTCAGAAAACACGAGTTTGAGTTTTTTACCGCTTGACTTGGAATAGGTACTTTCCATCTCGTAAGCCGAGGCGGGGGTATCAGGGTCGATAAGCATACTAGCATCGCGACCAAAAGCATTGGAAAGTTGTGAAGAGTTCGCGCGTTGCACGGGAAACCTTGGTGGATAGTTAGTTCCTCGACCCAAGACTTTGTCGAAAAGATCCATGCGGTTATTTTGATCGGAATCCTCCGTGTAGTGATGCAACACAGGATAGCCCACAAACAACATCAACAAGGCTAAACACAGGACAATGAGGGTGCCCACATTGAGGATAGCACGCATAGGCTCAAAAGAGCCCTTCAAGGGCTTAGCCGGGTCATGAAGGTCATCGTCGATATTGCGCCCTTTCACGCCTTCCATCCACCCATAAGGTGCGGACTCCATATCTTGGCCATTCTCCACGGACCGGAAATGGTCATGTTGCATTGAGGAAGGGGAGACAGCGGAGGGCATTTGCGGGTGACCCGCCGTTGACGGGGCATCCAAATGGGCTTGCGTGGACGGAGCACTTCGAATCGGCGTGCTCGGTGATTGAAATTGCTGCGGAGAGCTGACAGAGTTGTGGCCGGACGAAGCATCCGCCCAACCAGTATGCGATGATGCGATAGACATCGACGCATGCGATGACGGTGGCGGGCCCGTCGTCATTGTTCCGACGCTAAAAGACCAATGGGCCTTGGTCGGTAGGTTGATTGTCAATAGCGGCTCACTTTGTTTGGGAATGCCTGGCAGCTTAAAATTACGAAAATACCACTGTGAGGCAGTGCACGCATTGGCTCGGCTGCACAATAAATAAAGAGCCAGGAATGGGCCAACTTATTTATCATTAGTCATTCTTCGGCACGGGCGGCCTGCGTCGACTCAACCCAACTTGCTTCCTTTTCATTGGCGAACGAACCGGTATTTACAGACGGCCCTAAACATCATATTGTTGCTACCAAGTAGTTCATCCTAGAGACCAAGAAGTTGTATATACCAGTAAAAGAAAGCAATCCATCCAAGCTACCAGGTAGTTCAAAACTAATTTCCCTGAGCACCGGCGATTTTCGTGACCTGTGCGGATGGGACCGGCGATGCCGGCGTATAGGACCAGCTTGGATCACCTGGGTTTTTAGATATAGTACTTGGATCACAGCCTTTGATGTACATTTTGTTTAGCGGCCAATCACCCTCGTATCCACCGTGTTCTCGAGAACCACCCCAAGTTGTCAGATTAGCATTCGTGTATGCTTCCATATGTCGGTTAATGTAGTCGGCCGTAGGCATATCGGCAGGATCACAGGTGGTATCCGCTTCCTCATCATCGGGATCCTGGTACACACGCACCCAGTCCACAGCCATTTCGAAAGGGAAACCGCCAATCAGTTTGTCCCAACTTATATCACCAAAGTTCTTGGAAATACCCAAGTTTAGCAGAATATACATAGGCTCTTTGGGGAACTGGCGCTGTCCGACCTTAGATAGCGGATCGGGCCCAAGGGCTGCGCCATACACTTCCCACGCCGGCTTACCATTACTGGTCCACGCGACATAGCCATCCGGTCCTCCTTTATACTCGGCAGAATAAGTGGCAAAGTTATGTTTCTTCGGATCAGTGTCAGTATCATTGACAACATGTTGCACAGCTTTCTGACTGGCCAGGTTAATACCACTTAGAGATTGCTGTGTGATCTCGCCATTGTACAAGTTGATATGACTGAAGTCATCATCCCACTTATAGAAGTCGTACAATTTTGTCTGATTCGCGTAAGTAATATTGTACTGCCAATTGTAAGGGGCAATTTGGTATGATTGCGATACTTGTAGATAATATTTATCGTTATTGACTTGGGCCACCTGGGCTTCAAACACGTCAATTTCTGGAGCTGCGCGGCCAACAAATTCCTTCGCTTCTTTGTCCCAAGGGCCAGGATGATCTTGGCCTTCGCAGGTGCAACGCGAAAGCTTTTGACCTGGTAAAAATGAAATGGAGCGAGTCTCATGCTGCTGGTTAAACATGGTGGCACCGCCCAGGGTAGTAGCATTGGCGGGATTGCCTTTAGGATAATCATCATTGTACTGGGTCTGGTTCATCAATGTGCCAATATCACATTGATCGTAGGAATAAGGCCATGTTCCTTGCAACGACGCACCGAAGCCAGCACGTCCCAAGTTCCCCATCATCCATATGGCAGGCCATAGACCAGCCACATCCGCATAACCTGGTAATTGGACTGAGGCAATCAAGATACCGTTGCGGAAGCAGAACTTGTTCCAAGACTGGATCATAGCACCGCGGAAGTTTAAGTTATGCTCCGGATGCTGCTCCAGACGAAGCCGAAGCGAACCATCACGAGTGTATGCAGCCGCAGGGTCATACCATTCGAAGTTATTAGTTCCCCAGTAGTGTAGGTCCACAGCCTCCCAGAAAGGATCCTCACCTGGGTAAAAGCTACGCCCATCGGTGTTAAATTCATCAGAGAACACAAGCTTGAATTTCTTGCCATTATTCTTCGAGAACGTGCTCTCCAACTCGTAAGCCGACGATGGCGTAGCAGGATCGATAAACATTCGCTGTTTAGAATCGAATTGACTCGTCTGATTTGCCCGTGCAACCGGAAACCCAGGCGGATAATGAGAGTTCAGAGGCATAAGCTGATGAAGAGCGGTGTCCCGATCGTTTGCCTGTTTGTCGACAGTGTATTGATGTAAAATGGGGTAGCCTGCAAAGAGCATGAGAACTGCTAGCACCAGGAGTACGATTGTACCGACATTGAACAAAGCACGCCAAGGCCTGAGCGATCTCTGCGTTACACCCACCGTAGGATCGTGCAAATGGTCGTCTGCCTCCTTGAAGTCCACCATGGTCATCCACGGGTACGGGTTCTCATGCTCAAGTTCCGAATTCTCACTCATGTCATCGTGATAAACATTTCTTTCGTATAAGGACTGGTTGCTCGTAGCGTCAGGCAAACGCATGCTGTACTGAGACTCCTTGGAAGACAAAAGTGGATAGCTTGGGGCATTTTGAAGACTTCCCAGGGGCGGAGGAGGGCTTCCTGGTGAAGACAGGTATCCATTATTTCCATCGGGTGCAGGATTCAACTTGCTAGCCTCCGTAAAATCGCCGTCATAGAAAGATGCATTTGCACTGCCAGCAGGCGAAAACATCTGGTCGGAATCAAAGGTAGGAAAGGCGCCGTGATGAGGGTCGCCTTCAACAGCCACCTGAAGAGGCAACATGCGTGAGTCCATATGGTCTATAGGTGGACGTGATCCATTCATTTAGCTCGGGACGAGGACGAGAGTCGAAATGTAGTGCCTTCCCTAAATCACACGCATGTCGGGGTGATCAGCATCCATTGTGTGGCTTAGAAGACCACCTTGCAGGACAAATGGCATTTTTCCCAACCAGAGGCTAGGTGACGCTCCAATGACTAATGTACTGCCACTATGATTTGTTCGCTTACTAAAGGTAGATGGTTTGGTTTAGGAACGAGCCGATTTTCCTCGAGGTGCTTTCCCGCTGGCCGGCGTAGGTGCATTCTTGCGTTTTGGGGGGGCTGCCCCTTGACGCGGTTGAACGCTGGCGTCAGTTGAGGGAATGGCCTGAACGTACGTGAAAAAGCCATCCAGCCGGCCCTGCTGTTTCTGGCCGACCGCCTTGGACAATTTTTCGCAGCCACGGCGTACTCGGTCCTCGCTATGATGTTAGTGACATAGATAGCTCACCTGAACCCTTTGTCGGCACAGAGGAATTGCACGAGTTCGTCCGTCTTGGGGTGATCCCACTTGAGCTGGCGTAAGCGGCGTGCGTTGCTATACGTACCTGCACGGTGTTTCCGTCTTGGACCTGAGGGTCTCGGAAAAGCACTCGGGCCTCTTGGTAGGGCCAAAACTCGGGCACTTGAATCGCACCCCGCTTTTTCGGCGCCTCCCCATTTGGCTCGTCTGCTAGTATATTAGATTCATGAACTTCTTCATTTTTCATTCGTTCGCCCGACTGCAGGACTTCGAGGACTTGGTCTAGACTCTTGTGTTCTCGGATTAGTTTGAGAGCTTTTTTGGGGCCAATCCCTTTGATGGGATCGAGGTAGTCGCAACCAAGGAGCATGCAGAGGTCAATAAACTGCTGCATGGGCATGTCCAGCTCTTCTAGAGCCTTGCTTAGATTGATTTCTGTCACAGGGAGCTTTTTCTGTTCACTCGCTGTGAGGTTTTTCAGCAAAATAGGGGTACCAAAAGTCAGCGTATCCATATCTTCTGAGCCTGCTGCGTAGACCTGCGATATGAGCATACAAATACGCACTTTGCCTGCGCGTGCAAGCTCAGCACACTGTGCTTCTGCCTCACAAGGGGCCTGCCATAAGCTTCCAAAGTACACACCACAATCCAGGGAATTCCCATGAGGGACAGCAGGCGCTGGACCTCGGCATTATGTTCGCGGGTCGGCCGCACTTGGCGCCGAGCCAGCTGGTCGAGCTTTTCTGCGTCGGCTGGGATCAGCAGCTAGCAAGACGCACCGATATCTTTTTGCTCTTCCTCTTGCTCACGCGCTTCTTCTCGTCGACCAAAGCGCTGCGCGAGCTGTGCCTATTAGTGGATAGTACATACCACTTCTTTTTTAAGGTCCGGCGGCTTTCCATCGAACACATAGACCGGCTTGATTCCATAGTCAATCATCCTAAGTGTGCGGTAAAAAAAACCTAGTAGATGACTGGTGATTTCGCCTGACTCGGACATCATCTGCTGCCCATCAGCTTGGCGGACGGCGATAAGAAATTGATACAAGCTCATGGAAGCGTCAATGGCCACCTTACGCCCGAAGAGTGTTTTTATGTCGAGTTGCTTGATGCATGAAGGTGCCTCATCAGATAATAGCGACGTGAGTCCTCAAAGATGAGTGTTGAAGAGACGTACCTTTGATTCCCATGGTGCCTCGACACAACGCGAGGCAAGAGTACGCGTAGAGCAGCGCGTATGTGGAGGGCTCACGTGGCCGCCCATGGCTGGAGATACGCGCCGAGGTCCTCGCTGACCATCCAACACGGCGTGCCCGGACGGCACGGCTGGAATGGACGAGGATGGCGCCGATGAAAGCTTTGACGATCCCTGGTGGGACGAGCTGGCTATTGATAACGAGACTGAGTCACAGCTCCAGGTCGTCGAGCAGATAGGCCAGCGATCGCCCGCAGCCACACCAGATGACCCGGCGCTTCACGCTCTCCAGGCGCAGATCCAGGAGGTACGAGAGGTGACACATTGACAGCAGCTTCGTGCACTACAGACACATCAGGAGGACTTGATTGCTACACTTACGAAGAAAAATCAGCAGCAACATGGCGAAATTGCCGTTGTTCGAGCGAACTGGAACCGTGTACAGCAACAGAATTTGGATTTACAACACCGCCAAAGTGACCTCGAGAAAGAGTATCGGGCTAAGCTCGAAGCCGTGCAGCAAGACAATCGAAGGCAAATGGAACGACTGGAAACGGCCGCGGCTTTTCGTGTACGTGCTCTTGCTGACGCCAGCGGATTGAACAAGATACCCACCGTGCCGCCTGGCCATCTTCCGTGCGGCGGCGAGCGCCTGTCATGCTCGATGCTATCAAGACAACGCCTGGCACAGATGCTCTTGTCACACCCGCCGCGCGCGCATCCCTGCGAAATTTCTCGTCGCAGGGCTCGCCACTAACACACCAACGCAGCAAGCGCCCGCGATGCACGCAGGAGACTGGGCTTCCCACCCTGCGCACCGCCACAAAGCGCGAGTTTCCTCACTTTGACAACTCGTTTTTCCCGCCATCGCCATCACCTACGAAGGCAGCGCCGAATACGGGGCTTGTTGCGCCGCCTTCGCCGTTGCTCCCGCATCGTCGCTCGTCCGATGCATCTCTATCGACGCCGTCTCCTGAGCCCATGCCGTCGACTACTTCTGATAAGGCGGTGGATCCTTATTCCTATGTGCTTGTGTGTGTGTTTGTGCGACAGACGCGTTGGCTCAGCCATGTGCTGTGTCATCCATGCCAGGCGCACGAGGTCGGTGCCCTCGGGCCTGGGGGCGGTCCTCCAGAGCCGTCGTCTGCGTCAGTGTTACTGCACATGCTCGCACTTATACTTCCCGAGCATGTGCCTGTCCCGCTGCATGAGCGATGGAGGCACGCGACCGAGCAGCTCTGGCAATGTGTCCTGCGTGGCACGTCGTATGCTGCGTTCCACTCGGACTGTGGAGGCATGGTGCAGTTGATGTTGGGTGAGATCGCAGATCAGACCGTGGAGGATCCACGCGTCCCGCTGAACAATGCCGTGAGCCGTGTGTGGGCTGCACAGGCGGACCGGCTCTATGGCACTGTAGCCGGCACAATCTTGACCATGCTGGATATCCTTTTGTCTGCTGCATGGCCCCTGTGTCTGTGTGAGCTGTTGGGGTGGATCGCCGCTCTAAGCGTAGCGCACCCTGACTTTGCACCGTACCTTCTAAAGAGCCTACGCGTGCTATGCTGGGACAAGGAAGCAGCTGCATCGACGCGCACAGGGTCCCAGACGCCGTCATCGACGCAAGCGTCGCCGTCGACGCCCCGAACAGCTATGCACAAGTCACTGATGTCGATGCTAGTTGAGTGCCTGCGCCTGACTACATGCGCTGCGGACACGGGCGAGGAAAGGCTGTCTGCGGCCGAGCAGCAAGCGCTGCGCCTGAGTGTGGTGCGTGTATGCCATATGGTTGCGTGGACACAGGCGCCGTATGGACTGCAAGAGTATGTATCGAGTACTGACGCAGTTTGCAACCGTTCCTGAAAACACCGGGCCTGCTTCTGTTCCTCCTGAGTAAGCCGGATCCCAGTGCTGAGGTGCTTGTGGAGACGATGCATCTTCTTACAGTCATCGCAGGAGACCCGCTAGCGCTGCACCTGTGCCTTTCGTCGCAGTGGGAGCCAGCGTGGCAGCCGGCGATGAATTTGCGCCTCTCTCAGGCGCGCTTCCCTATGGTCGATGTGCTCGCAAAGCACCTGATCGACCGGCGTAATGATACCCCGCCTCTTGAGAGCCACCAGGTCCACTCGTCGATCCTGGCATTCTTGGCCCATGCGATGCGCTGGGCGGATACCTCAGTGGTGCTGGCCGATTCGACGACACTGCTACCTGCGCTGATCCAGGTTCTGAGCTGGGATGTTCAAATCCTGTGGAATAGCGAGCCGGCTGTGCCTTCGCCTGGCCTCCTGGCCGCTGAGCGGTACGTGTATTCGACTCATGCAGTGCGTTGGAGCGTGTATGCCAAAGCACACAGTGCTTGCATGGCCTCTTTCTTCCTGAAGGCCAGCCGCCTCGTCACTTGGCGGAAAAGCTGTTGGCGCCTCAGGTCCAGAGCGTATTGCATGGCGTGCGCCATGCATTTGTGATGGCCGTCGGCCGCATTGCCTTTGCGAGTGAACCCGACTGGCTCGTGCTCCCTGGGCTGTCGGAGCCAGCGGCCGTGGAGCGTCGCAACCGCATGCGCACGCAGCTGGAGAGTGCTGCAGGTACGCCTCTCTGCTGACAGCAGCGCTCGCAAGTGAGCTGATCGACTTGGTCCTGGCGCCCAATGAGACGGATGAGATCTACGAGCTACTTGCGGACGAGGGCGACTAACTACAGCGTTGGGTATACTTGGTCCAGCGCACGGTGCGACCAGGCGCGTTGGTGCGCGCCCGGCGCAAAGGCGCCGGCCGTCTGAGCCCCCTCGCCGGACGAACGCAGCACGTACTTGTAGATGACAAGCCCCTCGAGGCCGACTGGGCCCCGGGCGTGTGTACGGCCCGTACTAATGCCGACTTCCGTACCAAAACCAAAGCGGAAACCATCGGCAAAGCGCGAAGACGCATTAACAAAGACGCTTGACGACGAGACGGAGCGAGTGAAGATCTCCGCGGCGCTGGCGCCTTGCGTAGCGGCGCCCTCATTGAGGGGCTTGCACAAAATCACGTCGGTGTGTCCAGAGCCATGCTGCTGAATATGATCCACAGCCTCGTCGACGCTGCCGACGATGCGCACAGCGAGGTCCAGGTCCAAGTACTCAGTATCGTAGTCTTCCGGCGTCGCAGCACTTACGAGCGAGCACTCCATGTCGGTCAGACCACCGTCAAGGCAGGCGCGCGCCTCATCATCGCAGTGCAGGCGCACGCCAGCAGCCAGAAGGGCATGCGCCAGGGTGGGCCACAGACCCGACACACAGTGGTGCCGGTGCACAAGGAGCGTCTCGATGGCGTTGCAGGCACTCGGGTAGTCCAGCTTGGCGTCCAGCACCGTTTCGATCGTGAGGCGCTCCGGCGCATCTTCGTGCACGTACGCGGCGCAGAGGCCATCTGCATGGCCCATGACTGGCATGCGCGCATCCCTCTGGATCGCCTTCACAAGTGCATTGGAGCCGCGGGGAATGACTAGATCGATGTAGCGCTCTTCGTGCAGAAGGGCTTGGATCTCGTCGCGCGACTGCACGGTCTGGATTAGATGACGAGGAAGCTCGCTCTGCTCCAGGGCCGCAGCAATGCACCGCGTGAGCACGGCGGCCGAGTGCTTGGACTCCTTGCCACCCTTGAGAATCGCTGCGTTGCCCGACTTGATCGCGAGGCTCGCAATGTTCACAATAACCTCAGGTCGCGCCTCAAAGATGCACAGTAGCACGCCGATCGGGCACGTCACACGGTACAGGTCCAGTGAGCCCGTCGCGGCGCGCTCGGCAGTGGCCGGCTCGCCCTCAGCGAGTCGTGTGGCGCGCGTGCATACATCCAGGGGCGACGGGAGGCGCGCAACGTCAGTCACGCCCTGGAGCATCGAATCCCACTTGCCGGGCTTGCTGAATAGGTCCAGACGAGACACGAGCTGCTTCGATAGCTTGCCCGCAGCCACGAGCTCGTTGGCCTCCGCCACGTCTCGCTGATTCGCAGCTTGGATCTCGTCGCGGGACTGCTCGAGTGCTGTGCGGATGCACTCGAGCGCCTTTACGCGCGCAGCGTCCGCTTTCTCGCTGCCCCTCATAGAGAGAAGCTTCTGCGTTTCATCAAAAGCCTCACGGGCCTGCCTCGCCACGTCCGTCGCACTCATCGACCAGCCAGCCGCAGGAAGAATGTGGATGTGCACGTGAAGATTTGCGCCCGAGCTCGGTGTACGCGCCAGGTTGACATATTGTCATACTGTCGTTGCCATGAGCAAGGGTAAAAATCGGTCATCCAAGAAAGGCGCAGCTGCCAAGCGTCCAGCTATTTCAAAGAAGCCGACACAGGTGCAAGCTCGTGCTCCCGTCTCTCAGCGTCCTGAGGAACGTGCGAGTCTCGAGCTGTTCGGTACCAGTCTTGCTGTGCTGGTGCTAGCCCTTCTGCTAAGCGGGTATGTTTTTAGCGATCCCACGCGTGGTACTTCGATGCAGGCCTGGGAGCATGCACGTATGGCGCTGGCTGGATGGCGTGTCCAGCTCCCAGTCTCCGCGAAGACCTGGACAGCCTGGACGCACGCGATACATCGTTTCACGTCGGCGTGCTTCTTCTTGTCAGGCGCGCGCAACAGCACAGTGTCAGGCGCCCTTTGGGAACGCTTCTCGATGCTGTGGTCCTCCGATTCGCGCAAGTATGAGCGCAGCCCTTACGATATCTGCTTCGCGGTGACGTGGGGCCTTGTGCTGCTCGTCGTTCGCGCGGTCCTAATGCGCGTGGTGCTCCTGCCGTCTGCGCGGGCTCTGGTCCGACGACCCGATAGTCCGCAGGGTGATGCGAAGAGCATCAGACGCTTCGATCGCAAGGTGCATCGTTTCGCCGAGCAGGGCTGGATCCTGATTCTGTACGCCACGTCACTGGCACTGGTGTTGGCCGTCTCGCGCCGGCAGCCATTCTGGCCCTGGAGGCCCGAGCATCTATGGCTGGATTACCCGCGCACGACGATGGACGCGCTGACCAAGGCGGTGTACCTGTGGGAGGCGTCGAACTATATTCACCAAGTCTTTGTGATCAACCTGGAAGAACGTCGCTCGGACTTCTGGCAGATGCTCACGCACCATGCTGTCACACTCGTCCTCATTAGTGGCTCGTACATGTGTTGCTTCTACCCCGTCGGTATCGTCGTGCTCCTGCTCATGGACCCGGCTGATGTGTGCCTGAGCGCGGCCAAAATGCTCAAGTACATGGGCTGGCAGACCCTGTGCGATATTATGTTTGGCATCTTCATGATTGTCTGGACCATCACGCGTCACATCGCGTACGCCTTCGTTTGGTGGTCGTGCTACAAGGATGCACCTGCGCTTATCCGCTTCTCGGACCGACTCAACCTGGCATCAGGTCATGCCCTGACACCCACTAGCTATGTCGTCTTCCTGGTGCTCCTCGCGATCCTTCAAGCTATTTTGCTCGTCTGGTTTAGTATGATTGTTAATGTGGCAGTGCGTGTCCTCACACAAAAGGGAGCCACCGATTCGCGTAGCGACGACTCGGACGAGTAGGACTCATTCATTGTATTCTATAGTGGCTATTGTCTATTCACAGTCGTTCGCATATACACACCCTGGCATGCAGGTCAGCATGCGGGTCGCACAGCCCTTACTCCGAGTTGTCCATGAAGCTCCACTTCACGTTCTTGAGACGCCCTTCACCCATAGAAGCCAGCTTCTTGAATGCGGCAGGCGAAAAGTCCAGGTCGCTGAACTGGCAGCCCGTGCAGCGGTCGACCACCGTCACCTCCACGGACTTGTCCTTGTACGAAGCCTTGATCTTCCGGCCACAGTACGGGCTCGTGTTAGGATTGTTTGAGTCCTTCTTCTTATCATACATCGAGTGGGAGATAGCTACAATCATGTCGGATTCACTGTTCTTCTTGCCGCACGAACCCAGCCCCGGCTGATAGTAGGTACCATCGCCGTTGTGGTCGTTAAAGAGCGGGAAGGGCCACCACCACTTCGATGAGCCAGAGGCGGAAGCACTCTCCTGCGCTGTCGATGAGGACGTAGCAGTAGATGTGGCATGAGACTCAGGCGTCGTCGTTTGGCTGGGACTAGACTCTTCCCTCCGCATGCGCTCGTTGCGCGTCGAGCGTTTCATGCCTTTGTGGGCGTTCATGCGGAGCGGGCCGCTGTCCACCGTGGCCGTGGCCAGAGAGATGATCGCGAGAACGAAGAGAACAAGGACCGTTCGTGTGTGCATTGGATTCCAAGGCGAGTGTTGAACACACCAGAGGTTCCCCGCTTTATAGTATCTGCATGCTACATAGCCTCACGAAGAAGTGCCTCCACTTTTAGGTCCATGCGAGGGGTAAATGAAGGGAGTCAAGACCCCTTGAGCCGCCCCCTACATAAAACCACGTGGCAAGGACCCTGACTGCCAAGCCATCATTGACCAGCAATTCATATCTACAAATCAAAACTAACAAAAGGGAGGGATAGGCACCCCACATCGAAGCGGGAAGTGCATAGCCCCGAAAATAAGAAGTGAAGTATCCATAGTGTCGGCCATTTAATGGAAGGACCACTGTACGTTCTGGAGCGAGCTCTTGGGCGAACGGCCCAGACGTTGCACGACTTTCTGGGACAAACCAATGTCCTTGCAGTCGCGGCACGTACCACCGTACTTGGCCTTGACGGTCTTGCCGCGGTACTCGATCTCCATAGACTTCCCACAGAGCGCCTCCAGCGGGTCGTCGCCGCCCAACGAGGATCCAGAGCCAGAGCCGCCATCGCTGCTGCCGTCGGGGCCCGAGCTTCCAGAGCCGCCTTGGTCGGGATTCGAGCCATCGTCAGGCCCAGAGCCGCTCTCGGGGCTTTGACCACTGCCAATACCAGAGCCAGAGCCAGAGCCAGAGCTTGAGTCAGGACCGTCCTTGCGAATAGCCACTGAGCGCTTCGTAGGTGACTTGTGCAGACGACGAGCAGCAGTCTTGGACGTCTTTTGGGGCAAGAATACGACCATTTGGTCCTCTGCCCCACCACCATGGCCAGTTAGCCACGAACACAGCTCACCAAGAATGTCGTCGAAACCACCACCGTTGGGGTCGCCCAGACATTGGCCCTCACCGGAACCGCCCATGCTGCCGTCACCAGGTGAGCCACTGGCACCGCCATCGCTGCCACCCTCATCACTGCCAGGACTTCCAGCGCCGCTACTTCCGTCACCGCCACTATCAGACCCCGAGCCCAAGCCTGCATCCCCATCGTCTTCTCCCTCAGAAGAATCAGGGTCAGAGCCCGTGCCACCCCCCTTAGCAGGGTCAGAGCCCGAGTTTGAGCCACTTCCACCAGTAGGACTGGAGCCTGATCCAGAGTCCCCGCCCCCGGACGAACTTGGATCGGAGCTCGAACCTGATCCACCGCCCGGCGTCCAAGTCGGAACGCTGCTTGTAAAGAAACCAGTGGAATCAGGACCACCGCTCGACGTCTTGCTAGGCACAGACGAGTTTGACGTGCCAGACGGGGCACTCGTACGTGAGCCGGAGGTGCTACCCGAGCCTGAGCCGCCGGAGCTCGAGTCCACACCGCCGCGCTTTTGATACGCAAGGCCCGGCGGGTCAGCGTGAGCCCGAGCCAGCGGGCTACGCACGTCGAGTCCAGCATTTCCCATCCAATGGCGTGCATGGAAAAAGTATCGCTTGCTGGCCTGGCTCGATCCAGCGCCAGGCTCGCGCGTCTCAGCGAGAACCCGTCCCAGCGAGATGGCAGTAACAACGGAAGCAAGGAGGATTTTGGGAGCAACCATGATCAACACCGGTAGGGTTACTCCCTACAAGTCCCGTATTTATGCATGGTAGCGCCTGGACCGTGCAGCGCATGGATACAGAGCAGGCGCAGTTCGGCGTAGTTCTGGTAGGCCCAAGCGAGGTGGTCTGAGCGGCAGGCGAAACCCTAAACGCCGCGCTGACTAAGATGGGGGGGCGTTGGCGGGCGCCGCCGCCATCACGACGTGTCGACGTGCGTTAGCGAGGACGCTGCATGTGGAAGGCCGTGACACAATCGCGAGTAGGACGCACAGCCTCCGCCCTATGGCGGTACAAGGGCCCGATCGTGATCGGTTGTACGGTGACGATGCTGGCGACACAGTCTGTGATCAGTGCGCGACAGCAGCGGGCGCAGGAGTATATTGAGCCAGGTACCTATCTCACGTGGCGCCTATACGATGGTGCCGTCGTTGAGACAAAGCAGCCCGAGTCTCTTCAGAGCCTTTTAGCACAGGCGTCATCGAAAGAGTCGCCGCCCGTGCTGGAGCTGCGCGAGGCGATCCGTGCGATCCACGCTGCTAAGCAGGACCCACGAATCCGCGGCATTGTGGCCAACCTGAGCGGCATCAATTTGCCCTCGATGATCCCGCGTAAGCCGCTGACTCTCGCGCAGGTCGAAGAGCTTATCCATGCGCTGAAAGAGTTCCAAGTGGCAAAGAAGGCGCAGTTCAAGGACGATGCGCCGTCGACGGTGGCGTGGACCGACACGTTCGACCGACAGACGTCGTATCTGCTCGCGAGCACGTTTGAGCGCGTGTACATGCAGCCGACCGGCACGGTCCCACTCGTCGGTATGGAGGCGCACGTACCGTTTGTGCGTCGGCTGCTCTCGTGGCTGGGCGTGCGAGTGCACAGCGAGACGCGGAAGGAGCTGAAGTCGATGACTAGCACGTTTGTGCACGACGAGCTGCCGGCCGCGCAGCTTGCCAACTACGCCGAGATGCTGGGCGATATGCAGCGCCACTTTGCGCGGTACTTGGGCCAGAACCGCTTCAAGCGCGATGGACTCGAGGCTGCTACGGACCGGGCGGCGGCGCTGATGCACGAGGGCCCCTACTCGGCGCGCGAGGCACTAGACGTAGGCCTCATTGATGGCACTTTGCACTACCACGAGCACAAGAGCCGCCTGGAGCCAGGGCCACGCAAGTCGCTGGTGCAGTACGCCAAGATCACTAGCAAGGCAACGGCGTCTCGGCCCGACCCCCTCTCTCCTAAGGTCGCACTGGTGTACCTGAACGGCGCGATTGACCGCACGAAGCGCCCGTCGTCTGCGAGCGACGCCATGCGCGGCCTCCACGAGGCAGCGGAGCAGAGCGATGTCGACGCCATTGTGCTGCGCATAAATTCGGGGGGCGGCGATGTGGTGACAAGCGAGACGCTGTGGGGCGTGCTACAGGACATCCGCGCGAGGACCAAGCGGCCCGTCGTCGTGTCGTTTGGCTCGGTCGGTGCGAGCGGCGCGTACTATACGGCGGTGGCCGCCGACGCGATCTTTGCGAACCAGAGCACTCTTACGGGCAGTATTGGCGTAGCGCTCATGCGTCCCACGGTGACGCAGGGCCTGCTCGACAAGCTTCATGTGAATGTGCAGAGCCTGTTCACCGGCTCCACGGCGCTGAGCTCCCTGCACGAGCTGGACGCACAGCAGGTAAAGCGCGTCCAAAAGAACGTGGACCAGACGTACGAAGACTTCCTGCACAAGGTGCAGCAGGGCCGCGGCCTCTCCCGCGACGTACTTGACAAGCTCGCGGGCGGCCGTGTCATGACGGGCATGCGCGCGTGGATGGAGTGCCTTCCGGAGACGAGCCGCCACAGGCTGCCGCGGGACCATGCGCGCTCCTACGAGACGGCCACGCAGGCTGACGCGAGCGGCGTGCCGGTCGTCACAGTGACGCCGCGCGCCCCCGCTGACGCCCCCGAGACACGCGAGGATACCCGCCAAGGCCACGGCCGAGGCCTCATTGACCAGCTGGGCGGCCTCTGGGATGCGGCGCGGTACGCGGCAGCGCTGGCCGACGCGCGGAAAGAGCCCGAGCAGGGAACAGGTACACGCACGATTCACGAGCCGACGCTCGTGCGGTTCCCCGCCGAGGCGCCCCTATGGAAGCGGCTGCAAACGCTGCTTACGAGCGCGGGAGCGCCCAGTGGCCCGGGCGGCCCGGGCGCCGAGGCGCCGTGGATGCTCTGGATGCAGTGGGCGCAGGCCGCGTACGACGAGTGGCTTGCGACGTCCATGCGCGTGCGCGCCGAGGCGGATGCGTACGTCTCTATGTAGCTCATGCATAATCACTGGTCTGGCGCGGCAAGAACTCGATGGGCGCCTGGATCGGCGCGCGCAGAGCTGGTTCGGCGCCACCGCGCCCGTGGTACTCAGCCGGGTCGTGTTCTTGGGCACGCGCCATAGCCGCTGCCTGGGCGGCGTCTCGGAGCTCGGGGCCGACGAGGCGCCAGAAGGCATGCTCCGCGGCGGCGACGCCCTGGTCGAGCGTCTCGGAGAGGTTCGGCACGGCCTGTGTATGCACCGGCTCTTCGTCCATACACAGCGACGTGCGAGGGCCGTCCGTGGCGGGGAGGGGCGCGAGGGTATCGATATAAGCCTCGGACGACGCATCGTACTGGGCCGGCCGCGCATGCGATGCATACATTTCCACGAGCCACGGGTCCGCCGAGGCCAGCAGCGAGTGTAGGTGCGCTACAGCCCCTTCCAGGCAGAAGCGCGCGCCGATGCCGGCACCGGTGTGCGACATCACGTAGTACACGTATTGCCCCTTCGGGCACGCAAATGTGCCTTCGCCTTGCGCGAGGATCATCGCAGCATGCGGCTGCGACGGCCCCTGCGGCGGCACGACAAGGAGCGCCGTCTCGGGAGGCAGCTCGCCCTCGTCGAGAGGCATATGCGTGGCCCAGTCGATCGGCGCGTCCGTGATAAGCAAGGCCATGTGCTCGTAGCCAGGCGCAGGCGGCGTATCGGCCGGCACGAGTGACGGCACGAGCGTGCGTGGCGCGGCGACCTGCGCGGCGGTGAACGGCACGTCAATGCCGTCCAGGCGCACGGACCACGCAGAGCCGTCGCGCCTGAGCGCCGTGACGGCATGGCCGAGGATGAACACGCCGCCATGCACCGCCGAGGCGCGGCAGAATCCCTGCGCCAGCTCGCCTGCGCCGCCATACTGGCCGACGAGGAAAGGCGACGGGCCGTACCGCCCGTATCCACGCAGCGTGCGGCGCGTGCGCTCCATCGCCGTAGCCGCCGGCTCATGATCGTCCCAGCACAGGGAGACGCCGTGCACGATCGACGGCATGAGCTGCTCGTCGAGCTGCAGCTCGTCGCGCAAGACGGCGGGCATCGGCGCCGCTACCCCGTGGTACGCGCCCGGCGACGTCGCGGCCTGAAGAAACCGCATAAGGCGCCGCTTGTCCGCCAGCGAGATGCGCGCGTCGCGGAAAATGTCCGACTTGCTGCTGGGGACTCGCGCGAGCTGGCCCTGCGTCACGACGCCCACGCGTCCCAGGAGACGGAACGTCGCGTACGACGCCACGTTCGAGCGCACGAGCGCCTCCATCATGGGCCCATACGCCGGCAGGATCGCAGGCCGCAGCGCGAGCGAGTAGTGCCGGTCGAGCGCCCGCTGCTCATCGCACAGGGGGCCGCGGGGAAAGCGCAGGTCCGCGTGCGCCTCGCGCGCCCAGTCGCCCAGCTCCGAGAGCGTGAGACTCGCCCACTGGGCGCCGTAGTACGCATGCGGGTCCACATGCAGAACACGCTTGCCTGCGCGACTGAGCGCCGCGCTCAGCACGGCCTCCGTGAGGCCTGTGCCCACCACTAGCACGTCATAGTGGTCGTCCATGGGTGGAGGCGCTGACGCGTCGTCCACGTGGCGACCTGGCAGCGCGGCGAGAGCGTCGCTTCCTGCGGATGCGCACGGTGCGTGGGTGGGCCCAGCTCTGGCGTGCATCTTTCCTATACCAGCAACCAAGTGTGCGGAGGAGCATTTCGAGGATGAGTACGGGGGCAGAGAAGCCCAAGTTTCCGATCGCAGGACTGCTGCCGAAGCAGGCGACCAAGGCAGACACGTTCCTGGCCAAGTACCCGCAGTACGATGGGCGTGGCGTGCGAGTGGCGGTGCTTGACACGGGCGTCGACCCTGCGGCGCTCGGCCTCGACGGCCCGAACAAGCTTGTGGATATCATTGACTGCACGGGCGCCGGCGATGTGCCGCTGACCACCGTCGCGGCGGGGGACGTGGCCGAGGCGGAGGGCGGCGCGGCGCTCGCCCTCACGTCGCCCCACACGGGGCGCCGGCTGCTGCTCTCGCCGTCATGGCCGAACCCGACCGGCGCGTGGAAGGTCGGCACAAAGCGCGCGTACGACTTGTGGCCCAAGGAACTGGTCGAGCGCCGCACGAAGGAGCGCCGCCGCGCCTTTGACGTGAGCCACTCGCAGGTGCTGCAGCAGGCGCTGCAGGCGCTCGCGGCCGAGGAGCAGGCGCCCTCGGACAGCGCGGCGCCGGAGGCGCGCGCACAGCGCCGCGAGGAGCTCGAGGCGCGTGTGGCCGTCTTGAAAGACATGCACAAGGCATGGAGCGACCCCGGCCCCGTACTCGAGGCGGTCGTGTTCCATGACGGCACGCACTGGCGTGCGGTCGTCGGCGGCGCGGAGGGAGACGTCGCGGAGGCCGCGCAAGGCGAGCCGGCGGCGGTGCGCGCCACGACGCTCGACCTGCGTGCGCAGCCCACGCTCACCGACTTCCGCACCGAGCGCCAGTGGGCGCGCTTTGGCGAGCGTGATCTGCTGAGCTACACGGTCAACATTCTGAACGACGGCGCGCTTCTCTCGCTCGTTACCGTGTCGGGCACGCACGGCACGCACGTCGCAGGCATTATTGGCGCACGCACCGACGAGGCCGCCACGAACGGCGTCGCGCCCGGCGCCGAGATCGTGAGTCTGCGCATCGGTGATGCGCGGCTCGGCAGCATGGAGCAGGGACAGGCGCTCCTGCGTGCGGCGCAGGCCCTGATCGATACGCGCTGCGACGTGGCCAACATGTCGTATGGCGAGGACGGTGCGTTCCTGTGTGAAGACAAGGGCGCCTTCGCACAGGCCCTGCAGTGCGTCATCCGCGAGCACGGCGTGTGCTTCGTGAGCTCGGCCGGCAACAATGGCCCGGCGCTAACGACCGTCGGGCAGCCGGGCGGCACAACGTCGGGCGTGCTGAGCGTCGGCGCCTACGTAAACGAGGGCGCCATGCAGCAGGCCGAGTACGCGCTCGTCGAGTCGGACGTGTCGTCGAGCGTGACGACGTGGTGCAGCCGCGGCCCCACGGCCGACGGGGCGGCGGGCGTGTCGATCTACGCGCCGGGTGCGGCGATCACGTCTATCTGCCAGTACGCGCTGCAGTCGAAGCAGCTGATGAACGGCACGTCGATGAGCAGCCCGAACGCCGCGGGCGCCGTCGCACTCCTTGTGAGCGCATGCAAGGCCGAGGGGATCCCCGTGACGCCGTTCCGCGTGTTCCGTGCCATCGAGGCGACGGGCGCCGACGTGGGCGACGCGCTCGGCGTGCGCTTCCTCGACGTCGAGAAGGCGTGGGCGTACCTGGTGGCACACCGCGACGACCCGTACGCGGACGCGGAGATGCAGGTGCGCGTCACGCGCGCCGGCAAGCCGCTCGGCGCGTGCGACCAGCGCGGCGTGTACCTGCGCGGCGTCGAGGAGACGCACCGCCCGTCGCAGTACCACGTCACCGTCCAGCCGCGCTTCCGCGATGGCGAGACACAGCGCGCCTTTGCGCTCGAGATCCGCGCGGCGCTCCATGCGAGTGCGCCGTGGGTCAAGGTGCCTGCGTTCCTCGCACTCGGCAGCCAGGGCCGCACGTTCGAGATCCGCGTGGCGGCCGACGAGCTGCCGCCCGGCCTGCACAGTGCGCAGATTGTCGGTGTCGACACGGAGCGTCCAGGCACCACAGTGTTCGCCGTGCCGATCACCGTCGCCAAGCCTGTGGTCCCAACGAGGGCTACGCACAGCTTCCCCCGCCGGCGCCTGGCCTCGGGCGAGATGCAGCGCACGTTTGTGCATGTGCCGCAGGGCGCCACGTCCGCCGAGGTGCGCATACGCAGCCGCGCGCACGAGGCGCGCGGCACGAGTGTGCGATTCTGGCTGCACCTGCTGCAGGTGCCGCCGCAGCGCCGCCTGAGCCAGGTGGAGCACCAGTGGGTGCTGGCGCTGCACGAGGACGAGCCGGTGGTGAAGCAGGTGGCCGTGCACCCGGGGCAGACGCTCGAGGTGTGTGCGGCGCAGTTCTGGTCGAACAAGGCAGGGTTTGAGCTGGACATGGAGCTTGAGTTCCACGGCCTGCAGGTGCCTGCCGTGATTACCGCGCACAGCAGCGCCGGCTGGCACCGCGTCGACGTGGCGAACGTCCTGCGCCTCGAGGAGTGCAAGCCCCAAGCGACGCTCGAGACGCGCCGCACGTACGTGCGTCCCACCAAGCACACGGTGCGGCCGCGCCTCGAGGCGCGCGACCAGCAGCCGTCGGGGCACGCCCTGCTCGAGCTGGTGGCGGAGTACCCGGTGGTCGTGAAGGAGGCGGCGTCGCTCACGTGGCGCGTGCCGATCAGTGGCTACGTGTACGACGCAAGTGTGACGCTGCTCACGCAGCTGCTCGACAAGAGCCACGCACAGGTGGCCTTCGGCGACGTGTACCCGAAAGCCGTATCGCTGCGCCCCGGCGAGTACGTGCTGCGCGTCCAGGCGCTGCACGAGTCGGCGGCCGTGCTCGAAAAGCTGCGGGACATGCCCGTCGCGCTTGACCGGAAGCTCAAGAAGGAGATCGCCCTCGATGTGTACGCGGACCATGTGGATCTGTTCGGCGCGGCGCCGCCCCGCAAGGATGGCATCAAGCTGCTTCAGGGCGAGCGCACTGTGGTCGTACTGGATACAAGCCTCGCAGGCGAGTCGTGGCCCGCCGAGGCGGCGCCTGGCGATGTGCTGCTCGGCACGCTCGCCTTCAGCACGCACACCAAAGTGCCGCTCAACGTCGTCGTTGGCCCTGCGCCGCCCACCAAGCCGTCCGAGGGAGGCGCGTCGGAGCCGACGCCGCTGCCCGCGCAGCTTGCGGCGCTCGTACCGAAGGTACCGAGCGCGGACAAGGACGCGCTCGTTGCGCGTCTCGTACACGAGTACCCCGACGACCTCGCGGTGCGTCTCGCCGCTCTGGACGCCGCGCAGGGCGATGCGAAGCGCACGCTCGAGGCAGCGCAAGGCGTGTGTGGTTGCATCGACGAGACGGCGCTGCGCCTGTGGTTCGGCGCGCAGCGCCCGCCCGCGTCCGAGCAGTCGACCGACGAAAAGAAGCGTGCCAAGGAGATGAGTGCCCAGAAGAAGGCACTCGCCAAGGCGCTCACGCGCCAGGCGCAGGCGCACGCCGAGCTGGGCGACCGCACGGCGAGCGTCGAGGCCACTCTGCATGCGCGCCAGTGGGTCGACGGCAGCGATGCGACCAAGACCGCGCTGACGAACCTGCTCATTGAGTGGCACCGCGAGCACCACCGGTACGGCCAGGCGCTCCAGGCCGTGCGCCAGCAGATCGAGCAGCTCGGCCACGGCACGTCCGAGTCGCTCGCGGATCTCCACAGGGCGCAGGACCTCGAGAAGGCGCTGCTCGCACAGCTCGAGTGGGACGTATGGCACCACTATGCCGAGCGCTGGCTATGGCTCCGACGCCCCAAGGCACCCGAGCCTTTCTAGAAGCTATGTCTAGCGCTCCCACGCGTGCAGCGGGGCCGCATGCTCGCCCCGCCCTTCGCCCCAGCGCTGCAGGAACAAGCGGCGACCGCCGCCAATCATGCATGTGTGGGTATGTAGCGCCGTGTCGACCCAGGCCATGGCCTCGTCCGTCGCGCCACGCGCCCATAGCACATCGGCGAGGAAAAGCATGCTTCGGATGGCCCCATCAAAGTGCAGGTCGGGAAGGTGCGACACGCGCCGCGCGCCATCCGCACAGAGCACGGCGCCCGTGGCCGCGAGACTGCGGCGCGCACAAGCCATGGCCTCGTCCTCGTCCAGCACACGCGTGTGCAGCGCTGCGCGGTACCAGCCGTCGACCAGGTCGGGGCGCAGCGCGCCTCGGTCCTGGGAGTACGTCGTGTCCATCTCCTGCACATAGGCCACCAGTGACGCGGCCATCTCGCGGTGCGCGTCCTGCGCGTCCGCACCAGGAGGCGTCCCTTTGAACAGCGCACGACTGCGCTCCAGCAAGGGCGGCCACTCGCGCGCCTGCATCTCGTCACGCCGACGCAGCATCGCATGCCCGTCGCGCTCGTCCAGCCGACACAGCGCACAGCCGCATTGGAAGCCATGCTTCGATAGCTGCGCCTGCCGCGCATGGTACGACACCTCCCCTTGCACGTACTGGTGCATGATCTGCGTGCCGCGCCGCAGGGGGTGCAGGGCACGCGTAGCGACAAAGTCGCCGAAGAAGACCGAAGACACGTTGGGGAGACACGCGTGGTTCAAAATGGCAGGCAGTGGATGCGGCATGGTCGAACGCGACATGGGGTCTTGGCCGGCCGCCGCGGCGGGCACCGCGGCGGGCCCAAATGCATTAAAGCGCAGCACCTGGTTCACATAGTGCGCTGGCACGTTCGGTGCTCGCATATGCACTGCTTCCTTCGCGCCAAGGACTGGGCCCGTCTGCAGGGGGTACACCGACGACACATAGTCCGAGGGCGGCGTGTCAGGGCCTGCCGTGAGACCCAGGAATGCCACGGCCAGCTCGGGACGGTCGAGCATCAGGTGCAAGCATTGGGTCGCGGCTAGGACCTGCGTCGTCGTGCTAGTGACGCCTGCGAGCGGATTGCAACGCAATAGAGGCACGCCAGCACACCCAGCATCCTGGCTGTAGCTGCTTCCAATGGCACGGCAGAACAGAAGCAGTTCGCCTTCGTCCACGTCGCGGGTGAGGACGAGCCCTCGGCCGGCATTGGGGATGTCGGCCACTGCCACCGGTCCCAGGAACTCCGCATAGTCAAAGCGCGGCGTTGGGTCCTCCAGTGTGCGCTGGAACATGGTATACAGAGTATTGTCAGACGGGCCTTGGGCAGTGAGACGCAGCGCTAGTGCTGCTGCCTCCCGACGCGTCCGCACCGAATCTGCCAGAGGCGACGACACAGACTCAGGATCCACCGAGTCGAGCACATGCAGGACGTGACCATAGTCTCGGAGCGCAAAGAGCACATCTGCACGAAGCAGAGCATCTTCCATAGCCGTCGGGCCAGTGGCGCCCTCCCACATGCCGTACTGGTCGGCCGCACACACCTCACGCCACGCAGCCCCAGCCCGTGCTTGGGCGAGCAGCGTGCGCACATTCGCATGGATCTTCGCACGGGATATGCAGGGCACAGGCCTCTCTGCTCGTAGAGCCCGCACGAGCGGCCCCTCTTGCCGCCACACCACCTGGTCGTCGCTCGGTGGCTCCATCCATTGGGCCCACGAGACCCCGCGCAGCTCATGTGCGGCTTGGTCCAGCACATGCACATCCGATGGGGTGTCGACGCGCACACCCACGGTGCCCTTGCCGCCCGTAATTGGGCCCCCCACACCCATATAGTGCGTGCTCACATACGGCTCACGAATCAACAACACTGTGCCCATCGGTAGCAGGGCATCGAGCGCCTCGCCATGCAGACGCAGGTCCGGTGTAAAGTGGGCCAGACTGATAGATAGCGCTGCACCAGCGGGCGTCAGTCCCACAAACGAGCAGCTCGCATACAAGCACAGGCGCGATGCCACCTGTACTAGAAGGTAGCGACCCGTATGCCGGTGGGGTGCCTGCAGCTCATCCGCCTCAATGAGTGTCAGCGCCGATATATCTGCATGCGAGCAGTACGTATGATCCGTGTCCATGATTTGGCGCGGCATATAGAGGCGCCCATGGGCGTCTGTGCTCGCGCGGCGTTCTTCTTCGCGTCGCCGAATCGCGGCATCTTGGGCGGCCATCAGTGCCTTAGTCGGAATGCGCTTCATGCGCATGGGCTTAGCTTGCTTTTCCCTTTCCGAAGTTAGCGCCTCACTTTCTTTGCGTAGCGCCGAATTGTAATTTTGAAGCATCGCCTCAGTAGCACCGCTCATTAAGGCCGCATCCATCAGCGCGCTACTATTGTCTTCATCCAGTTCCACACGTGCAGGTACAGCGAGCTGTTGTGCTAGCTGCTTTTCAACTCGAGGGTCCGGATCAATGAGAGAAACAATTTGCTCGCCATTGGGCACAGCGAGCTCCAAGTTGCGCAAGGAGCGCAGTAGCTCCTCCATGGCAAGAAGTTATGTCGTCTGTCGCGTGAAACCTCCACACGACACGTGAGATACGAGTTTAAGGGACGGCGAGCGTACGAAGAACACGGTCGCAGCAGCCCCAGTCCTCACGTGATGGCTCAGTGGCAAATCATACCGGCGGCGTGAACCACTGTAAGTTCCTTGGAGTCCAGTCAGACCACACCTTTCTGCCTTGATCAAGGCTGTACTCTCGCCCAAGACACTAGGATAGTCTCTTGGACAATAAATCCTATTATATTCAGAAGTGAAAGTTCCACGAACAAATCTTTCGCGTCGCTCCTTGCAAGCGCTACACATCGGCAATCCCTGCCCTTGTCCCCCTCCCATCAAATATTAAGCTGATTGATTGACTTGTTTTCTCTCTATATCCAAGATGAACGTGCAGACAAGCATGAAAGTTCTCTGCTAATTGTCTCGTCACGTTGGATTGGAGTCGGGTACACCAGATATTTTGATCTGCTGTACACGAAGGAAGACTATCAACATTGGCTATCTTTGTGATTTGAACAATTTACCATGCTTTTAACTAACGAAAATATGTATGTTCCATGGCTCTGCTCGGGTCCGGGATCGGGCTCTGAAGAGGCACTGGGACGCTCACACTCTTCTTCCAGCCACTCGACATTTTCGTCGGCCTCGGACACCTCTTCAGCAGTCACACGCACGGATGTCTCTCCACTCTCTCTCAGTGGATTGACGAGTAGTAGGGAAACATCGCCCGCAGCCTCGAGCGGCTCAGGCAAGATTCGAAGATCTTGTGAAACCTTTGAAACGGATGAATGCGAGCAGCCACATCACCCTCCGGGTCATGTGGTCAAACGATGTAAAACGGATTCGGAGTCGCCCGAGGACATTACGACGCCTACAAATGCATGTGGTCCAAATACAAAGCTCGAAAGGCGGCCTCTAGGGAAGTCGGATACATGTCCCTTGCTTCGTATGAGTCGCACGCGAGCCGTGGAGATCTTGGTCGGTACGTATGCGAGACTGTAACGTGAAAGACGCTGCAGTATCTACCATCTCGTCTATCTGGGGACGCTTTTCACGAGAAAGCCGCGCTCCGGACCAAATAAGCGCGAACAGACTCTGTCCGAACAATACATTGCCTTTGTCGTTGTTCGTACGTGAAATCCTCCGGCGAAGTCGAACCAGCTGTTCGACGCTTCAGGCAGCATTGCTGTACTGTTCTCGCTGCAAGAATGTTGTTCATGATAGTGTGGATCGCATTACCCAGGCTTCGCCGTCGGAAGTGGTTCACTGGCTCTCTCAGACGGAAGTGATGACAAGGTCGCCTACGAACTTGGGCAGCTCGACTCCCGCGCTTCCGTCGCTATCGCCTCCATGCGCCGAACTGCTTACCTCGAGTGAATCCATGACTGCTGCAGGGAGTTCACACAGCTCTATGCGTGCGTCGTCGCCACTCTTATGTGGAAGGCGCATGTTCTTAGCGGCCATTGTGGTGGCGTCAAAGTTCCTCCAAGACCGAACGTACTCGAATCGAACCTGGGCTAAGATTTCTGGTCTGCCCCCTCGCGAAATTGAGCAACTTGAACGAGTCTTTTTGCATACGATTCAGTACGATTTGTACGTCGAAGAGGCACAGTGGAACGCGTGGACTCGGGATCTTTCGCTGCAAAGGCTTCACTCCAAGCTTCCTTGCATGCTGAATGAGTCAGATGGAGCACATGAACAAGCGTCGATGAAGTCTTCGGTCATACCCTCTCGTCTCCATCGTGCGACATCAGAGAATGTGCTGGGTCAAGCTTACCAGTTTGACTCTTCTCTGCATGACCCTCAACTTCCATCTCGGCCTCGCCAGGGATGGGCCCGTCATGGCTCAAGCATTTGATATGAGTAACTCTGATGTCGCCTTTTTGGTACGTCGAAATTCCCGCATTTTCATCACGTCTGTGGTGCATGTATATGTATGGCGTATTCATAGGTTTCACCTGTAAGCTCCATGGGTCATAACTTGGTTCATCGCAAGCGACGTATCCTACCTGCCAAGGATACACTGCGTTAAATTTGATCCAATGATTGGACAGCATTTACGTGGAGGCTCGAGTTTCTGTTCCTGTAAATAATTTCGCAATTTGTGGAAGCATTAAGCCGACGAGACTGGCAGTGAGGTCTTTTGCCAGCATCTTTGTCGAGAGACCCAAAGATCATGCTACAAGATGCTGGATTCAACTTGTATGGATACGTACCAAATATGGCAGCCAACATCATCATGTTGGTTGTGTTTGCGCTATCAACAATCGTCCATTTCTTGCAAGTTGTCCGATATCGGCAATGGTGGCTCCTGTTGTTGCCAGTGGGTACATTGGCAGAAGTAGGTGGCTATATTCCGTATGTATACCTTTTCATTTTCGTAAAGCTGACAAGCAAGGCGACTTAAGGGTCACTACCATCCAACTCTGCGTGATCCCTACGTGGCAACAATGTGTCTGTTAATCATTACCCCCTGTTTGTTTGCGGCCGTACGTACTCATACGTGGGTTAACTCAGTAGGTTCATTTCACCGTTTTAGGTCGCATGTGCACGCTTTTCCCTCGCAAGTACACATTGGTTCGCCCTGTTTTGGTGATGCCCTTTTTTGTCACAGTGGATGTGGCATCTTTGGTAATCCAGGGAGTAGGTGCAGCTAACGCTGGTACGAGTGACAGTGCCGAGGCTGCCGAATCCGGATCAACTATCGCAGCTGTGGGTGTTGGTGTCCAGCTAGCTGGGTACTTACTATTTTTCGTTTTATTCTCTATATTCTACTACCGCATCCGACGTGATCCCCCTCCCGGTTTGTCTCAAATGCACACATTGATGATTGCCACTATGATTTCTAGTGGTTGGATCATTTTGCGATCTATTTACCGTCTTATTGAGATGGGAGAAGGATGGGATGGTGTGATTAACAACACAGAATGGTGCTTGTTCGTGTTCGATGCTGTTTTGGTGTTCTTTGCAGTTACAGTTTACAACATTGTTCACCCTGGCAAATATCTACCCAAAAAGTTTTCTTGGAACTACAACCCTGACAAGGACGGTATCTGGTGGGAAAACAAAAACGAAAACGAACTCGAGTCGCCCCCCGTTGCGTATCCAGAAAAGCCTCTTCCTGTTAAGGAAGTGTGACAGGCGAATGAGCCCATGATACAGCAAACAATGCTACGATCACTTAATAGAAAATGATGATTTTGTCTAGTCATTTCTAGACTTGCATGAAGAAAACTAACGACTTGTAATATGACATGTATTAACCGGCTACCGACAAGATTACTCGTCATCAGTCTCGGCGAGCTTGGGAGCCAGGTAGTATCGCACATGACCATTCTCGAAGGCAAACTCGACCAATAGAGGCACTTTATCAGCCATATGAAGCGTTACAGCGGAAGCAAGTGGTGCAGCCTTGGTAAAGTTGACAAGATATTGCACACTGAACGTGAGCGCCACTGCCTTTTCAAGCTGGATCTCCACGGGAACCACAGCACTGGCGACAGCCGAACTGCTTCCGGCAGTCGAGCTTGCCTTGCGCTTCTTGCTAAGACGCTCGCCATCTTCGTCATCAAGAGGGTCAACCTCGTCATCGTCATCCAAGCGAGCACTCGAGCCCGAACCTTGCTTTAAGGTCATACGAGCATCACCGATCTCGCCCTCCGTAGAGAAGGTCACACCCTCTTTGGTGATAGTAATTTTAACACTCTCTCCCACATTCGACAGATCGCGGCAAATGCGAGCAAATTCGTTGGAAGACAGCTTCACCACGGCATCATACTCCGTGTCAGGAATACCAAGATGTTCAGTATCGATGTCCATAAGCTTCAGGTCAAACTCGCCGATACGATCCGAGCTAACACCCTCGAACATAAGATGGAGACTGTCCGCATTGTCTGCTTTGCGCATATTGAGGATATCGTTGTTGTTGGCACTACGGAGCACCTTGGTCAGACTCGTAATGGCCATGCCAATGCTCATGGGCCGGTCACAGCGGTACTCCTCAAACCCATCAGCACGAAGCTCTACCGCAGAAAGCGCCACATGAGAGCTGTCCATCGCTTGAAGACGCTGTGGTTAATAGGAGACACTTACGATGCCCTCCTCGTTGCAGTCAAAGTTGGCATGTTCGACAAGGTCCTTAATAGCTTTCGATGTGAGACAGATATACATAAGATAACATACCATCAAGGACACGCTTAAACTGACTTGTTAGTGATCCTCGTACGTACCACCACAGCTTGTTCAATCTTCGCTTCCAACATCGTAGGGGAGAAAGGCAAGGGACGCGTTCACTTTACGCGTGCTACGCGCTGCCCTCTGGCGCGTTATTTAGTCATGTACACGTGGTATAAAGGAACTACGTTGCAGGGCCTACCAATGTGCCGCTTTCTGTTTGGACAGAATACGTGAACGCCGCTTAAGGTGTGCGGCATACGCGTAGACAATACAGGGGATTACCGCGACACCACATATAATACCTCCAAATCCATAGTAGGAGGGATGTACACGGTTTTCGTCAATACTGTCAGGGTCATCGCCGGCTGAAGAATTGTCGGAGGGTACAAGCACATTCATGCCAAAAGCACTGCACAAAAGCTGAATACAGAAAATGAAAGTGATGAAAACGGACACATTCACCAACACCTTCACCTTTTGTAAATTGAATTTTTGCTCTGAGACAGAGGCGCGCGTTAAGAATGACGAGTGGGTACTGTTCAGCCCTGCCTCTCGATCTTGCAGCTGTGTTAACATGGAGGCGATATGATCGGTAATATCGTCAAAATAAAGGGCAATAAAAGTTTCTTCAGATGCGTCTCGATGCAACTCGACAATCCTTTTGCGCAGACCTCGAATGACGTCAGATTTGGGTAAAAGTAAACGATTTAGGCCCATGACGACTTCACGCACGCGGGTCAAATGCAAGATAAAGAGACTCTGCTGGATAGCATCAAACGTGGAGAACGACTTGATCCTTTCTGCGCGCCGCCGAAGATACTGTATGTAGTCCGTGTTTGCATTGGGTAAGTTCGTAAGTGACTCGAAGGCCATGTTTTCAGCTGCCTTTCGAGCCTTGGTGGAATGCGCCGTGCGAGATCGTCGGAACAGCCGGCGAGCGTGTTTGGGTCCCTCTTCCTCTGGATCAAACGGCTTCAGACTCATGACATGCAGTAAAGATTCAATGTAGTCCACCTCATTTTGCAAAAATGATACATAGGGTGAGAATGAGTCCACAACAGAGTCATATAAAGAATGTACAATCCAGTCGGCATTGTGTGGTATAGGCGCGTCTGTATTGGTTAGGCGATCGCGGACTCGGTTAATATGTGTACTCATGTCCTCGAAATGAAAGGTAATTACACCATGGTTGAATACGACCATGTACATGCTTAACGAGCCGGCCCCGATACCCTCAAGACCCTCTTTGGCGTCCTCAGACTTGACCATTTCAATTTGCATACGTCCATCTGTTTGGAGCAATAGGTCCGGTCCTTGCTTTTTAGACTTGCTTTCCGAACGCACTTGATGCTCTAGCGTTGACGGAGACGGCTGTCCGGCACTCGACGGTGCACTTCCCTCCGTCCGATTGAAACGGAAATAATGTTCATCGAGCGCACGGACTACAACAAAGTAGTACCCAAGTCGCTCGAAAAGTTCAACCTTCTCGCGCTGCTCTTGTTTGAGGATGTCTTCCACAGTTAGGGGATGAAGTGGGAATTGCAGGCTAAGTTGCTGCATCACCTTATAAGTGGGACAGCGGATGTCCAGCCACCAAGGATTGTTGCGAAGTACCCGTCGCGAGATAAGACTTGGGGTGAAAGAAGGTGAAATGGGGTCTGGGATTGGCTTGGGTGTGAGATGGGTCGGAGGTGGGGGTTTGATGTCTAAAGCCGCTTCTGGCAGCACAAGATTAGCCATTTCATCCTCCTCCTCAACGATCGTCGGAATGGGGCCCGCACTAGAGCGATTTTTATCTGGGTATTTCGCAAGCTGAGAAAATGGCGTAGGTGAATGAGCCAGTTCGCCTGAGATCGTAGAGCGAAAAAATGGCGTGAGTGGAATGTCCGACATATGGCGGCCTGTTTGTGCCTCTTGTTCATCCCATGTCGCTTCCTTGTCTGGTATCATGTTCGTCTGGTTGACATCTAATGCAGGAGGCGGCAGGGCCAGGTCGCCATGCTCGTCTTCGTCCGTCAACAAGATCGCAGGAGAAATAACTTGCGATGCTGTGGCCATAAGGGAAGGAGCAGGCAAGCCCAGATCACCGGCGTGTCCATCCGACTGGATGAGATACTGAAAATGTTGGTCAAGGCGCTTCCGGATCGCTTTCCAGGATTGGGAGGTAAACACATCAGGCTGAGAGTCATCGGTAAAAGCAAAGATGATATATTCCGTGACGCCCCCCGCCAACTGGCGAAGACGGCGAGCATTTCTGCGTGCCATGCGGCTTGATTTGACCATATGTTTGTCTTCTTTCTGAGTACGGCGGCGACGACGCTTTTTTCGGCGCCGTGTGCCGGTCAGTGCACTGAGCTTAGGCGTCCAAGGTGGGAATGCGGACGAGAGGCTTGGTGTGGCTGCATTTTCACGACGTGATCGCCCGCTGCGGATAGACATGTGGTCTGTATTATCAATCGATCGACGGCTTGTGGTGGCTGACTCGATACTGGCATCGTCGTCACTGCTGCTGTCATCACTCGAGCTTGAACTTGAGCTTGAACTATCTGAGCTGTCCCCGAATAAGGCACGCAAGCGAGATATTACCATCGGGCCGTTGTCATCCGAGCTGCTCGAACTGGAATCAGAATCGTCACCATCCTCCTTGCCTCTGTCGTCCGCGCTGTCAACATCTTCATTTCGATGTATGCGTCTAGCCTCTCTTCGCTTGATCCGACGAACTGCGCGTCGTGCAGAGACATACTCGTCGAGACCTCGGTAAATTTCGGTTGGCTCATACTCTGGCGGCAAATCGTCGGGATGCAGGCGCACAGAGGTGTTAGCAAAGGTCAATTGAGGCTTGGGAGGTTTGGACCCGCCTTGTGACTCCGATGGCGTCGGTACGTGTGGGCTAAGATCGCTCATCGGCACGAGCTCCGGGAGTGATTTTGGCCTCCGCCGCCATGGTGGAAACCAACGGGCTGGTGTCCCTCCGACGCGAATTTCATCGGAAGGATCCGATCCCCGCATGTTAGTGAATTCAGGTCAGACACTGTGGATGCGCCCACGGCCTGGCGCCGGCACAGGCAGCAAGGATTAAACGGGCGACTACAGCAGCTCAGGCACCCGCACGCATGCAGTGCTTCTTTGAGGACTGCAGGAGCCGTGCCCACGTGGTGGATTCGGCCGAAGCATAGGATGGCCAAGCAACACCCGTGGCGCGACGCAGATCCATCATCAGCCCGGCCGCACCGACGCATATGCAGACACCTGTGCCGTTTGGCGGCGTGGACTCGGGCGCTGGAGCCACGGCTTTCTGCAATGCCTTTTGGGTATGTATGACTTACTGACAGGTAGGGAGAGCACGATGCTGGCTACCATGTGATGCAGAGCTTCATCAAAAACACAACAAAGACGATGGAGGACTTGCGCGCCTTCTATCACGAACGGTGCGTGAACATGGTCTGACCGCAGGGCGGAGATTGAGCATGAATATGCCAAGAGGCTGTCCAAGCTGGCGAAGTCAGGAATCGGTCGCCACGAGACGGGGTATGTATCGTGCTACTCACACAGTCCCATGCGCCACGCTCTTGACACGGTCCGTCTGGAGACGGACGCCCAAGCGCGCTCGCACCAGCAGCTGGTGAACTCGATCCGGAAGGAGGTGCAAGATCCCCTCTCTGATTTCATGGCGCGCGTAGAGAGTCTGCGCCGGGACGCACAGACGACGGTCGTGAAGCTGTTCAAGCACAAACATACGCAAACGCAGTATGTACAGCGCTCTCGTGAGAAGTATGAGACGGACTGCATGAAAATCAACGCGTACACAGCCCAGAGCAATCTCGTGCAGGGCCGCGAGCTTGATAAGCTAATGGCTAAGCTGGAACGCGTGCAGGCCAACATTGAATCTGACGACCGCGACTACCAGAGCTACGTGCGAGCTCTGCAGGACACGACCCAAAAATGGAATGCAGAGTACAAGAGTTTTCTGGATATCTGTCAGGATGTGGAAGAGGAGCGCCAGGAGTTCCTCAAGACTAACCTATGGAGCCTGGCCAATGCAGTGTCCAGCGTCTGTGTGACCGACGATGAGGCCTGTGAACGTGTGCGTGTGTCGCTGGAGGGATGCGAGGCGCAGCGTGATGTCCAGATGTTTGTGCGGGAGTTTGCCACGGGCTCTGTGATCCCCACGGCGCCCGAGTACATCAACTACGCACAGAACACTATGCTGCCACCCCAGAATACGACAGGCCAAGCGCACTTTGCGCGTCTGTCGATGCGCGATTCAGAGGGTATGCCGCCACCCAGCTCGACCATGCTTGCCAAGCAGCCCATCCTCTCGCCGTCGCAGCTGCAGACGCCAGGTCTGCGTGCACCGACACCGGGTATGAGTCCTGGAGCATCGCCAGGGGCGACTTCGGTTTCATCTGCCATGTCGCGCACGCCTGCGTCTCTTGCGTTGCAGACGCCCAGTGTGCCTAGTCAGCCCAGCTACCTCGCTACCATGAGCCGTACGCCGCCCCCACAGGCGATTTCGCCGTCGGCGCGGACGCCGCCACCGTCCACATCGAATCGCAACAGTATGTTTGCGCCTGGTGCGCTACCGCTAGCACAGAACCAAGCGCCGTCGCCGACGCCGTCACAGCCGAGCTCCCGTCCGACTTCCCGTCCGACCTCACAACTGCTCGCAGAACCGGAAGATACGGATGATCCTATCGCCAAGGCCCTAGCGAACTTGCGCATGCGTCAAAGCCGCAAGAGTCCTGCGCCAGGCAGCCGGCCCACGAGCATGCTGAGCACGGCGGCGGTCGACAAGGAATTGCCGGCGATGCAGGACGCCGGAGCTCCGGCGCCTGCCGCTACACCCTCGATGGTGGATCCTCGCTGGCAGCGTGCCATCTCGCCGGAACCATCGGCACAGCGGGCTGTGTCGCCGGATCCGCGCATGCAAGCGCGGCCCATCTCGCCGGCCGCTGCCTTTATGAACCCGCCGATCCGCGGCACATCACCGATCCCCGTGGAGAAGATCCACAGTGCGTATGGTCAGGCATTCCCCAGCGAGCGTCGCTCGGCAAACAGTTCGCCTGTAAAGGACGGGCACGAGCCACAGCGGGCCACTACGCCACTGGGTCTCTCCCTGGACGCGAACGGCGCCGTGTCGCAAGACACGATGGCCGGCCGGTACGGCCAGGCAGCGCCGGCCGGCGCGGGTTCAGCACCTGCGCACGCACCCGCGGGGGGCTCGCAGCTCGCACGTCCGCCCACGGGTCAGTACAGCGAGACGGGCGAACCCATCCTATTCTATGTCAAGGCCCTGTACGACTACACGGCGACGCTGCCGGAGGAATTCAGCTTTACGGCGGGCGACATTATTGCCGTGACGCATACAGAGCCAGATGGGTGGTGGCAAGGTGAGCTGCTGGACGAGGCGCGCCGTGTGCCGGGCGCCTACACATTCCCCAGCAACTTTGTCGTACTGCTCATGTAGAAACACATGCATAGATGGGTGCTACGAGGAAGTGGAGAGTGCCATTACATCTTGGACCTGGTGTGAGTAACGAGGCACATACAGCTGCCAGACGCCGGCCACAAGAGGCAGCGTAAGGCCAGTCACGAAAAAGGCAGTGACGCCAGCGGCAACCTTGCCCTTGTTGTGCTTACCAGCCTTGAAAGGCACTGGGGTCAGAGAGTGGGTACGCACGAGACTGGGGTTAGTTACAGCATACATACGTTGTCGACAGTGTTTTCAATGTGCACCGAGCGGCGCAGGGCCATCATAGGGGCCTTCGAGGCACGGAGCGAGGTACGCGAAGCAGCGAGAAGGGCAGACATGGTTGACGAGGGAAAGACGACCGCGACGCAGCCCGTCCGATTGTGTCCGAGCCACGTGGCCGCCACGTTCAATTTTTTTGGGCCCACACCTGCCTCCCTCGTGCAGCACGACCGCGATGGGGGCGGCGCGTGCAGACGATGCAGAAGGAGACGCCATGCACCATACAGGCAGTGTATCGCATATCGGCAATAAGCACAAGCGCCAGGATATGTACCAAAAGTACCGCAAGGAAAAGGCCAAGCGCAAGTTGGCGCGTCGCCTGAAGACGGCCAAGGACGAGCGGGCCGGCAAGGACGGCAAGGCGCTCAAAAAGGTAGGTGTGCGCAACTCACACGCAGGAGCGACTCGCAAAAAACAAGCCGCGCACGATAGAGAATACGCGCGTGTACAATCCGACGCTTCTCCATGCGCCGAATACACACGAGATGCCCTCGTGGATCGAGGAGCAACAGCGGCAAGCACGCGAACAGTCAGAGGATGACGCCGAGGACGAAGAAGAAAACGACGACGAGTCCGAGGCCGTGGAGGACGAGGAAGGTCCGCGCAATGAGGCAGAGGTGGACGAGGTCGTCGATCCTCAGCAAGCCAAGTACGACCTCGACGATGATCCGAGCGCCGCGCCGGCCATCTTGATCACGACGTCGATGCCATCGAACTCGACGTCGCCGCACCTCGCGTCTGCCAATGCACGCAGTCACCCTGCCGAGGCTGTGCGCGACCTGATCAAGGATCTGCTGAATGTGTTCCCTGGCGCCGAATATCGCCCGCGTGCCAAGGCGCGGGGCGCAGGCCTCGGCAAGATCTGCGGGTGGGCGCGCGCGCGTCGCTACGATGCCGTTATGGTCATTGGCGAATCGAACAAGAAGCCGTGTACGATGACGCTTGTGGCGCTGCCGCTGGGTCCCACGGCGCTCTTCCGCCTGACATCTGTCTCACTCACTAAGGACATTGTTGGCCATGCGCGTGCGACGCCGCACACGCCTGAGCTGATCCTGAACAACTTTACGACGGCGCTCGGCCACCGTGTCGGACGGCTTTTGCAGCATCTCTTTCCGAAGATCCCGCAGCTCGAGGGACGCCAGGTGGTCACTGCGCACAACCAGCGCGACTACGTGTTCTTCCGGCGGCACCGCTACGAGTTCCGCTCGACGGACAAGGCCGCGCTGCAGGAGATCGGTCCGCGCTTCACACTCAAGTTGCACAAGCTCTCGTCGGGCCTGCCCAATGGCGCTGGGGCTTGGGACGGCCGTTTTGTCGAGGAGCTGGAAGAGGCACCGGCCGACGAGGCGCCTGAGGCGGACGCGGCTGAAGCACATGCCGCCGACGACGGCGTCGAGTTCCAGTGGCAGCCCAAGATGAGCGTATCGCGCCGCCAATTTTACCTGTAGATGTATCTATTAGAGTGCAGTGGGTTTGTGCCCGCCCAGCGGATTCTGCCCGCGATCAAGCGCTAGGAGCGCCGCCTCCCGTACCTGCCGCAGATACCGTCGCAACGGGCTCTGATCCATGTCGGGCGCGAGGAACTCGACATACAGGCGCAGGCGCTCGTCGGCCACAAGGTTCGGCAGCGCCAGCGCATGCGCGAGATTCTCCTTGACGACCTGGCTCGTATCCACGAGCATCCAGTGCAGGCTGAGCACAATCTCAGGAATGTACCGGCGCCGGATGAGCTGCAGCTGCTGCTGGCGCACTGGCTCGGTGACCTCAAACTGCAGCCACCCCAGCTCGAGCAGTTCCATGTGCGCAAGACGCGCCAGCTCCGAGCCGGCCGTCAGCGACTGCGCCCAGTCGCGCTGCTCCGCACGCGACTCGGCCAACGCCGAGTCGCTCCATAGTCCGCGCACTGCGACACCCTTGTCGAGCACATCAAAGTAGCTGCGCCAGTGGTCGAGCTCAAGCAGCTGGTCTTCGGCAAGCTCCATATCGCCCAGTCCCTGCAGCAGCTCGGACGGCAGGCGCGCAAGGAGGCTGTGTGCCGCGTGCAGACGGCCCGTCGCCATAAATGCACGCATTAGTGCATTCGTCTGGCAGATGGCGTCGACGTACGTTGCCTCGAAGAAGGTCAGCCAGTCGATCGCGAGAATCAGCCGTCGTTCATCGGGGCTCAGACCCGCATTCCACGCGCGAATCTCGTCGCTAGGGTGCAGAGCCGGCTCCAGCTCGGCCATGACCATCGCGACGGTCTCTCGTGCAACAACGGCAGGATCGAGACCGTGTGGCTGCGCCTGGAGGAGCGCACGGCGCCGCTCCTCGAGCGAGGCGTCAGCATCCATCCCACACAAGAATTCAGCATAGACATGGTTCGCATTCTCGTCCTCGAGGCTTGAGGCGTAGAGAGCCACCAGCTCGCTGGGCTCGCCGGCCTTTTGGAGCACGCCGACGTACGCATTCAGGATCGGCTCACATGCCTGCGTAGGCAGCGGGATATGCACGAGATGGCAGAACAGCGCAAGGTGCGCAAAGAACCGTACGAGGCGCGCATACACGCGCTCCTCCAGCTGGGCCATCTCTGGCAAGCGCATATTTACGCGCTCGATGAGGTCCGGTACGCTATCCGTGATGACAGCACGCTGCACGACGCGGTAGGGATCCAGTGCCTCCTCGGCAGCCCGGGCCGTCGCGTGCGCGAGCTGCTCAAAGATAGAGTCGAGGCTTTCGGACGCCTCGGCTGTGGGTTCTTCGCCGGCAGGTGTCGGATCGAGCACCAGCGCTGACGCGGCGCTGGGTGCTGCCGCCTCCAAGGCACGCTCGAGACGCTGCTCAAAGCGGGCATTCACATAGCCCCACAGCCGCTCTTCCCACGACTCGCTTACCGATAGGACCGACGTGAGGTCGCCACATAGGGCGCCGTACAGCGCACGCTCATATGGGTCCAGCGATAGATTGGCCGCCGCCTTGCGAGCGACGCGGCGCCACACGCTGCGCGTGCGGTTGCCGATCGGCTCGTCCAGCGGCGGGCCACATAGCGCTGGGTCATGGTAGAACAGGGCGCCGCGCAGCGAGGCGGCGCGCCACGACTGGCTCGACTCGACGCACAGATCAAGGGCCATCGGCAGCGAACCCTCGCGCACGTACTCGAAGAGACTGCGCACGAGCGCCTTTTCGTAGTGCACGTCGTCAACGTCCCAGGCACCGTTGCCGCGCAGCGGCGCATCGGGATCGAGCTGCTCGACGAGGCGCTCGCGCTGCCGCCGGGATGGCATGCCGGAGACCTGTGTGCGCTTCTCGGCGCGCAAGGCATTTTTCGTAAAGGGCAGGTACCCCTTGCGCACCTCAACGGGGTGCTGCACGGGCAGCATGTCCTGGAGCCAGTCGCGGATGATCTAAGTCAGGAGCGCCCACGTACATTTAGTTCTGAAAGCTCAGGACTCGATACCAAGATGCGCTGGACCGTAGCGATGGGCGTCTCATACACATGGACGGGCGCCTCGAGCTCGGCCGTGGGCGGATCAACGAGGCGCGCACTGGGTAAGTGGCCCATACGTACGCGAACAGGGAATGAATCAGCTTCCACGTGTGCTGCTCAGCGTCCCAGGCCAGTGCGTCTACATCCTCAAGCGCATGGTCGTCGGCAGGATGATCCCGGACCCAGGCGGCGCGCCGCGCACACGCATCGGCAAACACAAGCGCGGTGCCGCTTTCGGCATCGAGCTGCGTTGCCAAGTCCAGGTCCTTTGCAGAGCGGAAGGCGGTAGCAAAGGTCTCGAAACTTGACGACGCAGCGTCGTCCGTGTCCATCGCCGCCATCGTCGCGAGCCAACCGCGACGCCAGACAGGCGCCCGAGGTCGGATGCACGTGATCGTACGAGGCGGCAGCCGCCTGGGCCACGGCTTCGCGCACGCCCGCGCTGGGCGACATGTCGAGCGAGTCGGACCCGAAGGCGCCGCCTTCCCTGTCCGATGCGTTTGCGATCACACCGCGGTTTGCCGCTGAGCGAGCTGCGGCGGGATATGGACTGCCAGGCAGTCGTGCCGCCGAGGCCGCGAAGAAGGACCAGTTCCTCCCAGATCTCAACGTGCGGCTCATGTGCCCCGAGTGCCGGACGAATCCGCCCAATATCACCGAGGAATTTGCGAGTGGCGACCTCGTGTGTTCTGACTGCGGGCTCGTGTTGGGCGACAGGATCATCGATACCCGCAGCGAATGGCGCACGTTTGCGAACGAAGACGGCGACGACCCGTCGCGTGTGGGCAGTGTGGCGAATCCGATTCTCGACGGTATCACGGAGCAGCTAGAGAGCCGTATCGCTGCCCGCGATGGTGGCACGGGCACCTCACGCGAGCTGCTCAAGACCATGACACGTGCGTCCGGGCCGCGCGACCGCTCGTTGCTGGACGCCTTTGACTCGATCCAAAACAAGTGCGACAGTATCCACCTCCCGCGGACGGTGTGCGATACGGCGAAGCAGGCATACCGTCGCGTAGAGCAGGAGAAGCTGCTGCGCGGCAAGCAAACGGATGCGATTATTGCTGCGGCCATTTATGTGGCGTGCCGTGTCAATCGCGTGCCACGCACGTTCCCTGAGGTGTGCGCGCTTACCTCGGCGCGTAAGCAGCAGGTCGCGCGCTGCTTCCGCGAAATGAAAGAGGCCTTTGGGCTGAATGCTACCGGCTCAGGGTCGATCGATGGCGCGGATACCTCGGCAGACGCGGCGGTCGCCAGCAAAGGCACCGGTGGCGCCGCGCCCCTGGGTCTCGCGGTGGGCGCGACCGACCTCGTGGCCCGCTACTGCAATCACTTGGGCCTGGACATGTCTATTGTTCGCGTCACCGAGGCGGTCACTATGCGGATCCACGATCTTGGTTTTCTGGCGGGCCGGTCCCCCATCACCATTGCCGCAGCGTCAATCTACCTGGTCACAATACTAGTGGACGAGCAGCGCACAGCCCGGCGCATCTCTGTGGCGGCGGGTGTATCAGATGTGACGATCAAGCACTCGTTCAAAGAGATCTTGAAATTCATTGACCAGGTCCTCACGCCCGAGATCGTAGCCAAAGACGCGCGCATCGATATACATCGACTGGACTCGAAATAGCCCATCTCATTGTACAAGTCAACAGGTAAAACTACGAGAATTAGGGTCGGTGACGTAGGCCCGTCTATGAGTTATCCGTGGGGGGGTCTCGGTCTATGTTGATAAGCACATCAGAATCTTTTGACGGAAAGTAGACTTGATGGGACTCACGCTCAATACGAATGTGTCGCCGGAGCGCATCACTGCGTGGAAATCCTTTTTGGCATACACGGCAGACATAGGGCCGATCGCCGGAATGGACACGCGCATGGCGCTCTAGGTCGTGCTTGCGGAAGAACGCTTTAGAGCAGTGCAAGCAGGGAAAAGGTCGGTCTCGACCATCCTTCGACTTCTTCTGAACGGCGGGGTTCTCACCTGAAGGGAGCAGACTGGGGGGGCGGACCGGAGGCCACGTTAAATCTCGGTCTTCAACTATGCGCGGATAGCCAGTCGACATAGGTGGGGATGTCGACTCCTTTTTGCGTGCGTTAGACTCCCCAAGTGTGGATGACTTGTGGTCCGACATGGGGGGGAATAATAAGCGCGCAGGCAAGGCTTCCCTTTCCGCTGTCGCTCTTGCGAGCCGCTCCGAGTTCAAGAACACACGCACATCCTCATCCACATGAGGCCAGCTTTTCAGTGGCTCTTTGATTTCCTCCTTGGCTAGTGACTGTGCATCATTCGCAAAGGCCGGCACTGTCGAACGCGTGTGGGACGACTGGGGTTAGCCAAAGCCATCCGCACTAGGTACGCACGAACTCCACGGGAGGCCAGAGCTCATTATGGACCAACTCCGGGAACAAAAAAGACATGGTTCACGAGACCAAGCAAATGCAATACGGTGGTACGTGCCAGGGGTAGGTGCTCGTCAGCAATGAAATATGCGACGACAATCAATAGCCAGGGACATGAAACCCACCAGGAACCCCGCAGAGTGCGAAACATGCGCGGGATCCGAAGACTATGTGTTGCTGATTAATCACACATCCGTTTGATGCAATGGCGTTGAGAGTGATCCCAACATGCATCAGGCTATGCTGGGGCCAGATAGGACTATCAATGAGATGGACTTTGCAGGAGTCCGAGGGACTTGAGCAGAGATACAAATACCTTAAACCTGAGAGGCTTCGACAGATACCCGTCGGCACCGGCGGCATAGGATTGACGCAGAATTTCGCTCGTGGACGTGCCTGACAGCATGTAAATCGCTGTCCTTGGTCGGCGGCTCTCCTCCGCAAGCTCTTCGGTGGACAGCCGCTGCTCTTCCAGTTGGCGGATCGCAAGCGTTGCACCCAGTCCATCAACGTTGGGCATCGAATAGTCCATGAGAATGAGACTAAAATACCCTGGCGGTCTTGAGGAAAACTGCGAGATCGCCTCGCGTCCGTCCCGAGCCTCCGAGCAAGACATATTGAGTTTCTTCGAGTATGCACGCAAGACCTGCCGGTTTATCGCATTGTCATCGGCAAACAGCACACACCCAGAGGGCGCTGGATTCGGTGGCCTCACAATCGGCGACTCGGAAGACTGTTCTGGCTCGCTCTCTTGGCCACTAATCGAAGTATCCAGTTCCAACATCGTATGAGTCGGCGTCTCGGGAACAGGCGAGATGGGGCCCGTCATCGAGGACGGAGATATAGAATTCTGAAGCCGTCCTAGCGTCCGGCGCTCAGGAGTCGAAAAAACTGGTGGGTCCGTAGAGAGCGGAGACGGCGTCTCATCGATTGGCGAGAAGGGCTCCGTGGTGCAAACGCCAAAGGTCTCAGGCCCCATCGTAACAGGCGGAATGTGTGTGCGGGCAGCTTCGCGGTCATCTGTACTAGTGCCCTTAGACGACACACAAGCGGCAAATACTTCTTCAAGTCGGGCAGGCCCCACAGGTTTCTGTAACATGTATATGACGCCACCCGCGCGCTTGTATTCTTGACAGAGAGTCAAGTGATCACGCCCGTGATACAGATTCGCCAAGACCACCACAGGAGGAAGACCATTCCTATTCTCCAGCATCGACTCCCGTAACGTCTTCAGCAAAGACACGTCCGTGTTCATCAGCAAAATATGGCGGCCAGATTCCAGTATATCCAAAAAGCGAGTGTCCGCTGGCACCTCATGCAAAACCACTTGAAAGCCCCACCATGATATCAAGTACTGTCGGAGTGTGTTTGTTAAGAGAGCCGTACCCTTCGAATCAGTGGCCTGTGTAAATATATGCACGGTGCACAGCTGAGCCACTTGTAGGCGAGGGATATATTCATTGTTATGCGACGATGACAAGGCCAGGTCACACGACACGACAATATCTGTGCCTTGATGGGGTATGCTTTCCACATGTACAGCACCGTTCTCGAAATTCCTCACTAGTTCATTCACGATCGACAAGCCCAGCCCCGTGCCACCTTTTAGAGGATCCTCCTGGGAAAAGGGTTGGAATAAGTGTTGGTCCAAAAAGGAGCGAGAAATACCACAGCCAGTATCTTTGACTCGGAAGCTAGCACGTATTTTGTGTTCGGAAATGGGTGTGTGTTGCAGAGACACAAGAATATATCCCTGCTCTGTGAATTTCAATGCATTTCCAATCAGGTTGGTAAGAACACGCCGTATCCCGCCACTGTCACAAAAAGTGAGCCAGCCACCTTCCCGTTTTTCAATTTCGATCACCAGCTCAATTGAGAAGCTCTTGGCTATGCGCTTAGCATCGGCTTGGCCAGGGTCATACATGGACCCAATAGAAGATCCAGCTTGGCCAGTCCGTCGCTGCCCCAAGTGTCCCACCAAACTGCTGTCGCAAACTTCTTGGAGGAGTTGCACCAGATCCACGTCGTGATATTGCGCTTGTTTATCTCGTTGGGCTCCAGAGTTGTTCACATCACTGGATAATTTTGTATAGTCGAGCACATGATTGACGAGCTCCAAAAGGCCATGCCCACAGGATTCGATCGTGTGCGCATAGGAGAGCTGCATGTCATTCAGATTTGTATCTGAGAGCAGCTCCGTTGAGGCAAGAATACCATGCAATGGCGTGCGCAATTCATGAGACATGTTGGAAATAAACGAGGACTTGGCACGGTCGGCTAGCATCACGGATTGCTTGGCGACCGCATCCATGATCATGTAGCCGATGGCGCGTACATGCTGGATGGCCGTGTGTACCATTTGGTCCAAAATAAATGCATACTCGCCAGGACGAGAATAACAACACAGCAAGGCAAAAGGTTGACGATCTACGCCCATAATAGGAACGATAAGGGTATCCACTGTGTCCTCAGGCAAAAGTCGGGCAATGGCTTCAGGGACATGTCGAAAGTGTTGACCAAGATGAGTGGTGGTTAATAGTTGGCATAGCGTATTGACGTGCTCAATATTCATAGGCATATTTCGTTCGGGGATGCGGCAATGGGCCTCACTTGCACCCAGTAGAGTCAGTGCAGGGACTTGGGTCACAGGAGCCTCCTCGGAAAACTCATCAGGCGACTGCTCCCATCCACTGTGGTAATGCCTAGTCATGCTCGAGTGAATGACATGTTCGCTGACCTTGCCATGAATACTTGTTGGCTTCTTAACTAATACGAAACATGACAAGTCGAAAATGGCTACACCTGATACATCCATGGAGGCATGAAGAGTTTCAGCTGCAAAGTTGAAAATGTGCAGGTAGTCATCACTAAGAGTGCTGTTGGTACCTCCCTCGCCATGCGAGATGGTGGGAAAGACGTCAGTTTTGTCCGTGTCGTCCAGGTGCTCTGAGTCGTGTAAAAAGTGACACAAAAAAAATTCAACGCAGCGTTTAAGTTGATCCCGGCGATCAAGCTGTGCATTGCTCAATGATAAATCAATACTGTTAGTGATCATGCTCGTAAGGTCCATAAATAACTGTTTTTCACGCTCATCAGGCGGGGGTCGAGGCTTGATGTCACCCACACAAAAAGACCCAATGACTTCACCTTGCGAGCCATACAATGGCGTGGCAATAAAAAACTTGAGACCATTTCGATATGGACTTCGACTGAACCGCCAGTCTTCGTCGACATTAGGAATGACCATCAACTGGCCCCGAGGAAGCAAGAGTGAATGAGCAGCCAAAGTTTGTGAACAACCGGTTTCATCCTTGACAGATCGACAGTTTGGTTTACTGGTCCACTCCGTCACGACAGAAAAAGGAAAGAGACATTGTTGGCCGGGGCACGGTTCTAGGCCGACATTCTTTACAAGAGGTTCTGGACCAAGCAATTTGATAGATACATACGGCATGTCAAGCATGTAAGAAGACATTCTCTGGACTTGAAGCATACTTTCATTACTGTGCATTTTAATTTGCTTGCTATACCACTGCGCACGGAACAGTGCGACATGGTCGGCGGGTAAAAATACAGGCAGATGATTGTGAGTGATAAAGTGGCTCTCCATTCTTGCGGCGAGCTCCGATAGTACTCTTGAATCACTACTAGACGTGTTACGCAAGATATGATTTTGGGCATTATGGACAGCCTTGGCATCCACAAAACATTGTTTAGAAGGAAACGCTGGAGTCACCGTGGCGTCAAAATTTCCATTTACATAGAGTGCAGAGAAGACCTCCCATTCCAGGGGAAGTGGGTCAATTTCCGACCTTGTCAAGTCGCCATCATAACTGAAAACATTGACATGGTCCTGAGTACCATTAGTCGCCAGATCATCAGGCAGATTTTGCACCATGTGGCGTGAGACGAATCAGTCCGTGCGTCTCAGTATCCGGATCTGATCCACCCCAGTGTTAACAATTTGCAGTAACTGCGCTTAATCTTGCGCCGACGCCCACACTAAGGGTTTCTGTCCACGTGCACATCAGGGCGAACTCCATGTGGAGCATCACACTCACACTCGGCGAATCTATAAATAGGTTACAAGCGCTCTGTTGCAGACGCAGCAGCCGTGTATGCAAATGCATCCTCCTGAGTCCGCACTAGAGAAGCTTCAATAGATTCGGACCGCGCATGTAGCGCATCTGTCTCTAATTTAGCATCGCTGAGCTCCATGAGCGCACTTTGCAGCGAGAAGTGTGGGGGAATAGCACTGCCTGTCCCAGTTCGATTTGTGGCCAAATAGTGAGACCGAATTAATTCATTCCGCGACGCTCGTAGAGCGTCAATCTGAAGTGTGAGTAGACCAAGTGTAATTAGCGCACCTCGTGATTAGTCTCGGGCGTCAATGGTAACCGAACGGGTGCTTCAGGAACAAGCCAGGGTTTTCTGCTACTGGTTTCCTGCGCCACAGAAGGGGGCGGGATATTCCAGCGACTGCCAGGACGGGAGGGAGGTGGGCCCGGTGGTTTAGAAGGAGCCGTAGGCGCCGGCGGGACCCCCTCCGCATATATTTTGGATCCTTCAGGCGAAGTTTCTGGTATCATTTACCGGAAATGTAAGCACACGAGCGCCTTGAATCCCACTCGCCCTGTTTCGTAGTGACTACAGTCCTGCTACGATGGTGACGCACCGAGGAAAATGAGCATCACGTGATGGGACCCACCCAACCCTGGAGAAGCGAAGTCGGACTTTCCAAGGCGTGTCGACGGCATAGACCATGTCTAGCGTGCGTGCCATGGGAGCCCTTGGTCATCTGAGCGCAGTATACCGTGCCATGCCTCTAGCATTCACTATCCGACCTATCCAAATCCCCAGATTGGAGATGGGACGTTCTTTGTTCTCAACGACTCAGACTTGGCGTAATGACGCTATGAAAAGTGCCTCTGAGCAACCAAAAAGGGAGACTGCTACATCGACTAAGGCAAGCTCAGAGAGCGAAATATCCCCAATACTGAATATTGCGCTCCCGAACCAGGTGTCGACGACCCCGGTTTCGGCAGCAAACATGCCCACATATATGTATTCTGCTGACGCCCTGCCTCCCCGGCAGGACCCGCTTCTGCACTTTCTTGTCAACTTGTTAATGAGGGATGGTAAGAAGGCTTCTGCAGAGCGGTACATTGCTGATATGCTCGGACATATGGCCAAACTTACGAATTCGGATCCGCTCCCTTTGGTGTATGAAGCTGTGGAACTCGCCAAGCCCATTTTGCGTATGCAATCCCGAAAACAAGGAGGTAAGACTATGCAAGTTCCTATTCCCTTGAACGCACGGCAAAGCACGCGCCGTGCTCTTGTGTGGATCATCGATGCGAGTAACCGCCGCTCTGACCGCTCGATCAGCCGACGCTTAGCTGTTGAGATGCTGGCCATCCTAGAAGGAAACAGTTCCGTCTTATCGCGGAAAGAAGAGCAACACAAGGTCGGCATGATCAATCGCGCCAACGCTAGTATCCGTATTTAGATGCAAAAAAAAAAGTGCCACTCCTTGCCAACATGTCCGTTAGATCACATTCACTGACAAAGGGACGTTGGTACAAGGTGAGAAAAAAGCTCCCAACGTGGGGATCGAACCCACGACATTCAGATAACTCCTCGTAACCGAGGAGACTCTATTAAGAGTCTGACGCTCTACCGACTGAGCTAGCCGGGATAAGTTCTGATGGAACGCCTTTGTGTGGACGCTTATTACCAGAACGTTACAGATATTTTTTGTACAAAAAGTTGCTCCCAACGTGGGGCTCGAACCCACGACATTCAGATAACTCCTCGTAACCGAGGAGACTCTAGTAAGAGTCTGACGCTCTACCGACTGAGCTAGCCGGGACAAGTGTTGACGGGCTCTACGAATGGACCTTACAAAAATCCCAAAGGCTGAGAAGCCTAGAACCAGTGCCGCTTTCGGAAGCCTAGAAGCTCCATGAGTGTCTGTGCCAGTGATCCCAGGGCACCTGGTGGGCGCTGGACTGGCTGTCCTTCCACACGGAGTTTCCATGCCTCTTTTCCGTCGACCTGCACGGAGACTTTAAGGACCGGCTGTTTGGGATCGCGCGTGTCTACCTCCAGCTCGGTCCACTTGTGGTGGCCATCAGGGAGATACTTGAGCAGCAACTCTTCACCGGGAGGGTCGATGCTGTGATCCTGCGACAATGTGCGGATAGGTATGTAGAACATGGACAAGGGGCTCGTGCTGAACTCAATCACTTTGTCGCGGAACGACACGGAGGCAAACTCGTGACGATCGCCGCTCAGGATGATCACATTCGGCACGTACTCGAGGACATCCAGTAGAGCCTTGCGCTCTTCTTGGTAAAAGCTCCAGCCGTCGGTACGGCCATCCAAGTCTAAAGGCCCACCCCAAAGACTCGTAAAAGGCACCGACGAGATCAGGAACTTGAACGTGGCTGTGTGGTTGACATCCGCCAGCCAGTGCAGCAGGGCGTCGCGCTGCACGTCGCCCAGCATGGTGCGCTCGTCGCCGTCATAGTCGGGGTGCGTGCGGAACTTGCGCGTGTCCATGACAAAGAAGGCCGAGTCGCCGTAGCGGAACGAGTAGTAGTGCTCACCCGGAGTCAGCGGCGCCGGATTGGCCGCGCCGACGTACTCAGACCACGCCTCCAGTCCACCCGCCAAGCCCGGAGGCGGCGACGGCGCCGACTCTTGCACTTTGACGTCGTCAACGATGTCAGGGCGCTCGCTGCCGTAGCCGCCGCCCGTCCAGTTGTTCACAATCTCGTGGTCGTCGTAGATGCCCAGGACAGGGATGGAGCGGTATATGCGGCGGAACGAGTCAGAGGCAAACAGGTTGCGGTACAGCGTGCGATACGATTGGATCCCGGGGCCCTCGTAGCGCGGCACATCCGCGTAGATGAGGTCGCCTAGCTCCAGGAGGAAGCGGATCCCAGGGAGGGCGCCGGCGCGGTCGACGAGCCGGTCCGCCATAAGATCAAAGCCACGGATGCGGTTGCGTTGCGAAATGCCGCCGGGGCCAGTGCCGATACCGAGGGTCTGCAGCAGCCAGCTCCAGGCCCAGAACTGGGCGGGATGGTAGGGAAAGTCGGGCTTGATGCACGAGACGGTGGCGAACTTGAAGTGGTTCGGGTCATCGAACGGCACGGGCTCGTTGTCGGTCTTGTTTGCCGGCTGGAACTTGGCCTTTCGGTACGCCGACAGGCGCGGGTCCGGCCAGGTAACAAACGACACGGGGCGTTCCGGCAGCGGCGCGAACGTGTTGTTGTGCACGAAAGCAAGGCGCCATTCGTACTGCGTCGCGGGCCACAGGTCACTGAGCGTGGCAGTCGCTGTCCAGTCGGTCTCGTTCGTGAGGCGGAGCACGGGCCCACGCTCCCAGCGGCGCGCGTCGCGCACCGCCGCCACGGCCAAGTCGGCGTCGTCGCGACGCACGACGCGGCGCCACACGACGCGGAGAGGCTCCTCGTTGATCTTGGCTGCATCGGTCAGGACGTCGTACCCTTCGATGCCCGACTCCCAGAGGCCTGAGAGAGGCGGCAGGGGAGTCGGATAGCGCACATGGATGGTGGCGGTGGTGGGGCTGATAGCGCCCATGCGCGCGAAGCGCAGCGACGCCTCGCGGTGTGAGGGGAACATGTGCGGCGAGTAATACAGGTCGAGTACAAAGAGCAGCAGCAGCGTGTGCAGGCCGAGCTGCAGCAGGTTGAGGCGGCGATGAGGCGTCGAATACCCCAGCGCCAGGGCCCTCAGCGACGGGCGCGTGGGCTGCGAACAGCCAGACGAGTATAGATCGTACAGGATCCATGTGGCCAAATATCCAAGGTAGACATGGATCGCATAAAAGCCAAATGCGCCGGGAATGAGGCGCAAGAACAACAGGGCGAGCAGGCGGAACAAGACGCTGCACACGCCCTGCAACGCGAGCATTGAGCGCGGCTCTGGCGGCAAGGGAGCCGCATGCGTGGTTGCTTCCTTGGTTGGTGCACCAGACGGCATGTCCGAGGCGCGCGCGGCCGCGGTAGGAGACGACGGCATCGCACGGAAGCGGGGAGACGCGTGCAGCGAGGTTCGGTGGCCCCAGCGTGTCACGTGGAACGGGGTCCAGCGCCAGCGCCTGTGTGACTAGACCCTTGGCGATGCTGTACCTGCTAGACTATGGGGCGGGAAGTACGTGCATGCGTCTTACACAGACATCCAGAGCCTGGCGAACTCGCTCACCAAGCTCGGACATGAGTTTGCGTGGGTCCAGACGCCCGAGGACATAATGCGCGCGGACGTACGTGGCGATGGCTGACGCAGGCGCTGCTGTTTCCCGGCGTTGGCAGCTTTGGCTGTGCGATGGAGGCGCTGCACAGCAAGGGCTTTGTAGAGCCGCTTCGTGCGTACATCGCGAGCGGCCGCCCGTACATGGGTATCTGTGTCGGCATGCAGGTGCTCTTCGAGGGCTCCGAGGAGTCAGCCGGCGTCGCGGGGCTGGGCGTCATTCCAGCGCGTGCGGAGCGCTTCTCGACGACGGACGGCGCGCGGGGTGCGCGCAAGGCAGTGCCGCACATGGGCTGGAGCAAGGCGGAGCTGGTCGAGTGGGGCGACGGCGAGGCGCGTGCGGCGCTGGGCGCCCGCTACGGCCTGTCGGCCTCGGCGCCGCGGCACTACTACTTTGTGCACTCGTACCGCGTGCCCTTCTGCGAGGGTGTGCGCGACTGGGCACTCGCCACGACACAGTATGGCGACGAGACGTTTGTATCGGTGGTGCAGCGCGGTAATGTGTTTGCGACGCAGTTCCACCCCGAAAAGAGCGGGCGCGCAGGCCTCGCGCTGCTTGACGCGTGGCTGTCGCGCACGCAGGTGGAGCCCCCAAGTGCGCGCCATGCTGTGCCGACGCCTGCGTCGGCCCGCGCGCCGACGCGCCGCATTGTGGCGTGCCTCGATGTGCGCAGCAACGACGACGGCGACCTTGTCGTAACCAAGGGCGAGAGCTACGACGTGCGGGAGCGCGCACCGGAGGCGGGCGCGGCGCCTGTGCGCAACATGGGAAAGCCGGTGGAGCTGGCGCAGCGGTACTACGAGGAGGGCGCGGATGAGGTGGCCTTCCTCAATATCACATCGTTCCGCGAGTGGGCCCTGGGCGACCAGCCGATGCTGTCGCTGCTCAACGTCGCGGCTGCCACCATCTTTGTGCCGCTTACGATTGGCGGTGGCATCCGCGACTTTACGGACCCCGACGGCACTTTCCACCCCGCGCTGAACGTCGCGCACGCGTACTTCCGCGCGGGCGCCGACAAGGTCAGCATCGGCAGCGAGGCCGTGTACGCGGTCGAGCAGGTGCTCGCGCGCGCGGGCGGGGCGCTCAGCGACCCGGCCGCGGCGCCAGCGGCGGCGCTCCAGGGTGACACGGGGATTGAGCAGATCTCGCACACGTACGGCGCGCAGGCCGTCGTGGTGAGCATCGACCCAAAGCGCGTGTACGTGGAAGCGGACGCCGAGGTGCCGCCCGCGCACGCTGCGTCGCTCGTGGCAGGCGTGGACGAGCGACCCGCGACGGCGGGGCAGCCGGCGCGCTGGTGGTACCAGTGCACCGTCAAGGGCGGGCGCGAGCTGCGCGACATTGATGCCGTGCAGCTGGCGCGCGGCGCCGAGCGCCTGGGCGCCGGTGAGCTGCTGATCAACAGCATCGACCGCGATGGGAGCAACAACGGGTTCGATGTGCAGCTGATGGATCTTGTGCGCGGCGCAGTCAACATCCCCGTCGTGGCGAGCAGTGGTGCAGGGTGTGTGCAGCACTTCACCGAGGTGTTTGCTAAGCGCAGCAGTGCGCACGGCGCCCCTATTGAGGCGGCCCTTGCCGCCGGCATCTTCCACCGGCGCGAGGTGTCGATAGCCGATGTCAAGGCAGGCTGTGCGCAGGCAGGGTATGATGTCCGGTTAGATTAGCTATCGTACAATCAGGTGAGGCCCAAAAGGCGCACGCCCTCGTCCATACTACCGCCGTCCGCACGCTCGTCGAGGTGCGGGGCGTCCCATGCGGTGCGGGACCCGATACGAAGCCCGATCGCGACGCTGCCGTAGCCGGGCCCCGAGCCAGCTAGGGGCCCGGCGCCAGCGCTGGGCGAGCGAGCGAGCGGCTTCCAGGGCGTCATGCTGGGCGACATGGGCTCGTCGTGGGGCGAGTGGGGTACGCTGGCCGTGTGGACGGGCGTGGGCGTGCGGCGCGGCGCGCTCAGCGCGCTCAGCGCGAGGGGCGACGACGACGGCGATACCGCCGCATGGCCGAACAGGAAAGGGCGCCGGGGCGATGCCATGCTGCGGGGCGACGACGCGCCCGACAAGAGCCACGGTGCCACAGGTGCTGGCGGCCGCCGGCGCGCATACGGCGTCGACTCGTCGTGCTTGCGCTTCGTGCCGAGGCGCGGACTCGCGCCCGGCATCCACAGCGGCTCGGAGAAGGGAGCGACGGGCGCGGCCGGCGGCGGGAACGACTCATCAAGCGCAATGTCGCACGCGCGCGGCTCCTCGTCTGACATGTCGTCCGACGAGCTGTGCATGTCGTCCAGGGGCGTCGACGACGTGCCGTCAAGCGGGTCATCCATGTCGTCGTCGTGCGTCACGACGTGCAGATGGCTCGGACCCAGCTCGCCAAAGAGACTGGCTGACTGCGCCTCGTGCACTGGCTCGCCCCAGAGGCCGGCGAGGCGCGCGCGCCGCGCGCGTCGCGACACGAGATCGTGGGGGCTTGTTTCGCCCACAAGGCGCCGCTGAAGGCGCGCCTCCGAGGCAACCTCCGACTCAACAGGGCACCTTTCATCCTGTAGCAGCTCAGCCACGCGCATTTTGTTCTTGTCGCGCGGCGCACTCGACAGCTTGCGCGCGTGGTACCGCCGCGCGTGCACGCGCGGCGACTCGGCCTCCATCGGCGCGAGGGGCAGTCGGAAATCGCGCGGCGAGCAGGAAAAGGTCGAGCGCATTGGTACGGCAGCCGGCGACCCCGCGTCCGACGGAGGCACAGACCCCGCCGCGAACGGGGCGGCGCCCTCGTCCTGCATGGCGTCGAGCGACCAGCGGCCTCGACCGAGAGTGTCGCGTATGGAGGTGTGTATGTTTCTTCGGCCGGCAGGCCGGCGCTGCGCGTGGCGAGCTTCGTCGGTCGCCATGCTGTCGACGGCGTCGCCCGAGGCGGTGCCAGCCCGGGCGACAGACGACTTGTGGACGCGTCCGCTGGTGGCGCCCAAAGATCCTCTCGAGAGCGTGCGACACGCGCTGGGCGCAGAGGAGCACCTTATCCGCGTCAATGACGTCAACGCCCGCGAGACGTACAACGTGACGCTCTCGCGCACGATGCCGTATGCATCGCCGAGCATTCTTCCGGCGGATGCCAAAGAGGCGCTTCCACACGTCTCTACGATCACGCCGCCGCCCTCGCGGCGCCGCTTTGCGCGCTGGATGCGCGTGAATGACGACGACCCTGACATGCAGTCGCCGGGCGCGGGCCTCGTGCCCCTGTCGCACGCCACGCCGTCGCCACTGCAGCAGAGAACGTGCATGGAGCCGGCGCACGGGTCACTGGGATCTCCCGGCACGAATGCGCCGACGCCGCCGCTCTCTGCGCCGACGCCGCCGCCCCTCGGCACGAGCGTAGCGCCCGCGTCACCCCCCGATACCCCCCACGGCGCCGCGCCGCCGCTCGCCAATGTCGGGCAGATGCTCGGCCCGCGAACGCAGCGTCCGTCGCTGCAGGTCGCTACACAAGAACCCGCGAGTGGCCCCGCGGACGTGTCGGTGATGGGCGATGCTGGCCACTCGCCCCCCGCCACGAGCGTGGCGCCGGACGAGGGGGCGGTGCGCGACCCTGTGCCTGCGCCCTTGGCCGGCGCGCAGACGTCGGCGGAGCCGGTGGCGGACCGCACGTTTGACGAGGAGATGGCCGATATTGCCGATGCGCTGCGCAGGTCGTGGCGGGCCAAGGAGCAGGGGCACGACGCGCGCCCCGAGGCGCCGCGCGTACTCAAAGGCAACCTGATTGGGGAGGGGCATGCGAACTACGTGCTCATGTACCATATGCTAACGGGCATCCGCATTGCCGTCTCCCGCAGCGAGGGCCGAGCGGCCGCGCCGATCACAGCCGCCGACTTTCACACGAAGTGCAAGTTCACGTTTGACATCATCGGGAACGAGCTTACGCCGTCGTCCAACTACGACTTCAAGTTCAAGGACTATGCGCCGGCTGTCTTTCGTGAGCTGCGGCGGCACTTTCAGCTGGACACCGGCGACTACCTGCTGTCGCTGGCGGCCAAGTACATTCTGTCGGAGCTCGGGTCGCCCGGCAAGAGCGGCTCGTTCTTCTACTTCTCGCACGACTACCGCTTCATCATCAAGACGATCCGGCACGGCGAGCACAAGCTGTTCTTGCGGTTCCTGCAGGCGTACTACGAGCACGTGCAGGCGAATCCCCAGACGCTGCTGAGCCAGTTCTACGGGCTGCACCGCGTCAAGCTGCCGGGACGGCGCAAGATCCACTTTGTGATTATGAACAACCTGTTTCCGCCGCACCGCGACGTGCACGAGGTGTACGACCTCAAAGGTTCGACCGTGTCGCGCGAGCAAACGTCGGCCAAGCCGAGCGCCGTGCTCAAGGACATCAACTGGCTCAAGCGCGGGCGCACCATCGAGCTGGGGCCCACGAAGCGCGCGCTCTTTGAGCAGCAGCTGCGTCGCGACGTGGCGCTGCTGCAGCGCCTGCGCATCATGGACTACTCGCTGCTCATCGGCCTGCATGACCTGTCGCTCGGCAACGAGGGCCACCCGTCGCCGGTCGACCATGCGCGGCCCATGCTGCGGCGCCCATCGATGATCGTGTCGCCGGTCGAGGGCCCGAAGGATCTGTCGCTGCCGTCGCCGCAGCTGCGCGGCGACGCGGATGCCACGCCCCACTTTGTTGTGTCGCACGAGTCGGCACCCGACATGAGCTTTGCACGGCGCCCCTCCGACATACTCAATGTCTTCTACCGCGACGAGGGCGGCTTCCGCGCGACGGACGAGCACGACCGCCCGCTGAATACGCTCTACTACATGGGCATCATTGACATTTTTACCCTGTACAATGCCGTCAAGCGCTCCGAGCACGTGTGGAAGGGGCTCAGACACAACCGGCACGCCATCAGCCCGGTCCCCCCCCGCGAGTACGGCGAGCGCTTCGTCCAGTTCCTCCTGCGGCGTCCTACGCGCGACTCGCGTCCGTAGCCGCTGCCTGCGCCAGCTGCCAGCTCGCCTCCGCATAGCGATTTGGATGCGACACACTCTCGCCATGGCCGAGCCCGTCGCCGCGGCGCACGCCCTGCGCCGCGTGCGTCAGCTCGAACACGCGCGTGCACGCCACATGGTAGTGCCCCGCCTGCACGCTCGCCAATATCTCGGCCTGGTCGGCCGGCGAGATCTGGTAGTGCGCGCTCAGCGCCGCCGACAGGTTCGCCTGCGAAAAGTGGCGGAACGGGCACCCGTGCGTTTCCTGTGGCCCCGGCGGGAAGCCACTAATGATCGTCGTGCAGCTGCGCGCAGGGTAGTTGTGCCGGCCGCCCTCGAGACCATAGCCATGGCGGATGTTGTAGCGGTGCGACTTGAACTGGTCGTCGGTCATCTGGCTAAACGAGCGGCGCCAGAACACGAGCGCCTCCTCGACGGGGAGGCCCAGCTCCTTGAGGAACAGATTGTACTGCAGACGCGACTGGTGCAGCAAGTGGTGCTTGGCCGAGAGCGTCTCCTGCAGATGGCGCATGCACAGCGGCGCGTGCTCGCGCACGAGCGGCACGACCATGTCCGCCGTCAGCGTGATCGCCTCGCCGTCTGTGTTCACGAGCGAGGCGCTACTGTAGTCAGACGTCGCACCGAGCATCGAGCCCATGCTCAGGTGCTCGAGCACCGGCATCAGCCGGTCGTCCTCGTCGAGCCGCGGCAGCGCACGCGCGGTCAGCTCGAGCTGCGCCTGCAGGCCGCTCTGGAACTCGGCCAGCACAAGACTCGCCTGCTCCTTCGTGGGGATCCACGCCGTGCCGTGGTGCACAAACACACGGCGCTTCTCGACCAGGTCCGGCACGCGGTGCCACGGCACCTGCACGAACGACTCGGAATCAAAGGTCGCGGCCATGCGGGGGTGCACAGCAAGGAGCTGCTCGCGGAAGCGCTGCTGCTGCTCCGCCGGCACAGCGCGCCACACAAAGTCCTGAGAGCGCAGGAACGCCTCGCGCTCCGCGAGGTGCTCCGTCTCCCACTTCCAGCGGAAGAGCGTCGTCTCGGCATGCAAGAAGCGCCGCCGCAGCTCCTCCGTGCGCGAGAACGCCAGGCGCAGCACAAAGTGCGATACATGGTCCTTGCGCCGCTCGGCGAGCAGCTCCTGCGTCTTCGCCGCCGCACCACTCGCCGTGCCCGACTGCGCCACCGAGTTCGAGTGCAGCGGCAGGTGCGCCGACGAGCGCGCCTCGATCGCCGCCTTGGTCTCCGGCCACGACTGGTTGCGCGCGGCCGCCGTCTCAATATCGGCCAGCACCCGCAGCCGGTCAAGCGCCCACTGCTCAAACTCCTCCACGGTAATATCCTGGACCGGCGGCTCCTGGTACATGCTCAGCCGGTACGGATACTGCGCCAGACCACTCGCGCGCGCCGGGTGGTGCACCACCTGCGCGCGGCCTGGGGGGCCGCCGTCCACGCCCGACACGCCCGCGCGGAACATGGCAAGACGCGCCGCGCCGCGCCGCGCGCCGCACGCGCTTCGCTCCTGCGCCATCATCACGTGCATCTACGTCTGGGCGGCGTGGGCGGCGCGCCACGCCGCCTCGAACGCCACTACCGCTTCGTCGCCGCCGAGCGTCCGGATGCGCGTCGTTGCAGTCGGCAACTCACGCAGCGCACCCGCCATGTCGCGGCGCGCACGCACCAGATAGCCCAAGTACGCGAGCCAGGCCGTAGTCACCATGGTCAAGTCGCGCTCGCGCTCCGCCTGGTCGATGGCGCGCTTGTACAGCTGCGCGATGCGTGCAAGGAGCGGCGCATCTGGCTCGGATGCATGCGCATCCACCTGCGCCGCCTGCGCCAGGTCTAGCCAGCACGCCGCGCTCGCCGAGCTGGACGCCAACACGTACGTCAGCGGCGCATCACGACCCCCCTCCGCACGGCCTTGCGCCGTCGGCGCCGGCACGGACGTGCTCAGCGCCAGGAAACGCGCCACCACATGGTCATGCAGCGCCTGCGCATTGTCACGCGCCGCGCCCACAAGCTTGGACGACGCAAGCACCGCGCCTGTCTTTTGCACGGCCTCCTTGTACAAGGCCCATGCCCACTCAGCCGCCTCGCGTGTGCGCTCCGACGGCGCGGCCAGCGCGGCGTCCTGCACCCAGTCCAGGTACTCGCGCCACAGCGCGCGTCGCGCTGCCGTGGGCGACACGTACGACAGGTCGATGGGCTCAGACACCGGCGTGTGCATCCACGCCGACAGCAGGCCCCACGCAGGCGCCGTGGCGTCGTCCTGAAAGTGCGCGGCCTGCGTGCACCGCTCGAGCATCTGGAGCCACGCCTTGTGCGCAGGCGCCTCAGCCGCCTCGTCCGACCACGAGAACAAAAGGGGCGACGCTGTCGTCGTCCCTTGCCGCGCCGCCCGCTCGTACAGGAGCCATGCGCGTGGGTCGGCAGCGTGCGCATCCACGAGTGCCTCGACGTCGCTCCACGACAGTTCGTTCGCAGCGAGGCGGCGCGCAAGTCCCTCGACAGCGATCCACGGCACGTGGCGGGCCAACGGGGCCTCCTGCCGGGCACTCACGCGCTCCAGGTACGCCAGCAGGTTCGGCTCGTCGATCCCGCTGCGGCTGGGCGTGCGCAGGCACTGCAGCGCCGTGTGGAAGGCAAGCATGCGCGGATCGTCCGTCGGCTCGGCCGTCCGGAAGTGCGTCACGGCGGCCTGGACCAGCGTCGGCAGGTCGCCGGACTGCATGAGCATCGTCAGATACGGCGTCGGGCGCCATGCCGCGTCCGCGGGGGCCCCAGGCGCCGGCTCATCCCCGGCCTCGTCGCACACCACGAGGCGGCGGCTCAGCACTTGCAGCAGGAACCAGACGGGGCGGCACAGGTACCACGGGCCGTACGGGCCGGCCGCCGTCAGGTCGTGGCGCAGTGTCTCCGGCACCGCCGCACACGCGTACAGTCCATCGAGGACAGGCGAGTATGTCGCACATAGCTGACTCGCGCCGTGCAGATACGCATTGTCTTCCCATTCCCGCTCGGCCTGCGAGGCAGGGCGCGCCTGATCGTCGCGTGGTGCCGGCTCCGCCGCCGAGAGGGAGTGGTACAGTGGGTATACGCTGGCCATGACATAGGCAGCGAGGGTACCAGCGGCGTCCCATGCCTCCTGCATCGCCTGCATCGCGTCCAGCACACGCTGCATGAGCCGCGCACGCAGCCGGTCGCCCGAGCCACACACACCCTTCGAGGTGCGCAGGCACAAAACCTGGCCGCGGCTCTGGACGACCGTCGAGTCCATGAACGGAAAGGCACTGAACAGCTCGAGGAGAGCCACATACAAGTAGAGCTGCACGCTTGGCGGCAGGCTGCTCTTCGCATGCTCCAGCACGACCAAGGGAATAGAGCCGCTCATAATCTGCTGGTGGCCCGCAGGCACGGCCAGGCCGGCCGCAGGACGCACGGGCGCGACGTGCGGCGCAGGCGCGTCCTCGTCCACCTCGTCGGCCGCTGGTACATCGGCGTCGACGGCCGCCTCGGCAGCCGCGGCCTCTTCGTCGTCATCGGACGGCTCCTCGGGTGCGACGGACTGCGCGGCGCGCTGCGCCTCGTCGAGTGAGCCGGACGCAGGCGCCGCAGGCATATCGCCACTGTCCAGGCCCAGCACGCGCCAGCGGCGGCGCAGGCGCTCGACAAACACGAGCTCCATGCGCATGTACTCGACCCAGAGCCGAAGCACGTCCTGCTCGTAGTCCGTGAGCTGCCAGCGGAGCGCGCCTGGTTCGCGCGCTGTGCGAGCGCCGCTGTGGGTGCGGGCCCGCTTCAGGCCACGCGACTCCTCGGCCTGGGCATCGACCAAGGGGTTCATGCGTAGGCCGCGCTGGAGCAGCGCACGCGCTGCCGTCGTATCGGCATGACTGTTCAGCTCGTAATCGGCCGCGGAGAGCCACAGGTCGGGGCGCGATGGGTGCAGGGCCAGCGCCCGTGCATAGACGCGCCCGGCGACGACGCGCATCTTGCGCCCCTTCGCCCACGACAGGTAACGGATCCACGCGTCGACGTCCCAGCGGAACTTGCGCACGAGGCGCTCAAAGATCGCCACGCACTGCGCCGAATAGCTCGCGGACTGCTTCGCGAAGAAGGTGCGGGGCAGCAGGCGTGAGCGTGCATCTTCGTCGCCTGCCCGCACACGCTCCGCCGCTTCGCGTGCACGCTCGCGCGCGCGCAGCACAATGAGCGAGTTAAGGTCCGACTCAAAGTCCAAGTACCGCACAAAGTCGGCCTTCTCGGCCTGGCGGCGGATGAGCCGCGCCTCAAAGTCTTGGCGCTGGCTCGTCACAGAGCGCAGCTCTTCCTTCGACAGGATGGCATGCTCATCAAGCAGCTTCAGCTGCGGGAGCGAGCGCTCCAGCGAGTACTGGACACGCTCCATGGCGTGCGGCACGTCGCTCGACAAAAAACCGTCCAGGGCAGATCTACGTCACGTGGCTACGCACGTCCGCTGTCCAGGCGAGCCAGCAGCACACCCGTGCACGCGACGAGCGCGCGCGCCTCGTCCGGCTCGGCAAAGGCACTGCCAGCCCAGCGGATCTTGCCGTCTGGTCCGACCAGATAGGTATAGCCCACATGCTTGTTGTGGAGCCCCATGGCGTCGCGCACCAGATCCATGCTCTGGTGACTCAGCAGGTACGTCGACTGCAGCTCCGTCGGGATATGGGCGCGCAGCGACGAGACAAAGAGCGAGAGTAGGTAGGCCTTGAGCGAGTTTTCCTGTAGATTGATCTGGAGTTAGGTGCCCCACGTACCTGGACGAGCTGGAAGCGCGGATGGACGCGGAAACGTTCCAGCGCCGCCTCGTAGAAGCTGCGTGTGTGTTCCTGTGGTTGGCCGCGTCGCGCCACGTACCTCGGACACTTTGGACGTGAGCATCGCCACGATCGATACGCGGTCATACAGCATGTCCGCCGTGTGCTTTTTGCTCTTGTCGGCGAGACAAGTGCCGGCGATATCTGGGAAGTACAGTGATTTCTGGGGTGAGCATGGCCACACGCACGTCCGCCCGGATCATCGTGTTGGGACTCCGCCAGGTCTTGCCGCCATGAGATCGAATCTCGTGGAAATCATGAAAGTAGCCCCGCGTGGCTTCTTTGATGCTGAGTGTGAGTGCGTCGTACGTACATCATGCGCCGCTTAGCGAGCCGCGCATCGCGATTGAACCATTCCGCATGCTTCTCGCCCCACGACGGGCTTTCCGACGTAGGTCGCTTGGGAACACCCAGAGGCTGTGACAGGAACGGCAGCGGCTCGGCATTCGCCGCAGCAGCGGCTTCGGAGACCGAGCTCGTGTAGGGCGGATCAGGTCGTTGCGAGCTGTGCTCCGTGCCTGTCTGTGTGGCTTGGCCAGTCTCGGGACGCGCACTCTTTTCCTTCTCGGTAGACAAAAGACGCGACGCGCCTCGTGTGTGTATGTCACTGCCCAGCAAGCGCCGCGTAAGTGGCAGTGGAACTCTGCCTACACGAAGCATGGTGGTGGCCTAGTTTCTCGAAGCCCTCGTGTCTCAAAAAATGGCCATAATTCCGCAACCAGACACGCTGGTCCGTCGTCCTTGATCGTGTCAGAACCACTAGACCCACCGAATGCCGCCCGGCACCCCAACTACGTAGACACTAGCTACACTGAAGATCATGCCCCTCACATACTGCACGTACGTGCACTGGCACGGCCTGCCGTCGTCTTGGGCGTCATTCGTATCACGTGCACCGGTGGAGTGGCGGATCGTCGCACGGAACACGTTGCTCCCAGTGGATCAGTTTCGGAGATACTGACCTAGGATCACACGATGCCTCAGCCTCATTACGATCTCCTGGTAAAGCTCCTCCTCATCGGTGATTCTGGTGCGTGTCCACATTTCTGACAGCAGGTGTGGGAAAGTCGTGCCTGTTGCTGCGCTTCTGCGACGATGCATGGACGCCGTCATTTATCACGACTATCGGCATCGACTTCAAGATTCGAACTATCGAGGTGGACGGAAAGCGCATCAAGCTCCAGATTGTATGTATTCATATCTGACCATGCAGTGGGACACAGCGGGCCAGGAGCGATTCCGCACTATCACGACGGCCTACTACCGCGGTTCCATGGGCATTCTTCTCGTCTTTGACGTAACGGACGAAAAAAGCTTCCAGAGTACGTACACAGATATGCTGACGGCAGACATTCGCAACTGGTACCAAGACGTGCAACAGCACGCCAGCGAGGGTGCGTGCAAGATCCTGGTTGGCAACAAGTGTGACTGGGAAGACAAGCGCGTACGTATTTCCTACTTATGCCCAGGCTGTTACGAAAGAGCAGGGCCAGCAGCTTGCCGAGGAGCTTGGCATGCAGTACATCGAGACGTCGGCCAAGGCGAACACCAATGTCGACGAGGCCTTCTTCAAGCTTGCCCAGCAAGTTAAGGACCACCTGGTGGACCAGGGCATCACGTCAAACGTGCAGGGAGCCCCCGGTTCGCAAACCATCGGGGCCGGTTCGGGGCTGGGCGGCGCTAATGACAAGAAGGGCGGGTGCTGTTAGCTGCTCTGCGCGCCCGGCCTTGCAAATGTGCCACAGAACATGTAGTATAGGCCATGCGACCGATCGTGCTCGTAGATGCCTACCCTATCTTCGTATCTATTCTCGTTGGCTACAGAGGGGCCTCTCCGTGATCGTGCCTAGGCACTCAAATCGTAACGCGCAAAATTAAACCATTGCGTCTTTTCACCGAGATTCCAACCAATGGAAACAATGATTCAGGGGCCAGATTGCACGAGGCCCCCACATCTTCTGCAGCACGCCTAAGAATAGACATACTGGCTGTGCTCTCTGGCAAGGATTTCCCGTCATCTCTATACTCACGGAACAAGGGCCGAAGGTGTTGTGCTTATAAGGGACCCGTTGCGCCACCTAAGCCATACAACCTATGGTAGGATACCGATTCTTTCTCTCACTTTTGGCACTACTGCTTGCACTTCATGTCCAAGCTCAACCTATATCTCCCGCATCCAGTGAACAAGACGTAAGCCCTAGTTTCGTCTACCCAGAGGAATACCGAGGTTCTGGTGGCGGGTCTCACGGTTCCAGTGGTGGCGCCGCCAAGGCTCCAGCGGCGAAGCCTGCACCACCGGCCAAGGCACCACCGCCACCGCCTCCAGCCAAGCCGGCACCACCGCCATCACCTGGCAAGGCGGAGCCTCCGCCATCGGCCAAGGCGCCGCAAGATGATCCCCCCCCGCCTTACAGCCCCCCCGCCAATGGCCAGAATGGGGGAGGAGGCGCGCCGCCGCCGCCGCCGCCGCCGCCGCCGCCGCGCCCTTCGCCAGTAAACGGCCCATCGCCAAAGACCGGATCTAATGGACGCGCGATGGGCGCCGGAGCAGGACTTGGCGCCGGCGCAGGCCTCGGCGCTGGCGCAGGACTCCACCATGGATACAATACAGACACCCACGACCGTCCATCCAGTGTTTGCGCCATGACAAGCACGATGGATAACGGCTCTACTACGACGGTTGACATGCCCTGCCCTACCGAAATCGCATCTTCCGCATCGGTGAGTCAAAAAAATAGTGGCAACACTCTCGCATCTACCACCCTAGCTAATAACGCCCTCATGGCGTTTTCTGTCACGGCCGCGGTGCTCCTATCAGGCTTAGTTGCCTGGTAATCATCGACCTATCCCTACTCATTGTATAGATCAGCAAGCTGAGTTCTTCGCGACATAGGGGGCTGACATGGCCCGATCTCCGTGTCACGTCGTCTTCGCCGCCGCTGCCGCTGCCACATGACACACCTCCTTTGATTCGGTGTAGCCTGCACATCACCCACTTCACGTGATCCAAGCGGACATAAACCGGTTCATCTGGCCGATAAGAACGACTAATATGGTAATTGTCGGGTCCAAGGGCGCAAGGTCATGCATGCAGAGAGGCTCTTATGCAGAAAGTTCCCTTTTGCAAAATATATGGCCCATTCACTCTGCCCGGTGGTTACTCTACGTAGCCTCGGCCGAATTGGATTTCTAATTCCGTGGCGAGGAGCACCCTGGTTCGTGCAAGCACAGGTATCGGATGCGGGCCGAGACAAATCAACAAGTTGGCACAACAGGCGGCGAAAGCTCGCATTTGCTTCTTAGGCAGGCCGATTTCCTTGCACCCGCAACACCAGCTCCTGTCCGCTATGGTTAAGCTGAGCGCTCCCCTTGCTCTCCTCGCCCTCGCTATTGCTGGTGCTTCCGCTCAGGCTCCTCAGTCTGGCGCTGCTCCCTCTTCGGCCCCTGCTCCTTCGAGCCCTGCTCCGTCGGGCCCTGCTCCGTCGAGCCCTGCTGCCCCTAGTCCCAGCTCGGCTGCTCCTGCTCCCTCCTCGCAGGGTGGTCAGGGTGGTCAGGGTGGCCAGGGTGGCCAGGGTGGCGATGACTCGTCTGAGGGTGGCTCGTCGAGCAGCGTCTGCTCGGCTCTCTTCGAGGACCCTAATGTGCACCCCTACGACTGCCAGGCGAGCAAGACGGTTGTGCCGCCGTACAACCTGTCGTCGCTTGTGCAGTACTTTGTCGGTGGCTACAAGCATGACCGTGCTGACGGCGCGATGGTGTCGGAGGTCGCTGACGACCTTGCCGGCTCGGTCGTCAAGTACTACCCGACTGTGACCCAGTCCCGTGAGGACATTCAGTGGGCCATGTACAAGGGTCTGCTCGCGTCCATCAAGGCCCAGCAGCCCGGCTTCGCTCCCGTGGACGAGATCCGCCCTCCCAAGGATGCTGACAAGATCAACGCTATGATCGGTATTGAGGACGGTGCTAAGCGCATGGCTGTGCCTGCTGCGGTTGCCTTTGGTGCTGCTGTGATTGGTGGCGCTATCCTTCTTTAAGCGGATGGCAGGATTCGATTCACGTTACCCGCTCTCTAATGTAGTTGGTCTGCGTGTCCCGCGGTGTTGTACACCGGACGCAGTTATAGTTGAGACATGTAGGCCATTACCACGGCATGGGTATGTCGGCAGAAGGCCGGAGAGAGGCGGTCGTCGTCTGGTCTCCACTTGTCTTGGTCATGCCGCCCCGAGACGCGCCGGCGGCCAGCAGCGCCTTGCCTACCTGGCGCGCGTTTGCCTTTTTTGATCCACAGGATCTACCTAGCGAGGGCGCGCCTGGCTTTGCCCGCGCATGTGCGTTGGCGCATATGCCGTCTTGTGCCGGTGCGTGGGCATCACCCCGTGGCGCCTTGGTCGTTGGCACGGACGACGGACGTATGCGTGTGCTGGAGGCCGGCAGCTATGTTGAGACGGCTGCATGGCAGGCGTTTGAGTACAGCGTAGCGCATGTCAAGGTCGACGCGGAACAACGCGTCATTGTGGCTGTGGGCTGCGACGCCGCAGGCGGTCCCAGCGTGTTGCGCGTGTGGCGCCTGGAGCCGGCGATGGCGGCTGGCTGGGCCTCCAAGCTACTGGTATTTGTGCGACTCGCGCATGCGACGCGTGCGAGCGAGGGCTCTGGGCGCACAGGCACGTCGAAACCACCCGGCGTCACAGCGCTCGAAGTCGCCCCAGGCCTGCGATGGATCGCGGTCGGTCGGGACGACGGTGCCGTGCACGTCGTGCGTGACGTGGCGACTCTCCTGCATGCCCCGTCGCATACAGAGCCGGTGCAAGTGCGCGCGAAAATGGTGCGCGATCCCACGCAGCTTGAGGATGGCGACGGCCCCGACACGGTCACTGGCCTCGTCGTGTGCGAGGGGCGCTCCGGCACGGTGCCTCTGCTCATCGCCACGGTGTCTCGTGTCCTGCGGTGCACGCTCGCTGGCTCTGGCGGGAGTAGCGCGCCAACTCCCATCGATACCATCGGCTGTGCACTGCACTGTGCGGTCCGTTTCCGTGTGTGCGAGCAGGAGCTCAGCGAGCAGGCTGGTACGTCGCTCGCGACCAAAATGGTGCTAGCGCGCGACGAGGCGCTCTATGTGATCGGCACGGATGGTCGTGAAGCGTCTGTAGCGCTAGAAGGCGCCAAGGCAAGTATGCACGGCTTGCGCGGCGAGCTTGTGGTGGTGTTCACGGCGGCGACGTCGACGCAGCGCGTCGTGGTCTTTGATCTCGATTCCAAGTGCATCACACATGCACACGAGTACGCGGACCTGCAGCTCGTGTGCACGAGCGACGAGCACGAGCCCGACGAGCGTGTGTGGCTCGTGCAGCAGGGCGGGGGCCTCGTGCTGCACGAGAAGCCGCTGCTCGCCAAGCTCGAGCACCTGTTCCGCTCGCACCTGTACAGGCAGGCCGTGCCGTTTGTGTATTCGCGCGCCATGCGCTGTCCTCATGGGCGCCTGCCCGCGCTTCCGCCCAGCGCGGCGATTGTGCCGCTGCGTCCGCACGAGCGGCGCGCCGAGAGCCCGGCCGACATGCTCGTTGCCGATGTGTACCGGCGCTACGGCGAACATCTGTATGCGCGAGGCGACTATGCTGGCGCAATGCAGCAGTTTGTCAAGACGATCGGCGTCGTGTCGCCCAGCTTTGTGATCCGCCTCTTCCTCGACGCCCAGCGCCTGCCGTACCTGACGCAGTACCTGGAGGTGCTGCACAAGCGCGGCCGGGCACAGGCAGACCACACGACACTGCTCCTCAACTGCTACACCAAGCTGCGCGACATGGACGCGCTCGATGCGTTTGTGCGTGCGGACGACGTGCCTTTTGATGTGCCGCTCGCGATCGACGTGTGCCGGAAGGCCGGGTGCACCGCGCAGGCGGCCTACCTCGCCGAGCGGCATGGCCTGCACGATACGTACCTGAGTCTCCAGCTGCGCGACGCGCACGATGCGCGCGCCGCGCTCGCGCACCTGGCGACATTGCCACCGGCTGACGCCACGCACTACTTTGCGCCGTACGCGCACAAGCTCCTGGACACGGAACCAGACGAGACGTGCGACTTGCTTGTCCGCCTGTATACCCAAGCGCCTACAGAGGCGGCGCCGCTAGCGCCGCTGCTGCCGCACTTTGCGCGACACGAGCGCGCGCTCGAGTCGTTCCTGGAGCGCGTTCTTGCACACCGCACTGCGCGCCCGGCAGATCTGCCGCTGCTATACGACACGCTTCTCGAGCTGCACATGAAAAATGCACCGCCAAAGGCGCTCGAGATTTTGTCGAGCGATGTTCCGTATACCCCTACACATGCGCTGATGCTGTGTGCGAACTATGCCTACTCTGAGGGCCTACTGTGTGTGTACGAGCGCCTCGGCATGGCCGATGCGATTCTGCAGCACTGGATGGATGCCAGCGGGCAGGGCACGCCGGGCGCGAGCCAGGCGGTCCTCGACACCCTGGCGCGCTACGGGCCACAGTCGCCGCACCTGTACAAGACGGTGCTTACATTTCTCACGTCGTCCGAGGCCCTCCTCGAGGCGCACCGCACGGACATGGAGCACATTCTCGCCCACGTTGACGCGCATGCGCTGCTCTCGCCTATGGAAATCGTGCAGCTGCTGGGCCGCAATAGCGTGGCGCCAATGGGCCTCCTCACGCCCTACCTGCTGGAACATGCGCGGCGCGAGCGGGCTGAGCTCGAGAGCGCCGAGAAGCTCGTCGCGTCTTACCGCAAGGAGGCGGCGGAGAAGCAAGCGGAACTCGCAGCCCTCTCGAGCGAGACGGAGCCGCGGGTGTTCCAGAATCCCGAGTGCGGCCTATGTAAGCAGGCGCTCGAGCTGCCGGCCGTCCATTTCATGTGCCGGCACAGCTTCCACCTGCGGTGCCTTCCCGAGGGTGAGGCGGCGCGCGAGTGCCCTCTGTGTGCGCGAGCGTATGCGACGGTGCAGACGTTGCAGGGCGCGTCGGCACATGTCACGCGCGAGCTGGTGCAGAGCGAGCTCGAGGCCGCTGACGACGGCTTCGATGTGATTGCCGATCTGTTCGCCAAAGGCGTCTTGTCGGACCAGGAACGTATGTAGCTACAGAATTACAGCTTGGATACTTTGACCAAGGTCAGGTCGTAGGGCGCCTGGGCGTATAGCTCGTCCAGGTCGCTCTTGAGAATCTTGGCTGCCTCCTGACGCTTGACTTTCATCGTGGGCGTCATGAGACCATTTTCCGCAGAGAAGGGCTCCATACGCAGCTTGAGCGCGCGCATCTGCTCGAGCGAGCCGAGTTTCTGGCTCTTGCCGAGCTTAATAAACTCGCGCAGCGCCGCCTCGACGACCTTCGGGTCACGGCATGCCGCCTCCAGCGTGGCCGTGTCATCCTGGCTCACTGGACGGCCCGTGACTGACTGGACAAACGTTGCGAATGTGTCAGGCTGTGGCACAGCCACCGCCACGAGGTGGGGCTGCAACGAGTCGCCGTACAGCCACACCTGCTGCACGATCGGCAGCGACGCAAAGATGCTCTCGACTTTCTCGATGGCAATGTACTCGCCCTGCGCCAGTTTGATCAAGTTCTTGACGCGGTCGATGATCTGCACGCGGCCGTACTGGTCGATCTGACCGACGTCGCCAGTCGCCAGCCACAAGCCTTTGCCGTCATGCAGGTCGATCAGCGTCTCGTCCGTCTTCTTCTGGTCGCCGTCATAGCCGCCAAACACGGCGCTACTCTGCAGCATAATCTCGCCGCGGGGGTATGGCTTGTCCGTCGAGCGGTAGCCGAGCTCAGGGCAGTCGCGCAGGCGCAGGTTCACACCGGGGTTTACGGGCCCCACACAGCCGACGTGGCGGTCGTTCGGCGCCATGAAGGTGGCATACGCACAGTTCTCCGTCTGGCCGTACGCCTCACGCACATCGACACAGAGCGCTACACGCAGCAGGCTGAGCACGTCCTTGCGGCATGGGGCACTGCCGGTCAGTATGAACTGGACGCGGCCTCCGAGTAACGCTCGGACCTTGCGGAAAATGAGGCGGTCCCAGAATGGGTGCGTGATCGCGCCGGTCGCCTCATAGTTGGCAAGCTTGGCATTCACCGCCTTGGTCAGGAGCTTGCCCTTCAGGCCAGGTGCGTCCATCTGGGCCTGGATCTGGCCCGCAATACGGTTTAGCACACGCGGCACACTCGGGAGCATCGTCGGCTTGAGCAGCTGCAGGTCTTCCGTCAGACGGTCGATCTTGCCTGAGAAGTAGCCGATCGAGCCGCCCATGTAGATAACAAAGATCTCCCACCCACGCTCAAGAATGTGCGCAAGAGGCAGGTACGAAATCGATACCATCTCTTGGTCGTTCACGACCCAGCGAAGACCCTCCATGGCAACCGCGGCATTGCGATTGAGAATGCGCGCCGCTTTGGGAAGGCCGGTGGTGCCACTTGTGTAGCACAGCAGTGAAAGCGCGTCCGGGTCCCTGTCCACCATATGGGGTCGAATGGCCGTGCGACCCTTTGCAACCACGTCGTTGTAGTGGAAGACGTGGATTTGGTGCAGCGACGCCCACTCACGGACCAGCTGCTCCTTGCGCGCCTCGCCCAGGTTCAGATTCGTAGCCTCCGGCTCGTCCACCAAAACAATCGCTTTGAGCGCGGGGAGCTTATCCGCATTGCGCAGTACGAGCGGCACATACTGCGAAGGGCACAGCAGCACACGCGACTTGCTGTGCTGTAGGATGTACACGGAACCGGCCGCATCAAAGTTGTCATACAGCCCCACGACCACACGGCCGTACATAGCTAGCGACAAGCTCAGAACGGTCGCTTCGGGGCGGTTGTTGCCCCAGTATGCTGCAGTCCATCTGCCCATCTCAGGAGCCTGCACATGGCCCTTCTCACCACGCGGCTCGAGCAGGCCTTCCTCGACCCACTGGCACATAGCTGAGCCAAGGGCGGTGGCCTCGTCGTGCGTCTCCTGGTACGAGCGCCACACGAAGTGGTTTGCCAAGTCACCTTTGGCTGCGTCCCATGGGCGGTGGCCCAAGCAATTGGCCTGAGGATTCTTTGCCATGCTATTCATAAAGCAGTCGTATGCCATCACCGCTTTGGGGTCATCCGGGAACGCCGCATTACGGTACACAGGCGTGTAGCCATCCAGTTTCGTGTTCGGCAGTTCTACCATCTGCTTGTCCAGATGAGCCGCCCAGCGAGCAGCAATCTCCTCTTTCGTGTAGGTAGTCATGACGGCAGACAAGAGAGCAAGTTCCGTTGCCTCGGCGCACGAACAACCTTCATGCACCGGACCTAGGCTAGCTCGCGTGTCATTCGCTGTTTCGCCGGTCGACTGCGGGGTACATGGGAAGCCCGGACCGGAGCCACGTGGCCGGGACTCCTTCGCTGCATGGCTCTGGCACTCCCTCGTAGGCACCAGACACAGCCCAGAATGCCTTCCTGGGGCCATGTGCACCATAGAGCACCCTAGCCATCAACTACGTGCACTGTACCGACGCACGGCTGTGTGGTAGCGCACCGCGCCCGCGATGGAGATACGTTTTCTCGCTACCATGTCCACTGGATAGCGTAGCCGCACAAGAGGTCCATGCTACAGGCCGTGGCATGGTGACCATGGCATGGCTAAAGCATGGGCAGAGTCCGCCTATTTAGTGGTGAGCCTCCTTAGCGATTTGCTTCGCTGAACAGGTGAATGTCAAAAACAGGCATAGACGAGGGTCGCCGGAAGAACAGCCAAAAAACCACACGCAGTCGCCGAGAGAAAGCGCATGTCAGCTCTGTCCTATGCTGCACAACTAGTACATACCGTAGGGGTTCTTGGGGTCCTTGGCGTACTCACCCGAGCGGACACCAGCGTACTGGATCTTGCTCACGGCATAGTAGACGAGGCCCGAGGCAGCAAAGAAGGGCCACAGGGGCTTCATAATAGGAGTAGGGTACGCGCGGAAGCCGAGGAACGCCATCTTGACGCGGACGCGATGGAGGAGGGCAAAGCGGCGCCGGGTGCGCCCGCGACCACTGACTTATCACGTGCTTCAGAGAGGTGCCAGGGTATCTCAAGCTATGGAGGCCGCAGCCGTGCGACCTGCGCTTAGGCCAGGGCCCGCAGCGACGCTGCGACGCCAAGGGAGCCGACACACAGCAGCACAAGGCTTGTGCTGCGCAGGGTTAGCGAGTGGGGCGCCGCATTCGCGCGCAGCTCTGTGAAAATGACGGGGAGAATCACGAAGCACGCGTAAAGCAGCACGACCATCGCTTGGACTGTGAGCTTGGGCCACGCGTACACGGGCGGGCGCACGGCCTTTTTCTGAGAGCCCGCCGGAACAAAGAGGGCGCCGCAGAACATGAGCTGCACGCTGTACACGGCCACCGCGAAAAAGTGGTACACCAAGAGGAGAGGGTCAGGTGCCAGACCGGCCAGCAGGCTGATGGGGCCGCGCACACGGTCGCCACCGCACTCAAAGTAGCGGAAACAGCCCGTACGAAGGAGCGTCAGGTGGTCGTCTGGCACACCAAAGAGGCTGTACAGCGACATGGCCAAGATGTTGATCACGCTCGCCAGCTTCTTCCGCTTCCAGTGCCACGTGCGTAGCGCGACCTGCAGCGCCGACCAGTTGGTCAGGTCGCGTGCCGCGGGCGGGATGGGAAAGCTCGCATCGTAGCCGTCGAGGGGGGACCACGTGCCTGTACCGAGGATGTGCGCGAGGAACACACAGTCCCAGAAGGCCACCGTCATACCACCTCCTGTGAGGGGGTGACGCATGTTCATCGCATCGCCGACCAGGATCATGCCGCGCTGGTGCGGCTGCGTGCCTTGCATGCTGGGCGGCAGGAAGCTGTTCGGCATCGTGCGCATGCGGCCGCCCTCCTCCATGACCTTATCGAGCGCCTCGCCCACGCGCTTCGGCAGGCACGGCGCGACCTGGTTGCGCAAGTAGTCCTGCAGTGCGCCGTTGCTGCTCGACGGCAGTCGGTTGCCCGGCACGTCGACGAGCAGGCGGACCTCGTCAGGACCGATCTGGTACACCAGTGCTGGACCTACCACCTTGCCTGGCGCCGCGTCTTTGGCCGCCTGCTGGTTGAGAATGACATGTCCATGGCGCGGCGAGACCAGGGAGCTCGTCGGCAGTTCCAGACCCACAAAGTGCGAGCGCACCTCGGGCTTGTACGTGCCGCCGTAGGTCTTGCGAAACTTTGAGAAGATGCCGTCGGCGGCCACCGTCACTGGCGCGTAGAATGGTCCCAGGGGCGTGTCGACGCCCACGACGCGCGCATCGCGTCGGTCGTGGACGAGGTCTGTCACGACCGTCTGCACGGCCGTGACATTCGGCTCGGCCAGCATGCGCTCACGCAGGGCCATAATGAATTTACCGTGGTGAAACGAGCGGCCCTCGTAGTGCATGTCGCGGCCAAGGGGCTCGCTGCGCCCATACGTCGAGGGCAGTTCGTGCACGGCGGGGTACTGAATTTTGATAGACTCGCTCGGGTTTAGGAAGATGTGGTACCCCTCAGTCGGCACGGCATCAATACCTTCGAGCGCATCAGCGAGGCCGAGCAGCTGCAGCGCACGCACGCCTCCCGGCTGCAGCAGCTCGCCGACGATGCGGTCGGGCTCCGAGAGATCGCGCTCAAGCACAAGGACGCGGCGACCAGCGCGCGCGAGAGCTGTAGACAATGCAGCTCCCACAACACCGGCGCCTACGACAATAATATCATGCGGTTCCTGTTGGGCGGCAGCGCCTTTCGCGGCCATCGTGAAGCGTCCACAAGAAGGTGGGGCCCAAATCGCGTGGTCCAGGGATACTCACGTGACCAAACGCGACGGCGGCGACCAGCATCGTGAGCTCGTTGGACGCAGGGGATGCGGCAGAAGCGTGCCAAGTCGTACCGGCGCCTATTGCACCAGTATGTGCTGCACTACCGCTTTCGCGAGCCCTTTCAAGTTCTCAGTGCGTAGCCTATACTGACACAGTCGATAACACGTTCGCCGAGTCGCTCGTGCGGTACCAGGTGCAGGAGCCTACCAAGCAGCTGAGCCAGGTGCTGCAGGGCAAGGTGAAGCCCATGATTACTCAGTGCTGCATGGCAGCGTTGTACCACGCAGAGAAGGAGTCGGAGGGCGACGACGTCCCGCGCGTCCGGGCCGCCATTGCGCTGGCCAAAACGTGGGAGCGCCGCAAGTGCAATCACCGCGAGGCACAGCCGCCGAGCGACTGCCTGGCGTCGGTCATTGGGCCTGAAAACCAGCACAGGTACATGCTCGCTGCCGACGATGCCGCAGTGCGCCGCGCGCGGCGTCGCGAGGTGCCAGGCCTACCAATCCTACACTATGCCCAGAGCGTGCTGATCCTCGAGCCTATGAGCGATGTGACAGAGCGGCACATTGCGCACCTGGAGGCGAGCAAGTCGGCGATCAGCGCCAATGAGCAGCGCCTGCTCGCACACTCAGATACGGCGCCGCAGGCGCCAGCCCCTGCGCCCGTAAAGCGCAAGCGCGCCAAGGAACCGAATCCTCTGAGTGTCAAGAAGAAAAAGGCCGCGGCACCCCCCACCGCACCGCCCGAGCCCGATACGGCGGCCGGTGGCCACCGCCGGCGCCACAAGAAGCGCGGGCGCGGAACGCAGGCGCCTACTGTACCATAGACCGCTCGACCCAGGCCATACTATAGTGACCCAACAGCATTTCCAGTTCTTCCACCTCGTCGAGATGCTCGAGTCGCGTGACTCGCTCGCGCTCGGCGGGCGGCAGCGCCTGCCACGCTGCACGCAGTGAATAAGCGCCGTGTGTGATGGACATGGACGTGGACGGCGCAGTGGCCTGCGCAAGCGCCTTGAATCGCGCCTCGTACGCTGTGGGCGTCGTGCATGTACGGGCGCCAGGCAGGATGAGCTGACGCGCGCCGAGGTTCTGGAGCATGACCTGCCCGAAGCGTGTTGCCTCGGCGTCCACGTGCGGTGCATCGCCGGCGATGCACATGTCGTAGGACAGCACGCTCACGCGCGGAGCGTGCTTCATGAATTGTGTCAGCAGCGCATCGGCGGCGTCCCTCTCGAGATAGGCGAGCACGCACTCGCAAAGGACCAGCGTCGGATACGCCGGGTCGAGCAGCTCGGCGATAGCTGCCCACTCGGTCGGCTGCGTCGCCAGCGTGCTGAGGTCCGTGCCTAGGAGCGCGTACGTATCCGCCGTCAGCGAGTGGGACGTGGTGTGCACCTGGCCCAGGGGCGCAGCGAGCGCGGAATGGTGCTGGATGGACGCGACCTTGCTCTGCACACTCTCCGTAAAGTCCAGCTCCATGTAGCGATGCAGCGTGCGTGCGCTGGCGGCCTGTGGTCAGGAGCAGAGACGTACCATGCGCCAGAAACGCGTGTCGCTACCGGCGCCGAGGCTCACGATCTGGACACGCTCCTGCGTGGGCTCTGTGCCATTCAGTGACCCTGTGCGAAGGAAGGCATCGACGTAGCGGTCCACAAGCTGCGCGCGCAGGAACGTGCCAATACTGATCAGGGGCGGGCGCCGCGAGTGTGGCCGGCCCGGCCGCGCAAAGAGGGGCGCATACTCGTCGGGCGGAAGGTACCCGGCCTCACACGCATGGATGCGAGATACCAGAGCATCTGAATCCGTCTCACGCACGGCCTCGAAGGACGACGGCGCCTTGGTCCGCCGGTACGCGCGGCCAAGCGAGAGTGCGGGCGCCGAGGTCATGGTGCGAGTGGAGGCGGTGGAGGGTGGCGCCACGGCGGTCTATGAGCTGGCGGCATAGCGCGCCGTATAGTAGCCTGCATAGTACCATGCCATGGCCACGTTCTGGAGTGCCTCGTCCTGCGATCTCCCTGCGATGGTATTGGGCGTGCGTGCGACAATTGCCTTTGCCCGCTCCCACGCACTTGTGGGCGCGGGCACAGGCGGCTCGATATCGCGCACGGGGCACGGGGGCAATGGCTCGCCGACGCGGGGAAGCGCATGCCACACCGAGTCGCCGGCATCGAGGGCCGCGGTGCGCTGCGCATGAAAGTCGCGGTACTCTTGCTCGGCCGCCTGCCATACGTCCACCAGGAAACTGTCGTCCCACACGTCGTCGGCGGTGAGCGTGCGATGGCCCACGGGCACATCGACGCCATGCGCGAGGAACGGCGTCGGATCCGCCTCGACCGGCGACGCGACAATCGCGTCGTCCGTATCGTACGGGTCCGCTACCGGCGTCGCAGGCGGGGGCGGCGCGTCCCATGGGGCGAGCGTCGCCGGCCCCGGCGCGTCACTGCCGTCGGCCTCTGTATGTGGTGCGTCCCAGTGGGGCCCCTCGTAGCCATGCGCGCGCCGGCGGCGCTTGGGCGCTGCGGCCGCTGCTGGCGGGTCGTGCGGCAGGTCGTCGTACGCGACGAGCGCGCGGCGCATGGCAGGTGGAGGTGAGACGCTATAAGGATCGGCGCACGCGCTGCACAAGCGCCTGCACCTGCTCGAGGCGGCGGTCGAGCGCGTCGTGCGCGCGCACGTACCTACGTGTGTGGAGTTGGAGCACCGCGTCGTTGAGCGCTTGGTCGACCTGGTGCGCGGGGAACGCCACAGGCCGCACACTCTGCTCGACGTCGCGCACCCACGCCTCGGCCAGCTCGATCAGGTCGGGCAGCAGGAACCCAACGCCACTCGTCGTGTTCCAGGGGGGAGGCGCCTTGGCCAGGAGGCCTTGCATAACGGAAAAGAGCGCATCGGCGGGCGCGCCCGCCTCGAGAAGCACGAGGGGCGCCCATCCCACGCGCAGGAGGGGCGCCTTGGACGAGAGCGTGCGGAAGGCATGCCACTCGAGCGCCGACGGCGCGGGCGTCTCGCCCTGCACGGCGCTCTCGGTGTCGTACGCGTACCGCTCGAGCAGGCCCAGCACGAGCTCGAGGGGGCACGCAGTCTCTGAGCCGCCCAGGCGCACGTACACGTCCGTCACGAGCGCCGCGACCGCCTGGTGCGCTTGCGCCGGCGCACTGGCATTGTGCTCGCGCGCGAGGAGCGCCTCCCAAATCTGGGCGACGAGCGCTGTGTCCTGGTACTGCGCCGTGTGGATGATGAGCAGCTGCTCTTCTAGGAGACCGAGTGGCTCTGCCAGCTCCTTGTACAGCGTCGTCATGTCCAGCAGCGTCATGTCCAGCTCGTGCGCGGCATGCGCGAGACGCTCGCGCTCCGCGGGCTCCCACTCCGCCGCATCGACGGCCGGCAGCGCACTCAGCACCTTGGCCTGCACCTGCGCCACTTCGAGGTCCTCCTCCAGCTGCGTCGCAAACGCCACCAGGTCCGGCACATGCGTCGCCGCCGACGGACGCACCGACTTGACGTTGCCGACGGCCAGCGCCAGGTACTCGATCCGCTCGTGCAGGCGCAGCGCATACGCCTCTGTGTGTGCCAGCGCATCGAGCGTCTCGGCGGCGGCGAGGCAGTCGCCCTGCCGCACATACCATTGCCACAGCAGGTCGCGCAGCCGCCGCTCATACACGTCCAGCGGCTCGCCGCCCAGCAGCACTGGCGTGCCCTGTAGAAAGTCGGCCAAGAACGGCGTGCGCAGCGCCAGCAGCTCATCGGTGCGCTGCGCAGCCACCAGCGCCGTGTACAGCTCCTCATGGAAGAGCGCATCGTCGCTCTGCGTCGCAAGCGCCAGGGCCTCGTCGTACGACGGCGCCGCCTCGTCCTTGAGTACCTGCAACGCCTGCAGGACCAGCGCATACATCCGCCGGCGCAGCGCATACGCGCCTTGGCGCGGCGATGCCAGCTCATCGGCAGGGCACCCATCCGCACGGAACGCGACGGCCATGTCCGCTGGATCGGCCGCGCGCGCACACGCGAGGGCCAGTGACACGACGCCCCGCACGTATCGCAGCTGCTGGTACGTCGCACACACATGCTCCAGCTTCTCGAGCGGCAGCTGCGCGGCGCTCGGAAGCAGCAGGTGCAAACTCGCACTTAGCTGCTCGTCGACGGCGGTGCGGCGCGGCGCGGCGCCACTCAGCGCACCATCTTCTGCGCGCAGGCGCCGATCCAGCTCGGTCGCGTTGCGCAGGCACTCGGACGCCTTGTACTGCCGCACATCGTCAGCACTGCAAAAGCCCGCACACCGCGCCTGCAGCGCCTCGGCCATCGCATCGACACTCGCACGCGCGCCGCTCTGCGACTCGATCAGGGCCGTCACCAGTTCGTTGGCGACGCGCCGCCCGTCCGCGGTCGTCACGAGGTCCGCCAGCGAGAGCTGCGTGAGCCGCGTGCGCGTATCGGCCGGGAGCGCATCGCCCATCGCACGCATATTGTGGTCCGCGAGGAACAGCACAAACTGGCATGCTTCCATCGTGCGCTGGCACAGCGCTTGCAGCTGTCCCACGTCCGTGCGCTCATCGTCCAGCAGCTGCGAGTGCCGCTGCAGAAAGGCGTGCAGCGGCGCGAGGTCTGACAGCACAGCGGCCAGCGCACCACGCGCCACGAGCGGCGGGCTCGTGGCGCGCGCACCCGCACGCCAAAAGTCCGCGGGCACGAGCGGCTCGGACCACACGCCGCGCAGCACGCACGCCATGTAGCACGCGAGTGCCTCGTATCGTGCCGACTTGCTGCCGCCGCCCAGGCCCGGCACCCGCTGCTCCGCGGGCCACGCACCGAGCGGCCCACAGAACACGCGGATGGCCTGCGCCACCTCGTCGCGCTCGTGGGGCACCACATGGGCGTTGCGCGCACCGAGCACCAGTGCACACAGACACGCTTCCACGGGGCCGTACCGGCTGAAAAAGTCGACAATCGGCGGCGCCGTCGAGACCGCCCCTGTTGCGGCAGCACTGCCCAGCAGGCTCGCCAGCACGTCCGCCGGGCGCCGCTCCACAAGCTCGGTCAGCCCGTTCGAGTCGAGCACGAGGAACACGCGTGCCGGACTTGTGGTTTGCGCAACACAGGGGCGCAGCGTTGCGCCACTCGCGTCCGCGGGGGGCCCAGGCCGTGCCTCGGCCAGCACCGGCGCACTCGCGCCAGTCCCGAGCGGCGCACGCGTCGCGCCTTCCTGCCACGCGGCACCCACGCCTGCTGCGTACGTCAGCGTCGTGTTGGCCGCAGGCACCGGCGCACCGACGGCGTAGAGCACAGACCCCGTATCGCCCGTGCTCATCGCGCACAAAAACACGCCGCGCGCGTACAGAGCGCCTGTGGCGCGTTGCGCCGGAGCGGCAGGCGCCGTGCTCGGCGCACCGGCGAACAGGGGAAGGCCGGGCGGGCCAGGCGCTGCGCCGCGGGGGGCAGCGCCGGGGGGCGCACGCACTGCGAGCTGCGCCCACGAGCGGCGCTGAAAGTCGTCCAGGTAGATACGGTAGCCACGCTCCGTCACGGCCACGAGGCAGACACTCGAGCGCGTGTCCGGCTCTGTAGGGCCGAGCCAAACGATCGGCCCGACTTCCTGTTGCGAGTGCAGGAGGCCGGCCTGGCGCGCGACGCCGTACATGCTGCCGGTATGGACGGGTGCACGGGAAGAATCGCGCGACGGCAGCGAGTACACGTCGATCTGATCCCCGTCGCGCAGTACATACAGCAACTGGCGCGCACTGTCGACGGTGATGAGGCGGGTCCGCTTTTCGTGGCGGAAGAACGACGGAAGGAGATTTGCGAGGTGCGGCTGTGTCACGTTGTACATATAGCAGCGTGAGCGGAACAAGCTCTCCTGCGCCTGGTACACGAGCTCGTGCACGCAGTGGTCGCTGCCCAGGCAAAACACGCGACCTTGCTCGGTGCCCTGGATGTTGCGCATCGCCACGCCGTTCGTCGAGGCGCTCATGGCTGTTTCGTACAGCTTGATGCCGGCAGCCTCGTTGACGGGCGCCTGGAGCACCTCGACGCCCAGCAGCAAGACGCGGCGGCCCTCGGTGGCGGTCGGGCCGGTCGAGAGGACGAGAACGTGCTGGATGGCGTCGATAAACACGCCGGGGCGCGCGCGCACGAGGCCAACAGAGAGGATGAGCTCGTCAGATGGCAGCTCATGGTGCTCAAATGCGTTGTTTCTGGGGTCAGGAAAGGCCACGTACCCATGCGCATAGTCCCACAGGTACAGACGATGGTCGACCGTGATGCACGCGCGCCCGATCTCGGGAAAGAGGGCGAGAGTGGCCACGGGCGCGCGACTCGTAATCGTCTCAAACACCATGCTGGGGATCGGCAGGCGCCGCTGCACGCGGAAGCCGGCCCAGGCATCGTCCGGCTGCGAGTGCTCCTCGTACGGCGCATCACGCGGAGCTGGGGTTAGGCGGCGTTACGTACGGAGGCGCGCCTTGATATCTGGGAGCGCGAGCGCACGCGGCTGGCACCACTTGGCGATCACCTTTTGTGCATCGCCCAGTCGCTGCAGCACGCCGGTGTCACTCATCGATCGCTCGGTCGCTGCGGCGGCGGGCGGCGCGCCGTCTCGCCGTGCGGTTTTCATCACGTGATCTAACATCGCTGGCGCGACTCCACACGCCGCTCCTCGTCTCGCATGCTCTTCATTCGCCCCGCGCTCGCTGCTCGCCCGTGGCTGCCGCGCGCGTTCTCCAGCACAGCACGTGCTTGGGAGCCAGCGCGGCCCTCGATCCAGGCTATTGCCGAGCTCCGTAAGGCGGTGCCTGGCACATCCCTACTCAAGGCGCGCGAGGCGCTCGTTGCCTCGCGCCCGGCTGAAACGCCCGACACGGACCATGTGCCGCTCGCTATTGCTTGGCTCGAGAGACACCGCGCCGCAGAAGGCGCCAAGCGCGAAGCCAAGGTGGCGTCGCGTACGGCGGCAGACGGCGTTATCGGATTGTGCACCCTGTCGGATGGTCTTCTTGGTGCCGGTGCACGTGCTGCCATCGTCGAACTGAACTGCGAGACGGACTTTGTTGCGCGCAACGAGCTGTTTGGGGCACTGGCTCGCGATATTGCGCACACGGCTGCGTGGCTCCCGATGCTCCATGACGCGGCGGTGCCCCGCGAGGGCCCCATGACCGATGTGCCCCTCGACGTGCTCCTCGACTGCCCGCTCATGCCCTTTGACGGCGCGCCTCCCACTGAAGTGCAGACGGTGCGCCAGGGCATCTCCGCCCTTGTCGCGCGCCTCGGCGAAAAGGTTGCCCTGGCTCGTGCTACCTCTCTGGCGCCCTCGCCGTCCGACACGCTGCTGTGTGGTTCGTTTGCGCATGGCGCTGCGGCTGCGCCACCAGCGCTGGATGTGCCTGTCACAGCGTCGTTCACGAGTGGGCGAGTCGCGAGCCTGCTCGTATTGAGCGCGCGTGGACGCGTTGCAGCGCTTGCCTCGCGGGCAGCGGCACAGGACGACCCACTCGTGCAGCGCTCGCGCGCTCTTGCGCGCTCGCTGGCACGACAGGCAGCCGGCTTCCCGACGACGTCGATTGATGGTGCGCCGGGCGAGGACGGCGCACCAAGCACCGCGCTGCTAGCGCAGCCATTCGCGATGCTGCTGCCTGCGGCAGGTCTCGCACCGGAGGCCGCCGAGGCGCTCGTCTCGGATGCGCTGCAGCAGTGGTCCGAGGCGCATGCGGGTGCCGCAGACGGTCTCCGCGTGGCGGCTCTCCGTCGCTGGGAGGTCGGGGAGACGGCCGCGCCTGCCGACGAAGGGGAAGCGATCTCGTTTGCCGACGAGGTGAAGCGGGCCGCTGGTGTGTAGGTCTATATCTAGCAATTGCAGCCGGACGCGCGGGGGTTGGCCGCATCGATCCGAATGGGGTCGGGGTAGTCTGCATAGAGTTCCGCCTCGGCCTCCTGTTGCAGTGCATTCTTCGCAATAGTCTGGAATGCCTGCTCGACGTTGATGGCCTCCTTGGCCGATGTCTCGAAGTACGGGATGTTGCCCTTGCTCTGGCACCAGGACATGGCGCGCTTTTGCGAGACAGCGCGCTTGCTCTCCTCGACGTCGATCTTGTTGCCCAGCACGACGAACGGGAAGTTATCGGGGTCGTGGGGGCTTGCCTGGATCAGGAACTCGTCGCGCCAGCTGTCGAGCGTCTCGAAGCTCTTGGGGTTGTTCACATCGTACACAAGCACGCAGCAGTCGGCGCCGCGGTAGAACGCCACGCCCAGCGACTGGAAGCGCTCCTGCCCGGCCGTGTCCCACAGCTGCATCGTCACAACGCGCCCGTCCACGACGACCTCGCGCGTGAGGAAATCAGCACCGATCGTCGCCTTATACGCCGCCGAAAAACGCTTGTTTACATCTTCATGTTAGCTCGCACCACACACATTGGTTCATGAGCGACGTCTTGCCGACCCTTGCGTGAGCGATAGCCACCTACCCAGAGTCACCCAAGATCTGCGGCCGTCAGCGAAGCATACGTACGATCACCTAGTATGTTAGCTCGCAACATGTAAAGCGCGCACCTTCAGAAGGACCTTTTTCCTCGTCGCCATCGTCGTCGACTGGGCGGGTGGCTCGCCGAGCGCCTGCCGCTCCTAGCAAACTTATTTCCATCTACGCCCCATCGTGGCCGGGCACGTTCCACCGGGGGCGCCGACTTCCGGCGCGCCCTTTGGTACGTTCCGAGTACTATGGCCATCTATAGAGACCCAGGGTCTTGTGATACCCCCAAGAACGCGCGCAGCGCTACCATGTCTTGCGTGGTGACCGCTATCGGATGGTGGCAACGATGACTAAGCGGTGTGGGAGCGGAGGTGGCGGTTCGGTCGCTGCTGCTGTCCACGATGGTCGGCGCGGAGGGCCCCGTCGGCTCGTGCGCTGCGTCTGCTATCAGCGATGTGGGGTCGACCAACGACGTGCACACACCCAAAGTTGTTCTCCTCGGCCCACGGCGTGCGGGTAAGTCGAGTCTCTGCAAGGTCGTATACGAGTCGTACCTGCCGAACGATACCCTCTTCTTGACCCCCACGATGCGCATACAAAAGATCAACACACACACGTTCCAGAGGCTGCAGCTCTGGGACGTGCCTGGCAGCTCTTTGATGTCATTCTCCGGGGGGGCGCTCGCCGCCGGGCCCGCGCCGGGCCTTGCGGACCTCGATATTCCCTGGGCGGACGTGTGTGCCGTCATCTTCGTGATAGATGCGCAGGACGACTACTTTGATGCAGTCACGAAACTAAACCAGGTGGTCGTTACTGTGTTCAGCTGCAACAAGGCGATACAATTTCACGTATTCATTAACAAGGTCGACGGCCTAAGCGAAGACTACAAGTACGATACCCAGCGCGATATTGAGCAGCGTGTGATGGAAGGCCTTATTGACTCGTCGCACGAGCTCCAGGACAACGGCGAGCCTGTCGATCTTGATCGGCAAGTGAACATCAAGTTCTACTTGACGTCCATCTTTGACTCGAGTGTGTTTGTTGCCTTCTCGCGCATCCAACAGCAACTGCTCCAGGGCCTGAACGAGCCGAACCCGGCGTCGCCCTCTGTGCGCATGGTCTCGCTCACCGAAGCACTTGAGACCGCGTGCAATCTACTGTGCTCTACATGCCAGTTTGAGAAGGCCTATCTTTTTGACATACCGAGCCGCACGTTCGTGGCGTGCGACACGTCGCCCTTTGACCTGTCGCTCTTCGACGTCATGTACCAATACATCCGCTTCCTGCGTCAGTTCACGGAGCTGTACCAGACGGAGAGCGACGTCCAGACGGCGGATGCGCCGGCGCACGCACGCACATGGTCCACGAGCGTTGTGCAGTTCACCTCTGACACGACCGTCGCATTTTGGCAGCTTGACAGGTACGTATTCGCGCATAACCGTTCAGTCACCTGGGCCTTTTGGCTGTCATACAGGGCCACATACAGGCGAGCCACACGAGCATTCTCGTACGTCGCGCCCACTCACCCCAGGATTACAACGTGGGCCTCTTCCGGCGCGCCGTTGCCAAGCTCGCCGCCCTGCCGTAGATATCACGTGCCAAGTACCGCCGCCGCAGGTCGGACGAGCGACACGATGAGTGCCGACGTGGCGGCGCCCGTGGACGCCGGCAGTGACCGCTTCGTAGCGCGCCCCGTGCGCTACTGTGAGATCTGCTCGTTTCCTTACGAGTACTGTGAATACGGCTCGTCGCTCTCGCGTTGCAAGGCGAACCTAGAGGCGAAGGACCCGGACTTGTTCCGCCAGCTGTACTCGGACGAGGCGCTGGAAGACAAGCTCAAGTCGCTCACGACCGAGCAGGCCGAGTCGCTCGAGCGCGAGAGTGCGAAGAAGGAGCGCAAGGCGGCCGCGAAGGCCGAAAAGGAGCGTGCCCAGCTGGCCGCCTCCAAAATTGTGCTGTCGCGTGTCGCGCGCACGAAGCGCAAGGTCATTACCTGCATCCACGGACTGCACCAGTTCTCGCCGCCCATGCCAGCGCTCAAGGTCATCGCCAAAGGGTACGTTGCACTACTTACACCAGCCTGAGCTCGCGCTTCGCTACGGGCGCCTCGGTGACGCAGAGCGTGCAGCACCCCGGCATTGACGAAATCCACATCCAGGGTGATGTCGCCCACGAGCTTGTGGCTCTGATTGCGCAGCGCGCCAAGCCGTTTGATGCGATGCCGAGCGAGGCGGATGGCGGCGTGCTCGAAAAGAACATCGTGATTGACGACAAGGCCAAGTAGCGCCGGGCCACTAGCTCGCCGCGCTCGCCGCTAGTGCGTCGTCGTCGCGGTCCAGAGCCGCTGCCTCGCTGCACCATTCAGCGTACCGCTCTGCCAGTGGGCGCCATGCTGGGGCCGCCTTTTGCTGGGCGCGCTCCACGCCGGGCGCTGCACCAGCGCGCCACAGCGCGTCCTCCAAGTCGGCGGGTGGCGGGTATCGGAATGTGTCGGCACGCAATCGCACGCGCGCGCCTCCGTACATGGACGCCATGACATAGTAGCCCAGCATCCCGTCATCGTACTCATTTTGGCGGCTCTTGAGAATCGTGCTCACGCTCGCATACGTCGAGATCTCCTCTTTTTTCTTCTTTGTCCGCGCGACCGGCGGGCGGAAGTCGAACAGGTCCGCAAACGCTATGCCCTGCGGCTCGCCATTGACCACGAAGCCAATGCAGCTGTCAGGCAGCGTCGGCGGCGCTGGGCGCTGCGTGTCGTGCGGCGCCGGCGCACGCGAAGGGCGCGCGCGCTTCTCGTCAGGCGGCGCTGCATGCGCGTCCCACCCCAGGCCACCGCGCCGCTGCTGCTCCATGAGCGCCTCCATCGCACGCGTCGGTGCATACTCGAGACTTTCAAAGTAGAGTTGTCCCCGATACCGGATCGGGATGCGCTTCTGGGCGATGCGGCGCTCTGTGCCGGGCCGCAGCGCCGCGTCGTGCGGCGGCAGGCGGATGTACAGGCCGACCACGTCGCCAGGTCCAAACGCGCGGCCAAGGGGTGCGAGGCGCGACTGTGTCACGCATGCGCCCGTCTGATCGCGCAGGCCGTAGCTGTAGGCGTCCCAGCCGACAGGCGCATTGAGCGACGCTTCACGGCGGCCCCAGCCGACGCGCACATGTGGCCCATCGCGCATCGGCACGGGCGGCTCGCTCGATGCATCGGGCGGCAGCACTTCGAGCTCCACGTACCATGCGCCCTGTCGCACGCCCACGTTGGTGCGGGCGCTGCGGTACCCTTTGTCTGTGCCGACGACCATGGCATCGGCACTAATGCGTGTAAAGGCGCTTCGATCCTGCCATGACCAGTGCACACAGGCCGGCGCAATATCCAGTGTGCGGTACACAGTCGTGGGCAGCATCTGCGCCGCGGGGCCTGCGGCCATGTACCGCCAGCCGCCCTTGTTCATCGGCAGATGCGGCGTCGTGCCCAGGCTGGCATCCGCACACATAGGCGTCCAGGATGGAGCTGGCATTGTGTCTTCCGCGTCGCCATCGCGCGGTATAGGCCCACGGAAGCCGGGCGGCACGCGATGCGACGGCACCGACGCCAAGTGCGTCTCGCGCGGCCCGGGCGACTCGGGCGTGCCATGCGCGAGACCAAGGTCCGCACGTACGCCCGGCGCTTCGACAAGGACCGGCATCGAGGGGGGGGGCGCCTCGATGCCCTCTGGCGCGGGTGCAGCGCGCGGCGCGTCCTCCTCCATCGATGCCACTCGCGTCGCGGCCGACGGACCTGCTTCGCCTCCACACCGACGCCTGCCCCGCCGGCCCGGAGGCTCAGCGATGGTGGTCTCAGCGACGTTCCCGCCCGGGTCCGTGGCGTTTCTCCAGGGCTTCGTTGCGGGCCAGCTTGTCTTGGTGACGATTCTCCTGCTGCTCTTTCGCTACTTTTTCATCGAGACGAAGCCAGCGACGCATGCCAAGCGACTCGCTGCGCTGCGCGAGCGCACGCGCCTGATCCAGGCCTCGCTCGACGCGCGGTGCCCCCCCATGCCGTCTAGCCATTCGACACTGCGCGTTCCATACGAGCAGGGCTCGCAGGCGTGCCTTCTCGATATGCTGCACCGCCTGGACTATGAGCTGCCGGCGCACGCGCCCGAGACGCTGACCTGGCTCAATGTGCTGCTAGCGCAGCTGTGCCTGCACTACCGACAGAGTATATTGCAGTCGGACCAAGAGGAGCCGCGCAAAGATGCCGACGCTGATACCTTGCCGTCCATGAGCAGCGCCGAAAAGGCGGCGGCCAAGCACCTGCTGGAGCGCGCGCTCAATGCGGCGGTTGAGGGCCGCACGCACGACCTGCTGAGCGGCATAACTGTGACGGACGTGGACCTGGGCACGGGCTATCCTACGCTATCCAACGCGCGCATCCGCCCCTCGAACGACCCGCGCTGCCTGCGGCTCGAGGTGGACTTGGAGTACAAGGATCTACTGTGTGTCGGCCTCGATACCCAGCTGCACTTTCGTGTGCGGCCCTGGCATCTGGGGTCGCTTGCGGTGGCTATGTGCCTGCGTGTGGAACGGCTCGCCGGAACGGTCGCGATGGAGGTGGGGCCATGCGGTACGGAACAGGACCCGCTCGAAGGCTTGGAGCTGCGTGTGTGCATGTATCCCGACTTTGTGCTGGACGCCCATGTGTCCAGCGTGCTGGGCTCCAAGAGCAAGCTGCACGATGTGCCAAAGATGGAGGAGCTCCTTTTGTCGCAGCTGCGCCTGCTGATCCAGCGTCGCTTCGTGTGGCCCGAGTTCTGGCGCATGCCGCTGCCGCGCATGGAGCATGACCACGCCTAGGAGAACGAGCCCAGCACTTTGACGGCCAGCGCGCGCAAGATGCGCGCGCGCTCGCTGCTGGACATGCGCAGGAACACCTCGCTCACCGACTGCCCCTTGGCGTCGCGCACGGCGCCGAGCCGGTTCCCGATCGTGGCACCACCCAGCGCTGCGTCAGTGGCTTGTACGTACCACCCGGCCAATTGGCCAGAATATAGCCCAGCACAAACCCGGCGACTGTACCCGATGCTCCCCAGAACGGCGCTGCGTAAGTATCGCGACGTACTGTGGTGCTCGACCTCCGGGCGCAGCATCTCTTCCCACACATCCGCAAAGAGACCCTGCGCTTGGGGCTGCTCGCTCGGGCCGCCCCTGCCAAACATGCGGAAGAAACGCGCACTCTCGTCTTGCGTCGACGCGTCGTCGGCACTGCTTGCGTAGCCCTGTTGTGTGCGCATGCTGTCGTATTCGGCGCGCCGCGCAGGGTCCGAGAGCATATAGTCTGGGTTAGCCGCCCCACGTACATGCATCGGCGACACTCTGGAAGCGCTGCGTGTGAGCGTGCGTTTCCTCGGGCGTCGCATTCGGAAAGCGGTCAGGATGCGAGCGCAGCGACTCGCGCTGGTACGCTTTCTTGATGGCTTCCTGGGATGCCGTCGGCGGTACGCCAAGGATCTGGTCAGCGCCTGCGTGCTACGTACGCCGTAGTAGTCGGGGATGGTCATGTGGAGGAGTGAGACTCGCGCCACGGCTCCGCGGTAGCGGTGGTGCTGTGGCGCAGCCGTCGCGCGGTGGCAGGCTTTGCGGCCGTGCGACCATGATGAAACAGATCTCTACATACGACAGCACCGCTAGGGCCCTTGTTCCACGTAGCTGGCGTCAGTGGCGCTCACGTACCGGCGGCGCAGCGTGCGGTACTTTTTGAGTCGGTACAGCGCTGCTGTCAGCGCACGCCACGTACTTTCCGTCTCGCGCTTGACAAACTCGGCGAGTGCCAGCTTGCTTTCAATCTCCTGAGTGTCGGTCAGGTGCGCATTTTTGCGGAACATGGCGCGCAGCTTGGGCAAAAAATGGTAGTTGGGGTCGGGGTACTCGCGCCCCAGGCGATGGAGCTGCGTCAGACCTTGCACCTACCTCCTTATACAGACCAATCGCGCGTGCACGCAGCGGGTGACCCGGGGGCGGCATCGCGCGCGGATGGCAGGACGTGCGCCGCGGCGTGCGGGTCTGGGGCGCAGGGGCTTATGTCAGATCCTGCCTCGCTTCGCGGCTCGCCGCTGCCTTCACGGTGCCCGTTTCTACCCCATGTCACGGCCCATGGACGAGGACCGGGCCACGAGCATGGCGGCGTTTCCTGCGCCCCCCACGCCCACGAAATCATTTGATTGGGATGCCATCTCGACGTCCGAGTCCGAAGCGGAGATGGAGGATGAGCAGGACGACAAGGGCGCGTCGGCCGCTGAGCCGGGCGGCTCACCCGAGCCCGCCCCTGAGGTCCGCTGCCTATGGGAAGACTGTGGCGAGACATTTACCGACCTGCAGCCCTTCATTGCGCACCTGCACTCTTGTACGTGGCCGCCACTGACCCAGTCCACATTGGCATCCACAAGTCGCGCTATGCGTGCGAGTGGACGGGCTGCCCCCGCAAAGGCAAGAGCCAGACGTCGCGCTTTGCGCTGCTGAGCCACCTGCGCAGCCATACCGGTGAGAAGCCGTTTACCTGCCCCCGCCCCGAGTGTGACAAGTCGTTTACGCGCTCCGACGCGCTCGCCAAGCACATGCGCGTGCAGCACAATACGCCGCCGGCCGGACAAGCACGCACCATGTCGGCCAGCGGCGACGGCGACGAGTCGCGCGATACCATCCATGACGAGATGGCCGACTATGCCGAGGGCGAGCGCCGCGCGATGGAGGCCGAGACGGCGTTTGCCGTGCTCATACAGCGCGCCGCCGAGGACAGCCGGTGGCTAACACCGGCGCAGGAGGCCGTCGATATGGAGCAGCTGCTCTCGCACATGCCAGCGACCGAGCCACCATCCGATACGGAGCTCGAGCTGGGCGACGCTGTGCCGGCGCAGGCGCCCAAGGCGTACCTCGTGGCCAAGGCAAAGCTGCAGCATCTCCTGCAGCGGCGCGAGCAGTGGCTCCAGACCGTGCAGGCGCTGCAAGAGGAGGAGGCGGCTCTTACACGGCAGTGTCGTGAGACGCTCGATGAGCTTCTGGACCATGCGTATGGGTACGTTGCGCCGCCTTACACAGCCACGACGCCGTGCGGCGCCTCGTTGCGCCAGACAGCGCGCGTTCATGATACCTCGTTGTAGTACTACACCGATGCGATCCACGCCTGGTGGCGCTCTGCTATCGCCGCGACTATGTCGCGCTCAATCTCGTGCGGTGGCACCGCAGGCGGCGTAGGCAGGCGGATCCACGTATGGTCGTGGGGCTCGACCAGGACAATCTCGTACTTGCGCCGCTGCAGCAGGTTGCCGATAACCAGCTGGTGGCCGTACTTACGCAGCGAGCTCTCTGCCTTGGGTATGAGCAGGTCGCCGTCGGTCTCGAGCTTGAAGCTGACGACGTAGGCGTCAGGCGCCCACGAGTCGACGAGCGTGCCGAGCACCTTGGGCACCGGCTCCAGCCGCAGCGTCAGCGACTGGTCGCTCGACTGGATCTTGTGCTCCGACAGCTTGTCGGCCGGCACGAAAAAGTCGCTCACTGCCGCGGCCAGGTAGTGCATGCCGCGGTGGCCTAGCGGTGCCATTGCCTGGCTGACGTTCCGTAGCAGGAACAGGTACTCGGTCACCGTGACGAAGGGCACAGTGAGCAGGCGGCCGCGCCGCGTTGCCTGGTGGTAGGCACGCAGGATCGGTAAGAGCCCCTGGACATGGTCCTGGCTCACACTCACCGTGTCTTCGCCTTCCGCGGGCTCCTTGAGCAGGTCGAACAGCGGGTTCGTCGTGTGTGAGTACCACCGCGTAAACGGGAACTGCGAGTGCTGCCGCGACATGAAAATGACCGCATAGCCTGCCTCGAGGAAGTACTCGGCAGACGCAGCCCCTCGCGTGCCCGCGGAAAAGTTGTCGAGAAAGCGCACTACATTCTTCTCGAGCGGCACGGTCGTTCCGCCACTCTGCCGTTAGCGCCACACACGCACCGTTATGAGCACCACGTTGCGGTTCTCGGCATCATGCCGCGCAACAAACTCACGCACATGCTGCGTATACTCCGCGAGTGCGGGCGGCTCCTCGAACTGAGTATAGAACGCCTCCGCAGTCCACGCACGGCTCATGAGGGTCTGGCTCCCCAGCGGCGAGTGCTGCCCCAGGCGTCACGTGCGGTACGTCGTCGCCGCGCCGCGACGACGGCTTTCGCCTCGCCCATGAGCTCGCACGACGTGCGCGATATCCTCTCGCTCCCTAAGCGTACGCAGGAGCCTGGGCCTAGCCGCGCTCCCGTGCGTGCCCCACCAATTCTTCCGGGCGATGCGCGCCCCAAGCAGCGACCGGAGGGCATGTCTCGTGAGCTGTATGCGCTCCTAGGGCCGAACGCGCCTAGCCTCGTCATGGGCCAGGCCGACGGGCCCGGTAGCGAGGGCCCAGGCAGTGGGCATGCCTTTCAGCCCAAGTTCCAGCGCAGGGCGCACACGGCACACGTCCGCAAATGGATGTGGACGCCGTTCCGCAATCCCGCACGGCGCGACACGCCGGCCGAGTCGGACCTGCAGGGGGAGGAGGCAGCGTCGCCCCGAGGTCTCGTGCTGCATCACTGGCGCCCTCTGGACCCGAATGCTTCTCAGAACGACGATGAGGCCCCTCTCGACGCTGTATGGGCCCCGTACAACACTGCGTCCCAGGTGTTCCACTACACCACCGATGAATATACCCAGTACTTGGCAGGTGCGTACGTGCCACTTACGCAGACGACGACTGGTCACGCGAAGAGACAGACTATTTGATTGAGATGTGCGAGACGTATGATCTGCGCTTTATTGTGATCGCCGACCGCTACGAGTGGCCTGGCCGTACGCGCAGCATCGAGGACCTCAAGGCACGGTACTACACGATCTGCCGGCGGTTGCTGCGCGAGCGCATCAGCAACGAAGACATTGAGGCGCGGCAGGCGCAGCTGCAGACATACGCGTACGACCGCCAGCAGGAGATGGAGCGCAAGCGTGCGGTGCAAACACTCTTTTCGCGCACGCCCGAGCAGCTCGCAGAGGAAGAAGCGCTGTATGTCGAGGCGCGCCGCCTCGAGCAAAACGAAGCCAAGTTTGCTAAGGAGCGCGACGATTTGCTGCGTCTTCTGGGCGGCCGCGAAGGACTGCCGACTTGCTCATCCGCGACGGTCGCTGCGGTCGGTGCCGGTCTTGTGTGGCCGCCGGGCAGTGCGACAGAGGATGCATCGGCGGACAGCGCCAAGAAGCTCAAGCGTCGCCGCTCTGACTCGGTGGCGGCTGCTGGCAAGGTCAAGGACCCGAAGCAGCAGCTGTTCGATGCACAGCATGGCATTACACGTTTCTCTACGACGAGCCCCCATGTACTGCGCACGCCGTACCCCAACCTGATCGGCACGCCATCTGTGTTGCCGCCTGTGGCGGCACCGTCGTCGGGGTCGACCAAGGCCGAGGCACACGCGCACCATGGTGCCTACCTACGCTCGACGCGTATGCTCACGTTCCGACCTAATCAGTACACGCGCGTGATGCAAGCGCTCGCAGAGCTACATCCTCCTATGGGTGCGCGGCTCGTGTACCCTACTGCGACGAATGTGGAAAAGTGGGAAATGCTTTTGGGGGCTGTGGCTGGTGCGCTGGATATGAAAAAGCAACTCGATCGTGTCGAGGCTGAGTACAAGATGGCGCAGGCGCGCCTGGCGGCGGCGCAGGCGGGCCGGGCGGAGCCTGCCACGGATACAGTGGCACCTCCAGCCGAGCCCACTATGCCGAGCTCTGCTGACGTGCCGTAGTTGGCGTGACGCGTGGGAGCATGATGGCGCATCGTCGTACTTGCATGGGCTGGCAGGGCTTTTCGTATCGTAACGGTATCCCTGCGGACACTGCATATAGATGCTTGCGTATTTTTGAGGTCGATGTCACATGCTAGGGGGTCCACGCTGGCGAGACGCTCGCGCCACGGTACGCAGGCTCGGCGCGCTGCCAGCCCTCTTGCGCTAGGGACATGGATTGGACGGATGGCACGTACATGGTGGATCCATGCGTCGACATATGAAAGGAGGCCGGAGTATAGTAGGTCAACGGCGAGCGAGGTGCCGTGTACTGAGGCACAGACGCCTCTAGGGGGTCACGGGGCCGCGTCCGAGCTGGGATCGGTGTCGGAGAGGCTGGCATTAGTGAACGGTGGCGTTCTGCGCGTTGCATTTAATGTGCACGAATCGAATCACATCTTCCAAAAGCTTGACACTCAGATCTTAGTCAGAAATAATAAATATGATTGGACTGTGTCGGCCGCCCCAGTGACGCCACACGCATTGCTCCACCGCGCATGTCCAGCCAGGCACAGCAGGAACGGCTGCGGCAGGCGTTGCACGCGCTCGTCCAAGAGCCAGGTAACCAACGATGTGCGGACTGCCACACATCAGCACCGAGGTGGGCCAACTTGCACCTCGGGATATTCCTCTGTAAAGATTGTGCGGCCGCTCATCGTCATCTGGGCCCGCCGCTGTCGCAGGTACGCTCTATTGCGTACGACGTATGGACGAGCGCACACGTCCAGCATATGCGCGCTGTTGGGAACGAAAAAAGCAACGCACACTTTGTGCCGGCACCTCAGCTGTTTCCCGCACCTGTCGAGTCGGAGAAGGCATCGTACGAGTGGATCCAGTATGTGCGGGACAAGTACGTCCGCTTGGCGCTCCGCAACCAGGGCCTAGCGCATCTATCAGCGTCCCGACGCGCGCACACTTTGCCCAGGCCGGTGGCCACTGCTCCTGTGCAAGCGCCGCCGGCGTCGACCGCTGATCCGCTGCCAGAGCACAACCCTGCTGCTTCAGCGAACGCTACAACCCCTCCTGCACCTGCCATGGAGCGTGCACCGTCGGCATCAGCAGCAGCGCAGGCGCCTCTTCTACCGCCGTGGTCCGCCCAAGCGCCGTTTGCTCCCCTCTTACGACCTCCTCCGCCCGTATCTATGCCCCCCTTCTATACCCATGCCTCGCCGACGATTTGGCCGGCGCAGCCGACGCGAACGGAGCCAGCGTCAATGATGCCGCGGAGTCGTAATCCTTTCTTATAGCTAACACATGACAATACAAGCACCCTGCGCCGGGTGCGTAACAAACAAGGCCTCGGAAAGGTCATCTTCCGTCATGTACCCGATCCGCATCGAGTAGTACGAGCGGCGCAGGGCGGTCGTGACAGCATCCAGGCGCTCACGGGGCACGAGGTGCACTGCACTGCCGCCCCAACCCGCACCCGTGAGCCGTGCGCCAAGTGCGCCAGCCTGGCGCGCAATTTGCACGACACAGTCGAGCTCGGGGCAGCTACAGTCGTACATGTGTTTCAGGCTCTCGTGACTCTCGTTCATAAGGTGGCCGAGTCGCTGGTAGGCACCGTGCACATCACAGGCCTCGCCGGACTCGAGTTTCTTAGTTGTTGCGTCGCAAATGGAGCGGAAACGGAGTACACGCTGCGCTTCCGAGAACACGTGGAAAGCGCGGTGATGCGGGTAAAAGTGCGAGGCATGCACTGGCGCCTGGCTGAGGAACTCGTCGTGGAACGCCGCCGATGTAAGGCCTGTCAGCTGCTCGAGCTCCTCCTGCGTGAGGCCGCGGCGAGGCAGGGTGGTTTCAACGAGGTTGAGCATGGCCTGGAGCTGTGCTACCTCTTTCCCTGCGTCGTTGTACGCGGCACGCACGTCGCTGTACGCAGTCATCATTTCCTTCAGCGCATAAGGGTTCGCCGCCCAGTAGGCGTCAGCAACCGCGCGCAGCGACGATGGGAACTGGGGCGGCGACGGGATCTGCACGCCAAGCTCACGGCGCAGCAGGTAGCTGGCGATACGCGTCTCAACGACACGCAAATTGTACTGCGTCGGCGCATTCGCCTTTTTATCCGACTGCACGAGCGTGTTGGAGACGAGGAACAGGTAGTCATTCCAGTGCGGCATCAGGATCGGCTCCGTGCGGAGCGACGGCACAAACGACACAAAGATCGCCTTGCCCATCTCGCCAAACACCGATACGGCCTGGTCCATGCCGCCCGTGCTAACGCCAATCAAGCGCTCACTGGATATAGCCCGCTCCGTTAGATGCGCCCGCCCAATATGATCCCGCATTCCAAAGGCCGTGAGCACGACCAGGGAGCTCGCTGTGGTCATAGCGGCACTCGAGCTAAGACTGCTCTCCGGGGGGATCGTGCCGTCGACAAGCACATACAGCACACCATGCGCATTCTTCAAGACCTCCTGGGGTATATCATCTAGAAGGCCACGCAGCGCGACTTTAAAGTAGTTCGACCAACGGTGCGCCATCTTGTTCGCCATCCCGAGCGAGTTAGGCTGTGTCAGGTCGCACGAGAAGCTCGTGTGGGAAAAGCGTGACGAAACGTTTGCCAGCTCGACACGCAGGGGCCCAGGAGCCGGCACATACGAAGCCGCCATGAGAACGTCGCGCTCAATCGCCATGGGAAACACACTGTAGCCCGTGGTATCAATGTGCCTGGGTCAGCATCGCCTACGCACTCTCCAATCATGTTCACGCGCCCAGGTGCGCGTGCAATAAACGCAGGTTTGTGATGGAACATCTTTGAAAACTTGGTCTCTAGCTCCCTCCATCGCTCCGTCTCGCGCGAGCGCATGAGCGGCGAGTAGATCTCCGGGAGCGTGAGCACCGGTACTAGGTCGGCCATGGTGAGTGGAGGGAGCGCTGCGCACTGCCGCGCTCGGCCGCCGCTCTGTCGTGCCATGTCACATGCGAGGTACGCGCTCAGTGACGACGAGGACACGCCGGCCCCGGCGCCGCCTCTCCCTGTGAACGAGGTGCCTGTGGAAGCTGATGATCGGCCTGCGATCCACCAGCTTACTCACGCGTGGCTCAATGAGCGCGGGTCGCCAGAGCTGCTGCCGTGGCCCGGCGACCTCGTGGATACCGTTATGGACCAGCTGCAGCAGCAGCAGGCCATTCTTGACTCGCTCATGAGTGATGCAGCGACCTCGGACGAAGAACACTTCCGCCTGAATCTCGTGCAGCTCGACGCGGATCGCTGCCGGTGGCTGCTGCGCAGCTACCTGCGCACGCGCCTCGACAAGGTAGGTGCTACTACTGACTCCAGCTGGAAAAGCATGCCTCCTATATCGTGCGTGAGCGCACAGAGCAGCTGCGTTTATCGGACATGGAGCGGGGGTACGTCAAGCGGTACGCCCAGCTGCTTGCCGACCACCTTTCGACCTCCGTTCTGCAGTTCCTCCCAGAGAGCATGCGCGGTCTTGACGATCCGGCGCCAGGCACATCGTTACCGAGGGCGCCTGGTGGCATGCGTACGTCTCATCTACTGATGCAGTGGTCGCGCCATCGCTCGATACACCCGTGTTCGTGTATGGCCGCGAGGACGGCGGCACCCTTACACTTCCCGAGTAGGTCCCCATCACTCACCCAGTGGCGAGATGATACCGCTATTGCGCGGCACGATCCACCTTGTGCCATATAGCGCCGTGCGCTCCTTGCTGCATCAGCGCCGCGTAGAACTACTGTAGGGTATCTGCATTGGTCAACTTGACGATCGGCTCTGGCCGCTTGGAGAAAAGCAGCTTTTGGCGCACGAGAGTCACAACCTTGTATGACGTCATAGGTGGACGGCGCGGCCCGGCGCCAGCTCGCACATTCGGCGACGAAAAGTCCATGTGCCCATCCGACCAGCGCACGGGCGGCGGCGGCATCGGACTGCTGCTAAGCGCAGTAGCCGGCGGACGAGACGTCCGGGCAGGCGCCGCATCGCTCTCCGATGTTCGCGCACGCTTTCGGGCCAAGGTAGGTGACGCTGGCGGCGAGCTTGGCGGCGAAGTAAAAGGATTCGGCGACGACGGAGTGGTAGGCGAAGGTGCCTGCGTCTGCTTCACCATCACCGCAAGAGGACGACGCAGCTTCACGAAAGTGCCCTCGAGTCGGTGGTGCGAAATCTGCAAGACCGGCTGGTTCTCGCGCCCCGCAGGGAACGTCAATGTCCCCAGGACATGGTCGCCATGAACGTCAGACCCATCCATCTCCAGGGAGCCCTGTAGCTCGACTAGCACTAGCTCTCCATCCGGACTCAGGCGCACTAGAGGAGGCGGAACATCACCGCTCAGTCCATGCCCAGGCGCGCCGCCCGTATGAATGGGAATGCGCATGAATCGCGCCAAGGCGTCGCGCGCGCCTCAAGATATTATGTCATACAGCGCATCTGCCTCGTTGATCTCTCGGCATATCTGGCCTCGTGGCATGCTCAAGCACGAGGCAGCCTCGCCTGTGGGTCAGGACCCACAGACGGCTCCGATGGAAAGAGAGTTAGCGCCTCCTTCAGGCGTGCCAGCCTGCCCGTTTCCCGTGGACGTCCGTACAGGCCTGCCGGCTGTCCAAGGGGGGACGGTCGTATCATCCACGCCATCCCCATTGCCCGTGCCATGTGCGTGGGCAGTGTGCTCTGATACCTCTGATGGCCTCGAATACGTGTACTTGGACCCGAGAGCGTCACGAGAACTTGCCGCTATGGCACCCAGGCTACATCACCGCTCCGTTGTTGACTTTGTGTGCCCGGACGATCGGCCTCGCATACTTACACAACTACGCAACATGGCGCAAACGCGTACCCTCTTTGGGAGTGTCATACGCTGCAGGTATGCCTCTATTGCCGCTATGCGTGCGAAACTGCATGGGTCCGCACCGACCGAATATTTGATCACCGATATCGTCGTAAACAGAATGGGGCGTCACCTATCCCTTTGCTTTTTCCATCAGGTCGAGCCTGGGTCAAGGGGACTAGGATGTGGCCTCCTGCCTGGCACAATGGACCTTACTGAGATCCACAGATTGTGGCACGAGCTTTGCCGCACGTCTTTGGAGGAGACAGTGCCTGTATCGTATGTGTTCCAAATACTTTCGACGTCGCTGCCGCGCCAAATTCTTCTCAGCTGGCCGCCGCCAACCTCCTACAATGCTTGCGACTTGGCGAAGCTCGCCCAGCATGCGAATATCAAGCCTGACGCCACCTGCACGGAACGACTACATGCGTCTCATACCCTCTCCGTGACAGGTCGTACACTGACAGCAGACAGTGTCCTAATTCCCTGCGGGTCCATACTGCTCGCGTGCTTCTATCTCCGTCCACCAGATTTGGCCCCTGCCGCGGCACCACGACCCCTGACCAGCCTGGCCAATCATCCCCATCCACCAGTAGCGCCTACGTCGACCCGTTCGACGCTACTGAACGCGCCTGCTGTGGCTCCAAAAATACGGCCCGTGTCCATCGCACCACTCGATTCCTCTCAAAAGGAAGCACTTGCATCGTCATTCTCCGAACCAGTCAAGCGTTGCACGAGCTGTGGGCGCAAAGACAGTCCCGAGTGGCGCCGCGGGCCATCTGGGCACAAGACCGTACGTATTCATTTCTGACATTAGCTTTGCAATGCCTGTGGGCTTCGATACGCGCGCTCACTTACTCAGCGCCGAAGACGGAACAAGGACGGGTCGACTATGACACTCGAAGCCACAGGTAACCCGCACCATGTGCCCCCTAGCCGCGGTAGTGGCGGCGGCAGTCGTCCGGGGGTGCATCGGCGTGCTCGGAAAAGGCGCAGTTCCAGCGAGGTTGACACTGGGCCTGCCGGCTCCAGCTATGACCATCACTTAGCGAGCGTGTTGGCGTCTATGCCGCATAACTCTCGCTTCGCGACGCACTCTATGGCGGCGCCCATGGCTGACGCGATTATGAGCCAGAGCCATCTCTATCCTACCGTTTCTGCTCAGTCATCAACGGAGCATAATCCACCATTTTCGATTATGTCGCCCGCTGGGAACGAGTTTTCACTGAGTCCGTCCCTTCCTGTGCCTACAGCATCCAGTATATCAACGACGCAGCCCATGCCGCTTGCGTCACCTGTGCCCTCTCCCGGCGCGCTCTCACCCGTATCCATTCCTGCTAGAGGGCGCTCTGCCTCGACGGGTAGCATTTCGCCAATATCCTCGACGTTGGTCCCCAACGTCTTATCGGGCTCCCTCTCTGTGCCGGTGTCAGCGCCGCTTGTCACTTCGTCGTCGCCCACGACGCCGACCACAAGCAACGCAATACTGGGGTCGCCCTTGCAAAATACTTTTCCCATTTCGCCACTGCCCAATATGCCGATGCCGGCCAGCCCAAGCGGCCCTACACCTTCGGTCGTTGTTTCTGCGGAGCCGGCCACCTTGCTACCTGACCCAGCGGACACTCTAAAAGCAATATCGAGCCCTCCAATGGACTCGATGGCAGCGGCAGCGGCCTTATCTACAATGCATTCACCTACATTTCCAATCTTGCCCCCCGCCACGGCAGCCAATGCGCCGGCCGTGGTCCCTACAGCTTCCTTCTCTAGTATCCCGACCGCAGAAGAAGCTGTCCTCCCCTAATAGGCGGTCTATATACAAATCATGTAGATAACTATTCATTTTATCGGTTGCTACCCTCCCCGAGCTTGCATGCGACAATCTTTGCTTTTTCCACAGGGAGCATCTCCCCATTGTCCAACCTGAACATGGCATTCTTGATAATAAAGGTCCACACCTCGTCACAGAGTCGGTAGTTATGAAGATGTCCCTGCCATTAGATACCCGTACGCACCTTAATATTGCCTTTAGACTTGACGTGGGTGGCCAGCGTCTCGGAAATCGACTTGTCGAACTGCTCCAGCACCTTCATCGCCAAGATGGGATTGATATGACCGGACTGGATGAGCTCATCCAACGCATCCGTCAGCTGCATGCCAATGCTAATAATATGAGCCAACAAAACCTACGCACCTGCTTTGACGGTAAAATTCATAATATTGGTTCCGCCCGGCCGTCATGCTCGCACAGGAACGGTCGACCGGGCGTGGCCCGCCGCTCTGCTAGCAGTGGAGGTGTGTTCTACATGGGCACTATGGCTCGTCCATCATGATCTGCAGAAACTCGTGCTCACTGATCTCGCCATCTTGATCGAGATCGAACTCATCAATCATAGCTTGGCTGGGGTTAGTGCATGAACGTACAGCTCCTCGTCGTCGAGGTTCTCACCTAGTTCTTTGGCGACACGCTTGAGATTGCGCAAGCTAATCTTGCCCGTATTGTCCTCATCAAAGAGGGCAAACGCGCGTAGAATCTCTTCCCGTGGATCACGCGAGGCAATGCGCTCCGTCACTGCATGTCAGCATGCACTCACGTACAAACACGGTTGAATGCTGGCCACTCCATGAGGCCTGTGCCCGTAGCATCATTGTCTCGCAGAATCTCGAGAACCTCTGACTTTTTCAGGTCAAATCCCAGGGCGCGCATAGCCACCTTAAGCTCATGGTAGTCCACGGCACCATCCTTATCAGTGTCGAACAGATCAAAGGCTTCGCGGATCTCTTGGCGCTGGTCCTCTGATAGCTCCACGACTGGCATATTGGAGCGAGACGCAGAGTAGCTGGTACCTGCTAGCACCTGCGACGCACCAAACGACGGCGTGCGCCGCGCTCTTGCTCGCGATAAATGGCTCATACAGACAGGGTCCAGACGACGCCGCAACGCGTCGCGATGGCGCGTCGGTCCTCTGACTAAATGCTACGTCATCCACCCCTCCGCTTCGCTCGCCCACGAACGGCGGCGTTCATCGCGCCAAGTTGGCGTGTGTGGGTCTCATGCATGGGGTGCCCCAATAGCAGGTGGTTTGCACGACCACTTTCCTTGTGGCCGCCACGTTTCTCACATACACCCTGGCATACTACGCGTGCCGCACACACTGCCGCCTGGCTGCACAGCGCTGATGCGACTTCGTCTGAACAGGCTTCCTCGTCCAAGGTCGCAACATTTACGCGATACTGGACGCCATTCCAAAAACCTGTCCTGGAATTCGAGACATCCTCGTCATCTGCTACACCTGTTATGATACACGCTCTCGAGCAGCACGACTCTGTGACCGCCATGGAGCTTCTGCGACGCCACGCTAAAGTTCTTCCACACACAGTGTGGGCATCACTTTGGTCACTTGTCGCAGAAGGACCGTCCTCGCTACCTGCCGAGGGTTTATACCAGCGTTTGGATACTGTGTGTGAACAGCTCTTGGAGCTAATGCGTATGCATGCGAGTTTATTCCCTACTCGTACGATCCCCAAGCACATGTATCATCGCCTTGTGTATTTATTGCTAAAACGCGCAGAACGTATCGATCATTCCATTCCAGAAGCTGAACGACCAGCGCGGCGTCGCCAACAGGCTGAGCAGCTTTTGCATGTGATTAGTGAGCCGTGTGCTATTGACGGTGATCTTCTTGGCCGTCTGCTATTTCGCCTCGCCCGCCTTAAGGCTGTTGACTGCCTTCGACCACTTTTGCTGCGTTATAGCGCGTGCAAGGACAAGCCATCTGACCCTGTCGGAGCTGGTCAGCCATACTCTGCCGTGATTAGCGAAGCACTCGAGTGGTATCGGTCCAGCAAGATGCCCGAGGCTTTGTTTCTTGCATGGGAGGCTCTTCGCTCTGCATTTTCTGAAAAGCTTCCTATCAAGCATGTACTGGTACAGCAACTACTAGGAAGCAGTGGCCCAGCGCACGTCCAGCTGTGTATTCCCCACCTGCCGCGCACCTTGGATGGCTCGGATGCTCTGGCCGCCCACATTCTTGACACATGCCGTTTGCGTCCCCGCTACATGCACCAACGTGCAGTGGTGGTTCTCTGCAAAATGAGCGATCCACGCGCCGCTTTGCAACTGCTTGATACCCATGATACGGACATTCCGTTCGACGTTTATGCTGCTACGATCACATCGCTCACATGGATTGCTCGTGCGCGTATTATTCCTCACACAGCCCTTTTCCTGGCATGGCGCGTGATGGAAGACATGCAGCAGGTTGGTATGGAGGCCGACGAGCAAATGTACGGCGAGTGGATTCGTGCGCTGCAAGTGATGCAAAACGGTCGCATAGCGCCCCACCCACTATGTATCCCCGACGCTGTAATTCAAGCGCTGCATGACCGTGCGCCGTCTTCCATGCCACCATGGACCAACTATATGTCGTCTCTCACGCAGCAAATTCTTTCACGGCAAGATGAGCACGTACTGCGATGGGACCACTTGGTTCTTTTGTTTCGCCTACATGCGCACTTGCGGCACTTTTCCATGTGTCTGTCTTTGTATGAATACGCACGTCAGGACCAAACAGAGGCCCTTCCCTTTCGCTCGGCGTCTACCTTTGCTTGGCTCCTTTCCCACGCGTGTCAGCACCAGGGAGATTTGAGATGGGCGGTACGTTTGTACCACGACTGGCTCGCCACAGGCCGTAGCCTGCCTGAATCTCAGCTTGAGCCCTTTTTGCGTGCGTGCCTCTCGCACGGCATGCCTTCCATGGTGCGGGTTGTCGTACGCGATGCTTGTGAGATTGGAGCGGTACCGCGATCGACAGTGGCATCACACGCTGCACGGGCCCTATTTCTCGAAGGCTATTTGGAAGCGGGGCTAGCCCTATTAGCCGACTTGCTCACTGATGCGCCTACCACAACGCCGCGCGATGAATCTCTTCCTCCGACCCTTCCGCCGTTGGCCATGTATGCGATTGGCCTCTACGAAGCTAGTGGCGTGGGTTACGGAACAAAACGTGGTGATCGAGCACGGCTGTTCGACTTCTTTGACGAATTCCGTCTAGTCTTGGCGCATACGTATGCCAAAGGAAACGTGCCTGCGAATATTGTGGACTTTGCCTACTATGGTGTGATCCGTCTGCATCTTCAGGCCCTCGGGCATGAAGCCAGCTCGTGGCCCTCTGACCTTGTCGACTCTGCCGAAAAGGACGCTTGTGTCGCGAGTCTGTGCAATACCTGGGTCGAGTGGCAAGATATGGCCGGTCCACAATACGGCTCCACACTGTCTGCTACGGAAGTCAACTCGCTGATTCTCTCTATCCGAGCCTACATACCCAATGTGCCGCGCCCATCAGCCATGACTACTGATATGAAGCAATAGAATGGTTAGTAAGACGTGGCATGAAATTTGTTGATATAGCCCCATTTGTCCCGTCTAAAGACCTTGCGTGGGAGCGCATGGCCGACTCCTAGATGGGGCAGTTCTGACAATGCTGACTCGATACACAAGGAACATCGCAAATTAATTTCGACTCGGTAAGCGTAAAGTGCGACAGCCCGCCCACCTACAACATCTCTCTGCATGTGTGAGACACTCGGAGCCACTCACGCAAGATGTGAAGGCAGGTACGGAACGCCCTCCGGGGTATATTGCACCAAGTGGGTCACCTCGACCGACGGACGGCGGGCGCATTTGCGAAAAACACGTTCTACCGGTTGGCACAGTATACGATTTTGTTGCAATTGGCAGTGGTATTGGACTAGCTCAGCAAGCTCGCATGCCGATCGTGGGCGCCGGCGCTCGTCGGCCGCCCCCCCCTGCCTCGGCATACCAACGAGCCTGTTGCGAAGAAACCTGTCGCGACCGCCCTAGTACCTTATCACGTGGCTTCTGCATGTGGCTTCTATGCACGTCGTGCACGTGGTGCCTTGGTCGTGCACGCTGGCGCTCTCGACACGCGGCGCACGTCCTGCGTCTTCGTAGAATCTCCGCCCGCACTCTCCGTTGATTCCTAGTTTCCTACCACGATGTCGAACTACAAGGTCGCTGATATCTCGCTTGCTGCTTTCGGTCGCAAGGAAATCCAGATTGCCGAGGGTGAGATGCCCGGTCTCATGTCCATCCGTGAGAAGTACGGCCCCTCGCAGCCCCTGAAGGGCGCGCGTATTGCGGGCTGTTTGCACATGACCATCCAGACTGCTGTGCTGATCGAGACTCTTGTTGCGCTTGGTGCTCAGGTCTCGTGGTCGTCGTGCAACATTTTCTCGACTCAGGACCATGCTGCTGCTGCCATTGCCGCTGCCGGTGTGCCTGTGTTCGCTTGGAAGGGTGAGACTGAGGAGGAGTACAACTGGTGCATTGAGCAGACCCTCCATGCCTTCCCCAACGGTGAGCCTCTGAACATGATCCTCGACGATGGTGGTGACCTGACCTGGACCATCCACAACAAGTACCCCCAGCTCCTGGAGAACATCCGCGGTCTCTCGGAAGAGACCACGACCGGTGTGCACCACCTGTACATGGCCGTCAAGAAGGGCGAGCTCAAGGTGCCTGCCATCAATGTGAACGACTCGGTCACCAAGTCCAAGTTCGACAACTACTACGGCTGCCGTGAGTCGCTTGTCGACGGTATCAAGCGTGCCACGGATGTCATGCTTGGCGGTAAGGTCGCCGTCGTGGCCGGTTTCGGTGACGTGGGTAAGGGCTGTGCCGAGTCTCTTCGCTCGTACGGCTGCCGTGTTATTGTGACGGAGATTGACCCTATCAACGCCCTCCAAGCCTCGATGGCCGGCTACCAGGTTGGTCTCATGGACGAGGTGGCTTCTGAGGCGCAGGTGTTCGTGACCACCACCGGAAACCGCGACATTATTACCACCAAGCACTTTGAGATGATGCCGGAGGACGCCATTGTTTGCAACATTGGCCACTTTGACATTGAAATTGATGTGGCCGGCCTCAAGAAGATTGCCAAGGAGGTGGTCAACATCAAGCCTCAGGTCGACCGCTACACTCTCCCTAACGGCCGCCACGTCATTCTGCTGGCTGAGGGCCGTCTCGTGAACCTGGGCTGTGCCACTGGCCACCCCTCGTTCATCATGAGCGCCTCGTTCTGCAACCAGACGCTGGCTCAGATCACCCTCTGGAATGACAAGGAGGGCAAGTACCAGCGCGGCCAGGTTTACATGCTCCCCAAGACCCTGGATGAGGAGGTCGCACGTGCCCACCTTGCCAAGCTCAACGTCAAGCTGACCCAGCTGACCAAGGTTCAGTCGGACTATCTTGACATCCCTGTCGAGGGCCCCTACAAGGCGGACCACTACCGCTACTAAGCTTCGCGCAAATGGTCAACACCCTCTATGTATAGTACTCAACGCGCTTCATACGGATCTAGACTGGTGTTGATGCACCGGCGCCATAGAAAATGATACCTTTTCAACAAGGCATTCTTTAGCTTGCTCGAGGGACAGTTTATGATCACATGATACATGGTCGGCCTGGCTGGCCGAGTGGAGCAACCAGGGCCTTTTATGTGGCACGCGATTGCCTGTCGATTGCCTCGGCTTTCTGCGTATCGGACCCTGCGTTATCGTGCATTTTCGACCAGTCGACTGTGCTACAACATGGGTGCAATTAATACAGGTGTTGTACAGACGTCTACCCTCGTGCAGCAATTGCGCGAAAAAATGCGCGCACACAACTTGCAGGCATACATTGTGCCCTCCGAAGATGAGCACGCCAGCGAATATCCCTCCGACGCTGACCTGCTCCGTGGCTACATCTCCGGATTCAATGGCTCAGCTGGCTGTGCTTTGATCACAATGAAGGAGGCTCTGCTTTTTACCGATGGTCGCTACTTTTTGCAGGCTTCGCAGCAGCTGGAGCCGAACGTTTGGACGCTGATGAAGTCGGGCGAGCCGGGTGTTCCAACGTGGCAGTCCTGGTTGGTCGAAGAGCTCCCCGCGAAGTCACGCATTGGTGTCGATCCGAAGGTGATCAGCGTTGAAGACGCGCTGGAGCTGAGCGCTTCCCTGTGCTCTGTCTCGTCGTCGTTGGTGCCGCTGCGCGACAACCTCGTGGTTGAGATTTGGACTGACCGCCCACAGCGCCCTCAGGAGCCCATCCGTATGCTACCAGATTCAATTACTGGTCGTTCCTTTGAAAACAAGCTAGCGGAACTGCGCGCCGAAATTGCGAAAAAACGGGCACAGTGCTTTGTGGCGACCATGCTTGACGAAGTTGCCTGGCTTTTTAACTTGCGCGGCAATGACGTTCCGTACAACCCTGTCTTTTTCGCATTCGCTATTATCACGCTTGACACTTGTACGATCTACGTGCACGAAAAGCAGGTGGGCGACGATGTTCGCCAGCATCTGGGCACGTCCGTGCAAATTCGCGGGTACGACACATTTTATGACGATCTCAAGGCGCTGGACCTACGTGCCCTCATCGGTAAGCGCGCCTCATGGGCTGTGTACGAAGCTCTGGGTGCGGACCAGGCCCAAATTACGCGCTCGATCATTGTCGACCAGAAAAGCATCAAAAATGCCGTTGAGCAGGACGGCTTCCGCGAGTCTCATATCCGAGATGGCGCTGCGCTAGTCTCCTACTTTGCGTGGCTCGAGGAGGCGCTCCAGGCTGGCCGCACCGTGACAGAGACGGAGGGTGCGAAACAGCTGGAGCGCTTCCGTGAGGCCCAGGCCGATTTTGAGGGCCTGAGCTTCACGACGATTTCGTCGACGGGTCCTAACGGTGCCATTATTCACTATGCGCCTCCTGAGGAAGGAAGTCCTGCGATTAGCGCTAACGATCTCTATGTCTGTGACTCGGGCGGTCACTACACATTCGGTACGACAGATGTGACACGCACTTTGCACTTTGGCACACCTACCGAGGAGCAGCGCCGCTGCTTCACGCGTGTGCTTCAGGGCCATATTGCCATTGACAGGCTCGTATTCCCTAACAACACGACGGGCTATGTGATTGACGCGCTTGCGCGTGCACCTGGCTGGCGCGACCACCTTGAGTACCGACATGGCACTGGCCACGGTGTGGGTCACTACCTGAATGTGCACGAGCCGCCCATGGGCATTGGCACGCGCATCGTATTCAACGAGACGGGTCTCAAGGCCGGCATGGTTTTGAGCAATGAACCGGGCTACTACCTCGACGGCAAGTGGGGTATCCGCATTGAGAACCTCGTCATTGTGCAGCCACACAAGCTGCCCAGCGGTGAAGAGCCTCCTACAAGCAAGGGCTTTTTGCAGTTCGAGCGCATCACCATGTGCCCGATTCAGACTAAGCTGATCGACTCTTCACTGATGACGCCGGAAGAGCGCGCGTGGGTCAACGAGTACCACGATGAAGTTTTGGAGAAGCTGCGTCCCCGTCTGGCCGGGGACGAGCGCGCTCTGCGCTGGCTCGAAAAAGAGTGCGCGCCGCGTCTATAGTGCGGTGTCCAGGCAACCCGTAGGGTCGATAAGCTAGGCTGGATCCATGCCTGTATCGTATTGCACAACATGTGAGGACGGCGTGGATGTTGGCTCACGGCCCGTGCGGCCCAGCAAGGACCGATAGGTCTGTTTCCATAGGGTCAACCGGGGCGCCGGCTCAGGCAACGGTGACACAGGCTCACGACCAGTTAGGTCGTCCGCAGGCTCGACGAGTGATGGCCGCATCGATGCGAAATCCCACAGGGGTGCCTTTGCTGGTTCATTGGGGACCGCCTGTTTCGACTTGCGCACTTTGAGCGGTCGAGATCTCGCGAACTGTGCTAGCTGCTTGGTCGATCCAGCCTTGCGAATAAATGGGTGCTTTAGGAGCTCGGCAGCCGATGGGCGCTTTAGCGGATCGCGTGTGAGGCACTGCGAAACAAAATCGCGGAACGCGGACGAGTACGTTTTGGGTAGCTGCGGCGGTGGGTTGCGGGGTATAAGATGCAGTACTTTCATAGGGTGTAAGTCCGCGTACGGAGGCTCGCCCTTGGCGAGTTCGATTGCGGTGATGCCTACGCTCCAGATGTCGGCGCTAGTGGTGTAGCCGCTTTGTTTGACGACCTCTGGCCCCATCCAGTAGGGCGTGCCCACAAATGAGTTGACGCGCTTCGCTTGGGCATGCAGCTGGCCGGCCACGCCAAAATCCGCCAGGCGGATTGAGCCGTCCTCATGCAGGAGGATATTGGCTGCCTTGATATCTCGGTGTATCTTTTGCTCGGCATGGATATACGCCAGAGCGCGCAGTACCTCACGCAAGATGATAGCAATGTATCGCTCCTGCAGTGTATGCGTACGTACTAAGTCAGAGCAGCTGCCGCCTGCGCAGTACTCCATAATGATCCAAAGATCGGACCCGTCCATGAAGCTGTCATAGCAGGCCGTGATACACGGGTGTCGCATTTGCTGGAGCATCTGAATTTCTCTTTGTACCGTCTGCATTTCCTCCGTGCTTAGCTCCAAGCTGACAATCTTCGCAGCGACCGTGCTGCGTGTTTCGGTATCGAGACAACGGTACACCTCACTGCACATCAGACAAAATGACATACCCATACGAGCCGGCACCAATGCGCTCTTGTCTCACGTACCGGATCAACGACATGATGATGCACGTCGTGCAGCGTTACGACTGAACGCATCATGGCGTGTTAATCATCACGTGCTCTACGAACGTGGCTCTACCGCTGCGACGGCTGTGCCCACAGAGGGCGTGCGCCACGTGCCCCGGTGGGATGGGATTGCCGGTCCGCCATTGGGGCCGAGGCAGTGGGGCCCCATGGAGGTGACGGCGGCAGAACATCAGGCGCGCCACGCACACGCAACCCACCACGCGGTTGGGGGCTTGGGCTAATATTCAAAAATTCACCGTAGCTCAAACTTCCGTTCATGGTCTTGGGGGTGACCGGCAGGGCGGACTCGCCAGCAGGCGGTGTCGTGATGCTGCTGCTCCGATCATGAGAGACGGGGCGAGGTGTAATTGACTTAGAGTCCAAGGCACCGTGGGAGATGCTGCGTCGATGTCTCCGAGAGAGGGGCGCCGTCGTGTCCGAGCTTGCGGCGCGCACATGATTCCGAAGCGCCTGGAAACCACGCGGAGCGCCAGCCCACGGCCGCATCAATGCCGGCTCAGAGGGAACAGGCACGGAGGCCGGAGGCGGCACAGGGTCGTAGCTCCGCACAGGCACATAGTGATCCTTGTGCGGCTCAGGCATAGACGCCATTCGTGCATGTCCTGGGCGGGAAAAGGGCGTGTGCCGCGGTACCATAGTTGCACGGGGTGTCATGCCATAGTTGTATTGAAACGAAGCCGCCCCGTTAGGTCGAGGCGCATGTACGGGTGACACAGGGAAGCGGAAGGGAGCCGCAGGTACAAGCGGCACAGAGAACGTCTCTGATGGGGCATGTGTGGTGCGCGTACGCTTGGGAGAAGGTCCATACGACTCTTGCCGTGCGTTCTGCTGTTCCCGAAGCAGCTGCACAGGCGTGGGGTGATTGTGCAAGTCAGTCGAATGCGATCCAGCGCGATGCGACGATCCGAGTTGCGGGGCAGCGGCAGCCTCAGACAAGGCCTCGCTTGCTGTGCGCTTGTTTCCGGTGGCCGATGGTGGCGTGCGGGGCACCACTGGAGGACGACTTGATGGCGTGTGGGGTGTACGAGACGGCGACGTAGATGTGTTGGCGGGTGGTGTCGACTTCTCTGGGAGAACACCACCAAACAGATGGTCATACAGATTCGGCGGGGACGGCGGGGCCGCGAGCGGCTTCAACGGGAGCTCCGCCTGCAAAGGATCATGGCTGGCACGACTGCGCATCTGCTCAAATTGGGAGAGTCCCACATGATGAGCCGCCTGACCTAGGCGCGCGTAGAGGCGTTGGGCATACTGCCAGTGTGAGTCCGAGGGGTTCACCTCGCGCACAGACTCGCCATGGGACGCGGCGGGTGCCACCTGAGCAGCTGCCATATTTGAAAAAAGCACTGAGGCAAGAAAAGCGAGAGCTGAGTTACCTAGCACAGGCAATGCCTTGCTCAACTTCCACTTGTACGAACGTGGTGGACCCGGGGGGGCAGTGCGGAGCGCGGGATTAAGTTTGAGCGCTCTTGGCGCGCGTCGCGCGCGGTATCGGCCGTATGGGCCGGGTGGGTCTCGGTGGAGAAGCGGGCTTCATCGGCCGTGCGCTGCGCTTCCAAGCACCATGGAGACCCCACAGCGGCCTGGTGCAGAGATTACACCGGGCTCTGCGCGCGAGCGAGAGACCTTCACAACGAAGGAAGGTATGTTCTTATTTCTTATGGCAGTGAGCGCTTTGCGACAAATAAATTCCAATGTGTGGACGGCCCGTATGGTAGGTATTGAGAATGCATTAACAGCAGGTTGGCTTTGTGGGTGGCTGCACATTGATGTATTATGGCCTGCGCCGCGTTAAGCAGCGTCCGGGGCCGCTTGGATCCGCGCTGTTCACCTTCTTTGGCGGTTTTGCAGCCTCGCTCTTTGCGATCCCATTTGGGATTGCCATGAGCCGTAACGAGCTGCGCTCGGTCGAAGACCCTCAGCACTTGGCGCGTGCATTGCATGATGCACTGGATCAGCGTAAGACGCCCTCCAAAATCCTGCAGTCCGCTTCCGACTCGCCGGCCCCCCCGCGCGACCCGGTGGAAGCGCCTGCAGCGACCTCCGACTGGTCGACGATGGACGTGCCTGCGGATGGCGGACAGCCTAGCACGGAGAACAAGCCTTGTTCACGATGGGAGGAGCTCCGTCGTGATCGGACGTCTTCGTCTAGTGTGTGGGAACAGATCCGCCAGGACAATGCAAGGAATGCTTTGCCGGAAGAGAACCGAAGCAGTGCTTGGAGCAGGGCGGCCAGCTCGCCTCCTACACAGAACCAGAGCCTTTCAGATTACGACAAGGCTGTGAAAGAATACGAAGCAGCCATGGAGCGCGAACGTCAGGGCGTGGACGTAACGACGGGCTTTCGCGAGACTGAGAAGGTATGGCACTGAAATCATTCCACTTCCATGGCTATCCACAAGTCTAGGGCGCCTATGGTGGATGTATGGGTCATTAAAACGCAGTGGGCGCTGGGTTTCGTATGGTATCACTGCCGGGTGCTGCACATAACGCTTGGGCCGTTGGTTAAGAACGATACACTGTTTGGACCTGCTCCTGCGGCGTCTGGCGCAATACATGCCGTGAACCGTGCACGGCCCTGCGACGGGACGGCATGCGCCGGATCGCCGCTGGAGAGTACGGCATCTTGCCAGCCACTGACTGGTTTGAGAGAGAAGGCGCTTTGGCATCATTGCGGGTCATAGTCTGCAGAACAGAGATGGATGGCACTGCAGAAGAGGTCATAGAAATCTGGGGCGCTGGCTTAACAGAGGGCTCCATACCAGACAAAGCGTAGCTCGTGTCTTCAGATATCGCTTCCGTCGTGTCGGGGCGGGGCTGATCAAACATCTCCGTCAGATCCTGGGGAATATGAGGAGGACCTCGACGCCGCTGACGTTGCAACGTCGGACTCTCCCAGGCATCGGACACACTCGTCTCAGCAACATTAGTCTGAGGCGGAGACTTGTGCAGGGTGCTCTTGGCTCGACCGAGCGATGTCGCTTCGTCTTGCCGTATGCGCTCCTCCACATGCTGCCGGAGCTCATGAATGCGTTGGGAGCCCGTCCAAACACTCTCGTTCGACTTGGAATCGAGACTGCCGGACTCCTGATTCGACGACATGAGCGCTGCAGATCCTGTTTTCAAGGCATCGATCCGAGGTAGCGATGTTGATCGGGAGAGGCGATGAGCAGAGTGCTTGCGCGGCGACGGAGACCGCGAACGAATTAGAGGGTTCGTCGGCGTGGGTACTTTTTCCTGACTCTTGAACAGTCCATTCAGACCTGCCAGAGTGGCACGCTTAACTAGCCCAATGCCTGGCTGTGACAAGCGGAACAAGTAAGCAACATTACCAGGCACATCCATTGGATCGTACTCACGTCCGGCCAAGTCCAAGTGCTTGGGGGAGCTAACGCCTCGCGGCGTCGATATGGTCAGCCTGGGCGGGGGCGGCGGCACAGGCTCGGGGGCCGTCGCTTCCCATACTGTGCGAATGGGACAGTCATTCATATGCCATCGAGGCTCAACCGCGCCGAACTTCACCGTGTTCCGGCCGCAGGTGCAGGTAGGGGGCAGTTCAGGCTTCTGAGAGCGTCGAGACTTAAGTGCCTTGTGCAACAGATCCTCACTTTTTGAGCGTCGGAGCCCACGAGGAAGAGTTGCTGTAGGGTCTTTGTCGACCGTTTGAACAACGGCATCTTGCCGCGAAAGGACAGGCTCAGCGGGCGTTGACAAAAATGCTATCGCCGACTCCATTTGCAGAGGTGCTTCCGTCGTCGTGGTGACAGGGGCCTTGGGTGCCATTGGCAGAGAAGAAGACGTATTTGTGAAATCAGCAACAGGCTTCTTGGTATGCGCTGGCGGCAAAGGTGGCACAGGGGGTATAGGCTCGGCGGGTTTTGCAGTCCCCGTCCGGTACGCTACACTGGCATCCCATAGGCTGCTTCGACGGCGTAAAGTCCGCGCTCGGATATCAGCGTCACTCCGTGTCTTTTTCAATGAGGGCTCCCGGTGGCGGTGGCGAATAGGCTCCTCTGGTGCCCCAGCGTGGGACGAGAGAATACCCTGCATCCACGCTTGGATGTCATTATGCTTGGCCTCATTCTGGAAAGACGTGGATCGGGCAGAATCCAAAGGCTTTCCAGCATTTTTCGCGACAGGTACATTTACGTCAGGCATGTCGACGTCGTCCGGAGCCTGGGCATCGATTTGTGTGGGTATTTTTGCGACGGGTGTGACGATGCGCGTCTCCTTGTAGCCCTCCCGCTCCAGTAGATCTTGCAGGCTATCGAACCCATGAGAGCGTGGGATAGTGGACATACGATTGGAAAAGGGCCGACGGTAGTAGCCCAAGCCCATATTTTCTTTGGAAGGATGGCTCATTTTGCGCCGGAGGGTGTGGCCCCGAGGAGGCGTGTGAGGTGCCTGCCTCGTGGTATTCCCACCCAACGCACTGGCCGCTGACATGTAGCCAGGCGACTCAAATATGTCACCCTGCTGACAAGATGGCGACACAGCAGACACGTCCCGAATCAAAACGGCACAGAGCTGGGGCGACGGCCAAGGCTTGGCGCAAACAACACACACAAGGGTGGACACGGCGCGCGTTGGGTCACGTGTTTCGTCGAGTCAGGCGAGTCGGTGCGGTGTGCCTCCCTCTTATCACTTGCAGAATGCGCACACTTCTATGTCGCGGAGTTGTGCGCCGTGCAGCCTTGCGCGCGCCGCCTTGCGCTACTCTTCGTGCCTTTCACGCCTCTACAGCTGCTAGGACTCAGAGTGTAGCCCCGCGTGAGTTCGCTGGAGATCGGGAAACCATCACTCGACTGCTGTACTCCATTGCCTCTCGCAATGAGGTGGAGCGCTACTTGCGCATCTTCAGCACGGCCAGGACTTTTGCCGTGATCAAGGTGGGAGGAGCGATCTTGACGAATGAGCTCGATGACCTCGCGCTCAGTCTGACGTTCTTGCACCGAGTGGGACTGTACCCCATTGTCTTGCATGGTGCTGGTCCTCAACTGAATGAGATCCTCGAGCGCGAAGGTGTCGTACCGGATTACTCTGATGGTATCCGTATCACGGATGCGGCAACACTAAAGGTGGCCCGACGAGTGTTTCTCGAGGAGAACCAGAAGCTCGTGGAGAAGCTCGAGTCGTTGGGCAGCCGTGCTCGCCCGATCCCGCTGGGCGTCTTCAATGCCTCGTTCCTAGACCGTGAGCGCTACGGGCTTGTAGGCAAGGTGGATCGGGTTGATAAGGAGCCGATTGAGAGCGCTATTCGTGCTGGTTGCCTGCCCATTCTCACTAGTCTAGCCTTGTCCGAAGATGGACAGATCCTCAACGTGAACGCTGATGTGGCTGCTAGCGAGCTGGCCAAGGTGCTAGAGCCCCTAAAGATTGTATTCCTTAACGAGAAGGGTGGTTTGTTCCATGGCCAAACTGGTGAACTCATTGAGTCCATCAACCTCGACGAGGAATACGAAGGGCTGATGAAGCAAGAGTGGGTCAAGTACGGCACCAAGCTGAAGCTTCGTGAAATGAAGGAGCTGCTTGACCATCTCCCCCGCTCGTCCTCTGTGGCCATCATTTCTGTGGACCAGCTGCAGAAGGAGCTGTTCACGGACAGCGGTGCCGGTACACTAATCCGCCGTGGCCATAAGCTCTTCCGGTCGTCGTCGATTGAGGAGGTGGGCCCAGAACGCCTTCGCGCCATGCTTCGTGAGCACGATGAAGATGTGCGTGACAATCGTAAGAGCGCCGCGCAGATTTTCTCGGAGTTGTCACGCGCTCCCTACACAATCTACGGCGACGAGGGACTCGAGTGCGTGGCGTTCGTGTCGCATCCGGCGGGTGAAGTCCCGGTGCTCACGCGTTTCGTGATGACCCGCAGTGCAGTGATGAACAATATTGTGGACAACATTTGGGCGATGATCAAGAAGGACTACAAGCGTCTGGTCTGGACCTCGCGCTCGGACGACGAGAACCGTGCGTGGCACTTTGAGCATGCTGATGGCGGCTTTACGCGAAACCGCCGCAGCCTGTTCTACTATGGAATCCAAGATGTGGGTGAGGTGGAGCAAATCATGCGTCAGTTGGAGGAGAAAAACCGCATTGAGCGTGCCTACTTGCCGCTCAACATGCGTAAGCCATCGGGGCAGAGCCGTGGCTATGCCACGATGGCGCGCGCTGCCCACACACGCCCTCAGATTATGACGCGTGCCTACGAACAGCTGGGTCAGCGTACGTATGCTACGGCAGCACCGAAGCGTGTGGCTTTGATTGGTGCACGTGGCTACACAGGCCGCTCGTTGGTGCAACTAATCGATGGGCACCCCCAGCTCGAATTGTCGCACGTCAGTTCTCGTGAGCTCGCGGGTTGGCCGCTTGAGGGGTACCACAAGAGCGAGGTGTACTATACAAGTATGAGTCCTGAGGATCTGGAACGGCTCGAGAGTGGTCATGGCGATGTGCCACCGCCGGACGCGTACATTCTCGCTCTGCCAAATGGCGTATGTCGCCCGTTCGTCGAGGCAGTGCGTCAAGGCGGTAAGGGAAAACCGCAGGGTCATGGAGTGGTGGTGGACTTGAGCGCTGACCACCGTTTCGATGACGAGTGGACGTACGGCCTCCCTGGTATGTGAAGTGTGGATACGGAAGGTGGGGCGCTAACACACATTAGAGCTGTATTCACGGGATTCCATTCGGAACGCGAAGCTGATCTCCAATCCAGGGTGCTATGCCACCAACATGCAGATGCTTATTGCGCCGCTGGTGCCTTACTTAGACAGCGCCCGCCCGCCCACGGTGGTTGGTATTTCTGGATACAGCGGTGCAGGTACTAAAAGTGGAGTGAAGATGGCAGAGGGTGGTCGGCCTGTGACGCTGCCGAAGCTGGAGCCTGAATCGCTAGCCGGTGGTGTGCGTCCGTACGCACTGACAGACCACATTCATGAGCGTGAGGCGCGGCGCCACCTCTCGTCCCTGAGTAAGTTCCCCGTCAATGTATCTTTCACGCCCGTCGTTGCGCCTTGGTTCCAAGGTATCATTGCGACGGCTCATATTCCTTTGAGCAGCCCCTTGAGTGCGAAGCAAGTTCGAACATTGTTTGAAAACAAGTACGAGGGTGACAAACTTGTGGAGATTGTGCCGCAAGTGCCCGAGATCCAGGACATCGCCCAGCGCCATGGTTTCAAGGTGGGTGGCTTCCAAGTGCACTCGAGTGGGGAGCACGTGGTGGTCGTGGGTGTGATCGATAACCTGCTCAAAGGTGCTGCGACGCAGTGTCTGCAAAATTTGAACCTAGCCTTGGGTCTGGATGAATATGCGGGGATTCCGCTCGAGTAGATAGCCTAGTGCCCCTCGCACGGCCGTGACCTGCTTGTCTGGCGGAACACCGTGATTACCTAACCCGTCTGAGACCACGTGTAAACAGTCTGCGGCCCCGCTAGGCTCTCTCTTCGAAGAACTGCACGCCATGTCGTACGGTCATTCGTCTTTTGTGCCGCCGCCGCACATGCAAAACAACATGTACGCGACACGGCCGTCCTCGTCATACAAGTCGCCATGGATGGAGACGCTCGAGGAGTACTCCTCCAAGGCGGAGGATATTATGGACATTATCTCTCAACCAATCCGTCCGTATATCCCGGCTCTGGGCCGCTTCCTGATTGTGGTGACGTTCCTAGAGGATGCTCTGCGAATCACCACACAATGGAATGATCAGATCACTTTCTTACATCGCTACCGCGGCATGCCCTTCTTCATTGCAGCCCTCTTCCTCATCATCAACGTGGTCGTATGTATCTGAACCGCTCACTCCAGCTCATGACGGCGTCGTCGATCTGTGTTATTATTCGCCGCTTCGCAGAAATTTCTGTGGGCTCGTTGCTCTTCGTGATTGTGTTCCAAGGTCTTGGGTATGGCCTAATCACCGACTTTAACTTTTTCCTCCGCAACCTCTCGGTGGTGGGCGGCCTACTGATGGTATTCTCGGACAGCTTGGCACACCAGCGGAAGAACTTGTTTGCTGGGTTGCCAACTATGAGCGAGACAGACAGGCGTGTCTACTTCCAGCTGGCTGGCCGTGTTCTTTTGATTGTCTTGTTTATTGGTTTCGTATTCCAGGGCGAGTGGGGCTTCTTCCGCGTGGCTGTGTCGATCCTAGGTCTGGGTGCGTGCATCATGGTGGCAGTCGGCTTCAAAGCGCGCTACAGCGCCATGTTCCTGGTGTTGCTTTTGAGCATTTTGAACATTGCCGTGAATAACTTCTGGACGGTGCACTCGGCGCACCCGCAGCGCGACTTTTTGCGCTACGACTTCTTCCAGACGCTCTCGATCGTCGGCGGCCTGATCCTGTTGGTGAGCATTGGCCCTGGTGGGTTCTCGATGGACGAGCGCAAGAAGGTCACATAAGCATGTCTCTCCATGTCCCCTCTATTTATGAGACTATATAGACGTATGCATTTCCTTGAGCTATGCAGTGCGTCGTCCATCGTGGCTGATCCCGCAGCGCTGCGTCAGCGACGACCAATACGTCGGGAAATCGAACTTGTAGTTGTACGTGCCGCCGTGGAACTGCGCGTCGAGTTGGTCCGGCTCAATAAACTCCGTCATGGCATTGTCGTTGAACCGAATTTTGTCCTTCGTCACGGGATCCAAAAAGGGCGACAGGGCGTTAAAGAAGGCAGAAATGAAGCGCGGCATGTGCACGACAAAGGCACGGCCCAAGCGCTCGCAGTAGTAGGCCTGGAGGATATTGGCCACATGCCGGGCCGTGGGCAGGGACGGCATGGTCGAAAGGCTCGCTCCGTGGAAATCCACAACAATGGTGATCGATTCCTGGCCGGGTTGCATCAAGTCTGCGGTGAGAAGTTGTGTACATACCGATGCAGCGCTCAAGGCTCCAGACCATGTACCGGATCTGCCGCGGCGACGGTTTGGTATTTTCTCGCCCGGGACGCAGATAGAGGATGGGGCGCGAGTCCTTATCGAAGCCGGTAATGACGTGCTTCCCAGTCTCGGCTTCAGGCGCCACTTCATCGGGTGCGATGACTTCGGGGCGGTAGCCGCGACGCCACTCAAGCGTTTCCTGTCGGGTATGAGTGCGTGCCAACGTACCAGGATGCGCTTCTTCGCCTGCTTAATATCGCTGCGCACGGAGCGGAGCACGCGGTGGTACATCATCTCATTGTTCATCCAGCGAATCTCGTATGGCTCGTACTCGGGATCACAGGGATGTGCTGCGCGGTGCTCGTCAAGGAAAGCGCGCAGCTGCTGGGCTTTATCGTCATCGCCGTCCTGCTTGGGCTTGGGCGGCAGGAGGTTCGAGCTCTGGGGGGGATGCAGAATGACCTCATGCGTAACTGGCCCCTTGTCAACAGCGTCTTCCTGTTTCGCGGACTTTTTGAATCCGAAGAAGCTGCTCATGTCGGGGCCGCAGCTCGATGATCGATAACAAAAAGTTGGATTTCAGCCCGGCCACTGACGGCAGGCGCTTGCATAATCAGGCTGCGGATCTACCAACTACATCTGCGCGGTCTGCAACGCGCGCTGGGCGTAATACTGCACGTCCGCGTCGGCGTCGTCGCGGAGCGTCTGAAGCGCAGGGACGATTCTGTCCTGAACAATGCGGCGATTGGCAGGCGACGAGGCGAGCTCACGCGAAAGCACTTCGAGGGCCTTGGCGACATTGAAGCGGATATTGGGAATCGGATCCTGGACCATACTGAGCATGGCGCCCAGCACGCTCGAGACGATGGTGTCCGAATCAAGAGAAGGAGCCATAGTGATCACAGCAAAGATGGTGGTCATGCGGTACAGGTAGTTCGGGTGCGTGCTCATCTGCAGAACCTTCGGAATGATAGACTGACGTGCCCATTCCACACCAAACACCTCAGTAAGCTTCTTCAGGTTGATCGTCGCAGCCTCGCGGATGCTGAACACGGTATCTCCAAGCCAGCTCATGCAGAGCCCGCTGAGCTGCTCGTCGAAGAACTTGACGCCCAGCTGGTGCGCGAGAAGCGGGATGTTTTCGATAATGGCCTGTCGCACGCGCCACTGCTTGTCCTCCGCCAGCGTCATGATTGCCGGGAGCAGCGACTGCGAAAGCAGCTCAATGCCAATTACCTCATTCACTTGCTCGAGGCGAGAGATAATGTTCAAACGCACCTCTGGGAACTCGTCCTTGAGCAGCTGCAGGAACAGCGGGAGGAGCTGCTCCGTCGTCGCCTCCTTACCAAGCAAGGGCGCCAGTGCACTTACCTGCGCTGCAAAGGCACCACGAACATGCTGCGACTGGTCGTCTGCGAGCTCCTTGACCACGGGCAGCAAACGCTCAATGATCGTGGTCTGGTCCAGCAGCTTCGCGAGGCCGGGTGTCTGGCCGGCCGCAGCAGTACGTACCTCAGCCTCGGCATCACGCACAAGGTTGACAAAGGCAGGCACGAGCTCCTCATGCAGCACGTTCTCGCCCACCGTAGCCGCCAGTTTGACAAAGTTGTCAGCGGCCATGTAGCGCACACGCCAGCTCTTGTCCTGGAACACACTCGAGATAGAAGGAAGCAGTAGCTGCTGTGTCTCGGCAGGGCTCAGCGCTTCCACCATGGTCACAAGGTCCTGCACCGTAAGAAGACGAACCGAGTCCTGGTCATCCGTCGACAGGCGTTTGTAGAGCGGGAGCATATCGTGAATCACGGCCTCTTTCGGCATGTGCCTGATGAGCGCACTCATATCGCGCGCAGCTGCACGACGGACCATGGGTGTATCGTCGGTGCACAGTGCTGCAAACAGGGCATGGACTTCGGGCCGCATCGCAGCGGGCACCTTTTCATACACCGAGGCGAAGAGCAAAGCGGCACTCGTACGGGACGTGAACCATTCGCCCGACGCCAGGCGCTTGAGCAGCGGCAGGTAGGCCTCCTGCACCTGCGTTTCATTCATCAGTGCAGCAAGCTGGTTAATCGAATCGCACGCCTTCTCACGAACGACCGTCTCTTCGACGGTGGCAAGGTTTTCGAGTGGGGCCAGCAGGAGATGCGCGTACTGCGCACCACCCAGGTACTCAACGAATCCAGCACCAAGCTCCTCTGCCAGCGCCAGTAGCACTTCGTCCTCGTCGTCCAGCGACTCGTGCAGGAAGGGGATCAGCTCATCGCGAGCCCGCTCAGGGCCCAGCGCGAGCGCAATGGTAGAAAGACGGTGTATGGAGTTCAGGCGGAGGGTGACATCATCCGACTTGAGCTCGTCAATAAGAATAGCAATTGGATACAGCTGATCGTCAGCGTCCATCGTGCCACAACGTCGAGCAGGCAGCGATCGCGGTCAGACTCCAATGCGACGAGGCGCAGCGATCACAGGCCGCGTCCACCGTCGGGCGCGTTATCACGTGATATAAAGCGGCCGCCTTCGGCCATGCGTCCCTCCACTCGCCGCCCCACCCCCGCGATGGTCGCCGATGTCGGCGCCCGCGTTCGCGTTCGTGGTGACAAGCTTCGAGTATGCGCTGCACGCACCTGGCCCCCATGATACATTCAGAAGTGCCTTTGGGGACCGTGGTGTACTGTCGCGCGTGCCCGTGCTGTACGCGTTCGGCGCGCGATCACCAGGCGGCGAGCGTGTGTGTGCACATATCCACGACGTGTTCCCGTACTGCTATGTGCCCTACACGGGTACGCTCGAGCCCGGGTCTGTGTTATCTCATATTGAGCGTTTGGGAAATGCATTGAATGGAGCTCTCGCCGCTGCTCTTCTGCAGCCTGGCACGTCCATGCACCATATCGCAGCGATTCACTTGTGCAAAGGCACGCCCTTCTATGGCTACCACGAGCGGCCCCAGTACTACCTAAAAATCTCTTATACAGATCCGTCGCAGCGCCAGCGCATTGCTATGCTCCTGGAGAGCGGCAGCGTGCTGGGTCAACGCATGCAGCCGATGGAAGCGCACGTCCCGTACCACCTGCAATTCATGGTGGACTACAACGTGTTTGGCTGCGACGTACTTACATGCGACGAGGTACATATACGTACGTGTGATGGTGCAGCGCCAACACGTGAGTCCTACTGTGCCTACGAGGTGGATATCCCAGCTTGGGCTATCGCCAACCGCCGCACCGTTCGATCCTCGGCGCCCCACAACATACAAGCGGCATCTACAGAGCCAGTTATGCCTGGACTGCGCCCACTATGGGCCCAGGCACATGCGCTGCGTGCGCAGCTCGGTTTGGATGCTTCTATACCCACTTCGTCGGTGGACGACGACGCTCACCGTCGTGCCGCGTCCGACATGGTGTGGGACGCGCAGTCACGATGGGACGCGGCCTGGGACGCACGTGTGCAGCGCGACGATTCTGCAGCACAGCAGCCTCTGCATGAACTCGACACGTACGTGCTAGAGACGTTCCGCACCGTGGAGCTCTTTCATCCCGGCGGAGTCCAGCGAGTGGCGTCCGAGGATGCATCAGGGCAATCGGCCAAAATGTTCGATTTAGAGTATGCGGCATCACAAGAGGGCTCACTTGATCTGCCGCCTCGGCCGTCGGCGCCAGCACCAACCGCCGTGCCGTCATCGCAGCCCGATGAGGGCCCTAGTTCCGTGCTGTACCCGGCCAAGTCGTCACAGGAGCCATCGCCCGCCCACTGCGTAGCTGCGCCCTTGTCTGCCGAGATACGTCCGTGGCCAGCCGCGCCGCCCAGTACTGCCACACTGCAAGCAACGCTGGGCGAGTGGGGCGAGCCAGCCGTGCGGGACCAGGGCGCGCATTATTCATGCACGGCGGATGTGCCGACAGCCACCACCGGCACGGGCGGTTGTCGGCTCGTGCGGCAGAGCATGGGCCTCGATGGCCTCCCGTCGTTCTTTGGCGCGCCACATCCGAAGCGCCCTGTGGCGGTCTCGTGGTGGCAGTACAGTGCGCCGCCGCCTAGCGCGGAACAAGTACGTGCCTGGCTCGCAAGCGAGGCCGTGGAGCGTGAGACACAGCAGTCGGGCGCATCGAGTGCGATAAGCTCGTTGGACTTGGAGCCCGAGTCGCCACTGATGTCGACACTGTACTTGGAGGTAATGGCCGTGACACGTGGCGATCAGAGCCCAGATCCAGCCCATGATGCGGTGCTAGCTATTGCGTACACCCTGGATGCAGAAAAGACCGAGGAGGCATGCTCCTTGCCAGCGACCGGCGTCGTGCTGGTGCATGACGCTCCGGTGCGCCTCGGACTTGGCCCTCATGTGCGTGTCACGGCCGTGCCATCTGAAACGGCACTCCTGGCCGAGGTCGTTCGCATGGTTCGTACGTATGACCCCGAGATCCTTGCTGGCTACGATGGGCCGCGTTCCAGCTGGGCGTACCTCGTGGAGCGCGCGCGCGCCGCGGCGCTGTTCGACATGGCACAGGAGTTGGGCCGACTCGTGCGTCCTAGCGCCGCGCGTGCCGCCACGGTGTGGACGACGACGCGCGGCCTTGCGCTGCACGTCGCTGGGCGGCAGGTGCTGGATGTGTGGCGAGTGCTGCGCCGCGAAGTGGCTCTCGCACAAGACTCGCTGGAGCATGCCGTGCTGCAAGTGCTGCAGGAGCGCATGCCTGCCTACACGTCAGCGACGCTTTGCGCGTGGCTCTGCTCAGGGCGTGCGGCGGATCAGGTGCGGGCATTGCAGTACGGCATACGGCGCATCGACGCTGAGCGGCGCCTCCTCGCGGCGACCGAGGTTCTGGTGCGCACGGCTGCGCATGCACGCATGTTTGGCGTCGATTTCAGCTCCGTTCTGGCACGCGGCTCGCAGTTCCAGGTCGAAGCCGTGCTGCTGCGCCTCACAAAGCCAGCGAGCTATGTGCTGCCGTCACCGACGCGTGCGCAGGTAGGCCAGCAAAACGCACCCGAGTGCCTCCCACTCGTGCTGGAGCCACGCAGTGGTGCGTACTGGGGGCCCGTGCTCGTGCTCGACTTTCAGTCGCTGTACCCGTCGGTGATGATGGCATACAATGTGTGCTACTCAACGTGTGTGGGGCGTATTACGCCGTTCCACGGCACATACAAGCTGGGCTTCACTGAGCACGCGTCTGAGCCTGGCGTGGCAGCGCGTCTCGGACGCAACGTGCACCTGGCGCCCAACGGACTTGTATTTGTACGCCCCGAAGTGCGTGAAAGCACACTGGCACGTATGCTACGCGAGGTGCTCGCCGCGCGTGTCTTGACGAAGCAGACTATCAAGTGGCGACCGCACGACCGAGCCTTCCAGCGCCGGCAGAACGCGCAGCAGCAGGCGCTCAAACTGCTGGCGAATGTGACGTACGGCTACTGCGGTGCCAGTGCCTCGGGGCGCATGCCGTGCGTCGAGATCGCCGACGCGATCGTGCAGTATGGCCGCGAGACGCTCGAGCACGCGATGGCCGAGATCGAGCGTGAGCCAGCGTGGGATGCCGAGGTCGTCTATGGCGACACGGATAGTCTGTTTGTGCACCTCCCCGGGCGCAGCAAGGCGGAGGCTTTCCGCCTGGGTCGTGCCATGGTTGCGCGCATCACCGCAATGAATCCAGCGCCTGTGCGCCTCAGGCTTGAGAAGGTGTATTTGCCGTGTGTGCTCGTCGCCAAGAAGCGGTACGTCGGGTACCGCTTCGATGCACCGCAAGCACGTGCTGTCCTCGATGTCAAAGGCCTCGAGATGGTGCGTCGCGATGGATTCGCGGCCATGCAGCACATGCAAGAGGCATGCGTGCGCCTCCTCTTTGATACCCATGACCTGTCTGCCGTCCAGCGGTACTGCGAGCGGCAGTGGGCGAAGTTGTATGCGGGCGACGTGTCGCCCGTACACCTCCTCCTTGCCAAGGAGGTGCGCCTCGGCACGTACGCCTCGCGCGGCGCCCTCCCACCTGGCGCCGCCGTCGCCGCGCGCGCAGCGCAGCACGACCCGGCAGGTGCACCGCATCTGTACGAGCGTGTGCCGTACCTACTCGCGCAGGGTGCGCCTGGCACATGTCTCGCGGACCGGGCCATCGCACCGACAGAGCTCTTGCGCGCCGAGGCGCCACTTTTGGCCGCCGACGACTATGTGCGGCGCCGAATAATGCCAGCACTCGCGCGCATCTTCGATGTGGTAGGTGCAGATGTGCGCCGCTGGCTCGACCAGATGCCGCGTGTGCGTGCGCGATCTACGGGCCTGGCGAGCGCCGCGTGCAGTGTGTGTGGGGCGCGCGCCGCGCCGGCCGTCGGGGCGACTCGTCCCGTGTGTGTCGACTGCCAGCGGAACCCTGAGACGTCCATGTACCGCGTCGGTGCCGCGCTGTATGAGGCAGAGGCGCGGCAGCGCGCCGTGCAAGCGCTCTGCTGCGCGTGTGCCCACGATACGGAACGCCCGCCATGCGTGGCTGTATCGTGTGGGATGCTGTACGAGCGCGCCCGCACAGACCGTGACGTCGCGTCTCTTTCGGCACTGCAAAGGGCACTGGGGGCGCAGGTCGACACTGTGCCGCGCCCGCCCGACCCCTGGACATGGTAGCTCTGGTAGTGACGGCTACGAGTCTACTGAAGGATCTTCTTCTCCTTGACCTCACCGTTTTCGTCGATCTTGTACACGATCGGCACACCGGTCGAGAGCTCCGTCTTGACGATCTCCTCACCGCTCATGTGCTCGAGCGCCATGATCACAGCACGGAGCGAGTTACCGTGCGCCGTGACAAGGATCGACTTGCCTGCCTTGACGGCCGGCAGGATGTGCTCGTTAAAGTAGGGCAGCACACGGTCGGCTGTGAGCTTGAGCGACTCGCCGCCCGGCGGGGGCACATCGAACGAGCGGCGCCACACGTGCACCTGCTCCTCGCCCCACTTCTTGCGGGCGTCGTCCTTGTTCAGGCCGGTGAGCTCACCGTAGTCACGCTCGTTCAGGGCCTGGTCCTTGGTCACAGGGAGGTTCTCCTGGCCGATGGTCTTCAGCTGGATCGCAAGCGTCTTTTGCGCCCGCTGCAGCGCCGACGTGAATGCCTCGTCAAAGTGGGTGTAGCCGAACTTCTTCAGCTCCTCGGCGCCCTTAAGCGCCTCGGCCTCGCCCTGCTCCGTGAGGGCCGGGTCCTTCCAGCCAGTGAAAAGGTTCAGCTTGTTCCATTCAGACTGGCCGTGACGAGTAAGCACAAGAGTTCTGCATGGTCAGACCACCGACAACCTACCCAACCATACTGTCGAGAGAATGGGTCGGGCTGGCCGGCCACCCGAGCTTTCGGTCCGCATGGATCCACGTGCAGGTCACGAGGCACACAATTATCTGATAAATTGTGCCGCAGGCACCGCTGGGGACGACGACGATCGGCGCAGCGCAGACAAAAAAAAGACGCGCACGACTGTGGTATATCGACCTCAAAGCACCTGGAATATAGCCGCGCAGATCTGATAGATCGTTCACAATATGGTGCCCGCTCTGCAGTTGGTAGAGGTACGTCGCTCATCCTTACCACAGAACGGGCACGAAAGTGTCGCATGCGAGAGTGACCCGTCGGAAATCCTTCGGACCTGGAAACTGCTGTCGCGCCTTGAAGGATCTCTGGAGGATGCAGAACGTCTGGCTAATAAGTCGTGGCGACTCTGGCACACTCAGCAGGTCCGCGCCAGGAAGGCTCAAGTGCCGTCCTTTGAAGCGCGCCAAGAACTGGCGCCGCCGAGGCAGGTCACGCATACGCCCTCGGCGCTGTCTAAGACGGTAAGCGTGCCACCGTCCTCGACCCACGGGCATACTCTTTGGCCAGTTCACGTTGAGCCTACCCCTTCACCGCAGCCGCCTACGTTCGCCTCCGTGGTTTCGCAGGACAATGCACTCGAGCAGCACGTCTCGCCGGACATGCTGCATCTGACACCAAGTAATACACAGGTTTGTGGGATGCAGGGCTGCAGTGTTTATGCGGGAGAGGATCTACTCCTGCAGGCCCTGGGTCTATTCAATACACAACCCCCCCACGACGTGCCTTGGTCGTCTGAGAAAGCGCCTGGCACGGCACCTGCACCGCCCATGAACTACCCCAGCACGGTGCCTGCACCAGTGGCAGGCTCTTCTATGCCACAGATACCCACCGCCCAGCTGTCGTCCACGCAGCAGCTGGTCGAGCCGATGGCCGAAGCCGTGCCCGCCTCCGATCTGGACGAGAAGCCGACATGCAGCAACTGTGGTACGAATAATACGCCTCTGTGGCGCAGGAACCATCACACGTCGCTACTATGCAACGCATGTGGGCTGTACCTGAAAATTCACAAAACGCACCGTCCACTCAAGCTGCGCCGGCGACAGCAGCTCAATAACTTGAACAAAGCTCAAAACACGGAACGTGAGCGAGATATCAGTGCGGGATGTACCAACTGTGGCACCAAGGTTACGCCGCTATGGCGAAAAGGTGCCAATGGCGGTTTGCTGTGCAATGCATGTGGATTATACCAGAAGTTGCATCGCGCTGACAGGCCCGTGCGCTACCGAGCTGATGTCATTCGAAAACGCTCCCGCTATGACGGCCGGCCACGGGACAGTCTGGAAACATCCATTTCTACGGAGGACACGTCACCACAGGCGGTCAACGATGCCTCGCCGCTGACAGAGGACACGTCGATGTCGTCCTGGACATCCTCTAGCCTCCCTAGCATGACGCCGGTGCCTGAAGCGGCAGCGGAATCGTGCGAGTATGTGCAAGCAGCCCAGCATGTCCTGGAGCTCTCAAAGGAGCCCATATCCTCGCCAGCTGCGCTGGCGTGCTGCGAATCGGAGATTTGCACGGGCCCGATCCTCATGAATGACCCGCTTCAGGACCTGCATGCGTCTCAACCCTTTCAGGAGTTGGGGTCCGACACAGACATGCAAGAGTTTTTCGCACCGTCTACACAGTCTACCAAAGCTCCGTTGTGGCCTGTATGTCCGCCATAGGTACAAACCATAGCCTAGATCCCGTAGATACCCAGCCGATCCTCTGAGCGTGCTATCTGCTCCACGATTCTCCGCTGCGCCGTTGCGCGCGTCTGTGTGTTCTGCACAGCGGACGCGTGTACGCATTGGGACCGCGAACCCAGTGTGCGTCTGCCATACCAAAGTGGAGATTTGCAGCAACATGCACGCGCCGAGCTTGTGGTTGGTTAATTCGCCCAGCTGCTCCACCCTGGCGCGCGCCACCACGTGTTGGAAAGCGTACAACGCAGTTGTACGCGTAGGCCGCAGCGATCCATCCAGTTAAGCCAGGCAGAGTCCTCAGCGTGATAACCCGTGTAACGGATTCTGGGCAGCGTCTATTGTATCCGCGTGCCAGCCAGTATAGCAAGATCAGCGTGCTTCACGTGGCAGAGTTCCAATCCAACGACGCACGCCGTGATCCTACTCGACTGCGCGTTTGGCTAGTGTCCGCTTTCGCGCTGTCCTAGAACGTTGGTGTCTTGAGCTTAGGACAACGACCGCTCCCAGATACTAGACTCATCTAGGCATAGTCTGTCTGGCATGCCTCGTATCCCTGTGCGAGTGGAACCCTACAGCTCGCCTACCAAACAACATCGCCATTATAAAAGCAAGCGCGACCAGGTTCTTCGTGCACTCGGTAAGGCCGCATATATCAATGGCAGTCAGTTTGCCCTGCTCCTTGTATCAGCACGAGGCGATGTGGAAACGTACGCGAGTGAGGCTCTACAGAACCGGCTCGACCCATGGTTTGTACAGAGCGGTATTGCCCAAGAGGCCCGCGAGTTGGCACGAGGCACGCGCGCCAAAGAAGTCAAGTCAGGCACGCTAATGGACCACGACGATGTCCTACAGGATGCCGCTGTTGACTTTTCTCACGAATCGACACCGAGTATGAAGATGCCCGACGACCCCTTCATCGATACATGGGGCTCAATGGGTGCGGGTAAAGCGGACACTGACCAGGGCTGGTCGCAGCTGCTGAAGAAAGACACGGTCCCCGAGGACCCGGCGGCCGCCTATGAACATGCATCTATATCAGGTATCTGCAGCCCGGAGGTGTCGCAGGCGCCACGTATGTCGACGCCAATGCACCCGTCTACCAAACACACATCTATGCAGTCCCGGCACATGGCCGCACATGCGCCATATGCGATTGAGCTGAAGGATGAGGCCGCTCGTACGGCCTTTTTAGAGTTGCGGTTCAGTCAACTCCAGCAAGTTATGTGCAAGATGATCGCCAAGGAATGGATCAAAGTCATTGAGCCGAAAAAGCAGACCCGGTTTCCCTATAACAAAGGAGAGGCAGGTCGTCCAGGGTGGTGGCCAGCGGGTGTGCGGCACAAGGAGCCGGACCATCTGATGAAGCCAGAACGCCATGCTCTTTTACTCGCCATCTTGCGATCGACGCAGACGCGTGTCGCACGTTTGCAGCTGGCCACCGCCGAAGTGGTGGCGCTCATTAAGGCAGGCAAAGTGTCCTACCTCATGGATATTTATCGTGTCGGAAAGGAGGAAGAACGGTTACGTGATGAAGGGCTAGATACTGATACGCCTATCTCCCTCGAAGTGTCGTGCCTGGATGGCTGGGACACGAACACAAGTATGCCCAGACCCTCTGCGGACCTGGGACTATACGACAGGGAACCCAGGGACCTGCGTCGGGGGCTTGCACGCGTCGACGACGAAGAGCCTGCAGGTATGAGCGTATCGACCGCCTGGACGCCCACCGGAGCAGATCGATTCTCCCCGCGCACATCCGCGACCGCAGATCTACCGCCTACGGACCTTGCTATCCAGACACACGACTTAAATATGAACATGCGTATGCATGCCATGGACGTGCCGCATAGTTCGATGGGCCACTCACCCTTTAGCCAAGCTGCTGATCTCCCTGTCTTGTCCCCTGCGCCCATGCGGCCTGAACTCACCCGGAGCCAGTCCATCCACGCCACTAGTGCACTGGACTTCCCCATGGTGGCCAGCCCGGTCACGCAGGAGACGCCGCTTCCGATGGCTTACACCGGCAGTGGACAGGACATGCAGCGTTCCGCCTCGCTCAGCGCCGCCTCTGTATCTATGCGACCGACACGGTCGACACCCGCTCACCTACCCAATACCCCTGACCATTGGCCACTGCGTCCATCCCAACACGGTATGCCGTCGATCCATGTGGATGGTCAAATGGCAGAGCCCTCTCTCTCCATGGAGGGGCACCGCATGCCTGTAATGATGCACCCAACGTTCCAAGGGTACCACCGCCCTACCACATCGGCCACATGGGGACTTCCTGAGACGCCGATTCAGCGCCCCCATTCGGCTGTTGCCATGGGGCTGGGCATCCACATGTCGCCCGCGTCCGGCGACGTGCGTTTCTCGTCGTCCTTTGACTCGAGCTTCGCGTCCTCGCATCAAGGACCCGTGACACCAGCTCAAATGCCTACATCGGTGGCCTTACCGCCCGGCCACGCATACCCAGGTATGGCAGCGCACGGCGGATCGACGCCATTCCATGGCAATGGGATGGACCTATCTGCGCTCCCTACTAAACAGAGAGCCCATGATGAACTTCCGTTTCATCCGACTGAATGGCAGACGCATTAATCAGCAACAGTTCATGCATTTTTGTGTTTCATCTTTTGACACGAGCGCTCTAGAACAGAGCTGGTGTCGCAGTAGTGTCTATAAATGTGCCTTGTAGATGGCAAATAACACGATCGTTTTCCGAAACTACATGGCATACTTCTTCGTCCATTCACGACTGGTCTCGATAGCACTGGTGTGAGACGCATGTACATACGCCTTTTCGTTGGTCTTATAATGTTCCGCTACGTCGTTGGCAAGCGGATCGTCAGGGTTCGGGGCCGAGAGAAGGGCCTGGATCGATAGCAACACAGTGCGCACCTGAAGCGCAGGCGACCATTTATCTGCGGTAAGCAAGAGCGCACGAACCCTTTAAGATATCCAGGCAAATGCGGCCTAGCTTGTCTGCCAATGAGGATAGAGCAGCGTACCAATGTTGGGATGATAGATGCGAGTCAAGAAACGCACACGGGGTGGCGCCATCGGGTAATCCTCCGGAAGGAACAGCTCCAGTTTGAAGGAGCCGCCTAGCGAGGTTAGTTCTGTACTGCACGCACCTTCAAACGGGCTCTGTGCGGGACCCGACATGACAACATCAAAATACCGCAGATTGTCCTCATGAGGATACGCCATGATGCCCGGAGCGGGATCGGCCATGAGACGCTCCGTCTCCTACGGTGGTTAAATTCAATGCAGCTGTGCATACCTTGACAATGCGCTTCGGCAGAGCCATGGCGAAAGGTGGAAACCAACACTTGTCTCCGCAACTGGGGCGAGACACGGAAATATACGTGTACATCCAAGGTGGAGGCTACACACCGCACGGCGACCACAGCCTCCTAGCACCGGGTGCGGCGTCATGCCACCGTCGGCCTTTACATCGAGCGAGAAATCGCTCATCAAAACAGTCCTTTCCTCTTCATCGACGAAGATTATTACAGCGACACCAGCGCGTGTTTATATAGCGCATCCGACGCCTGACAAATGGTATTATGCAGGGGTGGAAGGCGCATTGGTGCTTGTGCGTGAGGGAGCCAACCTGTTCTACTTCCGTCTCGTGGACTTAAAGGTTCGTACGCTAACCGCTTATCTCTAGTCTCCAGGAAAAGTGGTCTGGGACCATGAGCTCTATGAAGACTTTTATTTCTATGAGGACAAGCCGTATTTTCACACCTTCGCCGGCGATGTGCGTCCTACGAACTCACACGCAGGAATATATGATCGGGCTGTGTTATGCAGATGAGGCGGGAGCGTCTCAACTGTACAAAAAGGTGCAAAATCGCGCGAAGTATGGTATGTCGTACATGCTTATGGACAGCCAAGTCGAGCTCCAGCTCATCGGGCTTTGGCTTTGCCAAAAAACTCACGAGTTTTATGGGATCGTCTTCGTCCAGCAACGACAAGGAGCGCGCTGCAAAAACATCGGATACTCACGATACCCCGATCAGCGAGCCACAATGGAATGGACTAGTCGAACAGCTAGGAAGCATGGGTGTCTCGGAAAGCGACATCAAAAACAACGAGGGCTTCCTGCGTGATCTGCTCGGTATGCGGGAGCGCGAGCATACCACTGCGAGTGCCAGCACGGAGAAGGAGGGCCTTGCGCCGCCTGTCACGAGCGTCGTGCCCATGCGTAATGCTCCACCGCCAGTCCCCTCCAGCGTTCCACCGTCGGGGCCCTCGGCTTTGCCCCCTGTGGCTCCACGCCCGGCTACCGCCGCTGCGCCGCCGCCGCCACCAGCGCGTCCTGGAACTGGTGCGCGTGCTCCGCCACCTGTGCCTCCGCCGCCGCCCAGCAGCGGAGGAGGCCGAGCCCCGCCACCTGTGCCTTCTCGGACTGGCGTCGCCAGCCGCGGCCCACCGCCTCCGCCGCCTGCTCGCCCTGGACTATCCACGACGGGTGGTGGTATCGGAGCGCCTCCGCCACCTCCGCCACCACCTCCAGCGCCTGCGATGGGGGCGGGTGGTCCGCCGCCTCCGCCGCCGCCGCCTCCCATGCCCGCGATGGGTGGTGGCCCGCCGCCGCCGCCGCCGCCGCCAGCGGCGCCGGCCGCTGCCGCGCCCTCCGCGCTTAATGGCATGCCTGCGCCACAGCCGGGCCGAGATGCATTGCTGGCCAGCATTCAGGGAAAGAGTGTCAAGGACCTAAAGAAAACAGACCCGAATGGGCCTCCGCCCAGGTCTGCTACCAGTGCACCAGCGGGCAGCGTAGCAGATGCACCAGCGGAATCTACGGGTGGCGCCGGCGGTGGCGACCTTGCCAGTGCTTTGGCTAGTGCCTTGAGCAAACGCAAAGGCAATATGGGGGGCTCAGATGACGAAGAAAGCGACGATGATTGGTAGACTTAGGTTTATAGTTGTCCATCAACCGTCATAACACACGTATCGGATAGAAGCAATATAGGCGTGTACGAATCAACTACATAAGCAGTTCCGGCATTCGCAAACAAAGTGCTGCGCCATCCGTAACGCGCTTTTAGAACAGCAGAGCTGCAATTTACTTCTTCTTCGAGGCCTTCTCGGCAGCCTTGGTGACCTTGCCACCCTTGCCCGAGGTCTTGTCAACCGACTTGATAACACCGACGGCCACAGTCTGGCGCATGTCACGCACAGCGAAACGACCCAGAGGGGGGTACTCGTTGAACGACTCCACACACATGGGCTTGGTGGGGATCATCTCCACCATGGCAGCGTCACCCGACTTGATGAACTTGGGGTTCTCCTCAAGCACCTTACCCGAGCGACGGTCGATCTTCTGGAGGATGTTGTTGAAGCGGCAGGCAATGTGCGCAGTGTGGCAGTCAAGCACGGGCGAGTAACCGTTGCTGATCTGACCAGGGTGGTTCATGACAATGACCTGCGCGTTGAACGAAGCAGCCTCCTGAGCGGGGTCGTTCTTCGAGTCCGAGGCAACGTTACCACGGCGAATGTCCTTAACCGAGACGTTCTTCACGTTGAAACCAACGTTGTCACCGGGGAGACCCTCAGGGAGCGACTCGTGGTGCATCTCAACCGACTTAACTTCAGTGGTGACGTTCGAGGGAGCGAAGGTCACAACCATACCGGGCTTGATCACACCGGTCTCAACACGACCGACAGGGACAGTACCGATACCACCGATCTTGTACACATCCTGCAGAGGGAGACGCAGGGGCTTGTCAGTGGGGCGGGTCGGGGGCTCGATGGCGTCGATGGCGTCCAGCAGAGTCTTACCAGTGACCTTGCCCGACTTGGTCTCCTTCTCCCAGCCCTTGTACCAAGGCATGTTGGTGGTGGCCTCGATCATGTTGTCACCGTGCCAGCCCGAGATGGGGACGAAGGCAACAGTCTTGGGGTTGAAACCGACCTTCTTGATGAAGTTCGACACTTCGCGGACAATCTCGTTGAAGCGGTCCTCCGAGTACTTGGTGGTGTCCATCTTGTTGACGGCCACAATGAGCTGACGCACACCCAGGGTGAAAGCGAGCAGAGCGTGCTCACGGGTCTGACCGTCCTTCGAGATACCAGCCTCGAACTCACCGGTACCACCGGCAATGATGAGGATAGCGCAGTCAGCCTGCGAGGTACCCGTAATCATGTTCTTGATGAAGTCACGGTGACCAGGAGCGTCAATGACGGTAACGTGGTACTTAGGGGTCTCGAACTTCCACAGAGCAATGTCGATGGTGATACCACGCTCACGCTCAGCCTTGAGCTTGTCAAGCACCCAGGCGTACTTGAACGAACCCTTACCGAGCTCAGCGGCCTCCTTCTCGAACTTCTCGACGGTACGCTTGTCGATACCACCGCACTTGTAGATAAGGTGACCAGTGGTGGTCGACTTACCCGAGTCGACGTGACCGATAACGACCAGGTTAACGTGCTGCTTCTCCTTGCCCATGATGAACTGAAAGAGTAATGAAGGTGGGAGAAAAGATGAGCTGCCCGACAGCCGGGTTCAAGTACTTTCGTTCTGGATTCTTCTGCCGAGTTTCTTTTTCTTCACTGGCCGTTTGCTTTTTTCCCACCCGTTTCCGCTGTAGATTTTGTCAGACAGGGCGAATCTCGAGAAGCGATTGGAGCATCCATGCGATCACCTGCAAAGAAGGGACATTGCTGCGCTGGCAAGGGCAGAGAGGGGCCGTTTCCTGCCAATAAAATTAGTGCTTGCATCGTGGAAAAAATCCGCTGAGTCTCCTATAACGTCACGTGTTTGAGTCATGCTTACACGTGCCTCCACTCTCCACATGAGCCACGACGGACACGCGAGTCGCACGTCCCTGCGCGGTACGACATGTGGCCAGGTGGACGACGTCCCAGCCATGCGGGGCCGCATGGAGGCCCCCCGGCGCCCCAGCCAGCGGGTCCATGGCAAGCAGGATACCCGCCCCCACCTGTGCCTATGTATGGCGCACCAGCGGCGCCGCCCAAGCAGCTACCTGTCGAGCCTGTCGCGGTCTTATCGCGACCGCATGTTTCGCTGCCGCCTGTGTCGGTGCAGCAACCTTTGCTGATGTCGACCTTTTCGTACGATGAAAATAAGATGTTGCATCTCGATGACAGTGCGAAGCGCTGGTATCGTGTCCCTCCGACGAAAGAGACGAGCGCGCAAGGTGCGGACCTGAACTATGGATTCGAGCGTTTCCAGGACAAACCCCATATCCCCGACCCGCTTGACTCGGTCCTGTATACCTTAATGTATCGGCCCAGTGCACAGCGGCCCTCCAAAGAACCTGTGATGCGGGCACCACAGGTACCCGTGGAGGCACTGGAGTCAGAGGTGCTGCGGGCGCAGATCATCACATGGCGGGGCATTATGACCAAACTTTGTACAGCCTGGAGCTGTCATGTACAGGCGCCACCCATGTTCCGCGAGGGATTTGAGCTCAACGTGATGATGGTACGTGATCCAACGCTGACGGCAGCTGGGCGATACCCTGATTATCGAGGAAGCGCCGCCGACGGTGCAGCAGGTGATGGCGATGCAAACCCGACCCAGCAAATCAAAGCAGGCTCTCCGCTCTACCTACTATGGTACGCCTTTTCTTTTAACGTGCAGGATACAGTTTTGAGTCCTACTGCACGCGCGATCGGCCAGGCCATGCGCCGGCCCAGGTGCCAAATGCGGCGAGTGTGTCGGGATGGGGCGGCGACGTGAATACAAACGTACAGTGGTGCCACATTGTCAAAACTAAGCTGGGAAGCAACCGTATCATTATGGGTGGTGAGGTGGACTGTGTGGAAACGCTGGATGCTGCGACGGACTCGGAGCGAGAAGGCACAGTAGAGCTAAAGACGAATCTGCCCGTCGTCACGCCGGAAGATCAGACGAAACTGGATATCAAGATGTTGCGTATATGTATGTGTGGGAAAACTGACGAAAGATATGCAGTCGTACCTGCTCGGGGTGCGTTCCGTTGTGATTGGGTTTCGGGACGCCCAGGGGACGCTGCTGGTAAGTCAAGCGCCATTGACCGCAGTCGCACCAAACGTATCGGACGGCGGACCTCCCGCGCCTTGTGCGGGGCCGACCCGGCCAGTGGAATCCGAACGACAACTTGGCCTATGGTGCGAATATTCTTGATTTCGTGCGGCAGCAGGTGCGGGCAGAGATGGAGCGATGGTGTCATGACTTTGCGCAGCAGGTGCGTGTGAACGAGTCCAAGTGGGGCCCGTATGCATGGCATGTGCATCGTACGACGCAGTCGTTTTTGGGGCATTTGCCGCTGCCGGCGCCGCAAGACGCAGAGCGAGACTACCCCGTATTCCGCCTGAGCTTCCGCCCGCCGTTCACAGAAGTTGTGCTGCGCCGCGTGCCTCCCGCGGAGCTCGCGATGGATGGGCGTCGGCAGCAGCGGTGCGGCCTGGTGCCGACCGAGTTTTACCGCTGGGCCACGATGCCCATGGCGGACATATTCACATGAGTTCATAGCTGTATACTACGTTCGCGACTTGGGGAGCGACGGCGTCGGGCAGCAGGTTGCGTCGCCGCACTCGTTCATGTCGCAGGCCAAGAGGCAGGCAGCCTTGCTGTCTGCCACTTCCTCCTTGACGAGATGGCCCTCGGGCGTGAGCAGATGACCGCCCTCCTCACTGCCGTCCTGGATGGCAATGCCGTTCAGGCGTGCCACCTCTTTGAGGCCGCCTGGCACAAATTCGGGCTGGATGGTCGACGAGTGGATGCCCCAGATGTGCAGGGAGCGGCGCACCTGATCGGCAATGTGCATGTACTTGGTCGACTGTTCGGCGGAGCAGTCCACAAGGACATGCAGACTCGCGACGATCTTGTTTTCGTTGAGCTGCCAAACGTGCAGCTCGTGCACGCCGAGCACGCCGTCTACGCGCAGCACGGCCTCGCGGACGCCGTCGAGTGACACCGTCGTGGGCACGCCCTGAAGCAAGATGAAGGAAGCTGACTTGACGAGAGGCAAGGCTGAGTGGAAGATGATACAAGCAATAATGAAGGAGATGAGTGGGTCCGCGTAGTAGCGCCACGAGAAGGTGGTGAAGAGGATGATCGCGCCGGTGCAGATGACGCCAAAGTTGCCGATCGCATCGCCTAAAACGTGCAGAAAGACACCAGTCATGTTCATGTTGCCGTGCGAATGACCGGACGGGCCCATGGACAGGCGGTGACGGCGCACCTGCTCCTCTGTCTCGACCTCGGCGTGGGACATGCGGCGGCGCTTGGAATGTGCGTGCGATGAGGACGGCGCCGCACCGTACGACGAGGAGGCCGCCTGCGAGTCGGACGAAAGGAGGTGCTGCTGTTCGCCAGCGGGCTTGGGCGCCTTGTCGTAGCCGAGGGAGTGGGCCTTGTTCATGACAAACGCGCGCGCCTGTGCAGGATGGCCGAATATTTCGTCGACGCTCTTGTCGTCCTCAGCGTCGTCGTCATGCTCGTGTTCGTGCGGTTCGGTGTGCTCGTGCAAGTGGTCGTGGCTGTGACCCGCCTCGACATCGTGGGCGTGGGCGTGACCTTGGCCGTGCGAGTGGCCATGGAAGAGAAACAGCCCCACAAAGTTGGATAGGAGACCGAGGCTGCCGACGATAATGACCAGTCTCGGATTGGAGACCATGGGACGAGTCACGAACCGCTCGATGGCCTCCATGAAGATGCTGAAGCACAGGGCCAGGAGAAATACACCGTTGAACAACGCACCGAGAATCTCGGCGCGCTGCCAGCCATATGAGTAGCTGGGGCTCTGGCCGCCCTTGTTGACGAGGCGGACGGCGTAGAGCGCCACAATCAGCGACATGATATCGTTCAGCATGTGGAAACTGTCCGCGATGAGCGCCAGGGAGCCGACCGCATATCCACTGATGATCTCGACGAAGAAAAAGACGATGTCGATGATCAGCAGGATCACGATCCTCGCCTCATTGTTGAGACAGCCCATGGTAGGCTGTGACACGCAGACCAGGCCCCTCCGCGTTGCCCAAAAATCGTGGAGCAGGCTGGCCGCTATGCACGACGCTGATTGGCTGGTACACCGATGCGCATCAGGACGCCAAGATGCCGAGAAATAGCGCCGCCGGCCCACAGCAAGGCGCTGCGCACCTACGAGTGTCGCGCTGTGCCTCACTCCGTCGTCCGGTCGGTCCACGGGCGGGTAGCGTGCATGGCGCTGTATCTATGGATGTATGGACACCAGGTGACAAGTCAAGCTACCGAGGCGCTTTGCAGCACAAGCTTCCTTGCCAAAGAGTGGCCTAGTCATTCTTGGACACACGCGTTGAGACGCCCGCCATGTTGTGCGGTCGCTCATGAGGTGGCGGCGTCCTTGCTCGTTAAACAATAAAGAGCGACAGCGTCCTTGTGCGCCGATTCTTCCTAGTGTCACGTGCGAGTCACGCTCACAGCGCTGCGCCGCGGCCGCTGGCGGCGTCCAGGCACTGCCGATGAGCCACTCGGTGGCGCAGGGCGGCAACTCGCGCGCGGTGCCCGACTTGCGCATCGATGCTGCACGAACTGAGGCACTCGCCGACGCCGTGCCTGCATCGCTCGCGCAGGTCCTGCGCGAGATCGGCTGGCTCCTCGTGCGCCGCGCGCAGCTCGCGAAGGAAGGGCGCCCCGTGTGCGAGTGCCTCCCGCTGCTGCAGCCCCTCGCCAAGGCATGCCGCACATATGCCGAGACGATGGAGCAGCTGCGCGATCAGCTGATGGTCGCAGACGCGGTGCTAGAGCACCTGCTCGACGGCACAGAGCCTGCGCCTGGCGCAGCGGATGCAGCGGCCGCGCCGATCGCGCCACTCGACCTGTACAGCGTCATGTCGACGCTGCCGGCCATGGGGTGGGATAGCGCGGCAGCTGAGGGCGCGGCGCCCGGTGCGCAGCCCGCGTCCGCCGCGCCAGCGCCGGATGTGCCTATGGCCTCGATCGATGCGGCGCTTGCGCAGGCCATGCCCGTCACCGCGGCGCCACGCGCTGGCACGAGTGCTTCTGATGCCATTGCCATTGACAGCGACAGCGACAGCGACAGTGATCCTGTGCAGGCCTCCGTCCAAACGGCGGCACCCGGCATGTCCGGCCCGGACCGCCAGCCCGGTGCACCGCCCGGAGACGACCTGGTGTCAGCGCTCCTGAGCGCGCCACTGCCGGCGGCGGGCGCAGCAGATGCTCCGGGGTCAAGCGCACCTGAAACGCAGGCGGCCCCACCTGAGAAGGCGTCGGCCACTGACGCACGGGGCGAGGCGTCCGCGCTCGACTTTTCGTGGCTGGACCTCGAGTCGCTCGGCGGCGCCGGCGATATGTTGGGCCTCGGCAGCGATGGGCTGCCCGAGGCGGGCGGACTGGCAGGTCTTGACCTGGGCACGCTACAGGACCTAACATGAAGCGAGCACGTCCTGCTGCACAGCGCGCAGCAGTGCTGCACTGGGGCTCGGTAGGCCGGGCGGCGCACGAGCGGCTTTCGCCTGCGCCCCGCGCACGACTGCAGCACACCCCGGCTTGTCCGGCGCTAGCAGCGTGCCGAGGTCGAGTGCCTGGATCGCGCTGAGCACCGTCGCCATGCTGACCGGCGCCGAGGACGCCGAGCGGCGGAAGAGTGAAAATGTGGAGGTACTGCGCTCGCGGTCCTGGGCCAGGTGCGTGTCGAGGCGCTGGAGCACTTGGTCGATGAGCGCCGACGAAGACGAGGGAGTGGCGAGCCTTCCTAGGCTCTCGAGCGGGGCACGCGTGCGTGCGAGCTCGTAGATGAGCCAGTGAGTGTCGGCGGGCGTCGGCAGGACGCGGTCGGAGAGCACCAGCGCGAGCGCGAGCGTGTCGAGGAGGGCGTGCGCGAGCCGCGGCAGATCGTCTGGCACGTCTGCCTGGCGCGCGGCGAGGAACTCTGCGGTGCCAAGGATCGCGCGCCACAGCGTGAGCCAGTCGTATTCAAGGTGCACGCGCTGCTGGGCGCACAGGAGCAGCGTGCGCTGCACGCACGCCAGTGCGGTGCGAAAGGCGGCGGCATCGAGGCGCTTGCGGCGGTTGTACTTGAGAAAGAGGGCCGTCTCGTCGAGCACGAGCACGATGAGTCGCCGTGGGCGCCCTGCGCCGCTCGTGGGCGGGAGCGGCAGGGGGTCAGCGCGGTCCCGACACAGCTGCACGTGCGCGAGAAGCGGCGACTCGTCGGCGAGGAGCTGTGTCTGCACGCGGCTTGGCTCGTTGTCGGTGGGACCTAGCAGCGCCAGCATGATTTGCAGGGCCGTGTGTGCATACGTCGTGGCGCGTGCGCTGCTTGCAGCGTGCGTCAGTAGGTAGGAGGCCATGGAAAAGAATGTCACGGCGAGCGGCTCGCCGGCCGGCGGGGCGAGGAGGGCCAGCGCCATGGTCTCGCTCACCTGGACCCACAGCCACAGGGCGAGGAGGAGCGCGATGCTGGGCGGCGGCAGGCCTGAGGCGGGCGGTGCGGTCGGTGCAGGCGCCGCGCCCAGCCATGCCCAGGACCAGGCGGGGCGCGCAGGCGCCGACGCGGCGTGGGCGCTGGCCTGGTACGCTTCGATGATGCGGCGCGCTTGCACGGACCACGCCTGGGCCATGCGCGCCATGTCTGGCGAGGTGGCGCAGGCGCGCACGCGACGCTGGTACGGCTGGAAGCCTGCGTCGCCGATGGTCGCAGACGACACAGGATCCACGCCCAGGCTCGCTGGGGCGTGGCCGGCGGTCGCGAGGAGCGCGGTCAGCAGCGAGGCCTCGCAGAGCAGATCAGCGCCCGTTTGGCTGTGTACGACGCTCATCGCCGCGGTAAACAGGTCGCGGTGCAGCAGGTACGTCGCGAGCGAAGACGTGCCTGTGCACGCAGTGAACACGAGCGCAAGGCGGAGTGTGGCGCGGAAGCGGCGCGCGTGCCATGCGGACGGTGGCGCGCTGTCACGGAGCGTGCGGTCGATGGCTGCCACGAGCGTGTAGAACACGTCGTCTGCATCGGCCATGCGGCCCGCGAGCAACGTCACCACGTCCAGTGTGTAGTTGGTATAGGGCTTGGGCAGCAGCGCGAGCGCGAGCGCCAGGAGGGTCTCGACGGCATGGCAGCTGCGCGCCTCGTCGTGCGGCTCCTCGTCCCAGCACCGCAGCGCCTCCTTCCACAGGCCGGTGATGTTGTCGCGCCGGCGCGCAAAGCGCTCGTCGAGGAGGTCGGTCGGCTCGAGGTCGCGGAACAGCGCCAGCACCGCCCCGTGCTCGACGTCGAGCGCGAGGAGATCGTGCAGGAAGTGCGCGCGCGGTGCTGCGTTGGATTTCTCCGACGCGCGCATGGACGGCGACTCGTCCCTGTCCCATGGATGCTCACCCGCGAGCAGGCGCTCATAGCACGCGCGGAAGCGCCCCTCGGTCATCCGGGCGGCGAGGCAAGGTGCGGGGCAGGAAAATCGGGCGATTTTCGCGTCGGGCGATCGGGTCATGAGCGACCACGACGGTGAGCGGCCCCGGGCGCGGGCGCAGTTCCGCAAGCCGCGGGTGCGCCTGAACTTCTCGCGGCATGTCGCGGGGGCCGCGGCGACGGGCGATGGGCCGAAGACGAAGCCCTACATGCAGGGCTACGACCGCGAGCTCGACAGCGAGGACGACGAGACGGGCGAGGGCATGGCCTTTGAGGAGCAGCTGATTTTGCGGGTGCCTGACGGCCCGGGCGAGAATGGCGAGCTGGACGAGCTGCGGCGCGTGATCAAGCGGCGCGGCGAGTACAACGACGTGTGGTTCAAGTTCAAGGACTCGCGCCGCGCCGTGTTCCACATTGGGCAGCAGCTCTACGCCGCCAAGCTCGTCGACCTGCCCTGCATTGTCGAGTCGCACAAGACGCTCGATAACAAGCAGATCTTCAAGATCGCGGACATTTCGCAGATGCTGCTCATTGAGCGGCCGATCGCGAGCGAGGCCGAGGCGATCGCGAGTGGCGCGACGCGCAGTTCGCACGATGACTATATCTACCCCCACGGGATCACGCCGCCGATGCAGTGGGCGCGCAAGCGGCGCTTTCGGAAGCGCATCCACAACCAGTCGATCGAGACGGTAGAAAAGGAGGTCGAGAGCCTCCTCAATGACGACAAGCGCGCCGAAAAGGTCGAGTACGAGTTTGTCGACGCACACACGGCCGACCTGATCGAGCAGGAGCTCGCGCAGCAGAAGCTGGAGCGCGCGGACGACAAAGACGACGGGGCCTCGCAGGCCGGCGGCGACGGCGACGGTCTCGACGGCGACGCCCTCGACGACGAGGAGAACGTCGACCAGGACCTAGCCGCCGAACTCGATGCGGCGCTTGCGCGGGCGCAGGGCGGTGGCGAGTCGGGCAGCGACAACGACGAGGGCTATTCGGACGACGACGACCGGCAGAGCGCGCGCGACAGCGACCTGGAGGATCTATGGGACGACGACGACGACGACGAGGCGGAGGACGAGGCGGCAGGCACGGCGCCTCTTCCCGCGGAGGGCGACGGCGCCGCGGGCGACGGCGGCGATGCGGACGCGGACGACGACGACGGCGAGGAAGAGGCCGAGCGCCGCGTGCGTGAGTCGCAGCTCGAGGCCGAGTGCCGCGAGATCGACGTGCTCGTCAAGCGGAAGCAGCACGATGTCGACAGCACGATGAATGCGCTGCTGAAGAGCCGCCACCAGCAGGCCCTGCGCAAGCTGCAGACCGAGTACGACGCCAAGAAGCGGCACCTCAGCGACATCAGGGAGCTGCGGCGCACACTGCGGGAGGAGCGCGCGGCCGAGGCGGCCGCCGCGTCCAGCAGCACGCCGAGCGGCGCCCCACCCGAGGCGGCCGAGGGCGAGCGTGAGGCGGCGCCCGAGGCGCCTGCGTCCTAATGTACATAGGCATGCTAGAGGAACTCGCGCGCGGGCGTCGTGCACACGAGCGGCTCGCGGCTGCGCGCATGGAGCGCGGCCAGCGCATGCTCGTCGCGCGAGGCATCGGCAAAGCGCAACTCGACCCAGCGCTCGGCGTCCGCGTCGCGCTGCGTCGCAGCGCCCGGCGCGCCGCCAGCGCCGCCGGCGCGTGGCGCGCCGTCCGTGCGCAGCGACACACTGAGCGGCACAACGTGGCGGCGGCCATCGCGCTGAGCGTCGCTTTCGTCGTCGGAGGCGGGCGCGCGGCGGCCCTGCTCGCTCGCCTGCGTGTGGCAGTCGACGTGCTGCATGGACGGGCGCATCTGCTGCACGGCGTGCAGCGGCACCAGGTGCAGCTCGCCGTTCTGCACGGTGCCGATCATGTACTGCGTCGCGCGCGGCACCGTCGCGCTCTCGAGGCAGATGCAGTCGAAGCGCAGCGGCGCCTCGGTGCCGCGCTCCTGCTTCACGGCGGCGGCGCCGGGCACGCCGATGCGGCCCATCGATGCGCAGCTCTCGGCCAGCTCAGCCCCGCGCTCCTGGTTGTACACGGCCTCGCGCATGTCGAGCGGGAGCTCCATCTCGACGCGGTCGCTCCGCGGCCGCCACCGCGCCGTGACCCTTTGCCCACGCTGCGCAGCCGTCACCGGCACGGGCAGCGGGCGCCCCCGCGCGTACAGCGGGTACTGGAACAGCTCAAGCTGCGCACTGGATGGTAGCGACGCCGAGAGGAACACGGGCAGCGACACGGCCGGCGCCGTCTCGTCGCGCGCCGTTGCCATCAGGGAAGGAGGCAAGCCACGCGCCTCCATCACGTGGCCAGCGTCGGTCCGGGCGGGCCGCGGCTTTCCCTCCCCCATGTTCGCCAAGCTCGCCTCGACGACTGCTGTGCGCGCTGTGCCGCGCATCTTTGCCTCGCGCGCTGCGCCGATCGCTGTTGCGACGGCTGCGGGTGTCGCTGGTGCCTCGCTGTTCGCTGCGCCGCGCGTGCAGCTCGAGGGCCCGCGCACCATCGCCGGTGAGTACAAGACCGCTGGCGAGCGCAGCTTCATCATGATCAAGCCGGACGGCGTGAGCCGCCAGCTGGTCGGCAAGATCATTGACCGCTTCGAGTCGCGCGGCTACAAGCTCGTCGCGATCAAGTCGGTCGTGCCGTCGGAGGAGCTCGCGCGCGAGCACTACGCGGACCTCGCCGCGCGCCCCTTCTTCCCGTCGCTCGTCCAGTACATCACGCAGGGCACGCCCGTGATTGCGATGGTCTGGGAAGGCAAGGACGTCATCCGCCAGGGCCGCCGCATGGTCGGCGCGACGAACCCGCTCGAGGCGGACCCTGGCTCGGTGCGTGGCCAGTACGCTGTGAGCGTCGGCCGCAACATCATCCATGCCTCGGACGGCTTTGACTCGGCGACCAAGGAGATTGGCCTCTGGTTCCACGAGAAGGAGCTCGCTGCATACGAGCCGATCACCTGGTCGCAGGTCATGGCCGACAACTAAGTAGCTACGTCCACCAGCGCCATCTTCGTGCGTGCACGCTGCGTGTTTTTGTCTTTTTCCACGCCGATCTCGACCGTGCACCGATCAAAGATGCCCAGCGTCACGTCGCGCGCGAGGCCTGACAGCGCGGCGGGTATCGTGACGCGGTACTCGTCCGCCTCCAGCGCACACTCCCCACGGAAGGTGATCAGCCCCTCCAGGCCGTACTGGCTCACAAACACCGCGACGCCGTTGCGGAACGTGCGCACGACATAGGCATGCGCACGCAGCAGCGTGCCGGTGCCGCGGCCCACGTCCATCGCGTCCGCGCCGTGCTCCGCATTGCGTGCGCGGATCGCGAGGCCCACGTAAAACTCGACCGACGCTCGGCCGGCCATCTGCGCGAGGCGGTGCCGTTTGTTCACATTCTCGAGCACATGCTCCACCCACGCCTTGCTGTGCAGCTCCGGCGGCAGCGGCTCGTACTCGATCGCCGCCGCCAGCTGGCGGTGCGCAAGCACGTCCGCGTACCGCCGGATCGGCGACGTAAAGTGCGTGTACATGTCCATCGCCAGCCCGTAGTGCCTGAACGCCGTGCGCGCCACGCTCCCCGTGCAAAAGTACTCGGCAGACAACATGCACCGCGTCGCAAGGATACGCACGAGCGTGTTGAACGCGGGATCCCGCGCGTCCACACACTTGTCGAGCGAGTGCGCCAGCGCGCCGGAGGATGACACATCCAGCACCATCCCGCGCCGCTTGCGCAAAATGTCCTGCAGCGTCTCAAAGTTGTCCGACGGCGGCGCGGCGTGCCGGCGCAGCACGCCCGTCGTAGGGAACGCCTCGTAGATCCGCCGCGCCACACTCGTGTTCGCGAGGAGCATAAACTCCTCCACCAGGCTGTTCGTCTCGAAGAGCGCCTTCTGCTCCACATCCACCGGCGCACTCGACTCGGCACTCGGCATGTGGATGCGCACCTCGGGGCTCGCGAGGTTCAGCGCACCATGCTCCATGCGTGTGCGGCGCAGCTGGATCGCCAGGTCGTTCAGCAGGCGCACACTCGTCGTGATCGCGTCCGTGCACTTGGGGTCGTCCTTGCGCCGCTGCGCCTCCTCGTACGTGAAGGCCGCTTGACTCGCAATCACCGACTTGAAAAAGCGCACATTGACAATCTGGGCGTCCGGCGTGAGCTCCCACACCACACTGAACGCCAGGCGCTCCACATGGGGGCGCAGCGAGCACAGGTTCGTGCCCAGGAGGTGCGGCAGCATATCAATGCGCCGGTCGACCAGGTACACGGTCGTGCCGCGCGACGCCGCCTCGGCGTCCATCGGCGTGTCGGGCCGCACAAAGTGCGACACGTCTGCAATATGCACGCCCGCCTCAATATGCCCGTTCGGCAGGCGCTTTGCGTGCAGCGCATCGTCAATGTCCTGGCACCCCGGCGGGTCAATACTGCAGATGACCTCCCCACGCAGATCCACACGGTCGCGCCAGATCGAGGTGCTGCGAGCATCGTGCGCATTCGCGGGCGGCACCGTCCACGCATCGCCCTCCGCTGGGAGACACGCAAGAATGGCCTGGCTGAACGGCCGGTACGGCACATCGTACTCGAGCAGCAGGCTCTCCTGCTCGGCCGCCTGGCTTTCAATCGCACCCAGCGAGCGCACAAAGTGGCCCTCGGGGTACCGCGACGTACTCGGCCAGTCGTCCAGCGCCACGAGAATCTTGCAGCCCAGCAGCGCGCGCGCGTTGCGCGTGCGCAGGCGGATACGGGGTATCTTGCGGTCGACTGGCGATGCAAACAGCGTCTGCGCGCCGAGCGTCGCGAGCTCACTTTCGTTGACAGACGCCGCATCGATGTGGGCGACGTACGAGCGCCAGTTCCGCCGCGCAACGCCGACGATGCGGCCCGTTGGCTGCCGCTCCGCCCCCGAGACGGGCAGTTCTTCGTGCGTGAGTACTGGCGCAGCCTCCTCGTCCTCACTGTCGTGCTCGCGCGCATCATCATTCCGCTGCGCAGCCTCAGCATCGCGCACTTCGTCCGAGGCGCCTTTCCACTCGCTCTCGGGCAGCAGCGCCACGTACACGACGTCGCCATCGACGGCACGGTTCATTGACTCGCGCCCCTGCAGTAGCACTGGCTTGGCGAGCGCCTCGACGCGCACCGAGCCTTCGAGGAAGTTGTATGCATTCGCCTGGAAAAAGCCGCGGTGCAGCGTGCCGGCACGCACGCCGGCCTCCAGCTGCTCTGTCGGCCAGTAGTCGTCAAACACACGTCCGTGTGCGGCGGGCGTGTCGAGAGCGCGCGCAGAGAGCAAGTCCTCGAGCTGCTCCGCCTCGCGGAAGCCTGTGATGTACTCGCGCACACTGACGGCCGGAACGCGGTCCATACGAGCCTTGTGCACATTATCCACGTCGTCGCTCAGCAGGAGCACAGATTGCACATGCCCCTTACCGAGATGCGAGCGCAGGTGCGCCGCGTACCACGCCGTGGCCTGCCGGATCGCGCGGTCGTTGCAGTTGTTCGGGGACTCGCCGGCCTCACGTACCACGTGTGTGGCGGCGTGGAACTCATTATAGAAGAGCCAGAAGCGGCGGTCAGGGTCCATGAGCAGCGTGCGCAGGCGGTTGTACAACGGCATGCTCCGATGGCGCACCTCGTTTGCCACCGTCTGGAGCACAATCACATCTGTGAACACAGCCGACTCAAGCACGTCCATCTGGTGCAGCACCACGTTCGTGTCTACAACCACATAATGCTTCTCTGGCAGGTACGAGTTGGCAATGCCCTGCTCGCTGAGCACCGCCCGGGGTGTGCCCGGCTCACTGAGCAGCGCGCAGGCGTCGCACGCCACACACCCGCATGGCACATCTTCGCGCTGGTACGTCTCCTGCAGCACCTTGAGCACTTTTCCGCGCGCCGTTTTCCGGCGGAACTGCACGCGTGACGCGGCGATCTCCGCATCGGTGCGCGGCCGCTTCTGGATCGAGATCGCCATCGTGCGAGCGGTGAAGAGACCTCCACACGACAACCGCCAGGCGCTGCGCTCGATCCTGGTTGGCTCACACGTGACATGACGTGATTGCCGTGGCGTTCATCCTTCCTCCTGCGCCTCGGCTAGTCACGTCGACGAAGGTTGCTCTCACAATACGATGAGCGAGTCGTCCGTGCAGGCCGTGTGGCATGTGGTTCGCAATACAGTGCGTGCCGCTGTGACGGTCAAGACCAACGAGACGCTCGTGCCGACCGATGCGCCGGCTTCGCTGCAGCTCGAGTCGGTGAATGCAAGTGCCGACGTCGGCTCTGTCGTGCACAGCCTCCTGCGCTCAGAGCCCCACGCAGCCGCGGCTGTCCTGCTCGAAGCGAGCCCGTCGACACTCTTGCGCCTCGTGCCGCACCTCCCCGCACTGGCCAAGTCGCCTGTGGTCTTCCACATCAAGACGCATGGTCAGCATGCGGATGTACTCCTACTGCGTCAGAGTGGCTGTGCGATGCTCTATTCGAGCACCGCCGCGGACGCAGAGGCGCATGCGCTCGTCGCACACCAGCTCGCGGCGCGCACGCACACCGGCGTCATCCACTTTTTCGACGAAGGCGCGCCGACCTCGCTGGCCGCTGCCAGTGCCCTGCAGGCAGCTGTGCCGGCTGAGGCTACATTGGCCACGCTGGACGAGGCTGTGCTGGATGAGGCCTTTGCCGAGGCGTCGCGCATCCTTGGCCGCGAGGTCGTGCCGTACCGCGTGTACGGCACAGACGACGCCGAGGCCATGGCGGTGGTGCTCGGTGGCGGCGCAGAGGCGCTGGCTGACAGCGCTGGCGTGCGCGTTGCTGAGCTGCACCTCGTGCGCCCGCTGCTGCCTGCGCGCATCGTGGCCCTTGTGCCTACATCGGTGCAGCGTATAGCGGTGCTGGAGCAGACGCCGCAGCGCTCGACGCGCCTGGCGCCCGTGTTTGTGGATGTGGCAAGTGCGTTCCAGCACGCTCCATCGCGTGCGGCGCCGCAGCTCGTGAGTGGTCAGCTAGGCACGGTGGATACCAACGCCGGTGCGGTGCTGAAGGAGGCGCTCCTGGCCGAGTCGCTCCCGTCGTCGCTTACGATCGGTGCGCCGCGTGCGGCTGACGCGCCGCGTGCCGTCGTACCCGTGTCCCAGCCGCCTACGCACGAGCATGCATACCATATTATGCTGGAGCAGCTCTTCCATGGGCGCCTGCAGGTGGTGAATGCGCCGCGCGAGACGACCGACCCGGCGTCGCTGAGCCCCGAGTACGCTCTGGGCCAAGTACTGGCGCAGCTGCGCAAGGCTGACGAGGCAGTGCGTGTGGCTGAGCGTCTCGTCTCTTCGGCGCCTGCGCCACTCGCCGAGGCGCTGCGTTCGTGGCTCTCTGTGCGTGCGGATGGTGCACGTGCGGCGGCGGCGGCGGCCGATGTCCAGGCGGAGCTGCGTCACGCGAGTAGCGCGGACGCTGAGGCGCTGCGTGCCCTCGCCCCTGTCTCGCGCTGGATTGTTGGCAGCGATGCATGGGCGTACGACACGGGCATGGGTGGTCTACACCATGTGATGTCGTCGCAGCGCAACGTGAACATGCTTATCTTTGATACGGTGCCGTACTCGAAGCGCAACGAAGTTCCGCTGCACCAGCGCAAGAAGGACATTGGCCTGTACGCAATGAACTACGGTGGCGTGTTTGTGGCGAGCACGGCGCTGTACTCGGACTACACGCAGATGGTTCAGGCGCTAATGGAGGCGGACCGCTTTGACGGTCCGTCGATTGTGCTGGCGCATGTGCCGTACGATGGAGCTGAGACGCCGGCGCTGGAGGTGCTGCGTGAGACGAAGCTAGCCGTGGACTCGGGTTACTGGCCACTGTACCGCTGGAACCCATCGGCGGCGGACGGCCAGGTGTTCCGTCTCGACAGTGTGCGTGTGCGTCAACAGCTACAAGACTTTTTAGACCGCCACAACCACCTGACGCTGCTGGCCAACGAGCGTCCTGCGCTGCCGTACGACCTGACTGTGTCACAAGGTGTGGCGCTGCGTGAGAAGCAGCGCCAAAAGGCGAAGGAAGCGTATGACCAGCTGCTTGGCGCGCTGGAGGGCCCGCCGCTGCTGGTGCTCTATGCGTCTGACAATGGTAATGCCGCCAAGGTCGCGCAGCGCCTGACGACGCGCGCCAAGCTCCGCGGTCTGGGTGCGCGCGTGCTGACCATGGACGACTATCCGCTGGACGAGCTGGCGAACGAGCCGAATGTGGTGTTTGTCACGTCAACGGCTGGACAAGGTGAGCCGCCGCAGAATGGTCGCTTGATGATGAAGGCGCTGGCGAAGCAGCCTGCCGGTCTGCTGACTGAGGCGACGCGCTTTGCCGTGTTTGGTATGGGCGACTCGCACTACTGGCCGCGCCCCGAGGATGCGCACTTTTACAACAAGCCAGGCAAGGACCTCTACAAGCGTCTTACGGAGTTGGGTGCGAGCCCTCTTGTGGCGCTTGGTCTGGGTGACGACCAGGATGCCGACGGATGGCAGACCGGCTACAAGGTGTGGGAGCCGCAGCTGTGGAAGGCGCTCGGCGTCGACTCGGTCACTGTCACTGAGGCGGAGCCGGAGCCGATCACGAACGAGCACATCAAGATTGCCTCGAATTACTTGCGGGGTACGATTGTGCAGGGTCTCGCCGACGAGAGCACGGGCGCGATCGCCGAGACGGACACGCAGCTGACCAAGTTCCACGGCACGTACCTGCAGTACGACCGCGACACGGTGGATGAGCGCAAGGCGGCGGGTCTGGAGCCCGCGTACGGCTTCATGGTGCGTGTGCGTATGCCGGCGGGTGTATGCACGCCCGAGCAATGGCTGCAGCTGGACCAGGTCGTGGAGGAGTATGGCGGCATCAAGTCGCTGAAGATCACGACGCGCCAGACTGTGCAGTACCACATGATCCTCAAGCGTCACATGAAAGCGGCGATGCAGGGCATCAACAAGAGCCTGTTCGACACGATCGCCGCGTGCGGTGACGTGAACCGCAATGTGATGTGCTCGCCGAACCCCCAGCTTAGCGAGGTGCACGAAGCGATGTATGAGTTCTCCAAGCGCCTGTCCGACTTTTTGCTGCCCCGCATGAACGCATACCACGAGATCTGGCTCGACAAGGGCACGGACAGCTCGAGCCAACTGCTGGTTGGCGGTGCGGTGCAGGACTATGAGCCGCTGTACGGCCCGTACTACCTGCCGCGCAAGTTCAAAATTGCTGTGGCGCTGCCGCCGCGCAATGACGTCGACGTGTTTGCGCACGACATTGGTCTGATTGCCATCGCGGACGAGACAACCAAGGAGCTGCTCGGATTTAACGTCGCGATTGGTGGTGGTATGGGTGTGACGCACTCGATGAAGGCGACCTACCCCCGCCTGGGCAGCGTGATTGGTTTTGTCAAAGTCGAGGACGCGTACGAAGTGTGCCGCCAGGTGCTCCTCATCCAGCGCGACACGGGCAACCGCCAGAACCGCAAGCAGGCGCGTCTGAAGTATACGATCGACAAGTACTGGGGCGGTGCCGACAAGTTCTGCGCCGAGCTCGAGCGCCGCCTGGGATACAAGCTGGAGGCGGCGCGTCCCTTCCACTTTGACACCAACACGGACGAGTATGGCTGGAAGAAGGACTACCGCGGACGCTGGCACTGCACGCTGTGGCTCGAGAACGGTCGTGTGATCGACGAGCCGGGTCGTCCGTTCCGTACGGGCCTGCGTGAACTGGCGCGCATCCACCGCGGTGTGTTCCGCCTCACGCCGAACCAGCACATCATCGTGTCGGATGTGGACGAGGCGGACAAGCCGCGCATCGAGGCGCACCTGCGTGAGTACAACATGGAGAATTGGGAGCATACGGGTCTGCGCCTGAGTGCAAGCGCGTGTGTCGCGTTCCCCACGTGTGGTCTTGCGATGGCCGAGTCGGAGCGCTACATTTTCAAGCTCGTCGACAAGATCGAGCGCATCTACCTCGCCAACGGTCTCAAGCACGACGAAATCACTATGCGTATGACGGGATGCCCTAATGGTTGCGCGCGTCCGTGGGTCGCCGAGATTGCGTTTGTCGGCAAGGCGCCCGGTACCTACGTGATGTGCCTGGGTGGCAGCCACTCGGGCGACCGCCTGAACAAAATCTTCCGCGAGAGCGTCGGCGAGAAGGAGATCCTCGAAATTATGGAAGTGCTGATTCCTCGCTATGCACGCGAGCGCCTCGAGGGCGAGCGCTTTGGCGACTGGGTGATCCGTGCTGGCATCATTGCCGCTACGACGCACGGCGCCGCCTTTTACGACAACGTCGATACGACGCGCCCGCTCGTGTCTGCCGCGTGATCGTTCGTAGTTCTTATGCATGCCAACCGCGATCCGCAGTCTGCCGCGTGCCGGTCTACGATTGCATTCAAATAGACCAATCACATACTCGTACGGCATCTGGCAACCTCCACGACAACTAGTTTCTACTGTTGTTGCGGGGGAACGCGTCGGGGTCGCGGGCGCCTTTTGCTTCTTTTACGGACTAGACGGTTACCCAGCTAAACCACCTTTCCGCTGCTAGAACGTACGCCTTTCATTCGTTTCATGCGTTGTCTCTCCTTTCTTTTCGCAGTGGGAGCTTTGGCATCGCTGGGCGTCTGCGCTCAGACCGTCGTACGGACACCCGCGTTCAATGTCACCAACCTGCCTGACCACTGGCAGCGTGGCCAGACGGGTACGAACGCCTGCGGCAGGTTTGGCGCCTCGAGTCCCAAATCCTCGTGCCAGAACATTTTCGTAAACTCGGTGGATGACTTTTGTCTCTATGCCCCCCCCAGCAAGAACAAGACGGTAGGCGACTCGGAGCAGATCATGGTCGCTTACTGCACAAAGGCCGGCTACGGCACACGTCTTATCCCTGATGACACTCTCACTGGCGTGCACTTTCTGCGCACCAACTCGTTTGTGCAAGTTACCGGGCGCGGAAACATGACCAAGATTAATATCCGCAAGGGCGACGATGGCGGCGAGCTGGATCCCCACGGCTATAATGGCCTTGGCAACCCGATCGGCGGTCTTGTATGGACCCGCAGCGCGGCGAACCATTCAGGCGAGTGGACGCAGATCAAGGAGTGGAACCAGTTTATCAGCGATACCGACTTTAGCCTCCGTGCATGCTGGGGCCCGAATGCAACACAGTACTGTCCCCACATTTACGACGAGATGGGCTCATACTTTAACGAGCCAGGAGATTATCGTAAGCACTCATTTGACGAATGTGATGGCGATGCTGGGCAGTTCCCTGGCGTCTATGGCACATCTACCTTCTGGCAAGGCCAGTCTCACACGCCCGATCCTCATCCGCCTGGCGCTACATCAAACTGCCACACGTTTTCCTCGGTGCATAATGGGATCGCCCGCTCTCCTCTGTTTAGTGCGCATGTTCAGTCGCGCCGCATGTCTTTCCCCTCGCATACCCTGTAAAGTCATCTTACGCTCCGTCCCTCCTGATTTAGCCTCTGTCTTTTCGCATAATAGTTTCTTACTGCACGTGTTGATACTTCCACGTGGTCAGGTCACGGTACCTGCCCAAATCATGTCTGCGCTCTCTGTACTGAACCCGAGTAAAGCGGCCAATCACGTCGCCTGCGGGGACAAGTGATCCGTGCAGGCCTCCCAGAATTGAGGAGTCTCTTGCTCTGTCTTCTTCGACCATGACAGATAACGCGCTGCTTTCGCAGATTCTGGCAGGCATATCAGAGTTGCGTCGCGAAGTTTCGCGCGTGAGTGACCGCCTCGACTCGCTCGACCGCGAGCCTGGCACGCCCACGTACCCTCTCTTCTCGCCCAGTGTGTCTCCTGGCAAGCGCCTCAGCTACGCGTCGTACCAGTCGTCGCTGAACAGCTGGGCACCTGAGAATACACGCACGGTTGCGCCGCAGCCTGCGACGCTCCTACAAAAGCCGCCTGTGTCATTGAAGGCGACGGACCCCTCGCTGGGTCTCTGGGTCGTGGTGCCTGCCGGTGGTGCGGGTACGCGGCTGTGGCCGCTTAGTCGTCAGAGCTGCCCCAAGTTCCTGCTCGACCTCACAGGTGGTGGCCGCACCCTCATCCAGAATACGTGGGACCGTCTGCTGCCCCTCTCAGGCGTAGACAAGTTTATGGTCGTCACTGGCAATGCACATGTCGATGCCGTCTCCGAGCAGCTGCCGCAGCTTGTCCCCTCTAACGTGTTTGCGGAGCCGTCTCCGAAGGAATCAATGGCCGCCATCGGTCTTGCTGCGGCCGTGTTGCTGCGCCGCGATCCCGAGGCTGTCCTTGGCTCATTCGCGGCCGATCACATTGTGTCGGGACAGGATGCGTTCCAGTCGGCGGTGCGTGAGGCCGTGGTGGTGGCTCGCGAGGGATTCCTCGTCACGATTGGCATTGCGCCCTCATACCCGTCGACGGGCTTTGGCTATATCAAGCTAGGCGACAACCTCGAGCTGAACGATGCGCCGAACGCACACCGCGTGCTTGAGTTCAAGGAGAAGCCCGACGCGCGCACGGCCAGCGCCTACTTGTCTACTGGCGAGTACCGCTGGAACGGCGGTATGTTTGTTGTTAAGGCGAAGACGCTTATGTCACTGCTCGAGGCGAATGTGCCCGAGCTGTACGCGGGTCTGAACACCATCGCCGATGCGTGGGACCAGCCGAGCCGCTCGATTGTGCTCAAGGAGGTGTGGCCGACGCTCCCCAAGATTGCGATCGACCACGCCGTGGCGGAGCCTGCGTCGCGCGTCGGCAAAGTCGCGGTCGTTCCGGCTACGTTCGGCTGGGACGATGTCGGTGACTTTGCATCTCTCTCGGACCTCATTCCCGCCGAGAAGAACGAAGCGCGTGTGCTTGGCGACCCCTCGCTCGTGGTGACCGAGGGCCAGGTCGGTGGCATTGTTGTCCCTGCGTCGGGCCGCAAAATCGCCTGCTTGGGTATGGACGACGTGGTCGTGGTCGACACGCCGGATGCGCTGCTCGTTACTACGCGTGCGCGCAGCCAGGACGTGAAGAAGATCGTCGCCAAGTGCAAGAAGTCGAACCCTGAGCTGTGCTAGAGCGTAGGATACCTATAGACCCTACTGGTATCGCGGTTGCGCATTATCCTTGGCGCTACTGTTAGTACTTTGCACGCACCTGCTTATGCTTAGCATTCCTGCTGCAAATGACATAAAGACGACCCTTGCGGCGCACGATCGCACAGTAGCTGCACAACTTCTTCACGGAAGAGCGCACCTTCATGCCGCGGGCCATCGTCGGAAGCGGGGGGGGAGGCACAGCAACACGTGGTGTCGCCTGCATAGGCAGGGCCATCGAAGGCATCATCGCACGCGCCGGCACGGCAGCCTGGCGCAGGGCCGGAGCCAGCGTGCGGAGCAACATGGTAACAGAGCGACAGACGGCACGGCTCGAGAAGACGAAGTTGGCACGTGATCGAAACCCTCCCTGCTGCTCTCCCACGCTGCGTCGCTGGTCGATGGCGCCGGGGCTCGCGGCATGGGGCATCACGACCTCTGAGCAGCTTATCCAGCTACTTAAACAGAACAAGAAGGGAGAAAATACGCTCCCAGGCTCAAAGATCCAGATTCTCCAGAGCGCGTGGGCTGACGATCACGTCTATGTGCCGAAAAAAGCGGAACTCCTGCTCGACTGTGCGCTCGAGCTGGTACTTGCTAGCACGCGCACGCCACACTCTGAGTCGACGCCCAAGTTCCTTGACAGTGCATACTGGGCATTCCTCGGCACGCTGCTCGCCTCGGCGCATCTCGACGAAGAGCACTTGCACAGCGCCGTGGCAAAGCACAATGTCTTTGCGCTAGTGGCGGCCCTCGGCCCGCGCATTTCGTCGGACTTGTGGCACGATGTATGCCCAGTGCTCACAGTGGTCCTTCCGGTGGCCATCCGACGCATTGGCGCTGGCCAAGTCGACACGGTCAATGCGTGCTTCCGCGATCTCTTGCAGGCCATGCCGACGGTCAGCGAGCCACGCCACTGGCCCGCGACGCGGCGCCTCTGGGATGCCATATGCATGCGCTGGTCGCCACTCTTGGAACTCGGCGCGAATGCAAAGAAAACAGCGCGCTTTTTTGTCGCGGAGTCGCTCCTGCCCTGGGCGCACGCGTTTGCCGCCTTGGCCGACCACGATTCGGACGAGGCCTCGGCTCTGCGCGATGCACTAGGCGTGGTGGCTGCGCGCTCGCTCAGTGGCGCACCTGCTCTTGGTGCACAGGCGGGCCCCACGCTGCCCGAGTCGGTCGAGAGCCTTGTGCCTGCGGTGACCGAAGCGCTGACCGGGCCCGACGCACCGGCGATGCTGCCGGCCATCCCCGCTCTACTCGAATATCTCGTGGAAAGCGCACATCGCCGCAATTCTGTGCAGGCACCCCCGCTGCCGATCCGGCAACAGGCGCTCGACCGGTTTTTGGCGCCTATCTGCACGTCGCTCCTTGCACGGCCAGACAGCCTCACAGTACTGTGGCACCTCGTGCAGCAAATTGAGCGCCTGCGGCTGTACCAACCAGGCGGCGATGACCATGACGCATGGCTGGCCCTATGGACGCGCCTACAGAGTCACACGCTCTCTGTGCTCGACACTGCGTCAGAGGCGGAGACGCGTCGCGTGTGCTTCGACATGAGCACGTCGCTCTGGCACAGGGAAGCAGGTCTTGTACGGCCTGCACTCCCCTATATTCTTGCCCGCGCTGTGCCTCTGCGCGACGACGATGTGGCATGGCCTGCAGCTCTGGCGTTTGTACACACGCTCTTGCACGATATGGCGCAAGAGCGCCGCATGCCTGAGCTGCTATCCATCCTGCGTGCGACTATGGCGCGCGTGTGTGATACAGGACCTGAGGATGTCGGCGCGCGGCTCGTGCACAGTCCCGTGCTATGCACGCCCACAACGCTGCTTTGGCGCAAGCAACTTACCCAGCACGTGTCGGCCGCGCAGTCGGAGCCCATGTGGCACGATGCGCTGGCTGATGCGCAGCGGCACATGTCGCCACCGACGCCCCAGCTTGCATGCGCGCTGCACGTCCTGCTCCTACTCGCACAAACGCGGCCCATAGTGGCCGAGGTTGCGCATCTCGTGGCGACTTGCCTCGACCTCGGCGTCGAGGCGTATGTGCGCGGTCAGGCACCGACCCAGCAGCGCCTCCTAGCTGGTGCACTGCGTCTGCACACAGCCCTTACGGTCCAGGGCGCGTCTGTACCGCCACTGCCCCTGGACGCGCTGTGTCGCTTGCTCGGAACGGATAGTACGCTCCCCGAGGTACGTGTGGAAGTGGTCCGTGCCCTGTGCTGCCATGCAGAGCGTACCCAGACGCTTCCGCCCATGCCCAAGCTGCCCGACCTTGTACGTGCCGGCCTCGAAGGGCACACTGTCGAACCCTGGGACGGCCAGGTATGGGGTCTGACGGCGCATGCGCAGGAACCTGTCGCGCTATGGCGCCTCCTCACGACGCGCTGGGCGCCTGTTGTGGATGCCCATGCTCCTGAGACCTTGCTCAACGACCTCGCCGTGATCTTCACGGCCACGCTTGCACCCAGCGCCCCGTCACTGCTCGCCAAGCTCAGCGTGCAGGCGCTCCACGACGCGCACTTTCTGGAGCTTCCGCGGTGGCGCCACGCGCTCATGGCCCCACTGGCAGCTGCACTGGACGTCTCGTCAACAGCGCCAAGTGCCGTGCGGCTGCTTGCCTGTGTGCCGACCGAGTATGTCGGTCGCGACGCAGTGCACGCGATCGCGCCGGGGCTTTGGCGGCTGACACGCCGCGCGACGCCGGATCTTATCGGGACTGACGCGGCGCTCCTCCGTCTCCTGCGCCGCTGGCTGCACGCCTACGCCCCCGCCGCAGCGCCGCCCTTTTCGCTGGCAGCCTACCTGGATACCCTAGTGCAGTGGCCCAGCCTCCCACACTCAGTGTCAGAGCGCGCTGCTTTTCTGACCAGCAGCATGCAGCTGGTTGATGCACTCCTCTCCCATGCGCCGGCGGCAGTGTGTGTGCCAGACGTGCTGGCCGTCCTGCAGCGTGCTCCGGCCGGCTGGGGCGCGACTGTGGCGTTGCATGCGCGATCGCAGCTTCTGCGCTGGGCCGCTGCAACGCATCCGCCGTGGGCCACCGAACTTGTCCCTGAGACCACCGCGCTGGGCGAGGCGGTCGAACAGGCTGTGGCGCCGCTCACGCACAGCGCACGCGTAGCCACAGATGCTGGCAATCTCGCATGCACACTTGATGTGGTCGCTGCGCAGCTCGAGCTCCGCGCGCCTAGTGCGCCGTCGCTTGAGCCTGTACTGCCATGCGTGTTGACGCGCCTCGAGTCCCTCACGTTCGCCGTGCGTGCTGGCGAGATTCCCGCCGCTCCCACACGCCCCCTCGCCACGAGCCTCCTTCAAGTGCTTGTTGCACTCGGCCCGCATGTGGCGCCTGCCTCGCGATACGTGGGACTAGGTGTAGCTTTAGCCCAGCTGCTTCGCACGTTTCCCACAAACGACCATTTCTCGGCGATCTGGGTCGCGCAGGTCGCTCGCATGAACCCGGACGACTATGAACGCACGCTGCACGCGCTCAGCTCGGCTCTTGAGCCGGGCACGGCGTGCAAGCCGCCCGAGTGCGCGGCGCTCTTGCAGGTGCTAAGTCTGCTCCTCCAGCACGGCGCACCTGGCACGGGACGCCCGGCGCGCATGCACTTTTCCGCGCTGCTCGTGCGCTTGGCCGTGCTCCTTCCCGACATGCCTACAATCACGCTCGCGGCCGTCCAGCTGTTGGAGCATGTGTGCCAGAACCGTGCGCGGATGCTGCGTGCACCCGATGTGCCGCGACTGTTGGCGCTATTGGGTCAGGTCGTAGGCGCACGCTCGTCGCCACCTAGCGCCGCGGACGCCTCGGCCATCTACCAGAGCGTGTGCGCGACACTTCGCGCCCTCGTGCGGCAGCGCAAGGATCTCGTGCGGCCGTGCCTGCCCCACCTGACGGACCTAATTGCGCGTCTGTGCCTGCTGCTCTCGAGCTTTGTGCGGGCGCATACCGGCGAGGCGCTCGTGCGTGAGATCGCCGCAGCGCTACCAGCATGGCTGGACGTGGCTGCTGCACCGCTCACTAGCAGCGAGGCGCGCGCACTCGCGCGTTTGCTCTCTGAGCTGGGAGCCAAGACGAGCACAGCGGCGCCGGCTGCGAAGCGTGCGCGCCTCTCGCACGCCACCACCGAGTCGCTGCGCAAGCCCTTGTCGAAATATGCCGTCTACATGCTGCTGGCCTATGTGCGAAGTGCTACAATGCCATACACAACCATCGCCGCGGCGCTGCGGACCGAGCTGCAGCCGGGCCTCTTTGTGCTGTGCGATGTGTGCGGCGAGCATGAGCGGGATGCCGCTTTGAAGCATGCGCTCGATGCAAGTGGCCAGGTGGTGTTCCAGGCCCTCTGGGCCGATTGGGAGCGCCAACGATACAAGGGCACCTAATTAAATTGATGTGCGGGCGGCCGTTTCAACGCGCAGCGTCAGCATGAGCAGGCCCGCCACGAGGAACAGTGTCGCCGATGTGTAGATGGGCGGGTCCGTCGACGTTGTGTAGATGTAAATGAGCGTCGCGACGATACCCATTAGACGGTTAAGCATGGCTGCGATGCCGTCCGCCGTGCCGCGCAGCGGTGCAGGGAACGACTCGGGCGTATAGCAGTACAGCACACCATACATGATGTTCTCGAAAAAGTTCGTCACCGAGAAGAAGGCCAGCTGCCCATTCGCATTGGCACCCACACCCGTAAAGCCAAACAGGAACACACCCGAGAGCAGCGTACCAATGGCCATAGCGCCGCGTCGGCCTGAGCGCGGCCACGTCACCATCCACGCGCCAATCACACTGCCGGGCACACCACACACGGATATAATCACATAGTTGCGGTACGTCTTAGACAAGGAAGTGTCACCCGACGAGCCAAGGTACGCCACGATGAACGAGTTGAACAGGGGGTATGCAAGACCAATGAGTAGCCACAGGAACCAGGTCATGCTTGTTGTGTATCCGAGCGCCCAAGATGAGAATAACGGCTTGATCTGATGGTATAGAGATACGTGCTTGGCATGGTGGACATTTTCACGCACCTCCGTGAACCAGTTCTTACAACGCGCCACGAGTCCTTTGGGCTTTTCGGGCACCTCCTCGTACTCGTCTGCGGGCGGCTCACCGGCAGCCTCGCGAAGCGAAGCCACGGTCAACATGCCTTCTGGCAGCGGCTTGCCGCACAAGGCTGCAAATTTGTGCATCGCACGTACAGCCTGCGCATCGCGGCCATTGGCCAGGTAATACTTGGGACTCTCCGGTAGGGGGAACACAATAAACCGAACAAAGAAGCAGAAGAGCGTGTAAGCGCCGGTCGTGAAGACGACATAGCGCCAGCCGAGATTCAGTTCGAGCCATCCTTGTGAATTGTACAGGTTGCCGCAGTCCTCGTGCGTAGCACAGTTCCAGCCAGAAATGAAGCCCCAACCAATCAGCGAGGTAACGAGCTGGCCGAGAGACCACGACACGGACAGGAGCGTCAGTAAGTACTGGTGGCTACCTGGCAAGAACTCGAGGAAGAGCATACCGTCCACGGGCAGGCTACCACCAATGCCAAAGGAGGCTATGCCAAAAAGGCTCGCCAGCGCTGCAAACGACTTAGCACCGCCAGCCGCGATACCGAACACACCGCAAAGCAGGAGTGTAATGTTGAACGAAGGGCGGCGCCCGATAACGTCCGCGAGGTAGCCCCAGAATATAGAACCGACCACCGTACCGGCAAACATCGACAGGGTCAGAAATGCCGACTTGTGTGGCTGCTGCTCCAGCTCCTGAGCCGTGAAGAACTCGGCTCTCACTTGTGGCAGAATCAATGCGACCAGCTGAAGCCATGCATTGTCGACGAACCAGCCCATGCCGGCGACGACGAGGAGCCACCACTGCCAGGCATTCATGCCGATATGTTCGTTGATAATCTTGTTGAACACATAGACCTTGCGCGTGTACACCTCATCGACGGCGGCGACTTCGACATGTGAATGGCGGAGAGTCTCGGTGCCAGCATCCTCCGTCTTTTCAATGTCCTTAGGCCCTTCCACGTCCACGACCTTGGTATCGACGCCCGTCGCCATCGTGAGCCGGACTTAAGGTTATCACGCAAGTGATTGCCAACGTAGGCAAAACTCGCACGCACACGACATGCATACGATTGGTCAAGGAAGCGACGTTTCCCCACACCCGCAGCAGCTCAGCACTCGACTACCCTTTTTCTAATCACGTCAGTCCCAGAAGAACTGTGCCCAGAGCCACGAGGCCCAGAAATGAATCTATTGCGTTTATGACAAATCACCTAGCAGGGTATTATAGTGCTGTTCTGGCCGCTGTTTCCACACGTAGCGTGAGCATAAGCAGCGCACAAACGATAAAAAGACTGGCTGACACGTAAATAGGGGCCGAGGCATTATCGCCACCGTAGATATAGATGATGGAGGCAAACAGACCAAAGAGACGGTTGAGACTGGAGCCCACACCATCCGCAGCACCACGTAGCGGTGCGGGGAACGTCTCGGGAGTGTAGCAGAACAGTACTCCGTACATGATATTTTGCGTGAAGGAGACCACCGAGCTGAACGCAAGTTGAGAATCAGAGCTACCGCCCGCACCGGTGAAACCAAACAGGAAAACACCTGTCAGTAGCGTACCAAATGCCATTGCACCGCGTCGGCCACTGCGGGGTAAATCCACCAACCAGGCCGCCAGCAGCGAACCTGGAATACCACACACAGAGACAATTACGTAGTCGCGGTAGACCCTATTTTCAGGCTTCGAATCCCCGCCTAGGTACAACAGGATAAACGAATTGAAAAGAGGGTAGGCGAGACCAATAAGCGCCCAGAGTGCCCAGATCACAGCAGTCGTATATCCTAGTGCCCAACTTGAGAAGAGCGGCTTGAGATGGCCAAAAGGATTGTGAGAGTGCGAAGTTGTAACGTTTGTGATAAAGTCCTTGTACATGAACTGGAGCCTGCCTATCATGCTTGGCTTCATCGTCTCTTCCATGGTCACCTCCGTCATGTCGACATCTTGGCCTGCTGCGCTGCGCAACGTAGCCACCGTTAGCATGCCCTCTGGTAGTGGCTTGCCGCACATCTGTGCAAGCTTGTGCATTGCGACGACTGCATCTGCATCGCGTCCTTTGGAGATCAAGAACTTTGGGCTTTCCGGAATTCGGAAGATGAAAAAGCGTGCAATGAAGCACAGCAGCGTATAGGCACCGGTAGTGAAAAGGACATAGCGCCAACCAACATTGTGCGTGCGCCAGCCGCTGCCATTAAACTCGTAGCAGTTGGTGTCATGGCATGTCCACTTAGGGATGAAGCCCCAGGCGATTAGCGATGTAACCAGCTGACCCAGGGGCCAGAAGACAGACAGCAGCGTAAGAAGTTGCTGCCGAGCGCCAGGAAGGAACTCGAGAAAGAGCATTCCATCGACGGGCAGACTCCCTCCAATGCCAAAGCCGGTACACGCTAGCAGAGAACCCAGCGCCACAAAGCTCTTTGCTCCGCCAGCCGCGACGCCAAATACACCACAAATCAATAGTGTCGCGTTGAATGAGAATCGACGTCCCACGATATCGGCCGCGTAGCCCCAGAATGCCGCACCAAAAATTAGACCCATGTACAAAGCCGTATTCAGGAACGCCGTGTTCCGGCTCGACTCATCCTCCGGGTGAAATTCCTTGTATGCAGATGTGAGAATGACGGCAACCAACTGGAGCCAAGCATTGTCCAGGAACCAGCCCACACCCGATACAAGCAACAGGCCATACTGCCACCAAGTCATACCGATGTGCTCGTTCATGATCTTGTTCATGATGTACACCTTACGCTGATAGATCTCGTCGACCGCCGAGGCTTCCACATGCGAGAAGCCAGGGAGGTGATCCTCTTCCAATGCAAGCTCTTTTTCCTTGCGTCCTTGGAGCGCATCGACATGGATAGCATCAACATGTTGCACCTCCATGTCCGGCTCTTGCTTACTGGGCGGTGGGGATACGTCCGCCGTTTTGGCCTTTGACGTGAAGAAGCGCATGCTGGAATAAAGGCAGGCAAAGCGCGTGGGGAAAAAAGATCTTAAGAATGCGCAGCAAAATTCTAAAAATAAAAGATTTGACAAGAGTGGGATTCGAACCCACGCCTCAGGGAGACTGCGATTTTATTGTTTAGGTATTGCCGAAGCAAGCCTGAACACAGCGCCTTGGACCGCTCGGCCATCTTGCCCTTCCATACTGATCAAATTTCTGGGACAGGCTACATAACACCTGGCATGTACGCACGAACGACAAAAAGATGTGACAAGAGTGGGATTCGAACCCACGCCTCAGGGAGACTGCGATTTTATTGTTTAGGTATTGCCGAAGCAAGCCTGAACACAGCGCCTTAGACCACTCGGCCATCTTGCCTTCTGATGGTGGTACCTCGTCTGAATTGAGCTTATACAAACAAGAGGGGTAATTTACATAGCGCCTGAATCAGCATATGCGTTAGGACAAACTGTCCCAGAAGTCTACATTCTCCTCTCTGCGTCTTTGGACTTGTCTTGTCCCGCTTGGAAGATGATAGGCAATTGTTGAGCTTTTGTGAGTGGTTCTGTACAATTTGGCTTCGTCCACATGGATGGGGGCTAGCGGCGGTGGCATTCTGCTCAAGATGGGTGAAGGTGTGCCTTCCATATGTGTATGCACCATTTCCCTCTCGTAAGGAAGCGCTTCATTATACTGCCCATCGGCTTCGTATGGAACATCATGTGCATTTGGGTGACTGGGGTGGGCAGATGCGACATAGGATGGGGGGGTACTTTGCACATGAGGCCACGACGCGGGCCTGCCCAATGATTCTGTGTAGAATCGTGGTGGAAGTGGCTCTTCGTCGTCTCTTGTATAGCCAACGTGGCGCAGGGTCGGCCGTGGGAGCATGTACGCCCAGGGGTGCCGTGTCCCATACACATGGCGCGGCGCCATACGCATCTGCCTATTACTGTACAAGGTAGGAAGGTCCACCTGTGCAAGCAGGTCTGTCTCGGACATGTCAGTTTCGATAAAAAGACCAATGCCATGGTTATTCGCGGATCTCGGCGCTCCATACATGTTTGGCCAGGCAGTCCACGATTGTGTGCATGTGGAGACGCGTCGGGCCCCGCGTGAGACTGCCGCGCTCCCTCAGGGCCACGAAGCACAGGCGGGGATGGATGACTCGGCTGCACTGCTAGCGCGGTTTTCCTCCCGCCTGGATCCTAGCTTGATACTGGCCATCTCGCAGGAGCCTGGGCAGACTATGGAACAGGCAGTAGCGATTCTCGAGGAGCTAGCCGCTGCTGTTCCCGCCGATATGGTCTCTGATGAGTGGGAGTCGCGGGGGGATACGTCCCTGCTTTTTTTGCAGCAGACGTTCCCTGAAAAGCCAATGGATGTTCTGGAGCTAGCACTAAAGGATTCCCATGGCGACGTAGACATGGCAATGGATGGTCTGCTCGCCCAGGAGATGCTGGAGGCGGAGGCGGAGGCGGAGGCGTCGACTCCCTCGAATAGCGGCCGGGGCCTTGACCTGGAAGCGCTCTCTGCTGGACTCGCCTCAAAAAAGCCCAAGGCAAAGAAAGGCAAGGATAAAAAGGGCCGCGGTCCCGTTACTGTGAGTCTGACCGATCAGCGCAGCCCCCATCATATCCTGTACGCGTCACGAGCGGCACCCAAGCCGGCAGCACCGGTCGTGGTGGACACGGCCGGGCTGAACGACGAGGAGATCGCACGGAGACTTCAGAACGCTGAGCGCGATGCGGCTGAGGCATCAAGTGTGCCTGTCGCCGACCAGCAGTGGCTCCTGGCGTCTTCGTCGCTCTCACAGCTGGCCGTCTTGTTGGGCATGCCGTCATCCCAGGTCCAGCGCCTGTTCAATCAAGCCTCGTTCAACCTGCCAATCGCTATGGGCCGTGCCATCCAGCTGGCTGCATCGGACCCCGCGGCCGATGCTCTCGCCAGCACGCCAGACTTTCAGACAGCGTGCGACACGTTGGCTGCGATCACGGAGCGAGATGTGTGGCATATCGAGCGTCTGTTGCGTGCTACAAGGGGCCATCAGGATGCGGCGCTGGATCTGCTACAGCTGGAAGACGTGGTGAATGAGGCGGCTGATGGTCTGGGCGCCCGACCCGACATTCTGGACCCGAGTGGGCTGCTCCCAACGAATGGCCCGAGTGCGGAGCGCACCACTGCGGCCGTATCGCAGCGGATGAAGGTGACGGGCGGTGCACCTAGGTGGCTATCGAGTGACAGCGGGTCGTACGCCGGCCGTGCGTCGCTCGCGCCCACTCCTGCCGCAGGTGCCCAGCGTGCGCAAGCAGCGATGCAGGCCGGGCAAGCCGCCACTGTGCTGCCTGCTTCTGCGGGGCAGGTCGATGTGCTGGCGGGCCATACCGAGGACGATACGCCATATTCCCGCGAAGAGAGCTTGCGCCGCGCTGCCGATGCGCGCGCGCTGCGTGATGCTGCCCTGCAGCAGGCGGCGCGCTGCGCGCGGCAGTCACGGAGCACAGGTGTAGGCGGTGCTGCGATGGTCTATGCCGCAGAAGCGCGGAAGCACGACGCGACGGCGAGGCGCTGGCAGCTGCGGGCAGCGTCAGCTCTCGTCGAGCAGCGGAGCTTCGAGGCGGGCACGGGCGCGCCCTCGAGCGACGCGCCCACGCGCATTGATCTGCATGGCCTGACCGTGCACGAGTCGCTCACGGTCGTCGCGCAGAGCGTGGCGCGGTGGCAAAGCATGCCGCTGGGCGAGGCGCGCGTGCGATCTCCGCTCGAGATTGTGACGGGGCGCGGCATGCACAGCCGCCACTACCAGTCTGTGATCCGACCGGCGATTGTGCGCTACCTCACGCAGCGGGGCTTCAGCGTAGATGCGACGTCGGATGCGGGGGTCCTGTATGTCAAGGCCAAGCGCACCTAGCCAACACCTGCACGGCCAGGGCGACCCTCGTTGCCTTGCGTGGAGGAGACTTTGTGATAGGCTGTCTAGGGTTCATCGGGTGAAGGCCGCGTAGCTCATCGGGCCTGCATAGCCTGCCCCCGAGGCGAGACGCTGCGTGGCGCTTGTTCTCCGTTGGGTGTGGACATTGGCTGTAGCGCTGTCCTGCGTGGCCCTCCAGCTTTGTGAGCGTTTGGTCATTGTATGCACGCTGCGCGTGCACAACACTGACTGGGTGTAGCAGAGTGCGCCATGGAGGGTCCCGACCTTAGTGATTTGGACCTGCAGCGCGAGGTGCAAGTACTTCGTGCGCACCGGCGCTTGTCTGCGAGCCACCTCGCCGTTATTGATCCCGACTTTCCGGGTCTCACATCCTCCCCTTCCCCAGCGTATGAGGAGTCCCTCGATTCCTCCCTCAGTGCTTCGCCCGCGTCGTCCGCCGCTTCTACGAGCGCGTCGCCGCCACGCACCCCCGAGGCAGCGAGCGAGCCGTTCGATGCCAGTCGCTTCCAGGATGCATCGCCGATCTTTGGATCGTCACAACGCCAGCGGTACCTCGCGCGGCGGCAGATGCGCCTGGCCCAAGCGCCTCCCGGCACGTCGCAGCCCCTGCCCAAACCCTCCGCGCGCGTCGCGTCCGGCCCCAGCGATGAGCTGTGGGTCTCTGCCTCTATCCACCCCGAGGTCAGTCCATCCGAGTTTCGCACGTTTCTGCGCGAGCAGGCGGAGAAGAATGTGAGCCTGCATCCCACCGAACCTGTGGCGTCTCAGGACCTGGCCGCACGATACCTGGCGCGCTCGGCGTCGCTCACTCGCCGAGGCAGCTCGCTGCGGAGGCAGGTCAAGGGCGATGAACGCGAGACGCCCGACAAGGAGACGCCTGCACCTGAGCCGGCTGCGGCAGACGCTGCGGCCGCGTCCCCGATACCCCCCGCGCCGCCCAGCACAGACACGGCGATAGACAGGGCGCACTGGCAGCGGGCGCGCTCCATACCCCCCCGGCAGGTACGCGAGTCGCCGCGCTCGCACCGCAAGCCGCCGCCAGCGATCCCGCCATCGCTCGCGGCGACGCCAGAGACACCGTCGCGCTACGTGGCGCCGGTGAGCCCCGGTGGGCGCGCGCGAACGCACTCTGCGCCGCCATTGATGCCCGCCGCGCCTAGCCCGGCTGTGCAGATAGGCGAGCCGCGGAGTGGCTCGCCGCGTCCGATCCCGCCGGAGCCCAAGCTCACGCCTGCGGAGCTACGTGCGATGCTGCCGCAGAAAGGCGACCTTCCGCGCTTACCCCCGGATGCATCGAGCCCAGCGACGGCAGCACCGCCCGAGCGCCTGAGGCGACCGCTCCCCGATGTGCGGCAGGCAGCGGCGCGCCCTGAGCCGGAGCGCAGCGAGAGCCCCCGGCCACTCCCACGTGTGCCCTCGGAGCTCGACACGCCGCAACGGCGGAGCGAGGAGGTGCGAACCTCTCGCACCTTCGATGAACCGGCACGACCGCCAGCGTCACGAGACCGAAAGACGTTTGGGCTTTCGTGGTTCGGGCTGTCCAAGGACGACGACGATCTCAAGGCGCGGCGGAAAGAGCGAGAGCGCACCGACGACGAGACGCCGAGCACGCCTCGGCGCGAGAAGGAGACATTCCTTACCAACTTGTTTGGGAAGCGTCGGAATCTGGACTCGTACGACCTGCGGCTCCGCGCGCGGAACCTCTTTTCCACGTCGTCGAGCAGCAGCGCCGCGTCGGCGCCAAATGCGATGGACGTGCGCTACCCTCCCGCGACGGAGCGCACGCTGTATCGAATCTCACACATGAAACTCTCGAATCCGCGGCGCCCGCTGCAGCAGCAGGTGATCATATCGAATCTTATGTTCTGGTATCTCTCCGTGATTCACTCGTCGCTGGCGCGCCCCGCGCACGGGCCGTCTAGCACGGAGCGCCACGGTCTCGGCCCGAGCGACTATGACGAGCGCGTTCGGCGGGCCCAACCCGGCACCGCTCCTGTGGCCGTGCACACGGGCACCCTGCTACGCACCGTACCGCGCTACGGCGTGGCTCCTACGATGGTCGGGCTGTATGGGGCACCTGCGTCGCCGCCCACCTGGGCTATGGCGCCTGACGTGCAGCACACGTCGATGTGGCCACCTGCGTGGAGCGAGGCCCCGTCCGCGCCTGATACACCCCATGGACAGACCGTCGACGATGTGCATGTGCACTATGCGACGCCCGCGCCAAGTGCCCAGCCGATCGTGCCGCTGCCGCGCACTGCGCGAGGCCCCCTACCGCCTGTGCCGGCGGTGAACGGGCCGCGTCCTGCGCGACACAGCCACCTGGACCAGCATCTTGAGCAGGTGCAAGCGCAGGCGCTCTCGACGCAGCGCGCCCTGCGGCATGCGCGCAGCTCGCCGAACCTGAGCCGCGGCGCGGCGCGGCCCCCGATGCATAGATCCCATGCACCATAGATCCTCGGTCTTTCTTCGCCGCGTCTTTCTTCGTGCGACGATGGGCGCGACTACGCTCACCGGCATTGTTACGAAAGCGGGAGTGATGGCGAAGACGGTCACCATGACCGTAGCCAAGACCAAGACGCACCCCAAGCTGCTCAAGGTGCGCTTGCGCGACTCACACAGACGTATGTGCGGCACACGAAGTACCTCGTGCACGACCCCGACAACTCGCTGTCGATTGGCGAGCACATCCGTGCGCAGGCATGCCGTCCACTGTCCGCGCGCAAGCGCTTCGTCGTGGTCGAGCGCCTCGGCTTCCAGAACGCGCCGATGCACGACGAGCCCGAGTCGTCACAGGCCCTGCACCGCGCCAAAACAGAGGCGGCCATGTCCGCCGCGCAGCGTGAGTGGATCAAGATCGAGCAGCGCGTGAAGAACGAGTCCAAGGCGCGCGTGTAGCGGCAGCCCTTTCGTAGATACCCGACCTGGCCTGGCGCTCGGCCCGCGCTCGGCCTCTGGGCCGGCGTGGAGGTGCGTTTCTTCCCCCACACGATGAGCGAGGCTCCTGCCCCCCCCGCCGGCGCCGCGCGCGCGGCACGCGCGCCGATCGCGACGATGCCCAGGCTCGCCATGGTCGAGCGTGTGTATGCGCAGCTGCGCCGCATGCCCGAGTCGAAGACGCTCGCGCACCTCGTGCGCTTCCTCGGCACCTGGAGCGGCTCTGACAAGGTGTGTTTGTCTCACTCACGCAGTTCTTTATGATCGCGCAGTACGGCACCGGGCTCTTGGTCGCGCTTCTGCTGGGCTGGCAGCGCCTGCGTGCGCGCCGCGGCCCCTCTGCGCTCGTGGCGAGCCTGCGTGCGATCAATGGCCTGACGGCGGATGCGCGCATCCTCTTCCGTATCTGGGCCCTGCTGCCCATGCTCCAGTGGATGGTCCGCCTCGAGCGTGCCCCGCCGCCCACGCGCAACCTGCAGTTTATCGAGCGTCTGCAGGCGCTGTCCATGGTCGTGTACTCGCCCATGGAGGCTGTTGCGTACCTTGCGATGCACAAGATCCTCCCGGTGACCGACGCTGTGCAAAATTGGCTGTGGCTCTACGGTTGCCGCCTGTGGGCCGCGTACGTCGTGCTCGACTTTTGGCATATTATCGAGGACCACCGCGTGCTGCGCTCGAATGCCCGCGCCCTCGAGCAGAGCCGTGGCCACCCCAGTCCCGCCGAGTCAGAGAAGGGCATGTCCGACGAACAGCGCGAGACGCGCCGCCTGTGGACGGGCCTGCGCGAGCGCAAGCGCATGCTGCTCACGCAGTTCTGGGTCAACGTCGGCTACCTCCCGCTCACTGTGCACTGGTCGGTCGAGGGCGGCCTCCTTACGGAGGGCTGGGTCGGCTTCTTCGGCACGATCGCGGCGTTTGCAAGCACGCGCCTGCAGTGGAAGGCGACAGCGTAGCTATGTAGACATTGCAGCTTTTACGCGCATTATTAGCTCGTCAATGCTCGGGCGCGCCGCCGGATCGCGCGCAAGGCACTGCGAAATGAGTGTGCGGACCGCGTCCGAGTATGGATCGTCGGCCGGCCAGCTGTACGCGCCATTCGAAATGGCCAGCGCCAGCGAGCCGCCCTGCTCGGTCGTGGACGGCGTCTCGAACGGCGAGTGCAGGTACGCCATCGCATACAGCGTGCAGCCCAGCGACCAGATATCGACCTGCTCCGTGAGCTCCGTGTCTGTCTGCACATCGAACAGCTCGGGCGCGCGGTACGGCATGCTAGAGCGCTCCGCCGCGACGTCCTGCGCGGCGACGGCATCGCGGCGCGTACGGATCGGCACACGCGCGCGAATCGTGCTCCCAAAGTCCATGAGCAGCACCGACTCGCCATCCTCCGCAAGTAGCAGGTTGCTGCGTCAGTAGCGCAACGTACGCAGGCTTGATATCGCGGTGTGCATACGGCACCACCTCCCCGGGCCCGTCCGTGCTGCGCGCCTGCATCGGCGCAGCCATCGGGTACGCCTCGGCGTCGAACAAGAGCGCCGTATCGTCGCGGGTCACGTCCGGCGCCTCAACAGAGACGTGCGGCAGCGTGTATCTGTGCAAGGCACGCACACCCTCACATGCACCCAGGAACAGGCGCAGCATGCGCGCCTCGTCGAAGCGCGTGCCGCGCACGGCATGCGCGTGGATCTCGTCTTGCAGGTGGCCACGCGGCATGTACGGCAGCACCAGGTACACGAGCTTGCTCGTCCGCAGGCTCTCCTCGTCGTGCGCAGGCACCTGCCCCAGTATCAGCGACGCACCACGACCATCGTCCTGCACGACCGCAGCATCGACAAGCGGGAGCGTGTGCGGCCCGCGGAAGCGGCGCATCGCCTCGATCTCCGCGAGCGCCTCGCGTACCGACTCGGGGCCATGCTGGCACCGTATCTGCATTAGCAGGAGGCGCATACCTTTTTAAGTGCGTACAGCTCATGCGTGCGTGCATCGCGCACCAAATACACCATACTGAATCCACCCTCGCCGAGCAGACGCACAATCTCGTACGCTGTGCCATTCACATGCACAACGGACGAGCCAGACGCATGCGATAGGCACTGCCACAGAGCATACCATGCATCCTGTACATACAGCGTGGCCTGGCCCAGCACCTGCTGCATGGCATCAGGGAGCATCTCGCACGACCACGTCGTCGTGGCACGACTCGCCGCGCCGGGTCGGTGATGTGGAGGCTCCTCTTGCGCGCGCGTCGATGGCAGCAGGGCCCAGCACAGTGAAGCGTCATGCGCACGAGCTCGCCGTCGACCGCGACGGCAAGCGGCACATCACCGAGCCGCCGTCAGGGTCCGCATCTCCGGCTCCCGAGGCACCGGAGCGCATGTACTGCGTGTGCCGCCAGAGCTACGGTACGCCCGCCGGCTAACCGCAGACGATGAGCGTGTGATGATCGCGTGCGACTACTGCGACGAATGGTACCACGCCTCCTGCATCCAGATCAGCGAGGACAGCCTTGCTTTGATCGACACGTTCGTGTGCCCTCGCTGCGAGACAAGTACGTCTGACGGCCTGACACCAGCGGTGCCCCACCGCACCTCGTACAAGGTGCCGTGCCACCACGTCGGCTGCAACGAGCCGGCTCGCCTGCCCATGTCGCGCTACTGCTCGGACCGCTGCGGTATCGCCGAGGTGCTCGAACGCATCGAGCAGCTGCCGTACGCACGCACAGCCGCTGAGCGCGCGCGTCTGGCTCCCAAGACAACGGCCAGTGAGCCGACGCGCGGCCTCGTTCTCTGGGCACAGCCGGACCTGGCGACGCCCTCGCCGGACGTGGATGGCGCGGATAGCGCGTGGTTTGCGCACATTCGTGCGCACGTCACGCGCGGTGCGCAGCTCGCTCCCGCACTCGAGCCCGGTACGAGTCTCAGGGCGTACGTACGTGAACACGCGACGCGGCTGGATCTGTCGTCGTATGACTTGGCGCGCTGGACGCGCGAGCTTGCGCGCCTCGATGAGCAGTCGGCCGTGCTGCATGCACGTGTCGACTTGCTGGCCGCGCGCAGCAAGCTGCTACAGGCTGCCGAGGACCGGCAGTCGACACTTCCGGCCGTCGACGACAACGGCGCCAGCTGCCCGCCGTGTGGCTTTGACGAGCGCCTGTGTTGGGACGACGAGGCGCTCCTTGCATGGCTTGGCACGCCGGAAGGACAGGCATGCATCGGCGAGTCACGCACGGTGCCGTCGCCGGGTCCGGCGACAGCCACTCTCTGCCTCGTCGCCAAGCGGAGGTGCAAGCGACACGCCGACTGGTCGGCTGTACGTGGCGCCGAGCTCGACTTGCTGCGCGACGCACAGACGCAGCACCTGAGCGCCCTCTCGGAGCGCGCGCAGCAAGTGCGCCTCGCGATGCAGCATGCATAGACTACAGAACGAGACGCGCCACAGCGCCGCCCCAGCCGACGACGCCGGCGCCGACGAGGAACGCGGCCCAGCGCGGCTGACCGAGACGACCCCAACGCAGGCGCCTCGCCTCTACAAGCAGTGCGGTGCCAACGCACGCAAGCGCACCGGCGCCGGTGAGGCGGCATGCAAGGCACGGCTCGGTGGGCTCCGTGACGCTGTGCACGACCCACTGTGCGTTAGAATCGCTCCGTTCCATCTACGGTCCGGACGGTGCGGGCCCGGCCTGCTCAGACGACGCGCACCTTCTTGTCGTCGGCCACCGGCGTGACCTCCTTCGCCACGTCCTTGCTCGACTCGACGATCTTGTCCTTCAGGTCCTGCGTCTTGGCCTGCAGCTGGCCGACCTGCTTCTCAAATGCCTCCTTGCCCTGCTGGCTCAGTTCCGTAAAGCGCTCGTGTGCGGCCGTGCGGAAGTCCGACGTCTGGTCGACTGCGTTCGCAGCCTTCTCGCGCGCATCGCCGAACAGCTCGCCCACACGCTGCTGCAGCGCACCAAAGCGGGTGTCGGGCACCTCGCGCGTGCCTGTCGGCAAGAGGCGCACACCCGGCACCGACACAGGGTTGAACGAGCGCTCACAGTCCGTGTAGCCGGCACCCAGACCAAAGCCCGTGCCGAGCCACACTGGCCACGACCGCCGGCGGAGGAACAGCACCGAGAGCACCACACCCGCGCTGAAGCCAATGCCGGTCTTAACAATGGCGTTGCTCAGGCACAGGTCCATCTATAGTCAGCGTTTCACACGCACCTTCTTGTTAAGCACATCCTCACTCGCGAGGCGGCCTGGCGCCTTGTCGCTGCCACTCATGCTGGTTGTGGGAACCGCGTCCGCCGGCCGCGCTCGTCGTGCCGCCTGCCCCGGCCGGTCGGGCCCGTGCATCACGTGCTGTGGAGGCCCTCCGCCGACTCACGCGTGCTTCTCGGCTCATGGCGCCGCGCGCCGCGCCAGCGGATCATGAACGGGTGGCATGCCCTAACTGCGGCATCAATCTCCCCTTTGCGGTGATGAACGAGCACCTGGACCGGTGTCTTTCACACACACCCTCTCCTGAAAAAAAACGCGCACCGCCGACGAGTCCGCCCAGGCCCGCTAAGACGCCACGCGTCGGCGCATCGCGCCCATTTGCAGAGCGCATGCGGCCACAGGCGCTCGATGAGTATGTCGGTCAGACAGAAATTGTAAAAGGGACACTGCTAGGTCTGCTTCGCAAGGGCCAGATTCCGTCGATGGTCCTCTGGGGCCCGCCCGGCTCTGGCAAAACGACCCTCGCCCGCATCGTGACTCGGGAGGCAAACGGTACGCGCGCGCCCCCGCCGTACCGCTTTGTCGAAATGTCTGCAACGACGGCTACGGTAAATGATGTGAAGCGCGTGATCGATGAGGCAGTTCACCGACAACAGCTGACCGCGCAGAAAACTGTCCTCTTCATCGATGAGATCCAACGATTTAATCGCGCGCAGCAGGACCTGTTCTTGCCAGCGCTTGAGCGTGGACACATTACGCTGCTGGCGGCGACAACTGAGAACCCATCGTTCCGCCTTCAAAGTGCCTTGCTCTCGCGCCTGCGCGTCGTCGTTCTCGCCAAGCTCAGCGACGACGACTGCTTCGCTGTGCTACACACAGCTCTGAAGCGCGTGCGGTGTGGTGAAGACGATGTCCTCGAAGCCGGCTCATACGACTGGATCGACGAGACGCTGCTTCGCTGGATGGCACACATGGCCGACGGCGATGCACGCGCTGCTTTGCACATGCTCGAGCTGACCCTCGCCGCTGGCGATGATGCACGCGATACACCACGTCTCAAGGCCTCGCTACGTCGTACAGCGCAAGCATACGGTGCGTACCTACCGCTTACGCAGACCGCGCTGGCGACGCTCACTATGATACCATCAGTGCGCTTCATGTATGTCGGCTCACTAACGACAGAAAAGTATCCGCGGATCCGACCCGAATGCAGCACTCTACTGGCTTGCTCGCATGGTATGCGGTGGCGACGACCCTCTTTTTATTGCGCGTCGCCTGATCGTGTGTGCGTCGGAAGACTGTTGCTCCGCCGATGCACTGCAGCTTGCCGTGGCGACATACCGTGCATGTGAGATTGTAGGACTTCCTGAATGCGGAATCAACCTGTCTCACTGCGTTGTGGCGCTCGCTGAGTGGCCCAAGAGCACGCGCTCATACCGCGCATGGAAAAAAGTGCTCGCCCATGTCGAGTCGGACACACTTGTACGTGAATGCTTTTTCACATTAGCATCCGGTACCATTGCATATCCGCAATGCACCAACCAGGCTCATGAAGGATCTGGGGTATGGCGCCGAGTACCGCTACGAGCCACGGTTTGCCCATCCCGTACACCAAGAGTTCTTACCGCCGCCCATGCGCGGTACTCGGTTCCTATCGCCCCCTCCAGACGGCTTGAAAATTGTACCTATACCCGCGACGCAGGCGACTGGCCCTGGCTCGTGCCAGCGTCGGTTCCAAGTGGGGGAGCGATCCGTGGACCTCGATCTCCTGACCGAGTGGGAGCAGATTCACAACCACGGCGAGCCCTGGGCCGGCCGAGCACGAATCGAGGCACTTGCTCCTCGGAATTCACCCCCCTTGGCGTCTACGAAGCCGCCATCGACTCCATAGGCAGCATCCCTGCTGCTTTGATCTGGCGATCACCATAGCCGTCCCCAGACGGTCCGGTCACGTGGGCTTATAGGCTCGTCCGGTCGCCGTCGGCTCTACGGTCGAGCCTGAGCGACTGGTCGCGCGTGGCGGCGCCGCGCATCGAGTGTGCGCGAATGGAGCTCCTCACTGTTCCAGAGCTATGCGAGTATATTGGAACACTGAAAGTTGCCGAGCTGAAGGAACATATCAAGGCCTTCAATGAGCGTCTCCCCTTCAGCTCGCATATTCGACTATCTGGCAACAAACCTGAGCTGGCACAGCGACTGATCGAGGCCGTGGTAGCGGCTAGTACTGTATCGAGACACTATAATGAAATGCTTATCGTGATGATGCCCTTAGGTCTCTCGCACTGGTTGGGTGACGTGGCACGCATGCGACGAGCATCGCAACAGTACATGCATATGTATGGCCATTCACCTGGCACTGGGCCGGCCGGGACCAGTGGCACACGCCCTGCCAGCGGTACACAGACAGGAGGAACGAATGGTGGAGCTGCCTATGTTGCCGGAACATCTCGCTTGCCTACTGATACGAGCCTTTCGTCTCCGGCCTCATCGAGGTCGACGCCCACTCTCGCACAAGGCTCCCTTAAGCAGCTGCATTTTTGGCCGTCGCCTTTCTATGAGGTAAAAGAGTTTGTCTCGTCTATTGTGCAGGTACCTGAGGCCCCCCCACCGTCTGGGCGCCGCCAGGTCGGAATGTCGTTTACACTGTCGGCCCAGCAGGTCGAACTTTTGTTGCATACCCCGTACGTCTATGCGTCACACTCATGCCAGGTCTACCTACCAGCTGCGCCTTTTTTGTACGACATTTGAACACTTCATGGCCTCTGTCTCCCCGCCCAAGCAAGCTGCACCCGTGGAGTTTCCTCACACCAGCGAGGCTCGCATCAACGATCGCTCACTGGGTGTTAGCCTCAAAGGCAACAAAAAACATGTCGGGCGTGTGGCGCCGCCCAATCTCAACCGCCTCGGTCACCTGCATTTACAGCCAAACCGACTGAATCGTGTTGAATTGTCCTACGCAAATGCGCCAATGGTACGTCTGTACATCTTACACACAGCGGTATACCATGGTTATTGCTTTATGCAAAGTGACTAGTGCCGAGCAGCTCACGGAGCAGCTCAAGCTTAAGCAGTACCGGAGTAAAGAATCGGTAATTGAAAAAATGCGCCAGCAGGCGCAGGATGACGACATTGTCACCGGTGCATCCACGCTCAAGCTTACGTGCCCTCTTACATATGTCCGACTCGTTACGCCTTGTCGTGCCAATACATGCGACCATATCCAATGCTTTGATGCGCTCAGTTTCTATTCCATGAATGAACAGTCCCCCCAATGGCAGTGTCCTGTATGCAGCCAAGACATTAAATCGGAAGACCTGCGCCTGGATGGATACGTCGAAGATATCCTACGGCGTGTCCCCGCCCACCTCGATGCTGTCCTTGTCGAATCGGACGGCTCATGGCATTCGGCTGATGACCAATACCACTCTGGCTCGCCGATCCTGCAGGAACCGAGCTCTGTACAGCCGGACACACAGGATATGTTGGATACGCCGGAGGATACGCCCGAGCCAGGTGGTGAAACAATCTCGCTCACGCCTGCCAGCCATGCTATGGCGCCCAAGACCGAGATCGCCACGCCGCCTGCGGTTCAGTCACCTGCTGGCCGCACTTGGTTGCCCGATAATGCCACATTATACCTATCACAGCTAGACGTGGATGGATCGGCCCAAGTGGACTGCACGCCGCCTACGCCACTGCCACCCCCCGATGTGATTGACCTCACCTTCAGTAGTGATGATGATTCATAGCCGGTTCATGTGGAGGTTGTTGGAGGTGCGATAGGCTTGGGCTCGCGAAACCTGACCACCAACGGCGGGGAGGTCGACTACCATGGCCACCTCTGCGTCCGTGTACAACTATGAAAGAACAACTCGACAGATTCTTAAGAGGCATAGAAAAGATCCTGCGAGTTTCAGTGTCCATATCCATCCTCAATTTTTGCGCTTCGAGAAGCAGGTATGTGCATACATCTTATGTCCAGGATGGTTACTTTCTCTTTGATTCACGCACCAAGGTACGCCACGCAAATTGACCATGCAGGAGTTTCTTAACTATTTGTGCAACCAAATCATACCCGTGGACTTGATGGACGTGTTCCAACAGGCGGGTGTGCCGTTCTTTGAAGGCTGCTTGATCGTGGAAGTGCATGACCACCGCAAGCGGACGACCAACCCCGAACCCGCCACGTCTCAATACAAAGCAGATGGGCGCCGTGAACGCCCTAGCGACACTTCTATGTATTATTTGAGGGAGGGCGGTCGTTATGGTTTTCATTACACTCGCTACGGTGGACACTCGCACCCCTCTAATGAGGATACAGCCTTAGGCCCAGATGGCGTCGAAGTATACCGACTTGTATTGCGCCCCTCCGATGAGAGCTTGTGGAATGACCTACGCATGATGGATGCCCGCGCGGGCGGCCAGTGGTCTGATGAAGACGCCCTTGCGATCGAGGCGCAAATCGTCAACCTCACAGCACCACCACTGTGTCTAACACCTGATCCTCATGTTACACGGATTGCTAATCTCATGCTCAGCAGCACAGTTCCACCCTCGTTCTACACTGGCTCCCTGTCTTCTGACCCCTACACATCCCATCCCGTCACGGGTCACCGTCTGAACAGCATCGAGTTGGAAAAAGCGAAGAGTGAGGACGTGCGGCGCGAGCAGATTATGCAAATTATGAAAGATGGCTGGAAATCCGATCCAGGTCACTCGTCACGCGATGGAACTCATCACGGGGCCTCATTTATGCCAAGGTGTGTATAGTCTTTCTTACCACCAGCTTTTCGCGTCTTGACTTCCTGCGCAACTGGCGCAAGGGACGCTTGCAGGACTCTGAAGATACTGGGTCACCGGCTGTTTCCGGTTTGGACGGAGCCAAAGGCGATGCAAAAAAGCCCGCCAGTGCGAAAAAGAAGCGCGTCAAGGAGCCGGAAGATACAAAGCAGGCTCCTCCGGCTGTCGCCGGGCCGACAACGGGGGATACTAAGTCCAAGACAAAACGACGCAAGAAAGACGCCTCTCCCATTTCAGCGACTGAGGAAAAGAAACAGAAAAGGGCATCAGGCGCTAACAGCATGTCACCGAGCAACCCAGCGGCTCGTGGCTTGCCAGCCATGGCAGGCAAAATGGAGGGCCTTAGTCTTCCTGGGTCGAAACTTGCCAGTGCCATGCTACCCGGATACCAAGCGAGTCCCCCTATGGGTGTAAGCGTGGGAATAAATCCACTGGCTCCAGGCATGGGCCAGGGCGCTACTACGGGTTCGCCGTTTGTGCCGCCAGGCAGCCAGGTTTCAAGTGCAAAAGCGACAGGCTCCTGGTTTATGTCTTCATGACGTATCTATGTATAGTTAACTCTTTGTCTCGGCCACCTTCACTGCGCGACGGAGCCATCGCCGCCTGCGCGTAACAGCACGGTAGGAGCCGGAAATTTCATCCTCCGACATCTGATCAAGCTCATCCTCTTCCGTCTCACTCGTCATACTCGGGGTCTTGGGCACAGAAGTATCAACGCCATATGCATAGGGCGCTGGATGGCTCCAACAATTGTCCGTATAAACATAGCCCTGGTCGTCTACTCCAACCCGGCTCCAGGCTCCGCCCCAGTCGATTCGCCAGTCATCACCGTCGATCCATTCATAGCCTTCTTCCGGTTCGTGTCGGATCGTCTCGGCTGTGGTGTCTGATGCACTAAATCCATCACTGCCTCGAGTCCACGCTTGGCGCTCGCCTTGTTTCAGGTTTTGTGAGCCCCACGAGCGTTCATCTACTCCGTCTTGTCGACTAGAGAGTAAGCGCTGGTTTTCATAGACTTCCACGTTTTTCCAACCTCGCTCCCAAACATACTCAGGCAGACGATCCTCATCCAGCATATCCAAAAGGCGTTGCTTGAGGCGATGCTGACGCTGTGCACGGCGATGCGAGCGTCGAGCCGAGTGTACGTGTTTTTTAATGGCATTCAAGGCCGGCTGGAGCCATGGATGGTGATGAATCAGAACAAATTCGCCGGCCAGGAAAACAAGGAGGCGCCATGGAATGAGCGGCGCCACGAAGTACATGAGAACCAAGACAACAATCGACGCCTGGAAAATTCTCAAGGTTCGCGGCACATCCGACCAATTCAAGTATTTGACCACAGGCGAAATGTGGTCATAGCCATCGATAATCAGGCGCATCATGTTCTGGATATCACGCATATGCAAGAAGTACTTCATTTCCCCCTCCACGACGGGCCGAGGTTCGATGGGAGGCGCAGTGGGTTCGGTATGGAGTACATTGCAACCCTGCAGCACGGAGCGAAGCGCATCACCCGGCGGCATGTTGCGTGTCTCATCGGTTATAGGGAACCGGATAAAGAACGTATTGCACATGATGGTTACAGCAATTGCCGGCGGGACACAGATAAAAAGTCGCGGATGAAGCGATACCACAGCCCAAATGCCCATCCACAAGGACGTCCAGAGCCAGTCATCCCACATCAGCGTTGACTCAACACCGTCTTGAAATACAAACATGGGGCCAGACTTTTGCACAAAGCCACGGAAATTAACAGCGGTTGTTGGTACAGATAAGGGGGCCTTGCGCCTTTCGGTGGGTAGCCGCTTCGGCTCCTCATTCACCGCTAGGATTGACCGAATAATCATCGTGTTCATCGTGTCCATAGTGCGCTGAGAGAAGGAAAGTGTTGAGCGTACAGACTGGGGCCGATCTTCCGATCCCTCTGATATAGGAGACAAAATTTCATTTTCAGCGGTCTGTGCAGCTGTATTCAGCTTGGCAAGATTCGCCTCGGTGACCTTGTCCGGCTCCGATGGCATGGTGGCTCGGAAAGTCCGGGGATAGCGACGTGTTCTTTGCGGGGGAGCCCACGTGGCTCCATGTGGAAATACTGTAGGCTGCGCTCGACTACACCATTCGCATACGTATGGAGGACAGCATAGTGCATCGGGCCCTATGCCCGCGCATAGCGGTCCTCACGAGTCCTGATGTGGATTCATCGGTGCATGCGAATGGTGCTACGCATTTGGTGGATCTACTCCGACCTTTCGAGCATGCAACAGAAAATGTCACGTTGCGTACCTCCCAACTTGAGACTCGTGTAGCCCCTGTATACCCCGTTCGTTTCGACCGCCTCGATGCGTTCAAATATCAGGATGGCTTGGATATATGGGGTGAGTTCCTGGATATGATCCAGCGCAGTTTCCACGATAATCCAGTTGAGGACACAGTCGCTGTGCCCTTAGACCCTGGGGACATGGACAGGGCTACCTGGCAGACTCAAGTCCAAAAGGCACCAAATCTATTTCGGCACTTCATGTCACATATCTTGCATTTCCGGCCATTATGGCCTCACGATACCATGTCGCATCCATGTGCTTTGGTCCTGGCCGTCACGAGCCATGGTCCTGATCCACTAAACGCGTTCGCAAGCCTCTATGAGACGTGTCAAAAGAGCGAGATATTTGCGCAGCAAGCGTATATGGAAAGTAATTTGTTGCGCTGCTACTTGGTACTACATGATTGTGCCCAACTCGGGTCAGATATGACCCGTTCCATGGCTGTCCTGGACGAGGTGCGTAAGACATATGGTGTACATTGTGCATTGCTACCCATCAACTCGGCAAATGGTCCCGATGAAGACGCAGCAGCTTTTTTTGCAGCGGCCTTTGATGTAACGGACCCGCGCAATGCGCCCGAGACGCCTTCCATACCGAGGGGCGCAGCCTTGTCGATGGATGACATCCAGAGGCTTCGTGCCTACGTGCGTGAATTCATAATTAAGAGTCTGGTTCCCTTCTTGGAGAGTACTGTTCATCATCTGGGAGAGCAAGTGGCCGCCCAGCGCAAAGGTCTTACCGGCCGTCTACTAGGCGCTGGCCGCAAATTTTTCGCAGGCAGAACTGGCACATCAACACAAGGTATCGATGCGACGCAAGGGATATACCCAGCCAATTCTACGACTGCACAAACACGTCGTTTGGCAGATCTAGCTATGCATGTCCGTGATTATCGTCTTGCTGTGCAAATGTATGAAGCAGCTCGGCGGGATTTCCAATCCGACCAGGCCGCGTGGTACAGTGCCTTTGCTGCTGAAATGCTGTGTATTTCTCGCCTTCTCTACAGTTTTACTTCCAAGAGCTCACAGGGATCACTGGAGCCTCTGCTCATGGCTGCATGCGACGAATTCGCTAGCTCTCGAGCTGGAGCTTGGTTTTCTCTTCGTGCGGCTGTGCTCTATGCTCATCTCCAGCATGTCGTTGGGGATCATTACAGTGCAGCCATCGCATACTTACGGGTCGCTGATTCCTCGGATGAAGTGACTCGAGCGTTACTTTTAGAACACGCTTCTTGGGCGTATTTGCGTATGTCTCGTCCACATTTGCGCCGCAGTGCAGCAGCACTCTTACGCGCGGCATCACAATATAACTCTTGTGGACAAAAAACGCTCGCGCTCCGGGCCTTTTCTCGTCTACAAGACTATTACCGAACCCGGCACAGCTCTCTGCATGATTATACCCTCTTCCAGAAAAGTATTTTGTATCATACGTTGGGATTGATGGACGAAGCTCTCCAAGACCTTCTTCCATTACTTCACGGATGTATGCCTGACGTTGACGAGTCTCGTCTAAGGACACTGGAGAGTCTCGCTGCGGTTGCCAACAAGACAATCGTTTCTCTTCCTACACCCCTGATCCGCACCGAGGAGACTCGTATCGTGACCATGGGTCAGACGGAGGGCGTACCTGTGGCTGCTGTGCAGGAACCCTTCCAGGTCCACTTCACTGTCGCCAATACGTTTGGCGTGCAGCTGCGCATGTCAGATGTGCAGTTCCATTTTGTGATCGACGATACTGATGCGCCCGTCGAAGCTGACCACACAGTGGACACATTGTTGTGGGCGCCATACGAGTGCTCCCCTATCCAAGTGCCTATCTCACTACGCACAAAAGGAATGGTACGCTTGGATCGTATTACCTACAAACTGATGGATGTCCTTCCTGTGACACAGTCACTTGCAAAGCAGGGCCCTCGTCTAAATAAGACGCCCGAACAACGGCGTTCAAGAATGTATGGTCGAGATACTTCCCTCCTTGTCCAAATACGCGAGAGTATCCCTCGAATCCAATGCACAGTTAATGCACCTCCTCGTGCTGCGGTGGGCGAGCTAGTCGAGGTGACTTTGACGCTGAAGAATGTAAGTACCTCCTCTGCTCGCAATATATCGTTGGTCTCTTCGCCGTGTCACTTGATGCCTGTTCCCACTGCGAGCTCTAAACTTAAACTTCCTTGGCGTATACCCACACCTACACCTATTCCTCTTGATGACTTGGCTAGTCATGTTTCTGTGCCTATTTGCTTTCAATTTCCTGTGCTATCTCTGGGAACAGAGTACTTGACATGGCAAATTCAGTACCACAGTGATCAAGGTGAGATATTTACTACTCGACTTGAACACGAGATTCATACCTTCCCTATGCTAGAAGCGCAGGTCTCGTACAAGTTGGCAAGATCCGTGCAGCCACAGTATCATCTTCGTCTAACAATTAAAAATATCAGCCAGGATCCCATCGAAATTACTGGTATTGCCTTTGCCAGTTTACAGTGGCAATTGTCGCTTGATTTCAACCAAATTTCCCTAAACTCGGGTCATGCGGCGCAATGGCTTGTCTATGGGCAAAGAAAACAAGGTTTGGATACCCTTCGCACAACCGTGGAACTTCTTCGACCTTTCTTCCAGGGTCGCGAGGTTCCAGTTCATCCACCGGAACTACCCATGCAGGTCTTTAAGTACGGAGAAGGCCCAGTGCAATCACTATTGCATTGGCCAGCCCTCTACGCGGCTGTACGCAACGTTCACAGGCGTTACGAGGTGGAAAAATGGTATGACTGCCTCCCCACTCAGGTCCAGGAGGAAGTATTACCCCTCATGGATTCTAATCAGGTGGACATCATCGTCGCATGGCGTGCAGCGTCAGGTGTGGTAGGCGAAGCGCTCGTGAGTGGTGCCTACCTTGGTTTCCGCGATGATGCGGTCAGCAGCATCCAAGCCCTCGATTATCTACTTCATCAAGTCCCATCGACTCGCGCCATGTATACGGAAACTGATATGGAAAAACAGGCGGCTCGAGAACAACTGGCTGAGTCGCCGTTGATGCCTACGACTTGCCCTCTTTCTGTGTTAACTGGCACTCTGAAATTGACAGTGCCTGACCATGCACATGCCCTACAACTTCCTTTGTATGTTCGCAACGAATCGCCTTGGCCACTTTCATGCACTTTGTGGCTAGAGCCAGCGACTGATGTACAGGCAGTACCTCATGTGTCATGGCTCGGAAAGACAACACACCACATTTTAGTACCGGGCTGGTGTGCTGAGAAGGTGTCCGTCAAAGTACTGGTCGATGGCCCTGGCACGTATCGACTAGGTAATTGGCGTATCGAAGCGCGCATGTGCGATGGCGAAACGCCGGTGCGGTCCTTCAGTACTGCTGGATCGCTTACCACACCTTTCATCGCATATGGTCAAGAATGAACGGTAGTTTCCAAAGAGATATCCGACCATCCTTGCTGCCACATGCTAGCCAAGGCGGCAGATGGTCTGCTACCGTTTTCGATTCGAATTCGTCTTCCTCATAGCTGCTTGTATCATCCAATGTGTCAACCATATGTACCTGAGTATTGCGTGGGAAAGCCACCGCCTGAATACTCTCTTTATGGTACCTTAGGGAAGCCAATAGCTCCATTTTGGCACACGCATATACACGAGCTGTACCATCCCAGCATCCGACAACAACGACTTTCTCATCGTCGCGAATTGCCACACATGCTTGACCAGGGCGCTGTGTGGTATATACGATAGGTCTTACATTACTGTTCAATCCAATTTGAACAATAGAGCGATCAGCACCTACACTTAAAACATAATCGTGGCAAGGTGCTAGTCCCAGGGCTAGTACTGTCTCAATGTGGGGTTTGTATGACCACAGCTGGTGTGCCTCCCATGTATCTAATGAAAGGGACCATGCAATCACATGTCCATCTTCCATTCCAGTGACAATATCTAGGTGGTGAGAGTGTATGCGTGCCTGGATGGCCATGATAATAGGCGGTCGCTGCGCGCCAGATGCGATGACGTGAGAACGGCCGAGTGCCTCAACTACACGTCGTTTCGCTGGTAGCTCATACACATCGAGCCAAGCTGATTCAAGGGTATGAGGTACAACCATATAGGCTTTGAGAGAATTTTCTTCCGAAGCAAGTGTTACCATGGCGTAGCCGCAGTAATTCAGTGAATTAACGGGCAAGTCCATGATCAGCGTGGGCTCGGGGAGATCAGTTATCGCGCCACTGCCCAGAAGGGTAGAACTTCGCTCCGTAGGCATACTCCATATGCATATTTTATGATCACGGCCGTGTCTAGGATGAGCTACTTCAATACGTACGTCACAAGAAATCCAGACCAAACATCTGCACGTAAAATTGCTTCCTGATGTGGTTGAAAGAAGATATAGGGTCGGTATGTGGACATGCTGGTGATCGAGACGCGTCCACGCGCATCTCCGGCAATTAAGTCTTGTCCTCTGTTTGCAAATGCTAATGCGTGTATGGGTGAAGGAGCATGATGCCGCACAATCCACGCCGGCGAAGGCGACGCGAGCTGCGAGGACATCATTGTGGAGGTGCTACTTTATCCCTGCCCCATGTTTTCATTCGATTTTTGCGTGGACGAGGATCATGATGCGTCTTCCATCCGAGCATCTACAAATGCTGGCGTAAATGAAACTAAGAATATGTGTAAAATTCCTGCTCGAGAACACTCTTTGTCCAGCTTGGTAAGTAATTCTACTCCAACGTAGCGCGCCCAACTACCCGAGAAACTTTCTTACTCTCCTGTAATCGCCCATGATGGGGATGTGCCGGTGGTGCTAGCACGCCGAGACTTATTTGACGTTCGATTTCAGATTCTCAACGAAGATGGAACTATTGCGGACGAGCAGAGCGATTTGATACCTGGCGTTTATGAGGGAGGACTGAAAACGTGGGAGTGCTCTCTTGATCTAATTTCTGAAATCCATTCCAGGCTTCAGGGCGCTCGTCAGAATGACGCTGCATGGCCTTCCGGCCGTCACATTACTGAGGTCTGTTCTTGGCCATTGACCTCAGATTGGCTGCGGCACGGCATTGCCCTCCTGCTTCGTGCTACAAACTCTGTTCAGCGTGACACGCAATCCAGAACAGCCTTCCGTTCTTACAGTGTGCGACTACAATGAGCAAGTTTTGTCTCTTGTGAGTATACGATGGCTAACTTTAGGTGGTGTACCCAAATCTTTTGTTAGCTTGGTACTTTTCCGAAGCTGGCCCTGGCGCAGCTAAGGGTCAAAGTCAGCAGGAACCCGGCGACTTAGAGATGGATGATCACTTGCTAGATCAGTTCGAAAGCGCATTGTCTAATTCTGGCATTAAACTTCGCTTTTTCTCCGGGGGCTGGGATACTCTAGAGCTTGGGACGCCTGCGGATATTTTACTCACCAGTGAAACCACCTATGCCTTAGAAACGATACCCTCGTTGTGCCGCGCACTAAAAGCAGCAAGTTGGCCCACAAATGATAATGATATGGGTGGCATTATCCGTGAAACATCCATGATTTTGATTGCCTCTAAAGTTTTGTACTTTGGAGTTGGAGGGGGTATTGAACCATTCCGCACTGAAGTTCTTGCGCACCAAGGATGGTGTAAGCAAGTACGATCTTTTACAGCAGGGGTAGGGCGTGGGATTTTACAGATAGGCTGGTCCTCGTAGCTTTTTTTTCGCTAGTTATCATGATCCGTGCTCCCCAGGTCGCTGATTTCGTCTAGGTCGTCTTCGTCGATGTCGCTAGTCTGCCTAGCACTGTGCTGTTCCAGTTGCGTTGCATAATTTCTAACATATTCCCGAACCTTTTTGGCGTATTCTTGGGGGCTGTTTAGATATAAAGACGCAGCTTCACTATTCAGAGGATCTGATGGATTTGGGTACCTCAAGAGTTGAGGGAGAAAGGTTTCAAAGATATTGAAGCAATCGTACATAGGTGACCACGATTGATTGATAACGTCAAGACACACTGAGCCTGATGTTTCATCGATATTCGGATGGAAAATCCGATTGGTAAATCCAACTGAGGGCGACTTGTATGGATATTGTTCCGGGAGCTCGACATGAACACGCCAAATCCCATGTTCAAAAGGTGCTGTGTGAGTATTTACCCACATACTATCCGATGGTCCGTGGAAAGTCACATGGAATTCCCGAGTGCTATCGTTCACAAGTTGCACATCGTAATCGGACATGAGGCTGAATGAGTCTAGGGCTGCGTACAGTCTCATTACATCTGTCTCCATACGACGCTTTGACGAGCTGTTCAGCCAGTCAGTACGAAAGCATTAGAATTTACGTATCATATCGGCGACGGGTAGACTATCGCACAGGATGGGAGGTATAAACTAGTTGGCCGTGAAGTAATGGGGGCGCATGGGCCTCTTTGTGCCATCACCTGCGGTTTATTGGCTGTGTGCACCAGGCCAATCTTTTAGACATGGGATTTACGTCCTCTTAACTGATTTTGTCAAGATAGGCCATGCGACGTCGGCTGTTGACATGCTGGTGTCGTATTTTTTTAGTTAGAAAAGATAGTGTGGTATATTCTTTTAATATCGAACCATTTGTGCGATCTTCACCATCGCCGCGCTGCGGTCATGCTTGTTACACCTGCTGTTTGTTCCCCGCATTCAAGGAGGAGAGAAATGTAAGTGTGCATCTTGGGTTGCGTCTTTCTTTCGCCGCACGTCGACCCTACATATAACCTTAGCGATGGAAGCGCAAGAAATCTTGGCGAACATCGCCTTCACTACATCAGGTGCCCTGGTGGATCTAGTAGACAGTAAGTCTTCAAGGATGAGGCGCTTACATCTAAGAGAAAGTGATTGTGATTCTACGAGATGGACGTAAGCTGATTGGGGTTCTCCGTTCGTACGATCAATTTGGTACGTAAACAGCACGCTTATACAAGCCAATCTTGTACTGCAAGATACTCTGGAGCGCATTTTTCTGGGGAACAGATATGGGGACGTTCCTAAGGGTTTGTATATTGTGCGCGGCGAGAATGTCGTGCTCATGGGTGAGATCGATCTTGATAAGGAGGACGAGACCCCACAAACTGTGGCCTCATCGATACCCAGCTCTGCTATTCCTCAGCTGCTTGAGGCGCTGGCTGCTGAGAATGAATACAAGGACAAGTGGGAACAGCGTCGCACTGCGGTTCTCCGACGAGAGCGCGGCTTCTCGGGCGAGGGTGTGGAAGGTGATAGCTATTAGACCTATTGCCATTCGCATAGAGTATATATGAAGTTGGCGCATTCACATGTGCTGTGAAGCTTCTTTTCGCTTTTCTTGTTCCACCACCTCGTTGACCACCGTCGAGGCCTTCTCTTGGATAGACTGCTTTTCTTGTTCTTCAACAATGGTGTCGAGAGGAAGTTCTTGAGACTTGAGACGGGGAATACAGGAAGGGAGCAATACCAAATCGAGCGAGGGAAGTGCTGGTGTCGCCAGTGTATGATCCAACCATACACGCAACATCTGCTTCATCTGAGCAGCTGTCACGCTCACGGCACAGCTGTAACGAGTCAGTTTTGCATACACGTACAGTCCACGTTGGGTGCACGCATTGGCTAGCAGTTCCATGTTCACGTTCCCATCTTGCAGCACTTCAGCGACCTTCAGGCGCTTGTCGTCTTCCTGGAGTTGGCGCACATGGTCCATAATGCGTTTGCGGCGGAATCCATCTGTGCCCCACCTTGACAGGTTGTAGATGCTGGTGTTAGTCGTCAAACGTACATAGTAAGCTCTCGTAGAGAGGCGGTAGGAAGCGCAGCCAATGCGTCCTGAAGGGAATCACTTTTTGGTTGAACGTCTTGGGCCGTAGGGACCAGGACTTGAATCTTTTTGATAGCTTCTTCGCGATTTACTTCCAAGCGCTGGCGAATCTTTACAATCTGGCTAGGCAAAATGCAGGTTGACGGAAGAAGGAACGGGGTATAAATGACCATCAATGGGAGAAGCTCTTCCACAGTCACCAAGATCAGAAGAAAGAGAGGAAGCTTTAGCATGTCTGAAGAATGAGTCCTAATCATTTGTGTTTCCTCCCAGGTATAGTCGCGCTTCGTTTCGCGAACATGCTGCTGAACAGCCTTTACCAAGTCCCGGTTGCGCCAGATTTGCTTGACGCCATTCAAGTAAAAGCGGAAGAGGTATTTGACAGTAGACCATAAGTTTTTTACCCTTGATTTTATGCTTATATTCTTGCTTTCCTCCTTCTTGGGCTCTAACTTGGACCAACGGACCGTGGAGACATGAAGAGTACGCACAGGCGCGGTGGAACGCCAAGGGCGGGCCGCACGGTCCAGGGTTTCTGTGGCTAGCCTTTCATGTACGGTCAAAAGCCCGGTTTGAATCAATGCACCTCCAACACTGGGGCCCTTCAGAGCGCGGGAGACGAGAGCTTTTGTGGATATTCTGCACAACATGGTCTCGACCTGCCGCTTCATACAATCGCCTCTCTAGCGGTGTGGTGATTCACGGCACGTGACTATGGGGAATCGTATGCATGAGCGCCCTCTTCAGAGATGGTCACGACGCGCTGATCTGCGTCATGCTCGCCAAAGTATAGTGCGGATCCCTCAATTTGACCGCGGCGCGTGTCCAGGGCATCGCGTTTATTACAAAGACTTGACAGCTTCGCGATGGCATCGTCAAAGCCCATGTGCGGGGTTAAGGGGCGGCTGGGCAGTGGTGTCAACGCGTGACGTGCATCCAATCGGATGAAAAGGATCTCTGAGCTGTGGGCACCTTCTGATAAGCTGATCACAAGAGAGCGTTCCTTCTTGCCATCAGAGGGTGAGCTGGATGCTGCATTTTCCCGCTCGTACACTTCGAATGTTATGCTTGAGAAGTAGTCGAGCGCCGGCATCTTCGGCATGATGATATCCAGGTTTGAGCATAGGATCAAGTTGAGCAGGGTATGTACGTGTGACTCCTTTGTAAAATAGAAAGCACATAGACCCTTTTTGTTCTCGGATGCCTTTAGATTGTCGACAATGCTTTGCAATAAGGGCTGCGATGTGAGGAGACCAATCTGCTCTTTCTGCTCCCTGGTGATGCCATATTCACGAGGGCAAACGAAACTGAACAGAGCCAAACTCATACGGTACAGGCGATGAAGACGTTCAAGTTTCTGCTCGCTGTTATCTGCATCGACGGAAAAGATAGTTTCCAGAAATTTGCGGTTGTGCAGGCCATCATGGGAGAGCATATCTGCCAACTCACTAGCGCGGGACGATTCATTGGGCTTGTCGCGAAAGTCACCAATGACCTTGTCCCAGCGCTCCCTAAACAAGGCTGGCGTCTCGTGCGTGCACCAGCGCTGCTGAATCTTGTCCACATCCAGTTTGGCAAAGTTATCATGCATGGTCTCTCCGAGGCTCTGCAGCAGAATGCGAATTTCACTGGTGATGCAGTTGGGGGGCGGCAGATCATCAGGCCAGCCCTCAGGGCGCTCTTGCGCCTGGGGCGAATCTGGCTGCATCAATGTCTGCAGTTCCTTTTTGACTTCGTCCATTAGATCCTTAGCAGCATTCGAGTCGTCCAGCAGATCCTTGCGCACGATCATTTCCTTGGGCTTAGGAGGCTCTTCTTCGCCGCCTTCATCGCGCAAAAATGCCTCAGAAAAAATCTCGGCAGAAGCAAACACACGACGCTCTGAGCTAGTGTAGATGAAGCAATTGTGAAGCGCCTCTTTGTTCATAATCAACATGTCCCGGCGCATGTTGGTACCGTAGTCCCGGGCCTGATGCCGCGCGGCATGACTAAATTCGCCGCCCCATTTGATCACCATTTGCACCTTCTCAAGCATGTCATTAGTCTTGTCAAATGTAGGTTTGAGCTGGATTTTCGTACCCGGGTATTGCTTTTTACGCTCGATGATATCGGCTGCAAACTCGAGATCGGCGACGGGGGCGCCTTCTATCGTCAAGGCGCGCTGCAGTGCATCCGATACCAGTTCCAGCTGCGACCGCAGGATGATCTCCTCACGGCAACCGTGCAAGAGCTCTACCAGAGGCGCAGACCACGCGTCCTTTACCTTGAAGGACCGCTTGATCTTTTGCTTGGGGGTCCGATCGCCATGGCGGAACACAGTAACATTTGCTTTGAGAACCCAGCTGGACGTCTCATCGATGGCATACACTAGCTCGCTAGGCCGACGAAGGGGTCTGGACATCGATTGAGCGCGGCAAAAGTGCGCGAGAATCTCAGCGCATTTGTCGTAATAGTCGTCGTTGCCCTTGACAAAGCTCCAGCCATTGACATCGATCACGTAGCTCTTATCTTTCACACGCAGAAGATCAAAGCCACAGATAAACTGCTTGAAGGAGAGGGAAATTTTACGAGCCATCTCACGCTCTTCGGATGAAAGTTGCGTGACGTAGCGGATTTCCTTGCCGTCTGGGTTTCGCTTCACCAGACCATCGACAACAGGCGATTTGCGCGTCTCTGCATAGGCGAAGTCTGGCCCAATTGTATACACTTTAATATCTTCTGCATTGTCGACATCCATAAACGACTCGTACACGTACGAGCCGTCCATACGCGGCTCCACAAGGTGTGGGTCAAACTCGGACGATTTGTTGCCAACTTTGCGGAAGAGCCGGCGTCCGCCACCGCCGCGTTCTGCGGAAAAGTAGATGTGGATATTGTGGTCCTCACCGCTAACAGGTTTTTCGACATAAGGCTTGCGGATCGTCTCGCCGTTAACCTGAAGGACGTCGTGGTCAAGCAGCTGGACGGACGCAGGGGGATGCCGCACTCCAAGATCGAGATCGAGTTGCTTCTTTATCTCGTTAACGATCTGCGCATCGAGCTGAGGCCCACCATCGCGGTCCGCCGATACACTGGGGGGAGTGGGCACACCGGCGGCCGCCAGAATGCGCAGCACGGCGCGGCGGTCCCAAAGCACGGTCTGCATGCTTAGATCGTTCACACACACGGGCTTTCGGAGATTGACATACTGAATGGCCTTCTCTAACGGGAATCCAGTGCTAAAGAATGAGATGAGTACGTCGACAATCGGCCATGTATCCACATCCTCATCTAGAATGACCTTGTCGCCAAACACGATCACCTCGAAGTCACCCATGCTCAGCATACGGTTGAGAATGTTTTGCATGGGTTTGGACCGCGCCTTGCGGTCCATGGCCGCTACACCAAGGCGGATCGTCGAAGACATGGCCCACACAGTCTCGTAGCTACAGGAAAGTAGGCACCGTGCGCCCGTGCGCTGTGGTGTGCACGTGCTATTATGCCAGGCCACCGACTCACTCCGGCAGCGCCCACGGCGCCTGGAGCCATGCGACAACAGACAGGGGCGATGAGCGGATGGGCGGGTTCGGCAGCCATGCACCATCCGCAAAGTCGATATCCAGTGCCATTGCAAGCATGTCGGTGCGTAGGAGGAGATGCTCGGAAGTCTTGTGAAGGGCATAGACAGCGGCAAGGGTCAGAAGGAGTGCGGTCATACTTAGTAGGACGAGCGCTCTGACTACGCACGGCGAGCGTGCCACCAATCGCACCGGCACATGTACGAGATCATAGGGGCCCATATCGAACCAGGTGACCAAAGCCGCCTCACCGTACGTTATGTGTGCCTGCACGTGAGGATCGATGCGGGGTTGCCGCGTTTCGCTGCCATGTACACGCAATAGAAAGATAGGGATGCGGCTAGGGAACGCAGGAAGTGTCACTGTGCCGAGGGGGTATGGTGTCGAGTAACGAAGGATCAGGTGAGTGTGGCCAGGTGTCGCCAAAACACATTGCACGCGGTGCCAAGTAGTCGGGTTCGCTGTCGGTGCGTCAATCCGCGTACTTGAAAGGGGATGCACTTCGATATGTACAGGCACGGGATGGCCATTGACGTATGCCTCCAAGTGTGCTGGGGCCCACGGCCAGTTGGCTAACTCGTACGAGCCGTAGGGTAGTGGACCCGCATGAAGATGTACACAGTGCTGCACGCGCCTAGTCTTCGTGCACGGCCATATCTCGAGGTAGCCTGCGGTCGCCATCATCTTGGCTGCGGGGGGTCTCGGTGCGGCCGACCTACGAGGCGCACGTGCCCATCGGAGAGCGGCTGGTGCATCAACGGGCTCGGAAGAGACAGGGCGCCACTCCGCGCCCTGCTTTGATAACATCTGTAATTCATAGCCGGGTTCATTCAAGCGCGGAAGCGTGTGGATAGAGTACTGGATCGTGATGGGTGTAGATTCAAGTGTGAGAGAGGGCATGCCTGTCCAGGCGTGGGTCGTATCAACGCCGTGGGCCACCAGGACACGTCCACGCAGATGGAATGACAGGCCCTGTGGACTTTCTCCAGAGCCGTCGCATACGCGTTGGATAGGTACAGTGAGGGTAAAGGAGCGTTCTGGCGTAGGTGATGGGTGGTCGAGGGAATGAAGCACCAACTGATCGTCGGTGGCCACGAGCGCCTGCTCCGGCGAGCAGGCGCATATTAGCGATTCCCATACACGACTTGGGTCACCCGACGAAACTGTGCAAGTAAGGGGCACAGAGTCTTCATGAGAGTGCGTTAAAGGATCTGCAATGTGCACGAAAAAGTCCACGTCAATCACAGTATGCGACTCGAGCCACAGTTCCTCCTCGGCCAGACGCAGCGTTAGGCAGCACTCTGCGCGCGCCGCATGCGACTGCAGCATATATTCACTGCGATAAGATTGCGCAGGTGTCCATTCGAGTAGCAGCTCTGACAAGGGCGAAAAATGAGCGGACCAAAGAGGGGTAGGATCCTGCTCGATCCACTTAGCGCTGTGGATCCGACCAGGGTCCTTTGCACGCACACGAAGTGGGGTATCATAGTCGTAAAAGCGACACTGGACCGTGTTGTGCTCACATAAAAGAACAGGGCACCGGATCTGTGTGAGCAATGGCACGTACAGCAGGATGCGTGCCAGGGAGGAAGGCAACATTGGCGTAGATGGTAAGCGAGAGTGTGAATGAACGCTCAATCTGCGGCACAGTAAGTATAGCACTTGCTCCGCGGCTTTGCACGTGCGGCTGCGCAACCAGAGCCCCATGTGTATCAGCCTGAGCATGCATCAGTTCGACTTGAGGCGCCTCCCACAGGATATACTCACGTGCGGGGGATGGGCCTGGAACGGGCACAGCAATCTGCCACTCGACTGAGCCGCGCTCGAGCCCAACATCAAGACGTACGTCCTGCAGCGCTGCGTGTATGTTGGATCCGCCGGGCTTGAGCGCGTGTGCGCACTCCATGCTGGCCGTTGCCAGGATGTGGAGCACGACGGTCGTGCGCCACGTGACGGGGGTCGGCGATACTCGAGGAACGCCTTTCTTCGTTTGACGATGATGCGCGCCGGCGGTGTGCCAGTGCGCGGCTCCATGGGGCCAAGTGCCTGGCGCATGTATGCGACGCGCTCTGCTTCTGAGCCGCGAGTGCCGGCGCAGCAGGCGCAGCGCCGTGGTCGTGACCGGCTGCGACGACTCCTGCCACGCGGTCCCTTGCCGCCCTACCGCGAGTGGCTGAAGGGCGATGCGGAGCGCTTCCGGTACCCTGCGCCGGGAAATGGGCCGCATTGGATTGGAACTACGCCCTTTCCTCTGAATCCGGCGTTCCACCCGCCGCCCCCCGTGCACCAACAAGTGCGCGACGATATGTGGAAGCTACACACACAAGACCCCCAGCAGTGGACGGTGCGGTCGCTCTCGAGCAAGTTCCGCCTTTCGCTCGAGCGGACTGAGTCAGTGCTGCGCCTCAAGGCACTCGAAGAAGAGTTTGTGCAGGAGGTACGTATCGCAGTCACGCGCGCACGGCAAAGATGCGGCAAACGATTAGTCTTGAAGACATATTATGGTTACATCACCCTATTTCCTGAGCCGTGCACGCACTGAGTATGCGAACAGACTTACACGCAGGGAAAGCCGCTGCAGACGGAGCTGCAGCGCCATATGGAGCGCCTGCTGGGCGCGCGTCCCACGTTTACGGTCGGGACGCGGCCAGTGCCTATCAGCGCGCCGCACTCGCCGCGCGGTGCACCGTACGAAGAGCTTTCGGAAGGGACAGATCCATCAGTATGTATGCACTGCTTACGCAGACGTACAAGTCGCCCCTCGCAGACGCGATTCGCGAGTCGAACCGCGCACACCGCCGAACCATGGCGGAGCTGCCGACGGGCGCGCCAAACCTTACGTCTGAGTCGCGGGCCGTCCCGGCGTCGCGCGACGGCCGGGCGCCCCTGCGTGTAGTGCGTGTGGCCGCCGACTCGTACATGGGCATTGGCACAGTGGAGCGCAACCGCAAGCGCGCCGCGCGCCGTGCGCAGCAGCGCGCCAAGCGCGCGCAGGCCTAAGGGGCCGGATCAGGCGCCGGCGCCTCGGGTAGCCCATAGTAGAGCGGCAGTGCGTAGGGCGCATACCGGTGCGTCTCATTAATGCGGCGGAACGGTTGAATAAACGAAAGGGGATAGGCCCAGTCCGCCACCGGCATTGTGCCCAAGGGCAAAGTGCGTGGGCGCAAATCATGGTCAGGGTCGCGCTCCGATGCTTCGTATGGCATCCGCAGCTTAAACGTCTGAATCTCCGTATCAGTGACCGTGTAGCGTGATACGCGCGCGTATCCGATGCGGTGCACGCCACGGAAACCGAGGTACTGGCACCAGCGGTTCATGTCGGTCGCGTCCACGTCATGAATGCGCCCATCGCGGAACAGAATGTCGTATGGGCTCGGGCGCGGCGCATGCGGGCGTGTTACCAAGTAGCCCATAAAGATGGCGGGATGGGGATATGCCTCGCGTAGCAGGCGGGCGAGCTCGGTTGTTTGGAGCTCGCGGTCCAGCGGGTCCTCTTCCTGCCCATTGTGCGAGACCACGACGTGGGTCGGCACACCATATATGTCCAGCACTGCATGGATTGCCGGCGCCAGCTCACCGTGCGGCGACGGCAGAAGGTGGTGCGTGGAGTTGATGATCGGAAATTTGGACAAGAGCACAGCGCCCCATGTGTGCTTCTTCGGACTCGGTCCGAGATCCGCATACATTTGCAGGTCCTGTGCGAGCCACTGGGTAAGGTCGCGATTACCAAACGCAGGTCGGTTGAGGTCCGTCTCCAGGAGGCCTACGATGTCCAGCTCGAGATCCTTGAGCACGCGACTCATGCGTCGCGTGCTATCGCGCATGTTCTGGTCAAAGCCAAAGTGCACGGTCCATATACCGGCTGTGACTATGCGGTCGGCCGGGTGGTACGGCTGGATCGCACGTGCATCCACGCGGCGCCAATATGGTACGAGCGATGCCACGAGGACGAGCAGTCCAAGTAGCGTATACACAACGCAGTGAACCGTTTGGGCACGCGCGCCATGACCCGGGACGAGGCGCTGACCCTCGGGCGCCGTGCGAGCGGTGAGCACACCAGCCAAGAGCACAAGTGTCTGCACGAGCGTTAGCGCGCCCGTGTGCTCTCGCATTATGTACGCGCCAGGGAGAAATGCGTACGCCGTCGTTAGAACACCAAGGAACGCTAGGAACGACATGGCGAACCATGCCGCTGACATAGCGCGCAGTGGATGGTGCGCAAGTGCACTCTGTAGCAGCGGTGCCAGCATCATTGGAAGCGTTAGGGCAACGAGCAGGCCTCCAGCAAAGCTTGGCCAGTTGTCGAGGCGTAGAAGTAGGGCCATTCCCATTGCATGTAGTGCCATGACCCCATACGTAGTGCCCATGCGGGGTGCCGAGAGTGATGCGGCCGAACCAAGAGCCATAGCCGCAACGACCCACACGCCGTGCGAGACGGCCATGGGGCCCTGGAGCGGGTAACCTGTCCAGCCGTACGAAATCACCGTGCCAGCATCGCTGAGGAAGGTCTGCACTTCACATAGCCACACGCCCAAGGCACCCGCAGCCACGACGAAGCGGCGCCACGCATGGGGCAGCGAAGTGGGCATGCGGCGCACATGCACCGCAGGATACTGGCACAGAGATGGGACGAACAGGGGAACGAGGCACACCGTGGCTACCGCCAGCGCAAAAATGTGCCACCCGCCGTTGGTCGCGTCCAAGAACGCCCATATTGGGATGTTGGCATGGTTCACATAGCGCGAGACCACGGCAGTAACGAGACCGACAAGCCAAATGGCGGCGGTTTCGTCGAGCCGTGCCGCCTCCCAGGCGTGCGACCAGTCGACAGCGCTGAGTACTGCCACAGCAGCGCACGAAAGTGCGTGAATTACGAGACGCGTCAGGGCCTGAGGAAGCACGTACGAGGCCACCGTTGCTAGCGACATCAGCCAGAGAGCGCCTGCACGCCACGGCCGCACGTGCCGGATCGAGCCGGGGGTGTCAGACTGGAAACATCGCTGCAGCGGCGAAAATGCGACGATAGCCAAGCCCAGAGCCGGAGCAAGGACGAGCAGTTCGAGGCCCTTGGCGGCCATGTTCGACACGCTGAAATAAAAGATCATAGAGATGAGCGCAAAAAGAGAGGACCATGCGGTCCACGCAAGGAGGGCCTGCGATACGACCCAGCCCCATATGCGCACAGCAGTTGGCGGCGCGGGGGCAGTCGCAACCGACGGTACAGTTGGCGGTGCCTCCAACACCTGTATAGCGAAAGCCTTCAAATCTTGAGCGCTTGCCGCATCGAAGAGCACATCGAAAAACACTAGCGACCACTCAAGCAGCGAGTAGTATGTGTACATGCCAGGGATGCGGTCGCGGCGATGCGCAAGGTAAAAGTATACCATAAAAGGTGTACACGCATAGAAGAGCGTCGACGCGATGACTCGCAGCCACTGTGCGCGGCGGTGGGCGGCACTGAGGGGCGAGGCCGGCGGTGTACGCAGCTGCGTAAGGCACAGAGCCATCCACACGGGCGTGAGAGCCAGGTAAATGCCCATGGCCACATCGTGCGTAAGAGCATGATCAGAGGACGTAATAAAGATCCATCCACCGCAGGCAAACGTTCGAAGCACACCTGCCGTCGCGAGGCAGGCGCCCCCGAAGGGACGGCCGTAGCGACAGGCCAGAGCGCCGAGCAATGCTATCATCACAAAGCGGAAGCCGGATGTTGCCGCACAGAGAATTTGGAATACGTTCCGCTCAGGGAACCAGTCACCAATGGTGGCGCTCACCGAGGGCCACCACTCGTCCGGGTATCCGGCGACATGGTTCTTGACGACACGCCGATAGTGCAGGGATAGACTTAGCGCAAGGGCAAGAGAAAAACTAGTGTATCCAAGAACAGTATGCGCGATCGAGAACACGGCGCCCGTGCACGTTAGCTGCACGCGCTGACCAGGGCAGCCACTAGGAGCCACGTCGCAGCCCATACGAGGAAATGCACCGTGCGAGGCTGGGTCGTTCGTTAGCCACGTGGCTTTGAACGCCTACTGTGCATCCGGACGTGTTGTGGCCCTCCACTTTCATATGAACGGCTGCTTCGTGCGCATTGAACTTCCACAGGCACGAGACCCTGCTTATGGGCTGAGCACTGGCAGCTCAGCCCCATCCACCACGCTGGCTATTGTGCCTCTAACGTCGACGCACCGTTGACCCACGGATCTGGGTTTTCCTAATCTGCGAATGCCATACGCAACCCCATTCCTCGTGGATCCCGTCGAGGACGTGCCAAGCATGCACCTTGGCATCACGTTTCCATGGGAGAAGACCACGGACTCGACGATCCTCGGCGGTCAAGCCCATTTTCTACAGCTCGATATGGGCGAGCTTGAGTCGGAAGAGGATAGCGATGGTCATGAGGGACTTGCGCAGCGCACGAGCGCCACCTCGCTACCTTCGAACGCCAGCGTGGCCCCTACAGAGAGTGCCATACCAGTACATGGCACTCGTCCTTCCTTGGGTGAGCCTTGGAAAGTGACAGAGACGCCGTTTGACTTGTACGAGGATGCGCTACTTCAGGAACACAGACATGCACAGAGTGCGCAAGCGGAGACTGGAGTATCAGCAGCGTCGGAGCCCGAGGCAGAGTCGACGCTCGTGGCGCCAGAGCCCCAACCACGGCCCATGGACCGCGATCCGATCCAGCCTATGTCCGAGGCAGTTGTGGAGGACAACCCAAACGGGTCCGTACACGACTCGATATTCCGAAACCCGCACGAAGAAGCAACGCTACCTGCCTCGCCTACCAGCGCCAACGAGCCTGTGTCATCGTCGTCGTGGATCCCTATGATGCATGATGAGCACTTGGCACCGGAAGCTACGACGCTGCAAATGCTGCCAGGAGAAACTCCGACGGCACCCCAAGAGTTCCAGGGAGATAGCCAGGACCCAGGCGCGGACGCTCTTGGAATCTCAAGCATGCCGCAGCAAATTCCCCACACATCTGAGGAATTTCCGTATTCGATGCCCGGTCCGCATGACACGACGGAGGAGCCGGTGCGCCGGGGCGGCCGCATGCGGCCTACCAGGAGGGCAGTACCTGACACAAGCAAGCTAGAGGAGCGCCACGAGCCTCCCGTGGGCAAGACTCTAAAAAGCAAAGCTAGTCGTTTCTTCAAGAAGGTATTTCCGAAACAGCAGCGCTCCACCGCGGATGCTCCTCCGTTGCCCACGAATCGCGTCAGTCGCGCATCGCGCCTCCCCTTCCGAAGCCACAAAAGTGAGCAGAGTGTTCAGCAGGCTTCGGACTTTGACACCGCAAGTACCCAGCCTGGCCTGACGGGTCCGCACAGTTTGACTGGTATCGCGCCATCAGTCACTATGCAAAGCACCCCTCCCATGGTTCCCAACATGCTGGACCGCCAAGAGCCTAGTCCGTACTACTCGCCCGAGGCATCGCTGCCGTCGTCACCCCAAGCTGCATCGCACCGCCTCTCGTTCAGCTCGTTCCGCCGCCAAGATGCTACGGGGGCATCCAGGCCGACGTCACTGTTCTCCCTTTTCAAAAAGCGGCACCAGGAGCCCATGAGCCTGTCTCACCAGGCGTCCAACGGACGCTTGCCTCACTGCAGTGTTGTCGAAGAGCCGCTTCCTGTGGCCATTGAGGCACAGCGCCAAGAGTCTCTGAATCGCTCCCACAGCCGCCGTCGGAGCCTAGGTGGCTGGGATGAACGTACCATGCAGCCAAGCACACAACCGCGACCCCCTAGTGTGGTGCTCGAAACGTCAGAGCCAGAAGCACCGTCGATGGATGTGCCGGAGGCGTCTGAACTGCCCACGGAGCAGTCGACCGTATTGTCGCATGGTTATGAAACGGCGCTGGAGGCGCACGAGCCTCTCGTACCTGAGACGAACACCACGCCAATGGTTTCCGACGACCGGTTGCCACAAGAAGAACCGATGCCAGCGAACAAAGAAGATGAGCATATAATCGATGAGGCAGTCGTGGTCGAAAGCAAGCAACACTCAGGAATGACGCCTAATGCTGAACTCCCTAGACGCCAGTGCCCTGACTCGCTCTCCAGCGATGAAAAGCGCCTGTCGCTAGGACTTGATGAGAATGCATGGGAACTAGAGTTGAACTTTGGTGCACTCGGCGAGTCAGAGGCGAGTCGTAATCCATACTTGGCGTCTCGCGCGAAGGAAGAGCCAAATTTTTATGACTGGTTTGGCGAGAGACCTGAGCAGGCCCCTGTGCTGCCAATGCTATCACAAAGTGAGCCTATTGAGCTTGCACATTGATCGCAAATATAAGAGGCATGCATCAAGGCAAGCGCAGCGACCCTTTATCGCGCGATGGTATTTATCGCACTACTTCGCTATATAGACCGTAGATTTATTATTGCCCCAAATGCCATTTGGATGTGTGAGCGACTTCACGATCTGCGCAGGATGCAGCATGTTGGGCTCGGCCGGGTCGGGCTTTCTCCACAGTGACCGGTCATGATATGGCTGACCGGCACTTTCAAGAGGCATTGTGATTGGCTCCATCAATTCGCTGGGGCCGGCGGACGCGTCAAACGGTTCCAGTGTGGCCTACAAAAGATGCGGGGCTTGTACTTCTTGAATACCTACCAACTGCAATGAGCGAGTTCAAGTCGACCCAGTACTTCAAGCAGATTTCGGACGGCATCAATGGCTTCTCTGATGCTGAGAAGAAGGACCTGCAGAAGAAGACCAACGCTGTCTTTGAGTTTCACGTGAAGAACAAGGGCGGCGAGGAGCTCGTCCAGACCATCGATCTGAAGAAGGACGTGTCTGTCTACGAGGGCAAGGCGAAGGGCAAGGCTGACTGCATTATCAACCTGGCCGATGAGACCTTTGCTGATCTGGCTGATGGCAAGATCAATGGCCAGAAGGCTTTCATGGGCGGCAAGCTTAAGGTCAAGGGCAACATCATGCTGGCCACCAAGCTCGATGCTGTGCTCAAAGCCCAGAAGGTATGTTGTGATCTAGGTGCTTGGAAACTAACCGTTCAGTCTAAGCTGTAAAGCCGTCCTCGTGATAGAGTTATAGGCGAAACAAACGCTATGTATGCATTTCATTAAAACGAACCACATTCGAAATGGAGCATCTTTATCTATCCTCTACTGGGGCCGCGATGCTGCGTGGTGAAACGTCGGAAAAGGCCGCCCCCACGCGATGGCATTTCATTCTGCTTCTCACGGCTGTCACTGGCTCTCCTCTCACTCATAGAAGAACGCTGCTGCATAGCCGCCGAACTCTCTTGCTGAACCGACACCTTCGGAGGTAGCGGTGGTGGTGCATCGGAAGCACGTGGCGGCGTGAAAGTCGGCGCCATGGCACGCTGCGAGGTAGCCGCCGTAGCTTCTGGCTGCAAAGGGAAGACACCAGGGCCAGTCTGTCCAGCAGAGGCACCTGCCGAATCGGTGGGAAGGGTCACGGTCGTCGGGGCTATGCTTGAAGACAGGGGCGCTGCTGCTTGAGGAACATGCCTTATTTGATTTTCACGGCGGGAACCAACAGCAGTTGAGCGCGCCGTGCTTTCAGGCATCGACGCCTCCACGGGGTCCAACTTAAGTCGTCGCAGGCGTCCCATAAGACTCTTGCTACGCCCAATGGCAGCATTGTCCTTTCGTGATACAGACATAATGTCATAGGTTTCCGAAGGGGCATCTAGACCCTCATTGCGCGAACTAGCATTATCTGCGCGGCGACGACCACCTCTTAAAATAGATTCCATGTCACCGAACTCTTGGGGCTGGCTCAACGGGGACGGAGTGGTTGACTTCTGTTGATATGGACTTGAATTGAGGAATTCTTGCCAAGGTTCAGTGCCAGTGCCCATCAATTCACCTTGGGCCGTGTTGGGATCCGCGTAGCCACTTATTCCCATGTCATCTTGATTCGCACTGATCTCGGAGAGTTCATGCAATTGCTCCCTGGATGGATCTTCAGCATCCGGCATGCCACCCTCCCGTTGTTGATGAGACTCCAGGAGAGCCTTCGTGACTGGATCGACAGATCGATCAAATGCGCGAACTGGTGCAGTACGTGTACCCCTGTTAAATTGTGGCGAGCAAGCATCGTAGGGTGAATCATGATGGAACACTAGTGTTAGTCAATATGAGATACATACAGGAAGCACCAGTGAGCCCTGAAATATCAAGCTGGTCGATTATATCCAGACGCGAGTGATGAGAAGCGTCTGGTCCGTTGACGATTTGTGGGTCAACATATTGTGATTTGCGAATAGCATCCTTTTTCTTGGACTTTCCCTTGGATTTCACCCCACTCTTCCGGCTCTTCGGTGGTGGTGCGGGAGCTCCAACATCGACTCTGGGAACACCAGACATGGAATCAGGTGGGCCTGTGGAATATTGATGGTTGCGTAGGGGTCTCCCTGCCTGTTGGGGTGTGAGGTGATTGGTGCCGCGTCTCCGTGGCAACCGCGGCCTGCACCAGCAGCTATGCTTTTCTCTATTGGACAAAAAAAATGTATGCGGGGAGACATTAGCGTGCGCCGGCGTATTAACTAATAGTACAGGTAGGGTGCATTCAGATCGGGCCCAAATAGTCCGTGATCCAAACAGTTTTATCCTCGCACGCTGCCAGCACGCGCGTGGCATCCAAGCACACATGAAATATACGACCATGATGCATACCATTTTCAAGGACTAGATGAGGTGAGTCCTCGCCATAGAGATATTGTGCAGAGTCAAGAAGAGAGGCCAGGTGCCACGTGCGAGTCATCCGATCCCAGCCCCCCGTAACGAGAATATATCGATCGGGATCATATGCAAGTGTGCGGACGAGCTGGTAATGAGCTTGAAATTGACAGATGCATTGTCCTGTCCGCCACTGCCAGATCCGAACAGCTTTATCACTGCTCCCTGTAAAACACAACTCTTGACATAAATGAATAGTAGCGACGCCATTTGATATGCCGGATAGTTCCTGGAGCGTAGCGCCTGTTGACGGTTCCCAAATATGTACAGAGCCATCGGCCGCTGCGCTTGCTACATGGCCCTCGTTCATATGACAAGCATTTACACACGCATGGTGACCTTTGTATATGCGTCGTAGCTCACCTGTGTCGCAATGCCAAACACGTAAAGTAGTGTCCCGACTCGCTGTAACAATCCATGTATCATCCCCACACACGCCAAGGATGCCAGCTTTATGGCCTTGTAGCGTGTACTTCAGAGACATGTCAGGTTTACTTGTCCTTGTGGAAGAAGTGATCCGCCATACACAAGCTGTACCATCGGAACTACCACTGACAAGAAGTCCGTTACAGTAATAGAGGGACAAAACGCTCCCTTGATGACCCGAGACAATCGACACGCACTCACAAGTTTCACTGTCCCAAAGTCGAAGAGTCCAATCGCGAGATCCTGTCACGATATAGCCCCGATGCGAACTGTCATGAGAGGGAACAAAGCAACACGTATATACACTGTCTTGATGACCTACTAGTCGGGATAGTTGGGGTCGGAAAGGTGTTGGGACAGTGTCCGCGCGTATTTTGGTTTGAAGAATCGTCCAGCGTCTTTCCAATTCAAAATGGCCCATATAAATTCTCTGCCAGTTAGATACAGATGGACAAGTCACGGGCAGAACTAGTGAAAGTTGAGCTTCGATTTGTGAGTGCTTCTTACTCCAGCCGCGCCGTTGCAAAAAAAGCTGCCGCCAAAGAACAGGATCAGATGCAAGTGTGTGCCAAGAATGGCACACGAGACTTGAATTTAGCACATCAATTGCAGTGGGTAGAAGCGAAAGAATGTAAATAGAGATTTCAATAGGTAGTTTGGAAAGAAAGTCTTTGCGTCAATGCTCTGTGACATACCAACTCCACCAGGACCCTCCTTACAGTGTGAAGACCCGTCTCCAAAATCAATCCCCAATTTAGGAGAAGGGAACAGTATGCCTGTGCTGGAAGACCAAGATTCGGGCCATAGGTTCCAGACTGGCCACATTCGCCGCTGGCCACTGGAGGTGCACCTAGAACAAGCCGCTACTCCACATATATTGCAGCGCCATGTCTTTCATCTATACAGATAGAAACGGCTGTAGAGGGTAGGGAAAAGGGAGAAAAAAAAATCTATAGAACAGTCCATATCTGCCTCCGTGCGGGCTACAGTCATGGTTATACGCAATGTAAATTGGATGGTTCAAAAGAAGGGCGCTAAAATGGATTGTAGCGATGTTGTTGGTAGACAGGTTGTTGATAGTCCTGATCGTACTGAGAGGTTTGTGAATACCACGGTTGTTCCCAAGTAGATGGAGCCGCTGCATAACGGTATTCTTCCTTCACTGGGTAATATTGAGAATCGTGGTCGTCGGCCACATAGGCATAGGTGCCATTCGAAAAAGCAGAGTCATTGGCATACGCTTGTTTACTCCCAGAGTCTGTGTAGAAATCAAATGCAGTGCCATCTGCGTATGATTTATTCAATGTACCATCTTTGCCATCCGTATTCGCTTCTCGCAAAGCCCGAACGCGCTCTGCAGTGGTCATCTTGCGCGTCGAACCATTGCGACCACGTCGCGTGCTGTGGCGCCGATGGTCGCCAGCACCAATGCTTTCCACACGAGAAAGCTGACTAGAACCCGACTTGGTCCGGTAGTGAGAGGAGCCGTGGGAGGGTTGGTTGTAATAGTTTAGAGCACCATCGTAGTACGAGTTCCTGTCATCACGGTAGTTGCTGTAGGCATTGGAGTTCACAGGAGGTTCTGGCAGGGGTACATAGCCACGCGACGAGCGCGACGGGCGCGAAACTGTCGCAGAAGCCACTTCATGATGTGATTCGAAAGGCGATTGATCCTGGCTATTGGTGGCATACGGGTCTGCGTAGCCCGAGTTGTATCGGTATTGCTGGTCCGCGTATGATTCGATAGGAGGGGCAGGAAGTGCTCGTGATTTTCGTGCTTTCGAGCGTGGTGGCTTGCTATTCGGCAAGGCGGCGTTCGAAGAGGACTGAGTCGCTTGCAAATAAGGAGCCGGTTGTGAAGCATTAGCATACGAATAAGGTACGACATTCTTTGAGTGAGAGGGCTGTGAATAGCCTTGGACGGGTACCGACGACAACAGATTGGCTTGCGATGCTGTGGCATTGCCTGTGTGGCCCTTGACCTCAGATGTCGGCCGCAGACGACCTGCCATGCTAGGACGTACCCCAACAGGTGGCAGCGACGCATGACGCGCTTCAAGACGAGGAGGATTTAGAAGCTTAAGCAAGGCGCCCAGCAACAGCAAAATAATGAACAATGCACCAAAGGCAACGACAAAAGCAATAGCACTGTTTTCAGGGATACCTGCGGTAAATTTACGATGTTTAGGCGGAGGTCTGGTATAAGTAGGGCGAGAGTTTACACGTACGGAGGATCGGGCGAGTCAGGTGGTGGTCCCGAGGGTTGGGGGTCTTGTGCCAGAACCCCTGAGAAGGCAGGATAGACGACCAAGATAAGGACACATTGAAACTAAAGTATTAGTATAGTCATCACATACAAGATCTCGGACTCCCACCATACTAGAGCCTCACGGAAGTATGGCGAGCCGCCTTTAGATGTACTGGGAGGGTGCGGGTGACTGAGAAAGAATCTACACGCGCTTGTGTAATTGAGCTCTCTTCTCAATGCAAGGCGTGATAGTCAGCCACATGCGTGGCTCGAGTTAAAAGCCAATCGTTGTGGGCAAAAAGTAAAAAGCTGTACATTGACATAAGCATAGAAGTACGCGCCCGTCCAAAACCATGCCTGCAAGCTATGTAAGCTATGCGCATTTCACAAATGGCCTGTGCCACTCCACAGTGCTACGGCCCAAGCTAGCTACAAGTAGGTAACCTGAGTCGCCCTAGAGAGTTAGTGAAAGCTGCATGGAATAACTTACATCCGGATCGTGTCGAGCAGCCGTTGCTTGATAATAGCAAGCCATGAGGGGCTCTTCGAGCCGTGCCTCCCGCTGCTGCTTCGAAACAACAGAGCTACGACTAGCAAAAGGATGGCAGATAGGGCTCGTTCGTGCGTGATGTGGGACAAAAAGAGCGACCACCAAGTAGAACGTGATTGAACAGGGCTGACCGTGGGTTCGGGCCTGGGGCGGCGTTGTAAATACTGCTGCAGATGTTTGCGCTGATCAGCGTGTGACAAGGGCGAGGGAGAGGGCTCTGCTGTGAGACTGGCGGGTCGCCCGCGGATACTGGGCGTCCGCTGTACCGTAGGGCGCGCAACCGTCTCGTTGGGCTTCGCTAGCGGAACAGGTGCCATCTGCTTTGACGGGGTATCTTGGGGCGTCGCGGCACTACGCCTGCTTTTCTCTGATTCATACTGCTGCTGAGCGTGGCGCAAGACCTCAATTTCGCGCTCAACCTTGTGTTTTTCATTTTCTTGAGCAGTAGAAAGGGCATTCAGCACATCCAACTTGGTCGGTGAGGGCAGTGTGCTATACTCGACAAAGCCATAGGCATAGTCCCATTCGCCTAGATACAAGCCCAGCACCTGAATAGTATAGAGACGCAGAATGCGCTCGTACTTTTCCGCATCATGATGAATATCGTCTGCCTGTACAACTGCAGAGAAGAAGCATTCACATGTCTGTCGCGCGATCTGCGAGCGGGCCGACGTCGGCGCTGCAGCATTGGCGAGTGTATCCATTTGAAGTGCCATAAGAATAGCGGAAGTGAGTACAGGTGTGGGTATGCGTAGAAGGACCTGCTCCGCGACGGGTGTAAGCGCGATAGAAGTGGGCAGCGTTTCAGGTGCGGGTCCTCGGGCCAAAGCGTACAGGCACTCGTACCATAGCTGGGTAAATAGAGAGTTGGGCCCCATGTTGAGCATGTGCTCTAGTTTATGAGCGTGCACATCTTCTGCATGGTGCAAGGCTTTTGTAACACGGGCTCTGACCGCGGCATGAGCGGAGATGGTCGAGACAACAGTGAATCTCAGCACTAGCAGCTGCTCCAACGAGGTGTCGAGGCCCTCGTGAGTGGATTCTAGTGCCTTTTCGATATCGAGCAAGCACTGTACATAGTCTTTACGAAGAAAGGCCTGTGTGGCATTCACACACGGCTCGCGCAGCGGATCGGCCATGGAATAGGTCGAAAGATTCCTTCTCCACTGACGCCGGTGTCTGGATGCGAGCGGCACAAGAAGATGCGGCCACGGTTATTGCCATACGGTATTTGAGCCGGCCAACAGGGAAGCAGCGCATTCTCGCCAAGCTGGTATGTAAGAGCACACTAATAAGAGCTTCAAAGCACCGATAATCGATTCCAGGCCTTGTGTGAGCACATTACACGCCCCGCATGTGCTCAGGCTCGGGCAGCGCAGGGAGCGCCAACGTTCTGCGAGCGAGTGCACTTCAAGCCGCTCATTATGCCCCATACAAAGGTTGAACTAGGTCACTGTGGTTATTTAAGTTCTTGTCACCGCAAGATGACGTGCCCATTTCTGCATTTTGTGGTAGACGATTCACTGCTTCAGACGCCCTTTGAATGGAAATGCTCAAGCCTCACGCCCTACCCGATGTGCTCGGAGCGTGCAATGGAGGCTTCCCTGCGAGAGCCGATGCAGCAATTAGACCGCTACGGTCTGGCCGCGTGGGTGCGCGCTGGTCCAGAGAGGGCGTTGGATAAGCAGTTCCGCCCCGGCCAGTGGATTGACTGTGACTTGCGCGCATTTGACCTTTCGACACTGGGACACTTTGATGTGATCTTGGCCGATCCTCCGTGGGATATCCACATGTCGCTGCCGTATGGGACTCTGTCGGATGACGACATGCGTGCGTTGGACGTGCCAGCGCTACAAGCGGAGGGCCTGCTCTTCCTGTGGGTGACGGGCCGGTCTATGGAGCTCGGGCGCCAGCTACTGGGACAATGGGGCTACACGCGTGCGGATGAGCTGATCTGGATCAAGACGAACCAGATGGAGCGGCTCGTCCGGACGGGCCGTACGGGCCACTGGCTAAACCACTCGAAGGAGCATTGCCTCGTCGGCATCAAATATGCCAAGCGGCGCGACCAGCCCGATGCTTGGGCCCCTGGACAGAGTCGACACGTGCTTCCGTGGCTCCATGACGGTCTGGGCACCGACGTCATCGTGTCACAAGTACGGGACACGTCCCGCAAACCTGACGAGCTATATGCAATGATCGAGAAGATGTGCCCCGGTGGGCGGAAAATTGAGCTCTTTGGACGGAGACACAATGTGCGCCCTGGCTGGCTTACCCTGGGTAACCAGCTGAAGAGCACCTACGTAGTGGAGCCAAAGCTCCAAGCAGCGTGTGCAGCTACGGAGCCGGCGGGTCCGGCGGTGCCGCGCACGCCCGCACGGACCTCAATTACATAAGCCTTTTCCTGGTGGCGTCGCTCCTCTCTAGCACGACTGGTTGCATGAGCTGGCTCCGTGCGTGGTTTGGCTGCTGCGTATGCGCGCGGTCCAAGGGCCCCACGGATCACCGCCAGGATGATGTATGTCCGTATTGCTGACCATGCAGAGTGAACAAACGCCTCTCCTGGCCCCTGAAAATGGGTCGCCCTCGAGTCATCTGCCGACGTGCCTCTTTCCAGAACAGGTCGTGAACGAGTGCCTCGCTGATCTACGAATGTACGTTAAATACACTGACCTTATGAGAATGCTGCCTGTTTCGAGAGGTGAAGCCACGATGGAACGCTCTTCTGTCCTTGTCGAGGCCGCTGACGCCACGGCACCGCGCTCGCCCGGGCAGATTGTGGTTCGTCCCGTGACGTTTATGGACACGTCTCCTACGAGCAAGATACCCCCTGGTGCTGCTTCGAACGATGCGGATGAGTACGATGTTATTGAGTCGACGCGCACAAGGTTGCTGCAGTGCTTGGCCGAGTTGGAGACCGCGTCGTAAACTATAGGCGCTCTATGACTAGATGCCTATAAGCGACAAAGGAGCCAGAGCGCACCGGCCCGTCGCTCTGCCGCAGCTCTGCAGGTCCAAAGTTATCGATCCCGTCCATTGTGTACTGTGCCACCAAGGCCCATCCCCGCGTCGCGCAGAATGTATCATATACGCTCTGTAGCTCGGCGTGGTGCGTCGAACGCATCGGCATGAGTAACTGCAGCTGCGGGTGGATGGTATCGCTTCGTTGCGCCAGGTGCTGGAGCGCCACGGCTTCGATCCATACAGCATGCTGCGGATCATAGATACAGTCGGCTGCCACGATTAGTTCGTACTGTGCATCAGGCGGCACATCCCCATAAGCAGCTGCTCGCTCATCGTTATGAATCGGTAGCGTCTGTGCAGTCGTCTGGTAGCCCCCCTGTGCCAGACCACGCGCCTCGTAGACCTGCTGCCAGTCAAGGCGGCGCACCTCGACGCCGTTCACCGCGTTCGCACCGGCATTGTGCGCCAAGTTGTCGAGCACGGCTGCATGATGGTCAGTCAGTGTGACGCGCACAAAAGCGCCTTGCGCTGAAAGTCCCTGTGCGAGGGCAAGGCCAACCAAGCCGGTACCTGCGCCCAGCTCCAAGACGTGTGTTGGTCGCGCGGTTGCGTTGATATACTGCTGCAACAGCCGCCGCGCAAGGTATGGCGCAGCGCCCCAGGTGCGAGCCCCTAGCGCATCTTCTGTTAGCGTCACGTCGCGGATGCGCACAGCCGCCGCGGCCTCGCTCCGGGAGCGCGGCGCCTCGTGAGGATGCAGGAAGAAAAGGTATAATCGCTCGCGTGCGCCGCCAGCAGCCTGGCCCGCGAGGTGAACAAGGAGTGCAGCCGCTGGATCCACGAGGTGTGCGGCGTCACTTTGCCTACATGCATGTTGGATGAGCCGATCGAGCCACGCCCGCACATACTGCGCCTCGAACACATCGATAGGCGAAGTCTCCACACTGGGCTCCCAGACCCATTCTTCCTGTGGCTCATCGAGCGCGTATGCGCGCTCCATCGCGGCAATCGCCTGCTCGAGCTCAGCGATGGATGTGCCGCGAATGCGCGCGGGCAGATCGCGCGAGGCGACCCACGGGGCCTGGTTGGACATGCGCGAGAATGAATTGTGGAGGTAACTATGGCGCCAATTCACGGACAAGGTCGTGGAGCCACTGGCGGCACTCGGTCACAACCGTGTCTGAATCGGGTTTGTATACAAGCCCGGCAAAGCCAAGCTGTGAAAGAGGACGTGATTCGGGTATGCGAATGCTGGAGTCGCTGCTGCTCGAATCGCGAGACCGGTCATGCTCGATTGTCAGGGGAAGGAGCGCCTGCAGCTGCAGGTCATTAGCACGCGGTAGAAGCGACTGCGCGAGCGCAGCCCCCATGGCGGAGCTGGGAATGGACAGGGAAGAAATTTCAGTGATTTTGTTTTGAAGCGCTGCCGAGTGCAGTGACTCGCGTGTATCTTCAGTGGGGTCCGTGCAATACAGCAGCAGCGCGAGGCCCATAGGGCCCGGTGAGCCAGCATTCGGCGCGCGTGGCGCGCCCAGCTCGATGAGACGCTCAATTAGCGCGCGGGTTTCTTTCTGTAGGCTCAGATCTTTCTCCCATAGGGGCACACGCAGCACCGACGCACACGCAAACGAGAAGTCGCGCTCAAAAGATACGCCCAGCACACGGTCCATGGCGCCGCTGTCCCAGGCCTTAGTGTATCGCGCCTCGAGCAGCGTCTTTTGAACGTCATTTGTTGGAGGTAAGGCACGCAGTGCAGCATGTGCGAGGCGCACTCCGCCGGAAAGCGCGCCCGTCGCCACAAGCGAGAGTCCGACCCAAAAGAGTGATGCTGCCTGATCCGAAACGAACAGCCGCGCCAGGCATGTAGCGCACGCATTCACAACCTCAGGTGAGTGCGGGAACGCCGCAAGTAGCGCCGTGCCGACCGAATGCATGTGGCCGAGCGATGGCGTCGATACGAAGCCAAGTACATTGAGTGCACGCACTTGGACAGGCCCATCGGGCGTCAGCGCCGCAGATCGGATGCGCACTTCAATCACGGTGCGCCAGTGGTTCTCGACATCCTTGTTCGGCGCAAGTGCCTGGAGCACTCTTTCGACGGAGGCGACCATTTGTGGCACAGTGGGCTTTGAGACTCCGAAAAGATCCTCCATGTCGAGGTGCGCCGACTTGAAGCCGGACCAGCACGCTACCGTGTTGGCCAGCATCATATGTACGAGCTCGTGGAGTAGTTCGTCCGTGTCATGCGTAAATAGGAGGACCAGGGCAAGAATCTCGGGAAGGAAGCGTGCAAGCGGCGTCTGCGGCACGAGGCACTGCACTGCCTTTAGGCCAAGAAGCGAGCAGAGGACATGGCGCATATTGGGCATAGGCGGCGCCGTGACTGTCGCAAATACTTGCGACACTAAGAAGAAGTGCAGCGCCGGCGATGCAGCCACAATGACAGCGTCTTGGATCGAATGCGCACAAAGGGATGGCGTGCTGGACATCAGATCCAGACACGCAAGGCCAAACGCCTGTATACCCTCCGCTGACATCTTGTGAATAGTAAGGAATGACGACTGTAAGGCACCGCGGTGCTCAGGGTGCATCATCCACACAGAGAGCAAGTGGCGCCACATCGCACGCATTTGTACCGGAGGAACACTGGACATAAGATCATCGAGCCGCGTGGCTAAGAGATTCACGCGGCCATGTGAGCCGGCAATATCGAGGATCGAGCGCAGCACACTCTCCCGCAGCGATTCAGGGACCGGTGGCATGGCAAACAGGGGGCTTGTGTATATGCCCTCCGAAGCCGAACGCTCAATGCCTGTGACCCGCAACAGGGTATCAGCCGCGGACCGAAGCGGCATGTGGGGCGACATGCGGTAAAAGAGGGCCATGCCAATAAACGTTGCGCGCACCTGTGTGAGCGGCACTGTGCGGCTCACGCTCGTTGATGGCTCGTTCAGTGTCATTTGCATGCACCGGAGATCATGCACAATAGAAATACACTCATTCGAGTGAATATATAGCTCATCCGAGCAAGAGCGTCGCGACACGGCAATCTTCGATACGTTATCCGTCGAGAGCACCGCATCGACCAGGGGAATGACATCGCAGCTGTTCACATCGGGTACTGCCGGATCTGGTGAGCGCGTAGCACTCCGTATAACAATTGTATCGCCAATCACGCTCAACTCGGCAGGTACGGGGGGGCGCAGCGTATCGTCCAGGAACACGTTCGAGCGAGAATATGTACTCGGCGCGTACAGCACACGCTGCGATGCCGGTGATAGTGCATGAAGTTGGCGGTCGCTCAGGCCGGTCGCGTCGTCTCGCTTCGAGACCCAAACAATTTTTATCGGTGGACCACCCTCCAACTTGCGTCGGCGTAAAAAGGGGTTCTGATGATGTATGTCCACCAATGACCAGCTGTGCCGCATTAAGACAACGCCGGCATTCATGACATACACAGTCGACAGTTGCCAGAACGCTGTGTCAGGAAGAAGCGCCACAATGAGCGCTGTCAGCTGTGACTGCAGCATCTGGCGCTCCGACGCGCCAGTCAAGTCTAAAACGAGATCCCAGGGCCTCATCTGCAAGCTCAACGTGCGAATCACATAGTACACAAGACCAATCAGGTCTGCACGGACCATGTCCATGTGCGTGTAGGCCAAGCAGAATGCCGCACGAGACTCGCGGGGCAGCTCATAGAAAATACTTGATGCGATGCTCGTGTCGCTTTCACGATACGTCGACATAAAGTCTTCGTACACCGTCGCACGGTCGCGGCCGTCCATGATAAGCGCAATGCGCTCAGGCAGCGACAGTGCGGGTGGCACAAGGTCGAGTAAAAGTTTGGCATCGGCGTCGCCCTTGTCTGCAATCGGACGGAAGCATGCATGCAAGGCCCGCACGGCCGAAAGCGAGGGGGTTCGTGTCATAGACAGATCCGGAATGTCCGCCACAAAGCGTTCAGACGTGTCGCGAACAACGCGGTGAAGCTCAGACGAAGCCTCCGCAACCGAGTCATTCAGCTGTGTCAGCGTCGCTTCACGGTGTGAGAGGAAGCCACCCTGAGGTAGCGCCACCAGCACTTTGTTTAGAAATAGCAAAGCGCGATGGCCCGAGTCGTTCGCCGGTGGCGTCACATCCACCATGGATGGCGCCGCGATGGTCGGCCCAATCACTCGGAGACACAAACATGCATGCAGGGCACGTGTCGCACTTGCCTTGCCATAGCGCGCAGCCACCGTGTCTTTGAGAGTCACAAACACCTGATGCAGCTCGGCAGGGAGCCACAGTACAAACGACACGAGCGACTCGCGCAATGTGTGGATTAGCCGCACCGCTGTCTCACGGTGCCGCGCAAACGATGCACTTTCCGAACCGCCGCCGCCGTCCATGAGCAGCGCTTGATCGGGCACAAGCTCAACCTCCAAGACGAGGCGCCGCACCAGCGATTGCAGCTGCACATGCGCCGAGCGACGTGCATACGCCGACAAAAACACAAGCGCGGGCGAGTTGGAGCGCATCAACAGCTGCTCGCCCTGGCACTGTTGCACTTCCAGCGAGAGCAAACTGCGCAATATCTCGTGTACTTGATGCGGCAGCAATGCGCCAGAGAGCGCTCGCTCCCACTCAGGCACATCGTCCGTCGATGCCTGCATCACTTTGCTTGCGACCCAGCGCCCTTTGTCTTTGCAAAGCATCTCGACCAGAGAGGGGTGAGAGTGCACCGACTCAAGCTCGACCGCCTGGAACGTCGGTGAGTTGAGAACCTTCGCCATGGCTCGCATTACCATGCATCGCGTCACAACGAGCGGCGTGCCTGTTAGCGACACAGCCTCGGTTCGCAAGAAATCGGGGTTCTGTTCGAATATCTGACTGAGCGACTGAATAGCCAGACACGCATCAGGGTCGTGTACCACGTCAAGTCCCTGTTTCTTGTCGCTCATCGTACCGGCGCGCAGCAGACGGTCGACAGCACGCGCCGCTCGGCGATGCTGCGCGCTCTGTGGCGACAGATCGATGCGCTTCAAGAACGACGACATGAACGGCTGCAACCGGTTTGTCAAAGGGACCATGCACGACAGCACTTCGTGGCGCAGCGAAAGTGATAAGAGTGCCCATGGCAACATGCTGTCGACCAGTTCGAACCGCATCGCATCGACCTCTGGGGCCTTCATGGTGGCCATGATACTCGCGACGCGGCACACTTTAGAACGGTCCTCGTCCCTGTGCACGCTCCGAACACATGTCAGCAGCATTTCCATGACTATTGTGAGCGTCGCAGCAGGCACCTGCATCTTTCCGAGCCGCGGCACCACGGCAGCCAGTGTCGGCAACCACACAGTAACTGCCGAGTCGTCCGTACTGCCATGGTACACAAGATCGAGGATCAGCGACAGTCCAGCGTGTGGAATGGACGCCAACAATGTAAGCGCAAACGGGTGTTGAGCTGGATCCTGCAGAAGCTCACTTACAGTACGCATCACCGGTTCCTCTTTCGTCAATACCATGTCGTGAAGAGCAACATGCATACTGGCGCCAAGCACACGCGTTATGTGTTGCAGCTCATGCAACAAGGTAACGCTACTTTTTTGACGCGGTAGTAGCATCTTCCAGCGGCGGAAGAGTGCGTTCCATGTAGTTCGCACGACCAGATTGGGCGCTGGAACAGCCTGTAGAGTTTGGCACAGTAGCTTTTGGTCCGGTAAGCGCGCGAGCAGTGCAGGCAGCGGGGCAGGTAGCTTCATGTGCTGCCCAAGAAGAGTGCCCAGCTCTTTGGCAGCCATGACCACGGCATGATTCGAGCAGCACAAGCCGTATAGCACTGCACTGGGCCCCTCGAGCGGAAAGGATACTTGCTTGGCACGAACCATACGTTTGATCGAGGTTTGGGTAGACGTCAGCCAGTAGCGCTGTGAGCCTTGCGTTTCCGCAGAGAATAGCTGCATCGCGTTCTGGTGTATAAGTTCCTTGTCGTAAGGCAGGAGTATCGCGAGAATTTTTTGAGAGACAGGCAAGGGTTTCTCTAATGGCTGGAACATGTCTGGTGAAAGGTATGTGAAACGCAACATCAATACCTTGGGCGGCACCCCACCGCTGAGCCGCTTCAGGGCACACATCGCCATTGCATGCAATGTCAGCATCGTGGGGGGCATATGAACGAGCGCGAGTACCAGTGAAAATAGCGAGTCATCCTGCAGAGCCGCTTCAAGTTGATGCCCCGACAGCGAGAGCAGATAAGAGGGGTCGAGCGACTGCGTAGCGGGCAGGGCCGACAATAAGCTCATAGGATCGGCAACGGCATTGGCCAAATTGTTTTGCACAGCCGAGATGGACATCTCTGACCTATCGCGACGCACGATCCACGAGCTGACTGTGCTGCAGAGGTTGCGCCGAAGAACCGTTGCACATATCGGAAACAATGTGTTTTTCCATGACGGGTCAATCTTGTAGGAACACAGAAGATTGATCGTGTGAGAAATTACGAGCACCAGTTGGTGGCACGTACGGGTCTGGATTGCACCCTGCAGCATCTCAGCCACCTGCTGCGTATAGCGGCTGCGTACCAGAGCCGCGAGGAATAGAGCTGGTACTCGTGTCTCATTCGTGCGCATCGTAGGAAGCAGCTCGCACACGCGTTGAAAGTATTGCTGAATGAGCATTTCTGGCAGCGGCTTATTCCCAAGCGAGGCCATTTCAAACATGAGTGCGATCGAAAACAGCGAAAGGTAGTAGGTCCGTGAGTTCGCGAGATTGTGTACAACGGAATCGAGCAACTGCGCATTCTTTGTGCCTGCATCACGCCGTGTGCGTGAGGGTATATGGATGTGTGGCGACAGGCCGCTGAGGACACAGAGCGTCGGCCACAACACGGCGCGGCGCCGCGGCGAGTCGAGGACGGTGAACATCGCATCGAACAACGCGACGGCTGCCTCGGGCAAGCCATTCGCACACACTCTCATTCGTTCTTCCGGGTGCCTGAGCGACCATTTGATCAGCATACGTCGTACCACCACACTAGTATGACAAAGCACGCGACGCGGCAAGTGCGGGACACGGCCTGCCAAGCTGAACAGGAACCGCTGTAGTTCGGGCCAGCGCCAATGGAGCGATTCGTACGGACGCAAGTAGAGACGTGGATCCATCACGGAACCGCAGCACTTCAGAGTCGTTTCCCAGTTGCTTGAGCTCAGATACAGCAGGACGGTGGATAACTCGCGCGAGAGCATGGCGGCAACTGTCACGGGCGTCGAATCGAGACTGTCTGCTGGAGTGGACCAGCAAGTTGATTCAAAAGTGACACCGCCATGATCTTTTGGTAGGATTGAAGGTCGCTGAGGGGGGAAATACGGCAACACGACATGGAAGTTCTCACGGTGGATGCAGCCGGCATGGAGGCCCTGGCAGGCATCCATCATGGATACAAAATAGTCACGCTCACGTAGTACCGTGTCTTGCTCTCGTTGATGAAGAAAGTTGAGTGTACGGGTACGGTCGGGCTCCGGTAAGCTGCGACCGATCATGTTGACTTGTGTATCGATGACCGTTTGCTCATACATAAGGAGCGAATCAGCAAGTCGGAGAAGATTAGAGACCAAGTGGCGTGCAGTGTCCTCTGCCAATGGCGGAGGACTAGGCCACGCCCCCCGAGACTCGGGTACCATTTCGTCGGGCAAATGTGCCCTCCATTCGTACGAAGCACATGAGCTGATGAAGCGGATTATACATAATGCATGGTACAGCTGTAAGCACGCATCTGGTAGATCGAAAGATCCAGGTAGCTCCAGTTCCTCCAGCGCCAGTGCGAGCTCGTCAAAGACGGCATCTCGCTCTTGCCGGACATACTCAAACAAAACGCCCATGGCGATCTGGCATGTCTGAGACGGGAGCCAGGGTATCTCTGTAGAAAACACACTGGACGTGATCCTCCGAACAGAACTCTGTACGGCCGACGCCCATGGCCGTTCCAGAGTACTGCTCATGGCAGGATAAAATAGCTCTGGTCTGACTGATGTTTTACAAGATGGATGCTTCTTTGCAAATCTAAGGTGAGCCCCTGAAGACGCTGACTAATAGTGGGCGCATATCCCCAAGAGTTTCGACGACGCATATCTTGGCTTGGTTACCATTGATCGATTTCATGCTACCGCGATCCGCTGTTGCTACGTCCCTAAGTCGATGTATCTCGACGGCCTTCCGTGCGCCTGTGGCTACGCGTACATTCTCTACATCACTCCTGCGGCAAAAAATTGAGGAGAACATCTCTGGCGCACGCCTGCAGGAGATGCTCCAGAAACAAGACACCAAGCCACTCTTAGTGGACTTTTACGCAGAATGGTGCGGCCCATGCAAGATGCTAAGTCCGATCCTGCATAAACTTGCTACGACGCCGGACCTGGTGGGTGGCAAGGAGGTCGATCTGGTGACCGTCGACGTAGACAGTCATATGGAGACAGCTCAGAAGTATGGTGTATGTATATATATGCTGACCAAAGATTCGCGCAATGCCGACAGTGATCGCATTCAAGGACGGAAAACAGGTTACGTCCTTCGTCGGCGTTCTGCCAGAAGCCCAGTTGCGTCAATTCATCGAAGCTCTCTGATTTGTGCAATAATGCCGCACGGGCTCGATTCGAAGCGCCGCCCTGCACCCCTGCAATCTCACGTGCATAGATTTATTGGTCTGTTCAAAAACGACCCATTTGAAACAATCACTATAGTACAGGGACAACTACGTCCGCACATGCTTCTTCGCTGACGAGTCCTCGTCATGAGAACGTTTCCTCCCTGACGACACGTCTTTGTCTTTTTTGTGTTTTTTCTCCTTCTTCTCCTTCTTCTCCTTCTCCTCCTTCTTCTCCTTCTTCTCCTTCTTCTCCTTCTTCTCCTTCTTCTCCTTCTTCTCCTTCTCCTCCTTCTTCTCCTTCTTCTCCTTCTTCTCCTTCTCCTCCTTCTTCTCCTTCTCCTCCTTCTTCTCCTTCTCCTCCTTCTCCTCCTCCTTCTCCTTCTCCTTCTCCTCCTCCTTCTCCTTCTTCTTCTTCTCCTTCTCCTCCTTCTTCTTATCTTTCTTTTCCTTCTTTCCGTCCTTGTCCTTCTTTTTTTCCTTCTTCTCTTTTTTACCAGACTTAACATCTGGCTCAGACTCTTCTGTGCCTGAGGCAAGCTCCGTCATCATTGCAGATGATTCCTGATGCTCGTCGTCGTCATCCACCTCCTCGTCCAACGCTGCGGGCTCTGGCTGCCTATAGTCGCTCACACCCTCATCATCGTCCTCACCATTGTCCTGCACTTCAGCCACATCCTCGTCTGAATCATCCTCCCAGCGCACACGGCGAGGGGCCGGCACAGACACTTCCTCAGGCTGTTCGTCCATAGGCTCCGTCGCGCTGAGACTCTGCTCGAACGATAGAGAACCGGGACGCGGCGGCGGCACGCTAAACGGATCGTCAAGCAAACTGCCATGCAGAGACAACATCTGGTGGGCCACCGTCATACTGATGACAGAAAATGTGAGACGACCATCGTCGCCGCCAAGCCGCTCCCGTGTTACTTTGTGTCTCCAGAAGCCGATGCTGCGGTCGGTTAAGCTGCGCCGGTGACTCTCACCGGCATCGCTGTAGTGGACAAACTCCCATTCAGAAGCAGGAAGGTGCGCAGCCGAGATAGCTGCGTTGAATGTATCATAGAGCAACAGAGATACATGGCTAGGGAGCGACAGGGACATGGTGCCTTGGAGCGCCATGCCGATTTCGGGACGCCAAACCAAGGCTGTAAAGCTCACCGGTGCTGCTGCAAATGCTGCATCACCGTCAATATCGCCGAGCGCACGCAAGAACTTGGCATTCGAGTGCGTGACTAGCACGCCCTCAAGCTGAGGAATATAGCGCATGACAAGTGTGTCGAGCTGTTCCAAAACGGATGATAAGGGATCCATTGTCCATGCAGGGGGGATGGCAAAGTGCATCTTGGCCTGGACCTTGACAAGCCCCGTCGAGCTGGCGATCGGCCGCGGCGCAGCGACCTGAGCCGCGTCCTTCTTGCCCATGGTCGTCGGCGAGGTCGGTGCGCCGCAAAAAAGTGCCAGGGTGGCACGTGACCACGTGACACACGGCCACTGGAAGCGCAAAGAAGCGGTGTTTTTCGGTGGCCTGCGTGGATCCTCCCAACGACCATCCGCAATATGTCTGACGCCCAGAACATCCCCAACTTCAAGCTGGTTCTTGGTACGTGGGTCTTGCGCGCAGCAACTAACGCACTAAAGTCGGTGACGGTGGTACTGGTAAGACCACGTTCGTGAAGGTGTGTAAGACTCAGAGAGCGCGTTACTCACACGGACCAGCGTCACCTGACGGGTGAGTTTGAGAAGAAGTACATTGCCACCCTGGGTGTCGAGGTGCACCCTCTGCAGTTCCACACCAACTTTGGCCCGATTGTGTTCAACGTGTGGGACACGGCCGGCCAAGAGAAGTTCGGTGGTCTGCGCGATGGCTACTACATCCAGGGCCAGTGCGGTATCATCATGTTTGATGTGACCTCGCGTATCACATACAAGAACGTGCCCAACTGGCACCGTGATCTCGAGCGTGTGTGCGAGAACATCCCGATTGTGCTGTGTGGTAACAAGGTTGACGTGAAGGAGCGGAAAGTGAAGACGGGTGCTGTGACTTTCCACCGCAAGAAGAACCTGCAGTACTTTGAGATTTCGGCCAAGTCGAACTACAACTTCGAGAAGCCCTTCCTGTGGCTCGCTCGCAAGCTGGTCGGCAACCCCGCCCTCGAGTTCGCCGCTGCGCCGGCGCTCGCGCCTCCGGAGGTCCAGGTCGACCACCAGCTCATGGAGCAGTACAACAAGGAGCTCGAGACGGCGGCGGCTGCCCCGCTTCCCGACGAGGACGATGGTGACCTCTAAACCCATTGCCATCTTCACGCCACATTGATTAAGTAGCCATGCTGTTCGTGTCGAAAAGGACGTCGCAGGCCAGCTTCCGTGCCGTGCCTCCTGCTCGGACCGGCGCCACCACCGAGTGCTGCCCGTCGCTATCACGTGGCCATAGACTCCACCTGGCGGGCGATCGAAGGCGCACGCTCGAACAAAGTCACTTCGTGTACCATGCCAGCGCCACCGCCGCGCGCGGTTGCGAGTGCATCGCGCTCGCGCCCACCGAGCCTTTCGGCTATGAATGGGACGCGACAAGGCATGTATGTGGCTTTTGTGAAGAATGCCATGGTGCAAAAGGCCCAGGTACGCGGAAACGAAGGCTGACATGCCAGGGACATTTGGGGCCGTACGAGGAGCTGGTCGCACAGTTCCAGGTAGGGACACTCTCGAAGCCTACCTCTACGGAAGGGACATCCTCTGCATCTCTGCTGCACTCGTGGATCGTGGCTCTCACACATGTGGCGCCCCTGCTGGACCGGTCATGTGCCACGCTTGTGGATGCCGTGACCGAGTTTCCATGGCTGGCCATGCCGCCGGACGTAGGCGATGCATGGGCACATCTCGTTTGCGCGATTGTGAGCGCACGCAGCGAGTGGGTGACGCGTGTCGTTTCGCTGCTCTTCCAAAATATGGGTCTCTGTACGTTGCTTCCTCTGACGCCGCAGACCTAGGCTGGTACCGAACGGGAGACCTTACTGTACCACAAGATGGCGCTCCGAAGCCCACTCGTCGGCAACTGTACACGCGCTTGCACGAGTTGCTGCAGATGCTGCTGCGCCTGATTCCGACGCTGTCGGGCACGCTGCCACCCCTGCTGCTGCAGCACTTTCCACACAAGCACGAGCGCACTATGTCGCAGGTGTTGTATATCCAGAATCTTCTCCGCATCAGCGAGTACTGTGAGGCACTCACAGAGCCTATCTGGTCGGCCATCATTGATCACGCGCTGCAGGTGGATGTGGCGATCCAGGTCGAGCTGGACGAGCTTGAGGACCACGGACTTGAGCAGGCCGGTCCAACGAATCTGGATCCAGTGCTGGATGGTGACACAGATGCCGTCTCAGAGCCTGAAACGCCCGAGGATTTGGCACTATCGGTGCATGCCGCAGACGATGTCCTGGACTCGCTCGAGGACCTCTCGGACGAGGAGGGCTATGATGCCTCGGATGCACTGTCTTCTGCGGCGCCCGCGCCTGCAGAGCCATCATGGAACGAAATTGCAGTACTAGCGGGCAAGCTAGATGCCATCATGAAGGCGATATACCAGTTCCTGGATGGACATGTCGGTACACTTGCTCACCACGACGTGCACGTCCGGCGACATACGCTCTACCAGACGCTGCTTGGCATTTTCACGCGCACGGTACTCACTACGTTCAAGTCGCGTCATGTACAGTTTATCTTGTTCTGGTTCGCATCATTGGACCATGAGTTCGCGGACATGTTTCTCGGAACCCTGCTAAGCAAAAGTTTGTATGCGACGCCCGCAGCTGGTGTCGCCGGCGAGTCGGGTGAGTCGTCCGTTGTCCTGCGCATTGCGGCCGCGAGCTACGTGGCAAGCTATGTTGCGCGTGCGCGGTACATCGATGCGCCCACGACTCGGATGGTCGTGCTGAACTTGTGTACGTACATGGATGCGTGCCTCGAGGCATTCGCGTCACAAGGCCGCTCTGCGTCGCCGCCTGGCGCGCGCGACCATGCTGTGTTCTACGCGGTCGCTCAAGCAGTCTTCTACATCTTTTGCTTCCGCTGGCGTGATCTGCGTGACGGCACTGTGTCCGATGCGCCGCCCGTGCCTGACGAGGATGGCATGCCGTCACTCGCAGCGACCTACCCTACTACTGGCTCCCTTGAGCTCTCGCCCCAACTTATGCCCATGCTCCATGCATCGTCGCTGTCCAGCGTCTCGTCGACACACTCGATGCAGGGTGAGCGTGGCTGGGCCCCTGGCCTTGCTGTGGTCCAGCGCGCCATTACTTCCCCATTGAATCCTTTGCGCTACTGCAATGCGCATGTGGTGCAGCAGTTTGCCTACGTGGCGCAACATACTGGCTTTCTGTACTGCTACTCGGTACTCGAGGCCAACAGCCAGCGGTCCACCACGGATGCGCCTGCTTCGCCGGCAGTCGCGCGGCGCGTGCGGGGCACGACGCGCGAGTCGACGCCTACAGCTGGTACAGCTACTGCGCGCTCTGCAGCGGCGCCTACAGCGCCAGCGGCGCTCCCTACACCCGCACTCGATGTCTTTTTCCCGTTCGATCCCTACCGCTTGCGCGACTCTGCGGCGCTTGTGCGTCGCCTATACCGTGACTGGTCGGACGTGGCGCCTGATGGCGAAGGTCTGGACGAAGACGAGGAGGACGACGAAGACGATGCACCTCCGAGCGAGAGCGAGCTCCATCCTATTCCGCTTGGGCAGCGTGCCCCTATGAGTACGAGACTGCGCATAAGCGACGCGGGCCCATCGCATACGGGCTATACCCCCGAATCGATCGCCCAGAGCCTCGAAGCCATGAGTATTAGTCCCTATAGAGGCTAATAGTAGAGGAAATGGGGCACTCGAGCTGTGACACGAGATGCTGGTGCATGACACGCGCGAGCCGCTCGTCGCTGGCACGCACTGTAAGACGCGCGACATTGGCTGTAGCATGTGGCTCAAAGCGCACGAGACAAGTGGCCGACATGCCCTGGGGCGCCAACACACCTGCCGTTACGAGGCTCTCAGGCCGCGGGTCGATGCCCGCAAGAACTGCGAGACCCGTCGCTGTCATGACCGCCTCATATTCGTTACCCGTGCGCGGCTGCACGGCAAACACACTCTGGGTCTCTAGCTGCGTGCCCATCGTGTGCCACTGCTCAAAAAAGGCCTTCTTGCACAGCACATACGGCTCCATAAAGTGTGCCATCGTCACAGGGAGTCGGATAAGCACGGCGGTAGACGTATGTGCCAGAGTCAGCATAAGCTCCGTGTCACCCAGAAAGCAGCTCGTACAAAGGAGTTCGAGGGTATAGTTGACCGAATGCCCGGGCTCCACCACGACACTCGATACGGTGCCGAGGACGCGCGCGCGGACGGGCGACGTGACCTGCACATCGCGCACCACGAGCGTAGCGGCCTCGTCCACATTTTGTACATGCACCTGTACCAGCACACGAGGACCACGCGCTTGAATCTCGTATGTGATCTTCTCCGACGAACTCTCATGCACCATAGTAGGAGTCGACGGCATTAATACCATGGCTTGGTCGTGTGAGGACGACGAATCATCTCCCAGCGAGAGGCGGCTCAGCTCTTCCTCGGATACGACGGCCTCCGCCAGAGCGGGCGCCAATGCCTGTCCCAGCAGCGGCCCGTCCGGACTAGCGACCGTATTGTCCCCGCTGATGGCCCAAGGCGTCTGGATCTTCTCGTCGCGCGGCGTCCCGGAGATGGGCCGCACTGATATACTGGACAACTCGAGTAAGTCACTGCAGTCATCATTTGGCTGTGGCTGGAATGGTACAGTGTCGGTGGGCAGCTCGGTAGGCGACATGGGCGGTAGGATCGGCGGAAGCCGGCGCCGTGCTTCGTCCGCGCGGGTCGGCCGCCGCGCTTCGCCGCGCGGCACTGTGGCGACCATCGGCACAGTAGAGAAGCGCTTGCTTAGGCGGAATAGACCAGGTCCGAGGTCGTCTGGCTTAAGGTCCTGCGATGGGAATGGCGGTAGCGTATCGAAGATTTCGTCCATGTTCATTACACCCTGTGCATGCAGCTCCATGAGCGCCGTGTATTCACATGCGCGCTGATGAATCTCCATGTCAAATACTCCTCGGCTCTGGCGTAGCACGCTTGCTAACATGGGCGAGAGTGACGGATACTGCGTGTACCATTTAGCGTACGTTGATAAAAGCATACTGCGCGTCACGGGCGAACAGTAGTAGGCGTGACGATGCAGCAGCTCGAACTGCACGGCAGGTTCCGCGCCGGGTTGATCCGCCACAAGGTAACCAAACTCGCTCAGTACGTACGTGCCAAGCTTGACCAGTGTTTCATGACACACTGCATGCCGCAGGTATGGCAGAAGGCGCGCGGCCGCATACGCTTGGACTTTGGGGCGGTTCGTAACTGTTTGCGCGATACGTGACCACAGCGTATCGCCGACCCTATCGCCGGCCATGTCCAGCAAGGCCAGGGTCGTATCAATATACCACGTTGAATCGCCAGCATACTGCGTCAGTCAAGCCACACACACCAGCTCTACGAGTAGCGACACTTTCCGCGCCATATCCTGGCGTAACGATGCCTCTGCTTCCGGCATATAGTCTAGGAGACACGCCACAATCCTCCGCACATTGGCCTCTTCACACAACGCGTATAGTAAATCCAACGCACGACGACACACGCTCGTGTCCTGATCTCGCAGCGTCTGTACAATGGTATCTAGGTGCATGCGGATGGGATCTAGTGTCGCGAGTGTGTGAGCAAGTTGCGTCATGGTTTCGAGTGCGATGTAGCGCACATTTATGTGCTCTGAGCGCAATAAGCGCCCTAAATGCACAGCCGCGCGCGCCACGAGGATGGATGTGGTGTCGAGATACATCGCGAGATGGACGGCCTCGAAGTGCACGGCATACCGCGCATGCGTCTCTTGCACATCGGCCGTTGGACGTTGCAGCGGTTCGGATTGCAATAGTTGCTGCAGGCACTGCTGTAATAGCGCCTTTACATGCGCATCATTTGGTCGTGGAAGCCGCTGCAACAGGGAAAGCAGCTTCACCTGCAGCCACGGCAACGGGACTTGATGGTACAAATCGCGCTCCTCCTGCGGTTGCATTGTTACGATATGATGCAGCTGTTCCACTGCAGGTAGGTAGCATATAGCGCACGCATCTGGCGATGTGCCTGCCAGCTCCGTGACAAGGGCGACGACTGACTGCGCCACGCCATAGTCACGGCTCTGGATCAGCGGCGCAATACGGTCGAGCCACTCCCACACATCCACACAGTTTGGGTCCTTGCGCAGTAAATGCAAGAGTGTAAGTGCCGCCTTGCGGACCACCGCCGGCGACGAAGTCGCAGACACCAGTAGCTTCAATACGCTCTCGCCTAGCTCTTCCGCCATCTCGAGCGTGCCCATGCTGGCCAGCGCATGGAGTGCCAGGCATGTATGTGAATCGCGTAATGATGCAAGATCCCGCCGCAATACATTAATCACCGGCGCTCGCATGTCCGAGCGTTCGTAGAGCAACATCAGAGCGAGATATCCCTAATGTCAGCGCTGACGCACCCACCATTTGCTTTTCTGAATCCCGCAGACTTGCTGTGAGCGAAACAGCCTCTATGAGGCCCACGTCTACGCGGTAGCCCTGAATATGCATGAATACCAGCTTGGCCAAATATTTCCTCCGCTGATACCCATCGAGTTTGGGAGAGGTCTGCAGCTTGGCGCGAATGTGCGCAAGCTCGCGCCGCACGCAAGCATCCTCTGCCTCAGGACTTGCTGCCGACTGAAGCTCGGTCAGAAAGCGATGCAGCCCTCGCATCGAGGCAGAATAAATCGCCTAGGTACCTGGCGCCACGTTCAGATACTCGTCGGAGGTATGCAGGCACCATGCCACTCGGTGTGGAGATATACCTACGCTTACGTCACCCCCCCTATTATGGTGGCACGGAATCCCGTGCCCCAAACCAGCAAGTAAGACAACAACTTTTATCGACTTCAAAGGATAGACATCGCCTTGTATTCAGCGAAGGCTATATGATCGTATGCTAGCCGGGGAGGGGGAGTAGGTCATAGGGGGGATGGTGTTTGCTTAAGCAGCCTCCTCGCCCTTCGACTCAGCGGCCGGCGCAGCAGAGGGCGCACCCTCCGCAGCCGGTGCAGCACCCTCGGCCGGCTTCTCTGTGTCCTGCATGTCACTGGTCCAGAGCGTCAGGTTGTCACGCAGCAACTGCATGATCAAGGTCGAGTCCTTGTAACTCTCCTCCGAGAGGGTATCCAACTCCGCAATAGCATCGTCAAAGGCTTGCTTCGCGAGGTGGCACGCGCGGTCGGGCGAGTTAAGGATCTCGTAGTAGAACACAGAGAAGTTGAGAGCAAGACCAAGGCGGATCGGGTGCGTGGGTGGCAGCTCCGTCACAGCCACATCCGAAGCAGCCTTGTACGACTCAAGCGACTTGTCAGCAGAGTCCTTGCGCTTCTCGCCGGTAGCAAACTCGGCAAGGTAGCGGTGGTAGTCGCCCTTCATCTTGTGGTAGAACACCTTGCTCTCGCCGGAGGCAGCCGAAGGGATAAGGTGAGTGTCGAGCACCTTCAGGATGTCCTCGCAAATCTGAGCCAGCTCCGACTCAATCTTCTCGCGGTACACCTTAATCATCGACACCTGCGTCTCGTTACCCTTCGACTCCTCCTTCTGCTCAATAGAGGAGACAATACGCCACGAAGCGCGGCGCGCACCGATAACGTTCTTGTAGGCAACGGAGAGGAGGTTACGCTCCTCGACCGTTAGCTCCTGGTTCGAAGAAGCAACGCGCTTCATGTTTTCGACCATCTCCTCATAGCGCTCAGCCTGCTCAGCAAGCTTAGCGAGGTACACAGAGTCTTCACGCGAAGGGGTAGTCATAGTCAGCGAGTGAGTAAGTCTGTCAGCGCAAGCGGCTATGTTAGCATCACCATCCCAAGCATCAAGTGCATAGTCTCCAGAGAAAGGGGACACTATGCACTTGGCCTTATACGTACTGTCACTGGACTCGGTGTTCGGAGGCGAACAAGGGTTGGGTGGCCCAATTGAGCTACCTGCGGCACACAAGTCGGCCGGGAAAGTGACGGGCACACTACTACACCTCGCCACGTCTCCAGCTGCGCCCGGCTGCCGCTCTCGGATCAAACAGTGCGATTGGCCCAATCAATAAGTGGCTTATGACATAAACATGGTTGGTGTCTCTTCATCTAACATGTTACAGACCTACAAGAACATTTTAGTCAATTGCCATATTCATAGAACGCTGCGGCACAGCGACACAGGCGACAATTCATGCCAGGTGCTGACATAAATATCTGCCGTCAGGAGCAACTCGTTGCGTCAGAACAAACAGCTTGCAGCAAAATCATGCATGCGAATCCAGCGGAACGTGCGAGTGGCTGCGTATAGTGTGCACAGACTCCCAACACGGAACAAGAGGCCCGTGCTGTCCAGCGACTCGGCTGTGCGCGTGTCTGACAGTAGTGTAGGTAAAAGAAATACTAAGGTTAGCTGTGTGTACATACCCAAGGCAGATAACAGTGAGACAGTCAACTGCGGCAATACAATGCTCCAATTATGCAGGCCCATAATAGTACCTGCCTCCGCGCGCAAATCTGTGGCCTTGACCGTCCCATGTAATGAGTTTGACTGCGCTGTAGGATCCTGCCCAACAGGCCGCATTGGCACCGCTTCTAAGCCACGCGAGTCACGCTGGGGCTCAGATGAGAACAGAAGGATGCCCAAGAGGGCGTATGGAACCCATAGTGTGATAGACCACGAGATACCAAGGACACTGACCAAGGCCATGGCTCCTGGCACACTTTTGTAAGTAACGACAGGACAGGTAAAAAAAAGCATCGCCACGACAAACATTACTTGTGATATCAACCATACTTCTGCCAAAGTAGGGCCACGGAGTTGCCAACGTCTTCGTCTTGTAGAAGAGTCAGTCGCGCCAAATTCTGTACCGCCTGCTGCAGGCGGCGGCATGGGCCGTACTGCTTCTTCCATGGGGGTATCTGTGTCGTGTTGTGAAGCAGGCTTGTAATGGGTATGCGAAATGTGCGACGAGCGGAGTGGATCATGGATCAACCAAGGCAATACAATCGAAGAGACAAGCCCAGCTAATGCATAGTAAAACATGGCACGGCTACCCATGCGCCGAGCATTTTCTCCAAGAGTATCCGTTCCCGATGCTGCTTTTGGCGTACGGCCCTGCGCGCGACTGTAAATCTCTGCCACCCATGACGTGCAGTAATATAAAACAGGAAACCACGACAGCCACGAAAAGAACTGGATCATAAATAAGTCCCAAATAGAGGGAGGCAGAGTGGATCCACAGCGAATCAGCTCCGCTACAATGGTACGCAAGGCAGCAAAGAGACCGAGTCGAGAGTGATGTGGGGTCTCTCGAAGAACAGACTCTCTGATTAAAAACACAAGAGGTAAATGTGTAGAAATAAGCAATATCATCGCACAGAGCGAGAGTACTCCCAACTGGTCCCATGTCTTTAGAAACGGAGAAATATTTGGCAAATCCATTTCCCCTAACAAGTAGCCCATAACGGATCCTAAACTCCCATACCGAGTAGCCCATGCATTGGCCATATCTTGTTCATCTGGACCCATTATATCCATCGTCATTGCACGATGCGCAGCGGACATGGTATTAACAGATATATCGATGCCAATGATTCCCAAAATTCCCAAAGGCACGGCCAGGGCCGACACAAAGGTCTCTTTATTCCTTGAAATGGAGCTTGAAGCCATCAAAAATAACAAAGATATTATACAACCACATAGACCTGCGAACAGAAATGGCCTACGACGTCCCCAAGTGTTGGAACTGTGGTCTGATAAGACACCGATAACGGGTTGAACGATCAGTCCGCTGAGTGGCCCTGCAGTGACAATGATGGCCACTAAGCTCTTATAAATTCCGATCCGCTGTAAAAATAATGTAGCGCGTGCATTTAGAAGAGACCACACCACATGTGTTCCCAAGTGACCCATCATGAGGATTGGCGAGCGCAAGTAGCGGGGCCCGCGAATCAGGGGGATTCCTTCAAGGCTGCCTTCGAGAGGTAAACCGTCTCCTGCAACATCTTCTATGCTGCCTGTCATGAATATGCCACGATAGGCCGACCCTGGTGGTTATATTGGAAACGCTGGCGCTCAATGGCGCCGAACAGGTGGAGCTCGATGGAGCCTTGACATGCGTGAGGCTAAATGGTGCACGTGGCACCACGTGGAGGATACATTGGCAAGAGGGATCGCATAGAGAGCTAGACGCAGGACACGATGCCGGTACGTAAAGTCAGTGTACCTCGCAGCTCACACCAAGCAGGATTTTCCTGTGAATCCCAAGCCATTCCTACAACAGCAAATTGGAAAAAAGGTGCTTATCCGGCTCAAATGGGGCCTGGAGTATAAGGGCTTCCTCGTGAGCACAGACAGCTACATGAACTTCCAGGTAGGTCCCTTATGCTGACCGAAAGCTCGCAAACACCGAAGAGATTCAGGATGGAAAATCTAATGGAACGCTTGGTGAAGTGTTTATTCGGTACGAGTGACTCAGCTGATGCCAGATGCAACAATGTGCTCTACTTGCGTGAGCTCAACGAGGAAGAGTAGGCTTTTGTCATAGCTACTTTCGCATACCCATCCGCTTCTTTTGCTAACCATCTGAATTGCATGGATATCACTGCTGCTCACGGACCCATGCTACAAACTCATCAATGACAGAGGGCCACGCTGCCTCATAGTCATGTGTTTCGAAGCGCGGGTCAATTTCTTGCATAAATGCGAGAAACTGCGTCCATGTATCCTTAGAAACGACTCGTAGGTTGGAAGTTGTCGTTAGAAAACGCTTCCATAGCTCCCATTGGACAGGCGAAAAAGATGGGCGACCCGCGGCAGCCTTAGTGCCATCCACATCGTAGACAGGTGCATGGGGTAGCAAGAGCTCCCAGAAAGTGACTGCCATGTCTAGTGCTGCACGTAAGTACGTCAAGATACATACGCAGATTTTTTTGGCCTTCAGCCCGTGCGAAAGCAAAAGTATACTCATACACTGCGGTATAAAGGCCTTTCTGGGACGATGCCTTTTCTGTGGATTTGAATTTAGGAACAACAGGTGCATTAGCGCGGAAAGCATCCATTACCCGAGCCATACTCTGACGCTGCTGTCTTCTGAGCTCTTCTTGATCAGAGATGGGTGATACACCTACTCCAAGGCGGAGCCATCCATTTAGGAACTCTGAGCGAGTAAACTGCCCAAGGGCAGGTGACTCGAGGTAAAAGGAAAGAGGTAGCACATCCACACTGGCAGGATCGACTCCCAGCTCATCCAGAAGAGTGATAGAGCCATCATAAGATATTAAATTTGGATCCAGTTCATCTGCATAAGTAAAAGCCACGTACCTCTGAGTCGGTCGAATTGAGTGGTTAGCTGTGCTCGTGCGTCTTTTTCTTGCTGCGCACTGAGGCGTGGTACAAGGTTTTGCGAACTCTGTTCCGTAAGATACGCATCAATGGCAAATTCCAAGCGTGAGTTGTGAGCCTTCAAATAGGCCTGAGCGACATCCGATGGTGCATTCGTCACCGCACAGAACCGCTGCACCAGGACTGACCTCGACGCTTTGCTTACCATCGTGGAGGTCAAGTGGAGGGGCCAGCCAGACTGGACTATAGTACACTATCAACGCTTACCTGCACGCTTCTTTAGCAAGGACTTAGCCCGCTCGAGCTGCTTCTGTTCAGATCGCTCTTCCTGAATACCACCAACAATCTTGTCAATCTTTTTCTTATACGTCGCGTCCTCCTCGACACGGCGCTGTTCACGTTCTTCGGCAATGAATTGCGCATCCTTGCGAAGCTCACGAATCGCACCTTTGCGTTCCTTCTTGACAAGCGCGCGCATCTTGGCTGCATAAGCACGTTCAGTATCGGGATCAGTAGCGCGCTTAGGATCAAAGGCCTGCTGCTCGAACTTCGGCGCGTATGAGGCGATGGACAAGGCACGGTGGGATTGCAGGCGCAGTGCGCGACGCTCACCGTAGGCCATCTCGAGCATAGAACGAATCTCAGAAGCACTTTCTTTAACATAGGGCACAAGGCCTGGTGCCACATCATGTAGGCCGGCAAGCCCAATCTCCAGCAAAAATACCATGGGAGTGAACATCTCCACAAAGCCGGGACTAGCGCGGTACAAGCGCGCAAAGATACACTGAAGCGAAACACACATACGCAAGAGATCCGCGCGCAACGACGGCGTGTCCGAGGCATACGGGAATACCGCCGTAAGACTCATTTTAGGATTCGAAGCCGCATCGCTCTCAATCGTAAGATGGGCCGTATGCGCCGCTTCAACATCGGGCGTAGGAATTCCAAACTCTTCTGCCAGTGCCTTAACAGCCGAACTTCCACGTTGGGCCCTACCGTGATGGAGGGGCAAAAGAATAGCAGCGATAGAAAACAAGTTGTTCAAAGCTTCAGGCACAAGACGCTTGCTTTCTTTCTGGGCAGAGGAAACAAGCGAGCAGAGATACAGGGCGGAGGCCATATCTTGGCAGGAGCGAATTCGAGCGTGGGCCAGGTATTGAGCCACAAGAAGCGACATGGGCGCAGCAACAGCATGCCATCGGTCACTGGTAGGCCACAGCAGTCCGCACATGCGAAGGAAAGACAGCTCGGAAAGCTGTGGCCATGTCTTCGAGGTGGGATCCAAGGCTCCTTGACTCAAGCCACGCATCAGGTTTCGGTGCATAATTGACAATTTAGTCACAAAGTGCTCAGCCGCTTGCAGTGGGTATGTCTTGGTCAACTCAGAGATATGCAGCAGCATATCGTTCAAAATGCGCAGGTCATCCTCAGTCGCGTCACTCTGCATGGTCCGATACAAGAAATGATCCACAATCACATTAAGGAACCGCTGCAGCTTGACTGGATTCTCTTCAGACAAGTTGGGCGCATGCAAGACACGAATACGAGAGATGACAGTGTGCAGCTGCGACGGCTGGACTTGATGTTCTTCCAGCAAGTCCAAGAATGCATCATGAGTAGAAGGGCATGGGAATGTGAATGGCAAGGTAGGGATAGATTCAGAATTGGCCCTGGAGAGATGGCGCTGTGACGACTGGGTAAGCACATCAGTGTCCGGGGTATCCGTGTGTTCACCAAATTGCTCCATATGCTGGTAGTCCGCCAGATCCTGTGCTGCATCCGAGATAGATTCCTCGCTCTCGTCATTGTCCTCGTCTTCCTCTTCTTCCTCGCCCTCTTCTTCCTCGCCCTCTTCTTCCTCGCCCTCTTCTTCCTCGCCCTCATCTTCCTCATTTTCCTCGCCTTCCTCACCCTCCTCATCCTCGCCTTCCTGATCCACGATTGGCTGCGTCTTTGACGCCAATCCCTCACCTAGTCCAAAACGCGATCGCTGCGAGCGCGTTTCTTCAGCCTTTACAAATCGCTTTACAGGCTCATCATCCTCGCTCTCGAGCGCATAGTCAAGCATTTCATCACCTTCCTCATCTTGTTCACCCCGCATCCGGCGCTGGCGCTTCTCCTCTGCTTCCCGGAGGCGCTTTGCTTGTTCTTCCATCAGCTCTTCTGTTGTCTTTAGACGATCTTGTGGCTTTGCACGACGTTCAAATGCCATTTCACGCACAAAGGCGTCATATTCATCGCCCTTGGTCTCCGCTAGCTTGGGCTCTTCCTGGCGCTGGGTATCTGCGGGCCGCGTGAACAACAAGGAACGGATATCTCCAAGCTCTTCATCCAATTCCATACGCATTTCCTCATCGGCATCCTTTTGCTTTTGGCGCTCGTACTTAGCAAGTTTGGACTTGGCGATAATTTCCTTCATCACCTCGTTCTTGCTGCGTGGGACATCCTCGTTTTCTTCACCGAATCCAGAGAAATGTTGCATTTCAGTCTCCGCGGCATCAATTTGGCCTGTTGTCAGTCTGCTCTTGGCTAGGTGCGGGCTCAGAAATCTCCAGTAGAACATAAGCTGGCATGGCCGCCCAAATCCCTTAGGCCCATACAGCAATCCAGAAAAAAAGCTCATCTTTGCCCACCATCCGCAACGTACCTCGTGGATTTTCCTCATCCCCATCATCCTCGCGGTCCACATCCGGGAGCTCATCTAGGCCACTCAGACTTTGGCCGTAGTGTGTAAGTGTAAGCTCGCCGTCATCGTCGTTCAGGTCGAACATAGAAGTCTTGTTGGAGCGATTCATACGCTCCTGAGTAAAACGTTTAAGCATCTTGTCCTCGACCGACATAGTGGGATTATACTCGCCGAACCGTCGATCGACAAAGGTCGAGGAGCGGTGACGAGCCTGGTACTCTGGCAGCAACTTTTCACGACGCTGCTTGATGGAAGCAGACTTTGACTGAGCCGGGCGTCCAACAGAACCCTTCGTCCTGCTTCCAGAGAGATCGCCTTTGTTGTGACTCGTGCGCTCATCAAACGCATTCAGGTTCGACATCAGGGCATCCAGTCGCTTGCGGCGTTGCTGCGCGCGGTACTGGCCAATGCGACTATCATCTTGGTTTTTCTTTCCCTTCTTAGGTTTCGGGCCTGTGATTCCGGCATCGCGAAGACCGGAGCGCAGCTGGGCAAGCTGCGAGCCGCCCTTCTTGCCACTGCCCATCGTCCTAGGCGTCGTAGGCCTCGCGCGCCCGCCCAGAAAAAAAGAGGAGTCACGTGCACCGCGGCGCGGGCCTCCCAAGCCGTCGGCGCACACAGTCCATCGCTTTCCGGCTACCGAGCGTGAGCATGAGCGAGGGCAGTACGTTTTTCAGCAACCGATTCGGAATAGACGGCTAACATTTCTTTTTTATTACTTCTTTAAGTTACATACAAGCAGTACGTATGAAGTATCAGTCCTCCAGCTAACAAAATCAGAGACCTTCCCCCTCAGGGCGGTTACGCGCCTATCCGCTACAAGCGCAACATGCCTGTGCGCGGGCCCAGTGGTGTGTTCCTCATCTTTGCCACCGTTGGCATTAGTGCATTTGGTTTCTGGCGTCTCGGTCAGGGCAATATTGAGAGACGGTACGTGCTACCCTTGCCTGACTTTAAGCGAACTGGCGCGTGAGCGTGCCTGGAGTCGCATTTATCTGACTCCTCTTCTGCTGGCGGAATCCGACCGTGACATGTTCCGCCGCGACCGCGCCTCGGTCCTCCGTGAAAACTTGCTCATGAAGGATGTGCCCAACTGGGAGGTATGTACTTATTGTGTTCCTTTGCAGTGGGCTCACACTCTGCTTTACCTTTTGGCATCTGTGTCTGTCTTTGTCGACTGGCTTGGCTGCTTTTTATGATGTTTTGTACTATACAGGCCGGCAAGAGCGTCTACAACTCGAAGCGCTACACACCCAACAACTACGTAGTCATGTAAATGCTACTATAAAATGACCAAGCTTTAGGAATGGCAACCGACCTAAGCGCTGCTTGGCGGCCGTGGCAGCCTTGCAGGGCAGGAGTGGAATCGAGGCTCGGGGGCGCTCGTACTTGAAGTGGAGGCTGTGCACACACACGGATCTAGACAACGATGCAGTAGCATGGGCTTCTCTAAACGAAAAAAGAGGCATAGTCGTGCTCTGCAGGACAATAATTCAAGTCCAAAAACGGAGGATGCTAAGATACAAGAACCTGCGTGTCCTGATCCTCCTCAAGCTTCCGAGGCGCTTCGTAGAGAAGAGTCGTGCGAGGCATCTGCATTTCCGAGTCTTATCACGGCGGCACCTTCGCATGAGAACAAGCGTCTCGATGTGGCCATGGACGAATCTAACGACGTATCAACTGCTTCTAGTTCACGGTCTTCGGAGTCGAAGGACTTGAGTAGCCCCACTGTGCGGCCACTTCATGAGAAAGCAGACACGGGCCCCTCGAATGAGGCCCTAGAAACTATCTCAGGCGACGAGGAGGCATACGAGGAGCCTGCATTCCATACAGAGTTTCTCAAATCCAGTGTTACAGACATTCTTGCGCGCGATTCCATCAGCTCCATGGCTGTATCGCTTCACCATATTGCGCTGGGGCTCCAGTCGGGGATGATTTTTGTTCTCTCCCGCACAGGACACCTTGAGAAAGGGTTCCAAGTCCATTCTGCCCCTGTTTTGGACATTGTATTTGATTCCACAGGCGAATTCGTCGGAAGCGCTGGCATGGATGGGATTGTAATGATTGCTGCACTTTCATCATCCGAACAGTATGAATTTAACTTCCATCGACCTATGCGTTCCATTGCCCTAGAGCCCCAGTTTGGCAACCGATCTTCCCGTGCATTTGTGTGCGGTGGTATGTCGGGCGTGCTTGTGCATCGCGAGAAACGTTGGTTCGGCTACAAGGAAACCGTTCTTCATAATGGAGAAGGGCCAATATGGGCCGTGGCATGGCACGGGCGCTGGATTGCCTGGGCCAACGACCGCGGTGTGCGCGTCATTGAAGCATCGACGCATGAGATTATTGCGCTCGTCCCGGCGTCGCCCAACGCTCCACGCCCTGAGCTGGTACGATACAGCCTGTACTGGCGCGATCTGAATACTCTTCTCATTGCACAGGGTGATCGCATCACGGTCGCGTCAATTAAATCGCGGAACAAGGCTACTGAAGATGAAGTACGTGCTGCTACCCCGACGGTACCGACCATTTCGGGATTAGTATCGAGCCTAGCTCCCGCTTCACGGGATCTCCATGAATATGTACAAGTCATCGACATTTTCCAGCTGGAGTGCCTAGTATCTGGTATAGCATGGTCCATGGATGCCATGATTACTTGCGCTTACCTTGTGGATGAGACTGAGCTGGCTTCGATGGACAGTGAGACCCTGCAAATACGTCCTCACCAATCTCCCGAAATCCGTTTGATCAATCGCCACGGCGAGGAACTGGCTAGTCATGTCCTAGATGTTTCCGACTTTACAAGGTTCCATTGCAATGACTACCATATGCGAGCCTCATTGGAACCCAAATGGGACCCAGTACTTCAAGAAGATGTACTTTCGCCTGTTTTCTTCGTTGCCAATCCCAAACAGATACATGTTTTGCGTCCAAGAAATGAGCGCGATCACATCCAATGGCTTCTGGAGCATGATGAATACAGAGAAGCTCTAGAGGCCCTGGAGGCCCTTGGCAGTGGACCGGCGGCTGCCTTGGGCTTTGATGTGGCCGCTGTGGGACGCGACTATTTGACACACTTGATCCATGATCTCCATGAATATACCGCCGCTGCACAGCTCTTTCCGCTTCTCTTGCGATCGGATGTGGCCGCATGGGAGCATTTTGTCTTTTTAATGCTGGATCATGGGCAAGTCAAGACACTCTTGCCTCATGTACCGATCAAAGATCCTGAGCTTGGCGAGGTGGCATACGATATGATTTTGGTACATCTTTTGCGCACCGACGAACAAACCCTGCTCATGACCCTGCGCACTTGGCCTGGGCATGTATATTCAACACAGGCTGTTGCCACAGCCATTGAGGACCAAGCTCGGAATAGTCGCGTGCTACTCGAGTGTCTTGCACAACTTTTCTTGGCGAATCAAATGCCTGGTAAGGCCTTGTTGTATTTATTACGTCTCCGACACTCGTCTGTGTTTGAACTCATCCGCGAAAACGACCTACTCATTGATGTTCAGCACAAGATTGGTGCGCTCGTCGAGCTAGACCAAGAACTAGCCGACTCCCAAGAACCACAAAACAGTGCCTTGATTCCACTTCTAGTTCGACACACACACTCTGTGCCGATACAGCGTGCTGTGCATCAGTTCGAGCCTTATCCATGGTATCAATATCTCTATCTTGATGCCCTGTTTGAGAAGGATCCCTCCCTTGTCGTGCCGTATGCCAACAGACTCGTGCGCCTATACTCTGACTATGCCTATCCAAAACTGATGCCCTTTTTACGTTCCATGAGCTCGGTGTATTCTTTCAAGGAAGCCTACAATGTATGTGAGGAGCGAGGCCACGTTCCAGAGATGGTATTTCTCCGGGGTCGCACCGGTGATCTTCCAGGCGCTTTGAACTTGATCCTCGAGCGCCTGAACGATGTCGAAATGGCTATTGAATTTGTACAGCAACAAGACGACGCCGATCTTTGGAATATTTTGCTGGCGCATTCTTGTAATAAGCCAGACTATGTCCGTGGTCTCTTGGAGCATGCTGGTGGTGAAATCGATCCTGTACGGATTATCCGGCCAATTGAATATGGCCTTGTCATCCCTGGATTGCGCCCTGCTTTGATGAAAACACTAAAAAATTTCCACATGCAACACTCGCTCCTTTCGGGTGGAATGACAGTCCTGATGAATCACACGAAGGAGCTCGTTTACCGGTATCAATCTGTACTTTCAGCCGCAGTTCCGTGTGATGGTACGTGTCGATGCACTAACCCCTCAGCGCAGGCTGTTTGTACTGTATGCGAAGCCCCGCTCTTACAAGACTTTTATGTACCCATTGTCCTGTTCTTGTGCATGCATGCAGCTCATCTCTCCTGTCTACAACCCCAGATGGAGAGTCATCCTTCTCATGCATCGCCTATGGAACCTGTCACTCTTTCTACCACTAGGCTATATGCCGATTCCCGTGAAAATCGGATCGGCGAAGATTCCACGATGCTCTATCCACAGGAGAGAGAATCCTTTTCCGATGAAAAGGATCCAACCCTGGATCTCTTACAAAGGTCGGCCCAAACGCGACAACACCAGCATCTTGCCAAGCAGGGGTGTCCTACCTGTGCAAAAGAGAGGGCGTATTGCCTATCTGACTAGGGTATCTAATTACGTGCATAGAGCAGCTGGCGGCTCCACTTGTGGAATCTCATCCCAGGTAAAGCGCTCTGCTTCAAAGGCGGCCAACACATCCTTGGGCAAGTCGTTCTCCTTTGTGCGCTCAAATAGCTCAGCAGTTTGCTGAGGTTGCGAGGCTTGTCCGAATGCCGACGACGTCGGAGCACTGGTCGTGAAGGCTGCGGACGGGGGAGCATGAGAGGTCGATGTATTTTGTCCAAATGAGGAGGGCGCAGTGTTAAAGGCAGATACTGTCGCAGGGGGAGCGGTTGGCGCAGCGTCAGACAGAGAGCTAGTACCAAATGAGCTTGGCTGTGACGTTTGCCCAAAGGCTGAGGGTGTAGCTGTCGACCCAAAGGCCGATGCCGTTGTGGGAGCAACGGCCGGTGATGCGGTGACGTTCGATCCGAAGGCCGACGTAGTTGGCGTCTGCCCCAAAGCACCAAACGAGGAGACTTGTCCAAAGGCATTAGATGCAGACATTTTCCCAAATGCGGATGGCTGTGACGTTGAATTCGAAGCCCCAGGTTGTGCTGTCTGTCCAAACGATGCTTGGCCAAAAGCGGATGGCTGTGCCGTTTGCCCAAATGCTGCTGCAGGGGCGGAAGTCTGACCAAAGGCCGAAGTTTGGGTTGCTGGTGCGAACGCAGATGGTGTCGCATTCTGACCAAACGCCGAAGGCTGAGCCGTTTGACCAAATGCCGTAGTCTGTGATCCCCCAAATGCGCTAGGTGTCGCTGTTTGTCCAAATGCGCTAGGAATGGCTGTCTGTCCAAAGGCACTAGGATTGGCTGTCTGTCCAAAGGCACTAGGATTGGCTGTCTGTCCAAAGGCACTAGGATTGGCTGTCTGTCCAAAGGCACTGGCATTCGGTGCATGTCCAAATACAGACGGCGCAGATGATTGTCCAAATGCACTAAAGCCGCCTCCTTTACCAAATGCAGAAGGCGTCGATGCTTGTCCAAAAGCTGAGACGGTAGGTTTTGCTGTGCTTCCAAAGGCGGAAGGAGCACCGAACGCAGGGGCAGTAGACGACGAAGAATTAGTACCAAAGGCACTGGGTGTTGAGTTCCCAAATGCAGGCCCATTGGGTTTGATGCCATGGTTCATGCCACCCGCGTTCTTGTATTTGTTGCGATTCTGTATGGCCTGCTGCAATGCTGCGTTGGCATTTTGTGCCATACCCTGGTACATCGAGTCGGCCTGGGACACTTTAATATGCGCTTGTTGAATCTAGGTTAGTGTACAACACGTACATAGGCAGCTTCCTGGCCCATCTGTCGGGCTTGGTACGCCAGTATGCGGTCTTCCTCAGGGCTCACATCGAGACCCTCAATGAGGTTAGGCTCGCATCGAGCGGGTGCGTATGTAGTCAATTTCCATATAGGACGCCCATTAGATCCAAGATCTGTACTGATGCCGTCCTTAGTTAGGGCGATTTCAGGCTCGGGTACATTCGGCTTCTTTCCAAAAGCACTACCTCCTCCCAATGCCGAAAACGAATTGGTGGAACCGAAGGTTGGCTGTCCAAACGCACTTCCACCCGTACGTGCACTTGCAGGGTGTTCGTTTCTGCAGTTATTGCCAAATCGACAGCGCCCCTGCAGAAAAAACTGACACACACCCATTTCCTTACACGCGTCGGGACGAAGTGGTAGGTGTGGAGGGCCGGGCCGCTCGATCTACCGGGCACTGACCATGTCGACATTTCAAGGGAAAGTAGCATTCATCACAGGAGCATCAAGAGGCATTGGTGCTGCTATTGCACGAGAGCTTGCAAGAAAGGGTGCTAACGTTGTTCTTGCTGCCAAGAGTATCGAAAAACACAAGGTTTTGCCAGGCACAATTCTTTCAGTGGCCGAAGAGATTCGCGAAATTGCTGACCGACACCAAAATGGTGCAAAGGCTCTGCCACTCCAGCTAGATGTGCGCGATGCAAATGGCGTGGAAGAAGCTATCAAAGCGACTTCGGGTACATTTGGTCATTTGGATATTGTGGTGAACAATGTACGTGTCTATCCCCTACTAATATTAGGCTTCAGCCATCAACCTTTCTCCTACCACAGAGGTGGCTCCAAAGGTCTACGACCTCGTGAACAACATCAATGCGCGCGGTACATGGCTCGTTTCGCGATTTGCTTTCCCCTACCTCATTGAATCAGCCAGATCTTCTCGCAATCCCCACATTGTTACCCTGTCTCCACCTCTGAATCAGAGCATGTTCGACCCGAAGCAGACGCCTATGAAGGTATTTGCGGATACACGTGCGCTATACGCGATGTCGAAGTTTGCCATGTCGACGGCTGCATATGCTTTCGCAGCAGAGGGTGCCGAGTATGGTATCGCTAGCAACACTTTGTGGCCATACACGATGATTGGTACAAGTGCTATGCGTATCGTGAACCCAAATGAGGGAGCAGAGCGGAGCTGGCGCAGCCCTCGTATTGTAGCAGATGCGGCTGTACGAATTCTCGAAGAAGATGCGAGGGTCTTTACAGGACGGTTTCTCATCGATGAGCTGTATCTTCGTCAATCTCATCAGTTCTCTAATGATTTGATCTCGGCCTACTCATTGGGAGGTAAAGACACACCATTCAAGGATCTTGCTGAAGACCTTTATATAACACCTGAGGTGCGCAAGGCTGTGCAGTCGTACTACAAGTAGCTACAATGCGATAGTGCCACGGCGCACGAATGGCAGACCGAGACCACTCAAAAGGGTTCGAGCACGCTCGGTAGCCCGGCGACCGCGCTGGTTTGTGACACAGTCAATTTGGAATCCGTAGCGACGGCCGGGGTATTGATCCAAGTTGATTTCCACTTGGGGGAAGAGCGGCATCGCCTCTGGGCCCATACCAAAGCTAACCACGCCGCTAACAGCCGCAGGACTGAGCAGTGGCTGACTCGACGGAGGCAAAGGCAGCCCCGCAAAGCCACGCAAACGGGGCAGAACAAACATGGTGAGCGACTCGATAAACTCGTAGGCTGAGTCGCCGTACATGACTGCCTGTGCGCCAACCGGCATTCCCGCACGGAGCTTGAAAGAAGCAGCACCTTTCTTGGCGCGCAGAACATGCACATATCCGTTTGGTGCTCCTGCACCCGCAGTCTCCGGAGATCCACCCACAGACGGGTCTGCCAGAGAGCCTAGAATAGGCAGGCCAGTGATAGCACGCATTTGGCCTAGCAAGGGGAGCAAAGCCTGCTTATTCGTGATTGCTTCGCGGCAGAATGATGTAAATACGACGCGCTCCAAGCGCGGAATGTCATGTTCGATATGTCGCGATGCGCTCATCGGCTTGTGAAGAGGTACAAGGGGTCGATTACCTTTCTGAGCGCGAGCCGAGCGACCGAAATGGTATGGCGATTCGCCAGACCACGTGCGGACACGCGCCCTAGGATCGTCGCTTTGTCCCAGTTCTGGCGAGTCCTTGACAGACTTGGATGCGCCCTCGGGATCATACATCATGTACATCATATCCGCCGCAAGAGTGCGCTCGTAATGTTCACGAAGGCGAGACTTTTGCATGGGGCCCACGACCACAGGCGTAGCAGGAAGCTGGTCACGGGAAGGCACATATTCTAGACATTTGGCGGGGCTAGAGTGGAATGCACGACTCAGCTTCAAGTTCACACGTAAAGAGGCCGAGAGCCCTCGTTTGAAAGGCACAGACATGCTGTCGAAGAGCTGGTCAGACGGCACGAAGAACGCTGATGCCCTGTGAGATTATGTAATGATATTTTATGCCTACTAGGTTCGTGATGTGTCGTACTCGTCGCACCATCGCCGCTGTCGATACTGACGTCCTTACCATGCCGGAGATGGGTGTGAATGAGCCGTTTGACTTGATCCGATTGTCCCTGAGTGAACGTGTTCTTGTAAAGCTACGTGGTGATAGGGAGATCCGCGGTATATTGCACGCCTACGATGGGCACATGAACTTGATCATGGGTGACGTTGAGGAGACCATCTACGATGTTCAAGTCGCTGAAGATACTGGGGCAGAATCAGTTGTGGTATGTCTTTATACAAATCTAACATTTGCTAGATTGTCAAGCGCAATTCGAAAATGATGTTCGTCCGAGGTGATGGTGTGATTCTGGTCCGTATACGTTGACTAACACCAGGTTTCGCCTCCCCAACTTTAATGCCATCGTATCGCCACAATGAATACTATCTTATATTCTTATAGATACCAAGACCAGATTAATGATTACTTTTTTCTGTGCGATCCAAGAACTATATGGTTGATGTTATCGAAGTGGTGGTCGCGATAGGGCAAAGTCATCAAATACGACAGGAAATACAGGAATCCATAGAAAGTATAAGTAAGCCAGAGCATGACCTTCAACGGCAACGTGGTCCCGGGCTAAAATCTATGGAGTCGGAACCTTGCAAGGCGATTCGAGAGGAGATGCTTTATAACCGCAGCTCTTGCAGACCCGAAGTTCATCATTTGTCTGCCATTCTTTCAAGCGCAATGGAAGCTCTTCGAAGATTTTGTAGCTGTTGAACTGCATCACATGGATCACATGCGGTTCGTTGTTGTGGGCAGCAAGATTTGGGCAGCAGAAATGCATCTCGTCTTCCAAGTCAGTGCTCATATAACATACCCGGAGTATCTCGGTTACGCTCCAATACCACTCCAATGGTATTAGCAGGACGCAAGGGAGAATGATGTGTATATGCTAATAGAGTGAGTTCATAGATTGTACATACGCGGTAGCATAAAGAATTCTCCCTCCTTAACTTCGATGCAACGAAACTTGCCTTCGTCTATTACCCGAAGAAACACAGAGCCTTGCACCTGATAGAAGAGCTCTTCTGTCGGCTGAAGACGTCAGCGTAATGAAACACAGACCTGATAGTGGAAGTCAGCACGTTCATTCGGTCCGCCTACGACCATGATAAAATAACCACCAGTTCTGAACAAACATTTGTTACCCACAGGTGGCTTTAAAAGCTCCTTGTTATCTTCTATCCACTGCCGAAAGTTGAACGGAGGGGCAATCATCGGGAGTCGGAGCTAGTCGGTCCCCTCATCGGAATACACACGACTACCGCGCATTATCCTCCACATGACGTGCCTGGCGATTGCTATCGTTGCCCCACCGGTTCGGTGCCCCAACGCCTAGATCCGTATCACGTGCTTAACTATATTTCCACGTGACCCAATTGGGAGCGCCAAGGTGGTGGTGGAAGAAGGCAGGCGGGTGCTTTGCCTTACTTTCGTCGTCATCTAATATGGTGTGTATGCGGTGCGGCAGCACAGCTCGCCTAGTGATGGCGTTGTGATGCTTGCCACACTGGATACTATGAGCAGAATTCTAACAGGAGCAGGACCTGAACTCCCCGATCACCCTGCGGACTCGCAAGTTCATTACCAACCGTTTGCTCCAGCGCAGGCAAATGATCGTGGATGTGATCCACCCTGCCCGCCCTAATGTGTCGAAGTCGGAGCTCCAGGAGAAGTTGGGTGAGCTGTACAAGTCGCCTAAGGAGCACGTCTTCGTGTTCGGCATGCGCACCCACTACGGTGGTGGCCGCTCGACCGGTTTCGCTCTGATCTACGACAGCAAGGAGGCTCTCGAGAAGTTCGAGCCTACTCACCGTCTCGTTCGCGTATGTATATCCGACCTATCACTAATACAACAGAATGGTCTTGCTCCTAAGATTGAGAAGCCCTCGCGCAAGCTGCGGAAGGAGCGCAAGAAGTATGTACTACACGCTTTGCTTGTTGCTAACATCCAACAGCCGTGCCAAGAAGGTCCGTGGCACCAAGAAGGCCAAGGGCACCGAGGCGAAGAAGAAGTAAAGGGATTAGCATACCCTCCGGTTCTTTCCCAACTGTGGCTCTGTATCAGCCTAGGAGCTACTGTTGCTTTATGGTCTTCTTGCTACTCTGCAGGAACAAAAAGGCTGGTCTCTAGGGATGCGGTCACTTTCTGTATCTCCATATTACCACAATGACACGAGTGTGTGTGAGCTTTGAAGTGTACTCTGTGTAGGCTACTCAATGCTGGTGCGCTTTACAGCATCATGTCAGAGGTGTCCATGTTGGCCATGCTCTTCCAGACTAAAGCCACATCCATGTCCTCCGGCTCGTTCGAGACCGTAACTGTAGGCCGCATGGGTTTACCTGGCTTTGATTCGTCCGGTTGGGGGGCACCCTGGGTGGCCGTGACATTCAATCCGAGCGATAGTTTTAAAAGGGGAGGGCCCGGCTTGAAGTGTTTGAGCGGCACGGGTTGATCGTCAGAAAGTCGCTCGGACATGTCCTCCGTCGATTTGACTCGTAGAATGTCACGCAATATGTTTTCAACTGCCACTTCGGCCATGAACCAGGCTTGGTAACCAGCATTCAGCGCACCAAAAGCATCAGCCACATCACCAATGGCATAAATATTGGAGAAGTGAGCTGGCATGCTTTCGAGCTCCGCCGACATATCCATTGAGGCTCCAGCAGACTTTTTGTCGAGGAAGCAGTCGCAGTCCTTGCAGGGAGGAACTGTGTCAAACGGCTGCTGCAATGCATCATGATCTTGTGGAACCATCACCTGGAGGCTAGGGAGTACGCGAACAAGACGAGAGTGTCGACTTACACTGGAGGGAGAAAACCTGGCCATGATTTCTGAGTTGGGCTGCTGTCCAGTACATAATAACAGCATATCACACTCCAGCTCCAAACCAAGAGTGGTTCGGATTCGTTGTCGTCGAGAGCCTTGAACAGGAGTGATCCCATCAGGCGCTGTGGCATCATTGCTTATACCTTTGTCCATAGGGGTGATAGTACTTCCCATAGGGCAACCCTCTGTCATGGCAAGTCTGTGACCCAAAATAACGTTAACGCCGAGTTCCTTCAGACGCTTCAATGCCACTTCATGGATTTGCGGATCAAAGTTGGGGAGCAGTTGTTGCCGAGAGTGAATCAATGTTACCTTCTTTTGAAGACCTTCACGGTTCGCTAGAGACTTAATGTCGGTGGCCATCTCAACACCAAGAGCACCACCACCTACAATGATGATTTCGTTGCTTTCGTGTACACGCTGCTGATAGTCTTTCATCCAGTGGATGCCGTCCTTCTTAGTGTACGAGTCATGTCGAAGGGGTTCGGGCATGTGTGAACCAAGAGCATAGATAAGATGTGAATAGGGTATATGGATGGCATCAATCGTCCAGAGATGTTTGCGTGAAGTTGAATCCTTGAATGAGTCGCTAGTCTGAGTGCCTGCAAGAGTTGGTCCGTGTTGACGAACAGTTACATAGGAGTCATGGATATCCAGCACCTCCCCGCATACAAATAAATGAGGTTCAGCGTTGTTGTAGGGATCGGTCGATTCTGCTTCATTCGTTACATTCAGGCCTTGGACCAAACCCGTCACATCGGCCACCTCCAGACCAGCGCGCTCATTCTTATTTTTCGTATCCACGAGTGAGTTGTGGTCTTCGATAATAGCTCGCTCCATGCTAGGCGCATCAAAAGGAACATTTTTTTCACTGGAACGGAGGGAAATCGCGCTGGTGTCTGTGTAATTTGCCGTGACGGAAGCAGTATCACCAGCGAGCTCCTGCAAATGGAACTTCGAGGTACTGCGAGTGGGTGCACTGGCATAGATACTTGTGCATGGTACGAATGCCTTGTGCTCGTGTCCAGGAACCACCATAAAGCGTGGAAAGACGTAGAGATCTCACCAGTTAGCAAAGAGACATACGGTTGAAATGGGTATTCCGCTCAATGAGAATGACCCGATGACTAGGTGGGAGCTTTTGTGCGAGTAGAGTTGCTGCATGCAAACCTGTCCGTAAGTTTTTATGTCACACATACCACCATAGCTTCCGCCTAGCACGAGGACATTCTGGACACTGTCGCTAGTATTGGCGGTCATGGAGGTACCACGGAAGTTCAATCGGCGCCACGTGAATGCCAGTGTAATCTGATAATTGTAGCTTATGTAATGGTGCTTAAGTCAGACTGACGTCCGCCTGTACCACGCCACGCTCACGAAGGCGCAGGCGCGAAGTGTCAGCTTGACATGGCGGAGCCGGGACTCACATCGAGGCTCCATGGGCCTATGGAATATGTATGTGGCATCAGTCTTACTTCAAGAGCGAGAATCCCAGTATATTTAGTCCATCTTCCGCCATGACCCTTTGGGAACAGATCAAGCATCTGCCTCAAGTACCTTGTGCACGGAGCAGCTTGTTGATGGGCATGGCCACGGCTGCCAGCGTGGGAACCATCCAAGTTGTGTTTGGACGTGGTCTGCAGCGATCTATGAACTGGTCCGTAGGATCTTTCTTGTTTATTTCTATTCTGGGGTGGTACGTGTGGTGGACTGACATGCAGGGAGACGTGTCGTCGGTCGCGAGCAGCGGAGCAGGCACGCATGCGTTCCATTATGGAACAGTTTGAGAAGCGACGAGAACAGTCAAGAAGATCATAATAGAGCGGAAGCCTATATTCTTACACAAGGTACGGGGTAAGAGGTTGTGTCTGTGGTCAGCGATATTGCACGTACGTGGGTGGGCTGGTACCATGCCAGCCAATCGCTGCTCTCAGTAGGAAGTAGACCCATGCTCCAGCATTTGTACAGGCCGAGCGCGATGCAGGCCAAGTGGCACAGCACGAACACCGTCATCTGTGGCAGGAGAGAATGGTTCGGAGAACGAAACGGAGCGAACACTGCCGTCACTGATTTAGCACATACCTCCGTGCATGGACATGATGCCTTTGAGCGGGTTCATGATCATCATTGCGACAACCATCATGCTGAAAATCTGGACGCCATTGCCACTCATCCACATCATCATAAAGTTCATAGGAATGGTTTTGGCCGGTGAATACGCAACATCCCAAGCCTTGGATACTTGAATCTCTGTTGTCGATACAGAGCGATCCTTCACGGCTTTGGACTTGTCCTTGGCGGGAGTCTTTGGTCAGCGCCAAAACTTACCTTGAGCTCTGTGAATCCTATAATGGCATCTATATTATCACTCTGCTTGTTGTTTCTTGATTAGAAAAAGAAACATACTTGGGGGCCAGTTGGCTATTGTTCAGAGACCACGCCAGGAGAGGCGACGTGCTCTTTCGCGCCATGGTGCGGAGCGACAGGGTAGGTCTGAGCGAATAGTGGAGGGTACCAAAGTAAGCGCTAGGGCATGTTACAGTGATGTGCAAAAGCCCTACTAGGACCATCATGTTTTCAGAGGAAAAAAATGGGCCGCGACCTGCACGTCTAGGTTGTCAAACACGATGGCCAAAGTTCCCACCAGCAAGGGCAAGGCTCGTGTGACGAGCAATGGCACTGTGAAGAAAAGCAAGGTTGTCTCTGATAAGCCGAAAAAGGCGGGCGCGGTGCCGGCGGAGCAAGCTCCGTCGCCTCCATTGATCAGCGGTAAAGTCGATGCATCTCAAGTGCTGAAGGCGTGTAAAGCGCTCGCTGCGTATACGGAGCGCCGCTTGAGTGCGAAGCAACATGAGCTTCCGCTTGGTGGAAATGACTCGCTTGGATCATCGAAAGACACGGACAATACAGTGTGGATGCAGATCACGGTGAAGCAGCTGGATTCCAAGCGTCAGGTTAAGCCAGCGCGCATTGCCCTTGCACATCCCCTGCTCGACCATGATGCGTCTGTGTGTCTTCTTACTAAGGACCCGCAGAGGGAGTACAAGGACCTGCTCATGGAGAAGAATATTACTCTGGTCAACCGCGTGGTCGGTGTCGAGAAGCTGAAAGGCAAGTTCCGCCCCTTCGACGCGCGCCGTCAGTTAGTGCGTGACCACGATTTATTTCTTGCCGACGAGCGTATTGTACCGATGCTTCCGAAGCTATGTGGTAGCGTTTTCTACAAGGACCGCAAGTTTCCGATCCCTGTGGACCTGACGAAGAAAAAGCACCTCGCCGAGACGATCGAGCGCGCGGTGGCTTCGACGTACTATATGCAGAACAAGGGATCTTGCAGCACCATCAAGGTTGGCTTCCTGAACCGCCATTCGCCCGAGGAACTCGTCGAGAATATCGCTCAGGCGCTGCCTGCGGTCGTCGCACGAATTCCAGGCAAGTGGTCAAATGTGCAGAACATTGAGATCAAGACGGGTAAGAGTGCCGCGCTGCCTGTGTGGAACTGTCGCTTGTCGGAAGGCCAGGGCGATGAAGTGCGGTGGACGTCTGAGGAGCCGAACGACGCCGACGCCGACGCCCCGAAGCCGAAGACCAAGCGTGTGCGCACGGAAAAGGCGTAGATAGAGCTATGTACAAGATTGATGCAGCTAGAAAAGCGTCTGGCTAGCAACAGATGCCCTAGAAGCCCCCGGCTTGGGGCACATAGAGAGGTAGGAGGCCTGCCTGCCTATCTGGGTCGTGACAAGGGCGTCTATAGCTTGGCAGCACGGGCAGGTGTCGTGACTACCGACGGGTGAAGTGTATCGGTTGCCTCGCCATCGTCAAAGTTTAACGTGGAGCTTTCGTCTTCCTCGGCATCGACCTCCGAGGCAGATACTTGCACTTGAGCCATGGGCGACATGCGCCACTGGAGCTCCCGGAGCGGTTTGCTGCTGGGCTGCCACACGTTATATGCCTGGACGACAGCGCGCATATCCTTCGCGAAAAAGTGGCGGATCACTTGGTCCTCGAGCAGGCCCCGCAGGGCCCAAGGTAGCTCGAACGGGTTCCAGCGCTGCGGAGCATGTGGCATGGTAACGAGCGGGATGTCTTGTGCGCCAGATGTGCGTGGAGAGTAGGTCTCGAACATGTAGCGAGTAGCGAGACTGTACACGGCTGGCTCGTCGTATAGCATCGAGTGGCCAGCTCCCGTGTAGAGCGAGCCTGCCACGGACGCGCTGAGCAGAGAGAGGAGGTTGTGATCGTGAAAACCACAGTTTCGCACAGCGACGCAGAGCACAATGAGCTGCGTGAGAAAATCTTGACGGGGATACACCGCCTCGTCGATATACACTGCGCGCAAGATGGAAGGGTGCGCGGCCGACGAGTAGAGCGCACTGTAGAGCGGTACGACATTGTCGTCCACGGAACCCACGTGCACACACTTGGCGCCCGCTGCCAAGAGGCGGCGATAGGCCTTCTCATGTGCCTGTGAGATGGGTGAGTCGGACGACTGAAACTCGAAGAGCTCGCGCGCTGCACCCGTCTCAAAGTAAAGCATGTACGACGAGGCAATGCTGCCTTTCAAGTGCACAAATGGCCCCTGAAAAATGCCACACATGGTCAAAAGGCATATGCGCGCGCGATGTGGGTCGATAAGGCCCTCGTCGAGACTGCGTTAGACGTCACATACGTACAGTCGGGACAGGAGTAACGTCGCAACAATTGAGCCCTGGCTGTGAGCGGCAACAAACACAGCGTCTGCATCACGAAGGGCATCGCGCCAAGCGGGCGTGTTCACAATTGACTCAAAGTAGTGCTCCGCGCGGGCGCCTACGCGGCCATCGTGCTGCACGGCCACTGTTGTAATAGCATCGTCGTCCAGCGGTACCTGCAGCTCCTGGAAGTGGTGGCGCACCGACTCGGCCATCTTGTCTGCAAAGTGGGCGGAGGTCCCAAAGATGGGACCCATGACATTTTTAAGCACGCTCTGGGCATTCCAGCCATGCACACCAATGACCACGACCTTCTTCACACGCCGGTAGCCTCGGAGGTGGCCAAAGCGTGTGTCGCCAAGAATCTGGTATGTGCGCGGCATGACCTGTTCGTGCTGCGCATGTAGATGCGGCACAGATGCCCCACTCTCAGATTGCTTGGGCAGCTCGCGCGAAATTTCGTTAGGATTTTGGAAGAGGCTGCTGAGAGCGTTGGTGGCCCGGCCCCACAGCGTCGTCCGAGCCGGCCACACGCGTGGAGGTCGCTCAAATGTATCCTCAAACGTGGGAAGTACCCTGTAGGATATGACATCGCGCGGTTTCACGGGCATGCGGTGTTCGTTAGGCATGCCAGGAGTATGACCGTCACGCCAACGCGCTGTCCAACGCTCGGCGGGGCGCCACGGCGCACGGACAAGTCACGTGAGACCAAGCCGGCTATGGAGGGCCTATACCCAAACATTGTCCTGGATTTCGGGGCCAATGCCGATCGCGTGTACTTTGAAGCCGATGTCACGTAGCTTTGCAGGATCAATCACACGGCGGCCATCAAAGACGACGGCTGGCTTGCGCATGACATTGTACACGAGCGACCAGTCGATGTTTTTGAATTCGTCCCAGTCAGTAGCGATCACCACAGCCTCGGCATCGTAGCACGCATCGAGGACGCTGGGGCATACCGTGATGGCCTCCTCGAGCCCCTGGCGGTCGTCTACGACGCCAGGCTCAGACATGTCCAGGTAGATCTGCTCGCGCTTGACCTTGGGATCGTAGATGGCGATGCGCGCGCCCTCCTCACGGAAGTGCTTGCACAGTGAAATGGCCGGCGACTCGCGCGTGTCACCCGTGTCCTTTTTGAACGCGAATCCCAGAATGGCGAGGCGCTTGCTGGTGACCGTGTTGAACAGCGTCTGGACCACTTTTTTGGCGAATCGGCTTTTAGAGAACTCGTTCATGGTAATCACCTGGCGCCAGTACTCCGCCACCTGGGGCAGGCCCAGACTCTCGCTAAGATACGACAAGTTCAAGATGTCCTTTTGGAAGCAACTGCCGCCGAATCCGACACTCGCGCGCAAAAAGTGCGGGCCAATGCGGCGGTCAAGGCCACAAGCATGCGCAACTTCGTCGACGTTGGCACCGGTCGCCTCACAGATAGCCGAAATGGCATTGATCGACGAGATACGCTGGGCCAGCAGGGCATTCGCAGCGAGCTTGCTCAGCTCACTGCTCCACAGGCCAGTATGCAGGATGCGCTCCTTGGGGACCCAGTGCTGGTACAGGCCGCTTAGCAGGTCTGCGGCTCGGCGGCCGTGCTCCGTGTCGAGGCTGCCAATGAGCACACGGTCTGGCTTGAGCAAGTCTTGGATCGCCGTACCCTCCGAGAGGAACTCTGGGTTCGACAGGATCTGGAAGTTGACGTTCGGCTTGCAGTTCGACTCGAGGATCGCGCGCATCGAGGCGGCCGTGCGGCAGGGCACGGTCGATTTTTCAACAATAATCTTCGAGGTCGTGGCGACGCTCGCGATGCGGCGCGTCGAAGCCTCGACATAACGCAGGTCGGCGGCGTACCCGCTGCCGACACCCGATGTCTTGGTCGGCGTGTTCACACTCACAAATACGATCTGGGCCTCTTCGATAGCGCCGTCAATGTCGGTCGTAAAGAACAGGTTGCGGCCACGGCATTCACTCACAACATCCACGAGGCCAGGCTCAAATACGGGGAGCTGCGACATGTCCTCCGAGTTCCACGCGGCAATGCGCTGCGGGTTGACGTCCACAATCGTGACCTTGATCTCAGGGCACTGCTGCGCGATAATCGAGCATGTCGGGCCACCGACATAGCCAGCGCCTATGCAACAGATAGAGGTAACCTTTTCCGGGACCATGGTGGGGAGGCGAACGCTGAACCAGCAGCACGACGAGGGAACGAAGGTGTCACGAACGGTTACACGCGGAAGCGAACCAGGGCCAGCTTGTGGGGATGCCCACCGCATTCCTACGTGGCTGCGGCGCACGTGGCGGCTGTCCGTGCGCGCAAGACTCGCACGTGCGACACCCGAGGCCCGCCCGCCCTACTTATGACGCGTCCGCTCGACGCGTCGTGGGTACGAGTCGAAGACGCACGGAAGCCAGACGGAGATGGATGGGAACTCGAGCAGGAAGATAGTGAACTGATCGTCCTGGATATGGGATCCGCCGAGCGTGCGCCGGCCGAGGAGCGGGAGAGTATGCCCGGCACGAGTGTTACGCTGACCGTACGTGTCGTGTCTCACACGCAGGGTCTCGAGACCGATACGCCCATGATGAAGCTAGGAGATATGGTCATGATGGGCCAGTGGGACGAGCTGCTCGGCAGCGAGATTGTGCTGTGCCAGGGTATGTGCGTGCATCTTACACACAGAACCTACGAATACAGCAGAGGATGCAATTTGGCAGCCAGTTCACGCGTCCATGGAAGGCCTGGCCAGTGGCGCGAGCAGTACTAGCACGCGGTGCATTGCCTTTACGCCTGTACGGTCCCAGCAGGACGCCATGTTCGATACCCCGTCGCACCTGCCGGCCACCGATGACCTTCCACGCGATTTTGACGAGGACATGCCCCTCGCATGGCATGCGCGAACGTCATAGCTGAGACATGCATGCCCTAGAGTGGCGCAGCACACGCTGTGCCGGCGCCCGAAGCGGGTCGTTCCCGATCTGTGCCCCGATCGTGCAGACTTGCCGCGCCTCCATTCCACGCGCCTTTCGCTCGAACACGAATGAGCGAGACGCCGAGGGAAGAGCCAGATACGTCCGCGACTAAAGGCCTGTGTATCCGAGGTAGAGCCCAGCGCGAGTCGGAGCGTGCGCCGAGTCACGATGAGGCCGTGCCCTGGTTCCTGTGCCCACCTCCGCGAGCGAGTGATGGCGACGCCACGTGGGGCCTCGGCGTAGAGTGCACGGAGGATGTCAGCCCGGCGCTGCAAGACAAGCTTGCACGATTTCATGAGCTCAAGGCGCAGGGAACACACTTTAATGAGGCGCTCATGCGGAACCGCGCCTTTCACAACCCCCGCATCCATGCCAAGCTCGTCGAATGGGCGAGCCTCGATGAGCACGGCTCGAATTACAGCGCGATCGCCGCGGCGCAAGGTACGGCGCCTTCGTGGGATGCGGCGGATGCAGAGTTGTTGCGCCATGGCACGGCTTCGGCACTAGGTACGTCGCCTGTCCTGACACCAGCGGCTGAGCAGCGGCAGTACGCCGAGGCGCGCGCCCGTACGCAGTCCCGGACCCACATTCCCTTTGCGCATGCACGAGTGAACGACTAGGGTTGTCTATATTGGAAAAGAAGCAGCTTTTCGCGGCCGCTCCCGCGGCTCGGGGGCGTCAGAGCTGCGCGCTTGGGCGGCGTTGGTGTGGCATTGGGCGCCGAGCGCTTGCCGAGGGGTAGGCGCGGCGTGTGCGCAGCCGAAGCGGGGGCGGACCGCGCAGGTGAGGGCGACGTGCCGGGCAGCACGACGTGCCGTGGGCGCGTCGCCGAGGCAAACTGGAAGCGCTGGAACCAGGTGTGGCGGCGTGTCATATCGTCCTGCTCGTCGGAGTGGCCGGGCGTCCATGCAAGAGCTTGGCACGCCGTCGCAGGCGTGCTGGTGGGCCGCTGCGCCGCGGCCATGGGCGAGCTGGGCGGCGACGATACAGGGCTCGATACGGCAGCATCGACCTCGCTGGCAGCGCGCCGCGGCGAGGTGAGTGGCGATGCAGGAGCGGCGTGGCGCTCGGGCGTGGGCGGCTCACTGTGGTGCGGTGAGGTCAGTGGCGACGCATTCGCTTCGGCCTTGGCAGACACAGCGGCATCGCCCGAGGCCAGCGAGCTGGGCGAGGTGCACGGCGAGTCGGCCTGTGCGTCGGTGGTATCGAAGAGGGAGTCGGCTGTACTGCACGACGAGTCAGCTCGTGCGTCGAGCGACGGCGGCGATGGCGCTGGCGCTGGGCGAAAAAAGGCGCGCAGCGTCGGCTGAGCCGGTGGGGTGGGGGCGGAAGCGGCCGGCTGCATGCGCGGCTGTAGCACGTCGGTAAAGCGCCGGCGCGTAATGGGGCACATGTCACCACATGCAATCGCGCGCGCGACGTCGTCTGCGAGCGGCGCGCCGATGCACGCGAGAACGTCCGGCGCGACGTCTTTCGGGAGCGGATGAAGTGTGGACATGGCGCCATCGCCGCGAGGATCCCAGACGCGCTGGTGCTGGAATGTAAAGTCGGCGCGAGTAAATGCGTCCGCGTACGTGGGCGGTACCTGCCACTTGCCCTCGAGGCGCAGGGACTGCAAGAGGCGCTCCACGGTGGCGTACTTGCGCAGAAGGCGGTGCGCGCTGCGCAGGCCCATGCCAGTGATCGATGGCAGGTAGTCGCACCCTGAGAGGATGGCCATGTGGCGGAACTCGCGGTCGCTCCATCCTGCGAGCGAGGGCTGTGTGACGTGCGCGAGGTGCGCGCGCTGGATTTCGACGCAGTGGCCGTAGGTATCCATCTTGAACAGCACGCGGCGGCAGCCAAAGACGAGCAGGTCCGAGTCCTCGCTGATGACGCCGTCGATGAGGCCCATCTGCTCGAGGTAGGTGAGCTGGGCATCGGCCTCGTAGGGCGCGACCAGGTAGGGAATGCCGTGGCTGCGGAGCACCTGGATGAGCTCCCGCGCCATGTGCGGCGTAATGTCGACGCTGCGCACAAACGCTTCGCGCGCCTCAGAGAGACGCTTCTGTGCATACAGCGCGAGTCCACGCTGCCGGTGCTCGGCACGCCGCCTGGGTCAGCACGGCATACGTACGATTCACGCTCGGCTTCGGTGCCGGACTTGCTGGGCAGCGGCCCACCATCAAACACAACGTACGGCTTCACGCCATAGTGCTGGAGCATGCGGATCCGGTGCATCGCGTACGCGACGTAGCGCGTCGTCGGGCGACCGAGCGCCAGGTCCATGGCGCAGGCATAAGCGCCACGGTGCAGCCACACGTAGCCGTCGATGCCTAGCGTGCGACCTCGAAACGCCTCTACGTGGGTCTCATGCTTCTGTCAGTGTCGCAACGCACCTGTATGTCCTTGAGGAGGGGCAGCAACCCCTGGATCCCCATCGTAGCGCGGCGCGTGTGCCTGCGACCGCGAGCGGCGCGCGCGCGCTTTGATCACGTGATAGAAGGAAGAGTGCAGCGATCGCACTCACGGCGCCGCCTGTCCCCGCCGCACCATGAAGCTCGTCAGGTACGTGTGCATGCTAATGCGAGATTCTTGATGAAGCTTAACAATGAGAGCGTCACGATTGAGCTCAAGAATGGTACGATTGTGCATGGCACTGTCACAGGTACGTGGACGAGACTTACGCAGGTGTCGACGTGCAGATGAACACGCACCTCAAGGCGGTAAAAATGACGGTGCGGGGCAGCGATCCCGTCTCGCTGGACACGCTATCGATCCGCGGTAACAACACGCGGTACTGGATACTGCCGGATGCGCTCCCTCTTGACACTCTCCTTGTGGACGATGCGCCGCGGCCGAAGGGCAAGCGCAAGGATGACGCGCCGCGCGGACGGGCAGACCGCGGGCGTGGTGGTCGTGGCCGCGGCGGGCGTGGCCGCGGCCGTGGGCGCCCCTGAGCCACCTGCCTTGCCAGTGATCGGCCCATGTGCCTCTTCGCCATGGCCATGCCATGGGCTCTTCGGCCTGCGTGCCGTATTGGGCGTGCCACTCGCGGCGCCTGCCTATACCGACCTGTACTGTTGTAGCGCTATATAAAGACCGCAGTCGCTGTGAGCGACGCCAGGGAGCGGGCCTGCGCCGCCGGGCGGAGGGTGTGTGTGGGAAATATGCGCGGCGGCGGAAAAGGGCGGCCGTCGTCGGCCGCCATTGCTTCCGACGATGAGCACGCTCGCGGACATCAAGGTGTTTTGTGGTAGGTGCACGTATCTGACCGCAGGCTCGAGCCACCCGGAGCTCGCACAGCTGATATGCAGGCGGTAGGTGCGCGGACGCTGACCCCAGGCTGGGCGTGCCGCTCGGCCAGTCGAGCGTATCGAAGAACGATGCGGGCGAGCTGCAGGTGCGCATGCACGAGTCGGTGCGTGAGCACGACGTGTACATTATCAACACGTCGTGCGTGTCGTACGACCAGAAGGGCCACCCCGTGAGCCCCAACACCTCGCTCATGGAGCTGCTGATCATGATCAATGCGTGCAAGACGGCGAGCGCGCGGCGTGTCACGGCGGTGATCCCCCACTTTTTCTATGCGCGCCAAGACAAGAAGGACAAGAGCCGTGCGCCGATCTCGGCGCGCCTGATCGCCAACATGCTCGAGACGGCCGGCTGTGACCATGTGATTGTACGTCGCGGCCACTCACACAGACCATGGACCTGCACGCATCGCAGATCCAGGGCTTCTTCAATGTGCCCGTGGACAACCTGTACTCGGAGCCAGCCGCGCTGCAGTATGTGCGCGAGATGCTCGACATCGACCGCATCGTCATTGTGTCACCGGACGCCGGCGGCGCCAAGCGGTAGGTTCCCACCACTGACGCAGTGCGACGGCAATTGCGGACCAGCTGGGCGTCGACTTTGCGCTCTTCCACAAGGAGCGGAAAAAGGCCAACGAGGTCTCGCGTATGGTCCTCGTAGGCGATGCGCGCGGCAAGATTGCCGTGCTCGTCGACGACATGGCCGACACGTGCGGCACGCTCGACCTCGCGGCGCAGCGCCTCAAGGAGTGTGGTGCTGACCGCGTGCTGGCGATCGTCACGCACGGTATCCTCTCAGCGCCCGCGCTCGAGCGTATCTCGAAGAGCAGCCTCGAGACACTCGTGGTAACGAACACGCTCCCTCAGACGGCCAACAAGACAAAGTGCCGCAAGATTGAGGAAATCGACATTAGCCATCTGCTTGCAGAGACGATCCGGCGCTCACACTACGGTGAGAGTGTCTCGGTGCTCTTCTCGCAGATCCCCTACGACACGATCCAGCCGTACCGCCATGGCGCCGACACGCCGTCTGCGAGCCCGCCGCGGTCTACGACGTCGTCGCCTGTGGCGGCAGGCCTCGCAGCGGCGACGGCGCCCGTCATGTCCGCGGACAAGGAGGCGACGCAGCATGCCGTGATAGCGCCGAGCCCGCTACGCCGCGAGACGCTTCGCCACGAATAGCTAGAAAAGTACAGGGCTATGATGTGGTAGATATCTCTGCATCTTCGGGACGCACTCGGAAGGGCAGGGGCCGCGCATGCTTGCGCAGCTGCTCGCCACTGCGCCGCGGCGCGGTGCGCCCGGGCGGGCGGGGCGTCTCGTCGCTGGACGCGGGTTTCGCGGCAGGCGCCGCATTATGGATGAGCTGCCGCCAGCGCATGCGCGGCCGGTGCGGCCCTGCGGGCGGCGCCGGTACGTCAGCCGTACGCTGGTCCTCCATCGGACCAAGCAGGCCGCCAAACAGGTCCTCGATGAGCGCGGCCGAGTTCATGCGGCAGTATGTGTGCCGCGGCTGTGACGCATCGTGAGAAAAGGAGTGCACAAGCGAGCTTCGCCGCTGCGACGAGAGCGCATGCGCCTCGTCTTGCCTGACAAACTCTGGCTTGACCGCCGTGCTGTGGTACAGGAGCGGGAGCGGGAGCATGAAGTGCCACTCGAGGCCCCGGCACGGCTCGTCGAGGCCCGCTGAGGGCGACGACAAATCAGAGCCGGACGAGGGCAAGCGCGAGTTGCGCTCGCCCGCCTGCAGGCTTGCAGGATCGAGCATGCCCTGCTGGATGCCGGGTACGACGTAGGAGTGAGTGCCATCGAGGTACGTCACTTCTATCGTTACGCGCAGCAGCGCATTGCACGAGCAGTTGTCGAGGAGGAACTGGCGCGACTCGCGCCGCGTATGGCTCCCTGCTGCACTAGTTAGGCGGGGCGCATACTCGGCTAGGTTCAGGCTGAGCGAGCCAAACTTCTGGCGCGAATCGGCGTGGCCTTCGTCCGTCTGCCGGCGGTACACGCGAAGCCGAATGCGCGAAGGGCGCAGCCGGCCTGCCGACGACTCGCTCCGGGTCGAGCGGATGCTGTCCGAGTCCTTCGTCTCGCCTTCAGCGTCAGGGCGCCCCACGCCTATGCGCACGACCGACTCGATGCGCGTGTCCCACTGGACTGAGTGGCCCTGCACACCTAGGAAACACGTCTGTCCAGATGCCGTGTGGTGCGGGACGACCGCAAATATGGAGCTGCCCGTGCCGTTGGATGTGATGGAGCGCGCACGCGATCGCATGCGCCGCGAAGGCGCTGGCGCATGGGCGCCCGCATCGTCGGCGGAGAGGGTATCCATGAGCCGCTGCGCCGTGCCCGACTCGTCGCGCGTTGCAGCCGGGCGGAGGTACTCAGGCGAGTCTGCGACATGCCTTCGGGGCGACGACTCCGGCGTCCATAGCGCCGCGGGCGAGTGCGGTCGCTCGGCGTCGACGGGCGAAGTCCATGCGCCGCGTCGGTCATCTGCGATCGCAGAGGCCGAGTCCACCGCGGGCGACTCGGGGTCCTCCTGTGCGCGCGCAATGACGTCCGCCTGTGTGATTGTCATGGAGCGCTCCATGCCATCGTCGTGATCTTCGTCGACTGAGGCGAGGCTGGCCAGTGTCTTACGAGCGTGGCCCACCGAGTGCTTTATATGCCAATCGAGCGAAAACTCGCCGGCGACTAGCGGTACGTGAATGAGCTCATGCACATGCACGCACACCTGAAAGTGTGCATGCCGTGTGCTGAGCGGGAAGGGGCCCAGCAGCGCGCGCCGAGCCATACCGACACCGCGGCAGCGTCCGCGGGGCACGACGCCCTTGCACAGATCACTATCACGTGCACTACTCTTTCTCCTCCACTACCACGTGCTTGCGCGCCGCCTTCGGCTTCTTGGTGCCGCTCTTCGTGTGCCGGCGGCGGCGGTCCTCCTTGACGCGCCGTGCCTCGGTCATGGTGTGCTGCAGCTTCTGGGCCGTGCGTATAGGCTTGGGCACGTGGCGCTGGCGCTCAATCTTCGCCACATCGCCGACTGAGTTCCAGCGGGCGCGCAGCGCCTGCGCGTACTCGCGGCTCGCGCGCTCGCGCGCATTGACGATGCCCAGCTTGTCGCTGGCGCGATGTTTCCATAGCCGCACGTTGCCATCATCGGAGCCACTCAGCACGAAGCGCGCATCGAGCGTGTAGGTCACGGCAAACACTTTCTGCATGCGCTTCGTATGGTACACGTCGCGCGAGCGCGCGCCTTTTCCGACGTCCCAGAGGCGCACAGTGCGGTCGTATGAGCCAGTAACGAGGCTCTGCCCGGTGGGTGCCCAGTCGACGGACATGACGGCGCCGACGTGCCCCTTGTAGATCTGCGTCGCGGACGAGAGATTCCGCATGTCGAACGTGTACATGTTGTGGTCCTCGCTCGCAACGGCAAAGGTCGTTGGCTCCACGGGCGACCATGCTATGTCGTTGGCGCGCATCTTGGGTCAGTCAGCAGTACGCACCGTTAGCACCACCTTGTGCAAGGGCTGGCCACTGCGCACGTCGTACAGCGTGACACCTCGGTCCGTGCCGGCGCTGGCCAGCACATCCGTTTCGCTCTGGTTGTAGCGCACCACATGCACGGCGTCCACACCCATGGACATGTCGAGCAGGGGGTCCGAGCCGCCGCCGCGGTTCATGTCCCAAATCTGCACCGTGCTCGACGCCGACGCAAACCGCGGAAGGTGCGCATGGTGCGAGAGCGAGTGGAACGCCGTCTTGCCATTGTACACGGTCAGCGGCTCACTCGCAGGCTGCTCGCGGGGACGCAGACTGAACAGGTCTGCATCGCGCGCACCCGACGCCTCGTCGTCGTCGCTCTCCTCCGCATACTCGGCGTAGTCGCCCAGACCCTCCGGCACAGGGTCCGCCTTCCACACCTTGACGGTGCGGTCTGTCGAGCATGACAGCATGCGCTTCGATGCGGCACCACTTCCGAACGACAGGGGTGAAATGCACAGCGATTGGATGATGCCCGCATGCGCACGGGGGTATGTGAAGATGCAGCGCTGGTGGTTTAGATCCCATAGCCGGATATCGCCATCGCCGCTGCCACTGGCCAGCACGTCTAGGCGCTTCGGATGACGTGCAAGCGCATACACGCCATCAATATGCCCTTCGAGCGCCGCCACAAACGGCTTGGCAAACAGCCGGTCAAGCTTGGCCGCATTCAGGGCACGTGTGTACTCTCGTGGCTTGTCAAAGGGGTGCATGGTCGGGTCTAGATTCCGCTGCACCGGCGCAGCATCGCCTAGCCGGGCCGGCGTATGGTCGTCCAGCGAACGCGTCAGCGCTTTAATTTTCTGGCGTCAGCATCTACACGACGCACCATCAGCCAGAGCGAACGACAGCGTCGACTGGGCGCGCGCCACATTTTTTTGGGTGCCACGTGCTGCGGCCTACCGGCCGCGCGCGGCGACCCCGCTCTACACCGTCCGCGTCCTGATGACCTCGGTGATTGAGATGCCTGGTGACGCAGTGGCAGCGACGGCCTCGGGGCACAAGTACAGGTACGTGATCCATTCTAAGGCAGTGTGATTCTCCCGACGTATAATGAGCGCGAGAACCTGCCGATCATCGTGTTCCTGCTGTGCCGCATGTTCCAGCAGCAGGGCCTCAACTATGAGATTGTGATTGTGGACGACAACTCGCCGGACGGCACCCAGACGATTGCGCGCCAGCTGGCTGCGCTGTACGGTCCCGAGCATATCGTGCTCCGCCCGCGCGCGGGCAAGCTGGGTTTGGGGTACGTGCCGTGTGTCTTACGCCAGGACCGCCTACATCCACGGCCTCGAGTCGTGCACGGGCGACTTTGTGGTCATCATGGACGCAGATTTCTCGCACCACCCGAAATTCATCCCCGACATGATTGCGAAGCAGATCCACACGAACGCTGATATTGTGCAGGGTACGCGCTACTCGGGCCCGTCGACGGGCGCGGGTGTGTACGGCTGGGACCTGAAGCGCAAGCTTGTAAGCCGCGGCGCAAACGTGCTCGCGAGCTTTGTGCTTGACCCGCGCACGACGGACGTCACGGGCAGCTTCCGGCTGTACAAGCGTGCGGTCCTCCAAACGCTCATCACCCAAGTCAAGTCCAAGGGCTACGTATTCCAGATGGAGATCCTCGTGCGCGCCAAGGCGATGGGCTACTCGGTCGAAGAGGTGGCGATCACCTTCTGCGATCGGGTGTATGGAGAGAGCAAGCTGGGCGGCGACGAGATTGTTGGCTATGCCAGGGGCGTGTGGCAGCTCTTTGTAGGCATTTAAATACGAGTTATTTACTTGTACTGGTAAAAGCCACCCTTCTCAGGGGTCTTGCGACCCAGACGGCCCTCCTGGATCAGCTTGGTGAGCATCGGCGACTCGGTCACCAGGTCGGCGGGCAGGTGCTCCGAGCCGGCGCAGGTCTCGCGCCAGCCCTTGGCGATGTGCTCCATTGTGTCGAGGCCGACCAGGTCAGCAAGCTCAAAGGGACCCATGGGGTAGCCGGCACCCAGCTTCATGGCCGTGTCGACGTCCTCGGGCGAAGCCACACCCCGCTCCACAAGACGGATCGCCTCGAGCTGGTAGGGCACCAGCAGGCGGTTCACGATGAAACCGGGCGAGTCAATGCACGTCACAGGCACCTTGCCCATGCGCTTGGCCACCTCGACGAGCGCGGCGTGGGTCTCGTCGTTGGTCTGCTCCGTGCGCACAATCTCAATCAGCTTCATCTGCGGCACAGGGTTGAACGCGTGGAAACCGCCAAACTGCTGCTGGCGCTTCGTCGCCTTCGCCACGTCAGTGATACTCAGCGACGAGGTGTTGCTTGCGAAGATCGCCTCCGCGGGCGCCTTGCTCTCCAGGAAGGCGAACAGGTCCTGCTTGATCTTCATGTTCTCAATGATGGCCTCAATTACCAGGTCAGTCGACTCCACGGCCTTCGAGGCGTCCGTGGTCACCGTGATCGAGTCGACCACGCCCTTTACAAAGGCCTCCTGCTCCTCCGCCGACTTGTCAGTCATCTTCTTCTTGGCGATGCGGGAGAGCGACTTGGAGATGATGTTCTGGCCATTCGTCAAAGCCTTGTCGGTCACATCCGCCAGTGTCACGTTGTACTGGCCAACGTGAGCCAGAACCTGCGCAATGCCAGCGCCCATCAGACCGGCACCGAAGCTGCATGTCAGCCGTAGAGTCCACGTACACAGTGACGTTCTTGATCTCCTTCTGGGCAGCCATCTGCGCAGTCAGCATTGCCATTTGACCATTCCACCTACCGAGGTCGAGAAAGAACGGGCCGCACTGGCCGTGCGGGCAGCAACAGCCGCGCGAGCACCAACAGTAGCGAACATCGACATGGGGAACGAGGGGAACCAACCGGGCGCCGCGCTCGTCGCCCACCGGCCCCGACTTTACCGATCTCGGCCGAAATTGTACGAGTTGGCTCGTGCACACTACCTACGACAAGGGAACGTTCCACTTCCACCGGTCCTCCTGGTAGCCCGCTACCGTGTCCGTGAGGAGAATCTCGCGTCGCTTTTGTACATAAGCCGTCACTAGTGTCAGGTTCACAAACGTACAGTCAGTCACTTTCTGGCGCATCGCAGGGATCGTCTCGCGCTCGATCGGCATCTCAAGCTGGCCCGACAGCTCTTCGACAGCCCGCTCAAGGTCGCGTTGGTTGTCCTCGAATAGCTCCGTCATATTGTTCCGCTCGAGGTAGTACACCATACAGTAGGTCCATTTCAACGTCATACGGCACTCACTTAGCGTATCAGCAGCCTTCTTGAGGAACTGCACCTCGATCCACGTAAGATCGGACGTGCGCTGCATTTCCTCCATCTTCTTCTCGATGCGCAGGTACAGTTGGTGATCCAGCCTTGCAGACTGCTCATGGTTGGCATAGCGGTTAAAATAGTGCAAGTATCTCTCCAGAGACGCCCGGCTCTTGGCTTGAGCATCACGGGCATTCGCCCCAGACTTCTCGTCGTACCGGTTGCATTGGTACCAGTTGTTCCCATGCTCCGACCATGGACCCGAACAGATCCAGCAAAACTCGTACTTACATTTTCTGCAAGTCATATGATTGCAGCCGCCATTCTTTTCGATCGTAGAGATGCACTTGGGGCACTCTTTCGTATTGGCGCTGATCCAATTTGCCGTCTCGCTGTCATCTTCGCATTTCTTCAGCCACAACCGCACGATCGAGCAAATAACAGGATGGTGTGCGGCCACACCACATCCGAAGCAGAACCAGTGCCCACAATCGCAGCGCACAGAGGGCACCACCGTATGGAGTTGCTTCTTCGACACACCGCACTCCACCGCAAGTTCACAGTCCGGCGCAGGGCACCACCGAAGCGCGGGGTTGTCGTCCACATAGGCCCGGTCCAGCAAGAGACGGTATCTGTGGAAAAGCCTAGGCGGTAGCAGCTTAGACATAGTATCTTCATCCACAATCAGTTTACAGTGGCGGTTCATACACTGGATTCGTCGGCTCTCACCTTCCTCGCGGACCTTTTGTTCCACGTATTGGGTATAACATTCTGTACAGTAGCGGTGCCCGCAAGGAAGCGATGTCGTCATTATCATTCCACCATAGTCGTCCGATGACATGCAGCAAATCTCACATGTAAAGTCGCTCATCTCGAGCATGCGTGGGCATGCAGGGTTGTCCAGTACGCCGGCCTCCCACTTAACGCGCTCAGTGTCATCCATGTACTGCTCAATGAGCCGTTCCTTGTTCCATTGGAAATGGCGCAAGAGCACGGCTGCGTCGTGTGCTGGGACCATAAACATCCCTGCAATATGTTCAATCTCCTTCTGCTGCATGGCCTCAATGCCAGCGATCGTAAGACAGCGGAAATCGACTTCATATGGCTTCTTTTGCCGGACGTCAGATATGGAATGGTCAAGAAATACCCCATCATCAGAAATCACGTCGAATTGGTCCTCATTCATATCATCCGTGTCCATGTTCTCGCGGCTACCTCCGCTCAGGTTATCATATTCGGCATCCCCCGAATCGGAGTAGTCCGTCGTTCCGTATCCATCATACGTCTAGCTAGTCAGAATCTCATCAAAGTACGTACAAAATCATCATAGTTGGACATGATCGGCACCAACGTTCCGGGTTACGGACACAGCCAGCTGCAAGGTCACGCACTCCGTGTGGCGAACCGATCAACGCGTAGCTAGGACGGCCACTATGTGGAGCAGCACCCTGTTGATAGTGTGAGCCTGACTAAGGGCTCGTGGCACATCCTTGTGATGCACGTGATATGATATAGTTTTGGACAGAGCTGAGACAACCGCAGCGTAACACGGAGCGAGAGAATCCTAGCGACCACGAAGTTCTGGTACTCACCTCAAGGTACGCATGCCATGCCCGGGGAGGTGATATGTCCATGGTCCTTGCCCATGTGGGTTGACTGGATGTTTTGCTTGTCGCTTCCCTGGTGCTCGTTCTTGGAAGAATGATGCTAACATGAACAGATGCCTACCCATCTCACTAAGACTAGGAAGCACCGTGGTAACGTTTCGGCAGGTCACGGTCGTATCGGCAAGCACCGCAAGCACCCCGGTGGTCGCGGTCTGGCCGGTGGTTTCCACCACCACCGTACCAACTTCGACAAGTACCACCCTGGTTACTTCGGTAAGGTCGGTATGCGCCACTACCACCTGCTGCGCAACCCCCAGCACAAGCCTATTATCAACCTGGACAAGCTCTGGACCCTTGTGCCCGCTGACCTGCGCCGCAGCGTGACCGCCGAGTCGACGGAAGTCCCCGTCATTGACACTCTCGCCGCGGGCTACGGCAAGGTCCTCGGTAAGGGCCGTCTCCCCCAGCTGCCCGTGATTGTGAAGGCGCGCTGGGTCTCGGCTCTGGCTGAGAAGAAGATCAAGGAGGTCGGCGGTGTCGTCAAGCTGGTTGCGTAAATGATGGCTTCGGTGACCGAGCATCTTGGATTTCGGCGACGTGTCGCATACATACACTGGAGCGCTCTTCGGGGGCGTTTGTGTATATCATATGACCCAAAAGAACGTAGGATGTCTTAGATTGTCCGACACATCTATGGATATGTTAGATTTGGTATGCCACCATGGTAGGGTGCGCCAGTCAGTAGGCCAAAGGCCTCCTGTACTCGGGCAGTCATTGTATATAGCCATCCAGACAGGTTGAAGGGGATATCTACCCCATCTACCTAGGCTCACGAGTGTGAGGAACTACATGGCCGTTTTTGAGATCAGGCTCTTGTCTAAACTTAGTTCGACAGGATGGTGATCTCGACATCCACACCCGGCTCAAGGGCAGTGGAAGTGATCTGCTTGACCACCTCGCTGGGCGAGTGCAGGTCAATCAGACGCTTGTGGATGCGAAGCTCGTAGTGGTCCCAGGTCTTCGAACCCTCACCGCAAGGCGACTTGCGGGTAGTGTGCGTCAACACCTTGGTCGGAAGACGCACGGGACCCTTGACGTGAAGCTTCTTGTCCTTCGAACGGTTCACAAGGTCGCTGCACACTACAATGTTAGTAAAGAGTATACATACTCTTCTCGAGGCTCTTCACGTTACGCGACGTGAGAGTGATGCGGATCTTGTGAAGCTTCACAGGGGCCACAGGGGCATCGACATCCTTGTCCTTGGCGACGTAGCTCATTTTCAAATGTACTTTGGAACCAGCGGTGACCAAGTGAGAGAAAGAATTCGCAAGAAACTTGCTCTTTACCAGGTGTCTGGGTCACGTGAAGTACAGCCTCACGTGTAGTACCCTGACCCCAGCATCGTACACCCTGATGACGCTGAAGAGCCGGTCGATGCAGCCACTCCAGCCACCCTCCGTGTGAGCATTTATACTCCCTGATAAGGGTGCATAAATACTTGAATGGTAGACTACTAGTAGTTTGTTCTATGTCCGTCAAGGGTGATTTCCCTTTATATCTGTAATGTTCATAGCAGGACGCAAGTGGGTAGTGTCCATGTAGCTCTTGGGCTTGTGAACCTCTACTGAAAGTTCATTGCATAGACTGTGGTTAAGTGTTTTGTCTGGCCGGTCGCAAAAAGCCTCACGGGATACGTGCCAGGCCGATGTACCGTCGAGTGGAGCTGTCTCCACTTCCCCGGTGGCTTGATCGTGAGAACCGCGGCCGCCAGCGTGCCTGCGCAAAGCTAGCAGACACTTGCTTCATAGGGCTTACGATGGACAACAGCTCAGAATCTGGGGAAGGCGATCAGCGGGAACGCGTCCTTGATACAGGAACTAGCGTGAATACAGCAGAACGCTCAGCTCAGGCCCAGGATGATGCAGGGACCATGGGAGTACAAGCGCTCCTGGAAGAGCTCCATTTGCAAGACGAGAAGGCGCTCCGAGAAGAGTTCATGCGACTGCAAGATGAGCGCGATTCTTTGGAAGATCAGTATCAGACCTTGCTATCCAAAGTGTCACAGATGCGGACAACACTAGGGGAGCGACTTCGGCAGGATGCGGTAGGTGGCTTTTTGTTGACCGGCAGGAGGAATTGGACAGACGAGAACAGCAGATTGAAAGGCTCACAGAGCAAGTGGGTGAGCAGGAGGCGACAACGTCCGCGCTCCAGCAGGAGTTGGGCATCGCACATGAGGAGTCTGCGAAGCTCGCATCAGAGATGGGCCAACTGCGTCGAGAACTAGAGCAGCAGGAGACGGAGGACCATACTGCTGAACTAGAACGTCTAAACGAACGCTGCAAGTCTCTGCAGGAGATGATAGACGCCCACCAAGTGGAAACGCAGCGCTGGGAGAGTGCCCTCATTGAGGAGCGGACTCTGAGGCAGGAACTGGAGACGCGGCAACGACAGCTCTTGCAGGAAAGAGATGAGGCAGAAGAGACCAGGCGTCAGGCACAGGCTGTGGCCGATCAGGAAAAGCAGGTGGCGCGACAGCTTCAGCAGGCGCTGGAAGAGTTGCAGTATGGTCAAGAGAGTGATCATCAGCGCATGGTCGATGAGATGCAGCAGAAAGCGGAAGCAGCGGAATCTGAGCTAGAGAACTACAAGCTGCGAATCGAACAGATGGAGTCCCATATGGACGAAGCGAATCAGGCTATGGGGCGGTGCGGGAGCTTGGAGCAGGAGGTCAAGGAGAAAACCCTGCTCATTGGTAAGCTACAGCATGAGGCTGTCATTTTAAATGAACATTTGACGGGGGCCCTGGGCCGTCTCCGGCGCGACTCGGCGGACGAGCAGATTGACCGGTACGCATGACTCAGTTAACATTAGTCGGCTCATGTCGAACCTGATCCTCCAGTTCCTCAGTGCGCCGCGTGCCGACACTCGACGCTATGAGATTCTGCGGCTGATGGCCTCTATTTTGCAGTGGAACGACGCGGAGCGCGAGAAGGCGGGCCTTCAGCGCCACAGTGACCGCTCCTCGGGCTATAATATCTTGGGATTGGGGGGACTCTTGTCATTCCACCCACGCCAGCCATCCCAGTCGGAGGAGAAGTCGCCTGGGGATGAGGTGCGTATACACTTGGCTCACACAGTCCGTTACCAACCTCTTTGTCGAGTTCCTATTGTCAGAGGTCGAGAGGGCCAAGGCGAGCACCGGTGCCACCAACGAGGCAAGCTCTGCGGAGGCACAGTCGTCCGGCGAGGCCTCAGCGGACCAGACTACGTTCGATCTCCACAGCCTATCGGATCTCGACCGCTCATTGCATTACACGTCTAAATCGACAAGTCATAGTGGAGCATAGTGGCACGTGCGACCAATCCGCCAAATTGGACAAATTCGTGGTAACTACGTGCGGACGCTAGACAGAAAGCGGCGTAATCGTTAGGTTCTTCGCCCACCATGCGGTTCTCTTTCCTTGCCGCCACCTTGTGTTTCTGTGCACTTGCATCTGCTGCGACTGTGCAAAAGCGCGGCGATGATGACGTACAGGCGAAGATTTACCTGATTCGACACGGCGAAAAGGTCAATGACGATACGGTAGGTCTCTCGTCTGCCGGCCAGCAGCGTGCTCAATGCGTTGCTGACCTATTTTCGCAGGAAGACAAGAAAGTGGACGCTATCATTACCCAAGATTTCAAGTCAGATGGATCGCGCATCCGTCCTTACGACACGGCCAAGCCGCTCGCCGACCGCCTGGGGCTGACTATTGACCACCACTGTGACCGCGACGATGACGACTGTGCAGCGGACACGGTCTCTGACGCCGCAAAGAACGGTGCCAAGACTATCCTGGTTTGCTGGGAACACGATGCGCTTAGTGACATTGCCGACAAACTCGGCATTGACGACCTCGACTACCCTGGTGATCGCTTCGACATTGTCTTCCAAATGTATGGCGGCGAGATGGACTCAATCTTCTCCGAGGGCTGCCCTGGTCTCGACGACAAATACCAGGGCTGGGTTGGCACGCGCAAGGACAACCTGATTGATGACGACAGCTGGGCTCATGGAGCTGGTAAGTAGGGTATAAGACTACGACCTGGAGCGAAAGAACTTGGCCATGGCCGCGATACTCGCGCCAAAGCGCTCATGTTCGTGTACCTGCGAGCGGATCCAGCCGGGAAGGCGCGAGGATATCTCGGGCCGTGCATACCGACGATCCAGGAGCAGAAAGGCGGCATAGTCGTCCTTGTGACGGATCGCTCGACCGAGCGACTGATTGACCGCGCGCATGCACAGATTCAGGTAAAGTTCTCGACCTGGATCCCGTCCCCCAGTCGCAGATGACTCCCTGCGCATGTAGCTCATGCGCTCCGCCAACTCGGGACTTTTCGAATGCGGAAACGGGAGGCCTACCATGACGACACAGCGGGCTAGGTTGTCCTGGAAATTAATGCCTTCTGACAGCTTGGCCCCGACCACGGCGAAAAGGATGGCCCCCTTGGGCGATGTGGGTGAGGGCGCTGTTATAGAGGCGGCATACTTTTGTAGGATAATATCCACCTGACTAGCCACCTTCGGCTCCGAATAGACCTGCTTCCGGCGCCCCAGGCGCTCCAGCGCGCCTGTCTGCCTCCAGTGCTTCCACGCAATCTCCAGCGATGCATACGATGGGAAGAAAACCACCATGCCATGGGGAATAATATTGCCATAGTTGCATAGGGCATGAGCCAATTCATCCAGCAGGGCCGGGCGCTGCCACGATTCATGCGTAAACTCGAGTGGCAGTCCCTTGGGTCCCGCATCGACGATAGCGCCCACAATGTGGTCTGGCGGCACAATGTGGCCACACGAAAAGGCCACAAACTTGTCCTTGGGCGAACCAGCCAGCAGCTGTGTCTGAAAGTCGGCGATCTGGATAAGCAGCAAAGACGTACGGGCTCCATTGTGCCTCCCGCGAGAAGCACGGCACGAGCCGCTTCGACAATGGGCTGAAACGCATCACTAGGGTTGAGCAGCAAAAACTTAAGACGCACTCCCGTGGCCTCCTTCATCAGCAGTACTCGCCCGTGTACGGCCCTGTTCGTCAAGGCCAATAAGAACGATTCCACAGCATGCATGGGATGCGTGCGGCCCTGTGGCTCGGTCGGATGATCCGCCTGGCCCAAGGACGTCTTGTCGGCATAGCCACTCACCTGCGGTTAGTCGGACAGTCTTACTTTTTTCGCAATGCGGGTTTGCTTGAGCCAATGCTCTAGTTTGACCAACTGCGCGATGAGTTTGGTTATACATACATTGATCTGGTCAGCCGTGCCGCCCAGTCGTGCGATTAGCTGGGCAGTGGTAAGCGATGGGAGGGGCTGCGCAGATGTAGTGACTTGCTCGCAAAAGGCCTGGAGAGCCCGCAGAAGCACTTGCAAAGTGCGCATATGCTCCTCATTTGAGCCCCTCAGCCGACTGGCAAAGCGCTGGAGATACCCATTTACCTGTGACAGAGCGGCGTCAATATGTGTCTGCGTCAGCTCTGCCGTGTAGGTGCTCAAAATCGTATCAATCAGGTTATGAGCCTCGTCGATCAGTACAATGCTGCCGTCCAACGACAGCTGCAGCGCCTCTCGGGCGTCGTGCTGCAGGAGCAGGTTGTACGGCAAAGTTACAATCTCGGCCTGCTGCACACTGTGCCTCGCGCCAAAGTACGGACATGTGTGCACCTGCTTGCCCAGTTGGACAAGCTCTTCCATGTCCTGGACTTCGGCTAGGGCGAGATCGCGGTAGGCATCAAGCTGGGCCTGGCCGGCCGCATCGCGTGGCGGCAAAAACTCACACCGCTTCGTGTTGCGGCCCTCCATCATTTCAAGGCAGCGTTCATTCATCGCTTCTGTGCCAAACATTCGGCCCCACCTGCGCACACCCTCGTGGACGCACATGTGCTGGCGACTGCCCAGGCCAATGCATCGCACAGGATCGTCTGCATGCCCAAAGGGTGTCTTCTTGAGCTCTTGCACTAGCTGCGCGAGCTGCGAGTGCGTTCGGCTAGCAAAGAAGATCTTGGGTTTCGTCTCCGGCTCTTTTACGACGCCGCTGGGCTGCTGACTCGCTTCGTAGGCCTGCATCATGCTGCGGACCTCGGGTGTTAAAAATATGTCGCCTGGTGCCGTGACAGGAGGCCTCAACGCCCTTGAGGTCGCCTCATCGTCATACTCGACCGGCAGGAAGTCGTCATCTGAGGGCGGGTCATCCTCTCGGCGTGAGCGCTTCGAAGGATGACGGGGCAACTCACGCCGAGAGCGCTGTTCTGCCAGACGCTCGCGTGCGAGTTTCAAATTGACTCGAAGCTGCTCCTCTTGCTGTTGAAGAGCATGGCGCTGCTTGGCCTCGTCATGCGCTACAACCCAGTCTGGTTCCTCGTGGTCATCATTTTGCGTCGCGGACTGTATTTCACCAATTTCATGACGCTGGCGATTCATCCGAAGCCAGGTAATTGTGCTGCATAGCAGACTGAGTGTCTTTCCTGTGCCGGTAGGGCTCTCAAACACCCCAAATTTACCCTGCTCGATGGCTTCGAACAAGGCCGTCATTAACGCGAGCTGAATTTCATAGGCCGTCGGATATGGGAAATGAAACTGCCGCGAACGTGTAGCGGCATCTTCCTGCTCACCTGAGCTCGTAAACCCGGGTGTTCGCAGTACTAGAGCCGTTCCTGGCATCTCCCTTAGGCACAGATTCAAGACGCGTCCGGTTCTACCAAGTGGAGGTTCGATATAAAGCAAGTCTTGAGCAGGTGTCTTTAATGAACTACTATGACGGGCCTTTACGGCCCAGACACCCCGCCTATATCCTGAAAGACTAATGGATGAAAATGGGATATCGTTCATTCCACAGTCACGCTCTTGGCCAGATTGCGAGGGAAATCCACGTCAACACCGGCCGCCGTGGCGAGGTGGTACGAGAGAAGTTGAAGAGGCAGGATGGTCAACAGGCCTTGCAGACAGTCTACCGTCAGCGGAACGCGCAGTGCGCGCGAATCTGCGGGAACATTCGTATCATCCTCGTTGCAAATTATGATAGGGTGGCCATTGCGAGCCGACACCTGACTCAAAGCCGTTTGCACCTTGGGGTAGAGCGAGTCCTTGGTCATAACGAGAATCACCGCCATGGCCTCATCAATTAGAGCGAGCGGGCCATGCTTCAATTCACCCGCCAGAATACCCTCCGAGTGCATGTAGCAGACCTCCTTGATTTTGAGGGCACCCTCTAGACACGTAGCATGCTGATAGCCACGGCCCATGATTAGCAGCGACTTCTCACTCGCAAGGACATTGTACGCTAGATCTTGGAATTGCTTGTCGTGCGTAAGGACCGTGCGGATCTGGTCAGGCAAGGCATGAAGACCGTCAATAATCTCGTGACGACGGGCCATTTTCGAAAGACGGTCCTCTGACAGCTGCACTGCCATCATAATCAAGGCAATGTACTGGGACGTGTATGCCTTGGTCGATGCGACACCAATCTCGGGGCCTGCGTTGATGTGCACACCACAGTGTGTTTCACGCGAGATGGTGCTGCCAACCGTATTGACAATACCCACGCACAATGCACCGCGACCAATGCAGTAGCGCAAAGCAAGAATTGTATCGGCTGTCTCACCCGACTGAGACACAAACACGCATACATCATCGCGGAAAATGGGCGAGTTGCGGTCCAAAAAGTCCGAGGCAAGCTCAATGGAGACAGGAATATCTGTTAGCTCCTCAAAGATGGCACGTGTGGCCAGACAAGAGTGGTAGCTCGTACCACACGCAATGAAAACAATTCGGCGGCAGCGGCGAATCACATTCAGGTACGCCATGAGACCACCTAGCTTCACCTGGCGTGTATCAAAGTTGACGCGGCCACGCATCGTGTTGACGACAGACTCGGGCTGCTCGTAAATCTCCTTCTGCATAAAGTGGTCGAACTGGCCCTTCATAATCTCAGCCAGCTCCATCTCCAGCGTCTCAATCGAGCGCGTCGACGAGAGGCCATCGTTGCGGCGAAGACGATGAATGTGCAACTCACCCTCAGCAATATGCGCAATGTCATCGTCCTCAAGGTACAGCACACGCTTCGTGTGTTCGACCACCGCTGAGGCGTCCGATGCAATAAAGTATTCAATCGGTTGCGGCAGACCATCCTCCGACAGGAACGCACGCGACTGCGAACGAATCAGCTTGTCAATACTACCCGCAGCGGGCGCCGCCGTCGCATTCTCAAAGTTGTGAATGTTTTGCAGGTTCGGCTGATTCTGGTAGCTGTCGTCATCCAACTGACCACCGAGCTGCACATCGACCGAGTCGACTTTGAGCTTCTTCTCCGTCTTCACACCGATGAGCAGGGGCGAGCCACGACGAGCAACGACCACTTCGCCGGGGAAGTACACTGACTTGAACACAAATGAGAATGCACCCTCAAGCTCCTTCACCGCACACCGAACCACCGTGTGGAAATCAGGCTTGCGGTTCTCCGGGTATGTGTCCCAGAAATACTTGATCAAGACAGCCACCACTTCCGTGTCGGTGTCCGTCTCGAATTTGTAGCCACGCTTTTCTAGAACAACCTTCAGTTCCCGATAGTTGGTGATAATACCGTTATGCACCAGGGTGAATTCGCCCTTAGGGTCGCTCTTATGCGGGTGACAGTTGAGAGGAGAGGGAGGGCCGTGGGTTGCCCAACGGGTGTGCGCCATGCCCGCATGAGACACAAAAGTCTTGTCCATATCCACTGAAGACTCAGCAATGTGCTTGCGGAGAGCAGCCACTTTCCCGACCTGTTTGAAAAGCAACACCTCCTTCTCCAAATCACCATCCACCGTCAGGCCAGCGCTATCATAACCACGGTATTCAAGACGCGCCAGCGCATTCACAAGAACATCGATAATGGAACGACGGTCCTAGCAGGAATCAGCATTTCATTGGACATACCTTCTCGACCAAGTAGTTCACGTAGGCAAAGATACCACACTGCTTGTGTCAGGTTCTGTTCTCGCCGTTGCATTGTTGCGCAGTTGCACCTGCACTGCCGCGCTGTTATACGTACCATAGCCACAATTGGATTGCGATTATGGTTCAAGAAAAAGCAATCCACCAGAGAATGGAACCCAAGCTGGTACTTTGAACTTGGGGTTGAGAGAACCTTTGTTAGAACGCTAGGAAGTCGCGTCGAGGCACGGGTGTGGCACACCCAGCCAACTCAGCCTCCACACAACGAGGTTCCACACAACTGGCTGGCATTGGTGGTCACATGGCCCAATAACGCTAGTTTTGCCTTGATTCTCCGAAACCAGTACATGATTGGCTGAATACCACCCGACCTAGACAATGTTGGTGTTGCTTTATGCAGGCAGTTGGACGCATCTATCTTTCCTTGCAGTACTAACCGGTGATATGCTGCACAACATAAGCGTGTCGATTGCGCATACATCTCTTTACGGACCGGGCTTTCTGCCGAATCGTACGCACGGTCCTTTGCTGCGATCTTATAGCGCGGGTTTTAAGCGGTTTTAGCTAAGACATTGTCAGATCCGAACTGCACTGGCACATAGATTAAGGCGCCAGGGCCTGTCTATCGCGATCCCCTACTCCCTATGTCGGACTCCGTCGTGGTCTCGTCGGTGATGATGGCGATGCCTGTGTCTTTCTTGCGGAGACCGTTCTCGTTCATGCCGCCGATGTGAACGTTCATATCTGTGATGCCGTGACCGCCGACGCTCCTGATCTTCTTGAGGTGCTGTGGGATACCGGCGTTTGGAAGGGTCAATGGGTGCAGCATTGGCACCCGTTCGTGCTACATCTCCTTCCTCTTTTGTAGATTTACCATCGGATAGGCCACGTCCCCTAACGTTAGTGTATCCAACGTACAGCATTCGCTCCATCGCCTCTTTTTCCGCCTGCTTTACATCCATGCGTTCTTTTCTCCGAGATTCGATGTCTTCTCGTTCTTGCTGTCCACGATTGTACCACTGAATATCCCGTCCCTCAGCCCACCGACCTTTAGGCGCATGCACGGAGTTGCCCAAATAATGGTCTCTTTGCTTGTCTTCGCGAACGATTTCCCATGAAAAATCAGCTTGGCCTCCGCGCGTGCCTCCGCGACTAGATGTCAGTAGCTGGTATTACATACTTCGATCCTTCCTGCATCCTCGTGCAGCGAGTCCTCTCGTTGTCGGCGTCTCAAAGTGGCACCGCACTATGACGCGTCGTGCGTTCTCGGCCGAGTACACCAACACTAATGGGACGCGCGCCACGGTCCTTTCCTCGCGCAACGGCCCCTGGGGCGGCCTCGCGTTTTGTTGAGGGAGTCATGATTTCTGCAGAGCCATCAAGTCTTGTACATTCACACATCAAAATCGAGCGTATTCATAAAAGTTCATCAGACAAAATGGGCGCGGCGCACCCAAAAATTCAGGACGATATGGCGCTGGCGCCACATATGGTATCCCCACGACCGTGGAAACGACACCGCAGCTGCATTGACGCCTTTCCCGATCTCGTTCAAAAGTCGAAAGATTCTAGGAAAACAACAGAGCCGCCCTTGGATGAAATCGAAGATGAGTTCGATTTGCCTTTAGACGCGGACTTTTTTGAATCACTGGACGAATCGTCGTGGCAACTTTTGGAGACAGGGTCACAACGTAACGACGCGAGCAATGCTGCGTCAAGCATCTCTGGTGATGCTCAACCATCTCCCGAGAGTGTACTGTCAAGCACTATTGGTTTTCAGAAAGCGAACGGGAAGCAGTTGCCTCGTCCAAGCGCGACAGCCATGGCCTTGGCAGCCAAACGACTAAAGCTTGACGACACGGACGAGTTCCCATTTCGCGGCATGGAAAATGACACTAGCAGTTCCACAGCTGCAAGCATGCCTTCACATTCCGAACGACACCTTGACAGACCAGCAACGCCAGCCATGATACCCCAGCATGGTCTGTTTCTACCGAAACAACCCATTGCGCACGTAACGCCGCCATGCACTCCTGCAAAAAGGATGCAGATAAGTATGTCGCCAATGCGCTCGCCTATGTTGGCCGGCTTGGCGAAACCGGGCTCAACAGGATCGCCATTTCCGCTACGAAAACAAATCTCACTGGGTATTACACCCCGCACGTATCGCACAGGCCTTCCTTCAGTGAAGGCCCGGAGTGGCTTTACGCCGCCCTTCAAGAAAGGGGTGCATCCACCGTCTGCACAGGCGCTACAAGTATCTGCTTCCTTGTCGCCACAGGCTCTGAGCGTGTTTGATCTGTCGGTGCCAAGTGTGCGTATTGGGTATCGTGAAGCTGGCCTTGCGCCGCACGTATGGAAGTCGGAAGCTGAGGCGCGCGCGCATGGCGTACCAGCTGAAGTTTGCCTTATTTTGCAGGATCCGATGCGGGCTTCGCAATACGCGTTTGTGCGACCGGACGGAACGCTCCGGGGTGCAGCGGAGGCACACACCGAGCTTCTTGAGCTGGGTGCCACGAAAGCCCCGCTAAGATGGGTTCAGAACCACTGGCAGTTGATCCTTTGGAAGCTGGCGGCCTACGTGGCGAGCGATCCGCGCCAAGGGCAGACCTACTGGACGTGGGATCGCGTGATGCGCGATCTGCGCTATCGGTACGAGCGCGAATTCCACAAGAAGTCGTTCGGTGTTATTAAGCACCTACAGGAAGAGCCTCAGCCGTACACGAGACCCATGGTGTTGTGCGTGCACCAGATCCTTCGCTTCGATGATGCAGGCGAAGAGAGTGCTTCGCTCGTGCTTCAGCTTACCGATGGCTGGTACAAGATTCGTGCAGAGCTGGACGCGCCGCTGCGCCGCGCCGTGGAGCGTCGCAAGATTCGCATTGGACACAAGCTTGCCATTGCGTGTGCGAAGGTACGTATGATGCACTTACTCAGCACCGGTCATTCGGCGAAGGCACACATGTGCTAGACGCCGTGCACACGTCCGATCTACTGCTGTCCTCAAATGCGACGTGGTTCGCTGCATGGGATGCCAAGCTTGGTTTGCAGCCGCATGCGTTTGTATCCAGTCTGGGTCGTCTCGTCCCGGACGGTGGCCTTGTGGGTCAGATTGACGTCGTGGCTGAACGTGTATACCCCGTGGGGTACATGGAAGGCGAGCTTGACGCTAAAGGCGCCTTGGTTTTCCGTGGTCCCCAGTACAATGCTGAAGAAGAGCAAGAGCGCCAACGGGCCTGGGAAGAGCGCTGCAGCTGTGCGCGAGCGTATCTTGCTGAGGCTGCTCCACGCCTGGATCGCGCCGCGGCATGGCTGGAGGCGCGTTGCCATATTGAGTACGAGGGTCTTCCGACGGCGGGTATGTGACCTACTCTCACGGCTAGATGTATCGGCCTTTGTGGCTGCGCTCGAGAAAGCGGAGGATCCGACCGAGTGGCTAGCGACTCACACATCGGCAACGGCGCACGCGTCCCTGCCGTACTTGGGGACTCTCTTGTGTGCGGTGCGAGCGCGAGCAATGGCCGCAAGCCAGCCAGGTACGGCGCCCTATGAAGCAGCGCTACGGGAGCTGTGCGCGCCGCGACAGGTCAAGTCGTTCTGCACTGTGCGTGTACGCGAAGCTCGTGCGACTCGCCGTGCGAGCCGTCGGACGGTGCTACTGACAGTGTGGGAGCCACCAGCACTCGAGCCTGGGGCACGCTATGAGGTGCGTGCGAGGTTCTGACCCCAGATCACGCATCTGGCACCTACACAGGGACAAGCTTGGCGCCCGCGCGATACCGATGCGGATGCGTTTTTATCTACAACACGTGAGACCGTCGTACGGCGAATCGCACGAAGCGGCGAGAGTCTGGAGTAGACTCCACGTCCGATGATTTCCATCACGTGATATGCATAAGACGCGACGTGCAGGGAGAAGTTAGTGGTGTTGGTTTACGCTGAGCTGCGCCAGTCTGTACACACCCTCTGCCTCACCCGGAGATACCTGTTCGCTGTTCGTAGCGATGTCTGCGGACATTCCACCACACCAGAGGGACCTTGCGATGCCTCTGCCGATGGCGCCTCGCCGCGCCGTGCTGCAGAGTGTGTCGGCCCAGGAGACAGTCCCTGTACAGCGCCATTTCGTCGACCCGCCGACGTACAAGTATACGGAAAGTGCCTTGCAGCATGAGGCACAGCAGGTGGTGCAAGAGCGGCTGCGCAATGCTGGGCGGCACCGTGACCACCTGGCACCGCTTGAGGGTGTTACCAACATTGTGCCGTCGGCGCGCCAGCCGACGTCGCCGAAGCGCGCGCCGGCACCGGTGACCAAGGACAATGTTGCACAGGCGAGCAAGAAGCCGCAGCTGCCCTCTCCGCCGCATGTGATTGTGGACCCCGAGGGCAACTCGTACGAGCGCCATGCGATGCTGGGCCAGGGCGGCTTTGCGCGTGTGTTCCATGTCACGGACCGCTTTGGTCAGGATAAGGCGTTCAAGGTGATTGCCAAGAGCGCGATTATGCAGTCGAAGAAGAACCGCCAGAAGATCCTGGCGGAGATCATGATCCACAAGTCGCTGAAGCACGTCCATATTGTCGGGTTCGAGGACGTGTTTGAGGATGCGGACAATGTCTATTTCGTGCTGGAACTTTGTCACAATGGTGTACGTATAGTCGACTCACCCTAGAATATGAACGACATTGTCAAGCGCCGCGGACCCTACTTGGAGGCCGAGGCGCGCTACTACATGGTGCAGATCCTCGCGGGGATCCAGCACATGCACAACAACTCTATCATTCACCGCGACCTGAAGCTGGGCAACCTCTTCCTGGACAAGAACATGCAGGTAAAGATTGGCGACTTTGGCCTGGCAGCGCTGCTGAAATACCCCGAAGAACGCAAGAAGACGGTTTGTGGCACGCCAAACTACATCGCGCCAGAGATCCTGTACGACCAGGGCGAGGGCCACAGCTTTGAGGTCGATATCTGGTCCGTGGGCGTGATTTTGTATACGCTTCTGGTCGGCCGACCGCCGTTCCAGACGAGCAATGTGCAGAAGATCTACGACCGGATCCGCCGCAACGAGTACGAGATCCCTGCGGAGGCGAATCTGTCGCCCGAGTCGCAGTCGCTCATCCGCCAGATCCTGTCGCAGCGCCCGTCGGAGCGCCCGTCGCTGCATGAAATCATGGACCACGCCTGGTTCCGGGCTGGCACCGTGCCGCTGTCGGTGCCCTCGTCGGCGGTGTTCCACAAGCCCCAGCTCCCTACGCTGTCGAGCGCCGAGAGCCTGCGCAACTTTGAGCAGCTCAAGGCGAACGCCCACTGGCGCACTGAAGAGGAAGAGGCTGCCGACGCTGTGGCAGAGCAGCCACCCGCGGCGCGCGACGGTCTGCAACAGCTCGAGGCAGCGGAGGAGGACCGCGACCGCCTCGACCGCGAGTCGCAGCAGGCCATCCATCCCGGCAGTCCGATCTCGACGCTGCTGAAAGTCGGTCGCCAGCCACTCGTCAAGGCGCCCGCGCCCGTCTCGGTCGCGCCGGCTGCGCCCGCGGCGCTCGCACACAAGCTGAGCCACCTGGACCTGCAGGACAAGGAGAATATGCACGCGGTCGCACAGGCGGCGCGCATCTCGCGTCGCCTGGCTCCCGAGGCCGCGGCGCCGCGCGCGCTCTCGAGCATGGAGCTGATGGTCCACTACCTGAGCCAGGCCCTCGCGCACTTTGACGCCGAGAGCATCGAGCCACTGGTGCCGCTGGACGTGGCGGGCGAGCCGGTTGCGGTGCCGGTGCCAAATGTGATCCATGGCGAGGGGGGCCAGCTGCGGCTCAAGCCTGACGCGCCGCGCCTCTTTATTATCTCGTGGCTCGACCACTCGGAGAAGTACGGCCTCGGCTATGCGCTGTGCAACGGCACCGTGGGCGTGCACTTCCGTGACTCGACGAGCATGGTCCTGGCGCCGCGGCGGCAGGCCTTCGACTACGTGTACCATGTGCGGTCATGCGCGCCCGACGCGGCGCGGCGCGACCAGCTGCGCCGCGAGAACTATGCCCTGCCCGCCGCGACGAGCAGCTACGAGTGGCTGCCGCGTGAGCTCGTGTCCAAGTTCAAGCTGCTGCGCTTCTTTGAGAGTGAGATCATGGAGCGCCTGTACGGCGCCGACAGTCCGCTGACCTACGTGGACGAAAATGCGACGTCGAATCTCGGGTTCGTCCACAAGTGGTACCGCTGCAAGCAGGCGATCGTGTTCCGTCTCAGCAACGGCACTGTCCAGTTCAACTTCTACGACCACACGAAGCTGTTCCTCTCGAACGACGGCCTCGTTGTGTCGGCGATCGAGCCCGTGGACCGCACCGACGGCGTGCCGGTCCTCCGCTCGTGGACGCTCTCGGAGCTCATTGCCATCGCGCATGCGCAGCGCTCGGCCATGGAGGCCTCGGCGGCCGCGGACGGCTCGCGCTTCCCCGCGGTCTTCCAGACCAAGCCGAGTGAGCGCCGCTTTGTGCGCCAGGTGCTGAAGAAGCTGCGCTACGTGCGCGATGTTCTGCTTACGACGACGACGGCTGCGCCGCCCTCATAGACTCTCGCTAGTTCCCTGTTGAATGCCACTCACTGTATCGATGATCGCCCGGTACGTCTCGAGCGGCGTCGATGGATGCACCACAAGGCGCAGGTACTCGCCGTCCGGCAGCGGCGCAAAGTCCACCGCGTAGCGCTGCGCCGCCGCGAGCTGCGCATGCGCGCGCCGCGTGCCCTCCGAGCCCTGGCCCCGCGGCCGGAAGCAGATCTGCAGAAACAGCGGCTCGGCCAGCGGACCGAGCTCCAGCGCGCGCGCGCGCGCCTCGAGGTGCGCGAGCAGCGTGCGCGCCTTGGCGAGGCCCGCCTGCACATGCGCACACAGGCCATGTGTGCCGTAGCGCAGCCACACGAGGTACAGCTTGAGTGCCTCGCCCCGCCGTCCACACCCGAGCGTCTTGGTCGCCAGGTCCGGCGCTCCCGGCACCTCGTGGAACAGGTAGCCCGCGTCGTCGACACGCACCGACAGAGTGCGCCGGTCGCGCACGAGCAGGAACGAGCACTGGTGCGTCACGGCGAGCAGCTTGTGGGGATTGACCGTGACGCTGTCGGCGCGCTCGATCCCGCGCATCAGCGCACGCCCTTCCGGCGCAAAGATCGCGCTTCCGCCCCACGACGCGTCCGCATGCAGCCAGCACCCGTACTGCGCACACAGCGGCGCAATGCGCGCCAAGTCGTCAAAGGCGCCCAGCACGGTCGTCCCGCTCGTCGCACACACGATCAGCGGCATGCCGCGGGGGTGCGCCGCATCGGCGTGCATCTCGCGCAGCAGGCCCTCGAGCGCGGCCACGTCCATGCGCCCATGCGCATCGACCGGCACTTGCACCACGGCATCGGCGCCCAGGCCCGCCGCGAGCGCCGCACGCGCCACCGAGAAGTGCGAGCTCGCGCTCGTGAGGATCGCGGGACGCGCGCCCGCGCCGCGCCGCCCCTGCGCGTGCAGGCGCTCGACAAGCGCCCACACGCCGCCCCCGCGGTACACACCACCGAGCGCCTGGCTCAGGGCCGTCTGCACAGCGAGGACATTCGAGGCCGCGCCTCCCGGCATGCCCACGCCATCCGCCTCGGCACCGTAGCCAAAGAGCTCACAGAGGCCCTGCACACACCGCTCCTCGATGCGCGTCAGCAGGGGCGACGCGGAAAAGACATGCACCGACGCATTCAGCGCGCCCAGCAGCAGGTCGCCCAGCACGGACACCACCGCCGGCGCCGCGTACAGCTTCTCGAGAAAGCGGTGCGTCCACGGATTGATGCTGTTCGACAGGATGCCCTGCACCGTCTGCACCAGCGCCTCCTCGCTCGCGCCCTCCGCCGGCAGGTCCAGCGGCATCGACGCGTAGTACTCGGCCGGCGTCGTCCACGGGGCCACAGGCGTCTCCGGCGCCTCCCCACGCACCATCCATGCCCATACCACCTGCACGATGCGCGGCGCGAGCCGACCAAACTCGCTCGAGGAGCGCTCGGCACGCAACGGCGACTCCATCCACCGCTGGCGAGGTCGGCTGCAAAAAGCCAGGCTTCTTCGACCTCCACCGCGGCGCACGCCCCGCCGACGCACGCCGCACCGCGGCGCCATGGGCGATCCCTGCACGCGACGGGCGCCCCCTGCATCGCCGCCGGGCGCCGGCCTGTACCTTGAGCGTGCACAGGCCTTCGAGATGGCCTGGACACACGATCTGCATGTCCTCTATCGCACGCGGGCCCGTGCCGATGCCGTGTGGCACCCGAACGGGCCCGGCGCGTGTCGGGCGCACCAGAGTACGTCGCCGCCTCTGACACAGCTCTCGTCCGAGTCCGCACATGCGGCGCTGTGCGTTCGGCACTGCTGGGCCACAAGCGGCTCTTCCGACCGAGGTACAGCGTCCCATGGCCGCCGCCGGTCCTCGAGTCCGTTGTGGCGTGGGCCTACACGGGCGCCGCGCCCCCCGTGCAGGCGCTCGCCAGCGCCCTCGGCTGCTCGGAGGCGGACGCGCACGCGTGCGTGGCTGCTGAGCCAGCGCAGGACTGGCGCGCCTACGTCGCTGCCCATCCCCAGGGCGCGCCGAGCGACGATGCGTGGCACGAGGCGCTTGTGTCTGTGCGCTGGCCAGGCATGCACGATGCGCCGTGGCGCACCCTGCCGAGGGCGGCGCAGCACCACGTGGTATCGCTGTTGTACGCGGGCGGCCTCGCGCCGACGCCGTGCGCGGTGCCCGCGCTGCTCGCCTGTGCCGACATGCTGTACGCCCACGCGTGGCCCCAGGCCGCACAGCTCCTGGGCGCTGCGGCTTGGGCCCAGGCGTCTCCGCACCAAGCGCATGACGTCATGGCGCACGCGGTGGCCTGGAGCGACGAGCCGCTCCAAGCGGCGCTGCTGGCATGGATGAGCACGTCCGAGGCAGGCACCGCCGTCCTCCCGGCCGTGCCGCACGCGCTGTACGCGGCGCTTGGGGCCCAACTGCTCGATGCGTCGGCGTCGACGCGCCTGGCGTTCATCGAGGCGATGCACGCGGCCGGTGGCGTTCCGCCGGCGATGCATGCTATGGCTGCCTCAGCCTTTCCGGCCATGCTCGGCACGCCGCGCGGCCAGACGCTCCTTGCTCGCGCGCACCCGCTCGTTGACGTGCTGGTATCGATCCTACTAACGACGATGCATGCCGAGTCCGCGCCTGGTCTGTACGCCATGCTGGTAGGCGACGTGATGCTCGCGGACGATCGGCCGCTCCCTCCCGGGCGTGCTTGGGACGTGCTGGAGCAGGCGCGGCGCGCCATTGTGCAGTACCTGCAGCACCACTGGGTCGAAGCCCGCGCGGCCCACGCGTTCGATGCACTCCCCGGCTGGTGCCTCAAGGAGCTTGCTGCCGAGCTCGACGTCGACGCACAGGTGCTCCGCGTGGGCCCCGCGCCGGCGGCGGCGGCGGCCCCCGCGTCGGACGAGTCGAGCGTGCGGGGCGTCACCAGTGCCGGGCTGGCGCAGACGCGCGCGCCCGAGCAGCGGGGTCCGGCCAGCCTGTATGCGGCGGTGCTCAACAAGAGTGCAGCGCGCACAGCACGCTCCTAAAAGTCGAGCGAGGGCCTCTGCGCGGCGCGCTTGGCCTCGCGCGCGTCGCGGAGCAGGCGTGTGCAGAACTGGTCAAACTGCTCGACAAACGGGCGCAGACTCGTCTTGTCCCACTCGCCGCGGCTCTGCTTCTCGGGCGTGGCCTGTGCGCGCGTGAGCTCCTCCAGCAGCTGCACGACGGTCGGCGCGCCCGTCGCGGGGTCAAAGTCGAGGATCTGGTCGAGTTCCAGTGGCACACACACGCGTCCCGTCGACGGGTGCATGACGAACGGCGACTTGAGCAGGTGGTTCATGCGCTTCGAGACCTCGGCATCGATACGCGGATACGTGTACTGCAGCACAATATCCTCGAGCGCCGCGATCCAGGTCGGCCGCACACGGTCGTGGCTGCGCTGCGCCGCCTCCAGGACGTCGTCCCACTTCTGCACGCTCGAGCGGGGCCCCGCTGCCCAGCGCGCCTGCAGCCGCGCCACGGCGTCTGTGTCGGACGTGGGCAGCAGCTGCAGCAGAATGTCCCAGCGCGCCTGCTCGCGGAACACGTCCTGGTCGCGCAAGAGCACGTCGACGAACGCGCGCTGCAGCACACCACGCGACCGGGGCGAGCCGCGGCTCGCCGTGTTCGCCAGCACGTCCGGGCCGAGCGCGCGGCGCAGACTGGGGTGCAGCGCGCGCGGGAAGCCAGCGGACGGCGCGCCCAGCGCGACCTTCTTGGCCTGGTTCGCCCCGCCACGGACCACCTCGGTCCAGCCCACGAGCGCCTTGCGCGCCTCGTCAGACAGCGCGCACGCCTCGGGGTCAGACACCCAGCAGTGGATTCCACGGCGGCCCGAGTATACCCAGAGCAGGTGCTTGAAGCCAAAGTCCTCGCGCAGCGTCATGTCGAGGACCTCGGCGGCCACAGCGATGAGCTTCCAGCACCGCTTGCACAGGCGCTTGTCGGAGCAGCAGGTGCGGATTTCGTCATAGTCCGTCATGTCGATATCAAACACAAGCTCGCGCTGCACGGGCCTGAAGTTGGCCTTCTGCAGCGTCTTGCGGTCCTTGGGCTTGGCGGTGTACACGGGCCCGATCTCGAAACGCGATGGGTTCAGCCGGCACACCTCCTTCTTCCACTCCTCCCAGGTGGCAAAGCTCTGGTACCGCAGGTACGCGTCGTTCTGCAGCGTGAAGGCAAACTCGCGGTGCATAAAGTTTCGCGTCACGGCTATGTCCTGGTTGAGCCATGTGAACAGCGAGCGGAACGGCAGCACTCGCCGGTAGTAGGCCAGCAGGTTCATCGGGTCGTTCGGGTCGTGCGCGAGTCTGCGTGAGCTGTGGACACGTACGCGCTCTCATCGACCATCGCATAGGCCGCGTCGAGCTCCTGGTCCTCGTCCATGCGCTCGTCCGAAGCTGTGCCATTCGTGTCGCCAGCCGCCATCGCCAAGGTGGGCGCTCGGCGCGTCGCGACTCGCGCCGCGCGTTTAGTCACGGCCGGGCCTCTCGCTCCTCCACTCCATGGCGCGGTGGCACGCGGCGCGAACGCGCATCCAGCTCAAGCTGGCGATCCAGCGGGTCCATATGCTGCAGGAGAAGAGGGAGGCACTCGCGAAGCGTGCGCGCCTACATATCTCCGAGCTCGTAGGGCGCGGCCGGATGGAAACGGCTCGTGTCAAGACCGAATCGCTCACTCTGGACGATGTGCGTCGCGCCACTAACCGCAGATCCACACAGAGGTCCTTGAGCTGCTTGAGCTGTACTGCGAAATGCTATACGCTCGATTCGCTCTCTTGGAGCACAAGACGTAGGTACAGAGCCCTGACCCAGGGATGAGCCCGACCCCGCGATCCGCGAGCCCCTGATGGCCGTGCTCCACGCGGCGCACCGCACCGAGGTCCAGGAGCTCCACGTGCTGCAGGACATGCTGTGTGCACGCTATGGCGCCGAGGTCGCACAGGCCGCCCTCGACAACCAGGATGGCTGTGTGCCGGAGCGCATCACTGTAAAGGTGGCCTACCATGTGCCGCCGCCCGAGCTTGTGAATGCGTATGTTCCATGTCTACTTACGCAGCTACTTGCGAGAGAGTGCGTGACACAGTACTAAACCAGTTTGCCATGCTTACGGCATCGCCCTGCCCGGCGAGGCACCGCTCACCGGCACCGAGACAGCCGATGCCCCCACCCCTAGCGCGCCGCGGCAGGTAGAGGCGCAGCAGGGCGACGAGGAGTGGGGCGCTTTGATGAAACGTTTTGAGGCACTAAAACGACCTTGATATGCATACAGGATCATGAGGGCACTGCGTGTGATGAATGAGCGGAATGATGGTTGAGTGACACAGCTTCGCTGCCGTGGCGGCGGCGGCGGCGGCGCGGCAATGTGATAAAGCTGGGCATGGGACGCGTGTCCAAATCCATGCACACGTTCACCGAGGCCTGGATCGCCTCGATCCAGTCGACCACATGGAAGTTGTTGCGGGTCTGGATCAAAAACTGCTCGCCGGCCACCTTCATGCGAACAACATGCTGGCGCTTGGTGTAGTCGGCAGCGAGGCCGCACTGCGCGCGCTCCATCGAATAGGAATGAATGCGATTTTCTTGCAGGGCCTTGTGCACCAGCTTGATCTGCTCGTCATATTCAAGCTGGCTGGATGCAGGCACTTTGGGGGGGAGATCAGCCGGGGCCGACACGTGGAGCCTCGAGTTCGTCAACGACTTAACGTCAATGCTCTTGGAGAGCAGCGCCTCGAGACCGGTGGCATTGGTATGCGCCACTGCATCACGCTTGTCGTGCTCTTCGCTCGCGGGTTCGTTGTCGTGCAAACTCTCGTTCAGCGGCACGGTATGGACATGAGGCGTCTTGGCCAGGCCCCAGATGACGTCCACCGACACACTCTTGTTATACAGCAGAGAAATGTCCGTTTTGTACACGTGCAGCACAGTGCCGTGCAGCACAAAGTAGAGCGACTCCCAGCCGCGGTCGCGCGCGGGCTGGCCCGGAGCAATCAGCTCCATCTTGCGCGGCAAAAAGCCCTCAATATGGACCGTGCAAGTGTACTGCGGAAGCTTCTCCGCGCCCTCCGAGGTCACAGACGGGGTCGTCGTCTGCCAACTAGAGCGCCGACTGCTCATGGGCGTTGCACTCTTCCGCTGCTGCAACCAAGAGGCATCACGCCCCTCAGTCGCAGGACGAGACGCTAGCTCCTCAGCACGGTCCTGGTCCTCCGCCAGCTCATCCTCTTTCGTCGCGAAGCCATACACCGTCTTGCTCGGGTGCTTGTACTCCATGCGCCGCTTCCATAGCGGACCTGCTGGCGCAGGGTCCAGCCGGAAGGACCCCATGGTAGGCGACGGGTCCGTCTTGGGAATACGGTTCAAGCGGGGAGAGCCGTCGCGTGAGCTGCCGTGTGCGGACGAAACGGATAAGCCAGGCGTAGAGAAGTACATGGCCGGCTGAGTGGCCACAGACGGTGTGCGCTGGCCAAAGTTAGTTGCCGTAGGCGTATTGACGGCGCTGGGCGCATTCGAATGCGACGTTGTCATCCACATCGTAGGCATACCCACCGTCGATGAGCGGCGAAACGCAATGGCCGATGGTGTCAGCGGCACGGAATCAGGCCCCGTGTCGGCCCGACCACCATGGCTCGTCGGCGAGAGCTTCTGTGTCTGCCGCTGATCCACGGCCGAGTGCTCGCCGAGATTCAGCTCCATGGGCGAAGTTGGCTGACTCGATCGAGGCGTGCGACCGGAAGATCCACGCTGCAAGTAGCTGTGCGTCATGGGCGCACGCGCGAACGTAGTCCGAATAGGCGAGGGAACAAATCTGGGTCCCTGCATATGTAGTTGGTCGGCCTGATGGGCTGCAGTGAACGTGGGCGCTCGAGGGGTGGAAAAGCCGGTGGGACCTGCATGCACCTCTTCGGCAATCGAATGGGGTACAGGGTATAGAAAAGGCGGGGGCGCTTGGGCCTCGGAGTGCACAGGCCCCTCATTGGATTCCGAATCTCCAGTCTCTGATCCGCTTCGCTCGACGTCCGTATCGCTAGATTCATCGGTGTTCGTGCTTGCGTACGAGGACATCGACGCAAGACTGCTTGAATAAAGGTCATGTTCCCGCATTTGGTTCGACAGGGACTGCGCAATAGGAATGGATCTGGATGCAGATCTTGTCTCTGACTGCGAAGAGCTTTGTGCAGGTGGCTGTGAGGGCGTGCGGGAGCTCACACGAGGCGTCGTCAGACCATCCTGTAAGGTGTCCTTGTCCGGCACAGAAGGTGCTCGATCTGAACCTCCCCAGCGCAATGGTTTTGAAAATTTATTCGACTGAATGAGTCTTCCATGACGTACCCAGTTCCAGTGTCCGCCGCTCATCTTGCTGGGCGTCACAGCTATCCCGACGGGGACCTTGGCCGGGATACCGATGAGGGCGCCTCCCAACCGAGGCGCTCGGTTGACAATTTCTCCGCATTGATTGGTTCGAGGATTGTGCCACGCGAGTCTCCACGTAACCACGTGGCCATCGCGGGACGCGCCGCGAAAGTAGCGCGTTCGACATTAACACACCGCTTTGCCACACGCGACAAAGTCATGACGTCCGCTGAGCTTACACGGGGCGTGATCGCGAGCATGCTCGATTCGACGGATGGTTCAGCTTCATCTGTACCTGTATGCCAGATTCTGAGCCTCAAGAAACTCCAAACGACGAATGCGAGCGCGAACGTGAGCGAACGGTATCGCGTCGTGCTTAGCGATGGCGAGTTCTACACACAAGGTATGTTGACCGCGTCTTACCTCGCAGCCATGCTGGCCACACAGCTCAAACCTCTCGTGGAAAACGGCTCTCTGGAAAAAAATGTGGTGGTTAGGATCACGCAGTTCACGTCGAACACGGTGCAGAACCGCAAGATCCTGATCCTGCTCAACCTCGATGTGCTCACCCCCCCCCTACCAGAACGCATTGGCAGCCCGCAGAACATTGAGACTGCGCGAGGTTCCAATTCCGGGAGCGCACCGGCTGCCTCTGCAAAGCCCGAGCCATCGATCGGCGCGCAGGCCCTGTCCGGCTCGCATGGCGCCCCAGCGTCGCGTGGTGTGACCAAGTCGAGCTCGGGTATGCCCGTGTATCCAATCGAAGCACTCTCACCGTACCAGAACAAGTGGACCATCAAGGCGCGTGTCACTCTCAAGTCAGATGTCAGGCACTGGTCCAACGCCCGCGGCGATGGAAAGTTGTTCAGTGTGAATCTGCTGGACGAGAGCGGTGAGATCCGCGCCACTGGTTTCAATGATGCCGTCGACCGGTTTTATCCTATTTTACAGGAGAATAAAGTTTACTTTATTAGCAAAGCCAAAGTGACCATCGCGAAAAAGCAATTTAGCACACTTCCCAATGAATATGAAATCACTTTAGAAAGTAACAGTGAGATTGAGGAATGCGCCGAGGCAGGCGATGTGCCCGAAGTCAAGTACAACTTTGTCCCGATCGACCAGCTCTCGACTGTGGAGCCGAACCAGACTACAGATGTCATCACCATTCTCGACAACTACTCGGATGTCTCTGAGATTGTATCCAAGGCCACTCAGCGTCCGATCAAAAAGCGCGAGCTGACACTTATTGACAGCAGTGGTATGAGTGTGCGCATGACCCTTTGGGGATCGCAGGCGGAGAACTTTGTCAACTTGTTGGCAGGCGAAGAGAAGCCCGTGATTGCGTTCAAGGGCGTCAAGGTCAGCGACTTTGGTGGACGCAGTCTCAGCATGTTTTCTAGCTCGACAATGGCTATTAATCCGGATATCCCTGAGTCGCATGGGCTCCGCGGCTGGTACGACAATGAAGGCAACTCTGCTAGCATTCGTGGCTTCTCGTCTACCATGGACAATGCCACCGCTGCTACAGGTGGCTCGCTGCGCTCCAATGAGCGGCGCACGCTCGCCGAGGTCAAGGACCAGTCGCTGGGCACATCCTTTGAGCGCCCCGACTACTTTAACACGCGTGCCACGATCTTGTATGTCCGCCCGAATAATCTATACTACCCGGCTTGCCCCTCTCAAGACTGCAATAAGAAAGTGCTAGACGACGGTGACGGCTGGCGCTGCGAGAAATGCGACCGCAGCTATCCTGCACCAGTGCATCGCTATATCTTCTCTGCCAACATCGCAGACTACTCCGGCCAGATTTGGATCAGCGGATTCAACGAAGTGGGCGAGGCAATCATTGGTATGACAGCTGATCAGCTGGAAGCGATTCGTGTGGAAAATGAAAACGAATTTCGTGCGATCCTCCAGCGCCTCAGCGGCCGCATGATGCACTTCAACTGTCGCGCCAAGCAAGAGACGTTTAATGACACGAATCGCGTGCGCTACACGGTGACCCAGGCGGTTCCCGTGGACTTCACAAAGGCTGCTCACGAACTGGTCGAGAAGATCCAGGCCTTGCAGACTCATTAGATACAGTCGCTAGAATTGTATGTACATGAGCTTATGCATGTGTCACGTCCTGGCGACATATCGGGCAAAGACGCGAATGACGCAGGAAGTCGATCGTGCACCGATCGTGGAAGCTGTTTTGTCAAAAGTTGCATACGTACATGTGCAAACATGGAAGAATACAGGCTTTTTGCCCTCCTTTGAATTGCTCTAGACACACACTGCAGCGCTCCACGCGGATCCCTGCCACACTTAATCGCACGCGCACACGACCAGCGGAGGTGACACGCCGACTTTCCACCTCTACGCGACCCACCGAAATATGCTGCAGTTCTTGTAAGGAGAGTTGCGTTTGCTCACGCGCTGGACCCAGGTAGTCGCTGATCAGTGATGCCCATTCATACCGCATCTCTGGATCGTCGAGATGCGCTACAGCAAAGTCCAAGTCAGTGATCTCCTCGTCGGCGACAGCCTGAGCTGGAACTTGCTCAGTCGGAGCCTCCGCAGATTCTTCCAAAGGTTCGGGCGGAGCCGCTGGTGCAAGAGAATCTGTGACGAGCGTCTCCTGCAAAAACGGGTTCTGCAAGGCAGGAGCAGGTACCAACTCCGCCGGACCCTCCGCCGCTGCGAACGGGTTCATGGTAGGATGCGCAGAAGCCGAGCCTTGCTCCTGAGGCCTGTCTTCTTCCGAGGCAATTCTGGGCGTTTCTTGTTGGAAAGAGAGAGTATTTGTTGACGCTTGAATAGTGGGGGCTCCCCGGCGCGGAGGCAGGGGAGGCCTGGCGACCGGTGGGCCCGAGCCAGCGGGCGGAAAGTGTCTGGTGGCATCCGTGATGGCTGGCAAGTGGGCCCGGGTAGGCCGAGGTGCCTCCGAGGACCGCGGGTTCGTAAAGGCACCACCAAAGTGGGTGAGTGTGGGATTTGATGATTCTGTTCCATCATGTAAAGGCTCATACCGAGACAGATAATTTTCCAATTCAGCAATGTCCGAGTCAAACTGGTGATACACGCGCTGGTCTCGACGAAGCATGTAGAGTTGATCGTAGGCAGCGCGAATTAGAGATACGCGCGAAGGCGGCGGCGGAGGTAGTGGGCGATCCAGTACAGAATTGGAAAGAGACACCGGCGAGTTCAAATCACTCGTGCCCGTGGTGTTCTGGGGCGACACTGCTTCTTGAGGGACCGGAAGTGGCTCTTCCGAGGAAGTGGACACGGTAGACGCTTGGTTCGCGGAAGCGAGCGTCTCATTTGTCTCTTCTTGTGGAAAGCTCCCGGGTATTGTCTCCCTGACTTCCTGCCTTGATTCTCGAGCTAGCGCACCAGGCTGGAGAGAAAGGGGAACGTGGCGCGAGGTACGGCGCGCATTCACGCGGTCATGCGAAAGTGTTCTCCGCATGTCCGCCTCATACTGGTACAGTGCTTCCAGCGCATTGTGCTCCGACTCCCACTCATTATCCGAGTTGTCTTCATCAGGACGTGGTCCTTCGTCTTCACTGGACGAGTCGTCCACAGGATCAGGCTCTGAACCTAGGGTATCCACAAATTGAGGAGCTGGTGCTGTAACAGCCTGGAGAGTAGACGAAGGATCGCGTGGCACCGTCTCCCAACGACGACGCAGAGAGTTCATGTTTGTTTCGCTCAATTCACTGGCTTGTTTACGGCGTTCCATACGCAGTACTCGCTCCTCCAATGAATACCCTAAAAGTCGATCGCGCTCCCATGCATCACGCTCGCGATACACTGCAGGGTCTAACAACTCAGGGGATTCATCTCCGGATGGATTGGAGTTGTCTTCGTCGTTCTCTGCTGGTTCTGGCGCTGGTTCACTGTCACTTTCAAAGGCGGGTGGTGGGCTGCTCGGCACATGTCTCATTTCATGAGCCGGAGCTGGAGCTTGGTGCACCTGAACATTTGGTATCGCTGATGAAAAGGGGGGCGGTGGATCCGTTCTATCAAGGTTTTGTAATAGTTCGATGTCGTCCCATACATTCACTCTGCGATTCCATTCATCCGTAGCAATACTCTGACGCGTAGTGGGTGTCGGTGAAGCTGTGTTAGTCATGCGTGCATTTGACCCGACAGCGGACGCTGAAGGCGTGACAGGTGCTAGAGCAGGAGAAGAAACATGTTGCATGGCCGCCACGGAACGCGCTGGCCGTACCGTTCGTGCAGCGGTAGAACTAGGCTGCACTGTCGCCCGTAATCGCTGTACAGACGCCCGTGTTCGAAGAGACGCAGCAGAAACGTTTCTTTGCGTTCGAGTTCGGCTATCATTGTTGGTCCGTCGAATGTTATCGGGTGCTGTGAGAGTGACGCGACCGAGATGACTTTCAACATTTGTCAGAAACGGCGCAACGGCAGCATTTGATGCATACCCTAGGCCCGTAAAGTCCCCTATCTGATCCCTAGAAGAACCCGAGTTCCGATCAGAGGGGTGGCTGTTCAACCGCCGAGTCCTCGCAGGTCCTGGGCCCATGCCAACCGAACACGACACGCATGCCGCCCCGACGCACGCGTGGGGCCACACGAGGTCCGAGCGCAGTACATGTGGAGGATGTGTCATCCGATACATGAACCACGTGACTAACTGTACAAGGCGTGCGAATCTTTCAAGACCGGCTCAAGCCACGCAGCCACCCAACGCCACAGCTTCTCTCTCACCAAGCTTCGGTCATCGTACGTGGACACTGTGGCGAAGAACACAATCTAACATCACCAGATGGGACGTCGCCCCGCTCGTTGCTACCGTTACTGCAAGAACAAGCCTTACGTATGTCATTTACTCAGTTGAGCAGTTGGAACTAACATGAACAGCCCAAGTCCCGGTACAACCGTGGTGTGCCGGATCCTAAGATCCGTATCTACGATCTGGGTCGTAAGAAGGCCTCGGTGGACGAGTTCCCCTTCTGCGTTCACCTGGTGTGTGACGAGCACCAGCAGATCACCGCTGAGGCTCTTGAAGCTTCGCGCATCTGTGCCAACAAGTACATGACCAAGACCACTGGTAAGGACTCGTTCCACCTCCGTGTGCGTGTCCACCCGTACCACGTCATCCGTATCAACAAGATGCTTTCGTGCGCTGGTGCCGACCGTCTTCAGACGGGTATGCGTGGTGCCTTCGGTAAGCCGTACGGTCTTGTGGCTCGTGTGAACATTGGTCAGGTTCTGCTGTCGATCCGCACCCGTGACGCCAACCGTCCTGTGGCTGTGGAGGCTCTCCGCCGTTCGCGTTACAAGTTCGCGGGTCGCCAAAAGATCATCATCTCGAAGAAGTGGGGCTTCACTGACATGAGCCGTGAGGAGTACCTCGAGGCCCGTGACAGCAAGCGTGTCATGAAGGACGGCTGCCACCTCAAGTACATTACCCACCACGGCCGCGTGGAGGACAACCTCCGTCTGCAGGCCCAGGTTGCCGCCCAGAAGTAAATGTGTTTGCACGCATTCTGAGGTTGCTGGATGGGACTTGCATGTTATAGACCTATCTAGTATGGTTTTGTACAACCCAAAAGCATAGGTGGTTTGCCCCTTGGAAGAGTGCATTGGCGACATGGTCGAAGACCGGCGTCGTGCCGGTGGCGGTGCCACGTGGTCAAGATAAGCAGCGGGGCCAAGAGCCCTCTTTTGCCTCTCACCGCGCCGGGTCCTAAACGCTAGGAATGCCGGTGCCTCCTAAACCATGGGAGAGGTCCGGTGGCGTGGATTCAGTTCCCATTTCATCTCCGTCTCCCAATGCCACTACGGATGTCGCTCCTGCTATACCTGAACGGCCTTCTAATTTAAGTAGCGCAAACCCAGATTCAGTTGTGGGCGCTCACCGGTCAGGCCCAGGTGGCTATGGTACTGGGATGGGTGGCTACGGATCATATGGATCTACTTATAACTCACCGTATTCACGCTTTGGTGGTTACGGCGGCTACGGAAGTATGGGTTATGGAGGTATGGGCTATGGCGGAATGGGCTACGGCGGCTTTGGCAACATGGGCTACGGCGGCTACGGCGGGATGGGCTATGGCGGCTATGGAGGTATGGGCTATGGCGGCTTTGGAGGTATGGGCTACGGTCAGCCTGGCGAATACTCCTTGACACAACGCATGGAGAGCGGCACACAGGCAACTTTTGAACTTATTTCTTCCATTGTGGGAGCATTCGGTGGCTTTGCACAGATGTTGGAGTCTACATTCATGGCCACTCATTCTAGCTTCTTTGCCATGGTCGGTGTGGCGGATCAATTCGCCCATCTTCGCAACTACTTGGGCGAAGTGCTCAGTATTTTTGCCCTCGCTCGACAGCTTAAACACTTATATTTGCGCATGACTGGTCGGGGCTCACTTGTGGGCATTGACCCGAAAGAATTCAGCGACTTTCGTCGTGGTGCGCCTGGTAAACATCGTCCAAGCAAGCGCCCCCTGTTTATTTTCTTCCTTGCCGTCATTGGTTTACCTTACTTGATGGGTAAACTGGTCAGGCTGATTACAGCTAAACAAGACGAGGAGAGAGCACGCTTGGCCAAACAGGCTGCGGAGGCTGGAACAGATTTGCAGCTGCTCCAGGATGCTCAGGGGTCTTCCGTTATTGACCCGAGTAAGTTGACCTTTGTTCGCGCCCGTTTTGCTTATAGCGCGGCTGACAACCTTGAGCTAAGTCTCAAGCAAAATGAAATCGTGGCTGTGTTGAGTAAGACGAATCCTGAAACCGGCGAAGAAAGCCAATGGTGGCGTGGTCGTACCAGAGATGGCCGCATTGGCTGGTTTCCTAGTACATACGTTGAAACCCTGGAGCAGGCTCGTGATCGCGCTAACAAGGCCTCACAACGGCCCCTTGCCATTGAATCAAGTGCCCAGAAAGGCACAGAAGCGAAACCGGCGGCCACAAAGTCTATTTCGTAGACACCCATGTAGTATAGTTCGGATGGTCGGATTTATGATCGCTTGCGGCCTCCACACCATACAACAACATCATGCGGCATCTGAGCATCCTTGGACGGATTGTAACAGGGCACAATCAACGACGCCTGGCATCCACCTTGAGGAACCCCGAAGTAAATTCTGCATTTGGTCGTGTCATTGTATCTGGCATCCAGCCTACTGGAATTCCACATGTACGTGAACAGAACTAATTTTAGCTTGGAAACTACTTGGGTGCCCTAAAGAACTGGGTCGAACTTCAAAATAAGGCTGGCGTCAATGACAAGTTGTACTTCTTCATTGCTAGCTTTCATGCTCTGACTGTTCCTCAAAACGCCTCCCAGCTCTATCGGGATCGCCGCCAACTCTTGGCTACACTCATTGCCATTGGGCTGGATCCAAAGAAATGCACAATCTTTCTGCAAGACCACGTTCCCGAACATGCGGAGCTAGGGTGGTACTTGATGTGTATGTCGCCTTTTGGGCGTCTCGAGCGCATGACCACATGGAAGTCGAAGATCGCAACGCTGCAAAATAGCGGAAACATTGATCATGTCAACGAATCTCAGCTACAATTGGGTCTATTTGCATACCCTGTACTTCAAGCTGCTGATATTCTCATGTATCAGTACGTGATTCCGCTTACATTTAGAGCCACACATGTGCCCGTGGGAGATGATCAAACACAACACTTAGAGCTCACTCGCGACTTGGCTATTCACTTCAATCGCGCCGTGAAGAGCCGATTCTTTCACTTGCCAGAACAAATTATCAGTGCGTGTCCAATGAATCCTGACCCAAGCTCCATCGAAGCGTATATTATCCTTGCGAAATCCTGACCAAAAAATGTCAAAGTCAGCCCCGGACGCCAACTCACGCATTCTCATTACCGACACGCCGGAACAAATTCGCTCCAAAATTAAGAAAGCAGTCACTGACAGTATTCCGATCCTATCTTACGATACAGTGAACCGACCGGCTGTCAGTAATTTACTGCAAATCTTGGCTGCGTTTGACGGCGGCATTCTTCGCAAGGCGCTCGCATCATCGGAAGATCCTGACCAGCTCCAGAATCCGTCCTTTGTAGCGCAACTCCTCAACGACCGCATGGGTGGCTCAGGGGCGTCTTTAAAATCTGCTTTGACTGATACGATTGTGGAAGAGCTGCGACCTATACAGGAGGAATACCATCGATTGGAAAATGAAGCTGGATATCTCGACAGCATTGCCCAACTCGGTTGCGACAAGGCCCGAGCGCAATGCCAAGAGACCATGACCGAAGTCCGGAAACTTCTTGGACTTCATAATTGAGTAGATTTATGAGGATAATTTCATAGGGAGCTATAGTACACGGAAGCTACAGGTCGGCCATTACGACATGAGCGCCTGCTCAACCAAGCGCGACGCTTCCTTGTGAAGGTACGAGTATTCCTCTTGGTAATCCTCCTTGACCTTGGTCTCTCCCTTCTCGACTGCCTTCTTTCCTCCGCCGGGAACAATCATGACGCAGCTGGTGGGGCGCTTAGTGCTAGAGGCACTTCCAAGCTGATCTTTCGACGCCACAAAAACGTATGGGTTGCCAGTGTCTTCACAAAGTACAGGGATGTGCGAAAGGATATCGATAGGTGAAATGTCACCGGCCAAGATAACAAGACCCTTCTCGCCCTTGCGCAGGCCTTTGACAACTTCTTTGACGCCCCGTTTGACGTGACCTCGAGACTTGGACGCCTTCTGGATTGTCTTGAACACCTTCTTAGTCAAAGGTTTGGTAGCAAGAGGGCCTGGTATTAGTTACGTTAGTACATACAGGCAATTGGGCTCAGCTTCGCAGGATCGACTTCGTCATCCTCGGCAACCTCCGCCATCGACGTATCACCGACGGTATCCTCGATCATCACATCATCGCTCTTCTTCTCTTTCTTCTCTTTCTTCTCCTTTTTCTCCTTCTTTTCTTTCTTCTCCTTCTTCTCCTTCTTTTCCTTCTTTTCGATAAGTTCGTTCTGGTTCTTCACTTCTTCGACCATGGCGATCAACAATTTTCGTAAGACCGGTCGATCTGCTCTGGTCCAAAGTCTGCACACTCGGCCGAAATGGCTCTAGTCACAACTGGAGCTGGCAGCCCCGTTTTTTGCTTTCATTCCTGCCTTGAGCAGGAACACTCCCTTATTGTTCGTATCGACCCTGGAAAGATCAGGATGTTTCAACATTTAAACTAGAGTCTCGCGGGATTCTCTATATCGATTCGCGATAGCTTTCGTTGCCTGATCTTTTCCCTCCCTTGAACCTGTACTAACACCGCCAGTGTAAGTATGGATGCTTCGATATCGCCTGCCGTGATTACCTTCAATCATTTTGATTGCTGGAAATTACCGTCCGAGGATACGTATAGGGCCGCAACTCCCTGTATCCTTTATGAGGACATTTCTAAGGCTGTTTAATGAGCACTGGTGTTTTTTATGAACTTGGCTAACGCTTAAAGATATATTTCTATAAGTTTGATGTTCATTATGGTATGTATATGAAAGTTTTCGGTGGATGATGAGTCTTATCACGACGGTCTGCGTACGGCTTTGCCGCTGGCGAAAAGGCCCGATAAACCCAATTCTGTATCCGGGCACTACTCTGAATCCGAACTTTCTTATTTGCTGGAACAGTACTAACGACTTAGGATATAGAGTCATGTATATATATATATATATATTAGTTAAGGTTTTTGAGACACGGCTTTATCGCATGGTTCAGGAATGGGGGTACTCGGATCGATGGGTGGAACTTTGAGGGATCCTACTTTAAAGTAGGATTTGTGGTCCGCATAGAACTCGTACCATCCTTGTAACACTTTCAGTTCGCCCGCGGACAGGCCTCTCACGTCATGTGTCAGGTGCGTTTCAAAACAGCCAGTAACATAGGCCCGAGAAGCGTCTCTGCCCGCGAACATATGGTAGGGTCCGCCAGGTCCATAATACAGATAGCCTTCGGAGACATCAAATACAGTCCCACGGATAGATAGCTTAGGTTAAGGAAGAACACCTACCAGGACAGGAAGTTTGGGATTAGATCCGTCGAACCCGCTCAAGATCTCTGGCGTGAATTCGACCATGGGTCGCTGCTAGTCAGTCAACATTTCAACCAACCGGAATATAGCGATGCCAGTTAGTCCATTTGCCACGGTATCCCCAGAGTGGATCCCCTTGGATAAAAAGTCCTGATAACAGGAAAATGACGATGGAAAAAAGGGCCGCAAGGACCATGCTGAACAGAAAGTTAGCGAGCGGTGAGAAGTCAGGTTTCTCATCTTCCTGAAGTTCCGGGGATAGAGGGCGGTTTTCACGCCGATATTGTTTGCGTTTCTCGATCCGCGCTTGCTTCTCAAGCCAGCGTTGGTGCACGAGGTATGCTTCGTTGGCTTTCTTATGTGGGACCTTGCGTCCTGTGGATGGATCCATATCAAATTTCATATCCGTTCCTGTATTAGATTTCTCATTCATGGGCTGCTCTGGCGATTCGCTAGAACCTGGTGCATTGTCACAGTTCGTATCACTCATTGATGCTAAGGAGAATGTGGGTGGCCCCTGGGCCAATCTATGATTGTGGAGGAGCTTAGTCAACATCCAAGCGTCTAGTGGGCCTCCGCGCCAGGAATGACGTCCAGCGTATCGAGCTCGTTCAGAGCTGCGCTGATCATCTCAAGGCCACGCTTGAGTTCCTCCTCAGTGATAACCAGGGGAGGAGCCAGACGGATAATGTTTTGATGCGTCGGCTTAGCGAGAAGACCCTTCTCCTTCAGCAGCAGACACAGGTCCCAGGCCGAACGCTTCTTCACGCTCTTGGTCTCGTCAATTACAATGGCATTAAGCAAGCCCTTGCCACGAACCTCCTTAAGCAGAGGGTTGTTAATTTCCTTCAGACCGGCGCGGAAGAACTGTCCGAGTTCCTCGGCACGCTCGCACAGTTTGTCATTCACAATCACCTCCAGAGCCGTAATGGCAACAGCCGAGCCGAGCGGGTTGCCACCATACGTGCTGCCATGCTCACCAGGCTTGATGCAGAGCATCACGTCCTTGTCTGCGAGGACGGCGCTGACGGGGTACACACCAGCGCTGAGGGCCTTGCCAAGCGTGACAATGTCGGGACGGATACCGTAGTGCTGGCAGCACAGCATCTTACCCGTGCGGCCTAGACCGGTTTGGATTTCATCGCAGATCAGGAGTACATTGTGCTTCTTGCAGAGCTCTGCCACCTTGGGGAAGTAGTCGTCATCGGGGACCATGATGCCGGCCTCGCCCTGGATGGGCTCGAGAAGGACAGCAGCAGTCTCGTGGCCATAACGCTCCAGCGCCGTCTCGATATCCTGGACGTTGTTATAGCGAATAGTCAGGTCTTCGACAACAGGGCCGACACGCTCGAGCATCGGGCCGAAACCGTTGCGGCTGTCGTCCTCCGTGCTCATACTAATGACACCAATCGTGCGGCCGTGGAAGTTGCCAGTAGCACTAAGAATGCGGGCCTTGCCATCAGGCACACCCTTCTTCATGTAGGCCCACTTGCGGGCGAGCTTCATAGCAGTCTCAACAGCCTCAGCGCCGGTGTTCATGGGAAGGACCATGTCATACTTGAGCAGTTCTGTTACCTTTTTGGCAAACTGAGCAAAGACAGAGTTGTAGAAAGCACGCGACGACAGCGTCAGCTTCTGGGCTTGTGCAATAAGGGTGCCCACCACCGCAGGGTGGCAGTGTCCATGGTTGACAGCAGAGTAGGCCGACAGGAAGTCGAGGTACTCCTTGCCCTCAGGGTCCCAAACACGGGATCCATGCGCGCGGTCGAACACAACGGGTAAAGGGTGATAGCTTAGGTTAGCTGGGAGAGAACGTACTTGTGGGCGCCATACTGGCCCTCCATCTCCATGAGCTGCTCGCTCGAGTAATGCTCACGAGTCGCAGCCGAGTGCGCAGCATGCGTCATCGAGCTGACGCTCGACATGAAGGACTCACCAAACTGGCTGACCCTCTGCTGAATGTTTTCAAATTGCTGCTGATACGACGACATCGTGAAAGAAAGCTAGAAGCTTATGCGGCCTTCGGCGTGAATGCATTCTGTCGGTTTCACGGGCATCGCATCACCTGACTTGGGGCACGTGCTATACATACGCGCGCTGGCCTCAACCTCGCTTGCAGCATGTCGCTGGCAGTGCAGGCGGGACTCTTCGCAGGAGGCGTGCTTTTGGGAGCTGGAGGAGCCGTATGGCTGCAAGGTGGGCATAAAAAGACGGCTACAGTGCCAGTTCATGCCCCGGCAAAGACGGAGACGCTGAGTGCCAATCCTCATGCTGCGCCGACGCCTGTCAATGATGCACTAGCTCTCTCTGGCCACCCTGGTCCAGTCGCTGACTTTCTGCGCAACCAGGCGTATGTGAGTGCGTATGACCGGCGCCTGAGGCATCCCATATGGACGGCGGAGCATCTGACAGCCGAGTCGATCCGCCGCCCCCCCGGCACAGAGGTGAACCGCGCACAGTCCATCTTTGCGGAAGATCCGCGCATCCCGGCTGCCTTTCGCTCGACAAATTCCGACTATTTCCGTTCGGGCTACGACCGTGGGCATATGGTTCCTGCAGCAGATGCAAAGACAAGTCAGGCCGCCATGAACGAGACGTTCTACCTCTCCAACATCGCTCCTCAGGTTGGTCCTGGTATGAATCGTGACTACTGGGCGTACACGGAGGACTTTGTGCGGCGTCTTACCAGTCAATTCAAGGACCTGTATGTGTTCACAGTGCCCTTGTACCTGCCCCGGCAGTCAACGGATGGCAAGTGGCGAGTCTCGTACGAAGTGATTGGCTCGCCACCGAGCGTGTCCGTGCCGACGCACTTTGCCAAGGTAGTGCTGGGTGCTGGACAGACGAGCCCGGGCGCACTGCTGGGTGGCTCCGCCAAGTTGGCACTTGGTGCCTTTATTGTGCCCAACAGCATGATCCCCGATACGGCACCGCTGCGCAGCTTTGAGGTGGATGTGGAAGCGGTCGAACGTGCAGCAGGCCTGACGCTTTTCCCGCCGGCGATCAAGCAGGCCGCCAAGAAGCTCTGTGACACAGTCAAGTGTGAGGTAATCGTGCGGGAGTTCGGTGATGCCAATAGGAAGCTGGCTCCGCCGACGCACTCCAATACCCTGCCATAGTTAACCAAACGACACGCGCTTCTTTTTCGGGCGTGCGCCCTCGGGCGGCGCTTGGGTGGGCTGCGAGGATGCAGCGGCGGGATCAGACCCCATCGCCTCTTCCTTGCGCTTCTTTCGGCGCTCACGTGTGCGTTCGCGACGCTTCTCACGGAGTAGCTTGAGCATAGAGGAGCGAGAAGGCGTGTCTTTGGCTTGGCGGGCGAGCTCCTTGCGCTGCTGCTGTTGCTTGCGCCGTTCAGCGATATGTTCCCGAGCAGCCTGATTTTTCTCTAGAGATTTTTGAAACTGCAAATCCTTTTTCTGAACAGCCTGCTCGGACAAGGCCAGCACATGGGCCAAGCCCTGCTGCTCGCTGAAATGTTTCCGAGGCATGGACGAAAACGCGAGGATGCGAGTCCCATGTGGAGGCCGTAAATCGGGGCTGGCCCTACCTCGGGCCCCAAACCTTGGCATCCAGCCATGAGGGAGGATGAGTGTGTGCTGCCCCCCCATGATGGAGCCACCCTTGCGCTTTCCATTGTGGTGTGCGTGGGAGTTGTTCTGTCCTACATACCACAAATGCTGCGTATTACCTTGGTGAAGTCGTCAGTGGGGCTCTCCCCGTGGTTCTTGTTTCTTGGGACGACCTCGAGCTGGAGTGCGACGCTGAATCTCATCGTGCTTCAGTGGCCTCTCCTTCGATGCATATTCTCACCCTTGCGCTGGAGCCACCTGGAGCATCTGATGGGCGTACTTCAGACGGGACTACAGCAGGTGATGTTTACCTTGATCTTTGTCCTGTTCATGGTCTACTACAAGGTGGATGCGACGGCGCGCCGCAAGCGACGCCAGCCACGGACGAAGCGGCGAGTGGTAGATGCAGGTCGTCTACACCCACCGCTGCTTGACAGCAACGATTCCTCAGGATCGGAGAGTGATCTTGAGTCGATCCAGACACACATTCATCGCACTTATGGGGCGGCGGCAACCCGCGAGGCACAAGCCCATGATGCGCTCATGACACATGCGCACCAGCACCAGCACTACGAAAATATTCCGGCGGCGATGCGCGGGATCCTCGAGCGTCACCACCTGCCGACTGAGGACGAGATCCACGGCAAGATTGGGTCCGTTCATGAGAAGCGGCTAGCCGTGCGCCTCGTGTGGGTGACACTGGCGTACCTGCTGATCATCTGCACCGTCAGTGCTACACTCATCGCGGTGCACGCACACCGCCGGTACCTGCAGCACTGGGCTGGGCTGCTGGGCCTCGCTGCGGCCGGGCTCGCTGCGTGCCAGTATGTGCCTCAGATTTGGCACACGGCGCGTGCGGGGCTCGTGCGCAGCGTGAGTATCGGTACCATGTGCGTACAGGTGCCGGGCTCGCTCGTATTCGTGTACGCACTCGCTGGGCGTGAAGGCGTGAATTGGACGACGCTTATGCCCTATGTGGCGGCTGCCGTGCTGCAGTGCCTACTGCTGGTGCTGTGCGTCGCCTGGAAGATTCGGCAGCACAGGCAGGGTGTCGACGACTACGGTCGATCGATCCATGCGGGCGCTCTACGGTAGCGCGGCGATGTCCGCACAGACAGTCTCGATGCGTGGCTCTGCGATGCTTTGTCGCCACGCAAGGGCACGGTCCCGAGCTTGGTCGCGCTGGGCGGGCGTAAAAGAGGCGCTGCAAGGAGCACAAAGCTGTGATGAGTGATGGCCACGTACGAGGTTGCCCAGGGCCAGGAGCGCGCGGTACACGCACTCGCTCTCGATGGCAGTCGGCGGCTGCGACAATATCTGGCGGTGAGGGCGCCTCACGTACCTCCATGATCAGCTGCAGCAGCAGCCCAACGTGCTCGTACGACGTATGTTCCAGCGCGCGGATCGAGTAGTTGTATGCCACAGTCGCCAGGGCCGTGTGGCCATGTCGATTCAGTACCGGCCACGGCGGCGACTGCAGCGTAGCTAAAGCCTCCAAGGCCAGCTCGTCCATCGTCGTGGGCCCCGCCGGGGCGGAGAACCCATTGGCGAGCGTGCGCAGAGCCAGCATCGAGTTGGTCGCCGCCACTTTCCTGTCCACACCGACCGCATCCAGCGCGTCCCAGTCGGCGCCAATAAGCGCATCGCTGACCAGCATAGCATAGGGTTGGGTGCATGTGTAGCAAGCAGCGGCACGTAGAAGGTCCAAGAGTGGAAACCGCAGCGTGACGGGCCAAGTACGCAGCAGCCGTCCCAGCACGTCGACAGGGATTGGCTCCGCACGCGTCTCGAGGCTTGTGATCAGCGCCTGCAGCGCCTGTTTGTCTTCGGCACTGAGCGGCGCAGCGCTGTCCTTGCTGCTCACTTCGAGGATCTTGGCGTGGGCTGCGCTGAGCTGGATGTGGGTGAATGACTGGTACACCTTCTGCGGCAGGACGGAGAGGGGGGCCGGTGCACGGTCACCGGGCGCACTGGCGGCGCCCGGTACATACCGCGCCTCGCCGGTGTATGGATCGGCAGCCACATGAGGCGACACAGTTACCCCCTCCGTGTTCTTCTCGAGGAAGCGCACGACCTGGTCGAGGAACGACGCGGGCAAATCGTTCTCCTCAAGGAAGCGGCTCGCGGCCACATAGGGATTCTCCGACACGTTGTAGCCGAGCTTCAGGGGCGGCGCTCCGTCGGCGATATCCACGTCAAAGACATAGTCGTACTCCTTTCCGCGCCATGTCGTCTTCTGGGAAGGCGCCGCACTCTCTGAGACGAGGCCGGTGGGTTGCCAGGTGCGTGTGTGTGTGCTCCATTGGTACCGCTCGGTACGTGAGCCCTGGCGCAGCAGCAGAGCCTCGCCCTCCGTCGCGCCGGGCGTCTGCAGTGCATCGCGCGCGTCGGTGGAGCGAACACCTTGCACCTCGCCGGCACTCAGCGACTGGGTCTGAACATGCTGAGCGTACGTGGCCATCTGCTCAGCTGAGGCGCGGCGCTGCTCGTCGCGTGTAAACAGGTACAGGCACCCATCGCTTGCGCCACACACCAAGTCGCCGTTCGGCAGAGCATGAACGCACCACACCGACAGGGCCGGCACGGCTAGGACCTGCTCGAGCGATGGCCCGTGCCAGACGTGCACGCAGCGGTCTTCGCCGCTGCTCGCTAGCCTGTGCATGGGCAGGACGGCGAGCGAGTAGACAAATGCCGGGACCGTGGCGACGGTGGTGTGAGCGCCGTCGAACGAGTGAGAGCGGAGATGCCCGTCGTTGCCGGCGCTGACAAAGGTGCCGTCCGGCAGCAGCGCGAGGTCGCGCACTGCCTGTGTGGCGCCGTCCCATTGCGCCACAGGCTCGGTCGGTGAGGCGATGGACCACAGCCGCACCGACTTGTCGGCAGACGCCGACAAGACTCGGTCGGCATCGACGGGGAGCACGGACCAGACGGACTGGGTGTGCCCCGCAAGCGTGGCAGTGCATTCCCACTGTGTCCAGATGCGCACGGTGCCGTCCCAGCTGCTGCTCGCGAAGTATGCTGAGCCGAAGGCGCGGAGCGAGCAGACATTCGAAGCGTGGCCCACCAACGAGTAGCGCGGCGTCGGGGCCACCAGCATCTCCGCGCCCGTGTGTACTTCGTACGCGTACACGACGGCGTCCTGCCCCGCTGTAAGGGCATAGAGTGCGGTGCCATCGTGGAAGAAGGCTACCGCATTGACGAAGCCACTGCCATGCTCGAGAACCTGCGCGTGGAACGCGCCGTCGGCATCGGCGGTCCACAGCCGCGCCGTCTGGTCCCGCGAGCCGGAGAGGAGCACGAGGCGGCCGTCGGAGAGTGTGTATGCGTCCAGTGCGCGCACATCGGACGTGTGTCCGGCTAGGCACGCCGCCAACGCGTACGGAGGCGCCGAGGAGGACATGACGCAACCATAGTGGCGCCCACGTCCTGGGCCGCGCGTCGTCAGAATCACGTGCGGTGCTGCTGGCTACGAGCGTCTATGACGAGGGATGTAGGGCCTCTTTCTTACGCGGCTCCATAGAGAGGAGGTACGTAATGTGTATGGAGAGGGCCAGTGATCTATCCTGTCTTTCCCTCAGCCACGCGTCCACGATCGGACGATGTGATGAATAAACAGGAGACTGACGTCGAGCTGACGGACAGCATGCCACGCGCGGCACGAGTGCAGAGGTGCCGTGTGGTGGCGGCGCCATAGAGACTAGCCCTACCATTCGACCTACCCAATGCTAGAGGGGGAGAGGGAGAGAAAAGGAAAAAGCGGTCGCCGGCGCGTCGGCCGTGTTACAGGGGTACCTACCAGGTCTTGTAACACGTCGCTCGAGCCACGGGCGCCCGCGCTGCCCGCGGCTCCGCTCGTGCAGGTGAGAGGCGACCGACGTTGAGCGGCGCAAGTCGCAGTCGGCACGATGATACCGCCGGTGACAGTCACGAATACGGCGTCGGTCATGTCGCAGTCGATGCAGCCGTCTGAGACGCTGTCGCGCATGTTTGACGAGCTGAAGAGCAAGTGCGTGGGCGAGACTAACGGTCCCAGGGACAAGACGGTGCGGACGAATGCGGGCAAAGAGCTGGGCAGCTTTGTGCGTGCGATCGACTGACGCAGGTGTCGTACATGATGTCGGAGCTCAAAGGCGAGCGCCTGCAAGCCTTCCACAACGAGCTCAACCGCCGCATCATTGAGCTCGCGCACAGCGCACAGACGGCGAGCAAGCTGGGGGGGATCACCGCGATCGACAGCTTCCTCACGCTCGAAAGTGAGGATGACAGTGCCCGGCTGTACCGCTTCTACCAGTACCTGAAGCCGAACTTGCCGTGTGGGGACGCGCAGGTCATGGTCGCTGCGGCGCGGGTGCTCGGGCGTGTGTCCAAGTACGGCGGGCACTCACTCGGCGACCAGTTTGTCGAGTTCGAAGTGCAGCGTGCGCTGGACTTGCTGCAGGGCGACCGCAACGAGAATGGGCGGTACGCCGCGGCGCTCATCATCAAGGAGATCGCGCGCAATGTCCCCTACCTATTCCACGCGTACGTGGGGCGTGTGATCGACTATATCTGGATTGGGCTGCGGGACCCGAAGGTGGCCGTGCGCGAAGCGACGGCTGAGGCGCTGGGCGCATGCTTCCAGATCATTGCGGACCGCGAGAAGCAGATGGGCACCCAGGCGTACGAGTCGGTGTACGACGAGGCGGAGCAGGGGCTCAAGGATGCGTCGGTCGAGGTGATCCACGGCAGCCTGCTGGCGATCCTCAAGCTGCTGCGCCACTCGAAGACGTTTATGCGCACGCGGCTGCACCGGACGTGCGAGCTGATCCTCCGGCTGCACCGGCACCGCGACCCGTTGGTGAAGCGCACCGTGACGAATCTGATCCCGGTGCTCGCTGCGTACGACCCGCAGTACTACGCGGAGGAGTACCTGGGTCCGGTGATGACCGCGATGATCGACCAGCTGCGGCGCGAGCGCGACCGCTCGAAGGAGGCGTGTGGCGACACGCTCGAGGCGATTGGGCTTGTCGCGATGGCGATGGGCGACCGCATGCAGCCCTATGTCGAGGCGATCATGCAGTGTGTGCGCGAGTCGCTGCAGATGCGCGGGAAGCGCAGCGTGCCGCCCGAGGCGCCCGTGTTCTTCTGCATCGGACACCTCGCCGTCGCTGTCGGTGCGCGCATCGAGAAGGACGTGCATGATCTGCTGGACATGATGTTCGCGTGTGGGTTGAGTGTCGCGCTGGTGTCGGCGCTCGAGCAGATTGTGCATGCGATTCCTACGCTGTTGCCGATCGTCCAGGAGCGCCTGCTGCAGATGCTGTCGCACTTGCTGATCGGCGTGCCGTACCGCCCGCTCGGTGCGCCGCTGCCGCGGCACGGAGCGCTGCCGCCGCCGGTGATCCGTGTGTCGTCCGATGCCAAGACGACAGAGACACTCACGATCGCGCTCGAGACGCTCGGGAGCTTTGACTTTACAGGCCATGTGCTGAACGAGTTTGTGCGCGACTGCACTCTGCCGTACCTCGAAATGGACGCGAAGGAGGTGCGGAAGGCGGCGGCGGTGACGTGTGCGCGCATCTTTGTGAACGACCCGATCTGCTACCAGTCGTCGATGCATGCGATCGAGGTGTTCAACGATGTGCTCGACAAGCTGATCACGGTTGGCGTGGCGGACCCTGATGCAGAGCTGCGGTTCACGGTGCTCAGTGCGCTGGACGAGCACTTCGATCGGCACCTGGCGCAGACCGAGTACATCCGCTCGATCTTTATTGCGCTCAACGACGAGGAGTTTGCGGTGCGCGAGGTGGCCATCGGGATCCTCGGGCGCCTCGCGCGGCACAACCCGGCGTATGTGATGCCGTCGCTGCGTAAAGTGCTTATCCAGCTGCTCACGGGGCTCGAGTACGCCACGGTCGCGCGGCACAAGGAGGAGGCCGCGCGCCTGCTGACGGGCGTTGTACGCGCGCTGCAGGGACTCGTCAAGAGCTACGTTCTGACGATGCTGCAGGTCCTCCTGCCCAAGGCGAGCGATGCGAACGCGGGCGTCGCCGCTCGTGTGATGGAGTGCCTCGGTGAGCTCGCGCGCGTCGGCGGCGACGAGCTCGCGCCACTCGTCAACGAGCTCGTGGCGCTGACGGTGTCGCAGCTCGGCCATGGGCCCGCGCACGCGAACGTCACCAAGCGCGACGCGGCGCTCAAGACGCTCGGGCGCATCGCGTCGAATACGAGCCACGTGGTGAATCCGTACCTGCAGTACCCCACGCTGCTGAGCGCGCTCGTCAAGATCCTGAAGACGGAGCAGGCGCTGCCAGTGCGGCGGGAGACGATTCGCGTGCTGGGCATTCTGGGTGCGCTCGATCCATACCGGCACAAGCTGCTGGAGAACAGTTTGGAGCCCGCGGCGGCGCCGGACGGCGCGCCCCAGACGGACCTGTTCGAGCTCGCGATGGCGATGGGGACGTCCACGGACGAGTACTACCAGAACGTGGCGGTGGAAGCGCTGATTGCGATCCTGCGTGATCCCGCCCTGTCCGTGCACCACCACGCGGTGATCGAGGCGATCATGTACATGTTCAAGACGCAGGGCCTCAAGTGCGTCGCGTTCCTGCCCCAAATTATCCCGGCGTTCCTCGGCGTGATCCGCACATGCGCGGGCGGTGGTCTCAGCGAGTTCTACTACCAGCAGCTGGCCATCCTCATCTCGATCATCAAGCAGCATGTGCGCAACTATCTACGCGACATCTTTGCGCTCGTGCAGGCCGACTGGAACCCCAACTCGGCGATCCAGATGACGATCGTGGCGCTGATGGAGGCTGTCGCGCGCGCCCTCGAGGGCGAGTTCAAGGCATACCTGCCGCTGCTGCTCCCGAACCTGCTGCAGACGCTTGAGGGCGAAATCACCCCGAAGCGCACACCGACGCTGCTGCGTATGCTGCAGGCATTCTATGTGTTTGGCGCGAACCTCGAGGAATACATCCACCTCGTGCTCCCTGTGCTCGTGGCGCTGTTCGAGCGCGCAGACGCGCCTGTGCATGTGCGCCGCGCGGCCATCGTCACGGTCGGCCAGCTCTCGCGTAAAGTCAACTTCTCCGACCACGCCTCGCGCATCATCCACCCACTCGTGCGTGTGCTGAACAGCGGCGTGACGGAGCTGCGGGCCCCCACGCTTGACACGCTCACAGCGCTCGTATTCCTGCTCGGTCCCACGTACCTCACGTTCGTGGCGGTGGTGAACAAGGCGCTCGTGCACCAGAAGATCCAGCACACGCGGTACCAGCAGGTCATTGCGCGCCTGCTGCGCAGCGAGACGCTGCCGCTGGACCTGCTGCCGCCCGACACCCTCGCGCTCGACAAGGCGGACGAGGCGCCGCATGCCGAGGCGTCCAAGATGGTCGTGCACCAGGCGCACCTCAAGGCCGTGTGGGACACGTCGCGCGTGTCCACGGCGCAGGACTGGCGCGAGTGGCTGCGGCGCCTCGCGGTCGAGATGCTGCGCGAGTCGCCGTCGCATGCGCTGCGCGCCTGCCGAGGACTAGCGGAAGTGTACCAGCCGCTCGCGCTCGAGCTGTTCAATGCGGCGTTTGTGTCGTGCTGGGTCGAGCTGTACGACTCGTACCAGGAGAGCCTACTGCGGGCGATCGAGGCGGCGCTCGACGCGAGCGACATTCCGGACCAGGTCGTCCATGCGCTCCTGCAGCTGGCCGAGTTTATGGAGCACGATGACAAGGCGCTGCCGATCAGCATTCGCCTGCTGGGCGACCGCGCGTACAAGTTCCATGCGTATGCGAAGGCGCTGCACTACAAGGAGGCCGAGTTCCTCGCCGAGCCGTCGCCCCAGATCGTCGAGCTGCTCATCGACATCAACACGAAGCTGCAGCAGAGCGACGCCGCGTTCGGCGCGCTGACGTATGCGCGCGAGAAGATGGACATTACGCACCACGAGGAGTGGTACGAGAAGCTGCACCGCTGGGAAGAGGCACTCGCCGCGTACGAGCGCCGCGCGCAGGAGCAGCCGGACGCGCAGGAGATCGTGTTTGGCAAGATGCGCTGCCTGCACGCGCTCGGCGAGTGGGAGCACCTCACGGAGCTCGTGCACGCGCGGTGGCCCGCCGCGAATGCGGACGGGCGCCGGCAGATGGCGCCGCTCGCAGCGGCGGCCGCGTGGTCGTTTGGGCAGTGGGACATGATGGACGAGTTCATCGCGGCGATGCGCCCCGAGTCGTCTGAGCGCTCGTTCTACCGGGCTGTCCTAGCGGTGCACCGCTCGCAGCGCTCGCAGACCAAGCGCCTCGTTGCGCGTGCGCGCGATGCGCTCGACTCGGAGCTGACGGCGCTGATCAGCGAGAGCTACGGGCGCGCGTACGACCTCATGGTGCGCACGCAGATGCTCTCAGAGCTCGAGGAGGCGCTCACGTACAAGCTCGACTATGCGGAGCAGCCGGACCGCCAGGCGACGATGCGGGCGATCTGGATGAAGCGCCTGCAGGGCTGCGAGCTCGACGTGGAAGTGTGGCAGCGCATTCTGAGCGTCCGCAGCATTGTGCTCACGCCTGCGGACGATATGGATACGTGGATCAAGTTCGCGAACCTGTGCCGCAAGTCGGGGCGCATGGTGCTCGCGGAGAAGACGCTCAACTCGCTGCTTGGCCCCGACGCGCACGCGCTGGACGCGCCGCTGGCCGGCCCGAAAGCACCGCCCGCGGTGATCTACTCGCACCTCAAGTTCATGTGGGCGTGCGGCGCACGCGCCGAGAGCCTGAGCTACCTGCGCGAGTTTACCGCGAACCTCGCCGAGGATCTCGGCATGGCCACCGTCGACGACAACGACCACCTCATGCTGCCCGATATCCGTGCGTCGCCGCGCCTCGCCGAGTTTGCCAAGCTGCTAGCGCGCTGCTACTTCAAGCTCGGCGAGTGGCAGGTCGCGATGAACGAAGACTGGGTCGTGGACGACAACTTTGACGTGATCCGCTCGTACAAGCGCGCGACCGAGCTCGACCATACGTGGTACAAGGCGTGGCACGCGTGGGCGTTGTCGAACTTCGATGTGATTACACACCACGAGCGCCACGGCGTCGCCATCCCTTTCCACGAGGTGGCAGCGAGCATCGTGCCTGGCGTGCACGGCTTCTTCCGCTCCATCGCCCTGGCGAGCGGCAACTCGCTGCAGGACACGCTGCGCCTGCTCACCCTGTGGTTCAAGTTTGGGCACCTCGAGCATGTGGCCGATGCGGTGCGCCAGGGCTTCGGCACCGTGTCGGTCGACACGTGGCTCGAGGTCATTCCCCAGATGATTGCGCGCATCAGCGCGCCGTCGCCGCGCGTGCGGCGGCTGATCCACCACCTGCTCGCGGACGTGGGCACCGCGCATCCCCAGGCGCTTGTGTACCCCCTGACCGTTGCGACCAAGTCGCCAAGCGCGATGCGCATGCACGCCGCGATGGGCATCATGGACACGATGCGCGAGCACAGTCCGGTGCTGGTCGAGCAGGCCCTGCTTGTGAGCAACGAGCTGATCCGCATTGCGATATTGTGGCACGAAATGTGGCACGAGGGACTCGAGGAGGCGTCGCGCCTGTACTTTACCGAGCACAACGTCGAGGGCATGTTCGCCACGCTCGGGCCCCTGCACGACTTGCTCGAGAAAGGGCCCGAGACGCTACGGGAGACGTCGTTTGCGCAGACGCACGGGCGCGACCTCAACGAGGCACGCGAGTACGTGCGGCGCTACCGGCAGCACGGCGAGATCAACGACCTGAACCAGGCATGGGACTTGTACTACCATGTGTTCAAGCGCATTACCAAGCAGCTGCCCGCGTCCAACTCGGTGCAGCTTGCGCTGCAGTACGTGTCGCCCAAGCTGCTCGCGCTGCGGGATCTCGAGCTGGCGGTGCCCGGCACGTACGTGAGTGGGCAGCCGATCGTGCGCATCACGCAGTTTGAGCCGGTCGTGCTCGTCATCTCGTCCAAGCAGCGGCCGCGCCGCCTCAAGATCAAGGGCAGCGATGGGCGCTCGTACCAGTACCTGCTCAAGGGGCATGAGGACATGCGCCAGGACGAGCGCGTGATGCAGCTGTTCGGCCTCGTCAACACGCTCTTGGCCATCGACACCGAGTCGTACAAGCGGCGCCTGAGCCTGCGGCGCTTCCCTGTCATTCCGCTCTCGCCCAACACGGGCATGCTTGGCTGGGTCGCGAACAGCGACACGCTGCACATTCTCATCAAAGAATACCGTGAGCAGCACAAAATCTTGCTCAACATTGAGCACCGCCTCATGCTCCAGATGGCGCCAGACTACGACAACCTCACGGTCATGCAGAAGGTCGAGGTGTTCGAGTACGCACTCGACAACACGCCTGGCCAGGACCTGTACCGCGTGCTGTGGCTCAAGTCGCGCTCGTCCGAGGCGTGGCTGGAGCGCCGCACCGCGTACATGCGCTCGCTCGCCACCTCGTCCGTGGCCGGGTACATTCTCGGCCTCGGCGACCGCCACCCGTCCAACTTGCTGCTCGACCGCAAGACGGGCGAAATCATCCACATCGACTTTGGCGACTGCTTCGAGATCGCGTGTCACCGCCCCAAGTTCCCCGAAAAGGTGCCGTTCCGCCTCACGCGCATGCTCATTAAGGCGATGGAGGTCGGCGGCATCCAGGGCACCTTCAAGGTCACCGCCGAGAACACCATGCGCGTGCTCCGCGACAACCGCGAGAGCGTGCTCGCCCTCCTCGAGGCATTCGTGCACGACCCCCTCATTTCGTGGCGTCTTGTGACAGATGCAGACGCCGAGCAGCGCGCGCCCGACGCGCACGAGCACGAGCACGAAGCGTCCCTCGAGGTTCGCGGCGTGGAGGGCGAGGCACGCAATCAGCGCGCCCTCGAGGTCGTCCGGCGCATCCAGAACAAGCTGACCGGCCGCGACTTTGATCCCAAAGTCACGCTTACCGTGCCCGAGCAGATCGAGCGCCTCATCCAAGATGCGACCGCCATCGAGCACCTGTGCGTCGCGTTCATAGGTTGGTGCGCCTTCTGGTAGAGTCACGTGGTACAAAGTACCGCGACGCGCCGCGTGCTACGCGCCGTTCGCCACCATGGCGCCCAAGCAGACGTCGCTGCTCGGCTTCTTCAGCAAGGCGCCAGGTCCATCGCCTCCGAGTGCACCACCTAAGCGCGCAGCAGACGCAGGGCCCAGTGCGCAGCGCGCGCCGGCGGACGCCGTGGCGACGCCGCCGCCCACGCGGAAACGCGCGCGTCACTCGCCTGCACGCAACGGCACGCCCTCGTCGCCGAGTCCCGACGCTTCGTATGACGCGCCGAAGCGTGCCTCACTCACACCGCCCTCATCTGGTGATCCAGCGCCCTCCCCCGCCGTGGGAGGGCGCCGACGCGCGGCGCGGCGCGTCAACTATGCCGAGGCGCGCGCCGACTCGGACGACTCGGACGCCGAGCCGGACGAGGCGGAGCAAGACGAATTTGTGCTAGACGAAGAGAGCGCATCAGAGAGCGAGGCAGACAGTGCTGTCGAGAGCGAGGAGCCCGCGACGGCCTCGGAAGCCGAGTCCGAGGTCGAGGTCGAGGTCGAGGCGCCGCCGAGGCGCGCGCCGCGTGCCCCACCGGCGAGCTCGCCGCCCATGCCCGTTGCGCGAGGACACCTGACGAAGGCGGAGCGCCGCGCAGAGGACGAGAAGCGCAAGAAGCAGGAGAACGAGCAGGCATACAGTTTCTTGCTGGACGTGCGCGACAAGGATATGCACCGCCCTGGCGACATGGACTACGACAAGCGCACGCTGTACATCCCCCCGTCGGCGTGGAAGACGTTCACACCGTTTGAAAAGCAGTTTTGGGAGATCAAGCAGAACCACTGGGACACGGTCCTCTTTTTCCAAAAAGGCAAGTTTTACGAGCTGTACGAAGAAGATGCGATGATCGGGCACCGCGAATGCGACCTCAAGCTAACTGATCGTGTGAAAATGAAGATGGTCGGCGTGCCAGAAGCTTCGTTCGACCTGTTCGCTACTAAGCTGCTCGCCCTGGGCTACAAGGTCGGGCGCGTCGACCAGTGCGAGACGGCTGTCGCCAAAGGCATGCGCGTGGGCGAAAAGTCGCGTGGCGGCGGCTCAGAGATTGTGCGCCGCGAGCTGCGGCACGTCGTCACGAGCGGCACGATCGTCGATGGCCACGTGCTTTCCGACGACCTCAACAGCTACTGCCTCTGCCTCAAGGAGGAGCTGAGCGCTGCGGGCCTCTCCCGCTTTGGCATTGTGACGCTCGATGCAGCTACGGCCGAATTCCGCTACATGACCTTCGATGACGATGCGGTGCTCACACAGCTCGAGACGCTCTTGCGCTCTCTGCGCGTCAAGGAAGTGCTCTACGAGCAGGGTCGTCTCGCGCCCGGCACGCTGCGTCTCGTGCGCAACACCGTGCCGACGACCTGCGAGTTTACAATGCTTAAGCCAGGCACCGAGTTTCTGGACGAGGCCGCAGCACGCACGCGCCTCGCGCGTCTCTTTGACACGATCCCCAGCGGCCTCACGCCGCTCTTGGAATCGGGCGGCCCGGCGCTCGCAGCTCTGGGCGCTTTGTTGTGGTACCTAGAGCAGCTGCACCTCGATGTGGACCTGTGTGCGAGTGGTAATGTACGTGAGCGCGCGGCGCCTGCGCACGGCCAAGGCATGCTCCTGCTCGATGCCAAGTCGCTTATGCACCTCCATGTGCTGCAGAACGACGAGGGCTCCGAGGCAGGCACCCTGCATCAGCTGCTCAACCGCTGCGTTACGCCGTTCGGGCGCCGTCTATTCCGGCGGTGGCTTGCAGCGCCGCTGTGTGAGCGCGCGGCGATCGAGGCCCGCCTCGACGCCGTCGACGACCTGCGTGCGACGCCAGCGTGCTCCGAGATCCTGCACGCCTTCGCCAGGCACTTGCCCGACTTGGAACGCCTGCAGACGCGCATTGCCGCGGGCAAGTGCCGGCCCCGCGACTTTCTGCTCGTGCTGCGTGCGTTCGAGCGATTCCGCGATGCCAAGGAGACGCTGCTCGAGGCGCTTCGCACTTGCACGTCGTCGGTGTTGCGCGCACTCCTGGACGACTGGCCCGATGTGGCGGAGCGCGCTGCGGCGCTGCGGCGCCACTTCACCGCGAGCGACGATGGAACGTTTACGCCGGTCCAGGGTGAGTCAGCCGCATACGATGCGGCGGTCGCGGGCGTGCGTGCGGCGGAACAGCGCTTGGACGACGAAAAGGCCGCGTGTGCGACACAGCTCGGCCTGGCGGCGCGCGATGTGGCGTGGAAACATGTGGGCACAAACGAGATCTACCAGCTCGAGTTGCCGGCGCGCACCAAGGTGCCCGCGCCGTGGATTCTCATGAGTCAGACCAAAGCCGCAAAGCGGTACTACACACCGCGCACCAAGGAGCTGATCCGCGAGCTAAAGGAGGCGCGTGAGACGCGCCTTGCCGCGCTCAAGCAGTTCCAGAGCGAGGTGTACGCAGCGTTCCGGGCGGACCTTCCGCAGTACGCGCGCGCCGTGCGCGCCGTGGCCCAGCTCGACTGCCTCGTAAGCCTGTCTAAGAGCTCCGAGGCGCTGGGTGAGCCTGCCTGTCGCCCGACGCTCGTGGACCATGACACGGCCCTCTTTGCATTTGAGGAGCTGCGGCATCCCTGTATGGCGCCCAGTGCGCTGACTGGCGCTACGGAGTTTATTCCCAACAATGTGGCGCTTGGTGGAGACGCCGAGGACATTATGGTACTTACCGGCGGTAACATGGCCGGTAAAAGCACGACGGCGCGCACGGCTGCCACAGCCGTGATTCTTGCACAGCTGGGGTGCTACGTGCCGGCAGCGTCGGCGCGACTGGCACCGGTCGACCGCATTGCGTCGCGCATGGGCGCGAATGACCAGCTGTTCCGTCACCAGTCGACGTTCATGGTCGAGATGCTTGAGGCGTCCAAGATTTTGCGCGAGGCGACCCCGCGCTCGCTCGTGATTATGGACGAGCTGGGCCGTGGTACGTCGACGTTCGATGGGCAGGCGATTGCGTACGCGGTGCTGCATGAATTGGCCACGCGCGCGCCGTGCCTATGCTTCTTTATGACGCACTATTTGACAGTGGCTGCGACGCTCGACGGATACCCGCACCTGGCAAACCGGCATATGGAGGTGCGTGTGGACGATGAGCAGCGCCACGTCGTTTTTACATACCGCCTCGTGCCTGGCATCGCCGAGTCGTCGTACGGCACACAAGTCGCGCAAATCGCTGGGGTGCCGGAAGCCATCTGCGCGCAGGCTGCCACTATGTCGCGTGCGTTTTGGGACGAGGCGCAGCGTGCGCATGCGGCGCGCGCACACTGCGCGCTGCCGCTAGAGAGTGTCGCAGACTTTGCGCGTCTCGTCGCGATCGGCCGTGGCGAGGCCAGTGTCGACGCACGTGGTCTGAGCACTTTGTGGTGCGCCACGGCGCGCGTCGGCGCCCCGTAGACTATGACTAAGCGTGGGGTACCGTCGGCCGGGACGGGGCTGGGCAGGCGTCAGGGCGCTCGTTTCTTGGCTGCCAAGCAATGGGTTTGGGGAAGGGCCAAGGGCCCCGTGCCCCGTTGGACCAAGCCGGTGGTGCGCCGGCAGAGATGCCGGCAATCAAAACGCCGGAGGATGCGCCCGAGGATGGCTACCGGGAGAGCCTGGCTTCGACCCGCCCGCGCGCTGATCGGACGCTGCCAACGCTGCAGGACCTCACGCTTCTGGACGAAGGAAGCGCCGAAGACCGATGGTCGTACCCTCTGTACACCAGCACATCGCTGCAACCTTCTAGCTCCGTGCGGAGCCAGCGCAACTGGAATGAGTTCGATGGTCAGCACGTATCGCCACTGCCCAGCCCACTGATTCGCACGCCTCAAGACGAGAACTGGAGCTCGCCGATGGTCGAGGACTCCAAGACCGATGCCTTCTTCAACGCAAGCCCGTCGATGCCTACACCCAAGCCGCCCGCGAGTATATCGCGCAGCGTCAGCAGCCATGTCGCTGGCAAACCGCCTGAGTCATCTCAGCGGCGCCAACGCGCACTGAGCAATCCCTCCGAGCCGAATCGGACGTTGTGGGCGCCTGAGGCACCTGCGTCCTTGGTGCCGCCACGCACACCCTTGATGAACGAAAGCCGGCCTTACAAAGAGCGCCCGCGGCTACCGGTCGAGCCCGAAACACGGCCCAGCACGACATCGCGGCACATTCATGGACCATCCGTCAATGTCACTGACGATAGTCTGTTTCCACCTGAACCGGTACAGAAATTACCTGAAGAACGGCGCGAGCGGCCGCTGAACGAAGCGCTCCTCGATGCGTTGGACCGTATCGACGAGGAAGAGGATAATCGCACTGGACGTGTCGGCCCCTATCGCATCGTGTCTCAGCTGGGCACAGGTGCGTTCAGTAAGGTCCTACTCGCTGAGACACCCTCGCATGGCCGTGTCGCGCTCAAAATGATCGCGTGTGACCCATGGACCATTGACAAGCGCATGCGCGTCAGTTGGCTCCGGGAGGCAGAGATTCTCAAGCACATTTCGCACCCCAACATTGTCCAGTTTAAAAATGCGTTCCGCACACCCCATCACTATGCACTCGTGCTAGAGGCTGTGGCGGGTGGTGAGCTGTTCGACTTGCTTGCAAGCCACCAGGCGCAGATCTCGCAGCGCGAGTGGCTCGTGCGCCGTCTCTTTGGCGAGCTAGCGACGGCTGTGCACTGGATGCACGACGCTCATCTCGTCCACCGTGATATCAAGTTGGAAAATATTATGGTCACCCGGACGCTCTTTGGCACGAACAAAGAACTGACGCCTTCGCAGTTGGGGCCCATGCCCCTCATCAAAATTACAGACTTTGGACTTGCGCGTTTCGTAAATGAAGATCAGCTGCTAGAGACGCGCTGCGGCTCAGAAGAATACGCGGCGCCCGAGCTTATTATGGGCAAGAAGTACGACGGTCGCAAGACTGACACGTGGGCTATGGGGGTCGTGCTTTTCGCGCTCCTGACAGGGCAGATCCCCTTCCTGGAGCATACGAGTGGCGCGAGTGACCAGCGTGCGTTGCGCAACGTGCGGGAGCGCGTAATGAGTGTGGCCGAACGCGATGCACAAAACCGCAAGGCACACCTGCTTCGCATCGCCAAGGCCGACCTGAGCTGGCCCGAGCGCACGAACGACCTCAGTGAGGATCAGCTCACAGACTCGTACGACCCTGCTTTGCGCCTGCTGACGCCGCGCTCGCGTCACACCATTTCGCGATTCCTGCGGCGAGACCCCAAGCGCCGTGCACACTGCCTTGAGCTATGGCAGGACCCATGGTTCCTCTACGGCAGCTTCACGGCACCCGAGCAGGCGCATTCGCCCGCACCGTACGATGAGGCAACCGTGCTGTGTGTGGCCCACGAAGCGTCTGCGCATAGGCAAGGCATTGCTCTGCCCTATTCTCCCCTCGACCCGCGGGGAAAACAATGGACGGCCAAGTATGCAAGCACAAGCCCCCTCCATGCAGCTGTGGTTCGACATGAGCATGAATAGACCTTTGTATTATCAGTATGCCAGTGTGTAGGCTTAGTCATCGCTACTTCGCGGACACCTGCGAAGCCAACTTTCTCCCTGCGCCGTGCGCTTGGCTCACTCGCATTGTGATGGAGGGAAGTCAGCCCCCCGCGCGTTCCGTGTTTGGAGTGGATCCACTCGATGAATTTACTGTGTTCGTTTCCGACTGGATCTGGGAGCGTACACGAGGACTCAGCAATGTCGAGGTGTGTGCAACTGCGCCTACTGACTCGGTCAGATTGAAGCCAAGGTCGGCACACTGATCGATCGGCACACGAATATGCGTCTTCAATTGCCTGTATTTACAGAGACAGGTACGTGCTTGCCAACTGCTGACCAACAGTGGTCGACACACGCGCATTGGGAGTCCGCTTCGAGAGCAATGTGCCCATGGTAAGGGACGGCAGTACTGACCGTTAGAAACAGCATCGCAGCTTTAACCAGCTTCTCAATGAGCTTGTTCAGTATTCGGCTAGCATGGATGAGAGTCAGCGCGTATCGTACAAGCATGTGCGAGAGACAGACGCTTTCTACGATGAACACCTGCCTACTGGCGAAAGTGTGCACTTGCGAGTCACGCGCGACTCGCAAACACAACAGATCAAGCCGGGTGGTGTAGTGGCCAAAAAGCGGATCGATGATCTGAACATTTTCTGTCCCATGCGCATGTACGACTACAGAATCAGTATCAGCACGGAGACTCCCATGCCGCGGCCACCAGAGAACAGTACTCCCACGTTTGTCCGGGACAAAGACCGTTTATCCTATTCTCTCCAAAGCTTCCAAGTGGACCTGACACAGGTGACACTGCCAAACCGGGAGCAGCAACCCGTGCATGAGTTGGAAGTGGAAATCCGCCAGGCCGATGAGCTTCTGCGGTGGGCACAATATACCCGTGCTAGCGGTGAATCGCAAGAAGAATGGACGCAGTTTGAAGATCATATCCTAGTGTTACTCAACAATGTGCGGCTCCTAATACGCAATGCGAACAGCTATCCGAGGGAGGGCGATGGTCAGCAGTGACATTGACATGGCACGTAAGGCCTTTTGTTTACTGTCGATGGCAAGATGGCCGAGTGGTTAAGGCGGTGGCCTGCTATAAGCACAACCGTCCGGTTGGTAAGCCATTGGGTTCTGCCCGCGTGAGTTCGAATCTCATTCTTGTCGCATTTTTTGCATCGCTCTCCACTACGAGCACGCGTTGCTCAGATAGTCTAGCCTAGGTCGCACTTTCTACTTTACTGCGGGAACCACGGCAGAAGATACCGAAGGCGGTCTTTTACTTCGGTAGGGATATGCTCCGGCTTGGTCATCACGTTGAAGCGCATGCTGCCTTCCAATCCCTTCACAATGGGCGAGTCATCCGTTCCGACAAGTTCGTTGACTCGATCCACCAGAGCTTTCGTTACGACCTGAGATGCCTCAACATTGGCCTTAAGACTCTCCAGCACCTCGGCCACGCTGACGGTGTCGGACGTTTCGCGCCAGGCATCATAGTCCGTCGCTTCCGTAAGTCTCATGACATACGTACATGTAGCAATAAGGACATAACTGAGCTCGGCCTCGCGCGCGATCTTGGCCTCAGGGAGCGCCGACATGTTAATAATGTCGCCACCCAGTTGGCGGTACATAAGCGACTCGGCACGAGTCGAGAAGGCCGGGCCTTCCATGCACACCACTGTCTTGTGGCCGTGAACACGCACAGTCGGCGAGTGTTCCGCCAGCGTCTCACGAATACTGGCATGGTTAGTAATGATCCGACGTACATGTCCTCAACAATCGGGCGCAGGTGGTTGTCGTACGGGTCACCAAACGACGCATGGGCAACCACATTCTTTTCCTCGCCTTCGCCGAAGTAAGAAGTACGGCGCACGCCCTTGGTGCGGTCAATGATCTGCGAGGGAACGACGAAGTCCTTGGGTCTGATCTCCTCGCGCAGAGAGCCAACGGCAGAAAAGGCCAAAATAGCGCGCACACCTAAGTGCTTTAGCGCCGCGATGTTGGCTGTCGAGGGCACGTTGGACGGGGAAATCGCATGGTGAAGACCATGGCGCGCAAGGAAGGCCACCAGAGTACCTGCCTCTGTCTTGGCAATGCTAATAGGCGACGAAGGGTATCCCCAGGGCTGAACAGGTTAGATTGTCTACAATACATACCGTTTTGGGGTTCACCACATCAATAATTTCAATGCCTTCCAGCTTGTAAAGACCAGAGCCGCCAATAACACCAAGGCGGATAGGCTGGCCTGTCCATTCCGGCTTCGGAGCTTCCATCGACATGACAATCACAAATTAAGATACCGTGGAAACCCGTCGGGTCGCCTCGTAGGGGGTTGCTTCAGTGTGGAGGGGTCGTTCTGCCCGTGCTGCCAGCAGCGCGTAGAACCTGGCCAACTGGGCGGCGCGTCATGGCGCGTGCATCCCAGCAGGTTCAGCTCACCGATGCGCTTTCCGCAGCAGACTCTGCCTCTTATGAGCAAGAAAATGTACATGCGTACGCAGAATTTCTCTAACAGGAGCGTCTACGATGAGATTGCCGATCATTTCTCCAGCACGCGATACAAGGTAAGCGTGTTCTGCATAACATACGCAGCCATGGCCCCTGATACCTCGATTTCTTGCCACTCTCCCCCCTGGTAGTGTGGGAGTGGATTTGGGCTGTGGAAATGGCAAATACCTGTTTCTGCGGTCGGTACTGGGTGATGCGGCGCAAGACAGCGCCGCGTCGTCGCTTGTCACGCTCGGCTCCGACCGCTGCGCACCGCTAATTTCTGCCGCCCAACGCAACTTTCCGTCGTTTGATATGCAGCGTTTGCACGAGGTAGCTGTGGCGGATGCTCTGTGTAGTGGGTATCGCTATGGGGTATTCGTACGTGACGTGCGATGTTGACAGAAGGACTATGCATTGAGTATCGCTACTATCCACCATTTTTCGACCCCTGAGCGGCGCATGAAGTCTATCCAGGAGTTGATCCGCCTTATCCAGCCTGTTGATGATGATAGCCCCACTCCCATGCCAGTGCCTACTGTACCTGACCGACCAGGTCGCGGTCGATTTATGGTGTATGTGTGGGCGTTTGAACAGCGTGGCGGTGGTCGAAGGCTCTTTGACGAACAATTGGAGCATTACCAAGACGACGCTGCTGCTCAGGATGTACTTGTCCCCTGGGTACGCACGGCTCAGCATACTCAGGGACAAGAAGATGTGCACCATCGATGTGTGTATGAGGGGACTAATTCAGATTATCATTTGTTCCGCGAGCACGAGCTAGAAGAGCTGGTGCAATGGGCTGCGCGAGATCTGCAACAGCCTGTGCAGGTCCGAAAAGAAGCCGGCGGCTGGGAAAGGGGAAACTGGTGGGGGGTGTGGCGCGTCGTCCGCCAGGCCCCTCCATTATGATGACTTGACGTCCGGCTCCTCGTCCTTCGGAGCAGGCTTGCGAGGTATGCACTCTTCCTTCTGACGGGGCTGCAATACCCGCAGGCTGCCACGCCAGGTATCGTCCCAGCTTACAGGGGCCTCTGGCTTGAGAATTTCATATCCCTGCTCGGAATTACGCCACATCTTTTCCCGGTCGAAGCGTTCTCCGCGCAATTCAACTTCGTTCCGAGGAGGATTTCGCTGCTCATACTTGGTTGGCTCACGCACACCGCGTTGAATCTCCCGCATGGCTTGTAGCTCTTTTCTCAGCTCTTCGTAATAGTCTTTCCTGTACCTGACAATGTCCTGCAAAGTGCGGTTAAATGCGTTGGGGTAGTATTGTTCCGCATTAATGCCCCAGTCTAGGTCGGAGCTCTGCGGTGCAGCATCTGGGTCACGGTCCGGCATGCCTGGGTCAAATTCACGAGCATCACTCTTGGTGCCGAGCACGATGCTAAGCCCTGCTTCCGCGCCGCGACGAGCATCGCTACGATGGTTGAAGAAATGCACAATGCGGCGCGGAATGTTGCGCCAGCCCACAAGGTTTGTAAAGTCCACGAAACAGATCGGGGGCTGGGCAGGAATAGGCGCCACAGGAGGGAGTAGCTGCTCCGGCACTGTCGGATCTGTTGGAGCCCCGGGCTGGTTTTGTGTCATGACGGCTGTAGGTGGCACGCCGAATGAGGTCTTACCAGACTTTTGCTGGAGAGACTGTAGTCCGATCTGAGAGGGAAGCATGAATCCTTGGGCGGTAGCAGGGTGCGTGATTTCTTCCGTTGACCCGTCCTCTTGGATGTCAGTTTTCGACTCGGGTACATGCTCTTCGAAGGCTGTATCTTCACTCAGGGCAGAGGCAAGCTGCTCGTCACGATCGACGCGCGTCGTAGGGATACTGGTGCCCCAGCCTTCGCGCAGAGCCCAAGCCCACTCCTTGAAAGCAGGTCGACCAATGAGCACCACGGCTCCATCAAGCTCGCGCTGAAGATATTGCGCAGGCGACAATGTCGTGGGCAACGACGTGCCAGCCACAGTGTTGGTAGTCCACGGCTCGAGCCCAGCCAGGTTCCGGCGACGTTCGTGGATGCGTTCACGCAATTCACGAGCAAGGTTTCCATACTTGGTACCGCTTGTGATTTCATAGTCGACGGCGGCAGCGACGAGAATAGGCTTCACATATCGTTTAAAGTACCGCACACCGACGTCGTAGTTGTCGTCCCCAGGATATTTGGCTGTGTAGACGTATACTTTTCGAGGATGCTCAAGAGGGTGCATGACATCTTCCGAGAGACCGCGGACACGCTCTTTGTACTCCTCCATGATCTTCTTGCACTGTCGACGATCTTCATAATACAAGTAAGACACAGCTGCCACAGAGGTCCAGAAGATGCACCAATTGCGCGAGGGCAGTCGTGGCTTCCACTTGAGTACGCCCTCGGGGATGCCGACCCATACAAGAGGGCGCAGCGCCTTCGGTATTTCGCGCGGAGGTTCCGTCGGCTTGGCTGGGCCTGTCATACGGTGGGTTAATGCCAAGGACAAAATTGGACGGAATATCTTCGATTGTTGCAACTCTGCCTTTCTAACTCCACACGGCCAGCCATGACCCGCAGCACAACAGAGGCCCGACCATTGCATTCGCAAGTAGGGTGGTCGTATCGGTCGGATGGAAGCTCCAAATTCGCCTATGGTACGAGTCCATTGCTGATGTCCAGGCAATCAGACTTCTGCTGCCACCGTTACTGGGCCCAGGGAGGTCCGACTCCGCGACGAGCTCACTGACAGCGCCACGTTTCAAGTAATTGTCGCTCCCCTGGACGGTACAGCAGGTACGTAACGAGAGACTGACGCAAAAAGGGATCTCCATGACGTCCTTGTCCACCGAGCTACAAAGCTTATTCAAGTCTGTCATTCTGCTGCATCATCATCCTCGGTCGCTCATTCAACTCACGGTGCAAACGACAACCACACCTCCTCAGTTCACTTCTACTCTCCGCTTGACGTTGGATGCCAGAGAAACTAGCCAGTCCGGATCAAAGCCGCGTGCCCCTCTAGTCCTAGGCCCAGACCAGCCATTCCTTACTTCCGAAATTGCCGCATCGATTAATGCCTCGACGCTGGCGCTCCTGGATGCCAATATACCCCTTCGCGCCACGGTGGTCGCATCTTCATGCGCTATCGTGCCAAGGAGTGAACTTTGTGATGAGCGCGTCGTGGATCCAGACGAACAGAGCCCTAGCCTGATTGTCATCGACCCAACACCCGAAGAAGAGCGGGCGGCTGACAGTCTACATGTTCTTGCATTTGCTGTTTCTGGGTACGAGCCTGCGACGAATAATGACACTTTTGTGCAACACTCGCTGGTGTATTGCTCAAGCACTGGGTGCACTTCGGCAAAACAGCGCAACCAGTTGGTCAAAATCACCCAAAAGGATGCCATGAACACCCTCTCTTCCATTAGGATGATGCTAGAGAACCGTTTTGAATAATGTTAGCGACTTGCGGCAATTTTCTAGCTACAATTCCATATCAACCAAGAATGTTTAACATAACCCACCCCCGTAATTGCACATTAACCGGGCGCCAATGGTTTAGTGGTAAAATACAGCTTTGCCATCTACTAGATGATTAGCTGTGCCGGGGGTTCGATTCCCCCTTGGCGCATTCTTTTTCCCGCTATAGCAACCTATACTTTTCCTGCCTTGGATATATCTGTTCCGAACATACGTACAAAAAAAACTTGATGATTATATTGTACCTAACGATCATGTTGGAATAAGTTATTTTGAACTACGGGTTATCCATACATACATATTTCTGCCAAGTCTGCTAACGCTAGACACCAAGTTGCCCAGAGAATTCCATAACAATATATACCTTAAAGAGAGAGGATGGGAATATCAAAGAATGTTTAGTTTCGATCTCTTGGATGGCATGCTAAACGCAAGAGGAATTAGTTACTTCCGTACCAGTCCAACGCTTTTCACCCGGAAGCGAAAGTTCCAATGCCGCATTGTCGCACTCAATGTCATGCTTGCGCTTCGCCAAAACTGAGCTAGGTTTCCAGCACCTAGCAGTCGAGGCAGAAATATCCATATGAGAGTCATTTGAATCCGATGAAGAGGTGAAGTCGGAATCTAAAGTTGTTCGAGAGAGCGGCAGCGAAGGTACCGGCGATGCGCATTTCATCCGCACATTTTCAGGAGTCAAAAGCTCGTCGAATATGTTCGAATTGAAATGTTCCGCGGGTTCATTTTGCCGCCGACGGAAATCCCAGTGTTTACCTCCCGCCGCCGTTGCACGCGTGAATCTTTCAAACCAGAATTCTGCACCATCTCCCAGCTCTTCTGGCGAAACAGTAGGCAAGGTCTGCATGAAAATATCTTTGCCAATCTCCTCTGCGGGCGTGGAAGGGGTCGACGAACCCGAGGGAGTGTCCATGATTGTGCGCGCCAAAATAGCCACCACAGCACGCTGTCGCGCTCTGCCATGAGTGTCAATATAAGGTACCCAGTCAGGCTCTTTAAATGCCACCTTGCGATCAATAGCTTTACAGAGAGGAAGATTAGCTGATTCTCGCCTCGATGCAAGGACCTGTTCGTCGGCGACAACGCCAGTTCCATTGTCTGTTGTCGTAAAATAGTCCTTCAAGGCCACAGGAGGTGGAGATAGACAGTCCCAAGGATCATGGATCAAATGCCGAGCCATACGGCGACGGTGCCGTGGGAGTTCGTACAACGTCCGAGGGTCACACAAAAGCTGAGAGGAAAACGACTGGCTCTCTCGCTTCAGGATCGATGAGCTCTTGAATGGCGACACCAATGACTCTGCAAGGTCCTTACGCTGCAAGGGATCTTGCGACGATACACGGGATGTTTTACCTCGGCATAAATCCATATGGATAGGGGCATACGAAAGCTGGCTTGTGGGGTCGGCGCTCACCAAGCGCACACTTAGTGATCCGCTTCGCATATTCTTTTCGAACCCATCCATTAATTCTGCATCCACATGCTCATCATCATCATCATATGGTTCGTCATCTGAGTCCTGTTCTTGAAACATAGACAACGAAAAAGAGGCCCAGCTGGATTCTTGATTACTGAGAGATGAAATGAGCTGACTGATGTTGGTCTCATATCCGTTATACTGGGCATAATAGTAAATGGCCATAGCACTCGTCACAACAGTAGCTGTTGCCAGAATGGCCATGGACCATTGCGACGAGTGTTTTAAGGCTGGGTTCCGCAAAAGAATCTCGCGAAGCTCCGAAGGAAACATGACATGAAAGGAGTCCATGTTCGACGGCGACCATGAAGGAATGTATCCGGGCCATCGGTCCGCTGTCAACGCACGTAATGGCACATTCAGCCATTTGTAAGGGGCTGGCAGGGCCGGTGCTACAACGTACATTGCAAAAAATTATGCAAGAGTCGTTGCAACACACAGGCTAGTATCACCGCAGGAAGGTCTGGTTTCAAAGAGAGAGCTTAGCTCACCAAGCCAAAGGCGTTTCGCCAGTCCGTCTGACGGAGAGGTTTGCGGAAGCAGCCCGAATCTTTCGACCTGGCTGGAACTGGTCAACGCGGAATGTCTGGTCCGGTGTGGCGCGCGCAGCTCTTGCGAGCAAACACGTTGCTTACGTAGACACACTTCGATTCGTCCATTTCTACCGAAAGTGTAAATTGCCTGCCCAACGCATTCTGAATCTACATTTTTTTCGGCTGGATGATAAGCCAATGGAAAAGGGTCTAGTAGTCCTCAGCTCAAATCGACTTCGACCGTGGCGGGCTCGACGCCAACCATAGCGAGGATTATTTTTCCACATTCTAGACCCTGGTGCGATTGCGTGGCGTCCTCTAGCGATTTTTGGCAAACTGACTGATCGATCACTCCTTCTGACGCTAAGACACGAATGAGATCTTGCGCAACTTGATTATTGTATTCGGGATGTCCCTGCAAAGTCAGAACGTGGACTCCGCGCACGGGCATTGGCCCGGAAGCATTTGTAACCATGTCATCTACGTCAAAGACCACGAATGACGAGGTTTTAACGGATGATGGTAGAGGGGGCGCCTCAGATGGGTAGCGCAAGGCGAGCCCTTGAATGTCAGTTGCTTCGTTTCCACCCAGGACGATCCAAGGATCGCCTTCGACAGGTGACGGCGGTTGAATGACCCGATCAGTGTGTGCTTGTTGGAGAGCCTATTTGTCAGTGCTGGTCACATACCCATTCTGTCTCTTTATCGAAGGGTGACAAGATTTCTGTGCCGTCAGGGGAGAGTTTGAACTTGGTGACGCCAAACTAGCAATGTGAGTAGCATAGAAACACACCTCTGCATGGTCTTTGTCGCGAGCGATCTGGGCTCCAAAGGCACGAGCAATAAGCTGGTGACCGAATCCAACGCCGATTATACGGACTAGCGGGTGCTCTAGAACCAAGTGCTGCAAATACTTTCCCAGCACATCCATCCACAGAACATTTTCCGTGGTGGCCGAGGCTGGGCTGCCAGTCACGATAACAGCATCCCACAAGCCGTCATCGAGCTGAGCAATGTCAGGAAATTCTGCTTCTAGGACATTGAAGGCTTGCAGGTGCAAAGAAATTTTTGGGTGCCACTTGTGACGCGGAATGTGGGCCATCGCCTCCGCCAGAGTATTGCGGAACATGACCTCGAAGCCGCCGTACTTCTCAACCAACTCTTTTGGTGGCGCCCCAGCTACCAAAATTGCCACAGATATGGTCTTCTGCTGATCTCCTGTATTTCTCACTGCTGTATGAATCTGATTATGCGTACCGTCCTCGTCAGCCATTCTGAAAAGAATATGATGTACATTGGGCGTTCGGGCCATATTTAGGACCTGTCTCCAATATGTGGAGGCCGGCCACCTCGAGCACATGCTAGAAGTTTGAAGGCTATTTACGCTGTGCGCGCTTTTTGTGGGCCACCTTTTTTGGCTGCAACGTCCCACCAGCTGTCGGGGTATCATGTTTAGGCATTGAAGACAAATCTGAAAGTTCAAGCTTTACAATTGGCACATCGTCCAAATTGTCTTGCGATGCGGAGGTCGTAGACACGTCTTCCGGCTCTGCCGCAGCAAGGTCTGATATTTTGGATCGTGAGCTCAATTTGGAACGCGCTCCCCGAGGATAGGACGTCAGATAAAATGGACTGTCCTCATGCCTTCTGTGAGAAGAAGATGAAGACGATCTCTGCGTCTCTTCCTCTTTGTGTGGCGGCTCTTGCATCCGCGGTTTCTGCTTGGATTTGGACGTGGTACGTGCCGAGCGGGTCCCCAGTGCTCCTGCCGGGTCGACCACCTTGAGCATCTTTTTCCAGGAGCTTTCAGGGGCAATCCAAGCATGAAGATTCATTTGCTCTGGCAAGCGGGCCACAGGCACATTTACATCCTGGGCTCGTGTGTAAAATAGCGGCAGAAGTAGGTGCAGCGCTCGCGGGCCGCCCTGTTCCGAGGCTGTAGCATCTGTCCAAGAGCTAGCCGACTCAGGTCGCTGCGAAGAGTCGTCCGCCGAAGTACTGAGGCTGTTCTTGATAAGGACAAATAACTGCAGTCCCTCTTGCGCACGCTCATGCACCTCCGAATCCTCGTGCTTGGCCCACTTGGTCAGCTGTGCCATGACATCGTTTGTAAGGCCTTCAAATTCCTCCTGGCAGACATTTGACCACTGTGATGAGAGCGTGGCTGCCCAGTAAGCGTAGAGTTTCAGTGCGCTGTGGATCAAAACGGCCATTGAGCGAGGTGGCAGGTTCGACAGACGATCCTGCACTAGTGCACGGACCAGGGGCGGCACACTGTCGACGTACTCCACGTACTCGCTGCAAATTGAGGCACCTGCGCGGAGTAGCTCTGCCGTCGAAGTATTGGGCTCATACTGCGTTGGGTCCAAAAGAAGCGTCTGTAGCCGCTCACAGGCGCGCTGCCGGGCCGAAGCGTGGAGGAAGACAATTTCCGTGAGCTGATCCACCACACGCGACACGACCGTGGTATCTACCAGGGGTGCGAGGCGAACCAGGACGTTCATATACCATACGGCGTCGGGGATAAGGGCATAGTTCTCGGCGGCACCCAGGTCGAGGATGCTTTCTGCGACTTGTGCCCGGAACGTGGCGTTGGTAGACACAGACAGGTGGGGTGCAGAAGCGGGTTCTGTGACCATCGCATCGTCGGCATCCAGTGCTGCTTTCAAAGCCTGCGACGCATTCTGGGACATGCTAGTCAGGTCCATCTCCTCCAAGTAGGACAATAAGACGCCGACAATATGGCGGAGTGAGGCTGGTTCCGAGGCCAAGTGGCAGGCTAGGTCGAGTGCGCGCAAACGGATGGTCAGGTCGGGATGCCAGATGGAATGTAATATAGTCTCTTGGTGCTGCGCAACAAGGTACGCATGCGTTGGCACCACTTTACCAAGGGCAACAAGTGCAATAAACCGCAAGTTTTGGTCGACGTCCTGGAGAAAACGGCCCAGGTTGTCCACACACTTACGGGCGAGTTCGTCGGACCCTGCTCCCTCTAGCATGCCGCCGATGATGCTGGTGTGAATACACTCGTACAGGACGCTCATGGCAGGCGTGGTAGAGATGATGTCGGTGATAGGCTTAAGGAGCCTGCGCACAAGACGCGGCTCGACAGGAGCAAGAGCGCCAAACAGTTTGATGACCTTGATAAGGAGCCAGTTATTGCTAGTGGTCGTGAGGATCTGAAAGAGCTGAGGCGACAGTGGCACGAATGGTGCCGGGTGACGCCGCGCGAGCTCGCATATCATATTGACAGTGGCCGTAACAACACCAGGATCTTCATCACACAGCAGATCGCGCAGGCGCTCCCAAACGCGATCTAGAATTTCAGGGCACTTGGTTATGGCCGAGTGCAACACGAGAACGGCGCGTTTCCGCACGAGCGGACGGGTATGGGTGAGCATGCGCAGGATATCATCAGCGAGGTGCTGGGCCAATTCCTGTGTGATGAGATGTGAGAGGCCATTCAGCGCTGCGAGGACATCGAGGGGCATAGCGGAGTTGAGGTCTTTCTTGATGAGGTTCGTAGCAAGGATCAGCACTTCTGTGTCTTCTGCAAAGCATAGAGTCGCAGCTAGGTATCCAATGTGTTTTGTGTGGTATCTAGAAGATGCCATTGTCTCTAGAATGTGAAACGAGGCACTGGAGACGCGGTAGCCTAGCATTTGCAGGTAGGCGAGCTTCAAGACGGCCTCTGCCTTGATTTCCATGTCGCCGCTTTTGATTTCTGCACGGATCTCTTCAAGCATGCTGGCGACGTACTTGGCCTCATCTTTGCCGCGATGGGAGCGCAAGCCCTTGATGAGCGCGCTCAGCGACTTCTCAAACATTGGCCTAGACAACGTTGCACGTTCGTCCGCGGGGGCGCGACGATTATGCACGTGATGCACGCAGCCAGTAGGACATAGACCGTGCGAGTCGAGGACCGTTGAAGGCAACGTACCGCCTATCTATCTACGTACATGTATCGTGCCTTGCTCTACAGACGCACAGCCTTGTAGAACGAGGCGTACATATTCACGTTATCGATGGGCTTACCCGTCTCACGAATGTGGACGGGAGCAACGCGGAAACCAGCGAGCTCGAAGCGCTTCGAGTACCACGGGTGCTTGGCGGCACTGCGCCAGAACACGGCACCACCAGGAGCGATAACGCGCGCGAGCTCCACCACCTCGCGGTCGAGGTCCGAGACCTTCTTGTCGTCATCGTTGCGGGCCGCCTCGAAGGTCGGGAGCGGCACAGAGTCGGCGACAGGGTCGAACCAGTCCATATGGTCCATGAGGATGGCGCGCGTGAGGCTCTTGTCCTGCATGCCGCGCAGCACCGACACGATTGAGTCGGTGTGGAGTCGGAAGGAGTCGAGCGCCTGCGCGTGGTTTGCCTTGAGGGCATTGAACGCGTCCTCCTTCAGGTACAACGGGCAGCTCTCGTGGCTGTAGTTGCCCATCAGACACAGACGGTAGTGGTAGTTGTCTGTCGACAGGAGCGAGCGCGTGGGAATCGGGTCGAGCGTGTCGATAGCGAACTGCTCAACCGAGCCCTCATTTTTGAAAATGTTGAGCTGGTTGACGGGGACGCCCAGCGCATTCCACAGGAAGGCCGGGTTCGAGAGGAAGAGACGGATCAGCGTCTCGTTGATGATGGTCTTGCGGACCTTGGTATCCCAAATCTTCTTTTGCTCTTCCAGCGACTTGGTGGTGCACATGCTCTCGACGTCCTTCGAGGCGCCCATGATCCGGAACGCCGTCTTAGCGAGACGCAGCGCATGGCCCGAGTAGCCGCGGAAGTAAAAGGCCCGGTCAAACGACTTGTTGTTGATTCTCCAGAACTGGTAGGCGTGGGAGGACAGGTATGGCGAAATCTTCTCATCGAGCAGCTCGGGGAAGTTTTCGATCTTGCCATCACCAAACATGCGCCAGAACGTGGGGTAGTCGAGCGTCGCGATACTGGCGAGCTTGAGTTCGAGCAAGTGGCCCTGGCACGGGTTCATGTCGACGGCGTGAATGCGGCGCGGCATGGCCGTGGCGGCGTAGTGCAGCGCATTGTCACCGGCACTCGTAATGCAGAGAATCGAGTCCTCGGGCCCGAGGTCCAGGTGTTCTATGTCCACGACCGGGTCCTCCCACGTGAAGCCATAGATCCATGTGCGGAACATATCGCTGAAGCGATCGTCCACGAACGGCAGACGCCACTGGCGGCGCTGGTAGTGGAAGGAGCTCTGCGGCCACTGGGTGGACAAGTCCTGCTTGAGCTGCTCCACGGCACCCTCGGCAGCTGGCGCGCTGCCGGCCTTGCGGATACGCTCGCGCGCAATGTCAGGGAACGACGGGGGGACGGCGACATTGTTTCCGGCCTCGACCTCGTACGCGGTGACAGCGGCCTTCGTGTCGCGCTCGCGCGACACACCGAGCCAGACGTAGTAGGGGATGCGCACGAGGTAGGGCACAATAAAGTGGTTGCGGCCGTTAAAGCACTTGAGCGTGCCGAACTTGTGCTCGAGGTAGTCGCGGCGCGCAGGGTGCAGCTCGATGTGGTCGAGCGCGAACCAGTGGCGCCAGAACCATGAGTTGAGCCAATGGCAGTGGCGCATGATCGAGCCGCCCACGAGGGTCGTCTGGTCGGACATAGACTCGTTGCTGGACACGTAAAAGTCGGCCACACCAAACACACCCACCTGCGGGTCGAGCATGTCGTTGATGCGGTCGAGCACCGCGTAGAAGGGCGGAATCATCGAGATGGAGTATGAGCACGTAAACAGGTCCACCTTGCGGTCGCTCGGAAGGTTGGGCAACTCGAAGTCCTTCGCGTTCTGGCAGAGTGCCTGCACGTTCTTGTAGCCGAGGCGGCGGAAGCGGTCGCGAGCGACCTGCAGCAGCGGCTCACACAGATCGATCAGGTACACCTGGTCGAACTCGGCGATCGGGAAGTAAGCGTCCATCTGCTCAATGTTCCAGCCGGTACCACCACCAATGTCGACCCACACGAGCTTGCGGTTGGGTTGCTGCTCGCGAAGCGCACGCATCTCAGCGGCACAGAGCTTGAGCATGGTCTTGCGGCCACGGAGCAGGCCCATGCGCGTCTTGTCGTACACGCTCGCCTGGTTTTCGTAGAAGCGGTCCAGGCGCTCCGCCTGGTCCTTGGTCTTGCCAAGGGGGTGCAAGAAACAGTTGTAGGAGAACACAATCACATCGCGGAAGGGGGGGTACACGGCAGCGAGGAGGGCCAGAGCCGCCACGACGCCCGCCGAGGTCAGGGCCGCACGACTGAGAGCGATGGCCTCCAGACGCTCCAGGATGGGGCCGGGACTCGTCAGCTTGTCAAACATCGTCGAGGGAGGAGGGAGTGGAGACTTGGCCAAAGTATATAAGAATTAGTGCCAGATGCAGAAACTCAAGAAGGTCGTCTGCGGATCCGTCGCGATGGTCGAACGAGAAGGCACGGCCCCGGCGGGGGTGCCTCGCCCCACCGCGGGCCTGGGGCGCCACGAGTCGCAGCTGGCTTGTGCACTGCACGTGCCCTCCACGCTGGCATGGACGCGGCCCCCGCCCACGTGTGCGGCCGAGCCAATGTCGCGCGCGCTCGCCGCACGACCGAGGCCTGGCCGCACCGACCCCAGACGTACGCGTGGATGGTGCCAGGGCTCGCCACGCCGCCCCCCAGCGTGGCACGGACCTCCGCTCCTGCGGCCGTTGCGGCCATGGACGAGGCGGTGTCTACGCGCGACGGCGCCGACGGTCCCTCTGCTCCGGTGGCGGCAGGCGCCACCGAGACGGCCGACAAGCGGGCGCTCCTCGCGGCGCTCCCTGCTGACGCCGATCGCGTCCTGGCGGCGCTCGCCTCGATTGGAGATGCGTGGTGGGTCGCTGCAGCCAGCGTGGCGGCCGTGCGGGCGGGCACCGACTGGCTCGCGTCCGACGCCCTGCGCGTGTTGGCGTACGCCTCGGAGCGCACGAGCGCGCTCGACGCGGACGTCGCGACGGCGCTCGCGGATGCCGGCTGCGCCTCGCCGTCTCTCGCGGCGTGGCTGGACGCCGATCCCGTACGTCTTGCTCGCGTCGTCTTGCGGCGCAAGCTGTGGCACATGCAGTGGCTCCTGAGCATTCCTCTAGCTGCGGCCAAGTCGGCTCGCGTGCCGGCGAATGTGGCTGCGCTGGCGGACCGCCCGCTCCTCGCGCACGCCCACGATCTATGCCTGGCCGGCAACGCGCGTGGCCTGCGTGCGCTTCTAGGTGCGCATGCTACCGTCGCGCGCTCCCTCTTCTCGCACCGCTTCGAGCTCCTGCACGTTCTACTGACCGTGGGCGGCGTGCCGCCGGAGCGCCTCCTTGCGCTGCGCCTGCTCCCCGGTACGCACTTGCCGGTCGAGGACCGCGAGAGTGATGCATGGGTCGATGCTCTCGAGGCACCCCCGCCCTCGTCGCCGAGCGCAGCGGCCATGTGGGTCGATCACCCCGCGGTCGTGCACGCGCTCGCGGATCGCGGCGCGTCGCCTTTCCCCACTCCGCCCCCGCCACCACCTGCTGCGCTGTGGGACTGGTATGCGGCGGTCATGACGGAGCTGGAGAGCGAGCTTGGCCTCGTGGACGCAGCGCTTGGCCTTGCGAACGCCGGGGTGCACCTAGGACTCAAGCCGCTGAGCGCCGCAGCGCAGGAGCTCGCATTCCTACATGAGCTTGTGTACCACATGGATGCCGATCTATGGCGCGTACAGACGCTGCGGGCTGCGTCCGCCCATGCGCTCGTTGCGCGTGTCGCGCAGCAGCCGTGGCCCGCCGCGCGTGTCGCGGCGGCCTTGCACGAGCAGGTCGTTCCGTTCCTGCAGCTCGGCACGTACGCGGACGCAGCGCATGGCCGGCACCGCTCGGCAAGCGCATGGGGCCTGCACATGGCGCTGATGGTGCGTGATGCCGTGCCGCTCGCGCGTGCGCTAGAAGTAAGCGACGCGATGCTCGCTCGTGCATGGCTGGACGAGGCGGATCAGCACCGCCTTGTACTCGCTCTGCTCGCCACGAGTGAGGCGGCGGACGCGCCGAGCTTTCAGCGGTACACAGCGCTGCTGCAGCACGTGTCGCCGTCACCGCCCCCACCGCGCGCTATAGCCCCGCTCACGGCCGTGCTCGGGCGCGCACTTGGCGCACGCGCCGGCGACGTGGATGCGACGCACCTGTGTGAGCAAGCAGCGCTTGTGTCGCCGGCCGTGCTGCAGCAGAGCGTGCAGGACGTGCACCTGTGGGTCCAGCTCGCCGAGACGGTCGCGCAGCTGGGCGTTGCGCATGCGCCGCGCTACTACTGGGCCGATACACAGGCCGAGCGCGCGCACACTGTCATGCAGGCACTCGTGCGCCACGCGCTGCGTGCGCGGGGCAGTGAGCCGTCGACGCTCGTGCGCATGCTCACGCGCCTCGCGCCGTTCCTTGCGCCGGATGCCGCAGGCGGTGTCGGTGCGCCATGGGTTGGCCTGCCATCGAGCTGCGTGCGTGTCTTTTTCCGTGAGCTGCTTCTTGCGCGCGAGCCGGTGCTATTCAACGAGTTGGTGAGTGCGGTGACTACGGAGCCTGCCTGTGCGCCCGTCGCGCAGCGCATGACGGCGCGCGACGCCGAGGCGCTGGTTCTCAACACGGCGCGCGCATGGATACACCAGGCGCCGACGTGCGACCCGCTGCACGGCAGCTTGCAGCGCGCCCGCGAGACGCTCGACGCGGCACCGCACACGCCGCAGGTCGAGGCGGAGCTCTCGTTTCTAGCGCTGCTCGCACGTCTGCACGAGCATGGGGCAAGCATTGCCCTGACGCCGCAGCAGGTGCGTGCGACGCCGCGCAAGCTCGACCTGCTTGCGCGCGTGCTGTCGCTGCACGGCGAGGCGTACCGTGCGCCTCACATCCGTGCGCTGGCGGACGCCTGCAGCGAGGCGCCAGGCGACGACGTGCACGTGTGTGCAATGCTCGCGGACGCAGCGGCTGCCAGTGGCGACTGGCGCGCTGCGCGCGACCAATGTGAGCGCATCGTGCAGCGAATGCCGTCGCTTCCCCGTGCGCAGTATGCGGCGGCCTGGGACGTGGCATGGCGCACGTGCCTGCAGCTGGCCAAGCACCCGCAGTGGCCTGATCCGCGCAGCCGCGCTGTCCTGCTGGGCCATGCACTCGCGCTCGCGCCGCCCGCGCACATTCCGACCGTGCTGCAGGCACTGGCCGCGCTGCCGCCACACACGGCAGCGCCGGTACCGCCACGTCGCGCCGAGCGGCACACGCTGGCGCGCCTGCTCACGCGCCCCTCGGCGCCGTCTGCGGCGCCACGGCATCGCACCGCGCAGCTCTTCGATAGCGTGGCTGCACAGCATGCGCCGCAGGCCGCGCGCATGGCGCGCTCGCTGCTGGGCCATCTCGGCAGTGGCTGGTGGAGCGACGAACGAGCGCCTTCGTAGTTCGTGCCGCTATGTACCTACGTAGAGGGCCACGGGCGCAGCGCCCCACTCGGACGGCCACTGCGCCTCGAGTGTATGTGTGCCGGGCTGCACATCCCATGCCACGATCCACCCGTGCTCTTCGTTCCATTCGGCCTGCAGTTCCTGCTGGTCCACACAGAAGTAAGGGCGCGGCTTGTCGCGCACATGCTCATCGCGGAACGAAAAGCACCACTCGGTCCTCGTCGCACCGGGCGGCAGGCGCAGCGCATGGCGCTGCATGAGGTCGAGAGCGAGCCTGACCTCGCGCGTCGCCTGCGGCATGTGCACCCGCACTTCCAAGGCCACACAGGGCGGCGGTCCGTCGGGCGGCGGCTGGGGCTCCGCGCTTGTGCACGCGACGGGTGCGACCCATGTAGCAGGCGATGGCGGCCATATCCGCGCGCCCATATCCTTGAGCACGCGCTCGAGTGTGGGCGGCGGCGGCGGCATAGGAGCAGCGGCCATGGGGGGCGGCGCTGCAGGAGGCGCTGCAGGCGGTACGGCAGGAGGCGCTGCGGCAGGAGCCGCAGGTGCGGCCGGCGGCGGCGGCGCCGTCCGCGCGACCGGGGGCTGCGGCACAGACGGCGCAGGTGCTACTGCGCTGGGCTGCTGCGGCGTCGGCACGGAGCCAGGCGTGCCAGGGGGCTGCGCAGCCTGCCGGTGATCGTTTGGATCGAGGGTAAAGCCCTCGGCAAGCAGGGCAGGGATCATCACGCGCTCGAGCTGGAACTGGAGTGCATCGGCATCGTTCCATACTTGCGAGCCTTCCTCGTTGTAGAACTTGGCGTTGCTTATCATGACCCTTACGTCTGTGACGAGGGCGTAGGCATTGATATACATCCTTTCATCCAGCTTGCGTTCGATCTCGGCGAGGCTGATGGGGTGCTGCACGAACTGGTAGTAGTCGGGATACTCGTCGCGCGAGGGCAACTCCATAAACATTTCCGCACGCAAGCGCCCGCTCCTGTCCTGCAGCGTCTTGAGACTGTCCAAAATAGTACGCAGCATGTTCTTGAGCCGCTTGCCTCGCGGCGCGCCACGGCGCCGCCGTTCCAACAAATAGCTCGGCGTCGTTGGCGTCGGAACATTCAGGCTCACGAGCGGGCGCGACGTCCCCGACATGGTCTGCCCGACGCTGGGCGAGGAGGAAGCGGGCGTCACGGGCGTGGGCGTCGCCGGACCCGCAGGTGGCGACGCCGCCGCTTTCGCCGGCTCAGGCGACACCGTCTTCGACTTGGCTGCCTCGGCAGAGGCACGCGGCGCACGCAGTGTGATCTTGTGGCTGCGCACCGGCGAATCGCGTGCAGGTTCAGCAGGCGTGGCAGTGCGCGGAGCCTCGACAACGCCGGCGTCCGTGCGACTGGCGAGCCATTCGTTGTACACGCTCGAAGTGAGGTCCTTGATCATACTGTGCAGGTCGCGTGCCTTTAGCCAGATGTCACTATCACGCATGTTAAAACGCTTGGCGTTCGTGCAGATCAGCTCCAGATCCTGCTTCAGGTCCGTCCAGGTGGGGTATTCTTTCTGCTTGACTTTGGTGCGGACCTCGGATAGCGCCATGGGCCGCCGGATCACCACGTAATAGTCAGGGTACTGGCGACGACTTGGCAAGCGCATGAACGGCTCGGCGAGAGGCTCTCCATCACGCGCATCGCGCGCGGCCACCAGCCGGTCGACGATCTTGCGGCCCAGGACGGAAATATCTTCAGCAGTGGGCGTTGGCGGTTCGTGCTCCTTGCGCGTGCCAATACGCGAGCTCTTACGCACATGCTCATCAGCGCCAGGCACCTGAGCGCTGGTACCACTCGCTTTGGACGGCGTCGGCGTCGGCATGCGCGAGCGTGACGGACACTCGTCGTTTCGGCGCGTCGCGGCGCGGCCCTATGCCGCGACGCGCCACGTGGCCTTGTTGGGGCCGCGCCGGCCGCGGTCGGCCGTGGCAGGGCTGTCGCGTACGACCCCGCTCTATACGTCTTGGCAGCTATGTCGGCGGGGCTTCGCGACTCGAACCCGTTCGACGACCCGTCCGTGCAAAGTGCGGTGCGCGGAGGTGACTTTGACGACCTTGAGGCCAGCCCCTTTGAGACCGCGTCGCTGAAGGATAGCGCGTACACGGCGCCGATCGATTTCGATGACCAGGCGGACGAAATTTATCCCACTAGCACACATGGCACCGCGCCTGTGCACTCGATGCACATGGAGGATCTGCAGCGACGTGAGCGCGAGCTAGAGGAGCGTGAGCGTGAGCTCGATGCGCGCACCGAGCATATGCGCCGCTTCGGCCGCAACAACTGGCCGCCGTTCTACCCGATTGTGTACCACGATATCGCAAGCGAGATTCCCCCTGACTCGCAGACGACTATGCTCCAAGTATACCGGCTCTGGCTGCTGCTTGTTGCGACGCTTCTCGTCAACCTTGCTGCGTGTATTGTGCTCTTCGTGTCGATGGGCCACATCTCGGACCTGATCGACAGTATCGTGTACCTGGTGGTGATCACCGTGGCCAGTTTCTTCCTGTGGTACCGCCCCCTTTACTTTGGCCTGATGAAGGAGCATTCCCTCTTCTTCTATGTATACTTTCTCTTCTGCGGCTGCCACCTTCTCTTCTCTATCTATGCGGTGATTGGCCCCCCGTCTACGGGCTGCGCCGGCTTCTTCAACATGACGAACGCCTTTTCTCAGCACCATATCGTGGCCGGTGTTCTATCGGCCATCTCTGCGGCTGGGTTCCTCGTGCAGGGCTTGGGACATGCGTGGTACTACCGCCTCATCTGGCAGCACATCCACGAGCAGGGCCACTCGTTCTCGCAGGCCAAGGCTGAGCTCGCTTCACATGGGATGCGCGCCTACTTCTTAAATAGCTCGCGCATGTAATGAGATCCACGGGACAATTCGTCACCTGAGTGGCCGATCTACGGGTTTATGCCAAGGCAAGGCATCAGGCATGGGGCACCTATCAACGGCGCCTACTGCTGGTATTGATGCTGCTGCTGCTGCTGCTGCTGCTTCACGCTGCTCTCCTTGAGCGCCAGTAGCTGCTTCGAGCGGAACGACTCGTAGTACGTGCTGGATGTCGTCTCGATGAGGTCATGCAGGTTTGTACGCAGCAAAAAGTTGCGGAATTGCACAAACTCACAGTGAGACGGGTCCTCGATATTCACCAGGCCGCAGCGGGTCTGGCGACCGCGCACCGGCATACCATTCACATCGTATACCTTGGTCGATCCTACCACCGCAAAGGGCAGCATAGCCTGCACCTGGCTGTTCAGCGCACGGTCCTCTTCATCGTAGTCCTCGTGGTCGAAAGGATACACACGGATACCATTGTTCTGCAGCTCAGCGCGCACGCGCTCCTTGAACACCTGGCGCTCCTCCAGCGTCAGCGTGTCGGCCTTGGCAATCACAGGAATCACATTGGCAATATCACCCAACTTCTTCAGCACCTGGACATCCATTGGGCGCAGTGAGTGTCCCGAAGGGTTGATGAAGAATAGCACCACATGCACACGCGTGTCCGGAATGTGACGGTCGCGCACCGCCGTAAGCTCCTTGCGCAGGTACATGCTGTACTGGTCCTTGATGTACTTTACAATGGGCTCCCAGCTGTGGTCAGGACCATACACGTACCAATGCTCGTTGTTAATTAGGTCGCCGTAGCCAGGCGTGTCGATCAAGTTCAACTTGAGCTTCACACCGTTCTCAATGACCACTGTACATAAGTTACCTCGTTTACTTACCGTGAGAGTCGATAGCAATGCTCGTGGTTTGGCGAATTTCGTCTGAAGGGTCAATGCGGCCCTTGCTTTCCACCAGGCGGGAGGCAAACAGGGTGTTGACCATCGTACTCTTACCCAGACCCGTCTGACCCACAAGCATTACGTTGAAGTGGAAGCCGCGGCGCATCATCTTGAGCTCCGCTTGCTTCGTCAAGGTGTCGAAGCCGACATACCCATGAAGGGGCGTGGGCATTGGCTCAGGCGCAGACATCGTCAATGGCTAGGCTCTGGGTATGGACCGTTGATGCCGTCGCGCGCATGCCTCTCGACTCGCGTGTTAGTCACGTGACTACCACAGCGCGCACGGTCAGTCTGATTTTCTGGTCGTGTCCGGCCGCGTATACCATGTTCATGCTGCGCCACGCCGCGCGCGCTTCTCGCTCTCTCGTTCACTCGTCTAAGAGCCTGGCGCGTACTTCTGTCCGTCTTTCATCGCGCAAATATACATCTCAGTCTCACCATACGTCTAACGATGCTCCTTGGGCCATTGTCTCGGCTGGTGTTTTTGGTAGCGCACTTGCATACGTTCTCTCTATAAACTTTGACGACCACCCTGACACAGGCCATGCTCTGAAGGTATGCAAATAATTCTAATAATAGAAGGCTGGACATACTGACAAACCCGAGGGAGGTCCGAAAGCTGGGTCCGAGGAGCCTGAGAAGGAGTCTCAGGAATCCAAGGAGGAGCCTCAGGAGGAGTCCAAGGAGGAACCCAAGGAGGAACCCAAGGAGGAACCCAAGGAGGAACCCAAGGAGGAACCCAAGGAGGAACCCAAGGAGGAACCCAAGGAGGAATCCAGGGAGGAACCCAAGGAGGAACCCAAGGAGGAACCCAAGGAGGAACCCAAGGAGGAATCCAGGGAGGAGTCCAAGGAGGAACCCAAGGAGGACTCCAAGGAGGAACCCAAGGAAGAGTCCAAGGAGGAGTCCAAGGAGGACTCCAAGGAGGAACCCAAGGAAGAGTCCAAGGAAGAGTCCAAGGAGGAACCCAAGGAAGAGTCCGAGGAGCCCAAGGAGTCCAAGGGGACTACGGTGTCCAAGTAACCTAGGGAACAGTCAGAGGACAATAAAAAGTGGCTTAACTAAAGTAATAGTACCAAGGACAAAAGGTGCAATCTTGGTGCCGTCCACACAACATTCATCTCATGGTTCCTAAGTAGACTTATTACTCTAGCCCACGCCTATACCATCAGTTGCACGCACGGATCAGTGCAGGTGCTTGTGCATGCCATAGTCGGCCGAAATTGCCCCGAGTCCGTAAGTCCTCGGGTTCCGCAGTGGCTCGTAATCCCTCCCGCTTTTCGGCCGAATGGCCCGTTTGCTGGCAGCTGTGGCACTTGGTCTACGCCGGGTGGTTTCGGTGGCACACAGGGCTGCAATTGGCTGGTGCGGGGGCCTTGGATTGCCGGGCAGCCAACCCGGGCCAGCGGCCCTGTAGAGCAGGCCTCCGCTTCCTTCTTATCCCTTCACCTCATTGTTTGAGCGAACTAAAGCGCCATGCCCATCATCCAGCGCTCTGCCGTTCGCGCTGCCTCGCGCGCCTCCCGCATGGCTAGCCGTGTGGCTCGCCAGAATGCCGCTGGCCTGTCGACTGCTGCCCGTATGGCCGTGCCGACGCTGCGCTCGGCTGGTGTCCCCAGCTTCGCTAAGGCCGTGAACGTGGCCGGTATGTATATTCAGACACTTTCTTACCTATCTAGCTCGTGGTCTTGCTACTGAGGCCAAGTCGGGTGCCGGTCAGGTCGGTTCTATTCGTGCCGTTATCGGTGCCGTTGTCGACGTTCACTTCGACAGCGGTGACCTGCCCGCTATCTTCAACGCCCTTACCGTTGAGGACACTAAGACTGGCGGCAAGCTCGTGCTCGAGGTTGCCCAGCACCTTGGTGAGAACACCGTTCGTACTATTGCTATGGATGGTACGGAGGGCCTTGTGCGTGGCCAGAAGGTCATTGACACTGGTGCTCCCATCACCATCCCCGTCGGTGGTGCCACACTGGGTCGTATTCTGAACGTCACGGGTGACCCTATTGACGAGCGTGGCCCCGTTAAGACTGACGTTTTCCGCCCCATTCACCGTGACCCCCCTGCCTTTGTCGAGCAGTCGACTGATGCCGAGATTCTCGAGACTGGTATCAAAGTCGTTGACCTGATTGCCCCTTACGCCCGTGGTGGTAAGATTGGTCTGTTCGGTGGTGCCGGTGTCGGTAAGACCGTGCTTATCCAGGAGCTCATCAACAACATCGCCAAGGCCCACGGTGGTTTCTCCGTGTTCACTGGTGTCGGTGAGCGTACTCGTGAGGGTAACGATTTGTACCACGAGATGATTGAAACCGGTGTCATTAACCTCGAGGGTGACTCGAAGGTGGCTCTGGTGTTCGGTCAGATGAACGAGCCCCCGGGTGCCCGTGCGCGTGTCGCTCTTACTGGTCTGACTGTGGCCGAGTACTTCCGTGACGACGAGGGCCAGGATGTGCTGCTGTTCATTGACAACATTTTCCGTTTCACCCAGGCCGGTTCGGAGACTTCGGCTCTGCTGGGTCGTATCCCTTCGTCGGTCGGTTACCAGCCCACTTTGTCGACCGATATGGGTGCCATGCAGGAGCGTATCACCACCACCAAGAAGGGTTCGATTACGTCGGTGCAGGCCGTCTACGTGCCCGCCGATGATGTCACTGACCCTGCCCCTGCCACTACCTTCGCCCACCTTGACGCTACCACTGTGCTTGACCGTTCGATCGCTGAGCTGGGTATCTACCCCGCTGTTGACCCGTTGAACTCGAACTCGCGTATGCTTGACCCCGCTATTGTGGGTCAGGAGCACTACGACGTGGCCTCTGGCGTGCAGAAGCTGCTCCAGGACTACAAGTCGCTTCAAGATATCATTGCCATTCTGGGTATGGATGAGCTTTCTGAGGAGGACAAGCTCACTGTCGAGCGTGCCCGTAAGATGCAGCGTTTCATGTCGCAGCCTTTCGCTGTCGCCCAGGTCTTTACTGGTATCGAAGGTCGTCTTGTTGCCCTGAAGGACACGATCAAGGCCTGCAAGGAGATCCTGTCGGGCAAGCACGACAACCTCCCTGAGGCTGCTTTCTACATGGTTGGCTCGATCGAGGATGTGGTGGCCAAGGCTGAGGAGATCAGCAAGCAGTCGAACTAAGCTGCGTACTGCCCTTCCATTGACAGTCTTGAAGGCGCTTCAGGTGTTTTAGAACACGTTGCATAGCTAGTCTTACGTTACACTGCAATGGAATAAGGATCGTAATTACATTCTATGCGAATTCACATGAGGTCCTGGCGTGGATTCAGGCGGTGCGTCTGGCGTCAAAGGGCTTGTTCATACCATGGAGGATTCAGACCATGCTCCATTGGACTCATAGCTCCCGTTCAGAGCGTCATCTGTCGTAGAGAACTCGGAGGGATGGAGGACTTTAGCTGCTGGAAAAATGTCGGGACCTGGCTGCCGTAATATCGCCGACCGTGCTTCATCCATAAGTTGGTCAATGGCTGCTCGGCAGCGCGAGTGAATTTGTTCCAATTCACGATCTTGTTGTGCCATGGCCTCTGCTAATTCAGCTCCTAGGCTTGTACTTGCAGAGTTGGAACTGGGTTTCATCATCTCAGCGAATGCTAAATGCATTTGTTCAGTCTCAGAATCGTCCCCCGATATACTAGGTTCGATTGTCTTTGCCAGGTATTGTTGCCTCAGTTCACGTATCTCCCGGGTCAACTTTACTTTACTAGATTCAAGGGCAGCATTGATGGCCATCAAACTTTTATTTGATATTTCAAGGTCCAGCAGTTTGCGTTCATGCTTTGCATCCCAAATATCAGATGTATCCATAGACATTTCCGTCACAGATGAAGGTAAAACCAACGTAGGCGTTGACATCATTGCGTTTCTCGCCGAGGTAGGCGTCGATGAAGCAGGAGCCAGGGGGTTGCTTACATTTGCGGGGCTGGAAGGCATAGATGGATCCGTGTGGGCGCGCATAGGTGCAAAGGGACTCCGTGCCATAGCACTCGGTCGATGACGATCAGATGCCAGTTCTTTTCCCCGAGGCGAGCGAGAAGGGCTCGTTTGCACGGACCTTCTTGTATCCGATGTAGGCGATTTTGGCGATCGTTGATTCTGTACATGAGCTTCCTGGTTCGTTTGTTTGGGCGTGGCACGAATTATACTCAAGGGTGAAAAAGGACGTCGCTCTTGAATGGGGGCTGTTAAATGATTGACAGGGTATCCTTTAGGGCTCCGCAACACTGAGTTCCGATGTAACCTATCCGATTCTGAATCGATGGCAAGCTTGTCTGGGGTAGAAATCGGACTGTCGTTTATCTTTGCTGTATGTGAAATTCTTGCTGAAGGTAGAAGTTTAGGCACTCCGCTCGAGTGCAAATGCTTCGACTCTTGCGTAGACTGATGCGATGGTACAACATCAATTGTTACAGAGCGCCTGCTATGAATTGCATTGGCAGCAACAGGCTTATTTTGGTGTCTTGGCTGTGAAATGGACGTTGATGAGGGTGGCATCGCCTGTGGAAGTGACACATTGACTCGTGATGAGGAATTCACGACCGTCGGCCTCCGGAGCGAGCTCTGTGATGATACCGTTCGAAGTTGTGGCCTGGTCGATGGTAATTTTGCTCCATGATCCACACGTGAATTTACCGAGGCCTTCAAGTTCTGCGTGCTAGGACTGGATGACATATCTACCCGCGCACGCAAAGGCTTGTCTCTGACCTTCGGTTTACTTAACGTGCTTACAGGACGCGAGGTTTTGACCACGTACGTATCGGTTGTCGAAGATGATTGAGGCATCTTGACAGGCAGACGGTCCATAATCCCGCCCCTTATCTGTTTTAAACTGTCCAATGCACTTTCCTGTTAGACTTTGAGACCGCAGTTGCCGCTACCTGCACAGGAGCTATGTGAAGGTTAGTCCCTTACGCGTTGCGCAACTATCCATCACGTGGTCCTCCACATCAACTACGCGCCATAGGCCGCAAGCATAAGGCTGTTAACTTCTTGTGGTTTCGCTATAAAACGACCAAGATCTTGCATCCACGGCAAGTGAACCGAATGATAGGTTCTCTCTTAATGATGGGGAGTTAAATTGTGATATTGTAGTTCATTTTATTCTAGAATTCAAAATCTTCAAGATTGCTCCGTGCCGGCCTCCGGGGCCGGATTCTTCTCATCCGATCCCACACTAACACCACTTCTGCTTGGGGGTGTCTCAATACCGTATTTTTGACGAACGGCTTCAAATGTCTTTAACATTTTGCGCCGTGCACCAAGTGCAGCGACGCCCTTTTCTTCAAGAGCCTGCTCATCCATAAGCACCATCTCACGCCAGTTCGAACCTTCAAAGTTGGGCGTGTACTTGTGTAGGCGCAGATGTCTCAGCCATGAGGGTACATCGTTCAAAATACTGATATCAGCCACCTCCTCTTCAGGATTTTGCTGAGCAGGCAAAGAGGACCCAGCTGACGATGGTGACCCTACAGCACTGCCACTTTGCTGTGCGGTACCGCGCGCAGCACCTGTACCCACTGCACTGGCTGTGCCGCGCTGATTTGTCCTCGAAGGCACTCGACCTTGCTGACCAAGACCTTGCAAGTGCTGCTGCTGCTGTTGCTGTTGCTGTAAGATCTGCTGTTGAAGAGCCAGAAGTTGCGTCGAGTTCATGTTGTTTAGACCTCCCATAGCTGCCATAGCATTCATCATTTGAAGATTGCTAGGGTTAGACATGCCACCAGAGGGACTCTGCAGACCAGCCAATGTGTTTGGACTCATTGTGGGGATATTGAAACTGTTAAACTGTGGGCTAGCTCCCATATTGGCAGCGTTTTGAGGGAGGCCATTTGCACCCGAATTCCAGTTCTGGTCATACATGGCTCCAAGCCCACTGCCTCGTCCAACGCGATCTCCATCCACATGACTTGACATTTGCTGCAGCTGGGCAAGTTGCGCCGTCGTTGCCTCTAGTTTCGCAGCCGTATCTCCACCGAGCTGTTCCGACCGGTTGTTATCCAACATCGACATGATTGGCGTGTTGACCATACTTGCCCAACTACCTCCCACACTCATGGGCGATAGGGTTTCATCTAATGCACCACTTCCTCGAGGAGAGCGCGACAAGTCAGTGGAGCGCGGCCGATTACGGGGTGTGGCTGTGTTAGAGGCTTTATCATGTGTATTTTCCATTTTGGCATTTCCAGCATATGTCATCGCATCCATAGGCAGGGTTCCAGGGGCAGAAGTTCGGTTGGCCTTCAACCTGTTTTGCTGAGCAGCCAATGCGGCTGAAACATCAGGGCTACCAGAGCCATACAGTGACGCAGCGTTCGGAGACAAAAAGCCCGTGCTCTGCCGCTGGAAACCACGTGTATTAGCCGAGGGCGACTTCATAGCAGACGGGGACTTGATTCCAAGCTGCGCCATCTTTGCCTCTAATTGATCACCCAAGGCATTGTTTGTAGGATTAGGGGAGATGAAGGCCCCGACCGGGTCGTTGCGTGCCATCTGCTGCAAAACAGTGATGAAGAAACGTATCTGCACTTGAGTCGACTCCTGGAGGAGACTGTACAGAGCGGCAGTTCTCTCGGCCTCACTAAGAACGCGGAACCATTGCTCAATCGCGCTCAATTCTTCTTTGAAGTTCTGATCGAGAGAGGCAGCTGCCATCTCTTCCAGAGTAGCCTCGTAGTTTTGCAGATCCTCAAACCACTTGTCAATCACTTCGGTTTCAGGGGTACCTTGTTGACCCACCGGAAGCATTTCCGAACTGGGACGAAGGTTGTTACGCGGCAAGGTCCCCTGGCTACTAGGGTTGACTCCTAAGGTTCGAGACGAATCAGACGACTGAGAAACACGCATGAGTCCATCACCTGGATGGCCCATCTTGTTTCCGTGGGAATAGCGAAATGGGCTGGAGCCCATATGGTTGGGAGAACGTTGTGACTCTTGTGCAGGAGAGGGGGAGCGGCGAATACCAGCAGAATAAGAGGCGCGCATATTAGGCAACGTGCTCAATCCCGTTCAGAAACCAAAACAGCTGCCACAGCACGATCAACGGCCCCAGTATAGCTGAGGCTGATCCAACAAGATTATGGATCGAGTGGCAAAGAGCAGAACAACTTTCGGTTGGACAGCCTACACGGGAGACGGCCCATACCGCCTCTACCACTACAAAGGCTTAGTTAATCTACGGCCTCCACTGACACGTCCTCAGAACAGGCCAACCACTTGGCCCTCCGCATCCAGGTCAATGTCATAGTAACCAGGACGCGTGCTTAGGCCTGGCATAGTTTGCATAGAGCCACACAAGGGGTAAAGGAACCGGGCACCTGCGGCGAGACGCACACTGCGGATGGGGACGGTAAATCCTGTAGGCACGCCTTTCAGGGTCGGGTCATGGGACAGAGATAGATGTGTCTTGGCCATGCATATCGGCAAGTGGGCATAACCTTGGCGAGTATACGTGTCAATCTGTTCACGAGCCTCAGGAAGGACTGAAATACCATCAGCACCATACATATGACGCGCGATCTTCTCGATCTTCGCTTCGATCGGCTGATCAAGGTTGTACAAGAACTGGAACTGAGACTCGGTGCGCTCAAGTTGCTCAATCACTGCTTGCGCCAGATTCACTGCACCAGCCCCACCTTGAGCCCAATGATCTGTGGGAACGGCGGCATCTGCACCAGCTGCATGTGCACGTTCGACCACCATGTTCAACTCTGCGTCGGTATCCGAGGCAAACTTATTCACTGCAACAATCACCTTTAGGCCAAACTGCTTTGCATTCTGAATATGCTTCACTAAGTTTGCGCATCCATTTTCCAAGATTTCAAGGTTCTCTTGAGTGTACACATCGCTCAAGGGCTTTCCTGGGGTCACATCTGGACCACCACCATGTGACTTGAGGGCGCGGACTGTAGCAACCAGTACCACAGCGTCTGGCACCAAGCCACTCTCCCGGCACTTGATGTTGCAGAATTTTTCCATGCCAATATCGGCACCGAATCCAGCTTCTGTGATAACATAGCCAACTTTTTCAGGTGGCTCACCCTCCTCAATACCGGCGAGCTTAAGAGCAATGGCATCTGCTAGGATCGAAGAATTGCCGTGGGCGATGTTGGCAAACGGTCCAGCATGGACGAATACAGGAGTACCCTCGAGAGTCTGCATCAAGTTTGGCTTGATGGCATCGCGCATGAGGACTGCCAGTGCGCCACCCACGCCTAAATCATCTGCTGTCACTGGCTCACCGCTGCGGGAAGAACCAATCACCATATCGCCTAGACGCTCCCGCATATCCTGCAAATCTCGACTTAGTGCCAGGACTGCCATACATTCACTAGCCACGGCAATGTCGAAGCCTGTCTGGCGCGTAAAACCCTTCTCTGTGGGCGCCTGTCCGACCGTAATCTGGCGAAGGTAGCGGTCATTCGTGTCCACGACACGGTGCCAAGTGACTGTGTCCGGATCAATGTCGAGACGCGCAAACCGACGGCGCTCATCTTCAGTAAGCGTGTCGGGATCAGTCTTATCAATACCGAGTTTTTGAAGACGTTTGATCATGATGGGCGAAAACTTGCGGACACCTTTTTGACGAGGAGTAAGGCGGTCATACAAGGCGGCATCACTTTGTGTTGCCTCATGGAACATGCGCGTATCGATTGCGGCAGCAAGTAGGTTGTTGGCTGCTGTTACTGCATGGTTGTCACCCGTAAGATGCAGGTTGAATTCTTCCATAGGGATGACTTGAGAATAACCACCTCCTGCAGCGCCACCCTTGATGCCAAACGTCGGGCCCTGCGAGGGCTGACGCACGCAGGCAAAGACAGGGCGACGAAGATGGGCACCCAGTGCTTGTGACAAACCAATCGTAGTCGTAGACTTACCTTCGCCTAGGGGTGTTGGCGTGATGCCTGCGACTACAATATATTTGCCGTTGGATCGATGAGCCAAGCGCTCGAGCACTTGGAGAGATACCTTGGCCTTCACATCACCGTAAGGCTCTAGTTCACAGGGCAGAAGGCCAATTTCGCGGGCCAAATCAGCAATTTTCTTTGGCTGTTGCGCACGCGCGATTTCGATGTCACTGGGCACAGGCTGCTGCAATGTGAGCGAATTAAGCGATGTGACACCACGCGGATGCAGCGTCTCATACTTGGCGCGGCGCTGGGCCGCAATTTTCACGTTCTCCATTAGCATGGCCACAGTCATCGGTCCTACGCCACCAGGCACAGGTGTGATTGCAGAGACCACAGGCTCTGCTGATGCATAGTCCACATCACCCATAAGACGCTGACCCGACTTCTTTGTTGTATCAGGAACGTAGTTTGTGCCAACATCAACGACTACGCAGCCGGGCTTAAGCCATGAACCCTGGACGAAACCGGGCTGGCCGATGGCCACAACAACGATATCTGCATGCGAAAGAATATTCTGAACATCCTTGGAGCGGCTGTGAACCTGGGTAACGGTGCAGTTAGCTGCACGCAGCATAGTAGCGACTGGGTTACCGACGATGTCGCTACGCCCCATCACAACGGCATGCAGGCCTGACAAGTCAGAGAGGCCAACCGATTCAAGAAGGCGAATTACACCCGCAGGTGTGCATGGCTTGAAATGGGGGTTGCATGCCTTGGACGAGAGCAAACCAATGTTCAAGGTGTGAAAGCCGTCAACATCTTTGCTGGCGGCAACCTCTTCGGTGATGCGACGCTCAGCATCGGAATCAATATGGTCACCGAGTGGTAGCTGCACAAGAATACCATCGACTGTAGGATCGTTGTTCAAAGTACGCACTTGCGCACGAATCGTCTCTTCATCAGCATCTGTTGGAAGCTGAATATGCCTTGTCTCAATACCACATTGTTGCGCTGCCTGGCGCTTCATGCGAATATATGTAGACGAAGCACTCTGCTCCCCCACCTGAATAATGCAAAGCGTAGGCTTGAATCCAGGTTGCGCTTGCTTAATAGCGCCGATACTGTCTGCCACAGACGCACGGATCGAGCTGCCGAGTCAGAAAGAGTTACGTACGCAGCCAGCGCCGTGCCATCGATACGCTTGTTAGAGGGAGTCGAAACGGACATGATCGTTCGCAGGAAAGAAAATGGATAAGCAAAACGAAACGGTCTCTTTACAATATGTTGAAGAGATGCCGCAATGGCTCGTACCATAGGCACTTCCTTGCGGAGTGTCACAGGGTCTACAGCTGTACGAATCGGGGAATTAAAGACCTACAGGAACAATTCGTGCACGCCGGCGCGTTCTAGTCTACAACTGTCCTTGCTTTGTTAATTGGCCGCATCGAAGCGAGCCTTGCTGGCTGCGAACAGCTCTTCCTGCTGCCGCTGCAACTCTTCCTCAGTTAGTCCACTTAGTTCAAAGCGAGATGCTTTGCGTTCGCGTTCCTAGGATGTAAGATCACATTGTAAACATACCTTCTGGTGCTGCCTATGATCGTTCAGTACATCTTGTACCTCGCGGGTGTACTTTTCGAATCCAAGATCCACTAGAGCCTTGACTACGTGGTCAGGCGCAATAGTTTTTTTCGAGTCCATTTCACACGCTTCATTTGATTCACTAGAAACGAGGTGGATGAATTCGACGCAGCATTCGATTAAAAGATCGCGTGTATCTTTAGCGCAACTCATGTCTTTGGGCAAGTACTCTTGAATTAGCTTTTGAATTGTCGCCTTAGGCAGAGAGAGCTCTTCATCATCGGCAGGGGCACTGCTGCCAAAGTCGTGCTCATCATCTGACATGCTCATTCACGTGTCAGTAACTTACGCCGCGCGTTGGGTATGGACCCTGCTGCCTGCGCCTGACGCGGTATTTAAGACTCCACCTGGCTGGAAAGGGCCGGGCTATTCTGCACGTGATAGGTAAGAATGGCACATGCTCTCTCTTGTCTCCACGCACGCCTCTCGTTTGTCAGCTCGGACCGCCATGCCTCTATACGACTCTTTGAATGACTTGGATGACCGGCACATTAAGAGCATCAAGCCTTTGGTGCCTCCGCAGATTTTGGTGGAGGAATACCCACTTTCCATGGAGGCTGCACAGGTGGTGCAGCAGGGCCGCCGCGACACGAGCGACGTGATCAAGAAACGTCAAGATCGCCTCATTGTTATTGTGGGCCCGTGCTCGGTTCATGATGTGCGCGCCGGTATCGAGTATGCTAAGCGTTTGAAGGAATATGCCGACAAAGCACGCGACGACCTTCTCATTGTTATGCGAGTTTACTTTGAGAAGCCCCGCACCACGGTGGGCTGGAAGGGACTGATCAACGACCCTAACCTTGATGGCTCATTCCAGATCAACAAGGGTCTTCGCCTCGCTCGTGGATTCCTTCTAGAGGTCGCAAAGATTGGACTTCCTGCTGCCACTGAGTTTTTGGACGCCATTAGCCCCCAATACACTGCTGATCTTGTGTCTTGGGGCGCTATCGGTGCTCGTACAACCGAGTCGCAGGTGCACCGTGAACTAACTAGTGGACTGAGCATGCCAGTTGGCTTTAAGAATGGTACAGACGGATCTGTGCGCATTGCTGTCGATGCCATAAAGTCGTCCTCTAGCTCGCACCACTTCCTCTCTGTCACCAAGCAGGGCATTTCTGCTATTGTCGAGACCACCGGCAATGACTTGTGCCATATCATTCTTCGTGGCTCCAATACGGGTCCTAACTATTCCTCAGAGCATGTGGCTGGTGCCAAGGCTTCCTTGGAAAAGGCCGGTCTTCCCGCCCGTATCATGATTGATTGCAGCCACGGGAACAGCGAGAAGAAGCACGAGAACCAAATCAAGGTCGTGGAGAACATCGCCGAGCAGCTTAGCGCTGCCGACAGTAATTCTTGGAGCATCATTGGTGTCATGTTGGAGAGCAACCTTGTTGAGGGCCGTCAGAATGTGCCTCCTGAAGGACCGCAAAACCTCAACTACGGACAGTCTATAACTGATGCTTGCATCGATTGGGACATGACCGTCCAAGCTCTGGATAAGCTGCGTGCTGGTGTTCAGCAACGTCGGCAAAAGACGCCGGAGAACCTGAGGCCTACTACTCAAGTCAACCGGGATCTGTTGACTCCCCAGAACAAGCAGGAGGGATTTAACGATGCTGCTTTGGCTACCCTAGGTAAATAGACATACCAATGCAATCATTACAAATTGTGTGGATGCATTGGCTGGACAATAGAGTCTGACGCAGGACGCACTGACGTCAACTTCTCGAGCTCGAGGGTATATCGCGAACTCACGGCGTTTTCTGCATCGGTCCCACTTGGCGCCCCATTATGCAGTGCCACACGATAGGTGCGTTGGCTTGGATTACGCCCTTTGTAATCCAATATACCTCCGAACGATCGCTGGGGGGTATCTATTCCCAAAGACGCGCGTCTAGAGGCAAAAGTGGGTGTGGAACTTGGATGCGATGCGGCAAGGGACGGCGGCCCACGTCGCAGCTGCGCTTCCATTCCTTCAATCCGCGCATTTCTTTCTTCCAATCGATCATGAAGGACGCGTAGAGTTTCCCGGAGAGTGTCAAGTTGTCGTTCAGCCGTGTCGGCTCGCTCTGTCGCTGTTTTAATACTTTCTGTCTGTTCATGAATCACTTGCTCCGAATACGAGACAGCGGCTTTCAGCATGTTGATTTGACTTTCAAGTCCATCTACCGTCTTCTCATATTCCATAATCACAGGCTCTGCAGCCGTCAAAAAGTCGTAATCACCCGCATTCTGTTGGGCTTGTCGTTGTTCTTGCTCACGCTGTAACAGCTCTGTGGTGAGCTCAACATTTTTGCGACTCAAGGCTGTGCATTTTTCTTGCCAAGATAACAGTTCTTGCTCATGAACAGTTGGCAACGAGGCATTTGGCTTTTGCGGCGACGCAATTACAAGTTCATTGGAAGAGCGTACCAGCTCCAACTCCTTCCGTAGGCGTATCACCTGCTTTTGGAGATATTCCACATTGTCCCATCCTGCTTCCGCTTGATTTCGCTCGAGGGTATTTCGAATTCGGCGTGCACGCTGAGCATATTGTAGTGTATTGAGCGTCTCACACACGTTTCCCTCAGTTGTTGAAACGCATGCAATCATCAAAGTCTGAGAGTTACCGCCAATACTATCCTGCAGTAATCGAGTTAGCTTGCTGTCACGATAAGGAATATAGGAAGCTCGTCTGGAACGAATGGGATCACTCAATAAACTGATCACATTGCCTAGCGCATGCAAACCTGAATTGATAGAAATGCCCTCTTTCGCACGATCCCCTACAGCCGCCGTACGCTTAAGTCGTTCTGACCCAGCTAGGTCAACGAAATGCAATTTACTCGTTGTAGTAACAATAGCTTCTTCTTGGACACGTCGAACAGGCGTTGCTCGCGCATGGGCGACACGCGTGGGCGTCTGTTGCCGCGTTGGCGTTTGAGGGCGAGTAGGGGACGGATTCCGAGAAAGTTGTGCACGGCCTGAAAGTGTGGGAATCCCAGAACGTGGTGTACGCGGAAACATCGAGCTTTTTTCCGGACTGGTTCTCCCAACGGTCGAAGACACTTCTTGCGAGCGCCGACTCTGCGTTAACGTCACTGAGAAGATGGCATGTGAACGAGAAGACGCAGTGTTCATATCTGTTTCATGTGTCTGGCGCATAGTCATACCGTCTTGAAGCAGGCGCACCATATCCTGAGCATTGTGTACGGTGTGCTGTCGCAGACCCATCCATACAATATCCCCTGTGCGGGTCTCGCGAATCTGGACGGGAGCACGTTCTTCATCGGGATCAGAAAGAAGATCGATTAATTCTTCGTTGTATAATTCAAGAAAGCTGACACTAAGCTTGCACTCGACCGCATCATCGTCGAGAGATGACAATGCGGCACAAATTTGTTGCGCCGCACGAGGAATGATACCTACTCTCTCATCCAGATCTGACAAAGGATCGTCAATTGGGATAAATTCTGACACTTCGGATGTACCCATAGAATAGGATTTGCCACTCGATGTTTGGCCATACGCAAACACTGTCGCATTAAAGCCATCCAGGAACCGCTGGACTAATGGATCGACGCTTTCGCGAAATATCTCCTCTTGTTTTGCATTCAAATCATACACACGGTCAAATGTGAATGCGTGATATTTTGTATCTCGCGATCCGGCAGTCGCAGTACTTGGCTCTACCACCAAAGAATTCGGTGAGGTTGCCGCCACAGCGGGACGCAAAAAGCGCGATACCATTTGGGCAGGGTCGTTCACAGCATCAGGGCGCATGCGCACAGCTTCCATAAGCTCATGACTACTTACCCACTTGGACTGACGTCGATGACGGCCCTGCTGCCTCTTGCGAGCGCAACGGAGTCGCAAACATGGCGAGCAGGTCGTACGCGTAGGAGGCTCGAACCAACACTGTTGGCTGTTGCTCCTCCACGTGGAGCCACGTGGAAGACGACCAAAGTTGTCGATCCTGGCTACGTACCTTGACGTGGGCATGAGCAGTGCGCTCACGGATCGACAACGAGATGAACTGTACGTGCGCACGGCACTGACACTCTCAGACACAAGTCTTTGCTGGAATATCTCCATGTATCCGGCCTGCATGAAACTTTTGATACACTAAAACGCGAAGTGCAACTTGACTCGTACGAGCCCGATAACAAGTCCAAGTATGCGGGGCTGCTCGAGAAAAAATGGCTAAGTACAATCCGCCTACAAAAAAAGGTACGCCGTCGTATGCTTACCGCTTAAGAACATGGATCTATCTGCGAAGATCGCCGAGCTTGAAGCCGAATTGCAAAGTGCGCCAAGTGCGCGTCGCAGTGCTTCCGTGACCGACTGGTACCCACGCATACCCCCGCGGCATACTTTGCTGGGTCACAGGCAACCGATCACCAGCGTGGCGTTTCATCCGACATTCTCTCTTGTAGCGTCTGCAAGTGAAGATTGCAGCATCAAGATATGGGACTGGGAGACTGGCGATCTCGAGCAGACACTCAAGGGACACACGAAGTCTATCCAGAGCATATCTTTTGATAACTCGGGACAGTATCTTGTCTCTTGCTCGTCTGACCTGAGCACCAAAATTTGGGACGGCAACGACGGGTGGAAAAATATTCGCACGCTTCATGGGCACGACCACAGTGTGTCATCCGTGTTATTTATGCCGGGTGACCAGCATGTTGCGACTGCGAGCCGCGACAAGACAATTAAACTATGGGAGACATCCACGGGCTTCTGTTCGCGCACGTTGATCGGGCATGATGACTGGGTCCGTGCGATTGCTGCTTCCTCTGACGGTCGGTGGCTGGCAAGTGGTTCAAGCGACCAAACTGTGCGTGTATGGGATATTGCCTCTGGAGAGGTTCGTCATGAGCTTCGAGGCCATGATCACGTTGTTGAGTGTGTCGTGTTTGCGCCGGTGGCAGCATACGAGAATATTCGGACACTAGGGGCCATTCAAGGAGCCAAAGACGATCCTTCCGCGACGCAACCTGGCCTGTTCCTAGCTTCGGGCTCGCGCGACAAGACGGTGCGTCTGTGGAGCCAACAGGGCCATATTCTGCGGGTATTGGTACGCTTTCCTGTCTAACACTAGCATGGCCACGACAACTGGGTGCGCTCAATTGCCTTTTCACCTAATGGAAAATTCCTTCTTTCTGTCTCCGACGACAAGACTCTGCGCGTGTGGGACCTAGCCACAGCGCGGTGTCTTAAGGTGGTGGAGGCCCACTCGCACTTCGTGACATGCCTCGCATGGGGCCGCAGCCGTGTGGACGTGAATGCAAATACAGGTGCTAGAGCGTCCGAACAAGACTTTCAGCCTGTAAATGTCGTGGCCACTGGCTCTGTGGACCTGAGCCTGAAAATCTGGGCCCCGTAGCGAGTCCCGTCTGATAGATTCCCTGATACCCCACTGATTGGCCTCCAGGAGGCGTATTTCCTCTTACCTGGGACCTACGCGATGCGCGGCGCGCGACGCTGCGCCGACGCGCTTGTCCGTTGGTCGTGCGTCGAAGATGGATCTCAGCGCTGTGCCTGTGCCCGTTGAGGAGCCTGGTTCGCCTAAAGAGGGGCTTCATCTCTCTGCGCGTACAATGACTGGCACGAATGCCGCGGGCGGCACGTTTGGGCTGGGCCTTGATCAGTTTGAGTTACCTAAGGCCTCAATAGCCAAGCTTGCGCGCAGTGAGGTGCGTACGTGGTACTTACGCAGATCCCCGAGTCGATGCAGTTGCGCAAAGACACGATGATTGCGCTTGTAAAATCGGCCTCTGTCTTTGTGAGCTACCTGAGTATGTATTGAGGCTCTGACGGCAGCTGCTGCGTCGCACGATGTGGCCCTAGCTCGCGGAAACAAGACCATTTCAGCGGCGCATGTCATGGATGCCATGCGCGAGCTGGATTTCCCGCCGCACATGCGGAGAGAGCTTCGCGAGCAGCTTGAAGCGTACCGAGACCTGCAGAAAAAGCAAGCGACGGCGCGCGCTGAGGCCGCCCAGCAGAGCCGGGAGCGTGCCAAGGCGGCGCGTGCGGCGGCGGCGGCGGCTGAGGCTATGGAAGTGGAAGGGAGTGGACCAGTGGGCGAGAAGGAGGTCGAGGCCGAGCCTGAGGCGTCCGCAGAGGTGGAAGCCAAGGTGCCAGATGCCCTTGCCGCGCCAAGCACGGAACGGCCTCCTGCTTGACCTGTACCATTACATCCTACTTGGCGTCCTCTACCGGGGCCTGTTTTAATAGGAACGGGGTCCACCGTAGCTTGTCCGGTTGGACACGCACATATTGCTTGGCATCATGCTGAGCGAGGAAGGCGCGCACTGCCTCTGGATCGACACGGATCGTATAGTCATTAGGTGCGGGCTTGGCCTCCGGCGCAGGCGAGCCCGCCTTGTCCGTGGCAAAGTACTCGGGCGGAAGGCGTCCTTCGGACGTGCCATTGTAGAACACATGAAGCATGTGGTTGTCTTGCAGGGTATACAGTACATCGTCCATTTTCATGCCAGTGCGTGCCGTGATGTCTTCCAGCGAGCACTGCGGCTCCGCACTGAGCACGCGCATGACGGCCAGTCTCCAGTAGCTGCGGTAGGTCAGAAAGCCCAGATCAGAGAGCGGCTTCTCTGGCGAGCCCAGTCGGTGCTCTTTCCGCGAAAGCAGGTAGCCTGGCATGTGAGTGGATACCACGTACTCATTTCAATGAGGAAGTAGCCCCATCCGCGGCGCTGGTGGATGGGCAGCGTCATAATGCAGCTGACGTTGTAGTCCATCGGCGAGCGCTTTTCCTTGCTGTAATAGCCAACAAAGTGTGAGCCATGCTCATCGCTCTCGACAAACACATAAAACAGGAACGGCTCCACGTCATAGTAGAGCGTCTTATGGTCCAGAAAGAGCTTGGCCAAGAGGCACAAGTTTTGGCAGTAGATCTTGTTCTTGCTGCCGTCCACTTCAAAGACGGAAATGCCACAAGCCCGGTAAATTTCTTGCCCGGGGGGATGGTGCATCATGCATTTCATCCGGTGCCGCATGGCCATGAACCGGCTCTTCATATACTTGAGGCAGAACTCACACACCCACAACCGGCCGTCCGGCACGCGCGTATACTCTTCCGGGAATGGCGCCTGGAACCAAGTGTCGATGTCGTACGCACCAAAGCGAATCATCGAAATTGGCATCGCGTACCCACTCGCGGCCGCGGTGGCGTGCGTGCTCCCAATAGAGGGCAGCACGGGCGTAGCGGAGCGGCTCCTGGCCGGCACGTTCACAGCGCCGCCAAGCAGCTGCTCGGCGGCACGCATGCTGCAGTGGAATCGTTCTTGATCTTCCTGCGTAGGCAGCTGCGCCTGCGTGTCTGCGTCTTCGCCCTCCAGGAGCCCACTGAATGGCGCGTCGTCCACATCAACAGGCTCGGCGCTCCCAGGCGCTTGTGTCGCCGTTGTATCCTCTTTGCGCGCGACGCGCAGACGCACGATCTTCTTGGGTGGCGCCTCTTTATGAGGAGACTCGCTGCGCTTGGGCACGGCCGGCTTGGGCGGCCTACACATGGGGCAGTACCAGAGCCCCCGCGGTGGCTTGTCGAGCGCAGGGCGCAGGCAGTAGAGGTGCCACCCGCGATCACATCGATCGCAAAACATAATTTGCTCATCGTCGCCCTTGTCCAGACAGACCTCACACATCTTGCACTCCATGCAGCGCCAGTCGTACGTCCGCACGACGGCAAATTTCTTGCCGGCCTGATCCCAGTGCATACAAGATGCATGTCCTGCTGTGAGACATAGATACCTACCGCAACTGCCACAGTCACTGCATTCGACTAGAGGCTCGGGAACATTCGTGTGCCGATTGTGCGCTTCCGTGCCGAGACAAAAGGCACAAAGACGCACATGCTGCGATGCCGAGGCGGACGCGCGTTTTTTCGTCACTCCATACCTCCGCCGCCCTGCGGCCGTCTTATCCGTCCCATCTGGTGCGGGCCGCGCCGCGGCTGACGCGCCCATGTCCTGGCAGCGGCTCTCGTCCTCCGCGCTCACGAAGACACGAGCGACGCGCGGCGTACGACGCGCCTGTTTATGATGACTAAAACTACGGGGGCGGCGCGGGGGCATTCTCCTGCGCCGCGCCGGGCAACGGGGAGCGCAAGGCACTGGCGCGCGCGAGGTCCTTGGCGAGCAGCTCGGTCTCCATCTGGATCTCTGCCAGCACCTTCCGCGCTGCCACCGCATGCGACTTGCGCCCAGAGCCCAGCCCGGAGAGTGCCTTTTCAGTATGGTGGTTCTTTTGGACGCGACGCAGCTCGTCCTCGAGCCGCTGGATCTTGGCCTCGTACTCGGCTCGCGCCCGCTTCAGCTCACGCGCGGACATCTTCTGCGATTCTTCTAGCGCGGCGCGTGCCTCGTCACGCTGCCCAATCGCCTCTTCGATCGTCACCCCGCCGGCCGTGCGCGCCAACACCTCGTGCTCTTGCTGCATGCGCGCACGCGTGCGCTCCAGCGAGCGCGTGTACGTAGAGAGCTCCTGCAGTTCTGCCTGCACGTCCGATAGCTGCCGGTCCGTGTACTTCTTTGCCTCCTCCAGCACATGCACATGCTCGACCGTCGTCTTGTTCTGCAGCGACTCGAGCCGCCGGTTCTCGAGCTCCAGCACGTACACTTTGCTCTGCGCCTTCTTAAGCTCGGCCGCGCGCTCTTCGAGCACGCGCACATGCTCGTCGCGTTCCTTCGCGGCCGCTTCCGCACGTTCCCGCGCCAGCGCCTGCTCCGACTCGCGCCCTGCACGCTCCTTGTCCAGCGCCCGCTGCAGCGCGGCCAGCTCTACTTGAGCCGCATCGCGCCCCTCCCTTGCCGTATGTGCCTCGGCGAGCTGCGCGGCGTGCGTCTCAGCCACATGCTCGTGCTTTGTTTGGAGCCGCGTGTAGGCGTGCTCGGTTTCTTTCAGAGCCTGCTCTAGCGCCTCGGTCCGCTGGGCCATGGCGTCGCGCGCAGCACGCGCCTCGGCCAGTGCGTCCTCCAGTGGCACGCGCTGCTTGGCGGCGGTCTCCCAGCGAGACTCGTGCTCGGAAATCTGTTCCAGCGCACGCTTGTGCGCGCCTTGGAGCTCAGTATGCGCCCGCTCCAGCTCCGCTAGACGCGTCTGCATCGCACTGTGCTGCGCACTCTTGGCCTGTGCATCGCTTAGCGACGCCCTAACTGCGTCCAGCTCCGCCTCGTGCTTCTCGGCAAGGTCTTGGATGTGTTGCTCGGCACGCTCCGTGTGCTCCGTGAGCGACTGCCGCGCACTCTCCAGCGCTTCTTCCATGCGCGCAGCTCTGCTCAGGGCATCGCTGTGCTCGTGCTCCAGGGCCACGCGCGTGTTTAGCTCCTTGTCCAGCAGGTCAGCAACAGCTGTCAGTTCAGTCTGGAACTCTTTTTCGCGCTGTGCACTCTCGTCCAGCTGCTGCTGAAGTGCCTGCAGCTCGCGCTGTGACTCATCGCGCTCGGCCTGGCCTTCGGCGACTTGCGCCTCGGCAAGCGCCAGGCGCTCTTCTGTCGCACGCAACGTGTCACTCAGTGACGCCTGTTGGGTGCGCGCGTCATCCAGCTGCTCCTCCAGCAACGCATACGACTGGCGCAGCTGGGCCTCCAACTCGGCGAGTCTTTTCTTCTCCAGCTCGTCGCGCGCCGCGCGCTCGCGAGCCATGGCCATCTCCAGCTCATATCGCTTGGCATTCTCGTCGTCTTCTGTGGCCGATAGGAGCGGCTGCAATCGCACATACAGGCGCCACCACGGCGATGCATCCAGCTCCTTATACGCCTGGGCACTCGCACGCAGCGTCTGCACCGCAGCGTTGCGACGCAATCGCTTCCGAGCCAGGCGCTGTGCGCTGCAGCGCCGTGCCGCAGCTTGGAATCGTGTGAACAGATCGTGTAGACAGGCATCACGCTGCTCTTCAAGCTCAGCAAGTACGCCCGCCTTGAAGAATATCTTGGTCAGACCAATCTTGTACACGGCCATGTCAATGCCCATCGATTGCGCAATGTGCGTAGACATGACGCGGTGGTCCATCGCCTGTGACAGCTGCGCATCCGGCGCCAGCAGCGCATATCGATTAACAAAGTCCGCAAACAGCAGACGGTTCGGGTACCCGAGACGCGCAATACGGATACCCTCCAGGACACCGTTGCACCGAAGCTGCTCCAGCACCAGCGGCAAATCCATACGCCCTGGTCGCTTGTCCGTGTTGGGCACAATACAGCGCACAAAATGAGGCTGCGTCGAGTCGAGCTGCGCCATCAGCGACGCGAGCTGCTCCTTGTGCCGCTGGCCTAACGTGCGGAAGGCACCGCGCCGGCTGCGTGGCACGGCACTCATTTCTTCCGGCGCCACGCACTCTGCAAAGAGCGATGCCACAAAGGTCGACTCGGCACTGGCGATCACACGCGCCACATTGTCGTTGAGTGGATCGCGGTTCTTGTCAAGCCACGCTTCGGTGCTGTACTCGACATTCGCCGCATAATGCCGCACGACAAAGCGCTTTACTTGACGCGACGGCAAAAACTTGGACGTCGCCGACTCAGGCGAGTTGCGGGCAGGCGCCCACACCGAGGTCAGCTTCTCCGTGAACGTGAGGTCTGTCGCCTTGGGCATGATACACTCTTCATCGAGCGTGGCCAATATACCAACAGGCGACTGAGACTCGATCAAGTCAATCGTTGGCTGCAGGTCAAGGCCGAAGTTGACATAGTCCCACTCAATCGATTCACGTGCATATTCTTGCTGCTCCAAGTGGAACATGTGGCGATTGAAGAATTGCTGTAGCTTCTCGTTCGTGTAGTTGATGCACAGTTGCTCAAAAGAGTTGGTCTCGAAGATCTCGAAACCGGCAATATCCAGCACACCAATGAACTGCGACTTGCTAGTGGGGCGGTCTAGCACATGGTTGATTCGCCCAACGAGCCACCCAAATGTCTTCTCATACAGAGTCTTGCACAGCGCTGCGATCTCGTCGACCACTTGCTTCTTGGTGCGTGCCTGCACCACCGACTCCCGTCCGGCCCGCACCGTCGGTCGCACGAGTGCATCGTTGAATTTGCCTGCATGGACGCCCATCAAGCGGCTTACCAACTCAAGCTGCTCCATGTTGGTGATGCGCGCCTGCCCCGAGCGGTCCTCCGCAAGCTCGAGGTTGCCCAGATGCAGGATCAGAGCGAGCACGAGGAACAGATCGCGCTCCTCACTGGCCGTGAAGCCCATCGTGCGCAGCGCCTCGATGAGGTGCCGGAACTCGTGACTGTCGTCAACGCCCTCAATGTCCTTGCGCGAGCTGGACAGGTATGCATAGTGCTCTGGGTAGCTGCTTAGGCACAGGCTCTCGAGGAGGGCATGGTCACGGCTGCGCAGCAGCTGGTAAAAAGCGTGGAAGTTGCGCTCGTTGGCATGCCGACTGTGCACACGGCTCTTTTCGAGCAAGTACCATTCGATGTTCCCGCCCGCAATCGTGCCTGTCGCAGAAAACTCGATCCGAATAAACTTTCCGAATCGACTCGAGTTGTTGTTGCGCACCGTCTGCGCATTACCAAACGACTCGAGAATCGGATTGGCTTGCAGGATCTGGCGCTCAAGCAGACCCAAGGGTTCGCCCGCATGCCACAACCCCGACGCATCCGCATCGACGGCTGTTGCGGCCAGATACTGGATCACACGCTTGGTGTTCTCCGTCTTTCCTGCTCCTGATTCACCAGTGATCAGCAACGATTGGTTCTCGTGGCCCTCAAGCATGTTGCGCATCGCGCCGTCGGCCACCGCAAAAATATGCGGCGCGTTCTCTTCGCGGCGCTTATTCTTGTATGCCTCAATCACACCCTCTGTGTAGATGGGAAGCGCATGATATGGATTGACTGCCACCAAGAACAGTCCCGAGTAGGTCTGCTGTCAGCCCACGCTCACGTACATAGATCAGGTTGCTAAAGAAGCGCTGGCGCAAGTTGTGCACGACACTCGCCTCATTCAGGTATGTCAGATCGGCAATATCAGCCACCTTGTCGAACTTGGGCGGGTTCATCTCGCTGAGCGAGGACGTTGGCACTGTCACCACGGCCCCCGTGCTGAGGCAGCACTCACTCATATCGCCCACTTCGCGTACCACATATGCAGCCATATACCCTTGTGTCTTGTCTGGCACCCAGACATCCTTCCGGTCCGGATCAGACGGCATGGCAATTGTGCCCTGCTGGCTCATCGTGGAGCGGCACGCCTAACGTTGGGCAAGAAGCTATAATCAAGGCACGCAGCGCGTCCTTGACTGTTGTTTGTGTTGATGCCGCCAGGCCAATCAGGCCCCATTTCACCTCCACCTCCACACACGCCGCTACGGCCTCGCCAGCACTGCCTACTTGTATCCTGCGCGCTGCTCGGCCTCGCATGCCTCTTCACTTAGCGCCGAAGAAAAGCTATCGTATGTGTTTTTCACTGATCTAGACCCATATAATCGCGAAAACCGCGAGCGTGTTGCGCGAGATGAGAATCTAGCACGTGCCAAGCAGGCGGACGACGACGCCTATCTTGCCGCACGCGATCGATCAGACCGTATTGCGCAGCTGCGCCGCCAGCGCGATGCCAAGATGCCGAGCGATGAAGGAGAAAGAAGAGTCGCTGATGCAGCGCTCGGTAGGGATACTAATGATGCGGCGCCCATGTCCATGAACTTTTTTGCGGACTTGGAGGAAGCGGCCGCCAAGGCGGGCACACCGAAACGCGAGTCGTTTTTTGGGCCGACAGTTGAGCTGCATCCTTGGTATATGGACCCTCATAGGATCTCAGGCCGCGAAAAGCGCGCATCTGACGCCCAAAAGGAATTATCTCGGTATGTTTTATCCCCTAACCCCAGCCGACAAGACGAGGCGCGTAAGCAGCGCGAAGATCCTCTGGCTCACATGCCACGCTCTTCGCGTCCCATCCAGTATGCCCCCTCTCCGTCGGCCACTCTGTCCGAGGAGCGTCAGCAGCGAGAGGCGCGCGAGGCGGAGCGGGCAGCTGCCCTGCTAGCCGACCGCTCTAGCGCGTTTTTTCGACGGCGGGCTCGTGCAGAGCGCGCAGCACGAGTCCATCGCGCTTCCTGATGCCGCGCCTCGTCGCGTCTTTCGTGGCGAGTCCATGTATGTCGAGCTACTGCAGGATATGATTTGCACAGTTCTCGCCGGCGAATCTCACTTATTCACGCCCCGAGAACAGGCAAGCCTCTCGGCCTTTTTTACCATGCCATACGATGCACGTTACCTTTTCGCTCGTCTTCTCCAGCGCAAACGCGATCAGTGGTATCGCCTTGATAAGCTCGAGTACCGTGACGACGTACAGGATCTCGCTCAGGCAGCACACAACCTGTGTACGCCCTTTGCTGCACCGCTTCCCGCACCTCCTGCGTCATGGGAGGAGGCAGAACTCTATCGCTTTGCAATGATGGATGCGGAAATGGACGGCGGACTCCCCGCTAGGCTCGAGCTGCTTACAGTCGATGAGCTCAAAACTCTGGCGAAACAGCTGGGTCGCCGGGTCGCTCGCTCCACGCGCGCTGCACTCCTGGACGCGCTGCTAGCCAAGCCTACCAATGCGACGCTGTGCTTTCAGGCTGATCGACTGGGCCTACAGATGCAGTCGACGTCGGAGCGACTAGAGCAGGCTATGGCGGTGCTCATGCAGGGTGGATGCCTCCGGCTCGTGCCGGCTGCTACACATCTGCTGGACCGTGTGGCACTTGTATACTATCGTGGTCTTCCCGTGCTGGGATCGATGCTCACGTCGGCCATCTTACAGCGTACACGTAAGTACCACTTTCCTTCCTACACGGTCCAGCGTACGCCGGACCTGTTTCCCGACCGCGCACAGCTCTTGTCGTTTGAGAGGGCGTGTGCCAAGGCGGAGGAGGCCGACCAGTTTGTCGAGGCTTGGCGTATGAACCTTGATGCAGCTCGTGCATGTGCGCAGCTGTTGTTCGATTGTGAGGCGACATGGCAGGACGCACTGAGCCAAGTGCGGGCTCTCTGGCCAGAGGGTGTTCCGTCTTCGCAGTATGCGCGTATGCGCTTTCACGCTGGCTGGCCGCTAACGCGCGTTCTCTTTAAAGGATGCGAAGCTCTCGCACGTCTTGGACGGCATGAGCAGGAGGCTGTGGTACTGCAGCAGTTATTAGCACAGCGCTATTTCTGGCGCGGTCGCCGCGGCGCATGGCACGAGCGTTTATCTGTGATTGCTGCGCGACATGGGCGTAAAAATGAGGCCCTACAGCGATGCCTCGAGGCGCTCAACGACCCCGATACCCCGTGGGCCTACATGGCCCGATTGCAGCGGCGTGTGGAACGACTCGAGTCGCAGCTCAAACTCCCACTGCCTTCGCGCCACTTTTTCGAGCGACTGCGATCTCCCACGCAAGTGTCATGGGTCGGCGTGCGGTGGGTCGACACGAATGCCGAGCCGTGCGACACACCTTCGGGTACGCAAGTGCGTACGCGCTGGCGAGCCGACAATGGAAGCGCCTGCAGTGTCGAGGAGCTGTGCCTTGAGCGGTATGCACAGCAAGGTTTTCGTGGTTTTCACTGCGAGGGCGACCTGGTGTTCTTTCTATACGTGTTGCTTATGTGGGACGTGCTTTTCGCGCCAGTACCTGGGGCGTTTGAAACGCCGTACCAGCGGGCACCGCTCGATGTGGATACGGATGCATTTTTATTTGCTCGGCGGCCTATAATGGAGAAGCAGCTCGAACGGATTGAGCGGACAGGAGGTCTGGATATCATACAGAGTGTGGATGCGCGTGAGCGCCCGCTGCAAACGTATGCACAGGGCTGCCGGTGGGACATGTTTTCCACCGATGTGTTACAGGAGGTAGCCCTGTGCCTCGGCGGCCGTGCCCTCGCTGTCCTATGCCGAGTAATATGTGAGGAGGGGGGTGGGCGTCCGCGGGGATTTCCGGATTTGAGTTTGTGGCGGTACAGCGACAGACAAGTGCGGTTCGTCGAGGTAAAGAGTCCGAACGATCGTCTGAGTGAGTCGCAGAAGGTGTGGATCGACGCGCTCCTGCGTGCCGGTATCCATGTAGAGCTTGCCAAGGTGCATGATGGGTAAGGCTGCGCTCTACTGCTTGGGTATGTGCTCATTGAGCGTTTTGTACTCTCGCCATACCATAAAGGCGACGAGACCCACAACACAAAAGTAATTGCCATATAGCCCCACAATAGAGATCATCTCTGTGGGATGGACCCAGCCAACATGGCCTTGCATAGTGCAGCTGACAAAGACAGCCATATTTGCCGTGCCGTGCAATACAACGGCTGGCGCAATGATGCGGATCCAGGACATGGGCGGCCCGTAAAATTCGCTGCGCACCGCACGCAAAGACGTCAATAGTGATGCAAGTACATGTCCCAGGGTACCAGCCACGAGCCGCTGTATGAGCGTCACCAGAGGCTCGGCCCATCCTTGGATGCCACTTGCACATGTATCGGAGATGTACCCGATACACTCCACGGTCACAAGGCTCAAGGCTCCAGCAAGCGCATAGTCGATATAGGCGAGATCGCGTCTTGTTTTGTACTGTCGGTCGCGTCTTCGCGCGTACAGCACGGGCATGTACTTGAGCAGCTCTTCAAACCCACCAGCCATAACGTAGGAGAAGAGGAACGTGAGCATCCAGTGCTGCCATGAGCTTGCCATTTCGAAGCGGCGCTGCCTTTGTTCCGTTGAAAGTCCCTCGACGGTGCCGCGCAGGAATTCGGTCCAGTACTCGCTCGCCCTTGGGCCCATGGTTACCGATACCAGCACAAAGTAGAGACTCAGCTGAGCGACGCTGAGCGCGAAGGTCCCACCGATACCAACAATCAGATACGTCCAGATAAGCGGCTCTAACTCTCCGCGGTTTTCGGGATTCATGCGATTGACACGCACCCACCACCAGTACAGAGCAGCAGTTGGGAGGAAGGCCAATGGCATCAGTGCCGCCGCCTTAAGCGAGCCGAGTCCCACGATAACTAATGTAATGATGGGAACCAGTGTGACTGCCGCTTTGGCAGTCACTGACGTCGCCGCATTCGCAGCAGCCACGCTCATGAGCGACGTCGATAAGCTGCCAGACGTACGACACGTTCCACTGACGCCGTACGGACATCGGCCCTTCAGGCCGTTCGCCTCGGCCGATGGCCAGCGCGGAGGGTGTGGCCTCGCACAGATCACATCACGGTCTCGCTATCTACGAACGCAGCCCAGGCAAGGGACGGGAGTAGGCGCCTTGCTCAAAGAACATAGATGGGCTCCCCGCTGTTCTGAAGGGACCTGGTACAGCCTCACGGAATGCTTTCATGTCCAGGTCACCAATAAAGTGTTCGTCACCGAAGCCGCCCACGTAGTACACGGACGACGGCGAGAACCGCATCCAGAAGGCGGTATGAGGACTCTCTTTGGATCCAGGGAGCCACATACGTGCATCCTCGTGATGCGCCACAAAGCACTCGGCAAGTTTGTCCAAGTCGGTAGTCTCTGTCGTGAGGCGATGCATTGTACCGTACATAGTCAGACGGTTCTTGGACGCCATGCCGCGCCGCCACATGGGGCGTGCAGGCTCCCACTGAACTCGACCTGCACGCGAAACGTTCGCATGCCGCAGGTCGACGTCATCCGAATTAGGGCTCGAGGCCACGCCCACGGTGGCGGACATCGGGCTCGCAGCTAGAACATGCCGCCACAGCTGCGATACGGGAAGTACAAGGTACAAAAGATCTGCTGCATACTCTCCCTCGAAACAGGGCGCAAAGTATTCATATGCGAGTATAGCGTTGTGATCTTCATCGACTGTCGCCACTGAGCTGATATAGTGCGTTTGCTCATCTACAAGGAGTGTGCGTGCATCGTGCGCCGCGGTCATGTTTGATTCCCAAGCATGAGCATAGATTAAGAACGTGCTCAGCGAAAGTAGCCAAAGTATCCGCATATGGGAGGAGGTTCAGCGTTCCTAGTCCAACTCAGGCGCATCTCCACGCTCTGACCTCCACCTCGATGCACCAGGCCGAGTCGGCCGGCTCGGCGCGGCCGTCGTCGCCTACATCTCCAGCGACGCTGCCGGACCCACAAGCGCCGGCGCCTCATTTAGAAGATGAAGAAGGGTTTACGGCACAGGATCTCATTGACCAGCAGGCCCGACTCGAATCACAGGCCCATGAGGCCATCCCGTTTCGATTCGATTCGTGTACACACTCGCTCGGCTACATCCGACAGCCTGTGTACGCCTGCCGGACGTGTGGTGGCGGTGGAGTGTGTGCGAGCTGCAGTGTAGCATGTCATTCCGACCACGAGCTTGTAGAGCTCTTCCATCGGCGCCACTTTCGCTGCGATTGTGGTACGCCTACTCTATTCCGCGAGCGTGACGAGACGCCAATGATGCAGCAGACGGGCTTTCCTGAGGATGCACGCCCGTGCTCTTTGCGCAGAAACACAAAAAATCGTGGTTGGGACGAGCCGAACGACGAAAATACCTACACACACAACTTTCGTGGTGCCTTCTGCTACTGCGAGCGTGGCAAACATTACGATCCAGCGACCGAGGACGAGGTTATGTACCAGTGTCTCGTGTGTGAAGACTGGCTGCACCAGTCGTGCACGGCTCTTGCGCCAGGACCAAAGACATCAGCGCCGCTACTTGCCGCTCATACCTTCGATACCCTGATCTGTGACCGATGCATGAGACAGGAGGGAGCTGGTCTCCTGCGTGACTATGCGTGCGCGCCTGGGTGGATTGTCCTTGACGAGCATGGTGTGATGGACACATCACCTCAGACACGCCCATCCAAGCGCCTGCGTGTCGAGACGTCTGCATGTCGGCGACCTTCCTGCCCACTTCTCGCGTGGCCGGCGCGCTTCGATGTGTTTCTGTCGCCGTCGTTTCGCGCCGCGATCTGCCGATGCGAGGATTGTGCTGCCCAATGGAACGCTTTGTATCCCTATGTGTTTGCGGAGGAAGAGACGTACGATCCGCCTGCGGAAGATGACGACACTGCCTCGGCTACGTCCACATCTTCGTATGAACGAGGCCTTTCTGTGCTCTCGCAGCTTCCACGCATGCAAATGCTCGAGTCTCTGCGGGCGTACGAACGCCTGCGAGACGCACTGTTTGCGCATCTGCGTCCCTATGCTCAGGCGCACGAGCCTGTGACAGAAGAAGCGGTGCGGGCCTTTTTCCGGGAGCATGTGGGAGCAGGGCAGCACGACCGGTCCCCTAGTCGATGAGATATTTGCGCTTAAAATAGCCATGCAGATGGTGCACCTGCCACGCGCCCAGCGCAATGATGACGAGAATAAAGAGCCACGAGAGGCCATGCACTCGACGAAGAGTGGACATTTGTGTATCGCTCATGCGTATCTCACGGAGCTTGAGGTACTCCATTTCTTCGAGGATTTCGTCGGCGATCTCCGAGAGCTTACGGAGCTCCGTCTCCATGCCTGAAAGCGACTCCTGATTGGCAATCGCATTGTAGTCAATGGCCTCGCCACCGAGGTGCATGTCCAGGTCAATATCGCTTATTAGGTGGTCGCGCTTGCCACTGTTCAAAATACACACGCCAAGATCCGCATCATGGTGCGTATTGATGGCAAGTCGCGTCTCACCAACGAGGTTCATCTTGTTCAGGTAGATATTGTGGTGGGTGCGGTCGACGACCTTCACATTGATGCTCTGGTCTGCTGCCGTACGTTCGTCGCGCGGGACCACATTGATAGAGATAATCGCGAGTGTGTCTGCCAGCGCATAGTTCCAGATGCACAGCGGCTTGGGATGCCGACTTGACTCCAGTTCAAACTTGATGGCATGCACAGTCGCGCACAGCACCAAGAGCGCAAGCGCCCACAGTGACACGCTCTGCATCGCCGGCGTCAGTGGGGTCGGACGGCGGCGCTCGCGTGGCTACAGCGTGTGCCCGGCGTTTGCTGACTCAGCACCAACATCGTTTTTTTCGTCGCCGCCGCTGCTCCTGTACTGTTTGGCACCATGCATTTGATGTACACGACGGGGCCGGTATGTGCAGCACACTTACCGCAGGATGGCAAGCGTATCTACACCCTTAAAAAAGTGACTGCCTCTGGCGAAATGACGCGCTCGGCTCATCCTGCACGCTTCTCGCCGGACGACAAGTTCTCGCGCCACCGCATCACCATCAAAAAGCGTTTTGGCCTGCTGCCAACGCAGACGCGCGCGTAACGCCCATTTTCTGGCACGAACAACTTTTCTGTGTAACACATCGCTCGAGCCTCCGGCTCCGATGTACGTTCAGAGTGATGATGCTATTATGTAGAACCTAGACTCACGCCAACCACCATGACCTGCGCGCGCTCGTGCGCGACGACACGGTCGACAGCGTGGATTGCATGTGTGGTGCAGGTGGCAGCTGGTGAATGGCCGCATCAGCCGCATTCATCGGGCCTGAAATGCCCGCAGCAGGCACGGTCGGTGCAGAGCCACTCCCGCTCAGCACGCGCTTGTCCGGGTTGCTCCGGCGCGACGAACGGGGGCCCTCCGCTCGTGCTTGAGCAGGCGCCTGGTCAGACCCTGCGCTCAGCACTGCGAACTGGCTCTTGCGCGATGTTCCGTCCCTGCGCGTCGAGGTAAGCGTCGAAAACGAGCGCTGCAGGCGCGCTGCAGGCCCACTCAACATGCCAGTGCTTCGGCCGCCCATTTCCAGCGGGATCGATACCTTGCTGCTGCCGCTGCCCGCCGTTACCACAGGCGAATCGTTCGACTGCAGCAAGTAGCCCAGCGCCGTGCACCAAACGCGGTGGCGTGCCTTGTCCGGCGCCGTGATCTTGAGCTCCTTATGCCCGGAGCGGATAACCATTGTCTGGTTGTACAGGCCCGCAGGATGCGCGTTGTGGTCGTCCATAAGCGCCACCTCGTCAATAAACGCATTCTTCGCCTTGGCCACATGGCCAGCCGTTCGACGCGGCTCCTCGGTCGTCCACTGGATCGTACGGTTGAACGGGTTGATAAAGAAGAAGCGCCGGTGCCGCCGCTCCACGGCCGACAAGAAGTGCGGCGCATATTTGTACAGCCACTCGCCCCGCATACACTCAATGATGGCATTAGCAACCTCGGGCTCAATGTTTTCCATGTGCCTTGGCAGCGCCACCGGCGCCGCCAAGGCACCCACCCACGCTGGCACATCCACTTCGCCATGGTCGTCGGTCAAAGCGTCCGAGCGCACTGACATTGGACCACGACGCGTCGAGCGCGGTGGGGACGCGTACGTGCCCAGCGTCGTCGTCGTCAGCGAAGGTGAATGCGCCAAAGGTGCCTCTGCACTGCCCGTCCACGACATCGCCGGAGCGAGCGGCACAGACCGCGGTGGCGTTGCTGGGGCTTCAGGCGCACGCGCCTTGGCAAGCTCGTCTTGCAGCTCGGCCACACGCGCCTGCAGCGCATCGCGCTCCTCATGGGCGGCAATAAGCTCGGCCATGAGCGGCTCGCGCACATCGTGCTGCTTTGTGCGCACCATCGCTGCCATCTCTGCATCCTTCAGCGCAAGCTGTTTGCGCAGCTCCGCGGTGATGGCCACATAGTGGTTCGTGTGGTCCTCCGCCGCCTGGCGAGCCATCTGCTCGGCATAGCGCTCCCCATACTCCTGCGTCCGGTCGCGTTCCGCACGCGCCTGTTCCGCAGCGGCGCGGTGCTCGGCCGCCTCCGTGCGCATCTCGTTGAGTGCGCTCTGCGCATCGGCCACCTTGGCCGTAAGGATCTGCAGTCGCCCTTCCGCATCGTGCAAGGCCTCGCGCCGCTCCACATGCGCTCGCTCTGCGGCCTCCCACGCAGTCGCATGCTTCGCGTGAAGTGCTGCTAGTTCCTCTGCATGCGCCGACGCTGCTGTGGCTAGCGCACGTTCAAGTGCGCCGTGTGCCTCCTTAGCCTCTGCCAGCTCGCGCGCCAGCGCCTCGAGGCGCGTCTTGGCCGCCTCCTTCTCGGCAATAAGTTCGGAGGACGGGGTGTGGCCACCGACATGTGCGGCCTCCCATGTGGAGCGCTGGGCCTCTGCCTCAGCCTGGACAGCTGCGATAGCGTTGGAGTGCCGTTCGCGTTCGGCCGCAAGTGCCTGTTCGTGTGCGTCTTGCAAAGTCTTGTGCTGTGCCTGAGCTTCGGCCATGGCAGCTTCACGCTCTGACTGATGCGATTGAAGAGTTTTTTCATATTGCGTCTGGGCCTCAGCCAGGGCAGCCTCGCGCTCCTCCTTGACAGTCCTAAGAGTGTGTTCGTGCTCCTCCTTGGCAGCCTTAAGCGCTTGATCGTGTTGTGCCTTAGCCTCAGCCAAGGCAGTCTCACGCTCTGAATGATGCGATTGTAAGGTCTTCTCGTACTGCGCCTGGACCTCGGCAAAGACTTTCTCGCGCTCCTGCTTCGCAGCCTCAAGCGCCTGCTCGTGCAACGCTTGCGCCTCGGCCAGGGCAGCCTCGCGCTCCTCCTTGACAGTCCTAAGAGCGTGTTCGTGCTCTTCCTTGGCAGCCTTAAGCGCTTGATCTTGTTGTGCATTAGCCTCAGACAAGGCAGCCTCGCGCTCCGACTGGTGCGACTGTAGGGTCTTTTCGTACTGCGCCCGAGCTTCGGCCAAGACAGTCTCGCGCTCCGACTGGTGCGATTGTAGGGTCTTCTCATACTGCGCCTGCGCCTCGGCCAAGGCAGCCTCGCGCTCCTGCTTCACAGCCTCAAGCGCTTGGTCGTGCTTCGCTTGCGCCTCGGCCAAGGCAGCCTCGCGCTCCTCCTTCGCAGCCTCAAGCGCTTGGTTGTGCTGCGCCTGGACCTCGGCCATGGCAGCCTCACGCTCCGACTGGTGCGATTGTAGGGTCTTCTCATACTGCGCCTGCGCCTTAGCCAGGGCAGCCTCGCGCTCCTGCTTCGCAGCCTCAATTGCTTGGTCATGTTGCGCTTGCACCTCGGCCAGGGCAGTCTCGCGCTCCTCCTTGACAGTCCTGAGAGCGAGTTCGTGCTCCTCCTTGGCAGCTTTAAGCGCTTGATCGTGTTGTGCCTTAGCCTCTGCCAGGGCAGCCTCGCGCTCCTGTTTCGCAGCCTCAAGCGCTTGGTCGTGCTGCGCCTGGGCCTCTGCCAGGGCAACCTCACGCTCTGACTGGTACGATTGTAGGGTCTTTTCGTACTGCGCCTGCGCCTCGGCCAGAGCAGCCTCGCGCTCCTCCTTCGCAGCCTTCAGCACCTGCTCGTGCTGAGCAAGCACACCTTCATGGCGCATCTGCGCATCAGCCCGCTCGGTAGAGAGAGCTTTGCTATGCTCAGCCTGCTGAGAAGCAAGCATGTCGCGGTGCGCCTGTTCAGCAACCGCCACAGCTGCCTCGCGCTCTTCTTGCGCGGCTGTTAGCGCCGCACTGTGCTGCGTACGCTCGGCATCTAGCACCTCGGCATGCTTCCTCTCGACAGCCTCGATAGCCTCAGCGTGCTCTTGCTGCACACGTTGCACGTTCCCCTTGGCTTCAGCCAGTGCCGTCTCCAGCTGCGAGATGCGAGCCACCCACTCGGCACGCGCTTGGTCCAACTGGTCCTCGTACGCACGCTGCGCGCGTTCTTGTTCGCTAGCATGCTCTGCACGCAGCGCCTCCAGTGCCGCATCGTGCTCGGTCTGCAGCCGCTCCAACGTCTCAGCATGTGTGCGCTCCTGGGCTTCCAGCGCAGCTGCATGCTCCTTACGAAGCGCGTCTTGCCGTGATTGCAGCTGCCCAATCGTTGTGGATGCCGTGTTGAGTTGCTCGCTGCGCGCCGCAGCAATCTTGTTCTCATGCTTCACAATCAGGTTTGTGACCGCACTCTTGTGCTCGGTCTTGAGCGCCTCAATCGCCTTTTTCTGCTCGGCTGCATGCGCCTCGCGCATTGACGCTAGCTCCGTGTCCCGGCGCTCCAGCTCCGCTAAGTGCGCCTGGCTTAGAGACTCGACTTGACGTGCATGCTCGTCCGTGAACTGCTGCAGCTTCTCGAGAGCCTCAGCATGCGCCACCCTCTTTGCATTGAGCTCCTCTCGCAGCTGCGCTAGAGTCTCTTCATGCGCCTTTTGCGCATCGGCATGCCGCGTCTTCCAGGCCTCGAGCGCCTGGGCGTGCTCAGCGGCACGCTCCTCAAGAAGCGCCTCGTGCTCCGCTTGCATCGTGGCTAGGGCCGTGGCATGCTTCTGCTCCAGCGCGTCCACCGCCTCTCGGTGCGCTTGCGCCTGTGACGCGAGCTCGGCAGCCTGCGTCTTCTCCAGCGCACGCAGCTGCTCGTCACGCTCGGCACGCTGGGCCTCCCATGCGCTACGCTCCTTTGCATGCTCGTCCTGCCGCTCGCCCAGCACCATTGCATGCTTTTTCTCTAGCGCTGCCACGGCCTTGGCATGACGATCCTGGAACTGCTCCAGCTTCATGTCGTACTCAGCCTCTAGAGCGGCCACAGCCTCGGCCTTCTGGCGCTCGTGCTCAGCCCACTGCTGCGCATGTGTCGCCTGGAGCTCTTGCACATCGCGCGCGTGCTCGTCTTTCTTGGCCGTGAGCGTCTGTTCTAGCGATTGGAGGCTTGACTGATGCACCGCTTGAGCTTCCGATGTCCGCTGTGCATACTCACTCTCGAGGGCCTCGAGGGCCTTGGCGTGCTCTGCGGCTTGGGCCGTCGTTTCGTCCGCATGTCGTGCCTCGAGTGCCTTCAACGCGTCGGCCTTGTCGCCTCGGTGTGCTTCCAGCTCAGTTGCATGCTTCGCTTCCAGTGCCTGCAGTGCATCGGCCTGCTCCGATGCCTGCTTCTCTAGCGCTGCATCGTGCTCACGGCGCAGACCCTCCATAGCAGCTGTATGCGCCTGGTCTTGCTCTGCGAGCGCCCGCTCGTGCTGCGCTTCCAGAGCTGCAAGCGCTTCAGTATGCGCAGTGCTTTGCCTCGACAGTTCCTCACGGTGCGTGCGCTCCAGCCTCTCGTGCGCCTGCTTTTCACTCAAAGACGCCTCCTGCAATGCACGCGCGTGGCTCTCTTCCACCGACTGCAGATCAGACTTGTGCTGATCCTGCGCTGCGGCCATGGCCTTGGCATGCTCTGCACGCAGCATATCGAGGATGTGGGAGTGTTCTGTCGACCGCTGCGCAAGCACCTGGTCGTGCTCTGCCCGCAGTCCATCTAAACGCGTCTGGTGCTCACGCTGTAGCGACTCAAGAGCCTCGCGGTGTTGCACCGATTGCACGTCTAGCTTCTGCGCATGCTCCGCTTGCGAGGCATCCAGTGCTTCCCGGTGCTGGCGCTCGAGCTCGGCGATCGCAGCCTCATGCTGGCTCTGCAACTCGGCACGCTCAGCGTCACGCTCTGTGCGAGCCTGTGCGAGGGCCGCGGCCACCGCGTCCGTCTCCACCTCCTCCATCATCTCGGGTCGCACACTGTAGCCTTCTGCTGCAAGTTCCGCGCCCAACCCGCCGCTCGGCGCCTCGACAGGCGCGCCAGCCGGCATCGATGGCGACGATCCAAGCAGGCTCGCCATAGTTGGATCAAGGACTGGCTCTTTAACAATGACGCTCTCGTCGCCCATTGAGGCGTCCACCCACTCCCCGGCAGGGCCCGCGAGCGACCGAGTCGACTCTAATGATACAACGCGCGGTCGCGACCCCTTGGCCGCGCGGAACCGGTGGCGGGGCACGGGCTTCTCTGGCGGCTCATCCATCCAGGCGCGGCTATCCTCGTCCTCGTCAAAAGCGGGCGAGTCATTCTCGTCGTCTGTCTCAGCATCGGGACCCTCCAGCCCTGCCTGCGCGAGGGCCTTGCGCAGGTCACTGATTTGCTCGCGCAACTTTCGCTGCACTTGACTATCGCGTCCCATACGCTTGATGGCCATAGAAAGCTTGGCACGCAGCTCGTCGACTTCAGACGAACCCGTGGAGACGGGCCACGTCACACCTGGCTCGTCCGCGCCGTGGAGCGCTGCATCGTCACTCTCTTCCATGACATTGTGCTCAGTCGATGCTTGGGGCTGGGCATCTTCGTCCTCCAAGACCGTGGGCTCCATACGCGGCGCACTCGAAGGTGCGTCTCGGTGCTGCAGTTGCTTGATCTGCCCGTGCAGGTCCGAGATGTTGCGGCGGAAGCGCGCGCGCTCACGACGGGCTGATGCCTCTTCAGTCTCACGCTCCTTGCGGAGGCGACGGAGGACTTCTTCATTTTCCTCGAACTGTGTGCGCTGCGCCTCGAGGGCCTCGCGCACCTGGTCCAGCTCTTCGTGCAATCGCTGGCGCTCGAGATCGGCTTTGGACTGCGCGCTAGACCGCGAGGCAAGCTTCTCCTCCAGCTGCTGCTGCATCACGTAGAGGTCCCAGTTTTCCTGCTTGAATACTTCGTGCTTCTTTTCGAGCTCCAGTACCCGTGCGCGCATAGCCTCATACAGTTTTTCTGCGTCCGCCTTGCTTTGGCGCAGGCGGTCAAGCTCGTCGCGGCTCTTGAACGAGGGGCTTGGCGAGAACGAAAATGGAATATGACGCGATAGTGACGCTCGCTTCGGTCCAGCGGGAGGGCCACTGATGGCTAGACTCGAGCTGATCTCCTGGAACAGCCGGTCGCGCTGCTCTTGCAGGTCGTGCAGTTCAGCTTGCACGCGCTCGGCAACCTCTGAAGATTCATCTGCACGACTTGGATCATTCAGCTCTTCTAGTAAAGCCTCCAGCATACGCTGGTGCTCAAGCAAGCCCTGACCAAGGAGCCCCGCGGCGTAGGTTTGTTCCTTCACCGCATCAAGACCCGCTTCGAGCTCATGGATTGGCGTCGCCATAGGAAAGAAAGGATAGCTCCTACTTGAGACGAACGTACTGTGAGCAGATTCGTGTCGCCTAGCTTGCAAGGTGGCAGGAGCGCAGCGTGCAGAAGATCCGTCGATCCCTTCGACGCTGGAGCGTGTGAAGTAACGCGCCACCCGCGCCCTCCACTGTGTTGGATTACTCGGCCGAGTTACGACCATGGCCGGCCCGCCAGTCTACTTACGCGCTGTCTACATCCTGGGTGCCCGTGTATGCGGGCAGGATCTGGCACGCGCCCTTCCAGTCAAGGCGGCCATCGCAGAGCTGCTTGACCACGTCCACAACTTGGTCCACCGTACCAATGCGCTGAGTGGTCGTGTCGCGCTCACGCAGCGTAATAGTGCCCTTCGACACAGAGGCAAAGTCAATCGTGCATGCGAACGGCGTGCCCAGCTCGTCGTTGCGCGCGTAGCGGCGGCCGATCGTCGCGCTACTGTCATCGATACGCGAAGCGATACCGAGAGAACGTAGCTTCTTGCTCAGCTGGCGGGCCAGGGGCGACAGTTGCTCGTTCGAGCTGATCGGAACAATGAGCACCTTGAAAGGCGCCACGAGTGGCGGCAGACTCAGCACACCACGCTCCTTATCCTCTTCACGTGCCCAGAAGGAGTGCTCCAGTAGGGCATAGAAAATACGGCCGATGCCGAACGATGGCTCAATGACATTCGGAATAAAGTTGCGCACGCTCTCCTTGATGGTCTTGTACTCCACAGTGACGTGCTCCTTCGTCACATCAAACGTCTCGCTGCCAGCCGTCACCTTAGCCGAGCCACTCTCCAGGTCCGCCTGCATCTGCTTCAGCGAGTCCTGGTCCAGGGCCATGATCGTGTCCTCAATAAGCTTGGCGTTCTTCTTGAACAGGGGCCCGAGTACCTTCTTGTTGACCGTCGGCACGTACTTTTGGTACACCTTCGGCTCCTTGAGCGGCTCCTGCACCATTAGGTCTCGCTTCGTCTTATTTGAGTGCATCGTCAGGTCGAACGCACTGCGGTCGGCACAGCCCACACACTCGATCCAGCCGTACGAAGTGTGAATCTCGGCGTCCCAACAGTCGCACGCATAGTGTGCCATCTCGTTCTCCATGTGCTGGCGGAAGCGAAGGCGGCTCGTATCAATGCCAATAGCCTCGAGGAATAGGTAAATACGGCCCAGGAAGTAGCCCAGGGTCTCGTTGTTCACCATACCCGTCGACACAGCCTCGCCAATCGACACCTTCTTCACAGTCGTGTCACCGGCCTTCTGCGTCGAAGCGGGAAGGAAGGGCAGTACCAGGTTGGCCACCTCACTGAAGCGAGAGTGCGACTTGTTCTCGGGGTCGACAAAGTGCTCAATCTCCGCCATAGTGAACTCACGCACACGCAAAAGACCCGCACGAGGGCTGATCTCATTGCGGAAACTCTTGCCAATCTGCGCACTGGCAAAAGGAACACGTCCATTGTTGAAGTCGAGCAAACGCTCAAAGTTCACAAAGTGACCCTGCGCGGTCTCAGGGCGCAGGTAGCCCTTGGTCTGACCCGTGGGGCCAATGAAACTTTCAAACATGAGGTTGAACTCTGTGGGAGCCGAGACCTCATTCCCGGTCGCAGGAGCGCGAATATCGTACTTCTTGATCAGCTCACCCAGCTGTTCGCCGTTAAAGTCATCGATCTGTGCCAGAATGCGGCGGAACTCGGCGACCTGCTCATCGGGCAGCTTGACGGCCACCGACTTGGCCTTTTTCTTTGTCTTTTTCTCGTCAGCGGAGGGCGCCGACTCAGTCGCGACAGACGCTTGGCCAGCCTCCTTAGCGCGTGCTTCCTCATCGCCCTTCAAGCGCGCCTCGAGCACGCCCTCAACCATGTGGTCGGCACGGTAAATCTCACCGCTCTTTGTGTCCTTGACCATCCAGTCGGCAAACTTGTCGACATGGCCCGAGGTTTTAAGAACATCCGACAAGGTCATGATGGTCGTGTCAAGCTCAAGCATATCCTCTTCAATAATAAAGTGGTTGCGCCAGTGGGTGATGATGTTCGCCTGAAGCGCAGCACCACTAGGTCCGTAGTCATACAGACCAGCCACTCCGCCGTAAATTTCGAACGCCTGCGTGTAGAAAAAGCGCTTCGTCATAAGACCCTCGAGCTGCGCGCGCTCAAAAGGGTGGGCATCCTTCTTCACGATGGATTGCTCAGGCTGGACAGCCGATGCCATTGTTCGTCGTGTACAAAAACTCTTTGGGATAAAAATCACTCGGTTGGTCCTAGAAGCTACGGTCGAAACTCGAAATGAACTTCGCCAAGCCGCAGTGAGCATCCACACACCAACGCTGCGAAGACCCTCGGGGCACCTGGCCATCTTCACGTCATGTGACTGCCTTTCGCTCAACATCTGGGCGGCCCCTGCGCGTCCTTCCACGTGGCCGATATCGACACCTAGCATGTTCGCTCGAGGCGCACGAGCTGCATGGGCCTGTGGTGCACGAGCTGCGTCGGGCCAAAATGCGCTGCTTCGCATGGTGCCCCGCTCCGTGAAGGCTACGGCTCTCGTAGCGGTCGGTGGCTGTGCTCTCGCTAGCCCGCTGCTAGCCGATGCGCCGCTCTTCGAGGCGCCGCCGCCGACGGAGCACCGCTTTCCCCTTCTATCTTTCTTAGCTTGGGGCTCTAATGCACAGGGCGTGCCTGCACCGGATGGCAAGGCATCGAGTGTGCCCTTTCCCAAAGTATTGCAGGTGCTCGACGGCATGGCCTGGCGCGATGTACAGCTGAATGAAACTTGCGCTGTGGCCGTAGACGCGGGCGGTGACGTTGTGCAATGGGGGACCGGCTTTGATGCATCCAAGGAGGCAGGCCCGGCCAAAACCTTGACTGGTATGGATATTCAACGTGTGCAGCTTAGTGGTGGTAAGGTGTATGCTCTCTCGCGCTCCGGTCATGTATATGTCTTTTCTCAAGCTCGGGAGCACCAGCAGCCCGTCAAAAGCTCGTGGCTTTCCTCGTCCATCGATGTCGTCAAGCTGTCCGCAGACGAAAAGCTGGTCGACATTGTGGCGGGCGATCATCATGTGCTGGGCCTCTCACGACAGGGCCGTGTCTATTCGATTCCAGCGGATGACCTGGCGAACGAATATGGCCAACTGGGGTACTCTACGGTTCAGCTTGGTCTTAATGAGTCGACACGAGCGTACGAGGCGCAGATGGAGCCAGCGGTGGTACGCAGGAAGCGGGCTGCGACCTTGTCGATGAGCAGCGCCAGCGAGCCTGCGCCTACTCGTCCGCCGACAGATATCCGCTACGCCACTTCCTGGCGCCTAATTCCGTCACTAGGTGAATCGAGGTTTGCGGAGATTGCGGCTGGCTCCGCGCACTCAGCTGTTCGCACCGAGGACGGCCGTGTACTTTCCTGGGGCCAAAATTCAAATGGCCAACTCGGACTGGGTGCACACGTTACGTTTGAGACAATCGCTGTACCTCGCGAGGTCGAGTTCCCCCTCTCTGTCGTCGGTCGTCACGCTAAGTGCACCAAAATTGCTGCAGGGGGCGCGAACACCTTTTTTGTGATGCACAGCCGCGGTGCACCTGTAGCATCGGAAAAAGGCCCAATCAAGGCAGATGAGCGCGTGGACGTGTTGGCTGTTGGAGCCGGTCAGCGAGGCACACTTGGCAACGGTCAGCGAAACCAGTCCTGCGGGATTCCCGTGCGAGTCAAAGTGGTGTCTGGTATGCAAGAGTACTCCGAGGCCCATCGTGGCATGCGCCCCATTGATGTACATGCCATCACTGTTGGCGACAGTGGCCAGTGTGCTCTCGTCATGGAAGCGCCATCCGTTGGCGACCAGACTCGTCGGGATGTCTATGTGTGGGGCAACAACAGCGCTTCTCAGCTGGCGAATGGCAAAAAAAATCACTCCGCCGTTCCTATACTATTGTCTATGATGGACAAGGCGGAGACATCCAAGGACTCGGATGCTGAGCCTGTCCAAGTCCGTGTATTGCTCGTGGAACAGGTCAAGACCCGTGCCAAAAATTTTGACGGTCGAGAGCGCACGTACCATATCGAGCAGCGCATTGTGGCGGGCGGTTCTTGCATGGCATTGTATGCAGGCGTCGTGTAGACTTACAGCGGGCGCGTTGTCCAACCCAGACGCTCGTATGACCAGCCAAACACAGTCTGTGTCTTGGGGTCGAACACCTTGCACAGGCGATACTGGCGCTTAGGGTCATTTTCGATGCTGCTAATCCTGGCCATCTGTGCCTCAGAAAGCTTCACGACCTTGAAGTTTTCTTCGATACGGTGAGGCGTAACGCTCTTCGGCAGGACCACGACATTGCGCTGCACGTTCCAGTTAAGGATCACTTGTGCGGGAGTCGCGCCCACCTCCTTGGCAACTGCCAGTACATCCTCGTCCTTGAAAATAGGCGAGTCTGTCAGGCCCAGAGGCGAGTAGGCCGAGACGACGATGCCGTGCTTCTGGCACAAAGCGACCAGGTCACTCGTCTGGTTGTACGGATGCGTCTCAATCTGGTTCATCGCCGGTATGACCTTGGCATGCTCGAGCAAGTGCGGCAGCGTCTTGGTGCTAAAGTTGCTTACACCAATAGCCTTCACCTTACCGGCACGCGTTTCAAGAAGACGCTCCATGTTCTTCCAAGTCTGAACATAGTCAATGGAATCGTCAGCCACATTGGGCTCGTTCGGCTTAGTCGAGTTGGGCCAGTGCATCAAGTACATGTCGATGTAGTCGACATTGAGCAGTTCAAGCGAGTGGTCAAAGGCTGCTTCCACGTCATGGTGGCAGTCATTGCGCAGCTTCGTCGTAACAAAAAGCTGCTCACGAGGCACGCCACTCTCACGTATTCCCTGACCGACCTTGTCTTCGTTCTGGTAGTAGGCTGCCGTGTCAAAGTGGCGGTAGCCCACTTTGGCAGCAGTTTTGACGGCATCCACGACTTGCTGACCACCACCAGGCTTGCCCATGTAACATCCCAAAGCAATCATAGGCACCTTGGCACCAGTGTTAAGCGTAGCAATCGGTTGAGACTCTGCCATTGTAACTTGATCGTAGAACGAAGATAGGCTTTGCCCGCCTACCTAATCGGTAGGGCCCTCGCACAGACGGGGAATCCCACGTGAAGTCACGTGAAGAAAGCGGCCAGCTAAGGGTCTGACCGAGACCGCCGACGCCATCGCCAGCGTCTGCTGCGCAATCGTTGTGGACCATGTCGAATGAGCCGTCTTACGAGGACTATGTGGAACGGTATGTATATGATTTCTGATAAAAGCATCCACTATTCTGAGAAGTATTCTGACGACAAGTGGGAGTACCGGTACGTGGTGCTGCAATGCTTGCTTATACCCAGACATGTCATCCTTCCCAAGCCGTTTTTGAAACGCATCCCTAAAAGTTACTTTGACCCTGAAGAGCCAGGTGTACTGCGAATTCTCTCCGATGCCGAATGGCGAGGAATCGGCATTACTCAGAGTCTCGGATGGGAGCACTACGAGGTGCATGGTACGTCGCAGCACGGCTTACACGACAGCGCCTGAGCCCCATATCCTCCTCTTCCGCCGCGAGAAGGACTACCAGGAAAAGGTACGGAGAGAATGTTTTGCTGACGCGCCAGTATGGCCCCCAGGGCAAGCCTTCCGATGCGGCCAAGATCAAGGCGGCCCAAGCCACCAATGCTCAAGCCCACCCGTAGATACATTCTCTCATCGCCCATTGGCGCCTCAGAGTGGCTTGTAGGTCTGTATTTTGTATGGATGCCTTGTCGCAGCAAGTCGGCTGACTATACCGGAGAGGCCGGCCGATTTTCCTTTCGGGCCACGATGGTGCCAACCAACGAGCTGGACTCGGCGGTGCTTTTGTCCCAACCGCGCAGGGCCGTAGACATGCTGTGGGGTATGCCGGCTTTACTGACGATAGCAACGCATAAAGACTCTCATGTTATCCGCCGTCAATTAGACCAGCAGTACGGTGACTTACGCGGGACACGCGATTGGGACCAGGCACGTTGCCTGCAGCTGACCGCAGATTCCCTACTTGACGCCTTCAAATGTGAAGCAGTTACTGACCGCCTCACAATCAACCGAAGGCCGTGAAAATGGCGTGCTTGTCCGCTGGCAATGTATGATCCAGGACACAGGGGTATGTTAGTCCACTAACGATGAGCTGGGATTTGAGCTTTACGTGTCATCGCTGAACCATCAGGGCAGGCGTGAATGTGCGATGTATGGCAATGATATCAAATATGCCGAGCAGGAGTTTGATTCTACGTTGATGAAAGATGATGGTATGGCTGAACGTGCTGTATTCTTTGGCGTTTCACTACCTGGCATGACCAACTGGGCGCATGAGATGGCCGTGGGTTCCACGCCTACCGTGGCGGAAGCACTCGAGCACCTACATGTGGATGTGACAGATGTGAATCGTGCCCCGCTCTCCGAAGACCCGAGCGTGACAGCGGTGATCAAGATGTACGATTTGGAGGAAGCCGAGAAACTGAAGACAACAGATGTGATTGACCTCGTCGGTATCCTCGGTATCGACGCTCAGCCCACGGTTGATTGGCATTTGAGCGAAGAAGAGGCAGCCATCCAGTGGATGCCCTCTATTCACGTCTTGCATTGGACGCACACGCCATTACACTCTATGACGCAAGCATTCTTGCAGCAAGTATCAGTGCCAGAGACAGAAAATGCCATGCCTGCCCCAAGGCCTTTTCCGTTTGCTGACCAAGATGCCTTGCGTTCTGGTCTTATCGACTACCTGGCCACAGCCCTCGGCAATGATACACTGGCCGCAGAGTATGTGCTATTGGTCTTGTTAGCCAGAATTCATGCACGTCGTGCCGGTATGACGGTGGGGTCCATTTCTCTCAACCTCTCGGGCATGGTCGACCATGAGCTTTTGCCGGTCCTAGAGTCACTTATGCCCGCGGTGGTTCGGCAGCCACTGAGCCTTGCCACACTTAACGATCCAAAGCACACTCTGTTTGTGCGACATGAAGAGCCGAACGCGTACGCCGGCCGCCTGCAGCTCCCGAACGGGACGTGTGTGGTGGTGGATGAGCGAGAGATGCAAGAGGGTAAGCTGCAAGATCATGGAATAAAAAATATCAGCGCACTCGCGTCCGTGCTACAAAAGTACTCGCTGCCCTACGTGCTGCCCTACTCAGAGCTGCATCTGGACACCGACTTGATCATGCTCATCGTTAGTGAAGGCAAGACATTTTTGCCGGTCGATGTGCACGTTCCGCTACACAGTACACAGGCGAGTATGGCGCCAAGCGCCTCGGTCGAGGCTTTGCAGACTTGGCGCGCTTATTTGGCGCGCACGCGCCACAATTCACTTGCTATCCCTGAAAGTATGTCGCAGCACATCCAGGACGATTTTGTCGAGCGGCGACGCATCTCTCCCGAGTTCAACCAGGAAGATCTGCAACGATGTCTTAGTGTTGCGCGCCTCCTTGCGCTTTCTCACGGCCACGCCGAGCTGACGCCGGACATCTGGCGCCGCGCCGTGTCCCTGGACGAGGCACGTGCGGCACGGCTGGCTCCGCCTCCATAGACTAACACCTCCACACAACAAGGCTGACCCTATGGTCCGCGAACGAATCCAACGTGAGAGGCCGGGACGCAGGGAGAGCGAGCGGGCCAGCTGGTCCTACGCGAATGCATCGCCTCACGTTCAGCGTGCCGTATATGGAACGCCGCCTGCGCCATTCTCAACACCTAGACGCCCCCGAACCACAACGCCAGTGGCCTCGTCGCCCCTACAGCGTAAAGGCGCGTATGCAAGCCCAAGCGTCGCGCCACATGTTCTTGGCCATGTAGGTGCAGACTCGCAAGAGGACCTGGATGTGTCACAAAAATTGACATGGCAAGACTGGTATGTGGACCCGGCTCACGCAGGCTCGAGCAGTGGCCCAGTGTGCTACTCGCATATGCGCAAGGCTGGTGGATGGACCTACAGGCGTTTGTGCACAAACCCGAGCTTGGCGTACCCGTGGGCCTCTTTTTGCATGTGCTCTCGCTACTCGCTCAGCTCTTATTGCCCGGCTCCTCGTTTAGCGGGGGGCGCCGCTCCGCGGGCGCGCTGCGCCATTCGTCACATCTCTTTGCAAGTCACAAGCGCTACACATCAGATGCAAGTAGTGTGCGGGCATACACGGAACACCTAAGCCGCATGATCTTATCTCAGCGCCATGCCGCACAGCGATGGACCGTATGTGTCGATCACTAACGCAGTCTCGTATGATGTCGCTGGCCTTGTGTGCGGTGGCCCTATACAATGCATATGTTTTATTTTCCAAACACCGCACGTACCGCCTGTGGTACCGCGACGCGCAGGTACGTGGCCACCCTAACGATTCAGGATCTTGTTCGCAATTCGCACGCTCGGCTCGAGGCACCGCCAACCGCCGCGGCGCCGCGGCGGACGTGGAAAGCATGGGCGAAGTATGTGACATGTTGCCTCACACAGACACATGGGCCTACTTATCGCGCGCCAGATCCCGATTGTCGAATGGTTCGTTCCGGCGCCTGTACACGAGTCACGGCCTACGGAGGCAAGTGAGCGCATTTATACGTTGCGGGTGTGGGACGTATACGAAGCGCCGCTGTGGCTGTTCACGTACGTTTTCAGGGCTAACGTTAGGGTATACTCGCCAGCACATGCTCTGTGGTGGAGCGTCGCAGGCTCCCTAGGACTGCATCCTGCCGTGACATGGCTCATAACGGGTGCGCTGCTCACGCTCTTTTCTGCGCAGGCGTACATTCTAGCGAGCGAGTACGAGGCTCTTTTGAAAGACCGGCAGCTCTTACAGGCAGAAATGCTGCATGAGTACGACGAAAAGGCACGTAGTGTGTGCTCACGCCAGTTTGTACTGCCACGGGCGATGCCCCTCGTCCGCGACGCGTGTACCATGACAGACGAGTAGTTATGCAGGAGACATAGATGGGCTGCGTGGTGCATGCTCAGGCGGTGCGGGCCAGCCATGGTCGACGGGCGCGTACCTTGCCTCGCCGCGGGGCGCGGGCCATGGGCGATCGTGTGTCGTGCGGGACGGGACGCGCGGCTCACGCACCTCCAAGTCGGGCCTCTGGGTCAACGAGACGGTCACATGCGCGCCATCGATCTGCCCCTGGTCCATATGCGCGATGGCGCGATCGGCGGCCTCCTCCGTGTCATATTCGAGCACAGCCCATGGGCGTGCATTTGTGCGGAACAAGCGGAGACGCACGAGAGTGCCATAGTGCATAAAAATGTCGTCTAGATGTCGTTCATACACGCGCTCTGTAAGTCCATACACATAGACAACGGTAGACGGCGCCGTATGACTGGTTTCCTCGTCACGAGACATACACGGCGGAGGCGGTGAGGACAACGCCGCGATGGGCTGTGCTGACCTAAGCCCTAACAAAGACGCTCAACACGGTCCGTGCGCACAAAAGCCAGGCGCTGGCGCCTGGCGACCCGCATGGGGCGCGAGAGCGTATGGCCCCTAGGCGTAGCATGTGTGTGTGTCATCATGTGCACTGTTTGGCATGCTAGGGTAACGCTAGCGACGCTTACAAGCGGTCTCCAAGCCGATATGGCAACCTGGCAAGTGGGCATGGTCGCCGCATGCGAACACGCTGCGCGGGCGCTCGAAGTGTGGCGCGCGTGGCCACAGATCCTTGTTCCCTCTGTCGTCAATGCTGCTGCTACGGCGGCCGAGTCGGGTGTGCACTCCCTGGGCCATGCTGTGCTAAGCATGTACGTCGATGTGGCTGACGCAGGCTGCAAATGATGCAGATCCTTGTGCATATCGTCTGTTCGTCATATAAGACTCTGTTGCTGTGCACGGTGCAGCTTGTTGTCCAGAGTGTGCTGTCTGTTCTTGACACAGCAGCCCAGGCCATCGCGGTGGCCGTCCATGATGCTGCGCATGCACTGCATGACGTGCTCACCGCGGCCGGCGAGGCAGGCGTCGGTCTCGCGGATATAGCAGTGGATGGGCTCAACGGTGTCTTGGGCCTTACAGGACACACGGTCACACCACCTACGTGGCATGAGCCGGATGCGCTGCGGTACGTAACAGATACTTACGCAGGGCGCTCAGCAATGTCACGATTCCCCTCTCTCTCGTTGATCCGTTCCGCGCGATCCGCGCAGACCTTCCAACGGTGAGTGACCTGCGCCTGGATGCCGAAGATGCGCTAGACGCGGCCTTGACAGCTGCACAGCAGCGCGTGAATCAAAGTAGGTACCGCATGCTCAGTCAGCGCTCGTACATCTTGCTCTTCCGCGGCCTGCATGGTCACCCCCAGCCGTGCCGGACGCTCCAGTGTGTGGCCCCGAGGTGGCACGCTGGCTACAAGAGGCGCGCCCGGATATACAGCGCCTCGAGCACAATACACGCATGTATCTACTGGCGATGGGCGCTAGTGCTGCCGTTGTCCTGCTTGTGGTCGTGCTGCTGAGCAGGCGAGGCGCGCCGGCCGTGCCCCGCCTTGAGAAAGGCGTCACTGAGGGAGTGGACACCCAATCGACGCGCATCCCGTGGTGGAGACTGTATGCTCAGTGGCTTTTGGCGCCTACGACGGTTGTCGTTCTTGCAGGTAGTGCCATGAGCCTCCTCAGCCACGAGCTAGTGGCTGTGGGTGTACGTTGCATGAGTGCGACCCTACACCATGCACTGGCCACGGAGCCAACGCGGCCACTAGCGTTGGACAACGCCGCTTGGCAAGCTGCTGTGGATCAGACATGGAGCGACGTGGATGTGGCCTGGGCGGATGCCGAGCAGACACTCACACAGGCCTTCTTCGGCTGGCTCAATGGGACAGTGGTCGCCACACATGACGTACTGCATGGCGCACTTGATCTCGCCACCGGTACCGTGGACGACACCCTGGGCTCCACGCCACTGCACGACCCTGTCTCGCAATTTGTGCAATGCGTGCTCGGCAGTAAAGTGCACAGCGTCGACAGCGCACTGCAGTGGGCCCAAGCGCATGCCGTTGTGCATCTACCCCGCCTGCCCACCATGCCGCCCTTGCCGCCCTTGCCGCTCGACGCGTGGGCGCAGCACGCACGCACAGACCTGTCGACGATACTGTCGACGTGGGACGAACGTGCTATGCGTTATCTCGCACTGACGCGCTTGCAGGCGGTGTGCGTACTGACGGGCGTTCCGAGTGTGCTGCTCCTGCTGGCTATTAGCATCACCTACACTAGCTCAGCGGTGCGGCTGGCCGGCTCGGCGAGGCGTCTGCAGGCGCCGGCCCCCGCGCATGCAGATCCGTGTTGGCGATCGTAAGCGACTTGGTGCAATGGTGCGTCTTGTACACGCCAACGAGGCGCGAGCTGAGCTCGAACATGTTGTTGCGCAAAGAAATCACGACAAACTGGGCGCCGCGTGTGCGCTCCTTGATGATGTTCGCGATGATCGATACGTTGCGGAAGTCGAGTGCAGCATCGATTTCGTCCATGACATACAAGGGTGTCGGTTTGTATGCGTGTAGTGCGAATACGAGTGCCAGACTGCTCAGCGTCTTTTCGCCGCCACTTAGATTGCTGATGTTTTTCCAGCTCTTCTTCGGGGGCATCACACTGAACAAGATGCCTTCGCTGAATGGATCGAGGCTGTCCACAAGCTCGAGCTCCGCATTGCCGCCCAGCGTAATGGTCTGGTACATTTCCTTGAGCTTGAGTGAAATTTGTGAAAAGCCTTCCATGAAGCGCTCAAGGCGCTCCTTGCGCAGCGCATCAAAGCGCGCCTGCGCCGCATCGCGCGACGCCGTCGTCTCATCGAGGTCAGCTGCGCGCGTCTCGTATGTGGCATCCACGCGCCGCACCTCTTCCAGCACGTCGACATCGACGGCACTGTGCCGTGCACGTGCCTCGGCGGCGGCGAGCGCTGCCTGCAGCGCACGCCGATCGATCGCACGGATGGCCTCGTCGCTCAGTGACTCGAGAACGGGCATTTCAGCGTCCGCCTCATTTTTCACGGCGCCGCGGGCAGGCGGTACAGGGTGCAGCGTCAGCTGCGCATGCTGCGCCTCCCAGTCGCGCAGGCGCGCAGTGCTGTCCGCGTGCGCCCGCTCGAGGTCCTCGCGCCGCTGCGCCCACTCAAGCTCCTGTGTGCGGAACGCATGCAGCGACGCATCGTGTTCATCAAGGCGCGACTGCACCTCTCGGCGCGCGTCCGTACGGTCCTCGAGAGCATCACGCGCAGCTTCCACTTCGCGACGCACGTCCTCGACCTGCACCGCATGCGCCGCAGCAGCCTCGCGGTGTGCATCGAGCTCCGCCTCGAGAGTCGCGAGCGACTCGTCGTTCGACTGTGTCGCCCGCTCGTGCCGGCGCGCATCGCTCTCCGCGCGCGCATGTGCCTCCTCTGCGCGCGCAAGGCGCTCGTGGGCGAGTGCAATCCGGTCCTTGAGGCCCGCCACCTTGCCCTGCTGCGTGCGCAGCTCCAGACCGCCCGCTTCCAGGATCTGCTCCTGCAGCGCATGGATCGCTGCCTCCACATCGCCACGCTTCGCCCGCAGTGAAGCCAGCTCGGCGTCGTGCGCGTGCAGCGCGGCGTCGAGCTCAGTCACGCGTCTCGCGTCGGCGGCGTCAGGCACAGATATGGCCTGCGTCTCGTGCAGGCGGTGCTCTGCATCAGCGATACGCTGTGTCGTCGTTTCCACGTCCATCTCCCGCAGTGCAAGCTGCTGCTCAAGCAGCGGCGCCCGCGCCTCGTGCTCCTGTACGAGCGCCTCAAGCTGTGCGACGGATGCCTCTTGGCCACGCAGTAGCGTCTCGGCAGCCTCGAGCTCCTTTTCGAGGCGTGCCAGTTGCTCTGCCGAGACATCGTCCATGAGCGTCGCGCCCATCAAGCCACGGATCACGCGCGAGCCACCGCCGGACATGGTACCGCTACGATCGATCAGCTGTCCGTCCTCAGTAACAACGCGCCAGCGTCGTGCGCCATAGGCAATGCGGTTCGCCTGCGCGAGGTCCTTCGCCACGAGTGTATCGCCAAGCTGGTGGTAAAAGGCAGGCGCAAAGCGTGCGTCCTTCGGCGCCACAAGATCGAACAGGCGCGGCACGCCCTCGGGTGTCGTGATGCGCGCCATCGCCCGTGCATTCACCTGCAGGCTCTGAAGGAGCACAAAGTTCGCGCGACCCAGCTTGTGGCGTCGCAAGTGCTCGATGCACTGCTGCCCCGTCGCCACGCTGTCGACGACAAGGTGATTTAGGCCTGGGCATGCCGTACTGATCGCCACATCGTATCGCGGGTCGATGGTACCGAGGCTCCCGAGCCGCCCATGGAACCCACTCAGCAGGCCCAGCTCAGCCTGCCGCACAAGGCTGTTCAGCACGTCGCCGCGCGAGCGCGTCTGCTCGATCGAGTGCCGTGCATCTTGCGCCGCACGCCGCGCGACATTGCGCTTCTCACGCAACGCTGCGACGTCCGCCTGCATGGACGCAAGCTGCGCCTCCTCGTCATCCCGCGCCGTGGCCAGCGACTGCTGCTCGTACCGCAAGGCCTCCACCTCCTCCGTCTGGGTCTGCAGCGCACGCTGCAGGTCCGCCAGGGCCATGCGCGCCTCGTCGACGCGCTGCGACGCCTCGTCTGCGCGCGACGCAACAAGCTCGCGCTCCTGGGCCGTCATATTGCGTTTCGCCAAGAGCGCGTTGATCTGCTCGGTCCATGGGGCCAGCTCCGCCTGCCGCACCTCGAGTTTGTCGCGGAACGCCTGGGTCTTGTGCTTGAGTGCCTCGCACACTGCCTCTAATGCGCCCTCCTCGGTGGCGAGTGCCGCTTCATGCTCGGCAAGGTCGCGCCGCGCCGTTTCCATCTCGGCATCGGCCGTGGATGCGGCGCCCCGCGCCTCGGTCGCGAGGCGTTGGCTTTCCGCACGCGCGGTCGTCAGTTTTTTGCGCTTGCCGAGCAGCATCTTTTCGCGGGTGCTCAGCTCGACGCCCTGCTTTTCGAGATGCGCGAGATCGGTCGAATGCGCCTTGGCCTGGCCCTCCAACTCTGCACACGCCTGAGCGATCTCGCGGAGCTCGATGCGCAGGGTCTCGGAGGCGGCTTGCGCCTTTGCGTGCTGGGCGGACGCGGCCTCGACCTGCTCATCGAGCTCGGCAAGGGCGCGCTCGGCGTCCGCGCACTGGGTGCGGCAGTCGAGCATGTGTATCTGCCACAGGCGCGACTGCAGCTCCGTGAGCGCATTTTGGTCGCGCAGGCACTGCTCGGCCGCCTGGCGGCGCGGCTCGAGCGCGTCGCGCTCGCGCTGCACAATCTTGAGCCGATGCATCTTTTCGGCGCGCGTCTCATTCGCAGCATCAAGGGCCTGGGCATGCTCTTCAATCGGCTGCTTGTACGACGAGGTGCCGATCATGTCCTCGAGGTACTCGAGCAGCCCATCCTCGTGCTCGCTCTTGGCCTTGGGCGGCATCTGCGCGATGCTCTCAACCTCACCTTGGAGAATGAGGAAGCGCTTATGATCCAGGTCAATGCCACGCTCGCGCAGGAGCGAGGTGATTTCCGTAAAGGACGATTTCGTCCCGTTCAGTGTGTAGTGCGACGTGTTGTTCCGCAGCGCCGAGCGCGAGAGGATGAGGCGGCTGCCAGGCACGACGTCAAAGTCGTCCGAGTCAGGGTAGTCGATAATCTCACGGAACCACACCTCGACCGTGCACTGCGCGGGCGGCGTGCATCCCTCGCGGTGGTGGATGAGCTCGCCCAGCTTGCCCTGGCGCATCTTGTTGGCGCGCCATCCAAACACAAAGAGCAGCGCATCGATCACATTGCTCTTCCCGCTGCCGTTCGGGCCCACGATGCTCGAAAACGACTTGTGAAAGGGGCCAATCTCCTGGCGCCCTGCATACGACTTGAAATCCTGGAGCACGAGCTTGTGGATGACGAGGCGCCGCACCGGCGGCGGAGGTGGCCGCGGCATGACGGATGCGGGCGTACGCATCACCGTGCGGGGCGTCGCATGCGCGCGGGCGGCCGTGCGGGCGGGTGTCGCGGGAAACAGGCCCGCGCGCGCCGGCGTCGCGAGACCACGCGGCGCGCGCGGCGTCGGCGGAATAGGCCGGGACGGCGAGCGCAGGTGGGCAGGCGCGGGCGTCACTTTCGGCGCCGGCGCACGCACGCCAGGCTCCACGGCAGGGCGCGCTGCCGCGCCGTCCAGCTCGTCGGCCATGCGTACAACACGAGGCACGCGCGGCGCCGCCACGCAGCACGCGCGTGGGGAGGATATCACGTGATTTTTCTCGTCGTCGGCCGGGCGCCCCACGGGGCTGGGCCTGTGCACGGCTGGGCGTGCCCAGCGCCGGGGCCAGCCTTTTGATTTTTTTTTTTTCACCGTCTCCAGGGACGTGCCACGCGCCCGGGCGCCTCGCACGGATACGACTTGGCCACTACCTGCGTTGAACCGGTTCACGAGCTCTTGAATGATGAGCCGCCTACCATCCATCGCCCCTACGGCAAGTGGCGGCATGACCAGCGCGCCGCCGAAGCTAGGGACCGACGGGTCACATGGATCTCACTCGCCGATGGGGTCGCCGCGCCTCATGTTGTCGCACCATCTGCCTGGTGTGCTGTCTCCGTATCGTGACTCTTCCACACGCTTCCAGACACTAGGGAGTCCACGCACGAGCAGTCCTCGCATCTCGGCGCTGACGCGGGAGGCGTCGTTTGGGTCGTCACACTACCTGACCTCGACATCGCGACCAGCGTCGCCATCGCTCCCCCCTCTTGATTCGACATACTCGCTCTCGCCGGGTGCTGGTGCGCAGTCCGCGGCGGCCCGCATGTCGACCCGGCCGCTCCCGCCCCGCCGCAGCTCGGACATGAGTCGTCTCCCGGGGCCCGGCACCACCGATGCGGCCGTGTTTGACGAGTCCCCGCTCTCGCCGCGGGTGCAGTCGCCTGTGCCCGGCGACGCATCGCGCCCCAGTGCCCTGAACATCGTCACTGGGCCGAGCCGCGGGAGCGACTCTCCTGCGCGCTTCCACGAGGGCTACGTATCGAGCCCCAAGCGCGAGTCGTTCCGCTACGGCGCGCCGGGCTGGCGACCGTCCCTGAGTGGCTCGCGCGATGGCTCGCCATGGTTCGATGGCCGCAACTCGCCGTTTGCCTCGAGTGCCCTGCGTGGCGGAACGGATGCCGACAGTGCCTTGCGCGCCAGCGACACAGGCGGCGACGACGTGGCGGCCGCTCGCGCCGCTGGGCCGAGTGCGCCGACGCCCTACACGCGCGCGCTGCGGCCCGAGAGCCAGGTATATGCGTATCGGTCCTCCAGTTTCTCCGGCTCCTCGTCGCCGTACCCTGCGCCCTACATGCGGAGTATGTCCTACCGCTCGTCCGAGTGGCCCGTCCCGGACGCGTACGCGGACGGAGCGATTGCAAGCGAATTCACACGCAAGCACAAGGTGGAGAGCGATGCATACGGCGACAGTGCACCATCGCCGTACGCCGACTCGTACTATGCGCCATACACGCGGGGTGTGCTCGGCGCTGCGCCTCCGTACAAGTACGGGCCTGCGGCGCCGGGCCTGCAGTCGAATGCGGAGCTGTCGTCGGGCGACGATGTCTCGGAAGGAGAAAAGGCCGAGGGCACGCCCAGCGCTGCGTCGGGCTCGGCCAGCGCGCGGTACGCGCCCGGCAGCGCTCTGCCGGAGAGCGACTCGGGCGGCCCCAAGCTGCATGTATGCGATGCATGCAGCAAGACGTTCAGCCGACGGTCGGATCTGGCGCGGCATCGGCGCATCCACACGGGCGAGCGGCCCTTCCCCTGTGTCTTTCCAGGATGTGGCAAGAGCTTTATCCAGCGCTCCGCGCTCACGGTGCACTCGCGCGTCCACAGCGGCGAGCGCCCTCATCAGTGTGAGTTTGAGGGGTGCGGGAAGAGTTTCTCGGACAGCAGCTCGCTCGCTCGCCACCGTCGCACACACACCGGCCGGCGGCCGTACGTGTGCACGGTGCCTTCGTGCGGCAAGATGTTCACGCGACGTACGACGCTGAACCGACACGTGCGCAGTCATCAGATGCCGCTGAAGAAGCGCGCTGTGGACGAGAACCGCTTCCTCGACGAGGGTGCGATGAGTGAGGACGACGACGAGAGTAGCGATGGCGCCTAGATGTGTATAGATGCCCGCCCGGTGCGGAGCGTGCCTACTCGCCTGTGTTTCTAGCTACACGACCCGCGTCGGCTCCGCGGCCGGAAGAGGCGCTGCGCGCTGCGCCTCCAGGCCGCCGAGCGTCTCGTCCGGCTTGCCACTATCTTGCACACCCGGCGCGGCCTGCGGCACCTCGACAGCCTGCTGCACAGCCTCGTGCAGCGCTTCGCCCTGCGTCGAGCCGCGCTCCTGCGCAAACGCTAGCAGATCCGCCGGAACAGCCGAGTCGTGCGCAGGGAGCACGCCCGCATGGGGCGTCTCGGTCGCCGCCCAGTGCGCCTCGCCGTCGAGGGCCGCGTGTGCCTCGTCCAGCAGGGTAGCATAGTCCTCGTCGCCTTTGTGCAAGGCGAATGGCAGCGCTCGGCGCTCCTCACCGTGCGTCTGTACGCCGAGCGTCTCGCGCAGCTGCTCGAGTTCGTGGCGCACACTGGCGACGCTGCGCTCCAGCGCATCCGGCGCGCCGGGGTACAGCCCCACGCGCTGCGCATCCGGCGCGTACGCCGGCACCTCAGCCAGGCCCGTGCCGACGATTTGCGACCACGTCGTGTTCTGCGCACGCAGCGTGGCCACCAGGTCGTCCTTGATGCGCCGCGGTAGGCCAGGGCCGTGGTACGCAAGCGCCGTGTACAGCTGCACAGCACTGGCGCCTGCACGCGCAAAGTCAAGCGCATCGGCGGCGCTCGCAATGCCGCCGCTTCCGATCAGCGTAAGGCGCCCGCCGCTGCGGCGGTACATGACCTCGAGCGCATGCAGCGCGAGCGGCTTGAGCGGCGGGCCGGACAGGCCACCCACCTCCTCTACATGCTTGCGCGAGAGGAGACCCGTGGGGCGCGACACAGTCGTGTTGCTCACAATCACGCCGTCAATGTGAGACGCTTCGGCTGCGTCCGCAATGTCCTCGAGTTCCGCATCACTCAGATCCGGCGCCACCTTGACGAGAAGCGGCAGGGTTGTCGGGCGGTGCTGCGCAACGTCGTTGCGCGCTGCGACCACGTCGCGCAAAAGGCCCTCCAGCACGCTGCGGCGCTGCAGGCGGCGCAGGCCCGGCGTGTTGGGGCTGCTCACGTTGATGACAAGCATGTCCGCATACGGACCGAGGCGCCGCACGCCTTCGACATAGTCCGCGGGCGAGTCCTCGCGCGACGTCTTGTTCTTGCCAAGGTTCACGCTTAGCAGACGGTCCTCCTTCAGGCTGCGCGGCACGCCAGCTGCGTCCAGCATCGACACGTCCAACACAGGGTAGCCAGCGAGCAGCTGCGCTGCACGCAGCTTCGCAGGCGCCTCCTCCGCCTCCTCCGTGCCGAGGTTCGAGATGAGGCCCTGGCCAGCGCCGAGCACGCGCTGCACCCAGCGCTGCATGCGCGCGTCGAGGCGCTCACGCACCGCCTCGTGGCCTTCCGAGTTGAAGCCCATGCGATTGATCACCGCATGGTCGAGCGGCAGGCGGAACATGCGCGGCTTGGGCTGGCCGGGCTGCGGCTCGGGCGTCACGCTGCCGATCTCCACGATGCCGAAGCCGAGGTCAAACAGGCCATCGACGGCCTGCGCCTGCTTGTCGAAGCCGGCCGCGAGACCGATCGGGTTGGTGAGCGTGCGGCCAAACAGCTCCGTGCGCAGCACTTCGTCGTCGGCGACACAGTCGCGCGGCGCGAGGCCGTGCTCCAGGACGCCAATCGAGAACTTGGCGCCTGTCTCAGGGTCCGTCAGCAGCTCCATCGCCTTGGGGAAGATCCAGCGGTGCACGCCCGCGCGCGAATCGAGGCAGTACACGGCGAACGCAGCACCGGCGAGGACGGCCGCGGCTGTCACGGCACCGGAGGCCACACGGCGCCCAGCCGAAGGGCGCGAGCGCGACGCCATACCACGCACACACGGAGGCCGCACGAACGTCATCGGCATGGCGCGCAGCGAGGCAGCACGCCCCCGCATCGCAGCAGAGAGAGCCACCGTAGGCATGTCGGAGCCCGAGCAGGACCGAGCGCCCGCCCGGCCCCCGTCGTTTAGATCACGTGATACCGGCCCGCCGCCGCGCGTCGCCGTCGCGCGCCGTTGGCGACCGCCGCTGCCTGCGATGCAGGCGTTTGTCGATCGTATGTGTGATGTATGACTGACGGCAGAGCCCGTGCTTCTCATCTGCCAGGATGGGCGCGTGATCACAGGCACGCTGTGTGGCTACGACTCGGGCGGGAACGTCGTCCTGTCGTCGTGTGTGGAGCGCCTCTTCAGCGAAGAGGCGCCCATGGAGGAAGTGCCACTTGGCGTCTATGTGCTGCGCGGCGACAGCATCGCCGTGCTAGGCCTCCTCGATGTGGAACGCGACAAGGCGGTGCCCTGGTCCACCCAGGCCGTGGCCCCCATTCCCATGATCCGGCACTTCTAGGTCGTCACGACACGACCGTCTCATGATACCAGGGATCTACATCCTGCCTATGGCCTACGCCTGTGCCTTGCGGGACACAAACAACATCATCGGCGTGAAAAGCTTGGCCTGGCCGCCGGCGACGAGCGCGTCGGCAGCGACCTTGAGCGACTCGCCCACGTCGTACGTGCCCTTCGGCGCGAGGCCCACAAACTCGAGGCCGCGCACCGTCGTCTGCGTCACGAGCTTGCCGAACCACGTCATGCGCCAGCACATAAACACGTCCCACAGCGTCTGCACCTTGCGAATGTCTCCCTCAAGCGGGTAGTACCACGGGATCTTGTCGCCCTGGTCCGCAAGGTCCGCCTCCTCCTCGATGCTGAAGCCGACCGTTTTCAGCGCGTTGCGCGCCTGCTGGATCGTGCGCATCTCCGGGATACCGTCTCCCAGTTCAATGCCGTGCGCAATCTTGCGGTGCTCAGGCAGTGACGAATCGTAGGCATCGGTCATGCACCACTCGTACAGACCAAACACACCGCCGGGCTTGAGCACACGCTGGATCTGACCATAGACGCCCTCCCACGTCGGCGCATGGCACGTCGCCTCAATGGCGTACACGGCATCGAAGCTGTTCTCGCCAAACTGCTCCACAAGCTTCATAAAGTCGCCCTTGACAAACGAGACCTGGTCCGAAAGCTCCGCTTTGGCCGTCAGCTTCGTCGCACGGTCCACCTGGTACGCATTGTTGTTGACACCCACAATTGTCGCCCCGGTAAAGCGAGCAATCTCGCGCGCAGGGCCTCCGACACCGCAGCCCACGTCCAGAACACGCATGCCCGGCTTCAAGTTCATCTTCAGCGCCAGGTAGTGTTCATGGCGCGCAATCGCCTGGTAAAATGCTTCACCGGGGTAGTAGCGCGCAAAGTGGAAGTTGTAGCCCCAGCCGTACTCGTACAGGTCCGTCGCGCCATCGTAGTACCCGTTCACCACATCCGTGTACTGCTCCAGACGCTGCGCCTGGTCCTTCTGCGTATCCTTCGCAGAGTCCGACTTCCAAAACTTGGTATAGCCCTCGATACCCGACTTGTTCCTAAGTTCCTGAGTCGACATAGTCAAGCTGCTAGTTAGCACCGAACGTTGCTTGGGGCAGGGTCACTCGTCGAGCACGACTCCTTCAGGGACTTGAATGGGTTGCCGCGAACGGCATCACTTCCAGCAGAGAGTCAAGAAAGTATGCTTTCATCACCAGAGACGCCCGCGTCATGAGCCCTACCCCCCGACCACATACCTCGACAGTGCGAAGGAATCGCCGGCCGCCGCGCGCATGTGCCTAATCGCCTGATCCGGTGGGCTGCAGCACGTGATGCGCACGCGAGCTGCGACGAATGCGAGCGCCGCGGCGCGCTGCGCACTCGCGCGTCGCGCCCGCCTCACGAGGACTGCTTGTAGCGCGACGTGTCTAGGATCTGCTTGCCACAGATAGCACACAGCCCCTTTTTGTAGGCACAGCCAGTCGTCAGTCTTAGAGCACGCACCTTGACAGTACGTCGCTCGCTCCTGCGTCACGCGCTGCTTGCACAGCTTGCATTGCGATCCCAGCGGGTTGTAACGGCCAGACTGGGAGAGTAATTTGTTCTCGCCCACCTTGCGAGCGCCGCCCACGGCCGCTGGGCCCCGGCCAATGCCTGTCTTGGCCGCCGAGCCACGGCCCACGAGCGTGCCTGCCGCATTTCGATTTCGCTGTGTAAGTATATAGAACGCACATAGGGGTCAGGGGTCACGGTTTTGGACAGCAACCGCTCGCACTTCTGGCACACCATCTCGGCGAGGAACGCGGTCGTGCGCCACACCGCCGCCCACGAGGTTGTGTGTCACGTGCATAACGACGCGTCCAGCGCATGTACGCGGGTGGTCCCCCCGTGTCGCCATGTCCATCGTGCATCTGCAGAACGTTGAGATCATTAATAGCCAGGCGCGGTTCTCAGGTACGTCGCCGTGTCTCTGATGCACAGATCCCTACATTTTTAAGGTCACCTTCGAGTGCATTTCCCCCCTTGAAGACGGTACGCGTGACGCACTGACAGCAGACATTGAGTGGAAGTTGATCTATGTCGGGTCCGCCGAGTCGGAAGAGTATGATCAGGAGCTTGATAGCTGCATGGTGGGACCAGTCCCAGTGGGTACGTTGGTACTCTTACCCAGGCATCAATTCATTCGAGTTTGAGGCCGAGGCGCCGTCACCCGAAAAGATTCCAGCGTCCGATTTATTGGGCGTGACAGTGATCTTGTTGACGGCATCCTACAAGGATGCTGAATTCATTCGTGTCGGCTACTATGTGAACAATGCGTACGAATCGGAGGAAATGCGTGAGAACCCGCCGGAAGAGGTGCAGCTCGACAAAGTGTGTCGTGAGGTCCTCGCGAGCAAACCGCGCGTCACCCGCTTCAATATCAATTGGTATGTACAGGGATGCTAACAGCAGGGACAACCCCGGCGAGATGATCAAGCCTCCGGTGGAGCAGCAGGCTGCTACGCACGAGGGGGCGATCGCCGACGAAACGCATACCGAGCCCAACCCTCAGTTCCGTCCCGCTGCACAGGAGCAGGCAGGCAGCGCCAGTGCCTTCACGCCGCTGGAAATGCCATAAACTTACCCTAGCGCGCTAGGTACATACCCTGCCTCCTCTAGCCAGTCGAGGATGCTAGCTGGACTGGCCAGACTGTTAAAATAGTTCAACTCAAATCTGCTTGGAAGGCTCTCTTCGAGCATATAGGCGACGTGGCGACTGGCGTAAGGTGGGTATACGTACTGCAGCAAGGCCGTTGGTAAACCCCACAACAGCGACTTGTCCACAAATTCAGCGACAGCGGCCGGAGGGGTGCGAGGCGCACCGCTGAACAAGGCAGGGTTCGCTAGAAGACCACGCGCACTCATAGCACCACGAGCGCCAGTATAAGTCCGCCATGCCTGGGCATCATCTCGTGTCCAAATGTCGCCGTTGACAACACAGGGTGCCAGGCCACCAGCGCCGCCATCCTCCCCATGAGCCCATGCGTCGCCTGGCGACGTGCCGCGGGCTGTTTGTAAACCACAAGCATTCGCACACTCGACGGCGAATTTCACACCATCCAAGTTGACAGGGTCTGAGGATGAAGACTGGTGCCGCGTGCGACCGTGCACTGTGATGAGCGAGGCACCAGCATGCAGCGCATTGCAGATCAGGGTATTTGTGCGCCTGCTATGTTAGATGCGTGACATACGACAAGTCGGCGTCAATGCGGATTTTCACACTCACGCAGTATCCTGTGCCCAAGCGACTCTTCACAGCACGGATCATATCTGCCACAGTCTCGGGTTGGCGCAGCAAATAGGAACCAATATGCTCCGCATAAGCCCAGGGTTGCGGACTAGATTAGCCAGTGCGTACATACCACCCGCAGTTTAAATCAATGCCATCCACAAAGGGACTTACCAGCTCAGCTGCATCAGCCAAGGGCTCCGGTTCGCTTGCAGCTAGCTGGCACACGAGACTCCCACGCACTTTTACTGGACTCTTTGATGTAGCCCCATGCACAGGCACCAATTCAAAGCTGCCCCGCTCAGACGCATTTGTCGAAAAGTCCGCATCGCGAGCCTGAGGATGACGACTGAATTCTGTCGCCAGGATCATGGGCGTGGTCGTAATATGTGTATCATATTGCGCAACTAGAGCGCGAAAAGGAAGCTTGGAGTATCGAACCATCGGTGCGCATACGTTAATGTCGGCATAGTTGCTGAGCAAATGATGCGGCGGCAGGCTCGCAACCCCCGCCGCCATATCGAGGTCTAGGAAGGAAGGTACCTCCACTACAATGTCGCGAAATGTGCTGCAGGACGCTACGAAAGTGAAAGCCTCGTGTGGCTCGTCCAAAGAAGCACGATATGCACTGGATGACAGCAATGAGACTTGCTGGACTCTAGACCTCGTTCGTACAAGTAGCTGATCCCAGGGCTCGCCAGATCCTACGGCCTCGGCCTTATTGACGTGCACCCTGTCAGAAGCCTGCGTGGTCCGACAGCTTGCTGTGTGGCAGGCTACTTTTGCAGGCGGCTTCGTTCCCGTCCGCATGACACTATCGGTTGCACTCACTGGACATGGAAAGGAAAGCCAATGGCAGGTGGTGCAAGAGGCTTTTCCCAAGGACGGAAATATGCCACAAACGTTCCAGTACGTGAATGGCCCTAACGCAGCCTCGATACGTCGTCCTTGGAGAGCCTACTAGACAAGCATGGATATCCAGCCGATATATCGACAGATCAGGTGCGCATCCAGTTCGAGGGTAGCACCGATGGATTTGGCCGCATAACTATCTATGAACTAAGGCTCTTTCTCGCATAAACCATTATATTACACGTGCGTCGAAGAGCGCCGGAAGCCAGCATCCGGGTCCAAGTCAGGGGCAGAGGGTATCAGATGTTCATCACCGATAGCATCGGCGGGCAGAGGAGGCGCACTGGGTGCCAGACCCAGTTCCAAGTCTAAATCGGGTATAGTAGGGTCCGACCCGTACATGGGTAATGCCATGTCAGGCGAGAAGGATGATTGGTACGCAGGCTCGGATAGCCCGGGTCTGCTTGGCAATAAGGTGGATAGCCAAGATGACTGTTGAGCTGCTTCGTGCGCTTTTGACGAGCCCACAGAAGAATATGTCAAGAAATCAGAGGTATCGCCCACAGATGGCTCAAACATAGTAGGAGGCGCAGGGAAAGTTCCTGTGGTTGCGATTGACGGATCTGTGTCGGAAAGAGGACCCTGAGTCATCGCAAACACATCAGATATACCCCTATGCTCTGCATCGTCTGAAAGAGAAGGCCTTGGAGGCGCTGAAGGTATAGGGGACAATGGTGATGGTACATTTGGCGCGCTTCTTTTTCCATGCAAAGCATGTAATGTGGATTTTTCGTCGGTGGCCACATGCGCTGCCCAAGAATGGGTATCAGGGTTGGACACTGAGAGCGGCCTCAGTATCGCCGAAGAGGGACTGTGAGCCGAAGAACCCGATGGTGCATCATCACCTGCGTAAGCGTGCTCCTCCTGATAGTCAGACTGGGATGGCCGCGAAATAGCCAAGTAACTCGGCGGCTGAGTAGCTTCATATCCAACGGGAAGCTGATGGGATACCTCAGCATTTGCTTCATTGAATTGTAAAGAGGATGGAGTAGGATGTTCTGGTACAATAAAGTCTTGACGAGGAGACAACGACCTGCTTTCTGAAGTGGGGTTCGATGGAGCAGAGGTTTCAGCGGAACCAGACGGTTCGAGTACCTCCTCTGACAAGATCGTGCCACGAGGTGTCACACGGACCATAACAAGAGGAGGCACATCGCAGGACTCTTCATTGGTCTCAGAAGCTGGCTCTGGTTCCACATCGCGTGTAGAAGTCTGTTGAGAAAATGATCGCCCAGGCATCGCTATGCTTCTTGTGTTCCGACGAGAGCCTCGTATCCGTCGTCGACGCAATGTTTTCCGGGTAGTAGTTTTCGGGGTTTTCGGCGTGAGAAGTGCATCATTTATTCGATTATGAGCTTCGCTTTTAGCGAGATCGTCTTCGACGGGAGGAGCACGATCGCGCATAAACACGGTGAGCCCAATAATCAGCACAATAAATATAGCAAGGAAGATGGCAGTTATAATAATAGCTCGACGCTGAAACCACACGCTTCTCGATTGAAATTGTACAATGGGATTTTTAACAGGCGTTGGTGCATGCCCGGGACTTTGACAAACAAGACCGTCGGTGAAACTCTCCGATGAGTCATAGTCGATACCATTCGACAACAAAGACACCCTGGATCTAGAGGCCGCCGTGCTCAGAAATAAAATGGAATATAAGAGCAATGAAGCTCTATATTGAAGATAGAGACGCTGCGTTGAGACACATGCACTGCATGCGCTCAGCATCCCCATCGATCCTTACTACTCTGGCGCGTGAACTCCGCCCTGGGTGGAGTAAGTAATAATAAGCGCGTTGGCCACGTGGATGAATTTTTTTACAGGTGGCGGATTTCTACATCTAGTGCTGGGCCGATGTGGGGGCCCAGTCTGGCTATTCCACGTCCAAATCGCTGCCGTAATCCTGTAAGATTTCGGCATCTTCGTCCGTAGAGAGAATATGGTAGTTTGAGAAGGGACGATCTGAACGGATTCTACCCCGCATCCAAGGGAGCTCATTCACAAAGTTCATTAGGTTGGCCCATACAAGACTGAAAAGTCCACCCACGAATTGAGCAGCCAAATGGAAATGTTCCGATACGTTGCGGAGAGTCTGTGATTGATGGAACTCGTCCAGTGACAAAGCTTGGTAGCCTTGGCGCAACCACCACTGCGCCACAGAATATACGAGTACACAGGCCACAATAAGAACGAAAAACACCCAGAGGAAGCTGTGGCCTTTCGGCGCGGCTTTACAAACGTGACGCCGACCGCGGTCTGGGCGTTCTCCGCCTGTGCAGCGCGAAAGAGGGATCTTTCGTACATTTGTGCGCTCATACCAGTAGCCATCATAGTCGGGGTTGTCTGGAGAGCATTGATCGCCCTCGTCACTGGGTAAGGTAGTCATACCCGGATACAGGACGCAGTTTCCATGGGAATCGCGATAGTGGTTGAACTCGCATTCAAAGTCTGCGTCCGAACATGCGCATGGCTTTCGTTCCATCTCGTGCTCGGGCAGCGCTTGTCCCACGTAGCACACGCGGTCGCGTTTGCGGCGCCAGAACCATGTTTGGCTGCCGAAGAGGCACGCTTCTTCACGCTGTTGACTTGGGCTCCACTTTTCAAAGTCGTTGCGTTGCTCGTTTTTGGTATCAAACACACACGGGCGGTTCAGCACGCGAGTGAAATCCAGGAAGATAGCAGTAGAGCGCCCCTGTGACTCGCCCATGAGTACAAACTTACGTTTGGTGTCCTCAGGGACAGTGTCCAAGGTTGAAACACGCACTTTCTCACCAAATCGGTAGGAATTCCAGGACAAGCCTTGGTCCAGCGTATACAGTAGCGAATCTGTGGCGTGCTTGTCGTCCACCAGCACAATAATAGAACCGTGATCGCCGAATTCCCACTTAAATGTATCTTTGTGTACCTCTTCCCAAGTGAAACCGCCGTCCCGGGTCAAAAATGTATCGCACTGTGCATAGGGTAACAAAGACCGGCCCACATTACCTGTCGCTAGCATGAAGCCTGTAGCCGACGGACTACCCAGCGTAACGCGCAAGTCCGGACGCTCAAGTAGGTTATGAAGGTGTAGGTTGCACCCCACTTGATTGCAGGCATAGGGAGAGCCGTGGGAGTCCACAGCTGGCGCATCTAAAGGCTTCCAGTGACCGCCATCGTTGTGAGTAATCATAGTGCGCAACTGCTTAACGCCCGAAAGACTAGCCTCCTCGATATTTGAAACCACATTAGCAAGGGCAATCCCATCAAGTCCGAGCATTTTTTCAAAGTCAACAAAGCCCTTCACATCACGGTTAACATTCTCTAGTGATAGGGCATAATAAGTGCCATTTGAATTACTTTTGACAATATCGCCCCACTGCGTCATATCTGTATCATGGGTTGTCACATGAAGAAACACAGCGCGTGTCAATGAGTCAAGCACAGTATAGGCACGGTGATCCAACTGCAGGGAAGGCGGTAATGTCAGTGGAGCGAAGTTAAAACCATCTAAAGATACATGCATCTTGAGGGAGGGCGGCGAGCCGGCTAGTTCGGCAATCAACATGTATCGATCAAATACAGAAAATCCGAGGATATTGTGGAATACCGTTTGCTTCCGCGAGTAAAAGTCGCGACCGATGACAAGATCCACTGGCACCTGGGCCAAACTGGTAGCCCTGATTGACTTGGTCGGCGTATAACTCTCACATACAATTGATGTCTCATCGCCAGGGAACTGCTTCGTAGGCAAAAATGCGCATTTCTTCACGTATGAATCAACGCGTTTCCATTTTGCATGGGACTCCGTGATTGAATACCACACTTCAGCATAGCATTCGTTCTTTCCTGTCTCACAGTCCCGTGCCCCTGTCCAAAGCAGCCATGAGGGATGCTCAGGGTGAAACCCTAGCGGATCTAGTCCAAGCATATTGGGTGGGAGAGGGACAGTAAACCAGCTCCACGTCACACCACCGTTCGCAGTAAAATGGACCCTTGTGTTGGAAGTAATGACAAAGGCCTTCTGGTTTTCATAGGGATGAGCAATGAGCCGCAGAGCTACGTCAGCCACTCGTCCGTCCACGGTCAGTCCCACCCTATGCCATGTACTGCCATCATCCGCTGACTGGAAAAGTTGGCCATCCCGTAGCCGTGCAAGAATGTGAGGAGATACGCGGAAATGCAGCACTTCGACCACAGGGGCAGGAAAATCGAAGCGACTGTGTGATACAGAACCTTGGGCAGGCTCTCCTTCCGAACAGGGCCTTTGGACCAGCGCGTCAAGGCTGCCATCGCGCGGTGCCTCGCAAGTATTGCCAGGGATACGGCGATAGCCACTGGGGCCCATAAATGTGGATTGGCCGCGCGAGCAAGCGCCAGGAGGGATTTCAATGGGCTTGCTTGGTATACATTGATCCTTCTTCCGCTCGAAGCCAATATCGCATTCGTAGTCAGCCTGCGTACAAGTGCACGGTTCCTCCTTGCCCTGGGGCTCGTGGAATTTTTCGCGCACAAAACAGTCAGCAAGGGCTTTGCGGCGCAGAAACCATTGCTTATGCCCAAATAAGCATTTGGAACCTGGAGTCTGGGGATAAAACTTTTCAAAATCTTTTGCTTGGCAAGTGCGCTTATTTAGATTGGCAAAGTCCACAAACACAGACATGTGTCGCTTGTCTTCGGAGACAGATCCGCGTTTCTGTGATCCAATGAGAAGCACTTTGAGCGCCGTACCATCAGGCACCGTCGTGAGAGCAACGGGTTCGATAGGATGTGGTAGTGACATAGTACTCCATGTGGCTCCGTAATCAAAGGAATACAAGAGTTGGTCCACATTCTGCGAATCTTGCACAAGGACAAGCAGCCCACCTTGATCGCCGAATACATGCTTGTGGGGGTAACGGGCAATCATAGTCCAACTCACACCTGCGTCGGTGCTTAAATAAGTATCGCAGTCTTCATAGGGTCGCAATCTGTCTCCCACTGAGCCAACACCAATGACCAGTCCCGGGGCTGTGGATGAAAACACGCGTCCAAGATTGCGAATAGATGTGACGGCGTGCAGATGCAAGGCACACGTATCTGGATAGTTTGTATTGCACCCGAAACTGTGCCCATCCACATCATGTGATGGCGGATTCAGAGCAAACCATGATGCACCCTCATCATGCGTAATGCGTGTTTGAACGCGATGGACCTTGTCTTGCAGCTGAACATTTACAATAGCCACGCCCTCAATATTAGCTAGGTGCTCATAATCCACAAAGCCATTTTGATTGCGCTGTACATTAGGAATACTCATGGAAAAGTTTGTCCCTGATCCATCGCTCATAAATAGGATACCATTCTGACTAGATCCATCCAACACCTCCACGATGAGATGATATTTGGGACCATCCAGTACAGTGTACGCAGTTTCATGCATAAGTTGGCCATGAGGAAAGCGGGCGCGTTTCCATGACTCGCCATCTCGAGTGACATACATACGAAGCTCGCCGCCATAGCCTGGCGTGTTGTCTTGTAGAGCGGTGATCAAAAAATGCCGTGACTTGCCCAATTCCATAAATCCACGCGGGTTTTCCAGATCGTCAAATACGACGGGCTTCCGCGACTGGAAAAAGTCTGTGCTTTCAAAGAGACGGTTCTTAAGACTGTCACGCTTGGACATTTGGGCAGCTCCCCGTTGGACACTTTCATCCCATGCAATGCAATATGCTTTGTTCATAGACTGCTCTGGGATGCTCAACTCTTTGGTCATTTTGGCCCACCGACAGTGTACCACAGGTTCCAGCATCAGCTTGGGATGGGAGGCAAATCCATCGGTGGTATAATAGGCAACATCGTGGCAAACGCTCTTGAAAAATCCATTCTCGCAACGCTTTCCTGTAAAAATGACGTAGTTGTAGTGTTTTTCATCTGCATGAAAGTCAAGCGGATAACTCAAGCGATCAGTGGGCGGATCAGGAGTTTGAAAACGCTGCCACGTCTGTCCACGGTTGGACGTGCGCCAGTGTTCAAGCCCGCTCGAGAGAACATAAGCTTGGCGCGAATCGTAGGGATGCATGATCAAAAATCGCACATCTCCAGCAGCTGGTCCCTTAATAGGAGCCCATGTCTTGCCCTCGTCAAGACTGGAATATACGACCCCGTGCGTCGTGTCATGCCACAGGACAGTGCTAGAAGCATCAAAATAGCGAAGCTGACCAGGGATGCTAGGGAAATATGACGTCTTTATAGATGGCTTCGATTCTCTTAGCTGTACAGCAGGAAGAAGAAGGGCGCAGGCGACAATCAAGCGCCATACACCGAACATGCTGATGCCCGTCCCAGAAGAAGCTATCCGCCACGTGAGAGTTCTATGTGGAGCTGCGGAAGGACCATCAAAGTCACGTCGATCTTGGTATATGGACGCAGGCCATTGCCTGCGTCTGAGTATATTATGACAATTAGAGCGAGTCATTTCGCATAATTAGACTTCCTTTTAGATCGAAGAATTTTTCTCATGAAGTGAATGGTGCGTCTCGATCACTGTGTCCTCTGCCGTACACAGGAAGTGACACAGAGGAGGAATTCGTCATTAGCCGCGGATTTGATATATTTTGAAGTGCACCGTTATTGGGAACCAAGGGTATCTGCATACTCATGGCTTGAGATGGTATAGTACCTGCCATCGATTCGGATAATGGATGGCTTCCCGGGTAACCCTGCGGGGTTGTCACAGTGGGCGAGATCGGGGAATGCGTGTGAGAGTGAGGCGATTGTAAATTTATATTTGAACGCCTCGGACTCAAATCAGATGCCTGGGTGAGGGCCGCCATATTAATACTGGGATTAGATACTGGACATAAGGTTTCGAGCGACATGGCTCTGTCAGTGCCCAAAGTAGTTTGCTCGACGGGCGAGTGCATAACACGACAGGGGCTTAGCATGTCTCCGGACATGTGGCTGTGGTGGGTTGGGTAAGATAGAGCCGTACTTGAGAGTCGGCGTTCATCAAAGGAAGAATTAAACGCTGGCACCTGAGAAGAAAGCTCAAGCTCGTGACCACCACTCCATCGCCGTCCACTTGACTGGGGGGGTGGTATGCCAGGGACCATACGCCCATTAGGCATTCTTGTTATAGAGGGTTGAATAAAACGGTTACCCTGTTGAAATACTTGATGCCAATTATGTGCACTCGAGTGAGGTAAACAACTCTCTTCCGAAGACATAGAGGAGCCCTGTAAATCCAAAGGCGAAGGAGTATGCGAAAACTTTAGAGGAGGAATTGGCACGCTACAGGGACTTAATTCTTGCCGGTTTTGGTCTGAAATTGGAAAAGACCCTGGGAATGGCAGAATTTGTGGTGAGTTTTCCATGCTAGAGGAGTCAGAGCTGAAGCGACGCTGCTGGAAGCCTTCAGATGGTGGTTGCATAGTATTAGTAGAATGAAGACTGCCTTTCCATGGATATAATGTGTGGTCCAATTCTTCCGTGTCACTACATTGTGAGTGGGCATTAGAAAAATGCTCGGGACCACGTCGTTCGATGGTACCGGAGTAATCAGAATATCGAAGGAGGAATTCCTCCATATTAGAAGAACAGAATTCTGAGATTTTTCCATTGTTATTGAAAATGATAACCGCAACATTTGACTCGGTGAGAATTGCAAGCTCATGAGCTTTCTTGAACAATCCGGTTTTCCGTTTCTGAAACGTGGCGGTTCGATTCCGTTCGCCCTGAATAGGCTCGATCTTAATCCTTTTTCGGCCCATCTTTAACCCAATTTCCCTTCCAAATTGACTGGAGTGTGCTCTAAAGTAACTGAGATGCTAACAACAGTACAAAAGCTATCCTTCACTTCAAGCTTCGCTAGAGATGACAACTGAGGACTCGTTCGTTCACACCAGAGCCCTGTTAAAATTATGTAATTTAGAATGGCAGATGCGCGATGCTGTAGCTTGTGCTATTTTGGGTGTCCCCACATGCATGGAAAAAGCGTAGACAAATAACGAGTTTGGACGAGAAACTATGGCGGGTGCGGAACCTGTTTGGTGCGCTTCTTTGAGGTAACGGTAAAGGGTGCGCTTGAAGCCACGTGCTTCATGCAGACCGGGCGCAACGCCGCACAAGATTTGTCAAGCCAGGGTAGGCGGAAGCCCCGCAAAGCGGTATCCATGCCTAAAGTGTTCCAAATATGGCGCTCTAACCGTGTCCAAGGCTGTTGGTCCGTGAAAGAGTATAGTAACAGCGCCGACAAGCGTCGAATGCCCAACGCTGTAGAAAGTACTAGCTCGGATCCTTCAGGCAACGGAACAAGAATAACTGGTCTCGATAACTTTTTCATTGACGAGCTTGAAGACCAAGGTATACGAGGATCCACAGAATCAGAATCACCCGGTGTGGTTGCAGAGCTAGGAGGTTCATTTGATACCACAGCATTATAGCTCGCAGTCAGCATCGGCAGATGAGCAACTAGAGTGGGCGGCTCCATGTCAGCAACGCACACAAAAAGTAGATGTGGAATACGATTATCTAGTTCGTTGCCTTCTCGTACGGCCTGGATGCGCTCCTCTAGGGCTCTTGTGACAGAGTTGATTCCTGCAGTATATAGCGGCGATGCGCGCTGGGGGTCACGGGGAAGTTCAGTGAGCGCCTCCACAAGCATATTCAGCAAGGTGTCACCATCAACACGCGCAATGCGTGGCCTGCGGTCAATGTACGGGTTCACGTACCATGAGCATGTAAAAGGAGATGTAAGCACTGGGCGAAAGACACGCTTTCGTGGTGATCTGGTGTCGCCAGACTTAGCGGCAGCTAGAATTTTGGCATCTTTACCATGCGCACCATCCCGGCGAGCTTTGTGTCGCTGTGTGTGAACTTTTGAGTGAGATTGAACCCTACGGATCGACTCGCGTGATGCCATAGGCAGGGGATGGAGGGTGGTTGTGGGATGCGTATCCCTGCATAAGTGGAGGTGTGTTCGGTTGCTACGGGGCACTGAATTGAGTTAGGAGATCTTCTCCGATAGCGAGCATGTTTCTCCGGAAATCGCGCTCTAGCGATACGCTGGGAAGGTCTAAGGCATCCGATGCTCAGTCCATGGGAGGTGATAGTGGAAAAGGGAGACCAAGACTTCAGCCCAAGCGCTCATTTCGTCTTTTCAAGTCCCCGAAGTTAAATACACCACCCGTTCCGAGCCCAACCCTACCGCCTTCTGCACCGCCAACTTCTGAAACCCAGGATGGCTCATGGGGGAGTGCTACGCATGGTCTCGGCATCCGACACATGGGAGGATCTTCGACTCTGTCGCCTCCCGTCGATACCCGTGCCTCTGTGCCCTCGTCACGGCCCATGCCTCATGCACGCATGTACAATGCCAAGGCTGCTTCGATGACCAACGACTTGTTCTCTGCATCGCGGCCTCCTGGTACAGGCATGCGTCTTCCACCATGGCGCGGCGAACCCACGTCGACTCCGCCCTCGCCTTGGCAAAATACTACCCCTGAGATGGGATCTACAGCGCAGATGCCTCACTTCTCTACCGAGACTCCGACAGCTATGTCATCTGCGCCCGTGCCAACAGTGCCGCCGCCTGCAGGGCCTAATGCAGGTTCTTGGGTGGGTCCCGGCAGGCAGGCAGGCCAGATAAGCTCGTTTTCATCCCCACGTCAAGAAGAAAGGGTACCCACCGTGGTGCAAGTAGGACCACCCAGTCATGGGACCCCCGTGGTGGATAGCGCCCCACAAGTCGGTATCGTGCCTGGCGAGATGTCGAAACAGGAGGACTTATCGTTTATTACAGCGCCTATGACACATGGCGAAGTCATACCGTCCGAGCCAAGGGCTACCATGTCGGGAGCGGGGCAGTTGGCGAACAAGGGGGAATCGCAGCAGTCTGCGGCCATGGTGGAGAATACAGCAGACATGACACAGTCGACCATCTCAAACGATGTGTCGTACGAACCGACTTTTGGTGCTGATGCGTTGATCCGTCCATATGATCCATCGAATGATTCGTTTGTGGATGTTAAGCACGAACCTTTACTGGGTCACCAAGTACCGCAGCGCTCCTCCGACCCCCAGGCCATCAGTGCACTCAAGTCGGAGGGTACAGCGCCCAAACCGGCGTTGACTGCCCCCCTCACTACAACTTCACAGCTGGATGGGTCATCGACGACCTCGCCAGGGCTGAAGGCCGCGGCTGGAGATGCAGAGATGCAGCAGCAAACGCTCTCGGTGCAGTCCGCATCGCTTCCAATTGAGCCAACTCCAGCAGCGCAAAGGAGCCCGCCGATCTTCAACTACCACGACCATGCAGCCCCCGCTCCTCCGCTTGATCCTCGGTTTATGGCAGGCCTAGGACCTGTGCTCCCTAGCGGCCAGTCGATGGAATATTTATCGACAGGAACTGTTTCGAGGGACGCGGCACCTCCGATGCCCACTGCTTGGGGGAGTTCCACAGTTGCTTCGTCTCCCTCTGGTATTAACACTGAAGAACCGGTAACGGTCATTGCCACGACCAAAGACTCGCCTGATGTCGTCTTTCGACCCGTGTCAACACAATATCCTGATATGAAAGTCGTTCATATAACGCCAGCCGGACCTGGAGCCAAGACAGAGGCATTGCCGGTCGATTCGCCCGTACCACCGTCTTGGACTCCAAATACCAAGGAAGCGAAGCTGACCAGTGATGTCAATGCAAATGGAGCGTCGGGCACCGGGACTCAAGCACTGAGTGCCTCGGCTCCTGTAGCAGCTCCTGCGCCGGACACTACCAGCAAGGGACGTGTCTCGGCGGATGCATACCGTCTTGAGTGGGTGTTTGGGCCTCATGTGCTGGTGTACAACGATGCGTGCACGAGACGCACAGGCCCTGTACCGGTGGCCTACACGTTCGATGATTGGTTCGTCGAACGGCCACGGACGACTCAGGAGAAGCCCTCAAGGAACAATTCGACGGCAGTGGTGGTCTCGTGCCCCTCTATGGACGCCTTAGAAACAGCGCCTCTCTATCTTGGGGTCTTTTCGTCTACGCTGGTCCCTACGCCAGAGGCCTCTTATGTGTTTGACATGGCAGCGCCACTGGACTTTGAAGTCCCGCCGAATGTACTCATGGAGGAAAACAGGACAGTGACCGTCACAGGTATCCGCCGTAATATGCGGCTGCTAAGCCGCACAAAGCACCAGGTGGTGGCGGCCACGGTGCATCGGCTTGTGGCAGAAATGACCTCGGGCTCCTCGCCCGGGCTCATGCAAGATGTATTTTTGGGCTACCGCCAATACCTGGGTGCGGGCCGACTGCTCGAACTACTCTTCAACCGCATGGAATGGTCCATTGTCAAGATCGGCGATGCTACCTACTTCAAGGTGGCACTCAGTGTGTTGTTGCACACACAAGCGGCGCTTTGGCACTGGTTGCATTATTACTACGAGCACGATTTCGCGCGCGATGAGGTACTCACACGCCGTCTTGTGCAATGGATGGCCGACCAGGACTACCGCGTGCAGTTCTGGCAGTACGCAAACAATCCCTCGGCGATCGATGGCCCGCCGATGTTGAAGGAGGTGCCGTCTGCCGCCGTGCCGGAACAAGATGAAGAGCTCCCCAACAACGATCCCAGTGAGCGTATGCATTCTCTGTGGGCACTCGTACAGGCTCTGGTGCCGACCGCGCTGCTGCCTGACCAGGACAGCCAGAACATGCCCACTGAAGCGCGCAACAAAGTGATGCTGCGCAAATCGCGCTCTCTTACGCGCATGTTAGCCCTGTCAAATTCACCGACGCGGTCTCGCAAGCACCATTCGCGTTGGCCGAGTGTTAGTGGTTCGTCTGTGCTTGCAGCGGTTGGATCGATTCCCGCTATGTCTGGACCCACAGCGAGTTCGCATATGTCGTCCTCATCGTATAAAACACCAGGGCCTGCCACGGCGGCATCGCCATCCATCAGTGAGACGACTCTTGAGCCTGCTCCGCAAGGTCGCGCGGAACGGTCCAGGTCGCTTAAGAGTTTGCGCCGAATGTGGCGCCGCGGCACAGATGCGCCGAGCGATGGGGTGGCAGACGACGGCTCGCCGAGGGGCAAGATGGATGCCGCGACGATGGATGACGAAGTTGATGACACACACGAGCAAGATGTGGCTCTGCAGCTGCTGGAGCAGGCACTCTCAGAGACACCCCGTACCGATGCCTTTCCGTCGCCGCGGCACAGGGATGGGCCAATCCAGTGGATCCCCTCGCACACAGGCTCGTCGTGGAAAGAGGCACAGCGGCTGTCGATCGTGACAGCCCAGGCAATGCTGAAAAAGAACCCGACAGCGCCTGCCTCTCGGATCCAGCAACGTGACACGTTCTTGTTATGCCAGCGCTCCAGTACCATTGCGCGCCAACTGGGCACCATTGAACGCCAATTGTTGGCCTGTGTGCAATGGCACGAGCTCGCAGAGCCTTCGTGGGAACAGCACACTGTGCAGCAAGAGCAGTGGCAGCGTGAATACCAGGAGTACATTGTCGCCCGTATTCGCGCGGCGAGCGGCACAGAGGACGCTTCGTCAGCCCCGTCCACAGCGCCCAAGGCAGAGGGCGTACATATGCTCATTGCGCGGTTTAACCGCGCGTGCGCTTGGGTTGCCACGCACATTGTGACCACTACTGACCTGCAAGAGCGAGTCATGGTCGTGAATAAGTTTATCCGCATTGCCTGGCACTGCTTCCGGCAGGGGAACATGGAGTCGCTGTGCCAGATCATGTTTGGCCTCCAGTCGCCATGGGTCGCACGCCTGCAGCGCACCTGGGGGCAAGTCGCACTTTGGGAGCTGCGCGCATTTGATGCACTGCGCCGCTTTACATCACCGCGCAACCAATTTGCCTATTTGCGCCAGTCGATGGTGGAAGCTCTCGACGTCAACACGACGGTAAAGCGCCGCTTCTCAAACCCAAGCACGGCCTCAGCACCGTATGTGCCGTTCTTTGGTCTTTTGATCTCCGACCTGACCACGAATGATGGGCTTGCCAGCTTTGTTGACTCGTCACTGATGCCTAATATGATTCCCTTCTACGATGACCAGGAGCTCTCGCAGAGCTGGGACGTTCTAGTCAATGTGTACCGCCTGCGCATCAAAGCCTGCATCGTGAGGGAATTCATCACTCTTCAGCGTCATGAGAAATCTGCCCCTGAGTGTCCTATGGAACTCCCCATCCTTGTCGAATCGCTTCAGCTTGATACCCTTTCGGCGGCGGCTATTCAAAGCGCGTCCCTGGCCCTAGAACCGTAGCTATTCACCAGCCTGTTTCGCATTATGTGGAGGTCGCACCCGACGCCCCTGCGCTGGCCACCATGGAGGCCCAGGCACGGTATGCCTTACAACCCGCGTTGCTAACCGCAGAGAGTTGCAGAGTATAATTCAGTGCGAGTACGAGGATGCGTTGAAGTGTCTCCAAGTGCGTTCGATGCGGCGCTGACACGCAGGAGGCTGGTGGGAATATGGAAGTGGCCATGAATCGACTCCTGGACCAGGGGGGTTCAGCGGCGCCACCACACGCAGGCAGCGCCACGCAACCCAATGTTGCAGAAGAATGGAAACCTGTTCCCAACACAGAGCCGCCTTCGTGGCAAGGTACGTGTACGTGCACTCATGTCAGACGCGCAGGACCAAGACTTGCAGAGGGCGTTCGCCGCATCTATGGAAGAGCAGGCTCGACCTCAGAGCGTCGGCGAGGACGACGCAGATATGATGCGTGCGCTTGCACAGAGTGTGCATGATCAGGTGCCGAGTTCAGGGGGGACTATGCGTGCTGACCTACTTCGTCTCCGCTCAGGCGCGCCTGTGGCACTGGTGCCGAGTGTGTCTGTGTATCGCGTCACGAGTCTTTTTCTGCAGGTCTTGCTCGCGACTCCGCCCGCCTGCGATGCCTTTCTCTCATTTTCTGTACCAGACAACAGGACCATCGACATGGAGCAGTATTGGGCAGGGGGCAGTCCGCGGCACCAGCGACGCAGCGAGGACCGCACATGGAGCGACGTCCCTGTACGCGTGCGACCCTACCTAGACAGTATGTGTACGCCACTTACCCAGTCGTCCAACGAGTGCAGACCCTGATAACCTTTGCGCACGCTACACAACGGGCTGCGGTCGTCACAGGCGATATTGATGCTATTGTGCCCTCTGAGATTGTTCTACAGGCTTCTCGCAATGAGGCGCTTCATGTTCAGTTGGAATCATACGCCGAGGCAGTTGTACAGGCATGGAAAGAGGCGCGGGCCTGGGAGGCCGAGCGGATCACACAGGCTACGCGCTCGGCCACCGATGCAGCGCGTGCGCAATTCATCAACAGCAAGTCGACGGTGTTCCAGTCGTATGCCGCGAAAGCCTACGATACGCCTGTTCCTGACCTAGCATGCCCCGAAGGCCAGCCAACGACTTCTATCACATTGACTCATACGGCGCTGGAACGGAGTGTCCCCGCGTGTCTGTGGTGTAAACTCGCTGCGAGCGAGACCATGGATTCACTCCTTATTACGCGGCCGGCCGACGTGCTGTTGCTGAACATCCAGCAGCAGGGTGCTGAAGATATGTTCCACATTGATCCTGTACTATGTTTGGACCCTTTCCTTTGGAGCAAACGCCAGGGACACAGGATCGACGGCACAGACGAGTGTCGGCAGTTGCAGAATTTGGTCTCGGAGCTCAATGCGCTGGAGGCCCAGCGCAAGAGGTTAACCGAGCCCACTGGCTTCCTCATCAGACCGCTGTTAGAGCAGGTCCTAGGGTATTACGCCACGCAGGATAAAGCGAAGCACATCTGGATGCAGCAAATCCAGGATTACGTGCAGCAACAGGTAGCAAGTCTTCAAATGCAACAAGAGGCACTGCAAACTAACATTCAAGATCTCCGGCGGCACATAGCAGCCCAGGTGGAGCGGGCAGCCCAAGATACCAGCCTGCAAACTGTTCCTTACGATCTCTGTGCGGCCATCGCCACGAGCAGTACTAGTGAGTGTGTGTATGTGCGCTCGGAAGAGACATGGTGGTGTATCGAGAATGGCACAGTTGCTCCCGTACGCAGAATGAAACTGACACGCAGTGCCCTATCGAAACATGGGCCACCGACGCACGCGGCTCGGACGAAGATATGAACTTCGTGCACTTAGTCTACGCGCGCCGTGGTGCAAAACATACGGGGAATCGACCCGAGTTGACGGCGCTGCAGCAGGCCATCGCCCGTGACAATGAACGCGCTCGGTCGGAAGTGGCCCGTGCAGTTGGTTCTACTGTACATTAGGTACGCTTAGCCTTGGCGGGGCGCACCGAGTTTTGTAGGCCGCCATAAGTATAGCCCAGCGTGCCTACCAACACAGCGGCAGCCCCTGACCATAGACTAATACTGCCTGTTTGGTGATTAAGCAGGACAACGCTGACCAGCAGGCTCACGGCCTTGCGCACCACAAGAATGAGTGAAACACTAAGGCTCGATACACGCGACGTCAGTCGGTTCACACCATTAATGCAGAGCAGCTGTGTAAACACATTGAGTGCCAGTTTTGTATAGTACGAGGGGATATAGAAGCCGAGCGCTTCACAGCTTTTGCACATTCCAATCCACTCAGGAGGTGTTTGGTTCGCATTCGTAATCTGCTGACGCAGCGACTTGAGCTGCAGAACAAAGAGAGGCAGGGAGAATAGATGCGAGTAAAATAGCGCCTCATGCCAATGATCGCGGCCATACTTGGCGTAGGTCTGCTCTTGGAAGAGGCCCATACATCCAGAAGTGAGTAAAGCCAGTGACAAAAGAGTGACTCCTGTCATGTAGTCGCTCATAGGGTGATGAGTTTGGGGGCCAGACGCGCTAGGCATCGCCGCTGATAATGTGGCAACAATCACACCCAAAGTAACGAGCATCACACTCGCCAACTGTAGCAAGGAATAGCATTTCCCACTTACTGTGTATCCCAAGATCATGTTGACAAGCATACCGCCACTGCGAAACACAATGTGGACCGACATAGGAATATGGAAGGCGAAGGCTTCATTATTAAGAATGCTCGTAATGAAATATAGCACAACCTGGACCAGCCAGCGACGAAGTGGAACTCCGGGTTTTCGAATCCACAACACTGGCCATCCATATACACTTCGCCTCTCCAACTCTCCAAACAGCGCAATCAACGTGGTTGCAAGGAATTGAGCGAGCGTAAGAAGTGTGCCTGAAGCAGGTAACTGCCGCGTCGTGAGCTCCAGAGTAAGAGCATTGCTACAGCAGCCACCGAAAATCAGTAGCAAAATGACACCGAAATCGTATAGATTCGCGCGTCCGCGCATGGACAACTCAACAGCTCTCCGTGCCGGCAAGCGCTGCTTCGGCATAAGGGCAGTGGAGAGCCGAAATTAAACGCAAAGCCTTAGCACCACGTGGCATCAGAGTCTTAATCCGGAAGCCCGTGCGATTAGGTTGCTCACTAGATATGAGTGACGGGGAGTCGTACCAGACCTCGCTGTACCGAACCTTGCCTAAGGATGGCAGGGAGGGTGTCTCTTCCGGTGTAAATCCTCATATAACACTTGGAGATGCAACTCCAACTACGACTCGTCAAGGTACCGACGCAGACGCTCAACAGTACACGAATTCGCAAAATTCGACTGGGGAGTCAGTAGCTGTTCAAGGGAGCCTTCGAAGGCTAGCCAGTCAAGTGAAAAAATCGAGTGGCAATGGTGTAAAAAAGGTCGTGAAGTATGTACCGCGCTTTTCCTTTTTCGAAGCAGAGAATGAAGTCTCGGTGAAAGATCCTTTTCACGGATTTTATGTTCTCTTTTGGATTTGTCTCGGTACACAGGTACTGAGCGCTTTTGTCAGGTCATTTGAAAGCACTGGGGAAATACTTAGCATGACCTTGGCCACTCTGATGAGTCGCGACTTGCTTACGCTCGCACTCAGCGATGCTGTGCTTGTTGGACAGACGTTCCTTTGTGTCCCACTCGTAAAGTTACTGCATCGCTACAAAATTCCCCGAGGAAGCGTACTTTTATTATTTTTATCTTTATGGTACTGCTTGATTATGGTGGGCGTGATTGCTTGGATCCAGGTTCGGTACGTTCTTTCACTAACGAATTAGGGATTGGCCGTGGACTCAATCGGGTTTCTTTGTATTGCATTCCATCGTCCAGCTGATGAAAATTCACAGCTATGTGGATGTCAACTCCTGTATGAATGATGCTTATTACAAGATGGTAGACCTGGAGAAGAAGCTCATGGACCGAGTCATGGAGGTCGAGGGGAAAAACGGCACCTTGGACCGAAATGCTGCCTGGAAATCGGCTATTTTGAATGTTTCAGAAAATTTGAATATCTCCCTTTCCGGCAACGCACTTGATCCACATTGTCAGGCCAATGTCCTAAACGAATGGACGGAACTCAATATTCAAAGGGGTTCATCTCAAGTCCGTGCACAGGAATTGCTTCCTGTTATTCGTTCGAACCTCCCACGCTGCAGGTCTCCTATACCTGAACACCGTCGTCTTATGGATGCTGTCACGAACTCTAACAGCGACAATCTCGACATTTCGTCCATTCCGCTGGTACAGACAGATTTGCGTGATTCTCACCCCCTCCAGTGGCACTCGGATCCCACTATTCGAGAGATTGCTCAAGAAATTGCTGTTACACGAGAAGAGCTCTATGCGCCGGCGATTCCAGGTCAGGAAATTGGGCCAATGTGGCCTGAGAATGTGACGATGGCCAACTTTTTGGACTTTCAGCTGGTTCCTTCTCTGGTCTATCAATTGCAGTATCCTCGTCGTGAATCCATTCGTCCATGGTACATTGCGGAACGCTGCACTGCCTTGCTAGGGTCATTTCTTGTCATTTATGTTATTACAGTGAACTGGATCATCCCAGTCACCGAGGAGAAGGATTCTTCGCTAATCTCTGTGTTCCTGCGACTTGCGGCCCCTATGATGTCTTGTGTATGTTTCCACGTATTAACGCAGTACTTGCTCATTTTCTATTTAATGTTTGAGTGTGTTTGTCAAGGCTTTGCTGAAATTACAAGGCATGTGCGATATGGCTAATGACCAGGTTTGCCGATCGTGAATTTTATCGTGACTGGTGGAATTCCACAAATATGGAAGAGTTTTCTAGAGATTGGAACAGGGTGCGTGTGGCATACTAATATCTCAGCCTGTACATCATTTCTTGTTGCAGCATGTCTATGTGACGCTGGTTTTCCAGGCGGGAATGACGAAATCTACAGCCTCCCTTCTCACATTCTTGCTAAGCTCTGTTTTCCATGAAATTGTCATGATTGTCGTCAGTGGCAAGGTTCGAGGTTATCTATTCATGATGCAAATGACCCAGTATCCGCTCATTTTAATGGGAAGAGTATGTACTTGTGTTTCGTCTCACGTAACAGACCAAATTCATTCGTCAGAGGCCTGTTCTTGGTAATTTCTTGTTCTGGCTGGGCATGATGATCGGCTTCCCTGCTCTGAATATCTTATATCTAATGTTTTAGAGTAATTCCAGTAGCGTCTTCTAGTGGAGTGTTTCCATCACGTGGAAAATTTTGTGGCTGAACCTGCGCAGTTCGATAGCTTGCTGGCTCGCTGTGGTGATGAGTGTGAATGCAGCGCAAGCACAATCTCAGCAATTCAGGGAACTTGTTAAAGATCTAAGGACCAACGTGAAAGATGTGGTTTCTTTAACGGAAAAACTGGGAGACACTCTGGGAAGGGGAGACTTGGACCATCCAGATGGACTCTCGCTGCTAACAGTCAAGGTGGATGCTCTTCTTTCATACATTCATCATGTGGTTCTGTTGGGCGCGCATAGGCTCTCGGGTAAGTCATATGAAGAGGATCCTGGCAAAAAGTACATTCAAAACTTGGTCAAGTTGCGTTTGTGCCTCGAGAAACTACGACCGATGGAAACTCGGTTGCGATACCAAGTGGAAAAGCTACTGCAGTCCGTGGCCGCCGAGGAGAAACATGCTATACAAGAAGCCTCAGAGGGCATGAAGACTGACGTGGATGAGACAGACAACGTTGAAGACGATGAATTGGACAAACTTGCATTCCGTCCGAATCCGCATGCGATGGCCGCCGCCTCTAAACCAACGGAGAGCCACGTAGCAGAAGACGCAAAAGAAGAAGCTGACGTGTATCGCCCACCTAAACTGGCCCCTATGATGTACGATCCTGATGCGCATGTGTCACGAAAGCAGCGCAACAAGGACCGCCAACCCTCGCGCAACGCTGCGCTTTTGGCGGATTTGTCGGCTGGTATGTCTTCCAACCCCTACGAAATGTCTGTGGCTGGTGTGGGCGGTGGCCACGCAGTGGGCATGGCCGGATCTTCTCGTGCTCGTGCTTTGCGGCGCATGGAAGAGTTTGAAGAAGACAATTACAAGCGTCTTTCGCTGAGTAAGAAAGATGCTAAGCGCCGACGCCGCGACGAGCAGGATGTGGCGCTTGGTGGCCTTGGATTGTCGTCACATGGTAATCGTATCGGTGGTGGCGTAGAGGAGGAGTTTGGCGACTTGCTGCGCGGCTCTGACCGCGACGAGCGCCGCAGACAGCGTGGTGACGGGCAGGATGCCTACTACCTTCTACAGAAGCGGTCGAAGCTGCCATCCACGCTGTCTCGTGCAAAAGAACATACGCAAACTGCTGGAGAGCTTGGGGAGGGACGCGCATCTACTCACAAGTTCAAGAAAGCTATGCGGAACCACAAACGCAAGTCGCGTGCAACATAGTATTCCTGTACACTACCACTCTTCTTATGCGCTAGCAGGTTTAAAGGTTATCTCAGAGAGAACGTTAAAGCCCTCCTTATAAGCGTTAAGGAGCGCCTGGACACGCTGTCGTTCTTTGGTCAGAGTCTCATCTTCATGCAGGAGCTGCTCAAACATGGATTCCTTGTAGAGGTTGATCACCAAGCGGTTTTGCACACTGTCGCGCGAGTAGTTTACCAACAGATGCATCACAGCCTTGGGAACAAGGTCCTGGATCGACAGGCGAACAATGTTGAAATAGGACGTGATGAGTTGGCGAATCAAATTGGTTTCCATTACCTCGCGCTCTGTCATGTTCAGCTCATCGTCGGACACGGGTTCCGTGTTCAAGTGCATGTCTAGACTCTTCATGTTGAAGGCAGCGCTATTGCCTTCCAGGCCAAGGCGGCCAGTCAAGATGTTGGGCTTCTGCTCGGATGTGCGCTGGTGCATCGTCAAACCTGGCACCATACTCGAAGGCTCAGTCACAGCTGGACCGCCAAAGAAGTAGTTCAAGAAGGAATCACGCTGGCTTGCAGAGCCACTGGTTCCACTTCGCGAAATGCCGTTGAGAGTAGCCTCGCTACTAGAGTCTGAAGGCGGCAGACCCTGGGGATCGTGGGCTGAGACGCGAGATCGGGCAACCTCATTGCGGCGTGCACTAGGCGTTTGATTGACAGTCTGAGCCTGTGACGGTTTGTCCGTGTCTTCATCATCAGACATCGGAGTGTTAATGTCCGAGTCGAGCGAGAGTTCGTGTTTGGGGGGAGGAACGATGTACCGGCGGCTCTTCTCGTCACGCATGCGCATGGCGATGTTCGCCGAGTCCTGTACAAAGGCAGGGTGGTTGGTGTTGATGTAGGCTGACTGAATCTCGATGAGACTTTGTACATACTCAGAAGTCGGACCGAGACGCTCGCGCAGGAGGTCAGACACCACTTCAATGATTTGGGCGTGCAGACGAGGGAAGCGCTGCAGCTCCTGGCTTGTGCAGGTGTGGCACATTTTCATCAATTCTTCGTATACAAGCTCGACACAGCGGAGACTGGGAGGTAACAGCAGCTTGATTTGAGGCTTGATGAGTAGCTCAAACGCGGCTTCAGGCACAAACAAACTTGGACGTGGGCCAGTCGAATTGCGGATCGCCGTGCGGATGTCATGCACCGTCAAGTTTTGGATAGGATTGATGGAGTTAAGAGCTTGGCCAAATACATCCTGGAAGATGTAGTAGACTCGCGCGCCACCGCAGAGTTCCTTGGTAGAGATATCGAACGAGGTACCATCAATTGAAGACACAAAGTCTTTGGCAAACTGCGTCATATACTTGAGAATAAGCGTGCCGCGGTGCTGATCGCCCATAAAGGTCGTATCACCAAAAGAAGCAAGCTCCTGTTGCGCTTGTCCCATAAGCGAGTTGAGTCGCGCTTTCATATCCGGCAGACGATCCCGGATGTGCGCCATCAGCACCTGGTTCAGCGTTTTTGCCAGGTATTTGGTGCCACACTTATGCGCAATGTTGCGATACGCAAGGTGCTGGCGGAAGAATTCTTCCTCCGCTCGACGAGCTTCAGCCATAGGCAGGTTGGAGTTAATATCTTGCTGGGAACGGTTGACCACACCGACAAAGCCGAGGCGCAGCGGATACATGCGACCAGAAAGGATCTCAAGCGCATGTGTTCCTTGATCCATGAGGTCGAGCTTTGTGAGAACACCAATGGTGCGACGCCCCTGGGGGTCCACGCTGCGAGCCAGCTTCAGGCTATCCGAATTGGCCAGGTCCACGTTGGCCGGGCTCACAGCCATGATGATACAGTTCGGCTTCGAAATGTAGTCCGTAACAAGCGAACGGATTTGACGCTCAATGTCCGAGGGTTGGTCACCCACGGGAATCTTGGTCAGGCCTGGTAAGTCCACGAGAGTGAGGTTAATCACATGGGGGCTGTAGATCTTTAGGTGGATAGGCTGTTTCGAGATGCCTTTGTTTTGTCCGGCCACTCGAAAGGTTTCGTTTTCGATTTCTTGACGGATCGTATTGAAATCAGTAAAGCGGCGGTCGATGTGAAGGAACTCGCCATATTCTTCGGGACCGTTCATTGAGTCCGAAGCCGGAACATGGATAAGCTGGAGCACGAGCGGCCGACGAGTCACAATTCCACTACCACGCGGCAAGAAGTCGCGTCCTACAATCCTGATATATAGTTAGTTTACCATCCCAGTAGCTCAGGTACGTACGTCTCAAGCACACTCGATTTACCCGAGGACTGCGAACCGACCACAACACATTGTGGCAAGTCGACGCTATGTCCACCAATAGTGGTAAATGTCTCCTGGAGGCGATTCACGACTTGAATGAGATCAACATCCATCCTGAATCAAACAATATTGTGCACTCAAGAGAGGCACCAAGGAGCGACAATGAGCAAAGCCACCGTCTAACAAACACACCCCGCGCCTTCGCGTCCGACACACCGGACAGCGGAGCAGCTCGGCCGAACCAATCAGATAGAGCGACTTACGGCCATCTGACCTCTAGCCTCCAAGTTGGTCAAGAATCAATTGACGATGACGCTACGTCACAACCATAACAAGGCTATAGAACGCGCAATCCTACTGCACGCAATCTAAAGACAGGTCATAACGTCACTGGTACAAATCCCCAGATAGAGTCATGCGCCTTTAGTTGCCCAGGAACGACGAGACGCTAGCCTTGATAGAGTTAGCGATCTTCTCCTCAACCTCAGGGGTCATCACACCCTTGCTGATCTCGGAAATGAGGTCGTTCTGCGAAGCAAGCTCCTCACGGTACGAAGCCTCCCATTCAACGATCTTCTCGACGGGAACTTCGTCAAGCAGACCCTTGATACCGGCGTAGATAATAGGCACCTGGATCTCAGTAGCCATGGGGTTGTACTGGCGCTGCTTGAGAAGCTCGGTCAGACGCGCACCACGGTTGAGGGTGTAGCGGGTCGAGGCGTCAAGGTCCGAACCGAACTGGGCGAAAGCAGCCAGCTCACGGTACTGAGCCAGGTAGAGCTTGAGCGAACCGGCGACAGACTTGTAAATCTTGGTCTGGGCAGCCGAACCGACACGCGACACCGACAGACCAACGTTGACGGCAGGACGGATACCCTTGAAGAAGAGCTCCGACTCCAGGAAAATCTGACCGTCGGTGATCGAAATGACGTTGGTGGGAATGAAGGCCGACACGTCACCACCCTGGGTCTCAATGATAGGCAGAGCAGTGAGAGAGCCAGCACCTTCCTTCTCGTTCATCTTAGCAGCACGCTCAAGGAGACGCGAGTGCAGGTAGAAAACGTCACCGGGGTAGGCCTCACGACCAGGGGGACGACGGAGCAGCAGCGACATCTGACGGTAGGCAACGGCCTGCTTCGACAAGTCATCGTACACAATCAGGGCGTGCTTGCCGTTGTCACGGAACCACTCACCGATAGAGCAACCAGTGAAGGGAGCAAGGTACTGCAGAGGAGCAGCGTCCGAAGCGGTAGCGGCCACAATGACCGAGTACTTCAGAGCATCGTTCTGCTCGAGGGTCTGGACAAGCTGAGCAACGGTCGAGCGCTTCTGACCCACAGCAACGTAGATACAGTAGAGCTTCTTCGACTCCTCCTTACCGTCGTTCCAGCGGCGCTGGTTAAGGATAGTGTCGAGGGCGACAGCAGTCTTACCAGTCTGACGGTCACCAATGATCAGCTCACGCTGACCACGGCCAATGGGCACCATGGCATCGACGGGCTTGAGACCAGTCTGCATGGGCTCGTGCACCGAGCGACGAGGGAGAATACCAGGAGCCTTAACCTGGGCACGGCGGCGCTCCTTCGCCTCGATGGGGCCCTTGCCGTCAATAGGGTTGCCCAGAGCATCAATGACACGGCCAAGCAGCTCAGGACCGACAGGAACATCGACGATCTGTCCGGTACGCTTGACAATGTCACCCTCACGAATCAGAGCGTCCGAACCAAAGACGGTGACACCGACGTTGTCAGGCTCCAGGTTAAGAGCCATACCGCGAATACCCGACGAGAACTCAACCATCTCCTCGGCCATAATGTTACGGAGACCGTAGACACGGGCAATACCGTCACCAATAGCGAGCACACGGCCGGTCTCCTCGACGTCGAAGTTCGACGAGGCACCCGAAATGCGCTGCTCGAGGATCGAGCTCACCTCCGAGGCAGCAGCCTTGGCCGTCGCATAGTTGCGGACGGCGGTGGCAAGAGCCGGGGCGGCGCGACGAGCCTGCTAGTGTTAGTACCATTCCCGAACTTGGCCCCCGCCATGGCATGAAATGCTCCGGTTTTCGGCCATTCCGTCGCCAAAAAGCAGAAGGGAGTGTACGTACGGTAGGGACCGCAGCGGTGCGGGCAAGGTTAGCAACTGCAATGCCGGAGGACCTAGCGAGCATTGCGACTATAACTCGACTTAGAGGTGGGGCAAAGGTAGGTGGGCAAGGACGAACGGTCCGATAGGAAAGACAAGACCGCCGGGCCGCGCCGTTCCACTGCCAGCAGGGCCGGGCACGGCCGCCGCCGCCTGACGCGGGTCCGTCGTGCAACCAAATTCGACGAATCGCAGGATTGGAACCTGCATAGGAAATATTATTGATCACCCTCTCGGCCGGCCAGCGCACACCGGAATGTCCCGGCCACCTAGCACCTCTGCATGTAGTCACGTGGGTGACCACATGGCAAGCCTTCTGGGAAAGAAGAACAGTGCGACGTTCACGATCGCTGGACGAATGAGTGTGCCGAGCCTGCTGGGTCGCGCATGGCGCACGGTCATGGCAAGTTCTCTGCCCACAATGGCTCTGCGCCAGATGAAGAGCCGCAACCTCTCAAGCCTTCCTGTCGGTAAATCCACGAGTGTGAACAATGTAAGCGAAGCATTGAGGCTCTTGCGTAGTCAGCCGAACCACTATGTTGTCGCGTCTATAACAGGACGAACCTTTGTGCTGAGCCAGTCGGATCTCGTCACCGTGCCGCACTTGAAAGGAGTGCAGGTTGGTGATGTGCTTGAATTAGACCTTGTGCATGAGGTTGGCAGTCGCGACTACACGCTTCGCGCGCAGGACCCCGCCCAGGGACGTCGTAATCCGAAGGGCGGCAAGTTTCCCCTGGTGCTGACGCGCAATGGTGCGGATGGCTCCTATGCAGTACGCGTTGCCAGTGAGCAACAGCTATACAACAAGGCTGAGGGCGAAATTCTGCCTTTCTCCCAGTCATGGGCGGCCCAGTTGATTCCCTCAGGCATGGCACACGTTGGAAAGGGGCTTTCAAGCGATGTTGTTAAGGTGCAGTGCGTGGTGGTGGAACATACAAAAGGCCCTATGGAGCGCATTCTCAAATTCAAGCGCCGCAAAGGCTACGACAAAGTGATCACTCACAAGCAACCATATACCCGTGTTCGTGTCGATACTATCACCTTGGGTTAAGCACCAAGCACGTACTCGTAGTGATAGAGCGCATGGCTATACCACAATGCTAAAAGCCCTGCTATATATGTGTTTGGAGATCATGACTTATGCTACAAGACCGCCCATACCACCTGCATAGGCCATAGGGCGGATATCTGGATGGGGCTGAGCCGAAAAGGTAGTCCAGTACAGCGTGCCTTGAGCGTCAATGTGAGCAAAGGCACCCAGGTTGCCTGCAGAGTCGCAGTAGTTTGGAGCAGAGAAAACAGTACAGCATAAGCCTTCGTGCTCCTCTGCGTAGCCGTTCTGACGCACCTCATGGCTACGCAGCACCGACGTGATGCCATTGAGTTCACACCATGTACGGGTGATGTCCGGGCCAAAGCCGAGACCCACGCCACGCTTGCTCGGGCCACGGCCTGGTGTTGCTTGTGGATCACTCCAAAGCAATTCCATCATAAGACCCTCTTGACCTGGCTGCTTCTTCGCAAAGCGATCAATAGCCTGGATATCATCGAGTGTGACGTTATCTTTGCTGAAGAGACCACCATGCACTACAAAGAAGCGCTTGAAGCCAGTATCCTTATGCACGATCGCTGAGGTTTGAGCCAGACTTTTGCTCGCATGCTCGGGTAGTTGATCAGCCGTCAGAGGCGCGCTAGTGGGGCACACCAGTGTAGCAAGGGGAATGGCCACAAAGGCCTCGGTAAACAGCTTAAAGGTCATTTCACCACCGAATTTGGCCTTGCATTCGCCCTCAAACCCATACACCTTGTTCATATCGCTGGTTTCGTGGTTACCACGGTTCACCAGTGTCGTCTTGGGGTATAGCCACTTAAACGCGAAGATTGTAAGTGCGATCTCCACGGACCACGAGCCACGGTCAACAAAGTCACCATTGTAGAGAACCGCGTGGTTTGCCGAGGGCCGACCTGTGAGTTCGAGGAGGTGCAAAAAGTCGTAGAACTGGCCATGAGTGTCACCCACAACCTCGATCGTCGTGCCTTGGGGCACCTCATATTCCACCATGGTGGGTTCCGCCCGGAAAGCGCGAAGTGCACCAAGAATGATGGACCAGGCGATACCATTGGGCAATCGATTTCCAGCTTTAAAATGTTCCAGCATGCGATCAATGAAAGCATCGTCAATGCGGCCCAAGTAGGATTTGTCTTCGACAGCAGGGGAGATTACTTGGCCGTCCGATGCTTCGACGGGAAGACGCGGGCCTGTGTAGTCGGCTGGCACAGCGGCACCACTGATGCTTTGCTCCAGGTACTCTTCCACAGTTTTGCTAGGAGGCGTACCCTCTTCCACACGGATTGCTCGCTCAAATTCCAGCCGACGCACTAGCTTCACTGTCGCATCCAATTGGGCCTTGACCTGTGCATTCCGTGGCTCGATTTTGAGTACCATTTTGAGATCAGGGAGAGCAGCCTTGGGGTCGAGGATCGACAAATGGGCGCTGGCCCGACGGTAATATGCCTTGGCGAAGGATGGATCCAGCTCGATAGCCTTGCTTGCATCAGCGATTGCAAGGCCATGCTGCTCCATCTTGAGCTCACACATGGCACGATTGCTGTATAAAGCTGTGACAGTCGGATCCAGCTTGATGGCTTGGGTGTAGAGCTGTTTGGCCTGGCTATAGTGACCTTGCAAAAAGTACTTATTGCCTTCAGCCTTCAATTCGCCTGATTTTTTCACTCGATCCTCCTCCGACAAGGTTGAAAATTCCTCGTAATCGTATTCATCCGAATAGACGGAGGTTTCATCCGTGTTAGACATCACCGACGATGAGCTAGGCGAAGAAAGCTCAGATGCCATCTGTGTTGGGAGGAAAGAACAAGAAGGTTCGACCTTCAGGCATTTTCTCCACGTGGCTTGGGCGCGCCCAACACGACCCCGGGAGAAGGGCGACGTCTCAAGGGACCTGATGAACTACATACCATTCTATTGGCCCAAACCACAGATAGAAAGGCCGCGCATCTCTTGAAGCACGCCTTCGACTTGCGCATCAAGCTGACCCTCGGCATAGTCGCTCCGGACCTGCTCGGGGAAGTATCGCTGTACGCCACCCAGCTGCTCATAGCCTTCCTGTGCGAATTTGATCTGAATACGGATCATCATTTCCAGCGAAGGATCTAGGTAAGGGATACGCATGTCCACCAGTTGCGGGAGCTCAATCATCAGCTGTTCATTAATTGCTTCGAAAACAAGCTTCGCCTCATTGTGCTCGCGCTCCATGCTGGCGTAAGTGATGAAAACATACCGAGGCAGCTTCGAAGGATCGTCGGCGGGACGCTCCGACTGCTTTTTGTACCGGGAGCGCGATGCATCGTAGTCAAGAAGCTACATGTAAGCCACAGGCACATACCTTGCGTCCGCGCTTCTCGATCAATTTGTTTACCTCAGGGAAGTAGCTGCAGAGCTTTCCCATAGGGTCCAGCACAGTGGCACGGTAAGGACCATCTAGTTCCTTGGCCGTTCGGGCATCCAGCTCTTCCAGGGCGCGCTTGTACGAGCTTGCAATGGTGGCTGTCTGGCTGTTATCGTGGAAGAAGCCCTCGATTGTATCACCAATCCGCGCTTCAGACGCCGACATCACTGCGGTCAGTAGACTTGCACATACATCGAATAGAATCAAGATAATCGCGCGAATACTTGAGCAGTGTTGTCGCATGCTTTTCAAATTCACGATACTTTGTTTCCTCCTCTTTGAATCGGCTATCATCAGATCTCTCCAGCTGTCCCGTCCGCTGCATAAGCTGGGTACCAGCGCGGTTGAATGATTTTTTTAGTCCTCCCCAAGACATGATGGTAACGACTAGCGGCAACCGCCCGACGGGGGCGTGCTTCTCCACAGCCGCTTACGTGATCCATGCTGCCGCTGGCTTCGACCCCACGCCACAGCCCCGCGACAAGATGCACCGTCTGTTGGGCTTTTCCCAGAACAAACCCAAGCCCGACTTGCAAACGGCTATTTCTTCTACGGAATCTCGAGCAGATGCCACTCAGGTGAAGATCAGCCGGCTGGATGCGGAACTCACGCGCTATCGCGACCAGATGAAAAAGATGCGCGATGGCCCGGGGAAATCAGCGGTACAACAGCGGGCCATGCGCGTGCTGCGTCAAAAGCGCATGTATGAGGGACAGATGGAGCAGCTGGCGCAGCAAAGTTTCAACATGGAGCAGAGCATGATGATGACGGAGAACTTGCGTAATACCATGGCGACCGTCGATGCAATGCAGCAAGCTAATAAGGATTTGCGCAAAACCTACGGCAACTTAAATGTTGACAAAATTGAGCGCATGCAAGACGAGATGGAAGATCTTTTGGAGCAGTCGAATACCTTGCAGGAAACACTCTCCCGCAGCTATGCTATGCCAGACGATATTGATGAGGCGGAGCTGGAGGCCGAGCTAGAAGCCTTGTATGTACAGTCCGACTGACCGATGCAGAGAAGAAGAGCCTTTGGAGCAGGAACTGGAGTTGCCCTCATACCTGCAACATGCTGCGAGCACCGGCGCGATGCCTGAACAGCCTGACTTTGTCGATGAGCTACCTCCTCCGAAAGAGTCGGAAACTGTTGCGGCCGAAGGCGAGGTCCGCGCCGCATAGTTATTTGTCGAACGGAGGGAGGCCCCACAGCTCAGGACGAAAGTCCAGCAGCGACTTGAGTTCCTGATGCGCACCGACAGGTGATCCCTGGCGGGCCACAGCAACCAGCTACACGTTAATGAATACCCCACGTACGTTCGGATCAGGCACCCATACCACTGCCTGTGAGTCGGTGTTACGTACCTTTCATGCCAGCGGCAAGACCAGCCTGCACACCGGGCTGTGGCGTTGGTCGTCATGTATAGATACGTACCAGTGCATCCTCGAACACGAGGATCTCGCCCTCTGAGCCTTTTAGTTTATCGTCCGCGTGTGCGCCGGGCTCGCGGACGCCCTCGAGCCAGGCACGGCCCTCGTCGGTGTGCTGCAGTCCGAGACCTTGTCGCGCGGCCGTGAGGAAAATATCGGGAAACGGCTTGCCGCGCTCAATGATAGCATCATCGCCGCAGATAACGCGCTCGCCAAACGGAGTAAACAAGCGCGTGTTGGCCCCCGCCTTGATATCATCTCGGTGGTCAGTGCGCTCAAGACCTACAATTGCGCCGCCGGCTACCGGTAGCCACCTTTGAGTAAGATAGACGCAGTACATACACAGATAGGTATATTGTGCTTGGCCAAATGCTCAATCAGGCGCTCAGCTCCGGGCATGGGCTGCACCTTCTCAAAGGCAGGCAGGAGGCGCTCATTACGTGCCTCTAGAAACTCGTCAATGGTGAAAGGGCACTCGGTGCCAAATCCGCGCTCCCTGTCCTCTTCACTATCCGGATTAGGTGGCCATAGGCTCGAAAGAAGCACCACTGAGGGTGTGAGCCCATCATACATACTCGTAGCAGCACGCTCCGGCTGGCCCATCAGCCTAGATTTGATGTCCCATGTCTGCTCCTTTCCGTAGGGCCTTAGAATATCGTTCACCACATCCGTATAGATTGACTCACTGTCGATCAGCAAGCCATCCATGTCAAACAGCACGGCGCGGATGCGCCCCAGCGACTCGGCGGCCATGGTGCGAGGAAGGGTCGTCTATTACATCAGCGAGTCTCATGGAGACAAGGTGCATCTACGGGTCTTCTACTTGGGCATGAGCGTCATAGAAGCCCTCGCTGCCGTGCGAGAGCCAGCTCGCAGCAGAGGACGGCCGTGCGGGTCCGCGGCGATTGTCAGATATATTGTCAGGATCTTGGAGCTTAGACAAATAAGCATAGATTTTCTCGTCTCGCGAATGCGCACCGAGAGCACTTGTTGAGGTGGGACGAAGGTGTACTGGATGTTCAAAGGTATATGGATCTCGTTCTTCTCCTGCATCATCGATCATGGCCCCAGAGGGCGCCGTAAGGCCCAGGCCAGTGGTATGGTCCGCCTCTGGCGCGTGCGCCGCTGGCCGACGGATAGATGTGTCCACGTCGTAATCAGCGTCCAACAGGGTCCGCGGCGACCGATGCGCCCAGCGCTGTTCGTCGGTCTGCCCACGCGAGATAAGCAAAGAGTCCTCTGGCTGCAGATATGGATCCTCAAGCCAGGGCGTGGGGCACTGGTGCGTCGAAGCTGAGTGTGTGGACCGCTTCCCCTTTTTGTAGCGTGTGCGATGGCGCTTCTCCGAGGTAGGCGGGACAGCAGGGGGATCCGGAGTACCAGCGGGCTCTAGCACGGAGGACGATATGCTGTCTAAGCCGCTTTCCTTGGGGCTCTCCGGCTGCATATCGACGTACGATACGGGCGTCGGATCCCAGGTGGGGAGAGGCGGCGCCGGCGTCTCTCCAGTATGTGTGTACATGGTAGATGGGGAGGTCGCGCTCTGGGAGTAGCTCGAAATGCGTTCACGACGCTCGGCATCACGACGTGCCTGGCGTCTGCGATGCCACATAAATCCGCCGACCAGCACCGCGATGAGCGCCAAAATTGGGAGCACGACAGCGGCAGCTACCTTACCCGGGGAAAGGTTGTCAGGTGCTGCGTAGCGCGTCACGTCCTGGTTGCTGGAGACGACTGATGCATCGATGTTCTCGTCGCCGTTGCCTGCATTGCCCAGCGTCCAGGACAGGCTAAGGGGATAGGGTGATTCCCAGGGCTGGGAGCCGCCTGGGACCATCTGCAGGTTGGCGCCTATGTTCTGGGTATGGTTCCACCACTGCGCCTGCAGAGGAACAGACTTGGCGCCAGCAGCGGTCGGAAGGCCCAGCCATGCGTGCACGGGGAGAGACGCGCTCTGGTGCTGTAAGTAAAGATACACGTCAAAAGTGCTCGACTGGATGCAGTCAGGGTTCCATCGCAATAGAAGTGCGCTGTCAGACACGACCTGCCCAGGCGATGGTGACTGGTACAGGTCCTTGGTGTGACACGTCTCTGCCTGGCGCCGAACGCGCTTGGCCATGGGGAGACGACGTGGCGGTTGTGCGGCAGCGATTTGAGAAGTTGGGCGCTAGGGCCTGTCCCCAGACGCTCGAATGCGCCATGGCGCATGGGCTGGCACGTACATGGAGCCACGCGAATGAGCGGTGATTCCTCGGCCGACGAAGCATGTGCCACGTGGTCTGCGCCGGGGCCAGGCGCGGCCACCCCACAAGGTGGAACGCGGGGGACGCTCAGACGCCGACTGACATGGCCGCCTTGCAAAAAGCCCTCACGCGTTTCGTGCTGGATCCGGCTCATCACGATGTGCTGGCCATCGTGAAGGGTGCTAGGAATGGTCTGGTGTACGGGGCCAAGATCCGGTTTCCACACGCCCTTGTCATGGTTACACTGTTTGGCAGTGGCAATGTGCAGCAGCGATGGAGGAAGATTATCACAGCTACACGACAGCATGCCGTGCGCCTGGCGAAGTATGTGGCCATATACAAGACGTCTCTCATGATTCTCCGTGACCTGTTCCACGAGGGCAAGCAGCACTCGGTCGATCCGTTCATTGCCGGCATGTTGGGCGGATGGTACATGTTCGGCGACCGCACGCCCGTGAACGAGCAGGTATGTGTGCTGCGCTTATGCAGATTGTCCTGTACTGTGTTTCGCGCTGCATAGCGGCTCTCTTGCCACGAGCCAAAGTGCCGAAAGACTACCCGAAGAACAGGGTCCTGCCCATCGACAACACCGCCCACCAGGTGTTTGCTGCGCTGACGTGGGGTGCCGTCATGTGGCTATTCGTGAACGAGCGCAGGCGCTTGAACGGTGGTCTGGTGAACAGCATGGATTGTGCGTAGCGCCGACTGACCGCCAGATCTTTATGTACTTTCCGACAAGTGGGATGGCCTGCGGAACTTTTTTTGGCATAACGTGTAAAGAGCGAGAGTTTGGCCGGGTCTACGTAGAAACGGGATCTAGGACACAGTCCAAAAGCAAGGGAGCGACGCCTAATTGGCCGTCACACTCGAAAAGTATGGATGGTGCAGCGCACGTTTGGCTGGGTGAGCGAGGACCACGTACCGCTTATCCGGGCTGCCGGGTCATAGATGAGCATGAGGCGCAGGAGGTCAATGCCGTTGTCGTCGAGCGACGGCACCGCCTGCTTCAGCGGGACGCCGCTCCACTGCGGAAAGGTCGTCTTGTAGTCCGGCAGCGACTGCACACCCGGCCACGTCTCGTCGTTCGGCGTGCCGAGCGTACGGAAGATGCGGAAGATCTCGTCAATTTCCGAGTCGCCGGGGAAGAGCGGCGTGCGCATAGCCATTTCCGCAAAGATACAACCGACCGACCATATGTCGATCGCCGTATTGTAGTGGCGCGAGCCGAGCAGGACCTCGGGCGCGCGGTACCAGAGCGTGACGACCTCGTGAGTGTACGTGCGCAGGGGAATACCAAACGCGCGTGCGAGACCAAAGTCGGCCAGCTTTAGATTGCCCTCCTTGTCGATCAGCAAGTTCTGCGGCTTCAGGTCGCGGTGCAATATACGGTGCGCATGGCAAAAGTAGATGCCACGCACAAGCTGGTACGTAAACTTCATCACGATCTCCGGCCCCAGTCCCTCGGGCTGGTTCGCCACATTGTCCATGTACTTCTTCAGATCCAGGTCCAGGAACTCGAACACCAAGTACAGTCGCGACTCCTGGTGGATGATCTCGTACAGCCGCACGATATTCTCATCGCGCAGCTCCTTCAGCAGGCTGATCTCGCGGATCGCCGTCGATGGCACACCCTCGTCCTCCGCCTCGAGGCGGATTTTCTTGAGCGCCACAATGCGACCATTCGCGCCCGGCGTGAGGTCGCGCGCCTTATATACGACGCCGTACGTGCCTGTATTAGTGCAAACCACTTACCCTCGCCAACCTTTTCGATTTTTTGGTAGTTCTCCATGGGCACACAAAGACGCGGTGCGTGTCGCGCCCGCCGCCCGGTGTTGGTTGGCCACAGTGGCACGTGAGACCTCCGCCCACGGGCACGCCCTCCGCCGATTCGCCCAGGCACTAGGCCCCTCCATGTTTTCGGGACTACAGGCGCAAGCGCACTCGCCCTGGGGCCAGAAGACCAGTAGCACGGGCTCGTTTGGTGCGGGAGGCGCGCAGAATGCGACGCCCTCGACGCCAGCGCATGCCTCGCCGTCCACCTGGCTGCAGACGCAGTCCTCGCCGGCGCCCCCAGCGACGCTGGGCACGCCAGGCGCGCCGCCAGCAGGCGCTGGGCTGCTGGGTACGCCGCAGCAGGGCATGGCGCCGTCCTCTCTGATGGGGTCGACCGCGTCTCAGCCGCCGGCCTTTGGCGCCGGCGCGCCCATGACGCCGTCGCACGTCGGACTCCCGGGTCCTGCACTGGGCGTGGCGTCGCCGTCTGAGGCGCACGCGTCCCCGATGAGCCAGGCGCCCGTGGCGTACCTACCTGGCTACCTCAGCAAAATGCGCGGAAGCAGCGACCGCGCCGGCACTAGTGCGCACCGCTCTGCCGAAACGACGTCGCCCGTCGTCAAGGCGGAGGCAGATACCTCGCTCCTGTCGGGCAACGAGCCTGCGCATGCGCGCACGGTGCCGTCGTCGTCTCCAACGCACGGCTTCCACTCGTCCTTCTTCTCGCGCAGCAGCATGGACCTAGGGGACACGGCGCGCGCCGCGACACCCGCGGCTGGTGCGCGCGAGGGCAGCATCTTTGGCCACGGAGGCTTGCGTGGCTCGGTGAAGCAGGAGGACAGCGCGGACCGTTCCATGTCGCGTCCGCCGGGCTCGCCACCGACGCACACTACCCCCGGATGGGGCGGCAACGAATCGCTGAGTTTCGTGGCGCACGCTATGGACGACGACGATGCGCCTCCCCAAGAGACGCTGAGCGATGTCGCACGCCTGCAGCCGCGCCCGCTGGACGCGGCGCCGTCGGCGGGCGTCGCTCGTGCATCGCTGACCGCTGCGGCTGCCGCCACGGCCCACGAGGCCCGGCCGCCCCAGGCGCCCCTCTCGGAGCGCGTGGTCATCGTGTATGGCTTCCCGCCGACCCTGCGCGCGTTTGTCGTGGAGCAGTTTGGATCGCTGGGCGGTCTTGTATCGGCCGACGACGTGGACATCGGCGCAGCAGCGCACGCGCAGGGAGCGCTCGTGCCTGTGCGCCTGGCGTACGCGGAGCCGGTCCAGGCGCTGCATGCGCTGCACCAGACGGGCAAGAGCATCGCAGGGACGTGCTTGATCGGTGTGCGCTGGGAGAACGATGCGATGCACGAGCAGAGCCTCGTGCAGGGCCTCGACGCGCCGCTGCTCGCCACGGCCGGCGCGGAGGGCCGCGGTGCCGCGGGTGGACCTGCGCGGCCGAGTGCGGCGCCTGCGACACCGGCGCCGTCGTCGCGCCTGCCCGCCAAGGGCACCCCCGCGTTTGGGCGCCCGATCACCAAGGTCGATTCGCCTGTGGCAGCGCTGGCGCAGCCGGCGGCCAAGAGCGGGGCCACGCCGCATTCGCCGTTCCGCTCGGTCGTGAACCTGGGCGAGTCGCTCTGGCGCGGTAGCGTCAGCGCACCGCACGCGGCGCCGGCGGCCCCCGCGCCCAATGCACCGTCGGGGGTGCTGGGCCGCCTGGCCGATGGTCTTTTTGGTTGGTAGCACAAAGGGCCCATTTTTCGTGAGTGGAGGACGGCTACGACCGCCACAGAGTCGGTGCCGCAGGCGAGCGAGGGCCCTGGCGGATGGACTATCTGGCTACTCATGCCTATGCACCGAACTGGGACGTCAGTCTAGCGAAACATACACCATAGAGCGTGCGGCCCTGGCGCTTGAGCGCGTAAATGACATCGAGCGACGTGACCGTCTTGCGCTTGGCGTGCTCCGTGTACGTGACCGAGTCGCGGATGACGCTCTCGAGGAACAGCTTGAGGACGCTGCGCGTCTCGTCGTAGATCAGCCCCGAGATTCGCTTCACGCCGCCACGACGCGCGAGACGGCGGATGGCCGGCTTCGTAATGCCCTGAATGTTGTCGCGCAAAATCTTGCGGTGGCGCTTCGCACCGCCCTTGCCCAGGCCCTTGCCTCCTTTTCCACCTGCTGTGAGTATCGCTCACGTACGTCCCGACATGGTAGTCACGGCCACCGCCACCGCGCGGCGCTCTGGCGTAGGGCGCTCGGCGCACGTGATGCACACGTCCTCGGGCGGCCATGGCTCTTGTGCGCCGGTTGTTCGCCAGCATGTCGAGCCTGCGTCCCATTGTGCTGTGTGGCCCGTCGGGCGTCGGAAAAAGCACTCTGATCCGGCGGCTCTTTGATGAATTCCCTGACCGTTTCGGGTTCAGCGTGAGCCGTACGTAGCACGCGCTGACACAGACACGACGCGCGCCATGCGGCCGGGCGAGCAGGACGGCGTGTCGTACCACTTTGTCGCGCGCGACGAGTTCGAGCGCCGCGTGCGTGCCGGCGAATTTCTTGAGCACGCCGAGTTCGGCGGCAACCTGTATGGCACGACCGCCCAGGCCGTCCAAGACGTGAGCCGCCAGAGCGGGGGGCGCCGTGCGATCCTCGACATTGACGCCCAGGGTGTGCGCCTGATCAAGGCGAATCATGCGTCGCTGAACCCCGTGTTTGTGTTTGTGGCGCCGCCAACGTTTTCGACGCTGCAGGAGCGCCTCCAGCGCCGCGCGACCGACGCGCCCGAAGCCATTGAGCGCCGCCTGAACATGGCCCAGCAGGAGCTCGCGTTCGCTCGCGAGCCGCACAGCTTCGACTGCGTCATCGTGAACGACGACTTGGACCGCGCGTACCAGCTCCTGCGCAAGGTCGCCAACGACGACCTGCAGGGGCCGTTCGATCAGGTGCCTGCTGAGGACGACACGGAGCGTGCGCGCCGCCCCACTACATAGCTATCGCTTAGGCACCCAGCGTGGCGTGCGCCGCCAGCTCGGCACTGCCGTCCACGCGCGCCTCGAGGCGCACCTGCCCGGTCGCCTCGACCAGGACGTGCACCGTGATGGCCTGCGCCTCGGCACTGTGCGGCACCACAAGCTCGACCAGGCGGCGAGCGTCGGGGCACACGTACGCCGTGCGCACCTCGACCGGCTCGAGCTCCTCCTCGTCCTCGTCCTCGAGCGGCTCCTCCTTGACAAAGTCGACACGCACCTTCGGCGTGCCCTCCGCAAAGCGCAGCAGCGACGCCTCGGCGCCGCGGGCCACGGGCACACGCACCACGCGGCGCGCCGGGACCACGGTGTGCTCCGGCACGAGCGTCACGAACAGCTGGCCGTCGACGACCTGCTTCGCCACGCGCTCGTCGCGGGGGTCGTCGAGCACGAGACCGATCGGGCGCGTTGTCGCAGGCACCTCGAGCACCTTGCGGAGCGCCTCCTTCTCGCGTGGAAGCGAGTGCACAAACTCGCGCTCCGCACAGTCGCCGGGCAGGTGCACGAGCGACTGCGCATACACGGCACAGCCACGCGCAATCACCTGGTCAGAGTCGATCGAGTAGGTAATGTGCGTGTTGCCGTCCTCAGGGAAGAGCATCGACAGCTGCTCGGCGAGGCCCGCAAGGCGCGACGCTCCTCCGGCGAGGAGCACCTCGTCCACCTGGCACGGCTCCAAGCCCGCGAGCTCGATCGCCTTGTGCACGTTTGCGACGGCCGTCTGGTATACGGCGGCGGCCAGCAGGTTGAGGCGCATGCGGTTCACGCTGCCGCTAAAGTCGACGCCCTCGGCCAAGCTCTCCACGCTGCACTGCGCCGAGTTGCTCGCACTCAGCGCGCGCTTCGTGACCTCTGCCTCGTTGCGCAGCTTCGCCCACGCGCGCGCGTCCTGCTCGCCAATTGTGATCTTGGTCTTCTTCGCGAACTCCTTCGCAAAGTGCTGCACCAGCACATCGTCGAGCGCGCGGCCACCGACCGACTTGTCGTGCGTGTACGCGAGCTGCGAGTACACGCCGGCACGCGCCGCGTACACACTCACGTCGATCGACGTGCCACCAAAGTCCACCACCGCCACGTTGCGGTCGAGCACTTTGTCGGCGGGGTACGGCACGCCCTGCTCGCCGTCAGGGTGCACGGGCAGGTCGCCCTTGGCCGACGGCGCCGTGAGGCCGTACGCGGCCAGCACCGCCGCAGACGCAGGCACGAGCTGCAGCACGTTGAGGCCCGCATCCTGCGCGGCCTGGAACACCGCGGCGTTCTGCGCATCCGAGTACCACGACGGCGTGCTCAGCACGGCGCCGACAATCGGGACGCCCGACATAAAGTCCTTTGCGGCGCCGTAGAGCACGCCAATGTAGCGCACCAGCACATCGTGCGCCGACAGCTGCATCTTTTCGCCGTGGCTCTCCACCTCGAACGACGGCACATTGTCCTTGTCGAGCACCGGCGCGGACTTGCGCGCCTTCTCCTCGTCCAGCAGCGAGTCGAAGCTGCGGCCGACGAGGTTCACAAAGTTGTCAATCACGTTCGAGGCATTGCGCACCAGCTGCGGCGTCGCCTCGTTGCCATGGTACACCTGGTCGCCCTGGAACGCAATGCGCGTCGCGATCTGGCGCTCGCCGCTCTCGTTCGCGATCACATCGGCACGGCCATGCTGGTTAATGCATGCAATGCTACCGTAGGTATTGCCGAGGTTGATACCAATAACGGCACCCTGCTCCTCGCTCATGGTCGTCGTCCGCTCGCCTCGCTCGTTCTCTGCCCGCAAACCTTCCGGCAAGCACGTGGTCGGCACGTGGCCCTACATATCGTACTCGGTACGGCGGCGCACCGCGCGTGGATCCTCGGCGCGCACGGGGTCCTTGCGCTTGCGGTCAGGGTCCGCGTCGTCTAGATCGGCATACTCGGTGCGCGCGCGCGCGCCCGGCACAGAGTCAGGGGCATCTGCATGCCGCTCGGCCTGCCGCCGCACATACTTGGCCCACGCCCCGCGCGCGGCGTCCAGGCCGCCGTCCATGCGCACGAGCTCCTGCATCTCGGGCATCCCGCGTACCTGCTCGTAGATGTCATCAAAGGATGCACGGATGTCCAGCGGCGGGTGCGCATGCTTGAACGCGTACCGCAGATCGTCCGCATAGTGCCGCAGGCGCCGCTCCACGCGCCGACGCGCCTCACGCGCCTCGCGCTCCGCCTGGTACACACACTCATCAAACAAGGCGCGCTGCACACGCACCGGAAGCTGGGAAACGCTGCGCGGTGCGTCGTCCGCGCAGCATGCAGCATGCCAAGCGTCCCAGTCGCTCGGCTGCGTAGCCGGCACCTGCCGCTGCCGCATGTGCGCCTGGATCTCGCGCCGGTGCACGGTAAACTCGCGCTCCAGCTGGTCCAGTCGGTCATAAAAGAGTGCTTGTGCACTCGAGCCATGCGTCTCGGCCATGGCCGCAAGCCGCTCGTCGTCACGTACCTGCGCATAGAACGACGCCCATGTACATCGCGCATGCAGAGTGCCTGCGTCCACATGCTCTTGGAGCAGCGCCCGGAAGCCGTCGCGCACCTCGCGCTCGCGCCGCACAGGCTCCTCGCGCGTGGCGAGCGCGCGCTCGGCGTCCCTTTCGACGGATACCATATGCTCCTCGAACAGCGCGAGCATCTCGGCGGGCGGCATCCTCTGCAGGCGTGCGTCTCGGCGGAACTCCTCCGACTCGACCAGCGTGCGGTGCACGTCTTGCCACAGCGTCATGGGCGTCATCTCGATGGTCTTGAGCAGCGCACTGAGCGCTGAGCGGTTATGCTGCTGCACACTCTTCTTGCGCGCCGCATCTTTCTCGCGCACGTCGCGGCGGATCGCCTCAAAGAGCGCGTGCGCCTGCGACTCGTCCTCAAAGTCGCGCCAGACAGGGTGTCGCTCTAGCTTCTTCTTGAACGTCGCAAAGCTCGCGTACGGTTTCAGCCCGCCATTCTGCTGCAGCGCCCGCAGCACGAAAGGGCGCAGCTCCGCAAGCTTCTCCTCACGCTGAGCCGCCTCGAGTTCCTGCAGCTCTTCGACGTACTTTTTAAATGTGGCCTTGCGCTCCTCCAGCGTGCGCAGCGCCTTGTATCGCGGCTCTGTGATAATGTCACGCAGCACCTGCTCCCACGTCGCGTGTGCGCCAATCCCTTTTGTGCGCAGCATCGCGACAAACGCACTCTCTGCCTCCTCCTGCGTCGCGTACATGGGCGTACTGGTACGGGCCTGGGTGGGCGCAGGCCGCACGACGGCTGTGCCCGTACCCGCCGAGTCTGCCACAGCCATGGCGGTCTGGGTGAATGTGGGTGTGTGTGGCGTACTTGGGCTCGCTGCACCCGATGCCGGACTCGCGGGGGCGCGACCCGGCACCGCCGGCGCCGGCTCGTCGGGGATGGTATCGAGGAAGGCCTTGAGGTCCGCGGGCATCGTCCACGTCGATGCCTTGGTCTCCTTGTTCACATAGTAGCTGCGCTCACCCGATTTGTACTCACGCCACGCTGTGGTCTCCATGGCACGCTCGCGCGCCGTCTTTAGCTCGTCGGGCTTGTCCCACACACTCCGACGCTCGCCGGGGTGGTACCAGTAGGGGCGCCCCTTGGCATTCTTGTACTCGACCTGACGCTGTCAGCCTACACAGTACATACCCATGCACTAACAGCAGGTCCAGGCGCCGGCGAGCCTGCCTGGCGCGGGCTGGGCTCCTTCGCTGGGCCGCCACCTACCATCTCGCGCGTGCGGTGGCCGCTCGCGGCATGGACGCGACTCTCCCTCGTGGCCACGTGGCGCCACGTGCTCACAGACGTCGTGCGCCGCCGCGTCCTTCCTCGTACGAGCGATGGACGGCGGTGGCGCAGAGCGTGCACCGTGGGGCGGCGGGTATGGCCAGCCTCATGACAGCGACGGATGGGGCGCACGACGTGGGTATGCAGATCGCGACATGGACACATTCGATCGTCGCCCTCGGTCCGACCCGAGACGCGACGGCGACAGGGGCGGGCGCCGCGGACGCCGGGGAGGCGTGCGTACGAGCCCGCCGCCGCCTGGCACGATCCGCCTGAGCGATCGCAAAGTAGCTAATTCGCTGTGGGATGTGCCGGCGCGGGGCTTTGAGGAAGTCGATGCGCTCGCCGCGAAGTCGACCGGCCTGTTCGGCGCGCCTGTCAATTCGGGCATGGCCGGCATGATGATGCTGGGCCTGAAGAATGCCATGCCGACGACCGTGCCGGCGAGCGCGACGCCCGAGATTGATCCAACGATCGCGGCAGCTGTCACGAATGGCCTGACGCATCTGCAGCTGCGGCGTCTTCATGTGGAACCGATTCAGCCGGGCATGACGGCGCGCGCGCTCCAGGCGTTTGTGAATGCGAAAATGAACGAGCGGCTCCTGTGCTCAGGGGGCAGCACAGAGCCGTGCTTCCACGTCGACTGGCACGCCGACAAGGGGTATGCGCTTGTCGACTTCCGCAGCCCCGACGAGGCGACGAACGCCGTGCTGCTCGATGGCGCGCGGTTCCTGGGCCATGTGCTTACATTCCAGCGCCCCAAGGACTATGTCGGCCCGGATGTGGTACCGCCCCCCGGCACGATCGCCACGACGGTGCCGGACGGCCCAAACAAGCTGTTTATCGGGCGCGTCCCGCTGTTCCTAGACCGGGCTCAGGTGCTCGAGCTGCTCCAGCCGTTCGGCGAGGTGAAGCACCTCGATCTGATCCGCGACGAGGAGACCGGACGCTCGCGCGGTATGGCGTACTGCGAGTTTTCCGAGGACGCTGCGACAGACTTGGCATGTGAGGGCCTCGATGGCCTTGAGGTCGGCGAGCAGCGCCTCATTGTGCGCCGCGCCCTGGCGCCGTCGCGGGAGCCGCCGGCGCCGCCCGTGCAGGAGACGTCCGATACGCCTACGCGCGCGATGCTCCTGCTCAACATGGTTACTACCGAGGAACTGCTCGACGACCAGGAGTTCCACGATATTGTCGAGGATGTGCGTAGCGAGTGCTCGCGCTACGGCCACGTCACGTCCGTGTATATCCCGCGACCGCTTCCAGCGGGTGCGCCGGGCATAGAGCCGCCGGGCGTCGGTCGCGTCTATGTGCAGTTTGCGCAGGACGCCGAGTGTGAAGCAGCGCTGCGTGCCATTGCGGGCCGGCAGTTTGACGGGCGCACCGTGATTTGTGCGTATGTCAAAGATGAGGCATGGCCGGGCGCGGCCCCATAGTGCGTACCGTATCCATACTACTTCTCTCGATGCCGGAAGGTGAGGAGCTTGGGCAGCTCCGACGTCGGGCATGCCTTGCGCAGGAACTCGTGCTGCAGCAGCTCGTCGGCCGTGGCCCGGCTCTTTACGTCCGCACACAGACACACGGCCAAAAAGCCTTTGAGCTCGCGACTGAGCTTCTCTGGCTTCTTGAGCGTGGGCGTCCCGTTCGTCGCAATCATATAGAGTGCCTTGAGCGGCTCCTCGTCCAGGTAGGGCGGCTCATTTTCAATCATCTCAATCGCCATGATGCCCAGCGACCAGATATCGACCTTGGCTCCATACTCCTTCTGCTTCACGACCTCGGGCGCCATCCAGTACGGCGTGCCGACCATCGTCGCGCGCTTGCTGCGCTGGTCCGTCAGCTTCGCACAAAAGCCAAAATCGGTGATCTTTACCTGCCCGTAGTTGTTCAGCAGGATATTGTCGCTCTTGATATCGCGGTGAATGATCGAGTGGTTGTGCAGGTGCTCCAGCCCCTTGCACGTCTCCAGCGAGATGGCCGCAATCTGGTCCTCTTCCAGCGTGTTGTTGTCAATGACATCGGTCAGCGCACCGCCCTCCATAAACTCCATCACCACCCACAGGTCATTGTCGCGCACGAGGAAGGCGCGGAGGAAGTTGACAATGTTGGGGTGCTGCGACTCCTTCATCACCATGATTTCGTTGATGATCAATTCTTTGCGTGGCTGGTGCGCCAGGTCCATCGCCTTGATCGCCACCAGCTGCGACGTGGCCAACGCCTTGGCCACATACACCGACCCTGACGCACCCTGCCCGATCTTTTTCACCTTGCGGTACAGTCGATTCGGGTCGTCATGGCTCACGACACTGCGCAGCTTCTCCATGATCTGCGCCTCCGTCATGGTGCTTGTTCGCTTCGCATTGTCCTGTCGCCGCTGAGGGACCGGCGCACTGTCCGCAGGGGCTGGTGCAGCCGGTGAAGGCGAGGGCGAGGGCGAAGGCGCACGGGCCGTTGACGGCGCTGACGCCGGCGATGCCGCTGGGACCGGCGATGCCATGGCGTCAGATCGGTAGGCGTCGGCGCTTGTGACGGGCGCCGTAGGCGTGCCCGGGGGTGGCGTGGGCCATCCCGAGGCGGCCGGCGCCGAGGCCTTGGGTGTCGGGGGTACGGACGGCGCTGGCGAGGAGAACGACGACTTCATCGGACTCTGCATGGGTGATCCCGAGTTGGCATACGTAGGAGACGTGGCGGTCGCGGCGTACGCGGCGGCAGGCGGCGCCCTTCTCGCCTGCGAGAGGCGCTGCCGTTCGGCGGCTTGGCCCGCGCGCTGCTGCTGGAGTTGCTGCTGGAGTTGCTGCTGCTGCTGACGCACGCGCTCCTGCTGCCGCTCGCGTTCCATGAGTTGGCGCTCCTCGGCCAAACGCAGATTCTGCGTCTTGATCGAGAGAGCGCTCGTGTCGCTCTCAGACATGGATGCACTGTTCTCGGCGCTGGCGAGCGGTAGTGTCACGTCCTCGGGTGGCAGCGCCGGCAGCGGGCTCTGCTTGCCTTTGCCGCGCGGGGGCTGAGGCTGGGGCGGCGCGGCGCGGCGCGGCTCCAGGCTCGGCAGGGGCGAGAGGGGCGCGCCGGCAAACGGCGCGCCGGCCGCTCCCTTAAACGACTTGATGGTCTCGCGACCCGAGCTGCCTGCATGCAGGTTCATCGTCGGCGAGCCGAGGCCAAAGTCGTCGCGCGTGCCCTTCTGGATGTCCGTGTAAAACTCGAGCACGTCGAGCACAGCCTGTGGGTTCTTTGCATAGTCCTCTTTCGTAATGGCCGACTTGGTCAGTAGGCGCATCCACTGGTCAGGCAGGCCCGTGAACGAGCCACTGACCGGGTCGAAGCCGACATGTACCTGGTGCACAAAGTTCGTCGGCGACGAGGCGCCGAGCGGCGAGCGGTGATACATATCGTCCATCCAGCCATACAGCTCCTCGTCGCTTTTCAGCTGCATATAAAACTTTTTGTCCTTGGTTTCAACTTCGATACAGTAGGGTTTCAGGTCCGTGCGGCTGATGTTGGTCACATCGCGCAGCAGGACGATCGTGGACGCCTGGTAGGTGGCCTGGTGTGAGTAGAAAAACGTACGTCGTTTTTGTGAAAGAGCAACGTCGACTCGCGGAGCACGAGCCACCGTTTGCTCCAGATCCACGAGCGGAGGCCGTCTTCCTTCACACTGACGTAGCCTTTGCGCACAATGGACGTGGGGCTGCTCGCGCCGCCCGGGCCTGGCGCCTGGGAGAACTTGGGCGCCATCGGTGCGGGTGACCTAGGCATCGCATCGAAGGACGCGCCCGTGGCCGTGCGCGTAGGAAAGGCGGGAGGAGCTGGTGCCGGGCGGGAGGGAGTGAGCCCGTAGCCCTCTGGCAGGCCGTCTCGCGATCCCATCGACATGGTGGTCACAAGCTCGATCGTGCCCTTGTCGGAGCGGGAGCACGTGGTGCGACGTGCCTGGGCCTCGGCGACGGCCTCCACGTGACGGCCCCGCTATGGCCGCGCCGCCGGCGACGGCCTCGCCACGATGAGCGACTTTCGGCACCTGGATGTCGATCAGTACAACGAGGAGGCGCTGCATCCGCTCGAGCTTGCGCCACCTGATCCACGCTCCGCCCAGGAGCTGCTACAAATAGCTCAGGCGAAGCAGGCGGGCGTACGTACGCGCCTCGCGAGGTAGGTGCGCCCGTGCGCGACTGACGCCAGCCATGACATTGCGGGTGCGCTCACTGAGGCACTGCACGACCCGCCGACGGGCGAGCATGCTGTGGAAGCGCGACGTGCGACGCTGGGTCTCGTGCTGGACATTCTCAATTCGACGCGCACGGCGGATATTGCGCCGGCGCTCAAGGCGCTGCGCATCGATGAGCGCGATACACTGATGAAGTACCTGTACCGTGGGCTGGAGGTAGGCCGCACGAGCGGCCGTGATGTGAACTGCGCCGTGCTGCTCAGTTGGCACGAAAAGGTGTGTGGCGTATACTGACGCAGCTCACGCAGCTCGCCGGTACCGGCTGCATTGTGCGGGTCATGACCGACCGGCGTGTGGTATAGGAACTATACATCGAGCATCACAGGTCCGCCCCACCGGAGATCGCGCAGGTGCACATCGACGATCTCCTCGAGGGCGGCCAGCACTTCGTCGCCGGCCGTGAGCTGGCACGAAGCGATCGAGCCTGCGATCGTATCGGCCGCCTCGGTGGTGCAGGTGCGGGGCGCAAATGGCAGGTCGAGCCCATTCAGGTGCGCAATCAGCTTCTCGTCGCGGCCGATGTGCAGCACAAACTCAAACATGCCCTTGATACCGTGGCAGCGCTTGGGCAGCGAGCCCATGATGTCGAGCGCCAGCACGTACTGCACGGCCGACATGCGACTGACGTTCTTGGGCATAATGACAAAGTGCGACTGCCGGCGGAGGATGCGCAGCGCGAATCGCTCACCGAGCGAGTCGCTGATGAGGGACTGCACCTCGCTCGACTGCCGCTGCGCCCACGATAGGTCCGTAGGCGAGGCAGAGTCGCTGCCAAAGTACCACGCAATCGCCGTATCGCGCTCCTCGATCCACGAGCCGGGCGTACGCTCGGTGAAGTAGTCGAGAATCTCGCGGACGGGCTGCCGCCACTGCGCGTCAAAGCCATCCACCAGCGACGTCCACGCGAGCGGACCGCCGCACACGCAATGGCGCACGTAGCAGCCGTCCTCGGCGATCAGGCCAGCCTCGGGCACCGCGCGGGAAAGCGCCTCGAGGTCCGCCATGCTCTTGCTGCTCATCAGGTACACGTACGTGCGCTCGTCCTTGACGAGGCCACGCAGCGCGCGCACGAGCGCGGGCGGCGGATCGACGCTGCGCACCCGGCCCTGGATCGGCTCGCTCATCAGCGTGCGCTCGAGGTCGAGGAGCACGAGCCGCGACTTGGCGGCGCGCCACTCGGACTGCAGCTGCGCAATCTCGAGGCGCGGCGTGAACATCGTATTGCCGTGCGGCTGGCTCAGGTGCGCGCGCTCCAGCTGGCTGAGCACGGCGGTCACCCAGTGCTGCGCGGTCTGCGTGACGACCGTGCGGTGCAAGTCGTACCAGCGCTGCGCCATCTCGTCCTCGTCCATCGTGAGCGCGCGGTGGATCGCCTTGGCGACCTGGCACGTGTTGAACGGGTTCACGCCGATGCACGCCCGCAGCGCCGAGTACGTCCCAGTGAACTCCGAGAGGATCAGCGGGCGCTTGCGCTGCTCCTGCGCCACGACATACTCGTGCGTCGTCAGGTTCATGCCCTCACGTAGCGACGTCGCCATGAATGCGTCGGCCATCGTGAGCAGCGCCAGGTACTGGCTGAAGGTGATCTCCTGCACGTGCAGGAAGACCACCGGCTGGTACGTCAGCGAGCTGTGCTTGCGGTTGATGCGCGACACAATATCGCTCACGTCGCCCACTTCGCGGTTGTCCTGCACCGTGGCGAGCGCCACCTGCACCAGCACCACGCGCCCGACCCACTCGGGGTGCGTGTCGAGGAACAGCTCAAACGCAATCAGCTTCTCGCGCACGCCCTTGATCCAGTCGAGCTTGTCGCGCCCCACAATCACGTGCTTACCGGCAAAGCGTTCCTGCAGTCGACCGACCCACTCGTGCACCTCGGGGTCGCTCCGCCGGCGATTCAGGGCGTGCACATCGATCCCGATTGGGAACGGTGCGACGGTGACGAACGAGCGCGCGAGCTGCACGCCCCGGGCGGTCGTCTCCTCTTGCAGGATCCGCCCGACCGTTTGTCGGAAGTGGCGGCAAAAGTTGTGCGTCTGAAAGCCCAGGAGGTCCGCGCCGAGCATGCCCCGCAGGAGCTCCTCGCGCCGGCTCAGGCACCGGAAAATCTCGCTCGAGGGGAACGCGACATGCACAAAGAGGCCGATCGGTGCGCGCGGCAGAAGCTCGCGCAGCAGCTGCGGGACGAGCAGCAGGTGGTAGTCCTGCACCAAGATCACATCGCCCTCGCGGAACTCGCTTGCGAGGCGCTCAGCGAAGCGCCGGTTCACCTCCAGGTACGCGCGGAAGGCCTTCGGCTCCTCTTCGAGGCTCTGCGTCGTGGGCAGCGTGTAGTGGAACGTGGGCCAGAGAATCTGCTTGCAGTAGTGGTGGTAGCTCTTCACGTAGGCCTCGTCCTGCACCCAGACGGGCACCTCGTTGTGCGCCGCAGACAGCGACGCCTCAATCTGCGCACGCAAGCTCGCCGTGATCCCGTTCATCTCGACGCCCAGCGTGCCCACGTAGACCACTGCGTCTTGGTCCACGTCGCTGGTGCTGCTCACCGCATTGATCAGGCCGTAGTTCGCGCCCGGGTTCGGCGGAAACTCGAACGGCACCTTGTCCTCTTCCGTGTAGCTGCTCGTCCGTATCATCTTGCTCGTCCGCCGCGTAATGTGGAAGCGATGCGCCGAGCCGCTGCGCCGCTCCTCCTCGCGCGACAGGCGCCGCATATCGAGGCTCGTCGGCCGCTCCTTGCGTGTGCCGCTCGGTGCAGCATCGGCAGGGGCGGGAGGACCGCTCCGGGGCTGCACACGCGCCGCAAGTCGCGCACCGGGCACCGCGGGCCCCTGGCCCGCCGAGGGCGACAGGGCCGGGCCCAGCGTCGTGCCGGGCGCGGCGCCGCCAGGAGCATTCGGCATGCTACTTCCCCGCGTCATGTGCGCCGCAGGCCGCCCCGGCAGGCCCACTGGCGTGCGGTGGCCCATCGCGAACGGGCTCGGGTCCTGGTGCACGGGCGTGGCGGCGGACGACTTGGCCGCCATATCCGAGATGATGCTCACGGGCGGCGCATGCGTCTCGTGCTGTGCAGGTACGGGCGCCACGGTCGGCGGGCTTTGGCGCGTGGGCTCAAGCGGCGCGCTGCGCCCGTGGTCCGAGAGCGAGCTCTTGTTCGGCGTGACGATGTGCGACTGCGCGCTGCTTCCCCGCGCATCATCGAACGTGGACACGCGAGGCGACGATGGGACACTGTACAGGCCCGGTGCCTTGCCGCCAGCCAGGGCGCCTGAGCCGGCCGCCTCGGCCATGAGCTCGGCCATATTGATCCGATCGCGCGCGGCCGAGTGCGATGGGTGGCGCGACGTACTTGCCGCGGGCGTGAGCGTAATGCCCAGGTGCATGGTCTTGCCAGGAAACACGCTCGCGCGTGTCTCTTCCTTCTCCACGACAGCGGTGAGCGCATCGGCAAGATTCTGCGCGTTGAGCGTCCGCGGCACGTTGGGCGACGTGGGCGCCGTTCGCTCCGGCTGCAGCTTGGTGGCGGGGCCCGCCGCGGGATCCAGAAACTCCACGGTATGCGGTAACAGAAAGGCAGCGATGAGCACGCGACGCGGCCGCTGGTTCGCGGGAGCGCGCCGTGCCATGTCGCCGTCCGGCCCTGGGGCGCCGGCGGAGGCGGCGGCTCGACGCCCGTGCACTATCACGTGATCTACGACCGGCTCCCTTGCTGCAGGTTGTCGAAGAGGACGTCGGCGCGGAGGACCGCGTTGCTTTCGGTGAGCTCGCCTTGCACGGCGAGCTGCTGGAGGCGCGCGACGAGGGTGCGCAAGGTCTTGCGCGAAATGGTGACCGTCTCGCTCAGGCGCTCGCTCTTCTCCGCGGGGGGGGCGCGCAGCCGGCGGAGCAGGTCTGGGACCGTGGCGCGCGCGGCCGCCTCGTAGGTGAGCGCGCCTTTCATCGCGTCCAGGAGGTCTGCACCCACCGGCTCCGAGGCTGGGTCGTCGAGCACGCGGTGAGGTGGGAACGGCACCACGTGCTGCGGGTCCATGATCGCCTCGAGCTTCTTCTCGCCGCTGAGCCGGTCGAACGGCGGGCGCCCATAGACCATCTGGTACAGAATGCAGCCCATCGACCACACGTCACTCGCCTTGCCTGCCTTGTAGACGCGGCGCCCCTGCTTCTTGGCGATCTGGATCGCCTCGGGCGCCATGTAGTTCGGCGTCCCCACAATGGCGTCGCGCGAGATGTGGATCGTGCCGATGGGAATCTTTTGCGCGATGCCAAAGTCGATCAGTTTCAGGCGCCCCTTGGCCATGAGAAAGTTGGCCGGCTTCAAGTCCGTGTGCACAAGGTTCGCCTTCTCGTGGATAAACTGCACGGCCTCGAGCATCTGCTCCCAGTATGCGTCGATCTGCGCGCGCGGCAGCGGCGCATGCGCCTTGAGCAGGTGCCCAAAGTCCATGTCGCCCAGCTCGAGCAGCTGCGTGTGAGTGACTCGACGTACAATCTTGAGCGTGTCGCGGTTCAGGCGGTGCCCAAAGTACCGCAGGATATACGCCTCGTGCCCCGGCTTTTGCGCGAGCTGCTCAAGCAGCTGCGCCTCCTGCACGACCTCGTCGCGCGACTCGGGCTCGAGGCGGCGCAGCGACACCTGCTTCATCGCATAGTACCCCTGCGCCCGCTCGCTCACCGGCTCCATGCGCACCGCGGCCGGGTCGTCGCCCGGCACCGCGGCCGGCACATGCGTGGGGCCGCGCACCTGCCAGACGGTGCTGAAGCCGCCCTCGCCAGCGCGCCGCACCTTGATGAAGCGGCACCCGCGGAACTTGCGTTAGTCCCCGTCACGCACCGTCGTTTCTTTGGCCGACGCCTTTTGTTGGTGTGGATTCGCAGGCTCAAAGCCCGTGCGATGCTGCTCGGCTGCCTCGTCCCACAGGCGCTGCAGAAAGTCCAGCGCGTGCTCGTCCGTGCGCGGGCCGGGGGGTATCGTCGCCGGGGCGGGGGTATCTGGCGGCGCCGGCGCATCAGGCGCCGGCGCTGGGGGCGCGGGTGCGGGCGCGGGCGCGGCGCTGGCGCCCGCGTCCGCCTCGTCCACAAGCGCCTCCTCGTCGTCCTGGTACCGCTGCACGCGGCGTGCAGGGATGTGCGCGTGCCCAGCGCGTGCCGAGGAGCCTGCGTCAGCACAGCAACGTACGTAGCTTCTGCAGGCCGCGTCCCACGCTGCGTTGGTTCGCAGCCAGCGTGCTCGCCCGCAGCGTAGCGGATAGGCCGGGTGTGTGCAGCGCCGGGCCCTGCGTGGGCGGCCGCAGCGCGCGTGGCGTGTGGGGCCACGACTCGTCGGTGGCGTCGTATACGTGACTTACGCGCGGCGGCGTCGGCAGCGGGCTTCCATCCGCATCGCTCCATGCGCCCGTGTCTACACGGGGCGGCGTGCGTGGCGGGGCGACGCCCGTCCCTTCTCCCATGGTGCCGTCGCCCGCTCAGGACGCGATGAGTGGAGCGGCGTGGCACGCCACGTGTTTACTATGGGCGGCCCCCGGCGGGGGTATGGACCACCGCCGCGGCGGCGGCGGCAGCTGCGGCGGCCAGGCTAGTCGAAGGGGCCTAGATAGTCTTCTTTCATCGTGCCGATCGCGAACTGGGTGAGGGGGCGCGACGTACAATCTCGTTGGCGTCGACACGCGTACCGACGATGCGCACGCGCACGCGGCGGCCCTTGACGAGGTTCTGTCGTTAGCGACAAGACGCACATCTGTCGGCGACGTGAACTCGGGCGGATTCGCGTCTGGCTGGAACTTGTAGTCGATCGGGAGCAGGTGCGACGACACGAAGATGCTCAGGGGGCCGACCTCGGCGAAGAAGCCCATCTGCGGGTGAGCGGCGCGGCCTACCTTGTTCACGTTCGTAATGCGCGCGTCCATGACCTCGCCGTTGAACTGGGTGAGTGCGCGGCACGTACCGGCTTGAGCACGATCGCCTGGTACTGGCTGCGGAACTCGGCGAGGCCCGTGCCGGGCATGACCTTGCCCTGGCCGACATCCAGCACCGACACGACCTTGATGATATAGCCCTGGCGTGAGTCGCGCGCACGCACGTATTTGCCGGAGCACGTCCCCTCGACGTCGTCGCGCAGTTTCCGGTTCACTGCGTAAGCAGGGCGCACGTACAGAACTCAATCATCGACGGCCCAAAGAACGACGGATGCAGCTCCGTGCGATGCTCCAGGTTTTTCTGGTGTGAGGGCGCGCACGTACGAGGAAGAACATCGCGGCCGTGGCGCTCGTGCGAGCGCCGCGCCGCGCCGCGACGGGCGACGTCCTGGTCCTATCACGTGATATACAGGCGCCGCCGCGGCGCTCGCTCGTCGCTTCGCGGTGGGCGCATGGTACGTACGCGGCGCTCACGCAGGGAAACGACGGTGGATCCATTGCGCGTCGCGACGACCTCGTGCGGACGCGGGCGCAGGCGCCTGTGACGCAGGACCGCGATGAGCTGCGGCACTCGGTGTGGACGCTGTGTCGCGTGTCGCGCCACCGGCTGCAGGCGCCCGTCATGCTCGACCGCCTGGGCCAGCTGTACAACAAGGACGGGCTGATTGAGTACCTGCTGCGCCGCTCGAAGCACACGGCCACCGAGGCCGAGAACCTGGCCGCGCGGCACATTCGCGGCCTCAAGGACGTGCGCGCCGTGACGCTCGCGCCGAATCCGGTGCGCGAGGCCGAGCGGGGCGAGGCGCTGTACTACCCCTATGCGTGTCCGCTCACGCAGCGCCCGATGAATGGGAAGAACAAGTTCGTGGCGCTATGGACGTGCGGGTGCGTGCTCAGCGAGGTCGGCCTGCGCGAGACGGCGTTCCCCGGCGCGCCCCGGAAGGAGGTCGCGACGCCGACGCCGTGCCCCCAGTGCGGCGTGCCGTTCCAGCCGGCCGCCCTCTGGCGCGCGGCGCCCACGGTCGAGGACGACGTCGTGGCGCTGTACCCGCCGCCCGAGACCCAGCGCGCGCTGCGCGAGCAGCTGGCCGCGCAGCGCAAGAAGCGCAAGTCGGCGTCGTCGGACGCAGACACGCCGAAGCGCGCGCCGGCGTCGACGGACGCGGCCGCGCCGAAGCGCGCGCGCCCCGAGGGCCTCCTGTAGAGTACTGTACATCACACCAGGCCGAGCGTCCGCTCGACCTCTGCATCGCTATCAGGCTCCTCGCTCTCGACCGAGGCATCCGAGAGCGACGCCTCGCCGTCGAGGTCGATGTAGTCGTGCTGCTGCACAAAGTCGCGCGCGTCCGTGCCCGGCGTCGCCTCGGCCGCCGCCGCGCGCGGCGGCGCATCGTCCACCGCCACAAAGTAGCGCTCCTCGGCCGCGGCGGCGTCGTCCCGCACAAAGAGGGTATCGGCGGCCGGCTCGGCACCCTGCACGGCGCTGCGCTCCGGCGGCGGCGCGGGGTGCGCCAGGCGGCATGCCGCGTTCGAGCAGGCGCCCTTCTCGCGGAAGTCGGGGCACTCTTTCGCGTGGCGCCGCTCGCACGCGCGGCCCTGCTCGCACCATCCCGCGTACACGAACGGGCGGCACAGCGGCGCGTCCGCCGCGCGCGCCGCGTGCACGTACCTGCACGCATCGCCATGGCGGCAGGCGCCTGTGCGCAGAAAGTGCACGCAGTGCGGCGTGTTGTGCGGCGTCGGAGTGTGCGACAAGAGGCAGGTGCCGGGCGGCAGCATGCACCCGCTCGGCTTCAGCGCGCCGGGGCACAGCGCGCGGCGCGCGGGGTCGTGCACGAACGGGCAGCGGTCGCCGCGGCGGCACGCGCCCGTGCGCGTGTAGAACGTGCAGATCTGGGCGCGCTCCCGCGCGCGCACTTGCCGGTGCACACGCCCCATCTGCTGCCCGAGCGCCGCGAGGCGCTTCTGCCGCGCCTGCTGCGCGCGCGCGGCGCGCCGCTGGACGACGAGCGCACGACTAATGAGGTTCCCGCTCTTCGTGCGGACGTACGCCTCGCCATCCACGGACGTCTGCCGCGGCGTGGCGGACGGCGCGTGCGGCGCCACGAGGCTCGCCTTGATGAGCTTGGTGCCCGACTCGTCAAACACGAACGGGACGCCGTCGACCACGATCTGCTCGCGCGCCGGCGCCTTCGGCGTCTCCACGGGCGGCGGGCGCGCAGGGTCGTACACGGCGCGGTGCACGAGCGCCACGCCCTGGCGCGTGCGGCGGCGCACCCACCCGCCCTCGTCGGAGCCGCTTAGCACGAGCGAGCGGTGGCGCGTCGGCCGCGCCGCATGCCCGCCGCGCCCGCGCATGCGCGAGCGCTGCCGGTCAATGGCGCCAGACAGCTGCGCAATTTCCGACTTGAGCGCCGCCTGTCGGGAGTCCATCGCGGTGGCGGCGCTGGCAGGAGGTGGAGACCGGGCCGCTCCACCCAGCGACGTCCCATGTCGACGCCCTCGTCCGCGGCGATCCGGGCGTACGTCGAGGGCACGTACGACGAGCTTCCCCCGTCTGTGCGTGACGATGTAGCGCGTGGTGCGCTCCCGCTCCTCGCGCTCGTGCGGGAGCTGGGCGAGTTCCTCACGTCCGAGTCGGACACGGTGCGGGCGCGCGCTGTGGCGCTGCTCAGTGGCGTGGTGCAGCACCTCGCCGCGCAGCCCGCGCCGGCGCTGACGCGGCAGGCGCTGCGCACGCTCACGCAGTTTTTCTGCGACAAGCTGAGCGACGCGGTCGCTGTGGGCGATGCGCGCGCGCGCGCGCGCAACGACGCCGCGGCGCCTGTGCCCGCGTCGGCGGCGCGCGCGGCCGTCGACGCGGAGGAGGCGGCGGCGATGCAGGCGGAGGACATGCTCCACGACTGCCTCGCGGCGCTGTATGCGCTCAGCGGCGTCGGCTTTCGCGGCGACGAGTGTGTATCGCGCGAGGCGTTCGGCGGCGAGGAGGCGCGCACACTCAGTGCCGCCCTGTTCACGCTCGAGCTGCGGCGCTACCCCCAGCCGCTGCGCCTGCTCGTGTGCCGCCTCCTCGACTCGCTCGTGGCGCGGCACCGCCACGCGCTGCGCGCGATGCGCGCGGGCGCGGGCGCGCCGGACGGCAGCGCGTTTATCCAGGGCTACACGGCCCTCGTGCAGGGCGAGAAGGACCCGCGCAACCTGCTCGTGCTGTTTGGGCTCGCGCGCGTGCTCCTGCTCGAGTGGCCGGTCGGCCCCCGCGAGGCCGAGGCCCTCTTCCACGTGCTGTTCTGCTACTTTCCCATCTCGTTCCGCACGGCGCCGGACGACCCGTACGGCACGGCGCCGGACGATCTGAAGCGGGCGCTGCGGGCGGCGGTGAGCGCGTCGCCGGCGCTCGCGCCGCTCGGTCTCCCGGTGCTCGTCGAGAAGATGAGCGCGAGCGGCGGCGCCGCGCGCATCGACACGCTGCGCACGCTCGCGGCGTGCCTGCCCGTGTATGGCGGCGCAGCCGCGCAGGCGCATGCGCGCGAGCTGTGGGGCTACCTGAAGCTCGACCTGCTGCAGCCGCCGGACGACGAGACGCTGGCGTGTGCGCAGGACGCGCTGGCGGCGCTCCTGCGCGCCGTGTACGCGGATGCGCCGCTGGATGCGCTCGCGCACGAGATCCTCGACGAGTGCCTCGGCGCGATGCGCGAGCCGGGCAAGTCGCTCGCGCGGCTCAGCCTGCACGTCGTGCACACGTTCGTGCGGGCATGCGCGCGCACGGCCGAGGAGGCGACGCAGCGCATGCTGGCGCAACTGCTCGGCGTGCAGCTCCCGCAGGCGGACGAGACGGACAAGCCGGCGCTCCTGGGCCTGCTCGCGAGCCTGCTCGCCGAGCTGGTGCAGCACCCCGCGCATGCGCCGCCGCTGGCCACGGCGCACGACACGCTCCTGGCCGCGTTCACGTCGGAGGCCGCGCTGCGGTGCGAGGCGGGCCTGCAGGGTCTCGTGTCGCTGACCGCGCTGCCGCGTCTGCTCACGCCCGACGAGGTCGCGTACGCTGCGCGCGGCATGCAGGCCGCGCTCCTCGCGCCGGACCGCGCGCTGGCCGCGCCGGCGCTCGCGGGCCTCGAGGCCATGCTGGCGACGCACGCGCCCATCCTCGAGGCCGAGACGCTGCCGCTGCTCCTCGGCGAGCTGCCGGCGCACGTCGCGGCGCCGAGCAGCGCGCTGCGCACGGTCCTCGGCGCGCTGGGGCGCCTGTGCACGCCGCCGGCGCTCTTTGCGGCGCTGGCCACGCGCGTGCTCGACCTGCTCGAGGGCCTCGCGCGCGACGACG